AAGAACGCCTTAATTGGTGCCTGGCACGGCAAGATTAGACCCTCGAGGACTAGAAGTCTGTGATATGGTCTGACGAGACCTCTGTGGTGTTGTTACATCGCCGTGGTGCCTATAGGCTCTGGCGAACGCCTGAAGAGAAGGTGAATAAGAGCTATATCCGTGAGCGCTAGAAGGGCTCTTCAGAGTTTATGTTCTAGGGTAGCTTTTCATACGATAAGAAAGGCCCCTGCTATTGTTGGTGCCCGGAGACTGCTGCTGAGAAACGCCTTGCTGAGGAAGAACTTGAGGCTATGAATAAGGCCCTTGAGCCTGCCGCGAAGGAAGCCTGGGAGCTCTCGATGAAGATGAGCCGCCTCAATCTACGGCAGAAGACACCTGGTAAGAAGCCTACCTGGCGGTTCACGAAGGCGACCGGGAAGCTTACGAGAGGCGGGAAAGGTGGTATTGATTGGTATCGCTATCGTAAGCATATTCTTGGGCCAAGGCTATTGCCGTTCGCGAAGGAATGTGCCCTCGAGAGGCCGGATACAGTGGTTCAAGAAGATAAGGCTCCGGCGCACGCCCACCACATACAACAACAATTATACGATCTCGAAGGTGTGCGCCGCCTCGAGTGGTGTGGTAACTCGCCGGACCTTAATATGATCGAACCGGCCTGGCCATGGATCAAGAGATATACTACTAAGAAGGGGGCCCCTAAAACACGGTCTGATGCTATCGCGAGATGGCAGAAGGCATGGAACGACCTGCCTCAGGCCGAGATTCAACGCTGGATTGAGCGTGTTCCAAGACACGTCAGGAAGATCATTGAATTAGAGGGTGGAAATGAGTATGTCGAGGGGCGCCAGGATAAGCCGTAGGATTTGCACCAAAGCTAGCTGGATTTAAACGACATGCAGACTTAGCGCCTTTAGCGTCAACGCATAACTTTTGAACTCGTCCTCCGTACGTAGTAGTCTAATAAGTTAGGAGTTCAAAGCGGGGAAATGATGTATCGGCGACTCCTGGTTGCAGGCTTGCAGCCAACAACACATAAGCAGCAATAATAGTAATTATGCGCCTCTCTTGACCGCTGGCTGTCTATAAATATCGGAGACATAATAGTGATTGTTGGTGTGTATACCGAGCAGGGCCAGTCAGTGGCAGGTGAACAGCTCACTTGTCATATTTCCTATCGACACAAGCAATGATCAAGTCCTGGAAATCATATGTATCGTTGTTCACGAACCGGCAACATCGTGGCCCAGATCACAGCCCATTAGGTATCATATCTTGTGTTTAGCTCAAGTCATCACGGCTGTTGGCCTCCGCTGACTCTGGCTCGCGGCCCCCCTCCCCCGTCTTGATAGCGTATACTTGGCAAACGCCCTCGCCAACGCTTTTTTGCAGCTCACCTTCTGGCTGCCCACAAAGCTGTCCACGGTCACTGCAATTGCACGGTCGATGTCGGCAGTAGAGACACTATCTGATAGACGCATCTTTGCAAAAGCCTCGCTGATGCGGATAATGGCTTCGAGATGACGAACCTTATATTAGTTAGCATTGCAGCTGAACAAGAAATGGTTACTAAAACATACTGTAATGGGGTAGGCGCCCGTTGCGAGCGATTCGCGCCTCATGTTGGCGAACAGGGACGCAATCTTGTCTTCGTCCACCTGGAAGAACTTGGGGTGGCAGTTCTCTCGAGCGTGCTTGATGTACTTGCGCAGTAGCTCTTGAGGGATCTCCCCAGTCGCCCTGGCTGAGGACGCCTGCGTCTCAGTTGGCTGCGACTCATCGCCGCCGTCGGTCGATTCTTGGTTTGGCTGCGCTTGGGGATGGCTGCGCGAGTGGGAGCCGACGATGAATCGCGCCAGACGCTCATCTTCAGAAGGCTCGACTGTATCGCGTACGACGCACAGTACATCGAAACGTGACAGGATAGGCTCTGTGAGCTCTACATTGGCTGAGAAGGGAATGGTCGAATTGTAGCGGCCACCGATAGGGTTGGCAGCAGCGATGATCCCACATCGGGCTTGCAGTGTCGTGACAATACCGGCCTTGGAGACAGAGATAGTCTGCTGCTCCATGGCCTCGTGGATAGACGTCCGATCTTGGTCATTCATCTTGTCAAATTCGTCGATGAGACATGTACCGCGGTCAGCAAGCACCAGCGCACCGCCTTCAAGCGTCCATTCACTAGTCATAGGGTCGCGGCGTACAGATGCTGTCAGACCGACAGCACTGGCACCTTGACCTGTAGCAAAGACGGCGCGATGGGCTGTCTTCTCGACATACTTCAGAACCTGCGACTTGGCGGTACCGGGATCACCTAGTAGCAGCACGTTGATGTCACCACGAACATGGTGGCCACCCTTTGTAGTCTTTGGCACGCCACCAAACAGTGACAACGCAACAGCAGTCTTGACGTCAGTGTGCCCGTAGATACTCGGCGCAACCGATTCGATGACTCTGTCGATGATGTTTGGGTCGCTCTTCAGCTTGGCAATCTCCTTCTCGTCTTCTTGTGTCATGCGGAAACCCGCAAGCTGGTCATGAGACTTGACCACGTTGTTTGCCTCAAGGATGGTTGCAAACACTGGGAAGCCATTGCGGTTGTTGAGCTGAGCATCATAGTTGTTGCGGTAAATACCAGTGACCTCGATTTCCTCGCCCGGTTTTGCACTGTCAATGAGGTCCCACAGCAAGATCACCTCGCGCGTGCGTGGCAAGCGACCGGCCGGCACGGTGCCAGGAGACTCCTGCAAAGTGAGCTTCTGGTAGTTGCGGTATACCGTCTTCTCCGAGTTAACCGTAAAAGGCCCGCGAGACTGGCAGTTCTGACAGAATGAAATTCTGACCTCCACATTCGACTCCTGCTGGAAGGGACCCAAAGTAGCTCCGCACTTTGTGCAGTCGAACTTGACGTATTGTAGCTGGGGAAACACCCCTGAACGACGAGTGACGACGCCGCTGACCCTCACCAAACAATTCAGGTGAGATTGACGGAGCTGTCGTAAAGTGTAGTGAACCGGTAGGTCGTAGATGCGAACGTGTACTTGAGAGTGGATACGTTCGTAGGACGGGTAGTAGATGAGGACGACTTCCATGGCGACTTCATCAAGCAACTTGATCATCTCTGCCGGTGCATTGGCCAAGAAGAAAGCAAGAGTGGCCTTGGAGTCGGTCAAGTGGTCATAAGACACTTCGAGAGTCTCCGCGTTGATTTCGCCCAGAGTCTTGGCGCGGTTTCCGTATACTGACTGGCCCGAGTCGTCTGTATATTCGGTCAGGAAGAGCTTGAACTCGCGCTTGATCGTCCTCTGCACGGCAGGCTGTGCTACCCATTCAGTAATGTTGGGTGCCTTGATGTCGCTCAGTGCTTCTAAAGTGAGTTCCTCCTCCATAATATCTTGATCCATAGCGTCGTCTTGATCTTCATCATAGTGGTGGCGGCGACGTCGTGGCTGCGCTGTGAGGTCCATCATGTCGCCATCGTCTTCATCCCCGGGCAGGAAGGCTCCAGGCTCTCTTTGTCGACGAGCAACCTCGCGGTCTTGCCTGTTCATTCTCGCCTCCAGTTGCCGCCTCTCGGCGGCGTCCATAGCGCCGTATTGCGCATCATCAATGTCGATGTCCTCGTAATGGTCATCTTCCCGATTCTGATAGTCGCCTTCGAAACCCTCGCGAAACAGATCAACATCGTCATCTGCCATTTCGTCGACGTCGTCAATGTCGTCTTGAATTTCGGGCTGGTCGTCTTCCATCACATCGTCCTCTGCGTCGTCACCACCTTGGGCAATGCTGAAGCCAGCAGGCGGCGAGGATGGCAAGGGACTTGAGCCATAGCCAACGGATGAGCCATCGCCTTCATCTCTCGCACGTGAGCGTTTGCGACTCGCAGAGGGGCGGGCGCCCCGATTCCCTGAGGAGGGGTGATCCCGCAGGGGAGAGCTACTGTTGTCAGCGTTTGAGGGGTCAGGTATTTTGCACATGGGGACATACCTCATGGTGGGTTCGTGTGATGTTGAAACAAAAGTTTCTGCAAAAGACCTGTGTGCAGACCGCTCGAGTCAGTTCTTCGTGGTAAGACGTGCTGATGCGAGGTTCGCGGGCAAAAGGGTGAAGCTGCATTGAAGTGCAGCGAGCCGTCGGCAGGGAAACTAAGTTACCTTAGAGATCATTTCGTTCGTGTCGCGTCTTGACGCGTCCAAGCGCGTAAAGTATCTACGCTATTCTCTTTTTGGGGCAGAACGCGTAAAGTGGCTGCAGATGGGGCGAAAAGATTACTTCGCCAGCAGAGGCCAATCGCGGCCTAGTACTGCAGTATCTATTTTGTCACCTAGCCACAGCTACTGTACATGACGTTGGCTCGCGTCAACTTGCCCAAACCTTCATCACCTCCAAGATTTCGAACCTCAGCTCGTGTTTGCGATTCAAATTCGATTCCGCTTCTTATCTTTTAGTTTGTTCCAGGCGATACACTGAGCAGAAGATAATGGCGAACGATTCCGCTGCCTCGGCGCAACAAGAATCCTCAACGACACAGCGCAGCAATAGCTTCTCGGCGCAGTCGGACAAATCGAGTGCTTCCCAAACAGCAGCAGAGTATGATTGACGCCTCACCACCCGTCACGCTTAGTCTGACGGTTCAGGTTCATTCGCGATCAAGAGGCCCTCGAGGCAGACGCTCGCGAGGCGCTTCCATATGTTCGTTCACCCGCTGTTCTCGTATCATCGCCATCATGTGTAACACGTGTAGAGCATAAACACATGTACCAAGATACTCGGACCCTTGCGCCAGAACGTCTTCGCATGCCTCACATGTAGCCCGCCGCCCGCTTCCGCCGCTCAACAATGGACGCCTGCTGGCGTGTGCTACGCCTGTTCCGTTCAATGCCACGGTGAGCACACTTTGGTTGAGATCTTTCAGAAGCGCAACTTCACCTGCGATTGCGGAACGTCGCGACTTCCCTCCACCAGCCCTTGCACCTTGAGAACAAACAGCGAGACGAACACGAAAGGAGATGTCCACGGAGAAGAGCCAGACGCCAACAACAGATACAATCAGAACTTCAAGAACCGGTTCTGTGGCTGCGAATGCGATTATGATCCCTTTGAGCAAAAGGGGACAATGTTTCAGTGTATGGGTCTGGGATCCGTTGAGACGGGCGGGTGTGGTGAAGATTGGTATCACCCAGGGTGTCTCGTAGGCATGGGTCCCAGATGGTTCGAGGTGATGAAGCCAGAGAGGCCCACCGCTCCGCAGGCGGGCGACACCCTGGCAACTATTGCAGAACACAACGAACAACCGCCGGAGAGCCAGCCAGCCGAGAACGATGCGGCCGTGGCGGACGAGGATGATGAGCCTCCTATGCCTCCTGGATTCCCAGGTGAGGATGACTTTGAAGGTTTCATCTGCTACAAGTGTGTTGAGTCTCAACCATGGATCAAGCCATATGCTGGAACACCTGGATTCCTACCGGCTGTGATGTTGAACCACAACGAGGATACCGCATCTGCCAATACCACATCGAAGAAACGTAAGACAGAAGACGCTGTGGAGCATCAGAGCGACGCCAAGCGCGTCAAGACTGAGGAAGAGCAAGATGGGGAACAGGCAGAACAAGAAACACCCATGGCTGCTGACTCTGAGCCTGGAGCAGCCCTCCCATCTGATTGCAAGCTGCCCAACTTATCGATACCGCCGTCGGGCCGGTTTTCCCTGTTCTTCAAAGAGGACTTTCGGGACGAATTCTGCCGTTGCTCCAGCTGCTACAAACACCTTGACAGCAACCCCCAACTCATGGAAGAAGAAGAGACCTACGAGCCGCCACTTTCCGAAGATGCCGCATCGCAGCACGGCGGGTCAACGCACGGCAGTGGAAGTCTTCTCGAACGTGGCGAGAGCGCATTGCGCAACGTTGATCGCGTCCGCGCTATTGAGGGGGTCATGGCGTACAATCATCTCAAGGAGCAACTAAAGCCTTTTTTCCAACAATTCGCCGAGAGCGGGCAGGCAATTGGTGCTGAAGACATCAAGGCATACTTTGCTAAGCTCCGTGGCGATGAAGAGGACATCAAGGAGGCAGGCGAGGCAGCTGCCAGTGATGGCCGTGATTCGCAGAGGCGTGAGCAAGGCGGACATTGATCTAGACAAAGCTCGTGGCTGCGTCAGATGTAACATATATAATGTTCGCAAATGCGAGAGGAATCGATTGTGGCTGGGTATCTGTAGTCTATCATTAAATCATGTCCTAGCATCATCTGGGCTCTCCCGATGACCCCGTGCTCGACGCGACGCTCAGTGGCCTTGGTGGAAGAACGGGTGGCGCCAGCGGATTGCTCGAGGTTTCTCTCTGCATCGCGACTCCACCCAAGGGCTGGAACGGCTGATTGACTTGCGGCAAACCTCCATCGTCACTGTCGTCCGCTCTTTCGACCGCCAGGAGCTGTTCCTGCAGCCGAATTTGCTGGATCCGCAACCTCTCCTTCTCGGCGGGATCGATGATATCGTCATCACCGCTCCAGTAGGTATCATCGTCTTCCAGTTCCGGCATGGCCATCCGTTTCCAGAATCGTAACTCTTGCCTCATTGCAACGCTGCCAACTCTTCTTTCCCATCGATGTTCATCCTCCTCGTATTGCCGCCTAAACGTGCGCAAGCTTTCGTTTGCACTCTTGGCATGACTTTGCATCTCCCAGATCTGCTCTCTAAGCTTGCTGTTCTCCTTCCGTGCCTCATCGAGTTGCGATCGATACGATCGATGCCAAGCTGTGACGTCCGCCAGATGCTTCGCTTTGTACTCGTGAAAGGATTTCAACAGCAGCGCTAGGGTTGACGCATATTGGGAGAGGAGGGCTGCATTGGCGTCGCGCGAGTTGCGAGCTTTCTCGAGCGATTCGGATAGAAGGGATATTAGCGCGTCCAAGTTCTCGACCTGACCTTCGTCTTGTTAGCAGGTCGCCGAGTATGCCGACAATATGGGAAGTGGTCCTCACCATTGATGTCGTCCGCAGAAGCTTCGATGACTTGGTCATTGTTCAGGCCTTGCTGCCTTGCCCTCGCCCTGACCCTGCCGAGACCGTTGACGATGTCCTCTGTTACGCGGCGATTGTCTGCCAATTGGCGGCTAAGCTCCTCCACCATGCCATAGATGTAGTTCAGCTCAGCCTGATGACCTGCCGGCGTGGGACCTGGCAGGCCATTGGGGGCCATGCCGTTCATGCCGTTCATGGCCATGTGCTGCTGTTGCTGCTGCACTTGAGGTTGGTAGTGCTGTTGCTGGCGAAGAGGCTGCTGCTGTTGCTGCTGAGGGGGCGGTTGTGGATGCGGGAGGTCGTTAAAGCTCATGTTCATTATCAATTGACGGTCAGCGCGGTGTCGAACGGGAGAATACGGGCGAGGATTCGTAGGGTCGCGTGTGTTGCTATTGCTAAGGTAGGTACCACGTGTGTGAGGTGCAGACGTGACGGCGACCATGGGCTCATATCCTGGTTTCTGAAATGTGGGGCGTTGCAGGCACAGATGAGGATCTGGGGGAAGCTACTACCGGGTAACCAAGTTAAGGTGAGGAAAGCACGGTATTTGTATAGAGCAGAAAGCTTGATGTTGACTCGTCGCAAACTCGAATCTGCCCAGTAGGAGTAAATTCTTCAGACTGTGGCCAGCTAGTCAATTGATCGGCGTGTTCACAATGCATGCTTTGCAAGCTCAGGTCACCGAGTTCTTCATACTTTGAAAACGTTCAACCAAGAGTTGTTAAGCAGGCGAGGGTCCATGTAAGTGAAAGATAACGCACATAAAAAGTCAGTGAAATGCAGCATGAAAGAAAGTATGAATACATGATACTTTTTACATCACGCCCAGATTGGAATTGGCGGTGTTTCCTACAATACCTTATCTATTCTAGCATGAGAAGGGGCCAGATGTAGGGTAGGTAGCATGCGACGAGAGCACGAGACTATGTAGACGCCAGCTTACCCCTTTCTTATTTCCGTCCTTGACTAGCGAGATCGATCATCGATCAGCAGCATTAACCTTATTAATAAACCAAGGCAAGGTACCTACACCTTGATTACGCACTGTACGGATATCGCGATACATTACCAGGACTGTCCAGTGTCTCCTTCGGCCTGCCAGGGATTCATCCCCCTCAGTTTCCCCACGTCCGACGGCCTGATCCTACAGTCTCGCCAAGAGCCACCAACCGGGCCGACGAGATTGAAATGAGCTCACTTGAGTCTTGACCCAATGATCTCCAGAGATAGCCATGTTTCGCATAGCACACTACACCCACAGACGTCGTCCGGTGACCTCTACATATCGTCACAATCACACAGCCCCGGCTCTTGGACGGAGTCCGTTCAATGCATTAGACTTTTCGAGCCGGAGCAATGGATTACTCTGTGAAAACACCATCGAAAGGTGGTGGGCCAGTAGCCTCACACTGGACACGACGCGTCTGTCGATCAGGGGATCATGCGGCCCATACTCCCGCGGCCGCAGCTGTCCTGCCTGCTCGAAATGCACATATCCGAGGTTTACTCTACATTCCCCCAACTTGCGCCGCGCAGCAGAGTGCCCACCAGTTGCCCACTAGTCAGGGGTATGCAAGCTTAATGCCCATGTCCTCGGCGTCATGTCGCTCCAACCGTGAACTCCCTTGCTGCGTTTGCGCCAATACATCGGATCGAGGTTTATTGCATCCATACGGATAGCTTCTGCGCCTTTGTCGACGCCCCAGAAACATTTAGGCCGTCTTGGCCACCGAATGTAACCCTATACATCGACGTGGTAGGACAGCATCGAGTGGGTAGCCGCGGTGGAGTGCATGCTCGCAAGCGCCTCGCGTGCGTCCGCACCTTGACTGGCCATCTCTGTCCTTGACCTTGTCCAGCTGTTTCTCCGCATACATGAGTATGGCGGGCATCAGTACAGTCCGGGGTGTTCTGCCCGGTCCGGAGGGACTTTGGGGTAGGACCTGCCGGCGGTGGGCCTAGTTGCAAAAAGCCTCCAGCTGACCAGCGAGTGGCCGCCGATGCACGATGTACACTGAAAAGCGAACAAAGGACTTGGCCATGTGGTGGACCATGAAGGTCGACGCCGGGCAGTGGAGAGGCTGGTGGCAGAGACTTATAAAGAGCCGCTTCCAACCCCTTCTAGCTCACTTGAGGCACTCTCGACACAGCTTTCACTACAATGGCTCCTTGGAAGCAACTTTCCCTCTTCGCAGGGCTAGCTTCGGCTGCTGCTATTAGCAAGCGTCAAGAGGAGCTCGCCCAATACCCGGACTACGGCCTGCTGGCTGACTGCCCTGGCTACGCAGCTAGCAATGTGAAGACTAGCGACAATGGGATCAAGGCTGACCTCAGTCTGGCCGGAACAGCTTGCAATGCGTACGGTGAAGATCTCAAGGATCTAACCTTGGAGGTTACTTATGAAAGTGGTGCGTTGTGCTTTGTGATGTCCATCGGCTCAACTAACTTCGTGTAGCCGACCGCATTCATGTCAAGATTCAGGACAAGGGCAACCAGGTATACCAAGTGCCCGAGTCAGTGTTTCCCCGACCAGACTCAGATGGCACCTCTGCGGACGACAATGCCCTCAAGTTCGACATTGTCGAGGCGCCATTTTCCTTCACGATCAGCCGCAAGGACAACGACGAGGTTCTCTTCGATACATCGGCAGCCTCCCTCATCTTCGAGTCACAGTATCTACGCCTGCGTACGCGTCTACCCGAAGACCCCAGTCTGTATGGATTGGGAGAGCACTCCGACTCACTACGGTTGCCCACCAAAGACTACATCCGCACAATGTGGAACCAGGACAGCTACGCGATCCCGGAGAACACCAACTTGTATGGTACTCAGCCTTTCTATCTCGATCACCGCGAGACCGGCTCACATGGCGTCTTCTTTCTCAACTCCAATGGCATGGACATTATGATCAACAGTGACGAAGACGGTCAATATCTTGAGTACAACACCATTGGCGGCGTGTTTGACTTTTGGTTCTTTGCTGGTTCGAACCCGTCAGATGTGACAAAACAGTATGCTCAGGTGGCTGGACTGCCAACTTTCCAACCTTGTAAGTACTTGCGCCGCTCTGTCCATTCTGCTCCGAGGCTAACATGGCTGCGACAGACTGGGGTCTCGGCTTCCATCAATGCCGCTACGGATACCGAGACGCTTTTGAAGTCGCCGAGGTTGTCTACAATTACTCCAAAGCTGAGATTCCTCTCGAAACTATGTGGACCGACATAGATTACATGGATCGTCGGCTCATCTTCACCAATGACCCAGAGCGTTACCCCATGGAGAAGCTGCGTGCTCTTGTGTCCCATCTCCACGACAATGACCAGCATTACATTGTCATGGTCGACCCAGCTCTTGGTTACCAAGATAACTATCCTTCCTTGGACCGGGCAGTCGAGGATAATGTCTTGCTGTTGCGTCAGAACGGATCAGCGTTCTTGGGCGTCGTCTGGCCAGGTGTTACAGTATTCCCTGATTGGTTCGCCGAGAACGTCACCGAGTACTGGAACAACGAATTCTCAATGTTCTTCGACGCTGACGAGGGCGTGAACATCGACGGCCTATGGATTGATATGAACGAACCGTCCTCATTCCCCTGCTACTTCCCATGCGTAAGCTCTACACCCGAACCCCCCATAACCTGAACATAGTGCTGACGAGACCAGAGCGATCCTTATGGCTCCGCAGTCGGATTCCCTCCTCAGCCTCCGCCTGTCCGCGAGAACCCCAGGTCACTCCCAGGCTTCCCTTGTGAGTTCCAGCTACCTGGCGATGGTGGCTGTGACAGCTCTGTATCTGAGCGTGACCTGATCTCCCGTCCCGGTGGTCACTTCAACGTTGAGCGCGCGGAAAGCAAGTTGTTCTTCCCTGAGAAACGCCAGAGCGAGGCTGGCGACCAGTCTGGCCTGGACGGCCGTGACTTACTTTACCCGGAGTACTCTATCCACAACGCCGCCGCGTACCGTTTGGATTGGAACGCTGACAAGGGCGGCATCTCCAACAAAACTGTCCTCACTGACGTCGTCTCTCAGAACGGACTGGTGCAATATGACACGCACAACATCTACGGTGCCCAGATGGGTACCGCGTCCTACGACGCTATGCTCGCCCGCCGCCCCAACAAGAGGCCCCTGATCATCACACGATCCACTTTCGCTGGTACTGGCGCCAAAGTCGGTCACTGGCTTGGCGACAACATGTCCATCTGGGAACACTACCGCACAAGCATTCGGACCGCCCTCGCCTACACAGCCCTCTTCCAGTTTCCCATGGTCGGCTCCGACACCTGTGGTTTTGGTGGTAATGTTAGCGAGCAGCTTTGCGCTCGTTGGGCCAGTCTGGGAGCCTTCAGTACCTTTTTCCGCAATCACAACGAGTTGGGCGCCGCCTCCCAAGAGTTTTACGTCTGGGATTCCGTCGCCGAATCGGCCAGGAAGGCCATCAAGATCCGTTATCGCCTGCTGGACTACATGTACACCGCCTTTGCCAAAGCCTCGGATGATGGATCTCCGTCAGTGGTGCCATTCCTCTTCTATTACCCCGAAGACAAGGCGACCTGGGCTCTTGAGCTGCAGTACTTTTACGGTCCTGGTATCCTTGTCCTTCCGGTCACGGAGGAAGATGCCACAAGCGTCGACGTCTACTTGCCAAAGGACAAGTACTACGACTGGTACACCCATGAGGCTGTTGAGGGCAAGGGAGAGACTTATACCTTTTCCGACGTTGATGTCACGCATATCCCTCTTCTCATCCGTTCGGGAGTCATTCTTCCTCTCCGCGAGTCTTCCGCAATGACTCTCACGGCTTTGCGCCAGTTGGACTTTGAGATCATGATCCCGCTTGATGCAGAGGGCAGCGCCAAGGGGGAGCTCTACCTCGATGATGGCGAGTCTCTCAACCCCGAGGACAATGGCGGTGTGAGCTGGATCACCTTTGAGTACTCCAATGGGGAACTTGTCATTGACGGCGAGTTTGGTCATGAAGCTACATTTGGCATTTCCAAGATCACAATCCTGGGCGGCAATGGATGCAAGGTGAAGGAAAACAAAGATGGCAAGTTCAGCCGCTCCAAGAAGGTGGACATTAGCCTGAACAAGGCGAGCAAGACTGTCCTTGAGGACAAGAGCAAGAAGTTGAGGGTGTAAGAGCTTTCTTTTGAGGACAGGGTACACAGCTGAATGTGGCAATCTATAGCAGTACATAGCAATCGCAATTGTTGGATACCTAGTGACAACCGTGCTGCTGTTCGTTATGATATGCTACAGCGGCGACAGGACACCTCCCAACAGCTGGGCCCTCGAAACCACTCACGCCCTTGTTCGGTGGCCATGAAACCGCCAAATTAATGTACGAAATATATGAGCTTAACGTGCATTGCACCTCTATATGCTATTGGTATCGAACTGCCACCCACTTGAGTATAGAGCCAGCTGGGCACTATCTTTCATCCATCGTAAGATCATTATTAACCATCGACGAAATAACAGCACTTGGTATCAACAAACGGAAATCATCGTTATATCGCTGCTCCATCCATAACGCCGCAGGCATAGATAGACCTCATTGAGACCTAGAAATCACACATTGTCGTCTACCGTCGGTACGTAGGCTTCTGTGCCATGTTGACGGGCGGAGGTGCCTCATCATATATTGGATATGGGGGGTCCTGCTTTGGCATGGGACGTCGGCCATTTTGCTGGTGGTCAGGTAGCGGCGTCTTTGGCGGCAGAGGAGGTGGTTCCATGCGCTGGTGGGGAAAGGCACTCATTGGGTGAGGCTGAGAGGGCCTGGGGTGCTCGTCTGGACTCATGATCGCGATTTTGTCGGCACCCGACGCGGTTTGGTACTGACCAGGCGTTGGTGCCGTCACAATGAACTTGTCTTCGTCTTCGTTACGGAAATTGGGTTTCTCGTGTTCTGGAGGCGGCGGAGGAGGTCTTTGTCCCAAGGGAGGTGGCGAGGAAGCCGAATGGTGAGAACGGTGGGAGTCCTGATTGTCATAGGAAGACCGAGGTGAATATGGATGCGCAGAAGCCAAATGAACACTATCGGTCCCAGAATCGAAAGACTGTCGGCTCGCTGCCGGGCTGCGTGGAGGTAATGGCATGGGATTTGTTGGCATGTCGCCAGGTAGTTCGACTGCCGCTGGTGGAGATTCCCACGTCATGGACGGGGGCCTCCTGATGCGAGGAACCTCTGGGTGCTGGAGAGCTCGCTCCCAGCGAATTCTGGCCTTCAGGATCTTTGCGAGTTTCGAGCTGATGCCTTGGACCATGCGCTGCTCATCAGGCTTGCCCATGTATCTCCTGGTTCCAGTGCTGATTTCTCCTAGCCTGTTCCACTCATTCATCCCGAATTCGCCGACTCCAATCTCAACATTGAGGCGGTAGTAGTTGTCGGGGTTGACGTTGCGCTTGCCGAGATGCTCCTGCATCATGTATTCGTGTATCGTCTCACAGCCCTCGATTTTTGATATCAGCCTGCGGCGAGCTTCAGCGAATTCGCCCAAGAACCCTTCATACCACTGCTCTTGGCTTGCGCCACTGCTTTTTGGTCTCCTGCCAGTGCCGACTGACACAAAGCAGCCTATCTCTCTTCCGGGCCATTCATTGATAACCGCTTCGTCGAGTGCTTCTGGCGCAGGGTTGAAAGTTCCGGTACCGTCATCGTGAAAGGTCGATTGCCCTATCTGGATAGGCTTGAATGCGAGACCTATGGCACAGGTTGCACGGCCAGCCTGCCAGATTTTGCAGTCGAACTCGGGCGGTGGCTCCTTGCGCGAATCGTAAGAGCGAAGCATGGCAGGAGGGGCGCCTCGGGGTGAGCCCTTGTACACCGCAGTTACAACTCTAACACGCTATTAGTGTTGATCTTCGTTATACCGTTCATGAACCTACGTTTTAGTCCTATTGTCGCGAGCATCGTAGAGCCTCGCATTGGCGTCGCCATGTGACGAGTTCCTCCACACCGGCTCCTGCATCTGCGCTGCGGGACTCCTCGCACTGAAGCTCACAGTGCTGGCGTTACTCGTATGCCGCCTTGGACCGCCTGCAGCACTCGAACGAGACGCTGCACTGAGTGGGTTGGACAGAGTAGGCTCAACGCCGTCATTGCCCTCTTTTTCGTAGACTGTATGCTCCCGGACACACGCGCGAATCGCCTCTTCGAGTTTGCTGGCCTTGAACAGTGTTGAACGGTAGGGAATTCCTGCAATCGTTTTGTCCGTTTGGAAGACCATGCGCGTGAGGCGCACGTACAGCTCCTTACATGTCTCGAGGTCGAGTCGCAAGCGGCCGAGCATGAGCGCGATGAGACCGCCTGTCCCTGTTCCGACAATCAGATCGAAATGGTCGCATGGTTTCGGGATCTCGTGTCTTCGTGGCGCGCGACCTTCTGTTTCGACAAACGTCCTGTGCATCAGTTCCTGGATGATGATGAGCATCGAGTAACCGCGAACGCCACCCCCGTCTGTTCACAGAGTCAGCAAGTCCGCAAAATGGGGCCACGCGTTGGGCCATACCTAGGGAAAGCACGCGCAAAGGAGGGCCCTTTGTGGTGTCTCTCCTCTTGACGCCATAGGAGTCTTGCATGTTGGCGTGCTCAGCAGGTGGACTGAGGGGCGCGAAGGTCCAGCTCTGATGATCTAGTGCGGCTGTTGACCTGCTCGTGGGCTTCGCAAAGAGATTGAAGGCGGTGTTTGTGAACTGATGCGCTAGGCGTGGCTTGTCCGAGGTGAGGTTGTGAGGAAGAAGCGGATTACGAGAGCCGCTGTGGACTGTTTGGAAGCCTCTGGAGTTCTCGAAGGCGAGAATCTGCCTTTGCATTTGCCTTGGGCATCCCTGTGGGGTGGCAGCGGGCAAAGCTGCAGGGGACACTCGTGGTACCAAAATAAAGTCGAGGACTTGACGTCCGCGTACGCACAGACGGATCTACGGACTGGATACGGAATACTGAAGTGGCACAGCCCCCAGTGACGCAACGGTGCCCCTGCGCAGGCGCCAAACCTCACCACCAACTACAGGACCTATTAAACGGCAAGTTGGGATGCAACCTCGTCACTGTCAGCAGCTGATATCCCTAGACGCTTTGTCTGTTATTTCACTTAGCTGACTCACTCTTTGTCTCGTGATCTGACACGGTCTTGGCATGATCGATTCGAGGCTGTGCTAGGTAGTAGGCCTCGTCATGGTTGGTCCGGCGCCTGTGGAAAGCAGCGGGCCCCGCGCTTGATGACAGACATGGATTTGCGGTGCGCGACTCCCACTGTTTGGATACGAGTCTTCTTCTCAAGCGTACCTTGCGTTAGCCGGTTTGTGATCGATATGGTTGCCAGCCGGGGCACAATGTGTGGTTCGGGTAAAGTATGAGGAATCAGGGTCCCCGGCAATGGTCGCCGATAGGTGGAAGTCATCAGACCGTCTTCTAGAGTTCTATCTTGCCCCAAAACGCCGCGCACAGGGAAACGGCGGTGCCTATCGGTAGATACTTGCATCATGACCGGGTATGGGTAATCCGGGCCTACCCTGACTGAACCTTAGTGTAGCATGTCAAACGACTCACCATTAGAGCATTTACGTATAGAACATCGTCCTTTCGACGTCACCAGTAACAAATGCTGATGTCCACACGGCCTACGTTATTCAGGTACGTAAGCAGCTATCATGTGCGCGATGTAGCTCAGTATGGGCGAAAGCTCGTGCTCATGGCCTGGAGTTCTGCAAAGATGTTGTCTGATGCCTGAGCCGTGGGTTTGTCCAGTCGTCCCTGAAGAGCCTCACCAGCCCCTACGCAGGACAATGGCGGAGCCCATTGGAATCCTGCCAATCCGACGTCGCGGCAGAACGGGCCTTCGCACAATATTGCACCAGGAGGAGGCCCTCTGTCGGCAAGAAGAACAAGGCAAGGTGGCGCCCATTGTCGTGGTCAGGTGTGGGCGGTCAAGACATATGCGTAGTAGTATGCGGGGCGAATGCTGCACCAATCGTGATGTTGTGTAATAGGGAAGCCTGGTAATGATGTGTGGTAGTATATTAGTATTATCAGTCGTCCGCCATCGAGCTGCCACACTGACAACGGCCTTCGATCATACCAGGCAGATTTGTGGGATTGGTACTCCCAGTTTTATCAAGAAGGCTTACCGGCGATGGCATCCGCAAGCACACAGCGCAGATAATCCAAAAGACGGAAAAGCGTATCGACGCGGACAAGTATGCGCTGGCACGTGGACGACAACTCCAGACACGGCAGGACGGGGAACCTTGTGTGCCGTCTGTGATGCTGAAGGACGGGAAGCTATCAGACCATGCAGCCTCAGCCTCAGCCCGAGGCCAGCCGTGCTCGATTCTTCGTAGTGGGGAGAATTGGTAAACTCGAGGGAAAGTACTCCGTAGTGCGGAATTAATTACTTAGACAGTGATGACACGGTAGGGTTGAAGGGTTGAAGCAGAAGATATCTCAACTTCAGTTCGTCCTGTGAGAGCAGACGTGACGCATGGTTGCTGACCTAGATTCGATGAACACCCTATCAATGTAGGAGCACACAGACGTCGTCCAAGAAATGGTGAGTTGGCATGTCTGTGCCCCGCCCTCCGATTCGGCACCTACTAATTAGCTTCTGCCAGCGCTCACTCGCAGCCACGCACCTTCCTGTTTGCTGGCTGGCAGAGCATTTCCCCTCCATTCAAAGCCAATCACGATTCGGAACCAAGGGCGCAAGCTGTCTTGAGGGCCAATCGCAAATGGCAGCCTCGCCCGCTCCTGCCCGCCGTGCCTGGATGGGATGGCTTCCACCATTTTGTGCAATGGCAGTCAGCCAGCCTTGAGCCGAGGAGGGCAGGGCAGGCAGGCAGGCGGGCAAAACTGCAGTCGAGCCTTACCTACCTTACTACCTGACCACCACACCTTTGGGTCATCGAAGTCTCGGGCGGCTGCCAGCACGCCTACTCATCAGCCCTGATCCCTTCCTATTCACCTCGCTGAATACGTGAATCATTCCCGCAATTTACACTTGTCGTCAATTAATGTCTCGTCGGTGTCGCCAAGCTAAATTTCTTTCGAACATTTCCGTTTTGCCAACCTTCCGGTCTCGTCTCCCCCGCCTGGCTGTCCATGGAACCTGCCACTAAGAAACGAAAGCTGGCTCCCAAGGTCAACACATCCGTCGAATCCAGACCTCAAATTTCGCAGCATCACCACGACCCTCCTGTGAGTTGGCGGTGATTCGATAGCCCTTGTAGATGTTGTGCTGCCATTGACCGCAATGCTGATTCCAATTGCGCTTAGCCGCACTATCCGATCCCGGAACCACTCCCGGAACACCATGCCTTCGAATCTTTCGCTCGACACCTCCAGGATGCTGCGATGCTCATCCAACGCCAGACCGAGCGGCCACCATATAGCGAGGTTTCTGTGCTCCTGCTGAAGTGGGAGGGCGATACCTCATCCGACGAAGAGACCGCCGTGCTCGAAAGTGTACTGCGCAACACGTACCACTATCATACCCAGCGATGGGAGATACCGTCCTGCCCTAACCCCAGCATCAAGCTTGGTGTGCAAATTGCGTCTTTCCTGGAAAATACGCGACCGGATCATCTGCTGATCATACACTACGCTGGGCATGGCTTTGTTGGGCAGGATGGGCAGTTCTACTGGGCGAGCAGCGAGCGAGAAGACTCCTCAAAACTCAAATGGGATGGAGTCCGATGTTTGTTTGAAGATGCGCAATCCGACATGCTTCTACTCCTCGACACAAGTGCAATTCCGAATCCAGGCACATCGGGCTCCCACGGTGTCAAGCAAGCCATCTCAGCAAACATGTCCAAGCAGGAAGCACGCCAAAGCAACCTGCTGTCGCTTACTGCAGCAGCAGGTGAATCGCTGCGCAACCTCAGCAACGCTCAAAGCTTCACCGCCCGGCAGCTGTACGACGAAATTATAAGACTACAACAGCGCCACTTACAACAAGACAGATCATCATCAGTGCCGACCACGTCCCCGAGCGAGCCTCGATTCTCGGTCTTCTTACCCATCACAGCTGGCGAAGACCAAGATTTGAAACTTGCGCCGATTCTGCCACAGTCACTCAACGGTCACTCCATTCAAACACCGGCGGAATTGCCACTTACTGAGCAACGTATTCAGCCAGAAGACGTTGCTAAAATTCGATTTGACGAACAGAGGGTCCTTGTATGCACGACGTTTGTGGGAGACGCCAGCCCGGACATGTCCTCATTCCATAAGTGGCTGCAGACTCCTCCACTGATGGGAGAGAAAATCTCCGTTGAAGGCATGTTTTTGGGCCCGCCCCTGATGCTCCTGATCTCGATGCCCCACGCAGTTTGGAATATTGTGCAGCATGACAAGGTCTGCTGCTTCCTTGGGTATATTTCCACGCACAACATGCTCCACCTGTATGGCAAGCTTATTGGGCCTACCTCTCCTCTCGACAACTCGGCGCACGCGTCGGAAAACTCGCACCCGCATTATGAGGCCAGAAAGTCGGCTGTCGAGGCACTAGCCCGTACCACTGAACGCGAGCGTCGTCCGTCTGAAGAACAACCCTTGCTTCAGATGGGGAGGAGCGCAGGCCTTGCGTCACTGAAGCCAAAGGAAGAGCACGAGGGCACAGCCGAAATGCGAGAGGCTGCAGAGCAGCTCAAAGCTCTGAGTCATGTGCGACACTTGAGTGATGAATCTACCCCAACGTCAGCGCGCCCTCGCACCAGCTTGCCCAATGGCTCTGCTCAATCGGACAAATCTTTTCGCGATGGGGACGAAAGGTCACCGAGCAAACTGGACTCGCCTACGAGTAGAGTCAAGGTACCTCGGCACGCATTGCCGAAACACGAGACTGTGTGCAACCACTGCAGTCATGCTCCATTTCGAGACTCCTCATCACTCAGGAAGCACATTGCGGCCGCACACACGCGGCCCTTTCCGTGCGCTTTTTCCTTTGCAGGGTGCAACAGTACATTTGGGTCGAAGAATGAGTGGAAGCGTCACATCACCTCACAACATCTTTGCCTGCAATACTATCGATGCTCGGCCTGTCCCAACAGCAGTGTGGAAGGGAAGGGGAGCGAGTTTAACAGGAAAGACTTGTTCACGCAGCATCTTCGGCGCATGCACGCGCCATTCCAGGTCAAAAGGCCGCCATCCAAGGTCGATAACAAGATCGAGAGTGACTGGGAAGTGCGGGTGAAGCAGATGCAGGAATCGTGCTTGGTACAGCGGCGACATCCGCCTCAAAAGGGAGCCTGCCCCAAGTCTGGATGTTCCAACATGTTCGAAGGTCATACTGCCTGGGATGAATGGACAGAGCACGTCGGACGGCATATGGAGAAGGGGGAGGCGGGCGGAATCGGTGTCGATCAAAACCTGATTGACTGGGCTTTGCAGGAGAAAATAATTGCCTCGAAAGGCGAGGGCGAATACCGACTTTGCTACCATGGAGCCAGCGCAGCGAATGGCGCAAGCAATGAAAACAGCTCGCCAGTTGCTGCCGCGAAAAAGGAGGAGAAAACAGGATACAAAGACAAAGATTCGGAAAAGACCACGGAGAAGGAAACAGAGCCCCTTTCGGCGTCAACGACAACGTCCATGGCGTTGTCGCAACCTGCTCTGACTGCCGGGACATCTCAAACGGAACTGGACGCATCCCCGAGGGGCGTCAAAGCCAACTCGCCCACTGACGGCGACGTTGAAATGGTTGCTGTTTAGCGACGAGGCCGACGTATATGTTACTTTCCTTTGTCGTTGACGACGACATGACGATGATTTACGTACAATGATAACGACTATTTACGACACGACAGATTTTTGCAAGGGCCTCTCGGCTACTGGAAGCAGGATTTCGGGATTTCATGCGTGGTGTTGGATGCTTTCGTTTATCAGGATAATCGCTGGGCGCCTTTTGTCACTGTGTTCCCGTTAGGATCATGGGGGTTTGGTTGAGTGAGTGAAGTATCCAATAGTGACTTATCCACTAGGTAGTTCTAGTAGAATATGAGACCATCTGAGTGCTCATGTTGAAACGAGTGGACAATTGAGCTCAGGGCAAAGTCCGAGAACCTTGCTGGTGCTTTTGCTCGACTGTTCACCCCGCACTTACACTTGTGCGTACCGCGGCTCTCGACTCGACGACCCCTGAATAGCCGACTTGAGGTCCAGTCCTTGTCCGTAACCTGGAGGGGCTGGGGTATACAACAATCCACCTCAGAAGAGCACTTGTATCATACATGTGCATGGCGGGTCCGGGACTCTGGTACAGTGCCATTGTTTTACCCTCGTGTTACTTTCCAAGAGATGATGGCAAATGGGTTCGCGCCACGGGCGTGTTCAAGGGGACGAGAGTGCGTGTCGCGAGCGTTCACCACATCATCGGCACGGTGTAGTACCACTACCGCCTATGACAGCACGATACCAAACTTGCGGATCGGCAAGGGCACCAAAGTGATCTTCCAGGGGTTCACGGGCAAAGCCGTACGTCTCGATGTCCCAGTGTACGGATCAGGCGCTGACCATATGTTGTCCACGTAGGCTACTGCGAATGCCAAAGACACCATTGCCTACGGCACCAACATTGCTGGCGGGGTGTCACCTGGCAAGGGCGGCCAGACGCATCTTGACAGACCTGTCTTTGATTCTGTGCGTGAGGCCGTCTTGGCCGTCAAACCTGACGTGAGTGCGGTCTTTGTGCCGGCCGCTTTCGCCGCAGCCGCCATTATCGAGTCCATCGAGGCAGAGATGCCGCTCGTGGTCTCAGTAGCAGAACACATTCCCGTCCACGACATGCTGCGCGTGCAAGAGGTGCTGAGAACACAGACCAAGACGAGGTTGGTCGGGCCCAATTGCCCCGGGATCATCGCACCGGAGCAATGCCGAGTCGGGATCATGCCGTACAAGCAGTACATGCGAGGCTGCGTGGGGATCGTGAGCAAGAGCGGCACGCTGAGCTACGAGGCTGTCGGTGCGACGACCAAGATCGGCCTGGGCCAGAGTCTGGTCATGGGCATGGGAGGCGACATGCTCCCCGGGACGACGCTTGTCGACGGCTTGAAGACGTTCTTCGACCACGACGAGACCAAGGGTATCATTGTCATTGGCGAAATTGGAGGCGAGGCGGAGCTCAAGGCGGCGGCTCTGATCAAGGAGTACCGTCGCTCGACCGCGCACCCGAAGCCCATCATCGCCATGGTCGCTGGGCGCACGGCGCCTCCTGGGAAGACAATGGGCCACGCTGGTGCGATCCTGCAGGCCACGGAGGTATCGGCCGAGGACAAAGCACGAGCTTTGGCTGATGCAGGTGTCGTGGTTGTGCCGCATCCAGGAGTCATGGGCGTCAAGATGGAGCAGCTCTTAAGGGACCAATGATGGATCAATGGCGATGTCTGGGACGAGCTGATCTGTCTGTGTCGGGAATCATCTCTTGTCACTCGCGCCGCCATTTCCACTGATTATGAGAAGCAAGCGTCTGCATTCTGGTGGTGCCATGGCAATGAGAGTTGATATCAGCGGTGCGCATTTGCTTTCAGAGAGCTAAGAGCTATACTCTCGAATGTCTTATCCGCAGTGCTTGGATATATATTGATTTGAGACGGATAGATGAGTAAGTCGAAGACCAAATTCATATCCTCAACCATTCGGGCTGTATTACGCAGGACACTGGCCGGCGGTGAAACAGTCCTTGCCTTTTTGAAGCCATTGGAATCAGTCCCGTTGCTGGCCCTTTGAAGAACCCTCGTTCGGTTGTAAATAAGACTGTTCCGTCTTGGCCTCGCACTTTATGTCTATGTGAAGCCGCTATGTGCTCGTGCTTACTGGCTTCCAAGCCCATACTTCGCAAGACTGTTCTGATCTCCTCCAACCACATCAGGTACCTCTCTGAGACTTTGTAATACTCTGGTGGGTGAGCCAACGGCCACCGAGAACATAAGGGTGGGATGTCCCTCGTGACGACACTTGCTGCGCCAACGGTACAGCTCTTGCCAATCGTGACGCCAGGGAGGATCGTAGTGCCGCCGCCTATAAAGCAGTCACTCCCAATGGTGACCTGTTTAGCCCAGGCGATGCACTCGCGGCGAGCCCTCCACGGCCGTCTCGTGGGTGACACTGAAGATGCGTACGCCTGGGCCACACATGACTCGATCTCCGATGCGGACGACGGAGCAGTCTAGGATGGTCAAGCTCATGGAAGATTAGCGCATGTAGCAACTTCAATCAATGTCTTTGCACCACGGACGATGGTCTCGACGTATCCAAAAGTGCTGTAGAAGCGATCCCCAATGAAAATGTTGATTCCATAGTCGATCTGTAGTGGCGGCTCCATGAAGCAGTCTTGTCCAGTTTTGCCAAACATTTCGGACAGCATGTCACGCCGAGCTTCAAACAACTGCTCGGGAGTTGCATCATGCGGGAAATAGCTGTTGTACTTCTGAGCCAGTCTCCGGGCGCGGATTCAGGCATCATTAAGCGGTTTGCAGAAGCTGTTGTGTCTGATTTTCACCAGATAGCGAGCGTCCATGTTGGGGGTTTATGGGGGAGAAACTCACAGTATACCCGATATCATCTTTTCATATTCATCGCACCACGGCGTGTTCGGGTTGTTCACTCCCTGAACATAACCGATGAGATCGTGATCCAACTCATTCGTAGGCATTGCATTCATGTGCAGTATACGTCTGTCCTGGTACTCAAAGGCAGAGTTGCAGAATGTGATATTGTAGATCTGATTGCGGAGGTCTTTTTTTATTTTATCGAACTTATATGTGAAGATGAGATAGAGAAATCTAGATTAATGTGGGAGCCGCCACGGTATATGCAACGTCTGGCTCAACTACCTACATACATGTACTATGCAACTGGCTTACTGGTTGAAAGAAGCGCACATTGTCATGCCATAATGCTTGAGATGAGTCTAAAATGGTGTAGTGGCTGATGCTCGAAGCTTATTTGGCTTGAACGTAATGTACATATAAGCGACCACAGCGTGGGCTTGAATAAAACCCAAGTTCCAATTTTCACTTGCAAATAACTCGGACATGGTAATGTCCCAGCAGAGTAATCGCTCAATGTCAAATTTGACTCATGCTGGCATGTACAACAATCTCTACACGTACTCTGGCTCACCACAGTCGCAGAGATAGAGTCCCCAGCGTAGCTTCCAGCAGCACAAGGCCCTGCTGCAACTTATGTATTTCTTTCATGTGAAATTTGGGAGCAGTGTCGAAGTCAACGGTGGCCTCCTTCAACTACCACGCCCATCAATGCCTTCAGTCCAGTCGAGTCCATGTTGCCCGAGATTGCACGTGTTGTCTCCGCGGGAAGCCAGTCTGGTCACGCACAATGACATGGTATTTCTCCGGCGGGGTTGTATGAAAATATGTTGGTATCTTTAATCGAGGGCTCGCGTCGAGGAAAAAGCCTGATCATCAATCCGCGCAACATACGTGATGTGATGTTCACGCTATGAACATCCGCCAGACAGTTGTACGGCCTTTTCCGCTGCTGCGCCAAAGTCTGCCTCAACATGAAGACCCAGATTTGCTTCTTCGAGCTGTGTGGACAGTGAGTCCTGGATCATGGAATTCGTGCGAACTGGAAATCATGCACTCACCATTTTAAGCCCCTGGGCAGAGTTGGTTCCCTGGAGCCGGACAACAAGAGGTACTCGCAACGGCCCCAGCTCTGCTGCTGCGCCGATAATAGACTCTGCAATCATGGCACAGTTGGTAATACCTAGCACATCCAAGATCAGCTCTCGTGCCCTTGGACATGGCAGGTTGATGCGATGTGTGCAATTCCATCACTGAGCACTTACCACCATAGACATTGACCAAGACCGTGTTCACCCGCTTATCCCTGAGGACAATGTCAAACGCTCGCACCATGGTCTCCTTGGTCGCCTGGCCGCCCGCATCGAGGAAGTTTGCGCTCTTCCCCCCATACAGACCAATGGCATCATTCGTTGCCATTGCGAGCCCTGCTCCATTAACGACATTGCCAATGTTTCCGTCCATCTTGACGTACACCAGTCCGTACTTCTCGGCTTCAATCTCCTCCGGAACGGCCTGTGCCTTGTCGCGCAGCGCGAAGAGCTCCGGTTGCCGTTTCGCAGCTGCGTCGTCAAAGGTGAAATTGGCGCTGACGCACGCCAGAGATTCGTCGGGCAACCGAGCCAAGGGGTTGATTTCGAGATGCGTAGCGTCTTTCTGAACAAAGATCTGATGCATTCCATTCAGGATTGCTTCCATATTGGTCGCCTCGACGCTCGAGAGGCGTAAATGCGCAGCGATTTGTGACATGAGATCGGCCGAGATACCGTCCGAAATCTTGAAATGAATTTGAAAGAGTGTCTCGGGTCGATCTCGCGCAATGGAGCTCAGACTCACGCCACCGCACTTTGAGACAGTTATACACGGGGTATAGTGCTCGCGGTCAACGCTTAGGGATAGATACCATTGCTCAGTCGCCCGGACTGGCCGCGAGATATGCAGCTTGTCGACAATGACGCCCTCATCAAAGGTGTCTTCTGTCTTCAGCTTGTGACCGATCATCTTGCTTGAGATGTCTCGCCCCTGCTCTGGGTTCCCAACTGACTGAATGCCCCCTCGCAAGCCGGAGGAAAAGAGCCCATCGGCGCGACCTGCCCGCGACACCTGCGATTTGAGGACTGCCTCGCCACCTGAATTTGTCAGCATTTGCTTCACAAGTCGTATTGAACTGCTCAACCAAGCCTGTCAATCACAGATTCCGCCTCGGTAGGCGTGGCGGCTACGCCAGACGGCCAAACGGGGACATTGTACTGATAGATGTGAGCCGTGTGCGAGCCAGCGTAATCCAGGACTGCCGTACTTGTCGCAGAAGCTCATGACATTGGTACTCATGTAATGTGAGCCACCGCAACTGTTGTTGTAGAACGAGCTGGGGCGGTCAGCGGACTGGACGACGCAAGGCGCAAGATTTGGCCGTCAGAGTCCAAGCAAACCTGGGGTATGCGTCTACGCAGAGCGCTGGACGTCCTGCGGCACATCATGTTTGATATCCTTGTGTTGACCGTGCCGTTCCGTGGCGAGGACGTGTTGTTTCGCGACGCGCGGCAGTAATAAGCTTACTACCGTTCAAGTGTGCGAGATCCCTGAGGGTAACGATAAACCATCAAGCAGTCAAAGGCCATCCATTCACTGGGAAAAGTGCTCTGACCCCAGATTGAGCTGCGGATAGCGGACGGGGGAGGAGATCCGGACTCCAGTCGGTTATATGCCCGCACAACATGTAGGCTATTGACCAGGTACGTGCAGTCATGCACCGCGTAGACGAGGCAATGGGCCGCAGCATGATCAGCCAGGCAGCACGTACGGAGGAGTACTCACCCAAGTCTATGTTGTATTATTATAGCACGGTGATATGCATGTACTGATCACACGCCTTTGTGACATGTAACGACTCATGTGTCCGGTTCTGATCATCGAGTCCGCAGCTTGTCTCACGTGCGTGGGTGGCGGAAATTGCCGAACCCCAGCTTCATGTTGGCTGATCTGTGAGCATATGAGGGTCCTTGACTCCTTTATTATTTGTCAATATTGCACTGCAGGCAGAGCTTGCGCGTCCGACGAGATTTGTTGGAAAAGACCACAGCAGGCTGCAAGGCAGGATTGGCTTTCGGTTTACCAACAACAACAAACCGACCCGGTCTCTGTACATGTAGTTTTTGGCCCATTGCTCCGCGCATGCACTCGGTGCCAATCAATGCACAGCACACACTGTAGCCAAGCAGACAGCTCCATGTTGTTACGATGCCGCACAAGCCTCGACGTTTATGATGGACACATCAAATGGCTGCCGCGTCCTGTTGGCGATCCGGCCCCCGACGTCTCCAGACGCCAGCACTGACCTGCGCGGCTGCGCAAGCCAGTCCGCCGGGTCTTGGGGGCGCTTTCCAGCTTTCTGGGTTACGTTCGATTGTTCGTTGGTCCGTCCAGCTGATGTGACTTGCAGATCACCATCGTACATTGAACTTTTGAAAGCCGCAAAACCAACAAGCTCCAGTCAGCGATCCAGCACGAGCCCTCCAGTCGCGTCCACCAGTCCACTGACTCCAGTCGTCAGCGGTCGGACAGTTGCCGTCGCTCGACCCATTCTCCACACCTCATTTTGCACTTGGACACGTCAGGGCATGGGCTCCGGCTCAGCCCAGGCATGCATTGCCGCATTGCAGGCGCAGCCACTGAAATGGCTCGTCGTGTCGAAAGTTCCTCCGGATGAACAGGGAACAGGCAAAATTCTCGAGATTTGTCCGTGCCGTCCTCGAAAAAATTATGGTCCCTCTTCCTTAACCCTATTGGGAAAGTTGCAGTCGACCACTCGACAATCCATGCGACCTGGTCGGCGATTGCCAGGGCTGACCGGGGCCGCCTGCGTCAAATAAGGTAATTAATCTACATGCGTGCGGCTCGAATTCTTCCTGAGCTGCGTCGCGAGTCATTGAGGCGAAGGCTGGACCTCGAACACAAAAGGCGGACAGAGCACGAAGAGAGGACAGTTCCTACTCACGAGATGGTACGTTTAATGTTTGAGAGCCTCGACGGATGATGATGTCGTGGCCACTGGAGCTGGGCGGCTGTCGCTAGACACTTTCTCTCCGGCAACTGACTCAAGGACACGCATAAGAATAAGCTTCCTTCTGATGAATGTCACCGACAGGCGGAGCACGGTCGGCGGCGCGTCTTCGTCCGCTCCCCTAGCGCATCTCGCAAGCCTCCCAAGCTGAAGCAAGGCTTGTTTGTTTTTAACTTGTTACGAGCCGTCTGCAACATAATACCTAATAATCCGGTCTGGCACTACTGCATGCCGGCGAGCGAAGGTTCCAACTTCTTCGTGGAATCCTTGGCTTCTGTGGAGTAGCCAAGCCTATTGGAGGACAAGGTTCAGCAACTTCAGCTGCCGTGCCTTGTGCATGCCTGTAACTTGTTGGTTGCGCCTGGTCCGATGCTGCAATGTGCGTATACGACCCTAATACCGACTGGACGCACGCTTCAAGGGGTCTCTTCCCAATCCTTTGGCACGATCCGACAGCTGCACGCCAACTACCGGTGATGACTTGCCGTGACAGAGGATCAACGAAAACATGAACTCTTGGGAGGAGGAGCACGGCTTCAGTCCTGCCTGCCTGCGTACAACACAAGGTACCTTATTGAATGGCCAAGGCCTCATCATTACATCAATGTAGTAACATGCGCCATCAACCCAATTCGATCCCAGAACTCCATTCGCGGCCGCTACCCCTGAACGATGGATCAGACTAGGGGACTATCCGGCCCCTTTCGAGCAATCAGCCGTTGACGCCCAGCGGCGCCATCACCAGGACGGACAGTTGAGTGTCTATCCGTGACGTCCCCCGCGCGGCCGTGCCTGACCCCCTGGAGCGAGCCCAGGCAAAAACAGCTGAGCCCTCGGATCGAGTTTGAGGATCAGCCGCCAGCAGCTCGGTCCCGTCTCTCAATGTTGCCCCAGAGTGGTCCCTTTCTACTATAATTCTCACGGGCTCCCCCCCCTGCCTGCCCTCTGCGCCCCTTCTCCGCTCCACGAGCCATCTTGAGTTCAGCACCGGACGACGACCATCATGGACTTCCCCGTGTACAATGGCACGACCGTGTTCAGGTTGCCGCCAAATGGCACCGACTACGTCGTCGACTTTGACAACCCCCAGCAGCAGAAGGTCATGGACCACTACCTGGTGTTTGGCATAGGCGGGACGCTGGCATTCATCGCGCTGCTGCAGCGATACTACACAAAGATGTTCCTGTCCAAGGGACTGCAGATGGATGACTTGTTCATGCTGCTGGGATGGGTAGGCCACACTGGACACGAGGAGCACGGGAAAGGCGACTGACGAGCCCAGATGGCGTCTGTTGTGACGCAAGCATATCTCGTGCAGTCGATATCTGTCGGCGGCATGTGCGCCCACTCGTGGGAGATGCCACTGGAGAGATTCAAGGCATATTCACTGGTGAGGCCCTCTCCAGTCACGTAGTTGATATTTGGCTCTAACATCTCCGCCTAGACGACTTATATCACGGCTCCGATCTTCATGCTCTGCAACGGCTTCACGAAACTGTCGCTCCTGACGTTCTATCTTCATCTCTCGCCCCAGAAATGGTTCCGAACCGCAGTCTGGATCAGTATCGCCATCGTCAGCCTCTACACGTCCATCATCACCCTGATCATGTTCTTCCAATGCAGCCCACCACGCCAGGCCTTCCAGCTCGGCGCCGTCGAACGCAATTGCATCAACGCCGGTGTACTGTACATGGCGACCGCTGTGTCCAACATTGTGACGGACGTGATCCTGTTCATTCTGCCGATTCCCATGGTCATCCAGCTTCACATGCCGGTGCAGCAAAAGATTGGCGCTGTCGTCATCTTCGCCATTGGCTCAGTGTACGTCAAAAACGCCAGATGCATTGGCGAAGGAAGTGACTAACGTGGTGGAAACAGGACCGTCGCTACATCGATTGTCCGTCTGACGTATCTGCCTCCTGTGCTCAAAAGCACTGATCCCTCCTGGGATGCTGCGCCTGCCAATGTTTGGACGTACGTTACCTCTCCCATCAACATCAGGGGCAACCCCAGCTGACCGTGTTCTCTCCCAGTTTCGTGGAAGCCAACCTCTTTGTCATTTGCGGCTCCATGCCGACCCTTCGAAAGTTCTTCAAGCACGTTGCGCCTCGCTTCATGGGCGGATCCTCCAACCAGTCATACCCCTATCCCAACAGCTACGCCGCCAACCGATCTGCCGGCAACGCCATCTCTCGCTCGCGCAAGACGCGCGGACAGTACACCAACTTTGACGACGAGAATGAGATGCAGACATTCCAGGACCCAGACTCGGCGAGCCAGGATGGAAGTCCCGGGAAAGGCACGGGCGCCGCCACCGTGACCGTCGACGCATCGAACAGCAACGAGGGCGACTCGCATAGCGAAAAGGCCATCTTGCAGACCACGACGTATACTGTGCAGTACGAAGAGAGGGTACCCAAATAACGACATTGCAACGGCCACAAGATTCGACGGGGTAGGTGTATATAGAGCAAGGCGTATTTAGAAACAAGTACATAGTAATCAAGCACTGCACAAATCGCGGGAACAATCTACCAATCGCGCATCTGTCATATGACCTCCTTGAATCTGAATTCCCACGGCATATCTTGCCCCAGTCTCTATCAGCCGTTGACTTGGGCTTTCATGCATATCGTCCCGTCACTCTTCTCGACTACAATCTCACGACCGGCCTGGCCTTCACCCCGTTTCGAAGATATTTGATATCGTTCCCCTGCGTACAGTGGCGACATTGCTCTGTACGTGATCCCAGTCGGGCTACTGCCATGCACGTCACGCCAATAGTCCAGCATACTGATCAGATTCAGGGGCCCGTGAACCACAACGCCAGGATGACCCTCGACTCGCCGTGTCCAATCCTCGTTGTAGTGGATCTTGTGTGCGTTGAACGTCAGCGCCGAGAATCTGAACAGTGCCACCGGTGACCATTGTACTTGGCGCACGATGCCATTGCCTGCATGCATTGTTATCGACACCGTTCTCGAGGCGAAGCTCGGATAGCTCAGGTCACTCACCATCATCGGTCTTGACGTCCTCCGAGACACTCGGGGCTCGGACATCAACGTCTAGCGCTTTTAGGTTGGCCGGCACCAGCGTCTCGTCGATCTCAGGCCGGAAGACCCAAGACCGCCTGTCGCGCAACGCCCGTCCTCTGCTGCCGACAAACTCCTTCTCCACCTCAACAACGACCATCTCACCCACTGAGCTACTCTTCTTGGGTGTCGCGCTGACGAGGCGGGTGATTTCGGTGACCTCATCGCCCACCCGCAAATCAGCGTCGGCATCCCATCTCATGGTGCCGCCAGCCCACATCCTCCGCGTGAACGGCGCCGGCGCATTGAACGTCTTGTCCGTGCCGTCGCGTCCAAGGGATGTCTCGGCATCCGTGGGCGTGAAGTAGACGAGATGGTACCCGGGGGGGATCGGGGTGCCATTGGCAGGCGTGACGTCGCCTGTCGGACGGTTGAGTGTGTCGAGCAGCTTCTGGAGCTGGTTCCCGTCGAGTAGCTGTCTACGCTCAAACGTCTTGTTGCCGCCAAAGTTGGCCACGAGGCGGTCGGCTGCCTCTTGCGCTGTGAGGAGGCTGCGACGGGGGGAGGAGGTCGTGAAGCGGCGACCCGCCTGGACTGAGACCCTCGCTGCGCACCGCAACGGCAGCAGCCTCATCGTGCACGATTACTGGGGTTTCCAGGATAGAATCGTGAACACCGAGGCCCTGGCGCAGCATTCTAAAGAGGGCTCATGGTTATACGTGCGCTTGTTGACTGCATGCATGTGCGGACGGCTATTTGTCCAGTCGCCAACCTGTAGTTTGTTGGAGTAGGGGGGACGAACCCAATTACCGAAGAAGCCGCAGACACCGACGACACGAGTACTTATATGTGTTACAGTCATGTTAAGCAATGGAAGACCCACATGTACAGAATTGGATAAAGTTTCCTTGTACGTACCCTCGCGTCATCTCTATTTTTTGCCTGTGCTCATAGTTCCAATGATTTTATGCTTCTCAATTCAATTGACTGACAGGACTCTGAAGTCCAAGTAACCAAGCGAGCAGGGGTATCTGGCTACCCTATAGCACAATCGCTGTGATCCGCGCTGACTGAAGGGTATCCTTCTATGCCAAAAAGAGTTTCGATACGGCGTGAAAAGGAAGACAAGAGCTGAAACTAAAATTCCAAACCTACATCCGTCCGAGCCTACATAAATGTGAATGGGGTAAAAAGACGAAAACGGCAAAAACTTTGTAAAGCTTTGCCCGTTTTCGGCGTAGCTATTAACAAACGTGATTGCTGCTAATAGTCCGGGGCTTGCGAGGAATTGGCCCTTTCCGATATAGCAAATCAATCAGGGAATCGCTACAAGTCTCGCCGAGATCTCAAAACCTTATCTGGGCCAACGATGCCCATACAGACATAAATACCAGGTAGCCAACGCACTTGCAGTTGATGACCACACGCACACACGGGCATCGCCGACGTGTAGCGAGACCCGACCCGGTGGCGCATTCAGAAGAGGGTCAATTCTCAGGAATGTTGGAGCAAACCTTGACCTAAATCGAATCATTCAACACGAAGTGTACTTGTAAGCTTGAATCCACTCAGTGGCTCCGGGATAAAAAGGACTGGTGGGCTGTTTTTGCGAGCCCAGACAAGCATCGACTGTTCCAGACCGGCAGAAGTCTGCTGCGCCGGCACATCATCTCGACATTCGACATTGGACCCTGCGAGAAGCGAAGCCACGCCAAGTTTTGTCCATTGTCGCCATGGTCCCGACGCAACCAGTCCCTTCTGTTGGTGGAGGCTCATAAAAATCGACTCCCTATACCTACTCGTCGTCTTCCGCATCTGGGTTGTTGGCATCTCGCTGAATCGTCTCTCCAATATTGCAAGAATTGAGGAAAAGACGCCGTCCAAAATACGCATCAAATAACAAGTGGCCTGCCTCATTTGCGCTCGCATCAACACTGCATCTCTTGCATGCACGGTGCCGTGCTTGGCCAACCACCCCCCTGACAGTTTGCCTGGACCTGAAAGACTCGAGCGTTCAGGTGACATTTGCGTGGCTCAAGAACAAATGGCCATCCTGGAAGATTGAGCTATCGGTTCAACCGCGACACACGCCATGAGTTCTCGAGCAGTCTGCCTCTGTCTTCGCCAGAGTCTTCAACCCGCGAGTCCGAATCGCCGCAGAATGGGACCAGGCAGAAAGCCCCTTGACCTGCGCCCCAACGCCCTCTACATCGTCCTGTTCCTGAAGCAGGAGCAGCTCACGAGAGCGAGATCCGTCACGAGATCGACGCAGTCCTCCGCCATCGACGACGACAGATTCGAATGGGGACTGTACTGGTGCAAATCGCCAGAATCACCAGCATCACCAGGGGTGGGGTTCAGCACTCGCTACCGAGAGAAGGATGGTGTCTGGACCTTTGAGCATACCCTCTTTCCTAGCATGGGCAAGGAAAATCGAATCTCCATCGAGAGCGACACGAGGGTAGTCCTGGCTCTGCACATTGAGAACATTTACTGGAGCATGGCGAGTCTCCTGGAGGAGAGCCTCTCCCCCAAGAACTTCTTCCACAGCCAGCCGTCGCGCGCGATATCGTGTGCACGGACGGAGGCGATATCAGGTATCGGGTACCTGGACGAGGTGATGCCGGCCCGGGACCGTGTGTGGTTGGGTCACGCCTTGTTGCTGCTGAACGATCGGGGATTCATATCGCTGCGGGAAGAGAGCAGCGTGACCATGGTCAAGAGGGAGGCATTGTCGAGAGCGAAAGCCAACATGGCCCCATGGGGCCCACGGCGAAGTGTCGAGACAAGCGAGCATGTGCATTATGATACCCACGGGGAGGATGTTCGAACACGGATACAACTACCGCTAGACGAGTCTGCGCACGCGAGGCCAAGCATTGACCGACAAGAGCTGCCGAGATGACGAAAGCTGCCGGACAAAATAAGAGGAAAGGATCGGAACAGGAGAATCTCCACCGGTCATGGGTGAGAGACTTGACTTAGGCCTCCTAGCGACGTGGGGAATCAGATCAGTAGCCTAGTCGAATCGGTCTTCAAGTCTGGTCTTTGACAACCAGCTCCCCCTCCACCGCCGGCTTTCGAAGACCATGGAAAACCTCCACGTACGAGGGCAGAGATGGAGATACTTCAGTGCATCTCGCTGCATAGACCAGCAGTCGAATACCGCGTCGGTGGCTGCATGGCTCTTGGCGTTGAGCCGAGGACTCCGGCACGAGGAATCAAAGGAGCGCCATAGAGAGCGCTTGCCACGAGACTTGCTGCGTATCATGCGTCCCTAAGCTTCAATGTTCAGTTTGACTTTTGGTGACGTGGCGAGGGGCATGCGGGACTGGGGACTCCAGAAGGATTGCGGATAGATGGCGAGGATATTGCGAGTTACGGTGATAAGGCCGGCATTTTGAGGCAGAAGTGCTTCGAGGGCCAGGCACAAGGGTCTCAAGTCAAAATATGGGGTTTGATATAACGATGTCACAGTTTGACCACATGGCACCCATCATAATGCTCATAGACATATTGAATCCACAAATCCCTGCTTTGATATACCATACTTCGACAGCTTGATTCTCCTAGACCAAGACAATGACGCCCACTAATTCCAACTTTCAACGTCTCAGGGCAGGCCCTGGGATCGGATACGAAGTCGCTCCATACATGTTGAACAAGATGCCAGGGTCGGTCGCCTTGTAGAGGCTCGTGCCAGGTACACCACTCGGCCGCGCCGAACCGCCACCAGACACCTGGAAGTTGATACACTGCGGGTACAACTGGGCGCCGTTGGGGTTCGACGCCCCGTGAAGAGCAATGATCTCGTGGCGGAGCACATAGTTGCCCGCGGCAATATCGCTGGGGATCGTGACTGACCAGCGGTTGCCGTTCCTCATGAGCTCGTCGGCGGCCCAGACACCGTTGTTCAGCCCCTTTTCGGCAATCTTAAAGAACTGCAGGCTCTGCTTGTTGACGTTGGTGCAGGATCCCGAGCCGCAGCTGGCGAGGTAGTCAATGACGGGCCCCTTGTGGGAGTCGGGCCACGTGTTCCACTGCAGGGTGACGGTCTGGCCCGCCTGGACGGGGATGGCACTTCGTCCTGGGGTGGCCGACCTGTGGCAGATGACATCGGGAGAGGAGGCGGCGTTGGGCTCGACGAAGCCTAGGTCCGTGTTGGAGGCTGTCCAGCCAGGGAGAGCGGGCGGGTTGGGCATGTAGGGATGGGTGCTGGGGTTGAAGTTCTGGTGAACAGTGCCACCGACGGTGATGGTTTCGACAAAGCCATGGGCAGAGACGCTGAGAGCGGCCGACACCAGGAGGAGGACCTTCATACTGAGAGTCTGGTGTGGTGGACTGTCTTGAGGCTTTCTGACTTGGTTGTTCCCTGACGATCTGGGGAAGAAATCTCATCTTCTTATACTCGTAATTTTGGCTGGTACCCATTGTAGGCAGTTAGAGGACTCGTGAGTCTAGAATCACTGTATAGTACTCGATATGCGGCAGCACTTACACCTGGGATGTAGTGTGATCGTAGAGCGTCACAATGCGAATAAGCAATGACCTCTTCGGGAAGTCGGACGGCGTGCCTCCGCACAATGAATGAGAAATCAAGAATGAACGGAGTCAAGTGACTCCAGGATGGCCGTTTCTGTATGCAAGATTGATTAAAGAATCAATAGTTTGCAGCATCATGCGTTCCACTGGAGACTGTCACCGAGACAGCTTATTGCTATCCACGCTGCCAAAGCACATCCATACCCCACGGCACCTCCAAAAGATATAAGCATAATATCAGAGTAAGCGTCACAAACATCAATAGGCAGCGGTGTGATTGGTTGTAGTGGCATGAGGCAACGATAGCATATGTATTGGCCCTCCGCGCATGCGGCTACCCAATATCGATGTGCCCTTCTTGCCTCTGAAGGCTCAGTTGGTTTCTTGGGCTTGTATATCATCATTGTGATGTGGAATCAGCGTGACTCAGATTGGACAGGCGATCTTCTGGGCAAGAAGCTGTCTCTGAGATGAGTTGCAATGTACTTCCCCCAGCCAGCCACACTTGGGAGCATTCCATCGCCTGAACACAGACGGCTATGCAGTGTTCCAAGGCAGAGTGAGTCTGGAACAACATAGACCCTGCACCCCGGAATTCATGACTCTTTCATCCTGTTGTGACTGGGCACTTGTCCATGGAAGTGGCCCTCGGCCAGCGGATGCTCCCCGATATTCACATTGCGCTGTTTGTGTTACCTTCCTTTCTGTCCATTTTGCGCGGGAGATGACCATGAGGCAGACGCTGAGGTCCTCGGACAATCAAAACAGAAGATCGTTGTCTACGTCCCCTGGCGAATCAAAGACCCGAAAGGGCATCGAGAACCAATCGAACGGCCATCAAGCGCTCTGCTGCCTTTTAGGTGATATTGTGTGTAAATTGAACGTTTGTGACGAGAAAAGCCATCTGACCATCGCTCTAGTACGTGTATCGGAATCTGGGGTTGTGCTCGCCTAACTCGTCAATCTCCTCCTCCGTCATACCCACCACCTTGTGGTCCTCCTCACCGTTCATCTTGCGCTGGTTCTGCCGGCGGAACCACCACCACATGAGAAGGTAGATGGACGCAGCAATGGCGATGAAGGCCATGGAGACGGCGTGGCCGGTGACGAAACGCGGGCCTTGGTCGTTGCGGTACAGCTAAAGCAACCGTTAGCAGGAGTTCGACTATGTGGCGAGTGGGAACATATAACTTACAAAGGGGGCAGGGATACCGGCAGCGTTGCCAATGGTCAGCTGAAGGCCAGTGGCCACGGTTCTCTTGCCGTAGCGAGGGTTGTTGCTGGGCAGCCAGGCCAGCGGGATGCCGACGATCACGTACAGACCAGCGGCGACGAGGAAGCAGCCGAAATACTTGACGTTTCCTCCCACGGGGCTGACCAGGATGGCATATCCCACGGCGCCCACGAGGCCAGATCCCACGGCAAACAAGGCTCGCCTCTGCGTCTTGTCAGAGAGATAAGCGACCACTAGGTAGCTGATGGCGCCAAGAGCATAGCAGGGGATCGTCAACGCCTGGACCTGCGCCCTGCTCCAGTCGCCGAGGCCGTTGATGATGGTGGGGAGGAAGGTGGAGTAGCCGTAGAGAATAATGTCGGCCCCGAACTGGCCAAAGCACATGAGCCAGATCTTCCAGTCCTTGAGTCCGGCGTACACATCCTCCTTGTGCATCAGGTCGGACGACTTTGTGTGGCCGACCTGGCGTCGCATGCGCAGGTCGATGAGCTCCTTCTCCTCCGTCGAGAGATACTTGGCCGAGTCGGGCGTGTCCGCCAGCCACCACAGGACAGAGATGCCCAGCATCGCCGTGGGCAGACCCTCGATGATGATGATCCAGCGCCAGCCGCGGAGACCAGCCACGCCATCCATGAAGCCGATGGCGTAGGCCAGCAGACCGCCCATGGAGCCGGCAATGGCCGCCGAGACGAACAGGTACCCGATCCGCAGAGCGAGCTCACGCTTGGTGTAGAACATGGTCAGGTAGATGGTCAGGCCAGGGAACAGACCACCCTCGAGGGCGCCCAAGACGAGGCGACAGGCGACCAAGCCCGCAAAGTTTTGCGTGATGCCCGTCAGCGTCGCCACCACGCCCCACGACGTCGTGATGAAGGCGATCCAGCGCGAGGGCGTGAATTTCTTGATGACCAAGTTGGACGGCAGCTCCGACAAAAGATACGTGACGAAAAGGACGGACACGGCGATCTGGTACTGGTCGCCTACAAGGCCGAGGTCCTCCTCCATGCCGTACAGGCGCGCGTTGCCAATGTTGACGCGGTCCAGGAAGCTGAGCAGGTAGAGCAGCATGACGGGCGGCACGATCCACAGGTCGAGCTTGCGGATGAGCTTGCGCTCGGCAACAGGGTCAATGGCGATGTCGTCGCGCAGGTCGGCCGGCGTGCTGCCATCAAGGTCCATGTCCTTCTTGGGCACAGCCATGGTGCTGTCCGTATCGACATTGGCGGAGTGGTCGACGGACATGGCGAAGTGCGTCTTGTCGATGTGGAAAAAAGGGAACTCTGGGACCAACAAATTCTAGAAGCCTAGAGCCGTAGAAGAAGCAGAAGAAAATAATGGAGAAGCACTAGTCTGCATGTGAGCGAGGGATGGACCGGTCGATGGTTGGGGGGGGGGTCGCGAGGGGACTTTAAGCAAATTCCACTCTCCATGACATCAAAGGCCAAAAGATGCCGCTATCTTCTCTTCTCACCAGTCAGTCAGTCAAAGTCTCTCATCCATGATCCATCCATCGACAAAACTACCCCAGGAAAGGTGGACCCGGCAGTCTGGGGCAAGATAACGCACTCAATGCGTAGACTAAACTAGGCCCCAGGCACCAGGGGAAGGGAGGCCGCATGGGATCTCCGAGACCACAAGATAGTGTGAGGTCAAGCTTCCAACGCCTCCAATTCCAAATGACCTTCAGATTACGGGAGACAGACGCCATCGGGCACGCAAATTGGCTGACTCGAGGCACTCGGCAGATTGCAAGTTGCCGGCCCCGCCCTCCTCGCTTGCCCTGCAGATTGACCGAGTGGAGAGGAAAGGGCCCGGCAATTGACTCGTGCGATAATAGCGCCAGATTGGCAGATAGTAAACCGGTGGTGGAACCCCGACGTTTGTGGCTGAACGGCTGAACGGCTGCAGGGGCATCATCGCCGGGTTTAACAGAAGCTGCCCTTTGTCCTTGTCGCGGAGCAGCAGGATGTGTCATGAGATGCGTCGGATGGTTTAGATGGAAGCCGAAATGGTTCTCCAGAAGCTGCGGACGCCAGTAACTCAAGATGATGGGCCCATTCGACAAGCGCGCTTGGTGAAAAAAACTGGGGTTTGTGTGGCAACCTTGTCAGTTCAGACTTGAAATGTATGTGCAATCCATTACCTAGCAATGGCCATCAATCTACATTTGGGAACAGGAACTGCTCTTCAATCTCGGACGCAAACTGCCTCAGCGTCCCGTCCTCGGCAAAGACGCCGTCCGGCCAGGGCACGTTGTTCTCGTCCAGAAAGCTCCCTATCAAGGGATTCCCCAGAATGTCCATGTTCCCATAGTCCACGCTCGGGTCCGTTACGATCGTGCACGTGGTCAGCGACGTCGACATCTCGTGCTTCCCATCTGTCTGTTGTGATTCCCTGGCACGTCTTTGGGTTCTTTCCGGATCAGACAGTGGCAGCGGCAGGGTGTCCGGGAAGACGAGCTGCTGCTGATCCATGTGGCCCATCTCACGAAGACTGGAGATGCGCGACTGCACCTGTGACAGCCTATCGCAAAAGTCCACGGCGGGAATATTACCATCGTTCTTCATCGTCCGGAGGATGCTGAGCAGGGTCTCGAGCGCCTCCGACGTGGCTGTCGTGGGCTTCATGACGGCCGACATGATGAGCACCAACGCGGCGGAGAAGATGTGGTGCGCATCCCAGTAGCCAAAGGTCGCAATGGAGCCATCTAGAAACAGACTCTCGACGATTCGACTCGAGGCCTGCGCGGCATTGACGCAGCTATCGGCAAGGGCCAGCGTGATGGCCGAAAAGGTCGGTTTTCGCGGCTGCGAGTCCACATGCAGTTGGTACTGCGTCTTGAAGAGATGCAACAGAACCGGCCGCGTCGTTTGGATGATGCACTGGTTGTATGCGAGATGCAGACTGGCGACTGGCCGGGGCGTCCCTCGTTCTTTGATCCGTATCTGCGGAGGGAGCTCGTCGTGCCATGCGCGAAGGCTCTTGAGAATCCCGTGGACTCGGTGTATACACAGTCCCTTTGGATTCGGATTTGGGTTAATGCCGTAGATGTCGGTGACTTTCAGAAATAAATGTCAGCACGGACACAACACCGCCCTTCAAGGTACTTACGGATGTTGCCTATGATCCTCGCCAACTTGATGTTCGTCACCAGCGGAGCTGGATCGAGAAACTCGGCCCTCTCCTCCTCGGTGAGGCCCTCCATACTGGGCTCCTCCACGTCAATGTCTTCATCCCGCAGCATGATCGGCTGCCCCAACTTGGACGCGGAGAAGCGGTCGAAGAAGTATAGCACCCACCACGTCCTCCGCCGACATTCCTTCTCGACAGGTGTCAGATGCGACCGGCTGCATGCGGCACGGTGCATGCCCATGGATAGAGCGAGGCGCATGGCTGTGCCGCTGTAGCAGTAGGCGGTTCGAACACGGCCGAATATGTTGGAGGCCCAGGCCTTGCATCACTGTCAGTAATCGAGGGCGGCGGCAAAAGAGCCATATTGACTCACAAGTAATGTCAGTACTTCCACCTGCATCAGTGTAGGCTCCTCGTGCGCTTCTTGCAAGATGCTGACGGCAAGCACGTAGTAGTCTGTCCCCGGCACGCGGTGACTATTGCCCACCCTTCGCCGGTTTGTATAGGTCTCGCCCAGCGACATGAGCGCGTAGAACTTGGCGAGCCACAGATAGGAAGGCACCAATTCGCGTCGATACACGGCGTCGAGCTCCCGCATGAAGCTGACCTCCAGGAAGAGCGGATGGTAGTTGCCAATGAATCGCCTTGCCACATTCAGGAGCAGCTTGGCATGCATCCGCTCTGGGAAGTCGTCGTAACTCAGGTCGACCCTGGGGGGCGATAGTACACGAAGGTAATTCGAGAAGCTGGCTGTCGAGGGCGTGTAGTTGTCGTCCAGGCATTGCAGTAAGCGGTTGCTGAACGCGGTACACGACGCTTCGCCTATAAAGCCTGGTTCGGAAGAGGGTTCGCTGATAATGTTGTCAGGCTGGCCATCGAACAAGGGGTTCAGCATGTTGCTCTCCTCCGTGGACAGCGCTGGCGCATCCTGGTCGTCAGCAGCAGCGCCATTGTTGCTGGGCGTGTGGACTTGTGACTCTGGCGTTGGGTTCTGGAGGTTGAGAGCCTGCAACCGCCTGCTATCGGCCTCTAGTTTGCGCAAGTAACTTGCGGTGTCAGCCTTGTCCTCAGTCTGGATCTGCAGCAGAAAGACTGCGTGTAGGAGCCTCTCACCTTTCGGAAATAGTGACCTTGCGCTCTCGTGAAGGAAACTGGCAGACATTGGCCCTATCGCTGGAGACGCAGGCCTGGCACGGATGATCACCCGAGCATCTGATTTTCTGGGTATGACACCGATTGCAACTAGACATGATCAAAGCCTCGATCAGTTTCTGGTACCTTTACACACACAAAGGCGCTGTACGTACGCTGCGAATAATCTTCGGGGTCGTCTTTGGGTACTCATGATACCATGTAGGTGATGATGGAGTCGTGGTGACAACGGTGGTTTGGTTTGAGGCAGGTTTGTGGGGATCGACACCAACGAGCAGACCGAGCTCCAGTCTGTTTTCTGGGGTCCCTTCGATGTGATATCCACTGCCACGTTCAGTATGCCTGCTTTGATCGGTTGCTTGAGACCTTTGCCGCCCGTCGGGCCATCGATATCGTCGCCAGGCTCTCTGGCAGGCAGCCTACGTGTATCAAGGCATGCGGGCAGGTCGAGCTAGGGATGGCGCATGCATGCGAGCTGCTGTACGAGGACGGGGGTCTTGGATGTCCTCCACGTTAGCGTGGAAGATGATCATGTATTGGTTGGAGTCGGTCACCTGAGCTGGTGAGGTAATTCAAGATCGCCCCGAGTCGGATGCCATCCAGGCTACCCTAGACCCCCCTCATCCTTGGTCAACGACAGCCGAAACATCGAAGGACCCCAGACTCCAGTTATCTCGCATTCTCCACCACCCAACTACACACACCGCGCCAAGTTGACCGGCAACTTTCAAATTGCCGGTTGGATCCTTTACACCCGCCCAGGAGCACGCGATATCGCGGCCTCGTTCGCTCCACACAACAAGCAGCTCGTGACAAGGACGTGTCACACACCAGCAGTTGAACGCCTGGGAAACGCCGCTGCAAGGAAACGCCTCATGCGCGACAACATGATCGGTAATCCTATCCCAGATGGCGAAAGATGGGCCCGGCGACTTCGGGGGCGTCCATGCTATAACATGGGTCGAGCCGCGCGACGCTGGTGATGGAGACACGTCTTAAGCTTCACGCATTCTTCCCATACTCCCCTTGTCTTTCATCAATCACCTCTATCTCGAGGCCGACATCTACAGAGCTGGCTCCCCTCCTCACTCTTTTTCTCATCGCCCTCTAGACCTATCTTTCGCATCCAAGAGGCCCGCAATGGCTACCGGTATCCGCATCGCCATTGACCGCGGTGGCACGTTTACAGACGCCTGGGCTTCTGTACCTGGGCGGAAGGAGCATATTGTCTTCAAGACTCTATCAGTCTCACCAGACGAGTACCCCGATGCTCCGACAGAATGCATCCGCCAGATCCTGGAAACAGCCACAGGGAAGCCTGTCCCCCGGGGCTCTCTTCTAGACCTGTCACCCATCGAGAGCATACGCATGGGGACCACAGTCGCCACAAACGCTTTGCTTGAGCGCAAAGGCGAGCGCGTCGCCTTTCTTACAACAAAAGGATTCAGGGACACGCTCTTCATCGGCAACCAGACACGGCCAGATCTTTTCGATCTCTCAGTGAGGCGGTTGAAACAGCTGTACGAGACAGTCGTCGAGGTCGACGAGCGTGTCACCATTGAGGGCTTCAGCGAGAACCCGGAGCCCCAGTCCATCGACGTTTCATCAGATCCCAATCTCATCACGGGCCAAACAGGCGAGGTGGTCCGCATCATCAAGAAGCCCGATCTCGAGGTGGTCCGGAAGGATCTCGAGAACCTCAAGGAGCGGGGCTTCGAAAATTTGGCCATTGGCTTCATGCACTCATATACCTTTCCTGAACATGAGATTCAGGTTACAAAATTGGCGGAGGATATGGGTTTCAAGGTCTCGGCCTCGTCTGTGCTCCAGTCCATGGCCAAATTTGTCCCGCGCAGTCAGTCTGCCGTCGCCGACGCATATCTCACGCCCATGACCCACACATATCTCGAGAGCTTCCGGGAAGGCTTCAAGGGGCATTTGGAGGATGAGAGCGCCAATAAGCTGCTCATCTGCCAGAGTGACGGCGGCCTGACCAGCTGGACCAAGTTCACTGGCCTGAGAGGTGTTCTGAGCGGCCCTGCTGGCGGCGTCGTGGGTCTGGCGAGGACTTGCTATGACGAGAAGGATGGGACACCTGTTCTCGGCTTCGACATGGGTGGCACAAGCACAGACGTGGCTCGTTACTCTGGCGCGCTCGAGCACATCTTTGAGAACACCATTGCTGAAGTGACCATCCAGACGCCCCAGCTCGACATCAACACGGTTGCCGCTGGTGGTGGCTCGATCCTGGCGTGGGAGAATGGGCTTCTCAAAGTTGGCCCAGGCAGCGCTGGCGCGAACCCGGGGCCGGCATGCTATGGCCGCGGCGGTCCCCTGACCGTCACGGACGCCAACTTCCTCCTGGGCAGAATCGTCCCAGACTTCTTCCCGCGGAGGCTGGATCTGTATGTCGTGCGTACCAAGTTTGCGGAGCTGTGTCGGCGGGTGAACAAGGACAAGGAGGCCGGTGCCGAGGACTTTACGCCCGAGACACTGGCTCTGGGCTTCCTGTCCATCGCCAACGCGACCATGACGAGGCCCATTCGTACACTGAGCGAAGGCCGTGGGTACGGTGCCGCAAGTCACAACTTGGGTTGCTTCGGTGGGGCGGGTGGTCAACATGCTGTCTTCATCGCCAGAGATCTGGGCATCAAGAAGGCCATTGTGCCACGGTACTCGAGTATCCTGTCGGCATACGGCATGGCGTTGGCCGACGTTGTTGTCGAGAACCAGGAGCCTGTTTCGCTCACCTTTTCAAAGGACACCTTGCCTGAGCTGAGCACGCGCCTTGACTCCCTGTCCGGCAAAGGTGTACAAGGCCTCCAGCAGCAGGGCTTCGATGGCGACTCGATAGAGCATGAGTGCTTCCTCAACATGCGGTATCAGGGGAGCGACACGTCCCTCATGATCCCCAAACCCGCCAACATGTCCGAGTACGGTGACGCCTTCACGGCACGTCATGCTCAGGAGTTTGGGTTTTCGCAATCACGCGATATCCTCATTGACGACATTCGCGTCAGGAGTGTGGGCAAGTCGCGGGTTCTGGACATCTCAAGCCCATTTGAGGAGTTGAAGAAGTACCAAGAGAACGCGCAGCCTCAGACCCCGGAGCCCATCTTCAAGAGAGAGATATTCTACGAAAAGTCTGGCTGGAACAAGACCAATGTCTACCAGCTCAACACTCTGACCCCTGGTGTCCAGATCACTGGCCCGGCCATGATTATCGACAAGACGCAAACCATTGTTCTTGACGCTGCCAGCAAGGCCATCATTCTTCCGGAGCACGTCATCCTCGAGGTCAGCAAGCATGAGGCGCAAGTCGTCGACACGGAGGCGGTCGATCCCGTCCAGCTCAGCGTCTTTGGCCACCGCTTCATGACGGTGGCAGAGCAGTGCGGACACGTCCTCCAGCAGACGTCCATATCCGTCAACATCAAGGAGCGCCTCGATTTCTCATGCGCCATCTTCTCGGCCGACGGCGGTCTTGTCGCTAACGCGCCGCATATTCCCTCCCATCTCGGGTCCATGAGCACAGCCATTGCCTACCAGGCCCAGCGCTATAAGTCAGGCGAGCTCAAGCCGGGCGATGTGATCATCAGCAACCACCCGCAAGCCGGAGGAACGCATCTGCCGGACATCACCACCATCACCCCCGTTTTTGACAGCGAGGAGGATCCAAAGGAGATCATTTTCTTCGTAGCAAACCGCGGGCATCACGCTGATGTCGGTGGCATCGCCCCGGGATCCATGCCTCCCAACTCTACCGAACTGTGGCAGGAGGGCGCTGCCATCGAGTCCTTCAAGATGATCAAGGAGGGTGCCTTTGACGAGGAGGGCCTCTATGAGCACATGTACACCAAGCCTGCCTCATTCCCGGGATGCAGCGGTACGCGCACGTGGAACGACAACCTCGCGGATCTCAAGGCGGCCGTTGCGTCCAACAAGAAGGGCATTGAGCTTATCCGATCCCTGATCAACGAGTTCACCTGGCCGGTGGTGCAGTTCTATATGAAGGCGATCCAGGAGAATGCTGCGCAGGCCGTGCGCGACCTGCTCAAGGGCTTTGCTGCCAAGTACGAGGGTGGTGTCCTAGAGAGCACCGAGTACAACGACGATGGCATCGTGTTCAAGCTCAAGGTGACGATTGACAAGGACTCTGGCGAGGCCGTCTTTGATTTCACCGGGACAGGAGCCGAGCACAGCGGCAACCTAAACGCGCCCCCGACGTGCTCATACTCTGTCATCATGTACTGCCTGCGATCCATGATCTCCGCCGACATTCCCCTGAATCAGGGCTGCCTCAAACCCATCAGGGTCGTCTGCCCCGAGAACACGATCCTATCGCCCTCGCCTACCGCTGCTACCGTTGGCTGCACGACCGAGACGTCGCAGAAACTAGCCGATCTTATCTTCCGCGCGTTTAACGCTGCCGCTGCCTCCCAGGGCACGATGAACAATCTGACTTTTGGCTGCGGCGGGACGGACCCCGTCACGGGCGAGGTCAAGAAGGGCTTTGGGTACTACGAGACGATTGCCGGCGGCGCTGGCGCTGGTCCAGGCTGGCACGGGGCCAGCGGTGTTCACACGCACCTGACGAACACGCGCATCACCGACCCCGAGATCTTCGAGAAGCGATACCCCGTGCTGCTGCACGAGTTCTCGATACGTAAGGGCAGCGGCGGCCGGGGTGAGTTCAACGGCGGCGATGGCTGCGTGCGCGAGATTGAGTTCCGCATGCCCCTTCAGGTGTCCGTGCTGACGGACCGTCGCGTCACCGCGCCATATGGCCTAGAGGGCGGGCAGGATGGCGCGCGGGGCGTGAACCTGTGGGTAAGGAAGGATCCCGTCTCGGGACTGAGCAGACAGACGAGCCTTGGGCCGAGGAAGACGACGCACTTTGCGGCTGGGGACCGCATCATAATCTTGACGCCTGGGGGTGGTGGCTGGGGCGACGAGAAGAAGAGGAAGACGGACACGGCTGCGGAAGGGGGCATCAAGGGGGCTATCAAGTCGTTGATGACGAATGGGTCGCTGGCATTGAGGAATAGCATCGCAGCTGGGAACTAGGGTTGTCAAATCTGTACTATGAGTGAATAATGTGTTTATGAGTAACGGCTATGGTTCACGCGCATGGCAACAGTACGACAAGTGAGGCGTGGGCGGTGTTTGTGAGGATCTGATACTGTAGACTACGGCAATTGACGAGAAGCTTCCTCACGCTTCGACTTGTTACGAAGAAATGCCCAATAAAACAGGCCAAGTCCCTCTTCTCCGCATGTGTCTTGGAGGGCGCAAAGTGGGGAGCGCGGATGACGGGCACTTTTGGTGGAGGAAGTCGATTTCATTTCATTCATGTGTGGTGGTGTCGACTAAGGAAAGCAAGCTCATGCAAGATCTCTCTCCCTACAAACATCTAGCCACGCAGACATCATGGTGAGAACCACATTGTCTTCACGTCTCTCCACGCGCTGACACGAAGCCATCACAGGATTCCAAGACGGACGCATTGTACATGCAGGACAATGACGCCGTCTCTGCCAACGCTACCGTCCTTGCCTGCTTCCCTTTGCACGAGTTGGAAGAGGATCTGAAACCTCTCTTCAAGGGCGCGCCCGATGCGTCGTTCGTCGTGGTCACAGACCGTACGGCGTTCTACGCCCAGGGTGGCGGCCAGCCCGCAGACGCTGGACAGATGCAGATGACCTCGTCTTCCCCCGACAAGACGGCTATCTTCACGGTTCACGGTGTCCGCAAAGCCCCAAGCGGTGCCATCCTGCACGTGGGCACATTTGAGGACGGGCCATTCACCAAGGAAGACGCCGTGGACCAGACAGTCGACGCAGCGACGCGTGATTTGCACTCACGCATCCACGACGCAGGCCACATCATCGGGCTCGCGGTGCACGCGCTTGTCGACAAGATCGGCCCGGTGGAGGACACGAAGGCGCAGCACTTTCCGGCCGTGTCCTACGTCGAGTTCAAGGGCACGATTGACGGCGCGCACAAGGCGGCCATTGAGGCGCAGGCCAACGAGATTGTGGACCGGGACCTGCCCATCCAGGTCAAGTGGTGGACCCTGGAGGAGTCGAGGGCGCGCTGCTGGTGTATACCGGAGGAGCTCGTCCTCGAAGAGGGTGAGAAGGCGAGGGCCGTGGACGTCCCTGGCCTGGGAGCGTATCTGTGCGGCGGCACGCACATGAAGACCACGGGAGGTGTGGGCAAGATAGAAGTGAAGAAGATTAGCAGATCCAAGGGTTCGAGCAAGATCTCCTATGCGATGAAGGCGTGAGGGGCGCCGTTTACATAAGAATAGAATCATCATAACGGCCGTCGCTCATACATTCATATCTAAATCAAGTCGTCTAGTCATTTCATAGCATCATCAATCACTTGCGGAACCCGTGTCGCTGCAGCCAGTTCTGCTTGTGCTCCTCCTCCCACCGCCGCTCGGCCCTCTTGAGGGTGGCGGCCGCATCCCAGTGGCCCCTTTTCTGCGCCACGTCTCGCGCCGTCTCGCCCTCGCGGTCGACGACGGTGGGATCCGCCCCAAAGTCCCTGAGCACGCGGATGGCCTCGCGCCTCTCCTCGTCGCCGTCCTCGGCCTTGCTCGCCGCGTAGTGCAGCGGTGTGCGGCCCTTGGCCGTCTGCGCGTTGGGGTCCGCCTTGCCGCGCTCGAGTAGCATCTCGACGGTGGGCGCGGTGGCGGACCGGGCGGCGAGGTGGAGGGCGGTGCGACCACCGTCGGACTGGGCGTGGATATCGGCACCGCGGTCGAGGAGGAGCATGGCAACGGCGAGATTGTCGCGCTCTGCGGCTAGGTGGAGGGGCGTGAGGCCACGAAGGTCGCAGCAGGCGTGGGAGACGTGACGGAGGGCCTCCTTGGCCTCTTCGACGTGCCCATCCCACGCTGCGTCGAGGAGCTTGTCCTGTGCTTCTTGCTCGCCTATTGCCGCGCTGTTGCGGCGGGGCTGCTCCTGGGGAGGGCCCTGCGAGGAGGATGGCGGCGAGCCAAGAATCTCTTCTTCGTCGGCCACGGCGGACGGTGAGCGTGGAGGAGGTGAGTGCGGTTCGAGGTCGAGTTTTACACTAGGTTCGGAATTTGTCCCACTAGGCTCAACAATGGTGGGAATGCTGGCTCTTGTAGGACCAGTCGTCGCAGGCATAGCTGAGGATGGCCCGGGGTCGGCTGTCTTGGCCTTATCACCCTTCTCCGCAGCAGTGTCCTGACGTGGCTGCTCCTCGGCTAGCTGAGGCTTCGCCTTGTCATTCGTGTGCGTTTCTTCAAATTTCTCAGCCTCCTTCCTGGTGACAGGCGCTGGAGGTTGCACGACGCCGGATCCAGGGGGTGCCGGCTTCATCAGGGCGCGACTGGCTTCTGTTAGCAACGTACGAGACCCAGATTCCTGCGAGCGGGCGGCAGACTCACGAGTAAATATTCACCATCAAGGTCGAGAGCTTGGTGAGCTCCTTCTGGAGATCCTCATCAGCCTTCTCGACCTGGTCTTTAAACTCTTCCTTGTATCGGTACGACCTCCAGAAATCCTGCATCCCGTTCACTACGTTCCCGTGATCTGCGCCCTTCTTGCTAATCTCCGAGAGTAGCTTTGTCATCTTGCCGAGGGCCTTGTCGGTCTCGCCCACGGCCTCCTCGATCTGCTCCTTGAGCTTCTCGCCCTTGTCCCCCTCCACAAGGTCCGGGCGCGCCTTGAGCGTCTCTTGGACCTGGGTGATGGTGTCACGCGCCGTCGAGGCCTTGGCCGACAGCTCATCGATTTCCTCGGGCGTCTCGGACATGTCGTTGAGCCACTTGATCCAGTCCTTGGCGGTATCCGCATGCTTGGTGACCGCTTTCAATCCTGCATAGGTCATGAACGCGTTGGGCATCTGGTTCAGGAAGCTGCCACCGCCCGAGCCGCTCCCTGACGGCGAGGGAGAGGACGCGCTGGCGGCTGCGGCATCTGGTTGCGCTGGCGCCGATGTGTCCTGCGTCTGTGCTGCTGGTGTGGCCGCGTCGCTCGATGGCGCTCGACCGGGACGGTCCGTGTCCTTGTACCGGTCAGGCTTGTACTTGTCTGGCGTCGATGATCTTCTTCGTTGATCGTCTTCGCCGTCTCTGTTCAAGGCCCATCGGGCAGCGCCACTTCTCTGCCTCGGAGGAGAGGGGTACCTCGCGCTCGAGGGTCTCTCGCGACCTCTGCGATCATCATGGTCGCCCAGATAGTCCCTCGGTTGACGACGCGGTTCACGATCGAGACTGCTGGACGAGTCGCGACGTCGGCGGTGGCGACCATTCTGGGACTCGCGCCGGCGCTCTGGGCTGCGAGAGTATCGTCGGCGCTCGGGGCTTCGATGGCGGCGACTCGAGGGCGGGTACCGCGACGAGGAAGACTCTGGTCGTCTGTCGGGATCGTGGGAGCGAGAGCGACGGACTGGTGAGTGAGCGCTTGTAGGGCGCGTGGATCGTGGTGGCCTGGCACGCGGGGCTGGCGACTTGACGCGGGTGGACAAGCTCTTGATGGGTAGCTTGGGGACCATTGTAGAGTGGTGAGGAGGCTTCGATGAAGTGAATAGCAGCGACTCGAGCAAGAAGTCGGGTCAGGGAACTTGAAGAGTGAGCATGAAGTGAGGGTCCCCACGATGTCGGCAGGGAGCGTGTAGCGAAGCGGTCTGTTGTCTGCCTGTCGGTTGTCCGTCTGATTGCCCGTCAATCTGCCTCCAATGGGTGTCGCATGATGGCCATGACGCACTCGCGTGGATCTCACGGCTGACTGCAGCACGGGGCTGGACGCCCTCCACCACGATCAAATCATCCCTCCACCTCGCTGGCTGCGGGCACATGCAGGCGACATGCAGGGCTGGTACAGATACTCCGTACATCATACGTACATGCAGGCGACCTCCCACGAATGACGCAGGTGGCGTGATGATGGAGGACACTGATCAGTGAATACTATCGTGAATGCCAGCGGTCTGATTTCGAAAATCTCAACTTGGTTGGTGACGGGAGAGTGAGACTGGACGTGTCACGTGGCCGGCCAGCCAGGCAACCATCGCGGCGCGGCCCGAGATAGATAGACAGACAGACACTGTGACACCTCCATCATCCCTGACTCAGATCATAGATGCATCTCGATTCTCCGGTTCACATCCGCCAACGCACGTCCATTCCAAGCAGCCGGGCTGTGATATCTGCTGGCTCAAACCACGCTGTCCGTCGGCACTTTGTCTCGCAACATCCGCAACCTGGAAGCTCGATCAGCCATGTCTCAACCAGCAGCTCCTCGCAGGCACAGCTGCTCGCCTCTTCCAAATCGAAGTCGATGCGCGACTGAGACTGAACCTTCAACCACTTATCTTGGTTAGAAACGTCACAATGGCACAGATACAGTATCATAGCACCACTCGTTACCCTACGATCGATCTCTCGCTCCTGTCTCGAATCTCTTTATTGTTCAGTGTTGGCTATTGGCTATACTTGGACGCAACCATCTTCCCTGATCTGATATACCGCCCCCCACAACCAGACCACCCAGTTCGACGCTCCTCACTGAGCTCAGCATACGTTCTCGAGTACTCCCCACCTGCTGTCACACTCAAACACTGGCGCTAGGCGTGGAAGAAGGCGCACCAGTCTCCGCAGCCGTGCCGTCGGTCCCCGATGCGCCGGGCCCAGCCTCGCCAGCAGATGTAGCCTCGGCGGATGAAGCAGACGGCGAGGACGCAGCGACAGCCAGACGAACGGCAGCGGCCCCCCCCCCCAGCCGCGGGGGGATCCGGCGCGTTGACGCACCTCGCTCCGTCGTTGCTGCCCGAGGGGGGCCCGTCGGTGACAAACTCGGGCGCCCCGCCGCCCACCACGGGGAAGCGCCAGATCTCGCCACTGTTGTTCTCCGAGGCGTAGAGGAAGCCGTTCCCGGCCGAGTACACGGCGCCCCAGATGTCAGTGCCGCCGTTGCCCGTCACACTGCCATAGTCCTGCACGATCTCCCACATGTGGGTGATGGTGCTCCACCGCCCCAAGGCGGTACTGGCATCGGTGGCGTCGTAGAGAAGGCCATAGATGTAATCGCCGCCGCCGGGGACAAAGGCCCAGTCGGCGACTGCGTAGGGGGCCGGGAGTTGAGTCGTGCCCTGACCAGGACGGTGCCAAAGGTGGGCGAGTTTTGGTCCGTATCGATCTCGGCCCACTGTGTTGGCGCTTCATTGCTGGTTGAGATCCAGAGATGGCCCTGCGCATCCACATCGCCAATGTTCCAGAAGCCAACGAGGCTGAGTGGGTAGACGGTCGAGTCGCCGTTGGAGGCGATGCGGATGAGGTCCGCCCCGTTGGCCGATTGACCCCCAGCAGGAAGCAGCATGCCCTAGATGTAGTTGTCCAAGGTGCTATAGCCAATGGCGTTGATGTTCGTCCCGGGACCGACGTTGCCGTTGACCAGGGGGTTATCTCCGGTCGTGAGGTCGAGGCGGTACAATGCCTGGCTCTGGATCAGGTAGCCACCCGCATCGCAGTTGAACGGGGGGGGGGAGCCGGTGTCTCCACGATCACGGTGCCGGGGACCGTGCCAGATGCTGGGACGGTTGAGGTAACCGTGCCTGTGATGGTAGGGTTGCCGGACGTCACCGTCACTGTCCCGGGGTCGACAGGTGTTTGGACAATCACGGTGCCGGGGGTGGTGCCAACCGCTGGGACCGTGACCGTCGTCGTACCCGTTAGAGTGGGATTGCCGGTCGTCACCGTCACTGTCCCGGGATCGATGGGCGTTTGGATGATCACAGTGCCAGGCGTGGTGCCAATCGCCGGGACTGTGATCGTCGTCGTGCCCGTGAGGGTGCGATTACCGGTTGTGACTGTGATGGTTCCCGGGTCGAAGGGCGGCATGACAGTGGGGACAGGCGTTTCGACAATGACAGTGCCAGGGGCGGTGCCAATCGCCGGGATCTTGATCGTCGTCGTGCCCGTGAGGGTGGGATTGCCGGTTGTGACCGTCACTGTCCCAGGGCTGATGGGCGTCTGGACAATCACAGTGCCAGTGGTAGTGCCAACCGCCGGGATGGTGACTGTGGTTGAGGCCGTGAGGGTGGGGTTGCCAGTCGTCAGCGTGACTGTACCCGGATCCCTAGGCTCGAGGGTCTGGATGAGCACAGTCCCAGGGTCAGTGCCGGTAGGGGGGATGATCTCCGTCACCGGCTCGGTGATGGTGGGATTTCCCGTCGTGACGGTCAACGAAGATCGGGGGGATCGTCTCGGGGGCGGGATCCGGCGTCTCCACGATCACGGTGCCGGGAACAGTTCCAGAGGCAGGGATAGTGAAGGTTGTCGGCCCCGTGATGGTGGAGTCTCCCGTCGTGAAGGTCACGGTCCCGGGGTCCTCGTTCTCGGGCGTCTGGATGATCACAGTCCCAGGGACGGTGCCACTGGCCGGGATGGTCGTGGTCTGGGTTCCCGTGATGTTCGGGACACCCGTCGTGATCGTGGTGGTGCGAACGACCGGGGTCTCAACCACGACAGTTCCAGGCTGTGTTCCCGAAGGGGGGGTGGTATAGGTGGCGGGGGCGGTGATGTCGGGGTTCCCAATCGTCGTGGTGACATAGTTCTGGCCTGTAGGGGTGGCCGGGACGACGGTCAAATACGTGTAGCAGACCTCGGTCGCGCCAACGTCGTATTCAAGGAGATACTTGTCGCAAAAGGAGCTGGCAGACGCTTGGCCTGCCGCCAGGAGGGCGACGAGGCGCTGGGGACGCCGCATGATGCAAGTGTCGAAGTGGGCGGACTGCGAAGGATGGACCGAGTAGCGGTGGTCGGATAAGTTGCTGCTGCCTGATGAGGCGGTTAGTTGGTTGCTTGGTGTGATGAAGAACAGGGGCAACGTCCTGTGTTTATATAGAACAAGAACGCATCTCTTACACGACCTACTCTACTCCTTGCTCATCTCACATAGATGAGCGCCAGCACGCGATAGTAGCATCCCACAGCGAGAGCCACCAGACCTTGGCGAGGGCAGGTTGGGACAAGAGATTCCTCAAGCTGTTGCGGCATCTTGGGGCTTGGGATGCCAAACAACATGGACACAATTACTACACGTACACATCGTCAACATGGGCCTCTGGAGACATATGGAGGGAGCCCCGATTATGTGAACAAGCAGCCATGCTTTGCTATGGGTCTTGAATCTTCGCGGCATGGTCCCGTCTCCAAGCTATCCAGATGTCTAATTGCCTCCGCTTGGCGACACTCCATGTGCGTGCTTCCTGGCGCTCTGCCTCGCGTGGGACGCGCATCGTTCTCCGGATGGGCTTGTGTTGTCGAGGGCCAAGCGTATGGCGACGCGTCGACCGAGTTCCAGATTGTAGCTGTTCAATTCAGTCATCATCAGGGTGGTAGGGACGAACGCAGGAAGTACGCCAAGCTCACATGTGTCACTCCAACCTCGACGGCGCGATGAGCTAGCTGAGGCCCCATGAGACAAATCCCCCTGGCTTAGATCATGAAGAATCATTCCTATCCAGGGCTCATGGCGTTCATCCTGAATTCGATTTCAATGGACGCGGTTTGCCATGGATCACAACAAGGACGCAGAAGAGCTTGGCAGATGCCAGACCAGGGCAGTCGAGTGACAGAGGCAAGCAGCCTTGGGGGGTTGGAACTTGGAAGGTCCCTCGTGCCCAGGGAATGAAGCCTCGTGTCAACACCACAAGGTATATAGATGCTCTATGTCCAGTTTTCTTCATACTGATGGCCAACGTGCTCCCAACGCCCAGCAGAACTTCCCTCGCCCCATCACAGAAAAGAGCCTCTCGCCACACTACGACATCCACCATAATGAGATACCTCGCCCTCCACGCCGCCGCCGCAAGCCTCTCGTGTGCCCTCTTGGTCACCGCGCAGGAAATGTCCTACACAACATCCATCGTGACAGCCTGCTTCGACAAGGACGCGGGCATGCCCACGCCTGGCCCAGGAGGCCCTGTCCCCGGCCGTGATTGTCTCATCGACGTCCCTGGCTGCGGCGAGTGCGACTGCAACTCGTGCGCGCACACGGCCACCTACACGACACAATATCCTGCCTTCTGCTCCACTGGCCTCGCCGACGTTGTCTACACCGTCACGGAGATCCGCTCGGGCATGAAGGAGGCCCCACGCGTCACTGACCGCCCCGGCGTCCCAGAGGGCTTCACCACCGCCGTCGAGACGTGCACCGTCGGCGGCGACGAGCCGCTCACCAAGACAATGACCTATCCCATCGACGGGGCACCCTACGTCCCCGTCGAGACGGTCCTGGCGGAACACCTCGATGTGTCCACGGGGCGGAACCCCGCGGAAACGGGCACTGCGGCGGCAGATGGCAAGCAGGGGGGCGATTCAGGGATCCTCGTGGGCGCTGCCCCGGTACGCATCATCCGAGACATTCTTCTGGCCGCCTTTGGCCTCGTCTTTGCTCTGTAGGCGAGCCATTGACCCCTTGATCCATACTCGTAAGAAAGGTGAATGGCAATCTTGGAATGGTAGTGGGTAGGCATCATATGGGGCGGTTTACCTAGTCACTAGCACCAAGTAGCTGAGGGATAGATATCAGTACTTCAAAAAACCCACAATGTTGCTGATACCTTTGTCCACGTTGTCAGATAACCCCATCCATCAATAGCCAATGGCAGACAGCTTGAGCGCGCCAAAGGGACTATTAGTTGGTACAGGTGTCGTAGGGAGCAGCGGGTGGGAGGTTGAGTTTCCTCTCGACATGTGGTGATATTTTGTCTTAAACAAGGTGCTTATTGTCTCTCCCTCCGCGAGTCGATTCCCGCCCCGCTGGTATCCGCTTCCGCTGCTGAAATTAAGTCAGGGTTCCAGCTACCCCAAGGGGCTAACGGCTAAGCGAGGTATGAGCCATGGCTCCGAGACATGTTGCCGCAACGTAGCTAGTTCGCAAGCCTGAGCGTAATTACGCATGTGACACCAGATCAGGTCGGAGACTCGGAATGCCGAAGCTATTAGTCGGGACAGCGTTGGAAATTCGTCCTGTCAGACGGAATGAATGAATGAACTGAATGTCTGTTGCAGCTACAACGAGTCTAACCCCAAGTTAGATCCCCGACCACCAGTACGACTCGGCCACTGTGAAGCTGCCCCTGACGGCGGCATCTGTGACCTTGCTGCTGTCACTGACAATCACCTCGTACTCGCCCTTCTCCACACACCACTGATCGCGTTCCTCGTCCCAGTATGCGGCAACGTATTTCTCCGGTTCGGAAATTTCAACCTGTCTCGTCTCGCCCGCCTCAAGTTCCACCTTGGCGAAGCCACGCAGCTCCTTGACCGGTCGGTTGATCCTGGCCTTTTGCTTGGGGGCAACGTACAGCTGCGCCACCTGCGCGCCCTTGACGGACCCTGTGTTGGTCACGGACACGGTCGCGACGACCTTGCCATCCTTCACGGCCACACTGAAATCAGAGAAGGAGAAGTTTGTGTAGGAGAGACCATGCCCAAAGGGGAAGTTCACCTCCCTGTCGGCAAACTCATAGTAGCGGTACCCGACGTACACGTCCTCGCCGTACAGCGTGCGGCCCGCCTCCGTCTTGAAGTTGAGGAAGCTGGGCACGTCCTGCAGCCTCTTGGGGAAGCTCAGCGACAGCTTGCCGGATGGGTTGTAGTCGCCAAACAAGACGTCCGCGATGCAGTTGCCCGTCTCGTTTCCGCCGTACCACGCCTGGAGCACGGCGGGGGCCGACTCCAGCCATGGCATCTCCTCGGGTGTGCCCGTCTGCATCACCACGGCCGTGTTCTTGTTCGCCGCCGTGACCTCGGCGATGAGCTGGTCCAGCACGCCCGGCAGCTTCATGCTGGCCCGGTCGGCGCCTTCTGTCTCCCAGTCCGCGTTGAGACCCGCACAGATGATGACCTGATCGTGCTCCTTGGCGAGGGCAACGCTCTTGGCCACCTCGGCCTGGTCGTCAATGACCTTGGCGCCGCCCACGCGTAGGGAGCCGTGGCCAGGGGCAAAGGTGTCCGTCCCCAATGTGAAGGTGGGCGCGGAGCCGAACTCGACACGGACATTGTAGACCTGCCCCTTCTTGAGGTCAATCGTCCCACGCTCCTCGCGCGTGGCGGCGCCGAAGAACGCGTCGCCCGCAACTTGCTTGGTGGCATTGTCCACCACCAGCTTATCGTCGACAAAGATCTTGGCGGTACCGCAGACGACCACGCCAAACTCGTAGGTCTGGTCCTCCTCGGGGGTGAGCGTCCCCTCGAGGTCGGCGTACCAGGTGTCCGCGAGCTTGGTGTTGTAGTAATCGACCAAGTGCATTTCTGTCTTGGTGAAGGCCAGCTCGTCAATGAGCTCGCCCCGCTCGGCCGCGTCGCGAGGCTTGTTGTAGACCTTCCAGGACATGCCCGGCTTTCCGTCAGGGCGGGTCAGCTGCGTCCCCAGGATGGGCAGGAAACGGTGTGTGTAGGCGCCGACCGTGTACGGCGCTGGCGAGCCCAGCTTCTCGCTGATGCCGTCGTACGGGGTGACAGCGTAGTAGGCGGACAGGGCAGCGGAGCCACCACCGTGGTACGTTGCGACCTTGGCGTTGGGGCCGATCACCAGCGTCTTCTTGTCCTTCTTCAGGGGCAAGACGTTGTTGTCATTCTTGAGGAGAACGATGCTCTCGTTGCCAATCCTGCGGAGCAGCGCCGCCGTCTCTGGAATATCCCGGCCGCCTTCGGAGCCGTTCTCCTTCACGTTCGCAGCAGCACACTTCTTGACGAATTTGAGAACCTCTCTCGCTCTGGCGTCGATGACATGCTGGAATGGCTTGCCAGTCGTCACGTTGAACTTGAGCGCCTCGCCTCTGAACTTGGGCGGTCCAGGCATTTCCAGGTCCAGGCCCGCCTTGACGGCATCGGTGGTGCTATATGTGCCGAACCAGTCGCTCATGATCATGCCGTCCCAGCCCCATTCCTTGCGGAGCATCTCGTCCAGGTACTTGGGGTTCTCGCTGCAAAAGACCCCGTTGATGCCGTTGTAGGCCGTCATGAAGCCGCCAGGCTGAGCGTCGCGGACCGCCAGTTGGAACGGGAGGGCATAGATTTCTCGCAGCGCACGCTCCGTGACGATGCTGTGCACTCCCATCCGCTTGTCCTCCTGGTCGTTGCACAGAAAGTGCTTGATGGTGGCCTGGACTCCCGTGCTTTGGATGCCCCTGACCAGGGCCGCAGCGCCCAGCCCGGCGAGGTAGGGGTCCTCTCCAATGCTCTCAAAGCCACGTCCGCCCAAGGGTGATCGTTGCATGTTGATTGTGGGACCTAGGATAGAATGGGCGCTCTTGGCGCGGGCCTCTTCACCCATGGTGGCTCCGGCTTCCTCGAGCAGGGCCTGGTTGAATGTTGCTCCGAGGCCGGTGCCGCAAGGGAAGCAGGCTGCTGGGATGGAGTTGAAGAAGCGAGTGCCGCGGACGCCATTGGGCCCGTCGGTCAGACGCAGTGAGGGCACGCCATGCTTGGGAATAGCCTTGGTGTGCCAGAAGTCGATGCCTGCCGGACTATGTCAGGATATGTCTCCAAAGGGGCTTGTCAAGAACATACCAGCGAGCAGGTCGACCTTCTCGGTCAGCGTGAGCTTCTTCAGCACTTCTTCAACGTTGATGTCCGCCATGTTTTCTGCGCGTCTTGGTTGATTGATCGAGCAAGAGATGGGGAGGCAAGCGTCCTTTACAGGATAGCCTCTTATAGAGGACACCTCATGAAGGACACCTGTACCTTCCCCTCTGCTGTGCTATGCTCAGCATCGTCACCACATACTTAGGCTGAGCATGTGAAGCATCGCGGGCCTCCTCTCAGCCAACGAGACGTTGCGGTTGGCGTGTGGAGGTGGGTTACAGGCTCGGCAGGAACGTCTAAATTATCCGGATCACCCGATGATTGGCCGTGGACCCGAGGTAGAGCCGGCGTGCCGTAGATCTGCCGCCTATGGAGGGTGAAAAGCCAATCACAACTGCGGCAGCAATTGCCTTGTGAATTTGAGATCCAGGTTGCCAACTTGGGCGCTGGACGACAGGTCACATGACGAAACAGGATCGTGACATGAGGTCTGCCAGACTGGACTCAAGTCTCACTTTTCTTGCGATCGATCCTACATACAGCTCTTGCTTGCACACGGTTCCAAAGCATGAACGCACCCGACTTGACCTCGGGGCGAGTGGGTGTCGAACGGGTGTCCATCAACCTTGCTCGCTGTCTGGCCTCCGGAGCGTCAACGAGAGTGCATTGTTCCTAGCCCACTACTGTCCCGTCTCAAGTTTCTTGCGAGATGCCTCACACAAGGTCCAGTCTCTTTTCACGCCCTAGCACGCGGAGCTCACGGCTTGGATCGATCTCAACATTGTGGCTCTCGAAAGTCGAAACATCCGAAATACCCTCACGTGGTGGGGCCTGCCGAGTTGTCCTTTTTTTCCATCTTCGCCGCATGAAGCGAAGGAATGGTCTACGCAAGGGGCTTCAGACCGAATTTCAGGGCATGGTGTGACGGATTCACGTACAAGCGCGAGGGCCGGCAACAAATGGCCGCTTGGGCGTGATGGAGCCTATCCATTCTCCAGGACCCTCGCGTCCATGTCCATGTGTTCCGTGGCGGCCCTGGCGGGTCAACAACGCGCACCTGCAAGATTGAAGATTCATCAGATTGTCCCCATGATCGCGGCCCCATCGCAAGCGCCAGATAGCCGGAGGGACTAGTAGCTTCACTATCCCAACCCTTGTTGATCAGCCCTAGGTCGGACTGTGGATTTCGACGCACTCGGCCTGCCCAGGACCCTGAGACATGACTCTTTCCCTCGCGTTGCCTCCCAGGCTTCGTCCGTCTGCGGGCCGCATGAACCCTGTGCGTGCCTGTTGCCTCACATGGTCACCTTGCGCCGCTGCGGAGTGCATCAGCTCTCAGTTGGAGGAGCTGCATCGAGTAATCAGTTCATGGGGGAGGAGGGGGTGTGGAGAAGGCAATCCGAATAATCGAATGCCAGGCTCGCGGATTTCCCGTCACCAAAAACAGCCTGTACTGTAATTAGTCTGTACAGCGCCGGAAGGGCTAATAGCGCGACGCAGGGCTAGAAGCCTGGGCCCAGCTCAATCAGCTAACGAAGCAGTCTGGCACTGCCAACAACACAGCGCCGAGACCGGTCGTATTGACGGTGGCAAGAGCATATTGCATCCAGCTACACCAAGAAATCAGACCAGGTCTAATTACGGACAGGTAGATCGACTTGATCAAAAATCTCCGAAGCTGACATGTACCCCGATGGTACACTCCACTCACCAAGCTCAGAACGCAATGATACCACACACCGTCGACCGGCAACGGCTTTGCTACCCATTTGCTGGTAAATAGAGGTGCGAAAAGGGTGTTTCCCCACAGGCTGCACAAGCGAGATGGAAACCAATCTCGGAACTCACGCTAGTCTGCAATGATTGACGGACATGTCGCTTTACAAGTAAATGTACATACGTCCTCCTGTATGTACGTACACGCAACACGTTTCAGCGTGATGGGCGCTAGTGCGTGTAGACGAATTCGTATGCTTCACCTCAGACTTGAGTTCATGAGGCGCACACCGAGGGGGGGGGGCGTTGAAACACGCAGAGAGAGGATGGATGGACTTTATTCGGCGGCTTTCTTCATGCTGTTGGTATGGAGATCATGAAGTTGCCACTTGGCGAGACGCCCTCAAGCTGGGATCACGACCCTCCTGGGCAAATAGAGATCGCTCGAGCCCTGGTGATTTTTTAGAAGATCACCCGCCCTGTCCAGCGGCGCCAGCCTACCCGGTGGATCATCTCATGCCTCTCGAGTCCCGGTCCTAGCTAACTTAGACGAGTGCACAGATCGGGGTTTTCTTTCGGTCGCGTGCAGACTTGGCGCCTTGATGAGGAACCCTGCACCCGGCATTCGTCGTCGTTAGTTCGACGATTGGAGCGAGGTTGCTCAGGACGCGATAGGCTGCTGTAGTTTCCTGCCCAATCTCACCCGTCTTGGCAGTCTGCCTTTGCGGAATTCACGCGTCGTTTTCAACGAATGACGCCGAAATGCGAGATTTGGAATACGTACGTGCTTGGGACCGCCGCGAGTGTCCAACCTTTTTTTTCGCGGTCCTATATACGGATGATCCGCAGACTATCGACCGACGGTATTATGGGTGCGCCGGACAAATACTCATTCTCGACCATGAGCCCGGGCTGTGTGGGGGCTGTGGGTTCGCTTGCTGGCGACTGGAGACACTGGCGCACTCCGCGACTAAAGCAGCCTTGATTTGTGACAGCGGCTGAGCCTCAACGTCAGTCATCAACCTTGTCTGTGCTGGATGCATGGTCTTTTCACCTTGAAGGCGAAAAACTACTCTCCCATATCATACATGTGGTGTGAGAGTGAATACGTAATCAAAAAATGTTCAGGTCATGCCATATCACTTGACTTTTTACACAGCTAAAGGGCTGATCAGCGCGACCGGCATCACGAGCCACTCTCGACGCTGAGTGGCTGGCCGAGACCGGCCCTGAGAATGATAGACACACGCTCTGTGGCTGAGCGAGTGACCTTGGGGCGGCCTCTGATTGGCATGCCCAGCAGCATAGGTAAGGCAAGGTAACTTCCAGGCGGCTATTGGCCGAAAGACTGCGCTAAAAGACTGATGTTTCTCTTGGTAAAACAACTTGAAGCCTAGAAACACGCGCAACTAACTGCTTTACAGCGGGGTGCGGAGTACGTACAGGTGCTGCAGAGAAGCCTCTCCCCAGCTGCTCAGGTGAGCGTTCGGGCCCTAAACCTGGCCCCGAAGGCGTCCAGTTCAGCCTGCCCCTACTGCACATCGCCAGAAGCGGATGAGGGGCTGGAGACGCCAGGCACTAATCGTCGCAGGCGGTCTATCCGTATCCGTGCAGTTGTTTGGGTCAGGCATCTGCAAGCGCAGCGGCCGCGCAAGGGCCCGTCATGCTGGCTGGGTAGCCACGTGTGAAGCTTTCGCTGCTGGGCCGCCCCCCTGCCTGCTCCAGTCGGCACCTCCAGTCGGCACCATAGAATAGTTTCGTCATGGACTCGAAAAAGAGCCTCTTGAGGCCCGCTCAGCGTGTGCATTTCCAACGACGACAGGGACATGGAGGGAGATAAGCTTGAGATAAGCTACAGGTGATGTAGGGGGATAGTTGCCTCGTCCATGCGAATGACGGCAGAGTTTTCTCCGTCGCACATTTGACACGGCTGGTGGGAACCGTGGGATCGACCTATCCGCAGAATCCTGGCATCTCGAGCTGCCGCAATGCACGCATACGCAAGCGCCGCCTGGTGTCTGGTCTGGCTCTGGCAGGCCTACTGTTGCTGCGACCAGGTTCGAGGGGTCGGCGCTTGGCACGACAAAGGCCGGTTCCAAAAGTCTGAAGGATGGTGATGGAATGGGGCACTCTACAGCTTCACTGCGTCGCTGGACTCCTGTCGACCATGATGATCCGGGCAGCAGTCCGACACACCTGGCGCGAAGCGGCTCAGAATGGTGGCTTGTCTGCGGAGAGCTCGGACGACCTGGAATGCCATTGGCGGCCACATCACAGACAGAAAGTGGCATTCGCGGCAGCCACTCGCCCATCCACAGAGTCAGAATCTCGGGGCGCCGGAGTCCTACGGGCGGTCATGGAGATTGATTTATTCATGAGTATCCTCTGCCGGCTCAAAGTCTACACAGATCGGGGAGCAGAGTCCAGAGCTTGCATGCAAGGCTTGCCTGTCGCGTCGCATCTCATCTCGGGGTGTAGCCCGGGAAGGATAGATGCAGCCTCGCGGCCAACGTGAGAAGGGGACACCGGGCTAGAGGTTCGAGCTTATCGAGAAGTGTCACTGGCAGAGTGTACAAGTACGTCTGCCCCGAATCTTGCCCATGTTCCCCTCTCCCCTCCCCCCTCGACGATGCCCGGAAGGCTTGGGAGGGGGGAGCTGTAGCGTCGAACCTTGTTGCATCACGCTGCCAGTGCCAGCCGCGTTGTGGCACACCCGCCATGAAAACTAATAATAATGAATCCACCACATCGGAGTCATCGAGGCACCACCGACCATGGTGATGGAGGCGGCAGCCTTCTGACGCCCTTCTGATGCCCTTCTGGTGCCCTTCTAGCGTCGCTTCCACCGTCCCTCGCAGCTGCGACGGCGGCACCGCGCTCTCAAGCTGATCACCCTGCGCCAACCAGCGACCAGCAGCGCGAGGTCGGGAACTTTACGGAGCGGAGCGGGAGGTGCTGCTGCTGCGGCTGCTGCTGCTGATCTGATCAAGATGGATGAACCAGACACATGCACCCAACCGCGCCCAAATCTGTTCGAGCATCGAGACGCGGGCGTCATCGCCGACAGGGCAGCCAGAGGCGGTAGTATTGTGTCGCTTGGTTGTTGGAGTCGTTGTTCGTATGCACGAGGGCGATCCCACAGCGTCGCAACGGTCCAGGATGTCTCAGTTGTCTTCCTATGTGGCTTACACACGCGTCAATCCGTGGCAGAGTACTAATCATGGCGCGACAGAGAGCCGAGCTGATTGCCCGACCGAAACGTCCAACGCGACGGGCGACAAGTGGTATTAATTAATTAACATTGCCTTTGATGTACGAATACAGGTAGTATGGCCGCAGTGCGTAAGCCAGGATGTATGCACGCCTGTGATCCGCGAACAGGCAAACCTTGTCTTTATTAGCGGTGCCCATCACTGCTTCCTACCACTCTCGTTGGCGCCTCCGCGTAAATGCTTACCCGGAGCTCACCCCTCTGATTCGTGATCTGTTGGTCTGGGGTAACCCGTGCTGCATGCCGGATAATTCCGCGCGAACCCCTGCAGAGGATACTTCATCGCTCGACGCTCTTCACGAATACTGAACTGTTCGTGGCGGGAGAGCACTGATGAACGGAACTTGAATGCACTGCCCTCGCCGTGTTTCGACGCTTTGAGCTGGTGGCCCGCATCGCAAACATATCTCACCCCCGGCGTCGCTCACAAAGCCTCACATGCATCATTCTCGCACGGGTGAGAGCCCCGGATGGCTGGTCAACCAATCCTCGTTACGTCGTCGATCATTCATATGTATGCTACGCTGTCAGCTAATTAGGGAGTAAGGGTTACTCTCGCGTTGTCCTTCGTGGTTGCCGATTGCCGACCGCCCGTTCGGCTCCAGAGACCAGACTAGTCTCCAACGCAGCCGACGCATTGAGGGATCGCCATGCTCTGCACAGCGCGTTGGGAAAGCACTTCATCAGGTCCCAGGAGCAGATGTCACGCGATCCCAGGATCGGCCTCCCATGCGGTCCAGTCGTCACTGGTCAGCCTCAGCAGTCTGAGACTCTGAGCAAGGCCAGTCCGCGCTGCCCCGCCCGCTGGCTAGCATTGCCCTTGCGAGCTGGCTACTAATACTGTACAAGTACGTACGGTCCACGGACACCGTTGACAGTATCAGTATGTGCACTCGGCAGGCCCGTAGAGATGACTAGTGTGTCACTGGTGCAGGAGGTAGCTGCTGCCGGTGTCTTGGCAGGTCATCATTTATGTGACATTGATAACTACTAATTATATTATGCCTAATTGACTGGGCAGGCTCATATTACCTGCCATTTAGGCCCCCCTCCCCTGCGACCAGCCACAAACGCCACTCAAGACTTGTTGCGCTGCCAGGCCCAGCGCTGCCACGCGCGCCAAGGCGCCGGGTCGCCCACCACTGGCCCGTCAGCCCACAGGACAAGTCCTCACATGACCCGTCCCCAGTCTCCTGTCAACGACCAGCCGACCACCAACAACAACCCTCCCGGAGACTCCACAAGCCGTCTGCTAGTACGTAGTCTCCGATGCAGCCTCGCGAATACGAACGCACTCGGGTATCGCGCGCCAGGAACCATTATAAGCGAAATGAAGGCGAAGAGGAAGAAGTCTTGGGAGATTGATGCTTCTCAGCTGTGGCTGTCAATCTTGAACTTGGCCGTCCAACATCATTCATTTTGAGCCGAGGGAGCGGTTGTCGACAGCCGACAATTCTGCAGCTCCTCGTTGCTTTTCTTTTCGTGCGTACGTACGTACTGTACGTCCATAATAAGCTTTGTCGCCAAGTGGATTTCAGTGTCCTTCCAGAAGATGATATGGAAGGATGTGCGGCGCATCATCATTCAGTGACATGGGACGGACGACTCATTCACATCGGGAGATCGACCTGACCTGGCCTGGCGAGAGAGTCAGTGCCAGGCAGATCACTGGCATATCCTTGAGCCTCCGACCTGCAGACAGATGAGTCGACGTACTACGTATGTACTCCGTACACGGCTCGACGATCCTCCATCCGTCGCATAGGCGGTGTGGCTCGAACTTGAAGGTGTGATGCGACAGCTACATGCACAGCGGCAGACGGTCAGGGGCAAATTTTTCCTGCTCAGCCCAACGACTGTGACCGTCACCCTCCAGCTCGCTCTAGCACGCGCATGCGCGCGCGCGAGAGAGAGAGACAGAGAGACAGAGAGACAGAGCAATAGAGTGCATTACAGTAGTCAGACTGGGCGCACGACAGAGAAAGGCGGGTCCTCGACCCCGAGATGCCTAGTCCCTGAATCAGGTCCACCGTCGAGTTGTTGGTTGCATAAGTACGTAGTACGGAGTACAGTATCTTACCTACCGCTGCCTTACCCTGGGAGCGCGTCAAAACCGCGCACACGGCACACCGTCGTCGTCGCCCTTTGTACGCACTGCGTGCGGGTGCCGCTAAGCAACGTGCGCAAGTGTCTGCCAAGAAGATCCAATCTCATCACCTTCAAAGCTAGTGTCGGCTTTTTCCTCTTCTGTTTTTTTGCCCTTTCCGGCTCGCTGGCTCTTTTACTCACTCACACCCACCCACCCACATATATATATACTACTAGGCACATATGCATGCACGTCTGCGGCTTTTGGTGAGGTCACCGTCCAGAGCTTGGCGTCGAAGACTGCAGTTGGAGAAACTGCCGTTTGCGATCTGCCTCGTGCATCCGCTCTCATTTGAAACTGAAGTGTTACTGCTGTGGTATTCATTTTTGTCTATGCCAAGTAGAGTAAAAATAGAGAGACGCGATGCAACATGATGCATCATCTCCTCCTGCTGCTGCTGTTTGTTTGATCGCCATTTCCAAGAGAAGTCCAAGTTGCCCAAACAAACCGCGCCTCGTAGCATGATGCTGTCCCGCTTCCCAAACCAACCAAAATTGCAATGAACATGAAAGGACAAGATCCAACGTGAAAAAAGAAAAAGCCATGCCTCCGAAACCCAAGAGTGGGGAATAAAAACCATCATGCAGGAAGAACAACATGGCAGGACCAGCGGGTACCGTTCGCGCCCGGGTGACCAAAATGAGACCAAATTCTATGTACAACGATACCATATATCGTGATGAAACGTGTCGAAATCATAGACACTTGCTGAGAGGGCACGTCATGCCTTCTTGATTACTTTGAAATAAAGAGTGTAGAGGGGATAAGAGGATATCGATGAAGAAAAGAATGCAGGGCAAGTGTCGTCGTGTACGTGAAGAATGAGAGCAGAAAGACCCGCCCGCCCATAGCTTGGTGAAGCCAGCCTCCGAAGCTTCAGGGGGGTTCTGCTGTCGATGGAAAGAGAGGGAGAGATTGACAATCCCGATGCTTAGTACACGGGGGGCTGCATGGCAGCATAGTACATGCCGGACGCGGGTGGCCACGCCGCAGCGTGTTGCTGGGGCGGCATGAAGCCATTCGAGGCGAGCGTCATGGACGACGAGCTGCCCGAGCGGTGCTGCTCAAGAGGGAATCCATGGTCTGCACACTTTTGATCAGCGATTTAGCTCTCCTGTTCCTCGGGAAGGGAGGGGACCTACCATTGCCGTCCTCATACTCCATCTTGATGCCGTGGTGGTGCCTCAGACTAGCGGGTGATGGGACCATGGGGTTCGGGGCGCTGGTAGGTAGGTAAGCCGAACCGGTACCGTACTCATCGTTGTTGGTGGAGCACGGACTGGAGACGTTGGAAGGTACAGAGGCGGTCGACCCGGGGGCGGCCCAGTTCTCGGCCGAGGTCGCTGACGACGATGCATTGCCAGCAAAGGGCCCGTAGCCTGCGGACGTGTAGTCAGGCAGGTTGCCGGGGGGCGGCGGCGGCGGCGGCGCGCTGAAGTCGCTGGACGGGTACGGCGAGGTCCGTGGGCTGGTGAGGGAGCCGGCCATGGAGTAGGACGCGGCCGCCTGGTAGCTGCTCGAGTGGTGCGAGCTCGAGAGGCCGACGGATTCGCGGAGGGAGCGCAGCTCGTCCTCGAGCATGCGGTTTCGGCGGAGGAGCTCCTGGACCGCCTGGTCGCGCGAGTGGACACTTCGGAGCTCGTCGAGCTCGGCCTCGAGACGCTCAATGTGTTCCTTTGTGCGGGCGCGGATGGCACGCTGGGCCTCCCTGTCGTTGGCACGCTTGCGAGCGAGCTGTGCAGGTGTGAGTGTGGAGACGGAGCGAGTGCCTTTGGGGTGACCAATGTTAATATGCTTCTTCTTCTTCTCTTGTCTGTCGAGACAGGGAGGATGGGGAAGAGGAGGAGTACTGACCCTTGCGCTTAGAGACCTTGCTGTGGTCGGTAGAGGAGGATCGCTGCATGGATGTGGGGGAGTAGAGACCGTCATCAACAGAGGCTGCCGATGCTGGTCGCGAGGTGGACCGATTCGACGGGGACGCAGACATGATGGTCGCTGCTGATGTGATGTGCTGGGTCTGGTCGGTGAGAACGGGACGCTGTGTGTCTGTGCGCCTTGAGGAGTCCAGAGTGACGGCTGGTCGTTCTTTATAGGCCGCGTAAGAACAGGGTGAACGTTGAAATCGTGGTGTGGTTTGGTGTGGTTGGACTCGATGCACGTCTGCTCATGCAAACATGAACGTGATGAAGGATATGAAGCGTACTGACGGTCGACTCAAAGTTAGGGTTACCTCAATATGGGAATGGGAGAGATCTCCATGGATGAGCTGGGACTTGGGGATGGAGATGTTATATACAAGGGGGCCAGCCAGCAGCTCCAGTCCTTGCCAGCCAGGGCCCTCGCATGGAACTTGAAGTTCAAACCAAGGGTATGTCTCCATCAGCCGCCAGTAGGTCGAGGGCCGGATAGGGAGGTGTGGGTTCTCCCCCCTCTCCGACTCTCGTGGCATGAAGTCGAGGGTGTGCATTTTGAGGACTGAGGCTTGGAGACAGTGGGTACGTACCTCCACTAGTCGCGGTCCGGAGGAGAGGAGAGGGGGCGTGCGAGGGTGTAATCATCGGTGAGGCTGAGGAGCTGTGGGAAAGCCACACGTCTGCATGCACCCCCCTCTGGAGACATCGCCGTAGCCCGGTCGACGCTAGCCGTCTGCGGCCTGGCGTCGACAGTCGAGGCTAAGCCCATTCTTCGCGGATCATCATCTCTAGCCTCTCCGCTGTGACTGTCACTGATGCGGGCCAGGTAATAACGAAGGGTCCAATCTGCCAGGCAAGCGGATATCAGATTGCACCAGGCGACAGCAATTAAATTCCTGCACAACGCCGCTCCTCTGCTGCTCTGCTGCTGAAGCTCCAGTCGTTCGATTAATTGAGCCACGCCGTCACCAGACAGCTCTGTGGCCCAGAGTTTGCGCCAACAGAGCCAAGTGGCTTTCAGTCCCGGATGGCGTCCGGCCGCCATCCAAAGCTTACCAGGCTGTCGGTTGACACGCTTTGCGTACGTCAAAGTCAATTCTCTGATTAGCTTTCAGGGCTTTTTCCCCGATCTCGAGCTCATGAAATGGGTGTTTAAGATCTTGATTCTGTGTGTGATCGGGAACCCCATGATCTCTGTCACCAGACAGCTGGGACGATGGCTTTCAACAGCTATCCGTACACACATATATGATCATACCATCCCTCTCCCTCCCACGTGTGAAGCCGATAGCACACTTGGTCACGTGCGCGATTTATCTTTCTCACCTTGCAGATACAGATAGTGCGACCAGACGGGATGACGGATGACACATCGTTAGATGGGCGATCTTCGATTCACAGAGGATGGGGAAGCTGGCAGGGGCCCGGCTTGTCTTGCGAGCCGCGACACGTCAGATTGACAAGGCATCGCACGCTGCACGCACCTGCACGGTACTTTCCATCATCCTGGCAGAGCTTTTGCGGCCAGGACTGGCACGCATTTCTCAATCGACATCACAACATGAACGAACACGTTCCGGCAACCTTCATCATGACTCTCCACGCGCGCCCGTTACTTGGAGCTACCGGGTACGCAAGATGGACTGCAGAGTCCTTTTGCTATCCTACCTTACTCGCAAGCAGTAACCACCTCGTCTTCTCTTGTCTCAATGTGAAAGCAATCAAATCTCACTGTAACAGTGGTCCATGGATATGTAGTCAATCATTAGAGTTTGCGCCAACGTTCCTGCGTGCGTCGGCAGGGTGGCGGCAGACTGACACCCGCAGCGGCATTTGCAAATCGACATGGGAGCTGGAACCATGCGGTCGGTCGGTCGGGTGAACACAGCGTCCCGAAAGCGACGATAGTAGCATGCACTGAATAACTACATGATCGCCCGTGTCGAACAAGTGACGTCGACTTGTTGGGCCGTCTGCCCGAACATGTCGTCTACCTGTACACGGGAAGCAATGTGAGCTGGACGAGTGTCCATGGCGATTCAGAGTGAAAAATCACATCGCATCACATTCATCTGGGGTCACCAGTCGGAAAGCGTGGGAAAGCGTGGGTGGTTGGCTGCCCGCCCGCAGGATTTCCAGCTCTCATCGCATTGCCATGTTCCTCGTCATCCACAAAGTAAATGTTCGATCAAAGAATGCAATCTTCCCCTGAGGAGGTCCCAGGTCGCCGGGTCGTCCTGAATCCTGACGCTGTGGCGTCGGGTAAGCCACATGCCACAGAGAAAACAGACTTGTTGAAGCCAGTCTGCTCGCCGCGCCAAACCCAATTGTGTGGCATTCTCTTCGGTGGGAGAGATCTTCTCCGACCCCCTCCTCCAGTCCCCTCGGGCACATCGTCATCCATGGTCGGCGAAGAAGGAGACAAGGCCGGCCGGCACCTGTCAGCTTGGCTCTGCGTCCCAAAGATAAAAATTTGATGAGCGACATATCCCTGGCGCCTCGTACCTATTCTATTACTAGTACCCACGCGGACGATTTGATGACCATTTGCAAGTACCTCACCTAGTATTGCAGGCCGGCGTTAAGCTGTGCAGTTGGAGTAGCCACCATCTTCACCGCCAACCCTGTCTGTACGTAAGTATGGTGAGGTCCATGTCTGCTTGATGGTTGCCCGTGTGTCATGTCGGTCAACGTCCGACGACAGTGAGTGATCGACCTGCTTGAATCCATGAGGATGAACGGACGGATGGACGGCTGGACGGCTGGACGCCCCACTCACATCATCGTTAACAGCAAATTGCATCTTTTCCATGGCCCGTCGATCTGCCCGCTTCTTCCTTCTAGAAGCCTGACGGATGTCTTCTTTCTGCAGGATGTCCCGTCATCGTTGTCTCGTGGCTTCGTCTGTCCGTGCACCACGTCCTTGTCATTGTGGCTGCAGCATCATGTCTTGGGCTGCGCAGCAGTCTTCTCTGCTCTGTTCCACGCCCTGAAAATGTCGTCGAGGATCCAATTTACCTCCATGTACGGATACATTCTTCCCTAGGTAGACGGTGGCACACCGTCCCCCACACCATTCCCCTAGACTGCTTGCTGGTTCGGCTTGCGAGCACTTCATCATGATGCGCCGCACCACCTGTCCATGAACAGCCTTCCCTTCCCGGCTTCCGTAGCGTCCACCGAGTCCACCACCTGGCCCCGGCTCCGTTCATAGGTCGAGTGCTCCTGGTGATCCGAGCCGTGTCCGGGGGCCGTCTGTCTGTCTGTCTGTTGCTCTCTAGTCTCTACAAGTAATCCCTTGTGTCAGTGGCCTCAAATTGCCCAGTCCTGACTGGCCAAGCTTTATTAGCAGCGATAAGTATTACTGATATTCAGCCTTTGTGTGCCTCACCGGAAGGCTGAAGCCAGACTGCTGTAATTAGAGCGCGTCGATCGAATTTCAGCCGCCTCGGCGAACGCCATCAATCATTCTCTCATCTCGGTCCTGATCGAGCCCGACCAGTATCGACTCCGGTCTGCTGCCATGGGCACAGGCCTCAATCCCCGGTGTCAGCACCGACAAAGACCATGCCCCCAGCCAAGATATGAGCTTCCCCAGTAAGTTCGCGGGTGGTACGTATGATAATGAGCTGGATCACTGGCTTGAGGCGTCGCTGCTCTCGTGTGGCCCCGTGGACAGACAGGCCCTGGAATTACCCAAGGCTAGGTCAGCATGGGGAAGTTGAATAGACTTTAGTCTCCGCGAATTTTGGCCATTGTTTTCACAGCAGCCACATGTAACACGGGTTGCCTTGCGGGCTTCACATGACGAGCAGGCCTGTAATGTTGGAAAAGAACGCAGATAATCATCCTTGCTTGGAGGGGCAGCCGGACATGCTAGCTGCACCATACTACGTGGCTGATGTTCACCGACTTCAATCGTTGCTCTCGCCCTGACTAGCAGCCAATGCCAGACGACATCTAATATCCCAAGCCCTCCGCGCGAGCCATCACCACCGTCATGACTGCTTGGACTCCTCAAGCGGCGGCTCGGAGCCGTCGACAAGCTCCGGGTTCTCCGTCTTGACAGCCTCCACGAGCTCCTCCATACCACCCACCACCGTCGGCCCCTGCATTCCCACTGGCGGCAGCGCCCATCGCGGCAGCGGGCTGGTGTACGACCAAGTGCCCTTTGCGTCCTCGTACCGGAGGCTGTGAAGCCAGATCTCCAACTCGTGCGGCCCAGGGTCCGAGTACAGGGGTGTGTTGCAGTCCTTGCATAGCTCGCCCGTCATCTTCTCCGCCCGCTTCTTCTCATAGTCGTCGACCATCTCGTCATAGTACGCAACAGCCTCCGCCACCTCCTGCTTGCCCATGCGTGACAGCCGGCTGATGACGGTGTCGTCCGTCGTCTCGGTGCCCTCGGCGTCGCCTTGCCCCAGCTTCAGACCCCAGACCCGCCGGTTGGCGTAGATGGGATCGTTCTCGATGGGGTGCCCCAGGTGTTGGAGGTGCACACGGATCTGATGCGTACGCCCCGTGACGGGCAGGCATCGCACAATGGAGTGGCCCGTCTTCTCGAGCCACGGCTTGCCATCCTCCTTTTCCTTTCCTGCGCCCGGCGCGCCGGAAGCATCTCGCGGCGGGTAATACGCCAGCTTCTTGAAGACAGTCCGGGCAGTCTTGCCATTGGCACGAACGCGATTCAGCCCCAGCTTGGGCGAGATGGAGAGGATGGCCTCGTCGCAGATGACATCGCCGTCGGGGAACTCGCCCGTGACACGTGCAATGTACTCCTTACGCACGGACCGCGCCTTGATCTGGATGCCGAGATGCTCGGCTGCCTTGACGTTCTTCCCGATGAACATGATGCCGCTGGTCAGTCTGTCCAGGCGGTTGCATGGATGGGGAAGAAAGTGCTGGCCTCTCTCCGCGATGAGGAGCTCGATGATGGAGTTGAAGTTGTAACGGCCCGCTGGGTGCACTGGGATGCCCGCGGGCTTGTTGATGACAATCATGTCCTCATCCTCGTGGATGATCCCGATGGGGTCGGAGGTCACAGGGGGCTCGTGGCGGTGCATCGTGTGCGAGACCATCTCTCCGTTCTGGAGGATGTGGTTGGGCCCAACGTGATGTCCATTCACGGCAATCAGCCCCCTTTCCATGGCATCTCGGTAGTACTCGACCGGCCGGTCCCGGAACTCGGACTCAAAGATGTTGATCAGACTGCGCCCCCGCCATCTCTCCTTGCACCAAGTGTTGTATGTCCAAAAGTACGGTTCCACGCGCCGGAGGTCGCCATCTATTATGTAGGGCCTGGGCCAGGGACCCGAGCTCGGCGTGATAAGTGCTTCATTCGGCTTGGCCTTGGAGGCCACCCGCGGTAGTGCTGGGTTCTTTCGCTGAGTCTTGACACGCTTCTCCTTGGGTATCGTCTCCGGGCCAATCTGAGGCAGATCATCCGCCAGATCCCCAAACGGAAGACCTTGCGGCGGAGAGGACATGGCAACCCGGATCGTCTTGTATAGTCGAGGCGGGCGCATCGACAGGCCACCAAAAAAAAGGGCAGTTCTCACTAGCTCCTGAGAATCAACCGGTCTGACGATTCAGCACCCAAACGAAGTGTCCCTGATTGATGCGTGGCTCCGTAAACAGGCTGTACACACCACTCGAGCCTGGTGAATGAGTGACGTTTCTGTCGTTTCGTTGTTGTCCGTGGTCCTGCCACTGACACTGGCGATTGTGAGAGGGTCAGAGGGGCGCCTTGAAAAGTTGAAGCGTGATGCGGCATGCCAAGTCCAGACACCAGCCACAGTCCCACAAAAGAATAGGTCGAGGCGTGGCGCAAGCTGCGGCAGTGTGGCTGTGACACAACCTCGGCTCAGCTTCATCGTGGTCCCGGCAATTGCTCATGTCAAGTCACAATTGATTGATGTGATGTTCGAGACATGGACATGACATGAGGCGCTCTTCCTGAACGTGCAACACGCGCGGTCTCTGATTGCTACCTCCGTGATCCATCAAAACCACGCTTCCACCACCTGATCATGGCATCTCTCCAGGATCTAAAGGCTCGTCGGCGGGAAGACTACCCCTACATCCTGGACTACCGCACTCGATGGTAAGCTTGCCGATGCAGATTCATATCGCCTTCCTCGCACTCAGTCCCACGGTCTCTATGTCCCAGTGTGTCCGACGATAGTGACCGTCAATGTAGGAACGACAATGACATGTACGACCACATGAACAACTCAGTCTACAACTTTCTGTAAGACTACCTAGCTGAAAGCAGCCCCCTTCCCGAGCCAAGGAACCCTGGCTGACGCCTACGATGCGCTAGGTTTGACTCGGTGGTCAACGACTACCTGATGAAGCACTGCAATTTGCACCCGCCAACGTCGGAGGAGCACCCTCTCGCAGCTCACCTGCACACAGACTTCTTCTCCTCGATTGCCTACCCGGCCGTGGCAGAGCTGGGCCTGCGCGTGAACAAGCTGGGCAGGTCAAGTGTCACCTACGAGATTGGCCTGTTCGAACAAGGATCGCCAGACATCAAGGCCGTGGGCGAGTTTGTCCATGTCTGGGTGCAGCGAGCGACCCAGAAGCCAGCCCCCACGGGTATGAGCGACGGACTGAGGAAGGGCCTGGAGAAGATCTACAGGGGGCCCGGGTCGCCGTTGTCTTCCTCATCGCCTCCAGGCAGCAAGTTGTGAATTGCGATTTTGAGGGCAAGAGACCGTCTTTACATGTACTTTTGCGTGTTTACATTGTCCACCTCCTACTGCAGCTCGTACTTTTGCATCGCACCATCCTGCTCTCCGCTACGGAACATCTTCTCCAGGAACTCAAGGTCGGCCAGCGCCTCTTCCGGCGTCTGGAGAGGGTTCTGCTTGCCACTGGCGATGCCTTGGGCCCAAGCGGCGACCTCTTCCTTGACGCCGCTGGTCCTCTCAAACTCCTTGACGGTCTCCTCCCCATTCTCCGTGGTGACCGTGACCTTCTCGCCAGCCACTTTGACAGACCCCTTCTCATACCCAATCTGCCACTCGTAGGCACTGAGGCGTGTGCCGGAGGAAATTTGGAAGGCCCCGCTAGCACCTGATTTGGTCTTGACAATGGCGGTCACCGAGTCGATGGGTGGAAGGTGCTCCTGTGCCTGCTGCGAGTACGCAGCCACCTGCGAGGCCGCCGAGTCCTTGCCGCGGAGGAACAGACGCGCAGTGGCAGCATGGTGCACACCGCCATCTAGGAGGAAGCCGCCCTGGTATTCAGGTGTCTTGCGCCAGGCAGTGTTGAAATACTTGTTGTCTGATCGCATGAGACCGAAGCTCTTAATGTCGAAGTGCGTGACTCTCCCCAGACGGGCAGCCTGCTCCGCTGCATACGTGAAGCTGGGGAGAAAACGGTGATTCTCTGCAATGGACAGCGTGGCCTTGCCAGGTAGGCTCTTCCAGTAGTCAATCAGCTTCTTGCCGCCGGCCACATCGGCAGCAATGGGCTTCTCAGCCAGGACGTGCTTGCCAGCTTTCAAGGCGGCTTCAATGTGCTCGGGCTGGCTGAGGATGGGCAAAGCGATGATGACAGCGTGAACGTCATCTCGCAGAAGCAGGTCGTGATAGGTCCTGCCTACGCCCGCGTCATTCGAGTACAGCTCCAGCGAGGCGCCATTGGTCGCGAGAGCAGCTGTCTCCTGAGCTGACTTGAGGGAGCGCGAGTAGATGGCCTTGAGGGAGAGTAGATCAGACGCCTGGGCGACTGCTGGCTGATAACTTGTCAGAATTCAGAGGAGCATGTGGGAGGAGGGGTTTAGTGTACGTACAAGGTGTTGCTCCTTGACAAAGATGCCACTGCCAACAATAGCAACGCCGATTGGTGCCATTTTGATGTCGATTTGGGAATTTCTAGACCTGTGCTGGCCGAGATAATTGTGTCGAGATGAGGCAGACAGGCGCGCACTGGTGAGTGAGTGACGATGTATGCGGGGTGCCTCGCGATGCCCCGCCTCCTCGGATCCAGGAACACCTACGTATTGCTGACGAAAGAGGTCCATGTCGGCAATGAAAATTGTTCAGGCCACCGTTTTCATTGACCCTTCTTGGTGTTGGAGCTACACGTACTTACATGAAAAGGGTCCGTCGCGGCAATGAAATCATCATCACCCGTCCACCGTTGTCGTCTCAGTGTATAAGCATCATAGATAGTATCTGAGTGGTGCTGGCACCTGCATTAATGTGTCTCTGCAAAGACGTGGGATCTGGCGCCCGAATATGATCCTGTCTTCTCTCTTCTGCGACCTTCAAAAGCCATGGCGTATAAGTAAGGGCAAGTCCTTTCCGCCAAGCTATCTCATGCATCGCGCACCGATCAGGCAACACACCGCTTTGCTGCCTCCTATTCCGTCAGAGGCTTATAACTGGCAAATGACAGTGTCCAGAGTGACGCAGGCGATGCCTTCACAGTTAATTCAGTGAACATACGTGGTAGCATGATGAGCGAGGTCTCGTGATGTAAAGAAGCTGGCCCTTTATGGTGGTGGCTCCTAAGAGTATCCCCCTGTCTGTCACAGATCTTACTACATGTAATATGCCCATGGGGAAATATAAGTAAGACCAGAACGCGTGGGTGAATGTTTCCTCTGAGAGATTGTCCAATTGAATGATCCTCTCTTTACTTATTACGCACTTACACCCGGCCCTTTCACCAAGCCTGCCACGAGTTTCAGCCCAAGATCCCTGCATTAGACCATGATCCCCTGTGCTTCAGCTAAGCAACCAACGTTTGTACTTCAAAGTAAGAAGAAGTGACGGCCTTGGGAGATGATTCAGCTTCTTCCTTGAGCTGGGTGACAAAGATCTTTCCCAAAGCGAAGGTATCGTGGGCAACCCCTTTCGCCCCTATCCTGATGCGCTGTTGTAAAGACAGGCTTTGCCTTCTTTCTTCGGGGGTATATAACACAATGCGAGACCAATGATCAGCCGTTCCTCGGTATTCGTTGAGAGAATCCTTCAGCCTAAGCCTCTTCATAGCGGTAGAGTTGCTCAACGCAAAGCTTGACGAGAATGGTCCTGCGACGCTGTTGCATCAGCAGCACACGTTTATTTGATCTTTCCACCTGCTCCCAACTGCCTTCATCTTGACCATACGCGTCGGGGATTCTTCGAAGAAAGACTGATTTCATAATTCTATATCGTTGGGGGTTGCTCGGGATGCTGCCGCATTGTGTTTGCGAGATGTCTTGGTAACTGGGCATCTTGATCGTTGCTGGATGCCTATGCATGCGTACAGAATTTTTCACAGGTCAGTGACCTTGGTGACCAGCAGTATATGTAGTGACTTACCTCAGCTATATGTTGTCTCGAGTTGTATCAACAGACGGCAACGTCCAGAAACATGAATGAAAAAGATGCAATCTCAGACGAACCGATTCAAATATACATGGCTTTGTATGTACTTTTGTAATGCCAGCCAGCCAATGCCGCCATTGGGTGCTGAGCCCAGCCGGCAACGTGGCACTGCAGGTCTACACCCTCAGCAAAAGCGACGAACAACGATCCATGCGAGCGGGGGACCGAGTCTCGTTTTCAATTCGTGCGCGATGGCATCCTACCGACTACAGACTGATCAACACTGATGATCAAATCCAGTAGAGGCGCACGCCATTTGCCATTAGGGCCTGCGGCGCTCGAAAGCCAACCGCTGCACCCAAAGCGTCCCGCGTGAGCCTGTGTAAAGCATGCGTCTTTCTAGACATTAATATCGTATTCGGGAATAAATGAGCTAGTCTAAGTTATCAGGGCCCACTCAGAGACCACCGATCCCTGAAGCCTTGATGTCTAGTCCGTGCCACTTGTAGAAGACATTGCTGGGGTCGTACTTGGCCTTGACCTCCCTCAGCCTCTTGAGGTTCGAGCCGTACGCATCCTCTGGCCGCAGTGCATCAGCCTCCATGTTGATATACCGTCCAATGGGCGCATCCTGCTTCTCGTCCTTGTCGGGATCGTAGCGGTATCCTAAAGTCTCGCGGATCTGCTTGACAATCTCCCTGTTGAACTCGCGTATGGCATTGTCATGTGCTGGGTCCGTCCAGCCAAACATGGTGACGACGTCGTAGTAGTCGCCACGGTTAGTGTAGGCTGTCTCCTCGAGGCCAACCTCGCGAACCTTGTGCATGGGGAAGAACTCGAGCGCAATGGCACTTTGGGGGGTCGCACCTGGGGTGGCGTCACAGAAGTTCCAGAATGAATCGGCCGTCTTCTGGACGTCCTCGGCTTTCAGGGGCATCACGACGTTGCCAGAGCCCATGAGGCGCCGGATGCCGTGTCCGGCCAGTGGGTTGATGAGCTCATTGACGTTGCGCATGCGCATCACCTGGGTCGTGTCCATAATCGGGCCGACATCAAACAGGTCCTTGAAGAACTCCCGACCATCCTCCTCTGAGCCGTGGAAAAGGGGCGAGACGATGAGCATGTGGCTCTGGCCGTCGGGACCGTACCCAATGGCAAGTACAATGCAGTGGCCTTCGCGGTTGTCCTTGTCGTGGAACTTGTTGATCGCGTCGACCAGCTGGGGCAATTTGTCGGCCATGAAGATCAGGGCGCCGCTGTAGACCGAACCCTGTGGGTGAACCCTGGAGGTGAACTTTGTGACGACGCCGAATTGCGCACCTGCACCTCGCACAGCCCAAAACAGATCCGGGTTCTGCTCCGCCGAAGCTTCCTGGACTGTGCCGTCAGCGGTGACAATCTCCACGGATAGGAGGTTGTCAATCGTCAGGCCGTGCTTGGAACTCAAATACCCATGGCCGCCGCCTAGGATCAGTCCACCGACCCCCGTGTGGTTCACGGTACCACCCACGATCGCCAGGTCCAGAGGGTCGAGCGCGTCGTCCAGGTCCTTCCAGAGACAACCACCCCCAAACGTAATCGTGTGGTTGTCCTTGTCGATGTTGACCTGGCGCATCTTGGAGAGATCAATGACCATGCCCTCACTCGAGGATGTGCCACTGGTGGCGTGGCCACCACCGGCAGCCGTCAGAGGTATGCCATTCTCGACCGCGAATTTGATGGCTGTCGAGACCTCGCTCGCGTTGCTCGCTTTCACAACAACTTGCTAACAAGGGGCCGGTGTCAGATGCAATGTGCATACGCAGCTTGTCGGATAATCCACTTACAGCTCGCTTCTCAGCCGTCTTACTCCACCGCTTCAGACTGTCTTCGTATCCTTCATCCCCCGGCACAAGTACTGAGCCGGAGGCAATTGCGTCGCGTAGTTTCTGAAAGTCGGCCATGGCAACAGCTCATGCGTTCGTGTATAGCAATGTATGAGTTTAATGCGCGCAAATAGGATCGTCATTGCTGGGTGCCTTGGGATTTATGTGGTATCAGGCAGACTGATTCGTACTACAAGGTACACAGGAACCCCGCCCGATGGATGCACCCGTCTCGGAGAGGGAGGGGGGAGCATAATTAATTGCCTACATAGACAAGCATTGCATGTGGCGCTGCGATAGGCGGCGGCTACCAGGGAGGATGCGGATGGCGTGGGCTAAGATCTTCCCCATCGTACGCACATCTGCCGAGGGTTCCCACGGTGCCACCAGCCTGGAAGCTGGCAATCACTGCTAGGCGAGTACTTGACACGACCATCAAGGCAAAAAATACGCAATTGCCAACGGAGCAAGTGCGTTAAGTGATGACCGGTGGTGTTCCAGTCTGTGGACCCCCCCGCAGAGCAGAATCGCGAAATCCGACACCAGACGGCGATCCGCTGGCTGGCAGCTCGACTGCGTCGTATTTCACGTACATTCTTGACGACATCAGTCAGGGATCATATCTGGAGCTCCGCCTCGTCCTCAACAGACTCCGTCTGCATGGCTGCAATGCCGTTCGTGAGGTCGTGCAGCACATGCTCGACCGCGAAGCCATGCTTCTCGATGGCGCTCTCGCCACCTGTGACGAGATTGAGAGACGTGCTGCCTTGCAGCCAACGCTGCACTCGAAGCGCCGCAGCTGCTGCATCCACTGCAACGTGCCAATTCTCGACGGCTGCCGTCATCATGCCGTTGACAATGGTCGTCTTGATGAACCGGGCCGGGGCAGCTGTGTGGCACGATGGTGCTATCGCGAGCATGACCCAGATGTAGATGCCCAGGATTGCGGACCGGCGGCCGATGAGCATGTTCCACGAAAGGCCCCAGATCTGGAACATTTCGCTCTCGCTGCACACCTGGCTTGTTGGCACCCGGCTGAGGATCGCACGGCAGTAAACCGTGGCTGCCATGCGGACCATTCGATAGACAGGATCCGAGGCTTCGTTGGGCGGCGGACTCCTGTCGCGGGCATTATTTGCAGCACCAGCGGGTGAGCTGCTGTCGCTTGAGCCGTTGGGCGACCCGTTGTCGGATCCGTGGATCGAAGTGACAGGTGTATACAGGGCCACTGCATCTGGCAACTCGCCCAGGCGGCCGTATGCCCACGAGGCCACACTAACAGCGCCTTGCGACATTTCTGGCGTCGCATCCTCGGGCAGAGACAGCACTGCTTCAAAGACTGCGCGCATGTCGTCCAAGATTTGCGCTGTGTAGACGTGGATCTGTAGAGAACCAGCCATCGATGCGAACGAGGGCCAGCCAGTCAAGTAGGGCGTGTTGAGCGAGGATTGATATGGGACCATGATGGGGTCTACAAACGAGAAGCCGGGGCGCCCGTATATCTCGGGCTGAGTCTCGTGGGCGAGGGCCATGCAGACATCGTTTCTGTGCATACACGTATCAGCAGTCTAGCATCAATGGACGAGCGGTGGGACGACTCACATCAAGATGGCCTTTGCAATGTAGCCATGCATGCCCAGGTCCTGCAATCCCCCTCTCATCGCAACCATGGTCCGCAGCCCTTTCATGTGGGCATGCAGAGCCTGCGTGCCACCCCAGTACCATTCATCAAGCACCATTTCCGTCACAGCGAGTATGGCCACATCCGTTGTTTGCGTTTGAGGTGACTGAAGATACTCGTTGAGCGATTGGAAGACGGTACCGCGCAGAGCCACGACGACTGATTTGGGAAGGTGACGTATCTCGTTCAGGAAGCAGGCCGATGTGAACTGTATGATCTTGATGAGGAGCGGGTCCTGGATCATGCATGGCACCCAGTGCTTCATGAACGGGTGATCGGGATCGGGTCTCCCGCTTATGCAGGCCTTGTAACGCGACAACAATCGTAAATCTAGCATGTCAGTGAGTTTAGAGCTCTTCAGGTCGTATGGGGTTACTCACGAGTGCGTAAAAGCTCCTTGTTCAACCTGGTGGGCACCATGGGCAGATACCTCATCTCCGCGTCCAAGCTCTGCAGGCTGCTCTGTGGTCGCTGCTTGCCCTCGGCCTCCCAAATCAACCTCGCCGCGTCAAAGAGCCAGTCATCCGCAGAATGCGTCGCGGCATCATCGGAAGAGTATTTCTCCAGTATCTCTTGCAGAGCACCACCCGGTTGCCAACTGCCTGTTTGGCGTTGGTTTGTCGCGGCGAGCCTGAAGGGTAGCCAATGCCGGTAATGTGCTCTTAGTGAGTCCGCGGCAGTGCTGTACTCTGCAACTGCCGTTTGGCGGAATTGTAAGGATTTCTCGAGCTCCTTGATGATAGTGTGAGCGTTACTGCCCGGCCTCATCTCCAGCTGAAGGACGGCTTCTTGAATCCCGGCCAACCCAAGGTGAGCATAAGGGCTCTGTTTTGACACAGCTTGCGCAGCAACATCATCCGGGTTGCTCTTCCGTTTCCTGCGTCGTCAATACCACGGTCAATCACCCAAAGGAGCCATCCTACCCTCTTGGCTTGAAAGCGTAGTCACATATAGGCTGAGGAAAGCGTCTAGCGCAATTGGTGCACGGTTGTCCTTGGGAGCACTGTGTTCGATTTAATTAGCTTGCATCATAGGAGAGAAAGGGTGGACAAGGCGAGATCTGCAAGATGATAGCACGGCGCCTTCGCAGCTCTCACGTAAGAGACGCTGGTGTCATGGAGCGTCGGGGTCTTTGGACTGGGACGCGGCACCTCAAACAGCTCAAGCTCCGTCTCGTCTGCGAGTGGGCAACACAAATGCTGCGCAAACATTGATTGGAACAATAATCACGAATTGCAACTTACTTTTTGCTTCCTGCGGCGACATTCTGAGCAGGACAACGCCTGTCGATCCGGCCGCTTCGCCTTTGACGTTGGCCGAGACCCCTGCTGCTTGCTATGCAAGGTATCGGACATGATGGATCGTGTCACGTCGCCTCACTGGCGGCCGAAGGAGGGGATGGGGTCCAACAAGTGCGTGCGAGCGGCGCAACACCGCACGCTGACGGCTCCGGGCGAGTGAAGTCGGGCCTAGGAACCACCTCGCGGTCTTCCGGGGAGAGAAGAGAGATTCGGACGGACGTGATCTGGGCGAGCTGCCAAGGCGGGTGTGGGCAACGCGGAGTGTTCAAGTTGGCGGCGTGGCGCTCGCTGTCTCCCTCCCGTCGGTCGCTGCTGAGCTCCCCCGCCCCTGTGTGTCTTTGCGTCCTTGTGCTCTGAGATGTGCTCCTCAGCTGAGGCTGTGAACACTGAAAACCTTCCGCACCTGACGCGGACTTGGTCTGTGCAAGGTTCTGGTAGGTTAATACTATCGCTGTCGTCGACATGCGTTTTCGAGGGGCGTAAGTAGGTCGAGACTCGAGAAGTGGGACACAGTACCTTGTAGCCTGCTGCCTGCCTGGCCTTTTTAAAAGATCACCGTCGTTGTTACCACGGGATGCGGTCGCAAGCTTCTTTCGTCGCAATCAAGCTACCAACTCAATAACTTCTGCTAATAACTAGTAGGTGAGATATTTTAACTTAAGCAATTTACTCCACAAGCCTTCTGCAGGTACGTCGAAACGTCGAAGAGATCTCGAACGACAGTGAAAATCGATTGAGCCATGGCACTGCCTTATCGACATGGATCATTCAAGACCAACATTTCGGGTTCGACGGGACGACGTATCTTCTCGTCATACACTATATCTTTGGGATTTGAGCCATTTGGCAAGGGCGCCGCTACTAATCAAGTAGAATATGGTTGATTTATGTTGGTTAGTGCAATATCAATCCGTTTGGCCCGCCACTCAGGGTCCGTCTACAGGAGGTCCGCCCCCCACTGCGTCTGCCTGCACCCACTGCCTGTACCTATGGTAATCACTGCCAGTGTGGCGTGACGCAACGACGCGACTCCATACGCGACACATGCAAATCCGCCCATCATCATCATCACGGCTCAGGTGCTTCAGCACGACAAGTATTGCGTCAATTCGGCACTGCAAACATGGTCGCCACGCCCACAGTCACACAACACAAAGAAGCCTTCATCAACAGTCAGTCGCGACTTCTTGCCGGTTCCGTCACACCCTCCCAGAGGTGGACATCTTCCAACGAGCGACAATCCGATGGCGCCCTCGATCCGCGTCTCGTGACGGCCGCCACAGAGACAGTGAACACTGCCATACAAGAGCACGGGAAACGCGTATACGCGCCTCAAGCGAACAGGGCTCTTGCAGAGCAGATTGCCCAGAGTTATGCTGCCGAAGCGGACCGAAAGATCAGAGGCGAGGAAGAAGATGAAGCAGAGGGCATTGCGAAGGAGGTCGATCTAGGTATGGCCTCTCCAGTTTGTACGTCATGTGCTTTGGGCTAACCTCTTGTGCAAAGTGAACGACAAGGCCATCGAAAGCTTGCCGAACGCCTGGCCCTCGGACAAAAACGCGACAGACCACCCCGAGGCAGCAAAGCGCTATGCAGACAACGTCGCGACCCTCCAAGCACTGAACGAACAGCGCAGTGAAACAAGACAGCGAGTCGAACGGCTTCGTAGGCTCCAGTCGAGGATGGAACCCCTCCAGGCGACAGAGGCTGGCCAAGGCATACAGGAAAATCTTGTGACCCGCAACGGCGAGGTCGAAAAGGAACTGGAGAGGATGCGCACGCTTCTAGTCCGTGTATCTGGACGCCTGGGGAAAATCCCCGACGGACAACATGGGCCAGACATGGAACTACCTGCCGAGACACGAAAACGAGACATTGACAATTTTCTAAACGATGGGACTGCCTTCCCGCGCTGAGGCGCTATGTACACAGACAACTACCGCCTCTACCGCCTCTACCGCTTCACCTCCTTCAACCGACACATGAGCGCAGGCTTGTTCCAGGTGTTGAAAGCCTTGATGTGCTTCAGGTGCCCCGCCGGGTCCCAGACATCGAATGCATCTGGCGCATCTAGGTCCGCCCTCTCGACGTCGTAATGCCACAGCAAATTGCCCAGAATCAGCCTGAGCTCCAGGTAGCTCAGGTGCTTCCCGATACATCCGCGAGGACCGAGACTGAAGGGCTGGCTGGCCTCCTTGTTCTCGTCCGAGTACAGGCCCGACTTGTCGAGCCATCGTTCAGGAATGAAGACGTCCGGCTGGTGGAAGTTGCGCGGCGAGTGTGCCGTCGACCATCCGTGACAGGACACGGTGATGCCGCCAGGCAGCCACTCTCCTGCGACGCTGTCGCCCTCGCTGGGCACTGTGCGTGTCAGACCCGTGGGCAGGGGAGGGAAGATGCGTAGTCCTTCGTCGATGCAGGCGTTCATGTACGGCAGCTCCTGGAGCTTGGTGAACTCCATATCTGCTGCTGTGGGGAAGTTGTTGCGGATCTCGTCCGTAAGCTTCTTGTACGCGTGAGGGGTGCGCATGAGCCACATGAGCAGACCGGATAGGAGAGAGGCCGTGGTCTCCGACCCAGCGACGATGAAGAGCGCCGAGTTCAGGATGATCTCATCTTGGGAGACGCCACCCTTTTCATTCTGTCGAAGGATGTAATACAAAAAGTCGTTGTGCTCTCGTCGCAGTCCTTCGTCGATGCGTTTGAGACACTTTTCCTTGCTGAGCTCCAGATGCTGGAAGCGCTTCATTTTCAGGTCGGCGGGGATGAACTTGCATAGGAAACGTTGCATAAAGGACCCTGTTGTGAACATGCGCCGGGTGGCTTGCTCGTAGGCACCCGCTTTGATGGTCTGCGTGATCAGCGACACCCAATCGTGCCAGACACCGTCCCTCAGACAGCCAAACGGCTCGCCAAAGGACATGTCACCAATGACATCAAAAGTTGTAAAGTCTTTACTGTCAGCCTTGCGACACAGCCTTGAGTACCGGAGTCAATACTCACTGAACCAATCGCACATGTTGGCCGGCTTTCCTGTCTGGGCAAAGGGCCTGAGCTTCGTGACGAACAAGTCCACGTAGCCCCTGATGATGGACTCCTGCTCCAGCAAAGCTTTCTGCGAGAAAGCGTGGGACAAGGTGCGGCGTTGCCGGGAGTGATTCTCGTCGTCTGCCATGGTGAGAGTGGTGGAACCAGGGATGTCCTGGACAGAACCGACACTACTCGATTAGTCTACTGAACCTCATTCTCCCGAGGCTCAACTTACTGGATAGCTATAACAAGTCAGTACGAAGCAGGCCAAGGTGACTGGGAGACCTACGATCTTTATGAAATTGCGGATGCCCTTGTCTGTGGCCGTAGATGTCCTTCCAGGCTTGCGGGTCGGTGAAGGTCAACTCGTTGGGCATGGTACGCAGGATCGGCCCGTACTTCAAATGCAGCTCGTGGACATCAAAGGGCCAGCGACCCCGGAAGAGTCCCCATATGCTGTACACCTGGAATTGTCAGACCCTCATCGGGGAGAAGCACGGGACGCGTCGAGTTACCGGAGAGATCTTGGCCCAAAGCGGACCAGGATACTTGGCCAGTGGGTGAAAGTAGACATTGTAGATTGCTGCACCGACTAGATACACGACGCCCTTGGTCAATGTTAGTACGGGCATGGTATATGAACGTTTTCAGGACTTACAAGTCCCAAGCTTAGTAGTGCAAGGTGTCCTGCATTCGACAGGACAAGCTCAACAACACCCATCTTGCCGTACACTCAAAGAAGAAGAAGGAACTTGTTCAATGTGGGGAGTGTTGAAGATACTTGTTCAGGTTGAAGTTGGGAGCACTCCAGTCCTCATCGCTCGCGCGCCTATATAGACCAGAGCCAGGTGTGCTGACCATCGTGGTTCAGCCCTCGCCACAGCCTCCAGTCCCATTTCTCGCCAATCCCACAGAACATAATCACCGTAAACGGCAATCGTTCAGTGTCTTAACCCCGCAGTCTATGGTCTCCCTGTGACCTATATCCGGGGAAGTGGATGAGGCTGGCGGGTATTCATTTCCGTTGTGACGCGAGGGGTAGTTAGGTTGGATCAGGATCCGGTCTGAGTCGTCCATTGCTGGAGAACTTGGGCTCTGCGAGTCATGAAGAGCGAAATACAATAATAAAAGGCTGCCGTTTGGGCAAAGGATGCTTTTGCATCGAGTGAACATGTTCTCAAGATCACCCAAAGTTTGCACGCTGGAACATGTTAGGTGCAATACATTGAGCTTATTCCGTCGATCAAAACGCTACCATATTGTCCTCCTCAACACACCAAACATGAGGAACTTGATGTCAATATTCAAGTAGCTGTATATTCCTCCAGGTATTCTGAAATTAGCAATTTATTGCCAATGTCTTGGTCACTCGGAAATCTTCTTTTGGTTGTAGGTGGTGTGCTAATTCAGCCACACCATGGCCGTGCAGGGTAGCTCGTGACGGCAGATCGACATGCAAATCGGCCGGATCCAGCGCTTTCGCATTCGCCTCTGCAACCGTGATCCGTCTCATGTTTGTTTACATACTTAGTAGACTTTGTCTTTGAATATTTCTATGCGTTTTCTAGCAAGGCGAACCCCATGTTCATCGGACTACGACGTTGTTCTCTCACACACGTTAAGATGTTGCGTAACCGGAATTCGCCTCGCACTCGCTTCAGGCGCATGCATGTCCGAGCAACTGATTTGCCTGACGACATGACTTCAGTCGCGCCGCAGCCATCTCTGCTTGGTCCTTCACATGACAACCTCGCTTCACGCGAGCGCCTAATTACTGACCTCTTCTCGACGAACAGGCCACTCTCATGCATCCACCCAAATGAGAGAGGCAAGTGTATAAATATCGCGTTCGCATCCGCCGTGTCTAGGCGTTGTGATTCCAACAGAAACCTTCTCATTCTACACTATTATTTAAGACGTAAAAATACGCGTTTTTCATCAGCGCCATAAAGCGCAAAACATTTGGCTTTTTCTGTTTGGATAACGGGCTCCCGCACTAGGATCTCACCACCATGGCTGCTACAACAGACACGAGGCCGCTCAATGCGAGTGGTACTTACACACGAACTTCAGCCCATGAACTGGAGGACCGCCAGCTGTCGATCGACAACATCATGTCGCAAGCATGGAAATCATGGCCTAATGAAGCTGGCGTATGTCTCTACCCCAATCTAAGCAAGACTCTTTTGGAGACTAACTGGGCGCAGTTTGTGGGCCTGAACGAAGTCCGCGGCCCTGTCGCCTTGAAAGTCTCGGGCACAATTCCTCCATGGACGGCGGGAACACTGTACCGCACTGGCCCTGGCGAATCCCAGATCGAAACCGCAACCCGCGGGACGCATTACGTATCCCACTGGTTCGACGGCATAGCCCAGACGCACAAGTTCAGCATCGCCGCGTCGCCTTCTGGCGACGTGAGCGTTGACTACTCGAGTTGCCTCCAGGGCAAAAAGCTCATCGAGGACATCAAGAAACGCGGCTGGCGCGCCTGTAGCACGTTTGCTCAGAAAGTCGATCCTTGCATTGGCATCTATGCGAAGATGCAAGCAGTGTACAAGCCCCTGGGGACCGATCACAACGTCGTCGTAGAGCGCAACCTCCCGGGCCTGTTTGAGTCTGCCTCCCGGACTGATCCCACAACAAAGACAGAGAACCTTTTTGTTTTCACAGATCAATCTACTATGCGCCAGATCGATCCAATCACACTCGAACCGCTGGAGCTACGCGCCCAAGCCGAGATGAATCCGAAGCTCAATGGACAGCTTGGCTGCGCGCACTCGCAACGAGATCCAGAGAATGGCGACCTTTTCAACTACAATCTCCTGCTAGGACCGAAAGTTACCTATCGCATTTTTCGTGCGTCCGCGCAGACAGGCAAGACAGACATCCTGGCTACGGTGTCGCTGCCCGATATCAAACCGGCATACATCCACAGCATGTTCCTCACCAAGAATTTTGTGGTTCTGTGTATACCATGCACGCACTTTGGCTGGAACGGCGTGAAAATACCGTGGGAGAGGAACGTGGCCGATGCAATCTTGCCCTTTTCCGAGAGCAGAAAGTCCCAATGGCTCGTTGTCGACCGACGGCGCGGAAAGGGACTCGTCGCCAGGTTCACCACGCCTGCTGGTTTCTTTTTCCACTCCATCAACGCTTTTGAGGAAGAGGTTGAAGGAAAGCGCACGCTTTATTTTGACGCGGTGTGGTATGCGAATCACGACATGATTTCCGCCTTTTACTACGACGTGATCATGGACCGCCACGAAGCGACACAGAAGCACTGGGTTGCCCAGGAGGCGTACAAATCATGTCACCAGCATCTTCGACGATATTCATATACTCTCCCCGAGGATAGAAACGTTGTTGGGGAGGGAGACCTTGTGTTTGATATCCCCGGTCCGCATGTGGGCGAGCTCCCCACCATCAACCAGCTGATGAGCACAAGGCAGCAACGCTATGTATACAGCAATGCGATCAGAGGTTTGAGCACCTTTATGGATTGCATTGTCAAGACGGACTTGGTGACTAGGGAGGTAAAATACTGGGCTGGCCCCGAGACACACACGCCAGGGGAAGCCATATTTGTCCCCCGTCCGAGGGGAGAGAACCTTCAGGGCCAAGAATGTAAGGAAGGTGCGGGAGCCGGGGACGAGGACGATGGCGTATTGTTGAGCGTCGTGCTTGATGGACAAGGGAAGCGAAGCTACCTGCTAGTTCTCGATGCCAAGACGATGAAGGAGGTTGGGCGCGCAGAGTGCGAGTTTCCCGTGGGCATTGGATTTCACGGACTCCATGCTGTCGCAGTTTAGCCATGGTTCAATATGCAGAAAGGTACTTGTTCTCGTCTAGACTATATTGGCGTATGCGCGGGCGAAGATGCTGTGCCTGTGCGTTTGGCCACAGGACCGCGCTGACCGTCGACTACAATGACGCACCGAGTACGGGGCACGATCGACCTTTGTCATCCTCTTAAAGTGCAACCAAGCTAGATATCATCCGTGGTTGCAATGTTGTGCAAAAGAATGGGAGGAAATGATTTGCATTTAGTGGGAACAAATCCAAAACCTATAGAGTACACACTATCATTCTTCCAAGTGCGGTGCACCAAGAAACAGATCCTCTGCGCCACGTACAAAAAGAAAAGAAAGCAAACCACAGCTAAAACCAACCATCCCCGGATATCACTGATGCAAAACTAGCCCCGCAACTATATACCATGAAGTTTTCGTCGTTCTTCGTAGCAATCAAGGCTCAACCCATCACTCGCCCGCTCTCTAGGCGGTAGCAGCCTCGGGCGTGCCGGTGGGGATTTTGGCAGCGGTGCCGGCGAGGTCTGTCGCCTTGACCTTGGGGTTCTTGGTGTAGTAGTCTGAGATGGCGGACTTGATCGCGTCCTCAGCCAACATGGAACAGTGCACTGCCAGATTCGTTAGTCATCGTGTCGTGGGGTAATTCAAAATGTTGGGAAACACGTACGCTTCACGGGGGGCAAGCAGAGCTCCTTTGCAATTTCAGTGTTCTTGACCTGGCCGGCATCGTCGAGGCTCATGCCCCTCACGAGCTCGGTCAAGTAGCTGCTGCTGGCAATCGCGCTGCCACAGCCAAACGTCTTGAACTTGACGTCGCTGATCTTGTTGGTCTCGGGGTCGACGCGGATCTGCAGCTTCATGACATCGCCGCATGCCGGCGCTCCTACGAGGCCGGTGCCGACATCGAGGTCCTTCTTGTCCATGGAGCCGACATTGCGTGGGCGGGAGTAGTGATCGAGGACCTTCTCGTGATACCCACGACGGGCAGAGGGCACGGCGCGGGTCGCGGCAATCGACGGCCTGGCCGCAGAAACAGCAGTCTGGCGGGCGATGGCGGGGAGAGCCCTCGTCGATGCGACGCGGAGTCCACGGGAGAACATTGTGATGGTGTAGTCGGGTTGTCAAAGACTTTCGGGGTGTCTGAGGTTGTCGTCAACGAGAAATATCTCGCTTTTATCGATTCCGACTGAAAACGCAACTGTGTGGTCGATGTTCGTGTTCAGGTTTTCGTTGAAATGGTAGATCACGGGTATTGATTGATTGTGAAATGGTTGATGGAAAGGTGCGAGAGAGGGTGTAGAGGGCCGAGGATTATCTGGATCATGGAGATAATGCTGCTCGGAGGCGAGCCTCCAGAAGAGGAGCTCCAGTTTCCCACAGGCCTATAGCCAATCAAATCGGACCTATGCTCTCGTCATTACGTTAACGATGGCTCGGCTCCTCGGGGACATGGATGAGTAAGCGACTGTCCACCAATCAGCGGAGGATCTGATTAGATTAGAAATGAAGACCGAACAGTCGACAGGCCGAGGCCGGAGAAGGACCCTTACAACTGCAGACATTTATTTCTACGTGCACAGTCGTGCAATTTTCGCGGGAGAAGAAGATGTGATATATTGATCATGTCACTTGCATCGTATGAACTGGTAGAAAGGCTGAAACGTCTACTATGGAGCGCTCTTGGAGCTTTAGGCCGTTGAACACTGAGGCACGCTCAGCCAAAACATCTCTCCTCGCGACCTATCGCTTCACGCAAACGAAGTAGTTTCGATCGTGGGTTTTTGATTGGATGTGGGAGTATGTATTGCTCCAATGCTTGGTGAGCGCAAGCAACGAAGGCCGCAATGTCAGCTTTAATTCACCGACAAAAAAGCGCTCGGAGGCTCGGACTTGAAACCTCAGGTAGAACAACTGGGGGACGACGCTTGGCTGAATCGCCACTCAGTTTGAAAGAATAGGCGTCCTGTGAACTGAATGACGTGAAGTGGGAACGCAAGACGTCAATTCTGGGCCTCACTCCTCAGTGATCATCGAGCCCCAGTGGGCAAACTACTACAGTGACGCCACGATATTCTAGCCACATAAGGCCAAGCCACACCCCGCCCCCGCCTTCGAACCACAGCTCCCAAGGCTGCGCGTCGCTAAAGCTGCGTTCGCGATCGTCACCTACAGCCTGGTGTATTCTGTTTTTTTGTTGCTTCAGGTTGACCCTTTCTTTCCAGCAGCGAAAATATTTGTTGGGAGTGTAGCAAGAGAGAAACGTCAGCTTCATTTCTTTTCACTATGGCGTGTCCCCACCTTGAGTCCATAGGTTCGTCAACAAACGTTCACGGACCCAGCTCCCCTAACGCTTGTAGGACTCACTGCGCCTGCGCCAACCCAGTCTGTCTACCGCGAGGATTGCACGCAGTGCTTTGATTCTATCGTAAGAGCATTCACCTCAAAAAGAGACAGCAAGCTGACCGTTCCAGGATGACGCCGCTGGTCTCGATGTATGCCTCCAGTGCTTCAACGGCGGCTGCGCCGGGGATCGCCTACACAACAAGCTTCACAGCATCCAACGAAGGCACCCCCTCGCCTTGAATATCAGAAGGACCCCCAAGACCGTCGAGCGTGATGAGCCGCCCGCGAAGATGTCCAAGCTGGCCATTGCTGCCGAAAAAGAGGAGGACAAGTACGATACTGTGTTGACGCCGCGGTGCCTAGAATGCAATGTCGACCTCGACGTCTCAGACTCCAGGGTGGCAAACTTGGTGGATGCGATCATGCGAGCGAACACCTTCGCGCGCAAAGAGGAGGTCAAGGCATGGGAGCAAGAGTTGACGACATGCGAGCACATTCTACTGATGCAACAATCCGAGTCGCGCAAGATCGAGCAGAGTGACTTGAGTCACTGCTATGCTTGCGATCTCAAAGAGAATTTGTGGCTATGTTTGGACTGCGGGAATCTGGGCTGTGGGCGCAAGCAGATGGGCGGCTTGGACGGTAACTCCCACGCCTTGAAACACAGCGACGATTCAGGGCATGGCGTAGCCGTCAAGCTTGGTTCCATTACTCCCGAAGGCACCGCAGACATCTACTGCTATAAGTGCGACGATGAGCGAGTCGATGACAAGCTCGGAGAGCACCTGGCGCACTGGGGCATAGTGCTGGCTGAACGCCAGAAGACCGAGCAGAGTTTGACGGAGATGCAGATTGAACAGAACCTGAAATGGGATTTCAGCATGACGACGGAGGATGGCAAAGAGCTGAAGCCCCTCTACGGCCCGGGCCTGACGGGACTGAAGAATCTCGGCAACAGTTGCTACCTAGCCAGCATCGTGCAGTGCCTCTTCGATCTGCCATCCTTCCAGCAACGATACTACCGACCGAACGACGATCTGCCCATGGTGCTGGATCCCGCTACCGATCTCGAGACACAGCTGAGGAAGATGGCGGATGGCTTGTTGTCTGGTCGCTATGCGAAGCCGGATCCCACAGTTCATGCCGAGTCCAGTGTGACACATCAACGAGGACTGGCCCCGGCAATGCTGAAGCACCTCATTGGGCGAGGACATGAAGAGTTCTCGACAATGCGCCAACAGGACGCACTTGAGTTCCTGCAACACATGTTCAAACTCGTTTCGCGATCAGAGCACACGGGCGAGAAACAAGACCCTACCCGTCAGTTCCGTTTCGAGCTGGAGCAGCGGCTACAATGTCTAGGGTGCAAGAAGGTCCGATACAGCTCTGATGAGCAAGACAGTATCTTCCTGAACGTACCGCTCCGCAAGATGCCCGCAAAAGAAGGTGCAGAGGGCCCAGACAAGTACGAGTCCATTACATTGGAGGAGTGCTTGGACCTCTTTACTGCCGACGAAAGTGTCGAGCTTACCTGCTCGTCTTGCGGCAGCAAGGATGGCTTCAGCAAGCGATCACTCTTCAAGACCTTCCCCGAGGTGCTGGCAGTGAACGCACGCAAGATGACTGTGGTGAACTGGGTGCCCATCAAGGTGGACGTCCCCGTCATTGTCCCGGATGAGCCCTTCTCCCTGGACAGATACTTGTCCAAAGGACTGCAGGAGACGGAGGAGCTGCTGCCAGAGGAGGCACAGGCCGAGACGCCTGCCTTTGCACCAGAGCCAACGGCGCTCGCAACGCTGGAGGCGATGGGTTTCCCATACAATCGTTGTGCGAGGGCACTGTATGCGACGGGCAATTCAGATACTAACAATGCTGCCGAATGGCTGTTCTCGCACATGGAGGATCCCGACATTGACGAACCACTCGTCCTAGGGAACGCTGCTCCCGGGGGTAGCGAGGCTGACCCCGAGAAGATTGAGTCGCTCGGCGCCATGGGGTTCGCCGCACCTGTAGCGAAGAAGGCGCTCAAAGAGACGGGAGGAGACATGGAGCGAGCAGTGGACTGGCTGTTCAGCCACCCGGATGACCAGGGGCTGATGGATGAAGACGAGGCACCCAAGACGGCAAAGGAGCCCGCCGGACGTGCCGACTTGCCAGCGAACTTTCAGTTGCAGTCCATCGTCTGCCACAAGGGCACCAGCATCCACGCAGGGTGAGTGCTGCTTTACTTATCTTATTGACGAATACTGACAAGAGCAGTCATTACGTTGCCTTCATCCGCAAGTCCCTCCAGACGGATAGTGCGAGCAACGCTAGCTGGGTCCTCTTCAACGATGAAAAGGTCGTGGAAGCGCACGATGCGGACGAAATGCGCAAATTCGCCTATGTGTACTTTTTCAAACGGGTCTAAGGCGGATTCCAAAAAGAGTGAACATGACGTTGGGGAGCTGTGAGGAGTCACTGAGAACATTGCATGGCGAGGCGTGGGTTAGATAGAACCGGGTTGGCGAAGCATAGACGAGACACAGGGAATAAAGCCAAGGCTTCAAAGCCATTCGTACACATTATGTTACACATCAACGCCCATTGCTACTATCCTGCAGTAGCATTGATTCCCAATCCCATTTCCCACGACCTATAGCTCGTCACTCGCCTAGGCGATAGCTGACCAGTGTATCGACCCGGTGGTTGGCCGTGCTGAACCCGCGTAATTGTACCCTTTCTCCGTTCTCAATCTCCTTGGCATCCGAGTCGCCCCATTCCACGGGGACGTCCGAGTCGGCGTCGGCATACACGAGCACGTTGAACGTGCAGTCGCCCGAGAGCTGTGGGAGGAAAGTGACGGACGCAGTGATCTGGCGGAAGATGGCGGCGATCTCCGCCTGGATCTCTTGCTCAGTCTTCTCCTCGGTCTGGGTGGCGCTTGAGGCGGCTGCCGCTGATCTGGACGCGTTCTCGTCGGTCGGTTTTGACTTTGACTTGGTCGGCTGGAAGATTTGCACCTATTGTTCCGCGCCACATGGTTAGCCAAACCACACCGAGTCAAGGGGACTAGGTCTGCCCACATCAAACTGCCACCGCTCGACGTGCTCCCCCGTGTCCTTGTCTGTGATGACAATCACGAGCTTTGAGATTTTACCTCCAACCATCCACTTGTCTAATTGGGACATGATCTTGCGGATATATGCTTTGACCTGGTCGTCGGAGGAAACCAGCATGTTGAGGCCATATTTCTTGACGGCGGAGAAGTCTTCGGCGGGGTACACACCGCGCTGGAAGCTGTCGCATTGTCAGTCTCGGTCGCGGGGATTATGCCTTGCGATGGAATCGAATCTGGGGCGGTCTTCGTACAGGATTGTGTGTATGGAGTATTGGAACTGTGGCCAGAGGGTTAGCTTGCGCGCGCGAGTGAGCTCCGAGGAGGGGTGGGATTGACGTACAAACTCGGCGACGAGTTTTGCTGACCCCTTGAGGGCAAGCTTATGTGTCTTTGCCTTTTCCTTATCCTTGGGGTCCCTTGAGGACTTTGACGGCGGTTTTGTCGACATGATGGTTCGGTGTGTGCTTGATGGATGTGGTGGAAGATGGCGAGGCGTTTTGTTTACTTTGCGGGGAGTGCTTGGTTGGCGGGGGGGACGCCGTTGCGCAGTATTCGGTTTCAGCTACCCTGCATCTTTGCCTGGTCGACTGGATGCGGGCTCCAATATCGCCCAGGAAATAACAACAAGAGCACCAAAAACCTCCATTAAACACGCAGCCAAAGGGTTTTCTATACAAATATGGAAATGGCATTGTTTTCTCCGAATCACAAAAGCACTTTCAACCCTAGTCCTCGACTAATTCATGAGATCCTCCGGCCAAGCTCGCGTGGTGAATCTCATCGTCACCTCAGCCCCGACTTGACAGCAAAGTTGCGCCACCCAACGCCTTGCCCGATTATAAAACGTATGCCAATGAACCCGCCTGCAAAAAAAAGGCCTGGCCGACGAGACAGTACCTTAACGTACAAACCATCAACAGTCTATGGTCTAAACAGCTTCAAACCGCCATCCTCCTTCCACTCACCGTCCGCAAGCCAATTACACCAACCCAAGGTATCGGTCGTCAACCTCTCGCCCACCCTCTGCACCAGCTCATTCAGGCCATCCTGCCAAGTGATGTCCACCGAGATCTCACCTCCCTTGACACCGAAGCAGGACAGGATGAACAAGGACCGGCAGAGCTCCGCGCTGAGGCTGAACATGGCTCTGCTAATATGCCACCCGCCCTCAGCTGAGCCACCATGTCCGTCGATCACACCCAGATTGGTGACCTGCCATGACTCCCGACGGGGCTTCTTCATGGATCGGGTCACCTCGCTTCGCCAGTCGCCGACAAGGCCCATCAGGCTCATAATATCGTCTTTGAAGCCCTTGTCCAGACGCTCCTGGACGTGTCCGCGCGTCAGCCCGGCAACCTCCCACACCACAGGCTCCAAGTAGGCCAGGCCTTGCGAGGGATCCTGCGTGCCAATATTCTTGGTGATTCGGAGCACGTCCTCTTCCGTGAAATCGTGTGCGACCATGGTGACGAGATTGTTCACCATGCGTTTCGGATCGACGCCGTTGACCGAGGAGCCCAGAAATCGTCGCTGATCGACGGCCGTGCTTCCAGAGAGGGAAGGCTGGCCATCCATGTCCTTCAACTCATGGTAGAGCGACGCAAAGACGATGCCGTTGAGCATGCTCGTAACCGTGGCCCCATTCTTCCGACAGGCTGCGACGATGCGTTTGCTCTTGTCCGCGTCGATCAGGATGGACGTGCGGTTCGTGGTGGTTGGACTCGTCTGGAAGGGACCCCACTGCTTCTGCGTGTAAGTCGGCTTCGACATGAACGATGGCTTCAGCTCGTCCCATGCCGATTGAATGGCGAATCCAGGACTTGATGAGAAATTGGCCAGCTTGTTCTGGGGTGGCGTGAACGGGCCTGTCGACTGGCCGAGCAGGAGGACATTGCCGTGGAGGTTGACAGGCCGGTCCGGCTTTTGCGTGGGGTCGTCGAGGAAGCTGAGGAGATCCTCGTGAAAGATTTTGGCGCTCATCCCGTCGGCAATGGTGTGGTTGAACGCCCACATCACGTCGACGAAATCTCCTCCCTGGGTCCTGGTGACTACGAGACGCCATCCAGGTCGCGTCTCCCTCTCCTCGAACCGGCGGTCAATCTGCTCATTGAGGACGTCTTCGACGGCGGTGGCATAGTCCTGCTCTGCGGGAACGGTATGCCACTCGGTAATCTTGTCGAAGTCGATCGAGTCCAGGCGCACCCAGTACGGCTGTTTGGTTGACTCCTTGATGATTCCAACCTGCATCAACGGGTGGTTGAGTGTAGTCTGGGCTACCGCGCGGATGATGGTCTGCTGCAGTGCTGAATGCTCAGATGCTGGTCGCAACTCCTGTGGGACAACGTATCGACAGCTGATGACAGTCGCACACATGGCTTTGAGGGTATAGAGCGCCGCCATGTATCGTTCCCTTGACGCTGGTTAGTGCACCGTCTCCTGCGTACAGGGTACGACATTCCACTCACATGTGGCCCAGCGGTCGCACCACCATGGGCGACGCGCCTTTGTGCGTCTTCTTCGTCCCGTCGACAGCAGCCATTTCGCGTTTTGCAGCAAAGCTGGTCGATTAAGCTTGACTTGCGAGCAAGGCTGACATTGCGGGTGCCCACATTCCATATATATGTACGAAGAAATCACGGGCCATGCTGACAGGTCCAGCCTCACCAAGGGCTTACTTGGCCTTGTCGAATCAGGATCATTATTAGCCACCGACTGTCATTTCAATGCTTACGACTGGAGTCCAAACGTCTGGGGTCTGGACTGTCGCTGAGGTCCGCCGCGGGTGGTCCGCAACGGCAGCCCGCGCGCCCCGAAATGGCAACGGTCCGTCGGCGCAATGTCGACGAACAAGCCCAAGAATGACCAACAGGCGATGGGAGGACGGTTGAAGTATCAATTGTATATTAATTATAGCACAGCCCGGCGTTGGCTATTGCGCCCGAAACATGGCCATCATCAGCATGTCATCGCGGCCCTCCTAAGCTACGCGCGCGGGACGCCGTTTGAACCAGTTTTTGGGGTTGTAAGGATTTCCATCCTTGGCACCCTCAGCCTTTCTCGAATCCTCCCCCACGTCTCCGCCAATGACCAGGCCTCGGACACCTTGCTGTATCTCGTCGAGGTGGTAGTCGCTCATCAGCAGACTGAAGACGAAAATCGGGGCGCAGACGCAGACGGCAATCGTCAACAGCTTCGTCATGGTCTCCTGGTACGCGCGGTTGATGGCGATGCGCTCGTCGCTACCCTGCGGGTACGCGAGCGCCTCGTCGATATCGGAGTAGATGAGGGTCGCGTTCACCTTGGCCGCGTCGGGCAGATACTCATTCAGCTTGGGGACAATGTTCTGTCCCCAGACCGCGCCGCTGATGGCTGAGCCGACGGCACTACCGATGCTCACAATGGTCAGGAATATGGCCGTTGCGGAACCCAGATCTTGGTGACTGGCGCTAGCTTGGACACCAATCTGCGCCGGCACGTTGAGCATACCACCTCCGAATCCAAGGAGCACCTGGCTTCCTATAATGGCAGACAGCGAGGCTGTTTCGGTGCGGTAATGCATCATGAGGCCCATACCCATCATGTACAAGGCGGATCCCCCGACCACGAACCACTTGTACCTAAGGGTCAGCTTGATGAGGATGGAGACGATGATGGACGAGACGGTTGACGAAAAGGTAAAGGTCTGTGTAACGTACACCGCCGTCTGGTTTGGGAGTCCTCGTACGACCAAGAGATACGATTGGAAGTAGGGATACACGGACAGGTAAAAGGCCATGAAGTAAAAGAAGACGAGCACGCAGCCGGCGCTGAATGTTCTGGACTTGAGCAGATACAATGGCGTCAGCGGGTGTGGAGCCGTGTTGGCCATGATTTTGCCAGGCACACCCTGGATGTTGTGCTTCTTTGCGAACCGCGAGCTGGCCTCCCAAAAGGGGTAGATGACCACGAGAACGGCACCGACAGTAACCATGGCTATGATACTACGGTTGGACCATCCGCCAGAGACATTGGCGGCGATTGTGCAGGGCACAAGAATCAGGGCGAAGCCAGCTCCGAGGAGGATCATACCGCCCACGTCGAGGTCCCTCCACAGGTTGCCCAAGACGGCGAGAGGGCCACCTTGCATAGTCTGGCGCTTCGGGGGCAAGAGACCCATCCTCTTGGCTTTGAGCCCGTTCGCAACCAGGGACGTCAGCAGGGGGAGAAATGCAGCGGGCAGCAGGACAGCAAACATGCCGTAGCACCAGCGCCAGCTGCCCGTCTCCTCTCTGATCCTGTCGCTGATGGCGACGCCGACCCAGGTGGTGACGAGAAATGGCAGATCGGGTAGCGTCGACATGATGGCGCGCCAGCTCAGATCGGTCGTGTCGGCGACGAAGACTTGCTGCAGGATCTGCAGACCAGTGCTGCCTGACGAGTAGAAGATCTGAGCAGCGGCAAAGGTCTGGACGTTGTTGGAGCAGGCCATGGCGATAAAGCCGAGGACAAAGAGCAAGACGGAGAGACAAAATGCTTCTGTGCGGCCAAACACGTCGGCAATCTTGGCCATGGGAGGCTTGACGATGGCTGGGATGGGCAATTAGCTGTTGGCTCGACTGATGGCCTCGCGATAGGGGACGTACTGAGGATGACGCTCTGCACTACATTGATGGTCGACACCAGCGAGTGCTGCGAGAAGGAACTGGTGACAAAGATGGTGACCGAGCCCGTCACTTGGCCCTCGAGAGAGGTGACGAAGGCCATGAGGAAAATGCCGAGATAGGCCACTCCCAGTCCAACCTTTGTCCAGGATTGGGAGATGGCCTCGATTCCCTTGACGCCATCCTGCAGTGACTGCGCAGACGACTCGGTGTCGTCGACTACGGGCGTTTCGTGGAGCGTTTTCTCCGTGACTGGTTGCTCGTGTGCCCGCGAGGACGCCTGTTCATGTGGTTGTAAGGAGGACTGATCGATATGTGGTTGGTCGGCCATGATCAATGGAGCAAGTGCGCACACGCCTGTGCTCGCTGAGACCCTCAAAAAAAAAGATGCATCTGCGCGAAGGAGAGAAGAAGAGAAGAAAAGGCTGTAGGAAGAGACGTATTTACCGTGGAGGCTATAGATTGATAAGATTTGATCCGGCAGGGTGCGGCACCCAGGCGATGCCAGATGGCGTCAAAGGCGAATGAATCCTTCGGGCGACTCTTGACTTGGAAACGAGGGCAATTAAGTTAAGGTTATTTTGTTAAGGCTGCGCCAGCGCAGCTGCAATCGACCCATTCTGCCAGAATATCTAGCAGCCTCTGATGCAGTCCTTGTCGACCACATCAGAGGCGAGGATAGAGTAGGAAGTCGAACAGGCTCGAAGGTGAGTTGGTCAACTTGGTTGGATGCGCTTGACCTCAGCGTCCGGATATCCACTGCTCCTGCCATCTTGGGCGCGGTGGAGTTTATCTTGATCGTCGTCTAAGTTAATTACTGTAACGCTAGTCAGTTTGCGGAAATCATGGATGGACAGCTCGCAGCGCGAACGGCGCAAAGTTCAAACTCAGTCACTCACACTCATTGCCTGTTGAACACTCGATAGTCGTCTATCTCAAAAGTTTGGCCGACACCACGTCGACAGATGGCCTGAGAAAAGTCACTCTGAGCTTGGGGTCGGCGAATAGCTTCAACATCTAAACATGCGCATGGGACCTAGGTAAGGATGCGAAGCTCACACCACTGCGCAAAGACCAGGGCAGTTTGTTGAGGCACGGGCGCTGTTTCACTTCACAACAAGTCTTGATAACATAGGTCTCGTCTTCATAAAATGAGCTGGTTCGATTTCGAGATAGGCAGAATGAAACTGATTGCGGGAAGCCGGTGTCACCATTCATTCACACAATTGCAGCGATCATTCACAGCAACGTTTCTTTGTTAGACAATGGCCATCTCGGAGAGCAAAGGAAATAACAGCAGAAACATTAGCAACAGAAGAACGCCTTGGTGTTGGTGTAATTCAAATATACACGAGGGTAACATTGGAACCATGTCTTGTTCGAGTAAATCCAGTCGGTATGGATATACAGCCGTACACATGTAGTCGACGCGCTATCATGCAAAAAGGGCCGGAAGAGAACATGGGTTCACAAGATGATCCCAGGAATCCGGAAAACTTGTCAGCTTCACCATTTTCTCTTTCTATGTATTGAACAGGCTTGGCGCGACAATGCTCATGCAACTCTGCTTAATGGCTCAGGCCCCAGAGCGTGTAGGACTGGTGAAGCTGCTCTTGTCCTTGCATTGTTTTGAGGCGCCTTGGTATACAAAGATTTGATGTTACAGTACTCGACCGGAAAATCATTGACCTCAGACGAGGGCCCTGATCCTGAAACGCTTTTGCCAATCTTGAATTGAAGGTAGAATCAGTGCATCTTTGTGTCCGGAATCTACTCTACGAGCAATCAACAGAGACGAATCAGCTTCCTATGGCGAGCGGTACCCCAAGTATTCAAAGACTTAGAGCTTTCCCTCCCCCTTGAGCTACATGAAACCAATTGTCCCTGGAGGTATGACTACTCGATGTCGCTCTTTAGGCGGCCAAGAGAACAAGAGGCCGACGTCCTCTGTTCGCATGGTGAGACGTCGCGCATGAGCTTGTGAAGTGTATTTACAATGGTACAATGAGGACTTCCTTGAGGAAAGCAAAGCGGCATCGACAAGTATAGAAAGGCAAGTCTTCTTCTTCACATTGCTCCTACATCAACAAATATTACAATCCACTGCCTCATCACCATCCAGACCTTGACTGCTTGCTTCAACCGCGAATTGCTCACCATGGCAGAGCCTCAAAACTTTCAAGAGAACAAGAACGGTAGCGAGACATCGTCAAACATTGCCTACGACAACCATGAACTCCCCAGCACGCTTCTAGCTGCATCGTCTGGCGACACAGCAGACGGCACTCCGGGAACAAACAACAACCCAGCAGTCACTGACTGGCTCGCTGCATCCACCTCAATCACGCCAGAACATGCAGAAGGCCTGCCAGCTGAGAATCCCAGTGGCGCAGCTTCTCTTGCCAATCCTGACGGCGACGCACTTCGCCTGCACCGACCCATGCGTTTCTGGGGAATTGCCGAGACTATCTTTGAGAATATCTATGGCCCAATGTCAGCTGGGCCGACCTCATCTGGTTCTTCTCCAGCCTGGGCTATAGCCTAGACCAAAGCCGGCCAGGCTCTCGTGTGGCCTTCAGCCATGATGAAGACCGTTGCCCCTTTCCAACGTGGGAGACTTGGCAGGATCCTACGACACGGGAGAACCACGAGAGCAATGCCCGCTTCATCTTCCATAGACCACACCCAGAGAGCACCATAAAGGCACAGAAGATCCTGCGTATTAGGAATTGGCTTGAACGTGCTGGCGTCAACATGGCACTGTTGCAAAGCGTCTTTCGAGAGTAAGGACGGAAGGGCCTTGTGCGAGGTAACCCGTGTCTGTGGACCGCCTGGGAAACCTCCAGGTGTCTCGGGATGCCGACGAAGCCAGCTGGACTGGCGGTGCAGTGGAGGAGCCACGCTTTGAGAGCTACCGATCCGGATGACGAGTGTGTTGGACCGGGAAGACCGTCTGGGCAAATTCACCAGGCATATAGGCTATCATGTGGCGTTTTTTCGGGAAATATGATTGTAGGTAGCTCTTCTTAAAGTGTATCAGCGCTTGCCACAAGCAAGGCGACGGAAAGCGAGTCCGCTTCACACATCAGTGACATGGCTCCAGGGCTGCAAAAAGGTGCAAACATTACCCTCCTTGTTCATACACAATTGTGCCTTCCTTCATCGTACTCATTGCGGACAAGAATATGCTTCCAAAAACGCCTCGCTCATAGCGCAAAAAAAAAAAGGGAGATTCCCCAGATCAACCCGAAGACAAACTTAGCGATCGGCCTCACGCCTGCCTCTTCCTTCCCCTTTGTCGTGGCGCCGCGGGCTTGAGGCTGTCAAAGTACTCCTTCACAATTTGCGGCGCGGCCTTTTGTATCTTTTTCTTGGGCTCCCACGTAGCTTCAGAGGGCGCGTAACCGGTCCACTCGACCAGAAGTTTCTGGCCCTTGTGTTCACGGATACAGTAAACATCGTAGAGCCCTTCCTCATTAGGGTTTTCGGGATGGCCACCCTGTTGCTGCCAGTACTTGAGCAGAGCGTCCAGCGCATCATGGTGCAGGTTCGCCTCGGGTTCCCAGGTGGGCTCGGCACCATGCCACTCAACGAGCAGCTCGATTGTGGTGCCTCGCCAACGATGCTCGAGGAAGCGGGTAAAGACGAAATATGGGTCACCTTTGCTGTCTGAGGGCACCTCGTAGATGTCGTTCGGGTTCCGCGATGGTAGCTAGGACTGATCCAGCGTAGGGGTCTGCTCTGCCGCCGTCGTCTCATCTTCTGTCTGAGAGGTAGGGGCCTTAGATTGGTCGTCGATTATCTGAGGAATGTCGGCGGCGCCGTCCTCGCCATGGGACGAGGCTGTTGACGCAGGAGCAGGTTCAACAAATAGGTCCTTCTCCTCGACAGACTCAGGCTGAGGCCTCGTACTGACCTCGACGCTGATTTCCTCGGCAACATCCTCGGGCTGTGTGGCCATTATGTCCGTGTCGAGGACCTGGACATACTGTGATTGTTCACGTGGTGATACACCCGAGAAAGGGAGTTGACTGGCCATGGCAAACTCGCCATGCTCACCGCTAGAAGACACGGTAGCCTGCGGCGGTCGGCTTTCGAGGCGGCTCGAGCTCTCGATCGGGAGCTGGGAAGCAAGCTGTGTCGGCGGTTGGCTCTTGGTCGGGGACCCTTTGCGTTGGGAAGAGCGGGCACGACCAGCGGGCGCGGCGCCGACCGCTTCGCGTGATGACTTTGCCAATGGCAATGCTTTGCGCGCTTGTTTGGTGCCGTAGGTCCGCAGAGGAGGTTCGGGGGCGGCGCGCTTTTTCGACTGTTGCTGGGATGGAGAACCGGTGTCTTGCAATTTGTTATCCGGCCTTTTAGGGATTGGGCTTTGGCCTAGCCACCCAAAGCGTTCGAGAAGCCTAGCACTCATGATGATCGAACGACATAGCAAACAAGAGTTAAAGTGATAACTGTGGCTGTGGTATTGGGGTGACTGGACTGTTCGTGCAAAGCGGTGCGACGCGGTTGAAACGCGTGACGCGAAGCGGGGCGCTGTGAGGAAGTCATACAGTCTGACGCACTGTGCGAGCCAGCCAAACAGTGCCTTAGTACTGTGTGAATACAAAGCCGTGGACTGTAAATCGAGAGATCCCGAATTGCGTGAACGTACGGTACACAATTTGAATACCACTTACCCTAAAGTGATCATCTTTCCGCACTCGCAAGAGTACTACCTTTTGCTGTACAAGTAAGGTAGTATGACACCTTGGATACTGAATCAGTTGTTACATTTCGCTACTTCTCATTAATACGAGTTTTTCTCAGGTATCTGGATCCAACGTGTGTGATTGCACAGGAAGAAGATTATTTCTTTAAGAGAATTTCAATCACGAGCATGCATTTCAACGCATAAAAAACCCACGAAGGCAGGCACTTCGCTTCTGCTGCTAGGCGTACAGGACCTGTCAAATCTACTCGCTACGTATCACCTGAGGACCCAACCATGCTCTGGTTGCCTTTGGTTTTCCTCGACGCTCAGATAGTCCGTACCCCGCACCGTCCCTTGTTCCTAGAAAGGTGCATCAAGCCCAGTACAACACCCAGAAGACCGGTCAAGACCTCGCTTTGACTGGTCATCCCAGGACTGTGCTACTTGTACGCAGCAGCCAGCTTAATTTCAGTGCGATCAGCGATCTTCAGATCGAGGCGGGTGGACCCGCGATCCAGTTTCAAGATCCAATTCCAAGACATCGAACTTGTTGATGCCCTCGCGCTAGCCAAGCCTACGCACCAGCCCTGGGAGTGCACTAAGGCATGGCCTGTGGGGAACGAGGACGGGACCAATCCAGCCCTTGCTTTTTCAAGTTTCCTCCAGGCTCCAGGCGCATCGGATTTCGTAGCTGGAGCCTGGACGGACTGGTCCAAGTAGTAGGTGATCCCAGACGGCCATCTAGATGTACTCTGCCCAAGAAAGTCGGCACTGGGGCGAGCTGGAATGAGATAAGAAAGCACCAGGACGCAAGAGCGATACCGCCAAGTCAATTCCCGGTGCCATGAACGCCCTCTTCCTGTGAATTGTCCAATACGCAGCATGGAAACATGGCTTGTTTGACACCTGCATGCCCCTCCCGCCTGCGGCGGGGGATGTGGATGGGTAAGGTTCGCTGACAAGTGGCATTCGAGGACTGTGACAAGGCCGGACTCCGGAGACCGAAGCCCTTATACACAGGCCGCACTCGCGCAGGGGCGAAATCTTGAAAATCCTTGTCAACATGCACGTTCCTTGTGACATGTCAATGTGTCAAAATCTCTCTTGCGTTGGGTGCGGGGATCACGCAGGCAGAGAGGTGGTCTTGAGCGGCCCACCCACTGATCTAGCAAGGTAATACGGTGCTGTTACATGGGCGCGTGAGAAGAGGAGACAAGCCGGCGTTTGCAGTTGAGCACGGTAGGATTTGAGGAGAAGGACAGCCGTGGCGGAGTGACATTTGGCTGAGCGTGACCTCTTGCCGAGGTGATAGGACGTCTTCCATGCCAACTGGGCGCACTTCATTCCCACGTCCTCTATTAGCGCGGTGGACGTAGCGTAGCGAGGCCGTGGGGAGCGATGCAGGGAGGGTAGGAAGGAGACTGGACTGGAGTCGAGTCGCCGACGGTCGAGTCGAGTCGAGTCGAGCCCAGTTGTTGGTGCGTGTTGCCGCTGTTGCGTGCGCTGCGTGCCGTCCATGCTGCCCCACCTGCGGCTTCGAGAGCAGGGTGCGTTTCCGTAACTCCAGTCCTCCAACACGCATCTGCCACTTCTGATTACGGATACTACTACTTGTGTTATGTCTCTCTGCTTCTTCTGCTTCCCTCTCTCGTCTCCTCATCCCTCCATGCTCGACCGCCCTGTCTTGCGTCCATCTCCGCCTGATCACTCTGAGCAGATCATGCTTGCGGACCCCTCGTGATGGAGCCTCCATCCAGTGGCAGTCGCCCCGCCTATCGCACCTCTTGTACAGAGTGCCAGCGTCGCAAGCAAAAGTGCAATCGCGAATGGCCTTGCAACCACTGCCAGAAGCGCAAGGTCGCCGAAATTTGCCGCTTTCACAATCCCCTCGCCTCGGTCTCGGCCACGGCCCCGGCCACGAACAGGACGACGCCCGCCATCAGCAACAAGCGCTCGCGCAGCCTCCACGATGACGATGACGACGACGACGACGACGAGCAGAGCAACGAGTATCAGAGCGATGAAGACGCCGACAAACTGGGGCTCGAGGCCCTGGGTTACATGTCAGGCTCTTTGCTAGATTCGCTCACCATGGAGCCAAAGGTACGGATGGACTGGGACGCAGGTTCACGAGCGCACTGACGTCCATTGTGCTGACTAGAACATGAAAAAGGGTTCCGAGAAACTCGACTGGGTGACCGTCAATACCTGTCCCAAGCTGCGTGACGCGCTTGAAAATTTACCGCAACGACCCCAGATGGATGGTCTGTTGCAAATGTTCTTCAACAATGTCAACTATCACTACTACATTATATACCCCCCTCGCTTTCTAGAGGAATACCAGCAGTGGTGGGACCGGATAACGAAGCAACAGCCTGTCACGCTACAATGGACCTGTCTTCTCATTATGATGCTGTCCTGCGCCATGCAGCACGTGGACGCAGAAATGAAGGTCAACCTCGAGCAACGACTGGGCGATTCGGCAGACAGTCTGTCCAAGCGCTACTACGACACGGTCAAGGATCTGGCGGTTGCCATCACCAGCGGCCGATATCACGTCATCAACGTACAGCGCACCCTCCACAGCATATACTGGCACAAGGCCGAGGCCCAATTCCCCGAGGCATGGCATGGCATCGGCGAAGCAGTCCGCGAGGCACAGGAGCTGGGCTTCCACTGCGAATCCGACGAAGATGGCCTACCCGAATTTGAGCGCGAGGTGCGGAGACGGCTGTGGTGCATCCTGTCGACATGGGACTGGCAATTTGCGTCCGGTCTCCAGAGACCGACCATGATCGACCACGGCGATGTCAACGTTCCTTTGCCGACGCTCACCCTCGAGAATGTGGATCCCTCGCCTCTTCTGCACATGAAGCTACAGGCCCAGGCCATCACGACGCTCGCTGCTCGGTTCGGTGCCCCCAAGAACGTCAAGACGCACGACGAGATCCTCGAGTACAAGACCATCATTGAGGACTGGCTCTCGGGCTTTCCTGCTGTGTACAGCACCGAGAACCCCGACCTGTCTAGAGACAGCGTCCATCCCTGGGTCACGTCTCACCGCTTCTACATCCACACCATGGCCTACCTGATGATCCTCAACCCCATCCGCCTCTACATGGGCAAGTATTTCGACGAGAACTCCTCGGCTGAGGATCTACGTATAAGGGATATTGGTGTCTACTATTCCTTGCGCAACCTCGACACGACGAGGCAGTGGACAGAGTACTCGTCGCATCGGGACGGCCGCTACCACTTTATCATCTTTTCGCTGTTTGACACAGCGACTGTCCTCGCCGCGGCCATTATCAAAGACCGCGCCAAGACGATTCCTCGGCGCGACGAGATTCTGGAAGCCATACAGAGTGCATACTTGCTGCTGCGCCGCGTAAACAAACTGTCCAAGACGGCGCAGGTATCGTACGATATTTTGTCGCGGGTTGTCAGGCGGCTCCCTCGGCCTCGCCGGTCCAAGAAGGCTCGTGTGCAGCTGGCGCCCGCCGAGGATACGTCTTCGGCTTCGGCCTCGACGTCGCCCTCCACCTTTGGCAACAGTGGGACGACGGGCTCGTCGCCTCCCACAGCCGCTAATACACCCAACAGCGGGGCGCCCTCGATCGAGAGCCAGATCATGCCGCAGCAGCAGAGCTTCGACATGGAGCCATCGATGGGCGACTGGGGGCCACCGCCTGGCCCGCCGCCGCCCGGTGAGGTGAAGCTTGAGCAGATACCGAGCCACATGCTGCAGCCAGACATGAGCATGTTTGCGCCATCCATGTCCATGATGCCACAGCACGCTGATCTGCAGCCTCCCATGCCCGAGATGATACCCGCTTTTGGATACGACGAGTTGATCACGGACGATGTCATGGGCCACTTCTCCCTGCTCTGGGACCACAACAGCCTCAGCTTGCCGTTCATCAACTCTCAGGTGGGCGGCGGGCAGATGCAATGAATGAGTTGATGACTGATGGGGCGGCATGCATGCCCGTGGTTCACGTATAATTAACACATGACAGCGTTCTTTTGGATCGAATGGGGCGGCTATCTGCTATAATCGTAGGAAATGAACTGGCGTTACGGAGTACATCTAATTAGATACTCGCTTGCGTGAACGCGTGCGTCTGGTGTTGTACCCCTTTCCCAACCCAAGCATGAATGACCCAGACGTATTTGACGTCAACGACTCTAGTACGTGTGTGTATGTCTCACGCACCTGCAACCCCCAAAAAGAAACAGCGAGGAAGGAAAAGGAACGGCGTTCTCAGTTGTGAGGTGATTTACAGACAGACTTTGCGTCGATCTAAAAAGCAAGCAAGGTGGAGGGGGGGAACCCGACTCGTACGCGACCAAAAGTCGAGTGGTACGGAGTAGTGGTGATTCATTCACCTGGGCTGATACTTAGTACTCGCTCGCCCAAATTAGAAGACATCCCCATTAATAAAAAAAGAAAGTCACTTGTAATCCAAATTCTTGAGAACCGTTACTAACCAACTGAGTGAGTTAGTAGGCAAAAAAAGCAAAAGTTGGGGTCTGGCCGGGGATTGAACCCGGGACCTCGCGCAAGCTTTGAAACTCAGGGTTTGATAGCTCGAAAGAACTCCCTAAGCGCGAATCATACCACTAGACCACCAGACCGAATGTCAACCGAAGGGCTGAGAGATTGTTGGAGGAGGGGCTCAGCTTTGGAACTTAGAAGGGCTTTACGCGCGGAGGAAGATGCTTGGTGCCCGCCTTGGCAAGGTACCTACGCTCTGTCAATCACACCTGCCTTCCATCTCAACCAACGGCTCTGCCACAATATTCACTGAATTCTCATTAGACTAACCTCTTCAGCCCGTCAATCTAGACCAGGAAAAATCCATGGGTCATCTGTGCTGGACGTGGCTGAGATGGGAGATTGCTTTATGACTAAAAGTGTCACTCCAGTCTACATGTAGGTAAAAGGGCTTGAAGGGCATCCTTTATGGTCCGCGGCTTGACGTACCTGGCCGGTATATCCTAGCGTTGTCGGACGGCCGCCTGGACTGTACATATGCTCAGGAAATGAAATACAGATAAAGCCAACAAGACGCATGCGTTTGATGCTCCTCCCGTGAAGCCTCTTTTCCTCCCTCCACGCCAGCCAAGACTACAACAGGGAAAATCACTGAGGGCCTTATCGGTGATGATAGTATTTCCAGCACCCAACCAGCACCATGCCAAGTTTCTTGGTGATGGGCTCGCAGAGTCGCACCCGCGTGCACCCCAGCCAGCCCCTAGGCCCCCCACCTGATCTCGAGCTAATTAAGCCTCCGGGAGCTAAGAAGACGTCTTGTGCGATACCCTTATGTGCGCCGCTTGGCAAAGCTTGTTGCGGCTCTCGATCTCGAGGCCACACTGCCACATTTCCACACAGCGTAAAGTTATTTTCGTGCATGACAGCTCGAAGGACTGGAAGGGCTGATGCACGCGCAGTCAAGTGGGATTTGGTGGCGCGACCAGCCTGCGCGTCGCCCTCTGCCATACCAAGCCATTGACCAGAGTACTGACCAGATGCAACTCTCCACGCAAAGTTCATGACAAGGGCACGTGTGTTCTCGGCGGGCAACCTTGGGCTCGCCCACGAGAACATCAATGATAATTACATGTAGGTACGTACACAATATAGCCAGCTGCGGCCGGGGGAAAAAAGAGTCCGGCCCCAGGGTCCAGCGACTCCTCACAAAATGCCAGATGCGGTCATCACCGGCAATGTGACGTCGGCGCTCCACTAACGTACCACCACCGCATCCCTTATCTTCCGGGAATACCTTATTGTACCCATTCGTCTCTGCGAGATTGGAGCCGCAGACGCGCGTGTCCAGTCCTTCACGAACAGTGCCTTTCGTAATCATTGCTCGGCGAGACATTCCCTCACTACTTTCCATCTGCCCAGACTCGATGCTTCTTGGCTTCCTCCACCGTGCCTGACACATCCACGCCCAGCCATGTCTAGCACATCGCCTGCAGCCATGGAGAAGCTGGAGCTTCCGGCGGAAGACAAGGCCCACGGCGACACCTCTCCCACCAGCTCGCGGATCAAGATCACCCATCGACCCGACCGGTCTGCTCCCATGGCTGCCCTCCAGTTTATCCTCAAGCCATTCCGCCCACGCCTGGTCGCGCCCTCGGGAAAGTCCCGCGGCGCACATCCCGTCCGATTGAAGCCGCCCATCTGGGCATTGCGTACCACGCACTGGAAGGAGTACCAGGTTGATGGGACCTGGATCTACGACATGGTCCCCAAGGTGTCAAACAAGCATTGCGACTATCCGAAGCGCAGGATATATTACTTCTGCGGTGGGAGCTGGCAGGACCCGCCCAGCATCATGCACTGGCGCTTGGCTGCGGAGCTCAGTCGCAAAGTGCACAATGCGATGGTGTCGGTCATATCGCACCCCCTGGCACCAGAATGCCCGGCGTGCGAGGCACTGCCACACTTGGACCGTCTGTACAAGGAGTTGATGCGTCGGAGCGCCGAGGCAGGCGAGAGGGTGGTATGGGCGGGCGATTCCTCAGGAGGCAATCTGGCGTTGAGCGTTGTGCTTCATAGCCTCAGTACGCAGGGGGTGGATGGCCCCCAGCCCGCTGCTGTCATGGCAATTTGCGCACCGACGGACCTGCGACATCTCGATGATAAGATCAAGGAGGTAGAGCCGTACGATTCGATGATGACGCTGGATTTTGTCAACGAGGCTGCTTCCAAGTGGACGAATATGAGGGAGGGCGTGGAGGCTGGTTCTGATCATTCAGGGTATAGCATCTCCGATCCCAGAATTTCACCGGCGGCGGGCGATATCGGTCTGTTCGCGGCGGCCAACATAGCCGTGCACGGTGTGACGGCAGGATTCGACGTGCTGGCGCCCGAGGCAGTGAATTTTCGGGATCGATGCGCCGAGGCGGGCGTCGAGGGCCAATGGCTGCAGTGCGACAAGATGATGCACGACTTTCCACTCATGTTCAAGTGCGGCTTTAGCGACTGCCAAAGAGGACTGGACTGGATCGTGGACGTTCTTCAAACTGCCTGAGCCGGGGAGGAGAAGCATGGCGTTGGGCGTTATGGCGACAAGAGGGGCTGCTGCTCGGGGTCGTGGTCCGCGCGGGCGACACCACCTCTCTCACGGAATCTGTTTGACAATGTAATTAGCGAGCAATACCCATGAATGAACATGATCTCGAGGCGCGACGTACCTGATGTAGCCTGCAAACGTGCCCAGCCACAGCGACCCGAGGTAGGTGATCGTCCACTCTAGGTAGCCTGCTCGTCTGTAGTAGTCGGTGTAGAGGAACACCAGGAACAAGGTGCCTGTGACGGCGATGCACAGGACGAGAAAGGTGTTGACCAAGCACCACTTCCTCAGGCCCGGGAACCGCGCAGCCTTGTACGTCTCGTCCCACCAAACAATCTCCGTCGCGAGCGAGCTGATGGCCAGGCCGCCAAACGTGCCCACCAGCAGCCACCGATGCTTCTCGTGCTCCTCAAACGTGTCGAAGACGCTGAGGAGAAGCAGGCAGCCACCGGCCACCAGGCCGCTGACCATGGCCACACCGCTCAGCGACTTTCTCCAGACCTTGTCGTCGGTCAGGCCGTAAAAGTGCTCCGAGTAGCGCACATGGTGCACGCTCCAGACAGTGCCCACGAAGCCGATGCTGGTCAACGTGCACCCGATGATGAAGACGGGTTTGAAGGCAAACGCGGCAATATCGCTGATGAACGGGACCTCGGGGTTGACTTGTCCTGGGTAACGTGGTCGGCCGAGGCTGATCCAACGGGCGAAGAGGATCGTGAGCGTCGAGAACCAGGATATCGATGCCAGGAGCGGGAAGATGTGCAGGCGTCGGTGCGTGTGTTCGCGAAGGGGCTGTATGAAGCCGGCCATGTTTCTTTTGACTTTGAATGATGTATCTGAGAGAAGTGGAGTGAGGCTTCGGAAGCTGGAGGAAGCTAGGAGCAATTGACCTCATAAAGCCAGTGTCTCAGGCACTAGAGCTGTGACGTCAGTGAGGCCGCCGTGAATGCTGTCTTGGCTGCGCTGCTGCTACTGGACAAAGTCGTGAAAAGGTGGGGCGGGGCGGGGCGCCTTCATGGAAGGAGCTTTCGCTCCGCTGTCCCAAGAGGCTGTCCCTTCTTCCTTCACTGTATGCGAGTCACGAATCACGATGATATGAAGACGCCAGGATCTGAGGTAGTGGGAGAAACACATAAGCGTGTCGTATTCATCGGGCTATACGTCCAGATTCAGATGGCTTCGGGCCGAGCCGCCCACTAGGAGATCGATATCACTAGTGCTCGGATTCGAATCATTCGATAGCCCTGTTGGGCTGGTGTGCGAGGTCCAGGTCCAGGGGCACATACAAGTCTTCGCCCTGGTGCCCCAACATCGAATGAATAAAAGCACATTCAGCGGACTTGGCTCGTTCAACTGCACCAGGCAAGAACAAGTCCAGCTCATCCACACGGCTTTCCATGAACCTGCCTGCGCAGTCTGACACTGCGAACGGTCCTCGTACTCGACCTGAACGTTGGTCGTTCGCACGATCACATGGTATCGCATAATTTCCTCTTCCGAATCATTAGGCGACGCAGATAAGACTTCCGTCTGGCTCGTATGGTGGCGGCCAATCTTGGTGAGCGATATGCCCTTGGAGCCGCTGTGATCACCGGACTGAAGGGTTTGCGCGCCGCGACTGCGGCTGCCATACCCAGACGTACCATACGTCGGTCGGCCGTGGCTCTGTCCTGAGCTGCCGCTGAACAGACTCGGGAACCACTTTGGGAAGAGCGGGCGTAGTTTAGGTATGGTCGCGGTAATAATGGCCAAGTTGACCTCGACGCTCGAGTACACAACCGTAATGTTGTAATACGGGTCGGTGTCGGGGTCTGGTGTCCCAAAGAATATCTTGTACACGTCCACGACTCGGATGACACCGACAACGGCAACGCTGTGAAGCAAGTTGGTTAGCAACAACCAAGAAGGCGCCGCGGAATGCACTCACAGGGACCCGAGCAAGAAGACGCCAGTGACCACCATCTTGGCAGCCCTAGGCATCTTGAGTCCCGGGAAAATCCAGAATGGCAGGATCAAGATGCATAGATCGGTGAAGATGGTCAGACACGAGCCAATCACGTGGAATGAGTTATCGATGCAGTTGGTCTCGGGGTCGAACCTGAGGGCAAAGTCCCAGTTGGCCTCCATGGGAACACATTGGAAGAGTGCAGTGAAGAAAATGGCAACGGCATGCGCCGCGTTGAAGATGTTGAGCGCATAGATGGCGTAACGGGCGCTCTTCTTCTGTCCTCCAAGGCGAAGCAAGAAGAATAGAATGGACGCTTTGACGAGGGCCAGGACGGGGTTGTAGAGCATCTGCACCAGGAAATTCCACCAGAATCCGGGGCTCGGATCGAATTCTGGGACGTCGACTGCTCTCCAGCCAAAGTAGTTCAACTTGATGACTGTGTCTTGTGTTAGTGGGCCTGGCTCAGTCTTCTTCTCCGCGACTTCGACTTACACATCAAGAGCGGTCCAGTGAAAAGCAAGGAGAAAAGCTGCCGAAATATTAGAGGAGCTCATCCGACTGGCACAGCTGCATGTGCGGTCCATTGAGGAGTCTAGAAGGATTGGCTACTGTCGCAAGGTGATGAAACCGGTGAACCAACACTCATGGCATTGATTGCACGTTAAGGCGAGTCATCAGTTATCCTTTGATCACAGCCTCTCTTCCCCTTGGGGAAGGTCCCATTCTTACATGTCAAGCTGCCACAAGGCACTTGGAGGTAGGGCTATAACTTATCAATTGTGATATTTGAGGAAGATCTGTTTAGTCCAGTCACCTTCAGGTACGTATTTGGCTGTTTGACTAATAATTAATTGACTATCCCCTCCAGTCATTATCTGTGCGTGTCTGATCACGGTGCTACTCTAAATACTCCTAGCCAGTGAGCTCAGAGCTGACCTTGATCAGGGTCAGGGATCATGTATGGAGAACACCATTTCCGGGGAACTGGCCCCCCTAGCTGCCGTGTTTTAGAGCAGAAATACCGCGGAGCAGGGCAACTTAATCCCCGATGCTTTAATGCGCTGAAACACCCAGGCGCCCTGGCGCCCATGGGCAAACGAGATCTGCCTCGTCTAACAGTCTTTCGCCCTCCCATCGGATCCACCTAGACACATGTGCGTGCAGAAGCCCGCTTGCCAAGCGTAGTGTCACATACATATACGCTGATTAGCCGCTGATCACAGTGGATATCCCCTTTGGACTGCTTGACAGCAGGGTACTCTGACCTCGGCTCCTCCTAATACTTGAATCCCCTCGATTCTTGTGACTGTTGGAGCAGTCTCACTACAGCACTCCTTTTCCCGTTTCGAGTACCAGCACAGTTACCTCAGGATGCAGACAAGAGGCGCGTGGCTAGTACTGGCTGGTTGCTTTGCCAGCTGTGTTTCCTCTCAGACCATCACTGTAGATGGCGATGTGATCGGTATGTCCAAGTTATTGCCAGCTGCCTCACACGGCTTGGGTTGTTGACAGAAATCTCATGTAGCGGCCGGTGAGTCCAACATCTCGCCAGCGGCTGAAGTGGTCAACGGGGTCCAGGATTCACGGGTAACCTTGCCAGAGGAAGAGCTGCAGCTCACCGATGACATTTTGGGCAATCTCACTGGCTTACAGCTCAGCAACGTCTCTGTCTTCTACTTTGGCGATGATGAGTCGGAAGACCACTTTACCAAACGAGAACTTGACAACAGGTGGAACGGCAAATGCAAGACCTTCCCCGGAGATCTTCTCTTTCCTGGAAAGCCTGTTTGGAAAGTCCTCGACCTACTGACTGGCGGTGCTGTCATCTCCACTGTCCCACTAGGTGCGGCTTGCTACGAGGGCGAGCACTACGATGCGAAGAAGTGCGAGTTCCTTTTTAGCAACTGGGCCAACTCCTCCACCCAGTAAGCTACCTTTAGTGTAACTCCCCTTTTACTTCAGCTGACAGCAAAACAGCGTTGTCGATCCCACCTCGGTCATGTCGCCCCTGTTCCAGGGCGCGACTTGTCAGCCTCAGGACGCCGAGGCAGGCAGCGTGTGCGAGATTAGCGGGTTCCCATTGTACTCCATCAAGGCTACGAACGTTGCCCACATTCAGCTCGCTGTGAACATGGCACGAAATCTCAACCTCCGCCTTGTCGTCCACAACACTGGCCATGATTTCCTCGGTAAGAGCACCGGCGCGGGTGCCTTGTCGATCTGGACCCACAACATGAAGAGCATCCAGGTGTTGAAGGAACACAAGACCAAGAGCTACAATGGCCCTGCTTTCAAGGTCGGTGCTGGCGTCCAAGTTCGTGAATTGTACGAAACTGCAGAGAGGAATGGGTTTACCGCTGTCGGCGGCGAATGTCGTGTGAGAAACCGTAATCAAGGCGTGAGACTAACTTTGCTAACTCGATACCAGGATGTTGGAGTTGCTGGCGGTTACGCTGCCGGTGGTGGCCACTCGCCTCTAAGTCCTCTCGTTGGACTGGCTTCCGACCAGATCCTTAGCGTGGACATTGTCACCCCACAGGGGCGCTTCATTACTGTAGACGAAGAGAACCACGAGGATCTCTTTTGGGCTATTCGAGGTGGTGGTGCCGCCACATGGGGCGTGGTCACCTCCATGACCTTCAAGGTTGCCACTTCTTCCCTCAACATCAGCGAGACACAGTTCTGGTCTGCGGTCGAAGCATACTGGTCACGTTTCCCCGATTTCTCAGACGCCAAGAGCTATGAATACCATTTTATCTTCCCTGCAGGACCCGACGCCTACTTGTGGTCCATGAATTCCTGGGTCGTGCCCGGCACAAACCTGGCCGACTTCAAGAAGCTCGTTGAACCGCTGCTCCAGGAGTGGGAATCACTAGGTGTCAACATCAAGCCCGAGTACTTTGAGCATGACAGCTTCTATCCTATGTGGCGCAGCCATTTCCCTAGTGAAAACGTCGGTACCGCCGAGGTCCGTACGGGATCGCGCCTCATTCCCCGTGGTAACTTTGAGGACAAAGAGCTCTGGAACAAGACCTTCAAAACACTTCGTGGCATTGCTGAGGACGGCGCCACATTGATCATGTATAACATCAACGCGGCAGCCCCCGAGGGCACACCCGCCAGCGCCGTCAATCCTGCATGGCGGGACGCGCTCATGTTTGTCATTACCGGCTCTAGCTGGGCGCCCGACGCGACTGAGGAAGAGATATCCGAAACGAATCGCCGCGTGACGTACGAGATCATGCAGTCGCTTAAGGACATTACTCCTGGAGGTGGCGGCTACGGCAACGAGGGCGACGTGATTGATCCTGACTTTGGTCAATCATTCTTTGGCTCCAACTATAAGAGACTGTACAACCTGAAGAAGAAGATTGACCCGCTCGGTGTGTTTTACGCACCCACAGCAGTCGATAGTGAGGATTGGTACATTGAGGGACAAGACCAGTATCTCACCCGTCAAACGGGAAAACTTTGCCATCGCTGGGTATTTCTTTGTCCGTCATATCCGAAGAATATATACCAGAGACAAGAGATTTCATACCTACTACTACGTATTACCACTTGAGAATGGATTGCGGGACGGGATATCTTGAGCCAATGCTGTCATGGTGAACCAAGCCAGGCCCCCTTTTCCCGCCGTTGCGGGCGCACAGCCACTTCAGGTTGTATGCATACAATACCACCCGAATAAGAAGGCGTTGCCTTCTCGATCAGTCGGCGATAGCACCGGTACATGCAGCATAACAGCCGGTGTGATCGCGGGCCCGGCCCGTGGAGGTCCACACAGCGTCACGGACCACATTCCTCATCAACGCGGCTGCGCTTATCAGGGGCCCACGTCGGCGACTAGGGAGATGAATCGTGGGGTACATGTAAGCATTGACTATGTGAGCCAGGCCGATTGCCGGTCGAGCAAGGGAAGGTGAGACTTGCTAGATCACAACACTCTTGGGGATTCCACAGCCTGGCCCCGTGAGTTTTGGTATATTACAGCGCTGGGAAGCCCCCACGGCCACGTCTGCTGGGTGACACATTTCGATGACCATGATTCCTTTCGGTCAGACGGCACTGCTGACAGGAGGAAACGTACAGCTGCTGTCGAATGTACCATTGGCGTCGACATGGTTGATCACGAGAAAGCCGACGAGCTCAGCGTCTCTGTCGACTCGAGACGGGGCTCGGAAACATCACAGAGAGAGACGTGGCAGAATGACAAGAGTGCGCGAGCCTGGGTGGTGGTGGCGGGCGCGTTTCTATGGATGATGGTCTCCCAAGGTGTGTTTGATATGGACTAGAGGCGCCGAGTGTTCTTGTACTGACGTGGCTTACTAGGCGTCCTCTTGATTCACGGGCTACTCATTGCAGAGCTTGACAACCACTTTGGTGCAGATCCGAAGCATACCTGGCTGTCAGGCATCGCCAGCTTTGTCGCCATGGTCTCGACGCCTTTCCTTGGCGTGGTGATGGACACATTTGGACCCATCCTGATGGGCTGCGTCGCCGTCGTCAGCACCGTGGGCGTGTTCATCGCACTCTCACTCTGCACAGGATTCGGCCACCTTGTCGCGGTCTTCACCTGGCATGGGATCACCTTGGGCATGTGTATCGCCATTGGCCCCTCGATGGCTGGCAAGCTGTTCCAGAAGCGTGGGGGTTTGGCGCAGGGCATCACCATGTGCGGCTCTTCGCTCGCCGGCATCATCTACGCCGCGTCCTTCCGCTCCATGTACGGCGACTCGTGGCGGACTGGCAACCAGATATTCGCCGTGGTGACTGGTTCGATTGCCGTGCTGGCGCTCGGTGCTACCTACTTCTTCAATCGCGTCGTGCCCGACGAGCTCAAGGTGGCCCCTGGGCAGGGATGGAAGACCTTCAAGTCGCAGATTGAGGGCCTCGTATTGATCACAAAGCTCTTCACCAAGAACACCTGGGAGCGCAATGCGCCATATGCGTGGTTCGTTGGCGGCAGTTTCTTCCTGCAATTCGGTATCTTTGGGGCGAGCGCGTCGGTCCCATTCATTGCACGGGCTGTGGGTGCCACAGAAACTGACGCCCAGTACTGCCTCATCGCCCTGAGTTCCGCGTCTTTCGTTGGACGCCTCATGTCTGGCTTTATTGCCGACTCTATGGGTTCGCTGATGCTGCTGTTCTGGACCTGCATCGCCGAGGTCGTTGTCCTACTGGGCGTGGACATTGCGTTGGCAGACAGGGGCGCTATGCCGCTGTACTTTGCCTCCACGACCTGGGGCTTCTTCTCCGGATGCTGGGTGCCCTTGTTTGCGGCTTGCATCGGCAAACTGTCCGATCCCAAAGACCTTGGGAAATTCCTGGGTGAGTGCGCCTTGCCGCCTCAAGACCGACACACTCACTGACTATGTGTCTAGGCATCTCCAACTTGGTCATCAGCCCGGCATGTCTTCTGGCGGCTCCTTTGATGCGATACATACTGGAATGCGGCACACCGCGCCTCCTTTACGGATCCATTGCTTCCTTCATCATCGTCGGAGCAGCAATGGTCTATCGGGCAAGGATGTGCAAATTCGACCAGCGCTTCGCCAGCTTGTAGCCGTGCGAGTCCATCGGGTCCAAAAAGAAAATAATTCATTCAAAGATACTGTCAATCGTTTACAAATCGGCATTTATGACGCATCAGGTATGGGCACATTGGATGTCTGAGACACGAGAGCATCTCGCGGGGTCGGCATTACTAAGTACGTGCCGAGTCAAGGGAGGCGGGCCTAAAAATTATGCCCAACGGCAATCACTGTCGGCACATACAAGTACACGCACTAGCCAGCTGGGGCCTTTCTTCACATCGACAATGGCGTTTTGTGGCGGGCCATTTCATTGCAAGGCCGATGGATGTCTGTCGGTGGCTGGTGGTGGTTACCATGCGCATCCATTAATAAATTACAAGACATGTAATATACAGAACTAATAATAATACTCGGTTCAAAAATCCAAACTGATCCGTAAAGTTAGTAAATACACACGTGTCCGCTGTCGATTTAGTACAGCCCCTGAGCAAGAAACCAAGACGGGCCTCCGGCCTCCGCGCCCGGGACAGGAAGGCGGGGCCGTCCGTGAAAGAGGATCTTATCAATCTAATCTTGGCCCCCCTATTGCCGATCAGCCTAGAACCCGCTCCCAACTTCCACCGAGGGAGTATGTGACTTATAACGCTATGGGCTCCTCGAAGGAGCTTAAAACAACCTGTGTGACGCGAGATCGCCGTCTTTTCACGTTCTGACGGAACATGGCCATCCACAGCCAGGCTTGCTCTTAAGTAAGAAGTCACAGCCCGGGTATCTACGGCGGATGATGCACGAGCGGAAACTGTTGCTTGGGGATTGAATAGACGCAACTGTATAGTCTAGTAGGATCTGGACTAGCTCTGTCTAGCTAGTGACGTGATGTCGCTCAGCATGTCCAGTCTGTGTACGTTTATCCCAGAATGTGCGCTTCGACCGCTGTAAAGAATGGACGCCAGACGCCGCTGTTCTTGCAATATAATACGGGAGCCATGTCACTCGTGAGTCGCAAGCTGGCCATAATTTCTTCCTGTCGACAGCTGAGCAGCAGGGTATGAGCGGGACTGAATCAATCAAGCGTCTTGGCTTGACGGTAAGTGCAATCGACTACGGGAAAGTTGACTGACAATGGCGGATTGTCCACAGAACACGCGCACCCAATCATCTGCTTTCCGCAACCCAAACAATTGCCACTCAGGTCAGAGGGCATAGTTCTATTGCTGCAGCTGGGAGCCCCGACGCGATCATGTCCGATATCTCCGGCAGAGGCTGAAGGAAGAGGTGCTGGACCAGATCAGCTATCCCTCCTGAACGGAGGTTCCAGACCCCGAAGCGTCCAGAGCTCGACCAATTTCACCATACTGCCCATGTCATGTCATTTGCGACATATCTTGGCTCTCTCCTACATCCCGAATTCTTCAAGCAGAGACCGTGTACTTCATCCCAGTATCGCTCGTCTTAGCCAATAAGCCAACTTCAAGTCGTCGCCAACGGCAAAAGCTGCCGTCTTGGGGCCATGGCATATGCAGACTAAGAAAGACGCGCAGCGACTCTGTTTCTTAGAGTGTGTTGTTGCGAGGCGGTGTTGGTGTGCTGGCTGTAAGCCGAATGGCGAGCTTGACCCTGGCACTGACGTGCTCGTGTGTGGGTGGGAACATTATGCACCTCTGCGAGTCTCAGAGTCTTGTGCATCTCACGCAAAGGGGCTGAGGGTGATAACACAAATAAGAGTTGTGAAGCTTCTTTCACCAATGGATAAAGAATTTCAAAGCCTATGGCACAATACAGATCAGGCTCGAGGCCCCTCAGGGGTGACTAGTAACGAGGAGTCAACAAAGAGGGACTGGACGCAATCGAACGGACCCGCACTGCGCGCGTGTGGCTAGAGGTCCCATGTAATAAGAATTACACAATTAGACTTGGCGCATCGAAAATGGGATGTCTCGACTGGGCTTTTGAATCGAGTATCCAGAGATCGCAGCACGGTGAAGGAGGGATGGGCAGGGAAGGCTTCAAGCCAAGGCCAGCAATGTGTAGTGGAAGGTGAACAGGAGCTTGTCCTCCCACCAGTGACTATGTTTTAGGTCTTGGCTGGCGGAGAGGCTAGCTGGACTGGCATCTAGGTGACACTATGCGAGAGAGCACTAGCGATTCGTGCTGTGACGGGGGCAGGGCGTGGGGGAGAGCTCTCGCAGACGACCATCGATGGCGTTTTGAATGGGATGCGATGTTGTAATTTTTCAGCCAAGACTCAAAAACGATGCCTTTCCTGATGCCATTCAATAGATTAGCAGACAGGCAGAAGGGTTGAGGCGGAAGTCAATGTGGCGGGCAGTGGGCTCGAGGTTAGACCTGCCTCGAGTCGATAACTGAACCCACAGTTCACGGTCCATGGAAGCCATACGCAAGACCAGTATGAGAGCTGGTATCAACAAAGACGGACTTGGCATTGAAGCGAGGCAGATCGAGGGCAGACGTACCCCTGAAGCATGGAATAATGCTTCACATCCTCGCGACGGGTCACGGGTCGGCCGCAAGACCCCTCAGGGGCAATATCCGCTGTCGTGAGCTGGCGTCATCATCTTGCCTGCAGGTGTAACGAGTCACTGACGACGCCAGGCTCCAAATACCTAAGGTAATTACATTGATGAAACGGACAACATGGACTTGCATCAACATCCGCAGATTATGTTGCACCACCTCTAGTTGGACAGCCGACTAGGTAGTCATGCGGAACCGCACGTCCAGCTCACGTCGACGAGCATCCGGGTCGAATGAATGAAGACACGTTCTGGTCACCAAGTGCGTGCAGAATGGAGGCTTGTCACTGGTGACCACTTGCGGCAGTTCTGGCGGGGGCAATAGTACTAAGGTACCTACCAGGTAAGATAAGAGCCTTCCGTCAATCAATGTAGTCGAGCAGATTAGTGACGGAAGCAGCGAAGCGTGCTCGCTATGCGGATTGCGGAGGTGCAGGCTGTGCAGGGCACTGCAGCCAGGGCAGGGGCGGGCACAGACGCGTAGCTGCCAAACCCGGCGCAGCCAATGAAATGGCCGTCGCAAACAAGCTTCGTTCCTAGCTGCAAGAGCAGATGAGGTGCATGCTCCAGTCCTTGCCCTGACTATCTACTGTATCTCGCAAACTGTCCCTTTGCTCCGGACGACTGGACTCGAAAACTCTTCAACGCCTCCAATTCCAGGCTCTTCCACCACGGGGCATCATCGTGATGCTCTCACCGTCCCGCAGCTACGATCCCGAACCCAGTCCGCGCACCTTTCGTCAGATGTATCGGGGCGCCACCCGCACGCCGACCTCTGATTGGCTCTGACGCGGATGGCGCAATCGACGGTGTCTCTCTCCCCAACGCAGCCCCAGCACGTCTTTCCGCGCCGCGAGCAGACACTGCAGAAGCAGGCGTCACTGGCCGCGAGCACGCAATCCTGAGGCTTCTCCGTTGGCTGGGTTCGGGCCCATCGTCCCAACGCTGACCCTCCCTCCCATACAGTCTCGCGGAGGACACGCCCTGGAGGCACCGGATCTGCGTGGACTGGAGCGACGACCCGATCCAGGTCTCATAGTATTTATCAGCTTGGATATCATGTTCAACTTCCAGCATTCCTCTCGCGTTTCCGCCTTTCGCGTTTCTCTACTCCCACGATCCGTCCAGCCCTGACTCCAATTCAACATCAGGTCCCGTCCCCTGTCAGGAGTCTGTCTCTTTTGGCCAGTCCCGTTTGGTTTTGGCCTGTCGATCAATTAGACGATCTCACCGTCCTGTCATCACATTGATTGAGCTCCTGCGCCCACTCGGAATCTGGATACAGCTCCATTCAGCCAGGGTCCTGACAACGTCACCCTCAAGACTTGTCTCCCTGCCGTCCCTCCTCCCTTTCTCCCCTTCATTCTTCGCCGGCCAGCCACCATCACCATCACAATGGCCAACGTAAAGAGCCGCGTGGCCAAGATCTTTGGCATCGACGCCTCGCGCCCCGAGGAGCCTATCCCCCCCATCGCCAATGCGGACCCCTACGCCGAGACAGATCCCAGTGTCGGTGAGTGGGCGAAAGAACATGTGCCTACGCCGCGGGATGCTGGACGTTACGTGTACAATCTCTTTCCCTTCATCTCCTGGATAGGCAAGTACAACCTCACGTGGTTCTTGGGCGATATGATCGCCGGTGTCACGGTCGGTGCCGTCGTCGTGCCGCAGTCCATGGCCTACGCGCAGTTGGCGCAGCTCGATGTTGAGTATGGTCTCTATTCGAGTTTCATGGGTGTCATCGTCTATTGGTTCTTTGCCACGTCCAAGGATATCACTATCGGTGTAAGTTGCTTCAATCCCAGACAGCCGAGCGTGGCTAACGAAACAGCCCGTCGCCGTCATGTCTCAAGTCACAGGCGACGTTGTCGTGCGCGCCCGCCAAGAGATTCCCGAGATCGATGCACACATCATCGCCTCGGCATTGGCCTTGGTCACTGGTGCCATCATCGTCGCCATTGGTCTCCTACGCCTAGGCTGGCTTGTCGAGTTCATCCCTCTGCCAGCCATCTGTGCGTTCATGACCGGCTCCGCTGTCACTATCGCTGCTGGCCAAGTGCCCAAGCTCATGGGGATCCCGGACGTCGCGACCCGCGGCAGAGGCGTTCACCTCGTCATCATTGACACGCTCAAGGGTCTTCCCAACACTTCCCTCGACGCGGCCCTGGGGTTGTCTGCTCTGGTCTTGCTCTACAGCGTCCGGGGTGGCTGCTCGTACATGGCCAAGAAGCAGCCCCACCGCCAAAAGGTCTACTTCTTCATCTCAACGCTCCGCACCGCGTTCGTGATCCTGTTCTACACGGGCATCAGCGCCGGCTGCAACATCCACCGCAGGAGCAATCCCATGTTCAGTGTCGTTGGAAGCGTCCCCTCGGGATTCAGGCACGCCGCTGTCCCCGAACTCAACAGCGAGATCATCTCCTCCTTTGCCAACGAACTGCCCGCAGCAGTCATCGTCATGCTCATTGAGCACATTGCCATCTCCAAGTCCTTTGGCCGCGTCAACAACTACGTGATCGACCCCTCGCAGGAATTGGTCGCGATTGGTGTCTCCAATCTTCTTGGCCCCTTCCTGGGCGCCTACCCTGCTACTGGATCCTTCTCCCGAACTGCCATCAAGTCCAAGGCTGGTGTCCGCACCCCGTTCGCCGGTGTCATCACTGGTGTCGTCGTGCTCCTGGCGCTGTACGCGTTGACAGCCGTCTTCTGGTACATTCCCAATGCCGGGCTGGCGGCCGTTATCATCCATGCCGTCTGCGACGTCATCACACCGCCCCGAACCGTGTACCAATTCTGGCGCGTTGCCCCCCACGAGGTGCCCATCTTCTTTGGTGGCGTTCTGGTCACTATCTTTACGAACATTGAGAATGGCGTGTACACGACCATCGCCGCGTCTTTTGCCGTCCTGATCTGGCGCCTCTTCCTAAGCCAGGGTCGCTTCCTTGGGCGTGCGCGCATCAGGACAGTCCGACAGAAAGAGGGCACTGGCACGCCCTCGTCAGAGAGCGACGGCGATATCAAGGGTGGCATGCTCGGCAGCGATCCCAAGAGCGACCCTGACTACGAGTTCTCCCTGCGACCCGGCTTTCTGCCTCTGGGCCACGACGACGGTACCAACAGCCAGATTGCGGTCGAGGACCCATTCCCTGGTGTGTTTGTGTATCGTTTCGCCGAGGGCTTCAACTATCCCAATGCTTCGCGGTACTTGAATCACCTCACCGAGCACATCTTCAAGGTCACCCGCCGAACAGACCCCGCCAAGCTTGGCAAGATTGGTGATCGCCCCTGGAACGACGCCGCGCCCCGCCACCTTGACCAGTCGGAAGACACACGGCCCACGCTCAAGTGCATCGTGCTCGACTTTGCGTCCGTCAACAACATTGACGCCACATCGGTGCAGGCACTCATCGACACACGGAACCAGCTGGACCGCTACACGGCGCCAGACACGGTGGACTGGCACTTTGCCAACATTGCGAGCCGCTGGACAAAGCGAGGTTTGGCCGCGGCGGGCTTCGGCATGCGCACGGGCGACGGTAACGGGCAGGCCGAGGCCATCTTCTCGATCGCCGAGCTCATGGGCGAGCACACCACGATGAAGGAGGAGAAGGACAGGAGCGACGGGGATGACATTGAGGCGATGCCGTTGCGGGCCGAGCCCCGGACGAAGCAGGTGGTTATTCAGGGACTGAACAGGCCGCTCTTCCACTTTGACCTGCAGGAGGCGGTCGAGGCCGCCGTCATTGATGCACGGACAAAGACGTTTTAAGCATAGCGTGTGATTTCTTTGATGATTTTGGATTAGCTTTGGGCATATGAGCGTACATACTAGACCCGTCGAGGCATCCGGGTTCTACGTAATGAAGAACATCTTTTGATTTTCTCATACATATGATTTCCGTTCCGATTTATTGCTTATAATCACAGTTCGAGACCAAAGTCCTCCTCCTTAGTCACGCCACGCTCCTCGTGCCACTCTTTCAGCCACGCTTTGACAAACCTAACCTCCTCCTGTTGCACAAGCTGCACATTCTCGGGAGCCACCCAGCTGGAGCGCGCGTCGGACTTACTGCCGAACTGATCCCAGTGGTGCACGCCGCCCTCAACAAGGAGGAAGGGCTCGTCAGTGGTGCTCTCGCGGTCCTCATTGTGGCCCAAGGCGTGGACGCCCGCCTGGCGCCAAGGGTCGTGCTCGCCGTCGACAAAGGCCAGTCGGGAATGGCTAAAGTTGAAACCGCCGTACTTGTTGATGGAGTCCATGTCCGGCTTGGCGGGGATCTTGAACACGTCCGGGCACCACATGGTCGCGTACTCGTACGTGACGAGCCGAGACATGAGCGGGGCCACGCCGTCCGGGGTGCCGGTGCCGGTGACAAAGTACGCCCACTGCGTGCAGGTCTGGTAGGTCCAGGGACGGAGCATGCCCTGGGGGATGCTCTCGTCATCGATGGCGCCGCGCTTGGACAGGCAGTGCTGGCCGAGAAGGTTGTCCTGCTCGCACGTTTGGAGCTGGGCAATGGTCTTGCGCGTTGCGCCGATGAAGTTGAGCAGCATGGCCTCCATCCCGTCCTGGTCCTCGTTGTGGCCGGCGAGGCGCAGGATGCGTCGGACCTCGGGCCCGAGGGTGCGCGTGGACGCGTACCACGGCACGGGGGAGGTGATGGCGGCGCAGTACTGGGCGAGGTCGGCCTCGTCAATGTCCGGGTCCCAGTGGGTGGCCTGGAGGGACATGAGGCCCCAGTGGAGGGTGTAGGCAAAGTCGTCGTCGAGCAGGTCCTCGAGCTGGAACCAGCGTTTGACGGTGCGGACGGCGTCGCGGTCGTCGCCCAGCAGAACGGCGTCGAAAATGACGGTCACAGCGGCAGACGCGTTGACGCAGGACGGGTGGACAAAGTGGCGGGCGGCCTCGAGGTAGGCCCACCAGTCGTCGATGACCTGGGGCACGCCGCTGCCAGAGATGGCGCCGGCAAAGTCGTCCGGGTAGATCTTGCGGAGGAGGGCGGCAAAGGCGCCGGCGTAGGAGCCGCCGTAGAAGATGTAGGGGGTGGTGTGGGAGGTGAGGTTGAGGTGCTCGAGGCCCGGGTAGCGGATGTGGCGGACAAAGTAGGCCGTGTCGGCGAGGGCCTGCTCGGTGCTGAGGAAGCGCATGTTGAGCGGGCTTAGGTCGGGCACGGGGTAGGAGGAGCCGTAGTAGCGGTGCTCGAGGAGGACGGCGAGTCCACCCGTGGCCTCGGCGAGGATCTTGCCGATGCCCTGCTCGATGTAGGGCAGGCGGAGGACGGAGGTGAGCTCGCCGGAGCCGATCATGATGACGGGCCCGCCAGGTCTGTAGTGGGTGTCGTCGATCCAGTAGCGGAGGGGAAAGGTGCCGTCTGCGTGAGGCTCGTAGCGCGTGTCATTGTGGAAGTGGTCAATGGGCACGGAGAAGTTGTAGGACGGACGCTGGGTGGCGTTGAGCGTGGCCGCGGTGAGGCTCGCTTCCCGCTGGGCGTGGATGCGTGGGATGGGGTGGAGGGAGAAGGGCGTGATGGCCAGGCAGGCGGGCATGGCCGCTGCCAGGATAGTGAGGAGCCTCATCATGGCGTTATCCGGAGGCCCGGATGCTGATGCGCGTGAGTTGGAGGATGAGGGAAGTGAAGAAGGCTGGTCACTCACCGCAAGGGATGAATGAAGTTGGTGGCGGTTTGCGGCTGGCGGCGGAGGTTGCATGTGTTGTAGGGTAGCCGAGAGGCGGACTGCGCGAGTACCGGCGTATCAGTGAATGCGGTCGGCACTATCACTCGCCCTTCAAAAGAGTACAGAGAGGACTTCTTCAGGTAGGGCCTATCGCTGAAGATGAATGAACCCGGGTGAGGATCTCGTTCGTGTGGTGTTAGCATTGGGTCGTAGTGTTGAGACGCGTTGTGTGAACCTTGAGAGTCTTAATTTAACCACAATGGACGTGGTTATTCAACTGAGCTGCCGGTGTCCGGCATTCACGGACTGTTTCAGTCATAAAAATTTGAAAGACGACATTGGTCAATCCTACGATTCATTTACAGCCATGGAAGCTGATCCTGCAGCTGCATCGAGTGCTAAGTATGACTGTGCTAATGCTCTAGGGTAGGCACATGGCTATCGGCCGAGAACGCTTATAAGTGTGCCTTCAGTATCATCATGTTGAGTATTAGCTATAGTCTATTAATATCTATCGTAGGGTGCTCCTGTGTCCATGCGGACAAGTCGTGCATTGTTTCGTCAGCTCGTGAATCGTTTGATCGCGTCGCCTGCCTCCCTCAGCATTCCACCTTCGCCACTATGTCCGCCTCCTTTTCACCATCCCACCCAGCCCTGACCATCCAGAACATGGCCATCACAGGCGTGGTCACCAGACCAAGCACGCCACTGAGGATGGCCTTGAACACCTGAGGCGTCCAAAGCCTCTCAAAAACCCAGTCACCGCCCTGCTTCTCCCCTACCATGGTCAGGATGCCGACAGAGACGGGCCAGAGGACCAGGAAGGCGGGCACGCAGAGGAGAAAGCCTCGCAGAGCTTGCTGCAGGGCATTGTGTAGCTTCGTCGAAGGGTTGCGCTCCAGGAAGAGAAGCCACCTGAGCGACGAGCTGGTGGGCTGTTCAAGGAAAGCAATGGGCTGGACGGAATGGCGACGCAAGTCGTTCGCCACGAGCAGCCACTCGACAAACCATGTCAGGATGCATTGGATGATGATGCTGAGCGCAGCATCGCCCGCGAGAGTGTTGGGCAAGCGGAACAGCTGGATGGGCTGCTTGGTTGTGTTGTACATGGCTAGGGGCAGGAGTCAGCACCTTATACGCAGGTCCACCGAGATAGAGGCGCACCTACCATAGGCAATTGCAAAGTTGAAGCCCGCTGACAGACATCCACCTCCCACACCGGCCATGGCAAAGATGTAAAACGCCTGGTGCCCCGTGAGCCGCGATGGGGGCGGCAGGTGGTGTTTGGTGCCCCTGTTCATCTGCATCTCGGCCTCCTGCAGCGTATTAGCGGCGATCCGCGTCGCAGGCCGTTTGCAGAACATCTGGGCGGCCAAATGACGGGGATTATGTCAAACAAGGCACAGGGGGTCGCAGGACAGTTTGGAAAAGACAAGACGAGGCGAAGATGAGAAAAAAAGGCATTTGCTCTTGATTTGGACATGACCGTGGATACGGTGAAGAAACTGATCAGGCGCGACTTGGGGAAATTGCGGCACGTGGTGATCAGGCCATGCATTTCTTTACTTGCCTTATTTTATGCTTAGCAGGTACCTTAAGGCATATATGTACTACTTTATGGACGGATACACCGCCAGAAACATTTGCGACTTCCATAAAACACCATCCATCTCAGCCTGTGACTGCTGCTATGGAGCAGTGTCCCAAACAAAAATCGATACAGCCAAACGACAAGTCAGACGCTCGACCCTGTCAACTGACCCATCCATGTTTCCATGATTCTATCGACGACACCATGCGTCATTCCTTTACTTCATCAGACGAACTCATAACCCTGGACTCTCACCGTCAAGCTTGTGAGGCCTTGTCCAGGTCACGGATAAGGGATAAGACGATACCATCATACCAATCTATCTCCCTGCATCTCGGCGCCTCGGCTGCAACGCAACGCTTGTTGCCTCGATCGTGCCTTTTGCCTTGTACCCGGACACGACAGCCAAGAGACTCCAGGCTCATGTTGATGAAAAACCATGATTGCAGTACCAGGTCTCTGGCGCCAGGCGTCTCAGACAGATGAACAGGCCCCACCCGTCGCCGCATCGGCGCCCCCTGTAGCGGCTAGCCCCGTGTTTCCACCAATCACATGACAGTGAAAGCGACCTCCATTGAGTAGGTCAGCGACACGCAGCCTGACTGCGCCTGAAGCCCCCTGTAGCTCCGGGGTCTGGCAGCGATCCCTCCCTTGTCATCGAGTAAACAGGAGCCCCTGAGCGCCGCCGCGGTGGACGAAACGAACAACACCACGAAGCTCGGCCAGCAGGGCAGCTATGTGGCGACTAGAACAGACGGCAGTGGAGTTTCAGGTGGCTTGCTGGATCGAGAGGTCGTGCGTTTTGACACTCTGGGGCTAATATGGATGTTTTGGCGCGTATTGCTGGTGCAGACGCGGAAACGCACAGAAGGGCGGACATCGCGAGCGGCTTCATCGATCATCGCTACGCGATTGACGGGCCAAGTTATTCCATATGTTCATTCAAAGACAAGAACAGCCATGCTGGCCATTCAGCACTGGGAGCACTCATGAAAGCTCCAGTCTACGGCATCTCCATAGCAAACGCCAGCAATGATATCTATCTCAAGCAGCCTTCTGCTTTGTGACCCGCTGTGCCTGAAACGCCAACAATGTCTTCGTCTTCTCCCTCCTAGTCCTAGGCCCAGACGGCGACCCCCACACCTGCCAACGCCTGTCATCCTTGCTCTTCCCACGATATAAGACGTCTGGCATCTCATTTCTCAGCCTCTCTTTTCCTGCCCAGGCTCATTCAGCACACTCTCTTCTTCTCCTCCTTGGTCCGAGTTTTTCACTCTTTCGCACTATCCTTTCCCTTGCGCAACTTCATTGACTGAAGTCTTTCATTCGCACCCGCTAGTCGGTCTTGTCACGTTCATTCTACTACTCAAAAACACTCACTTTCCAACTACCGCTCTTCGGTTCCAACAAACAAACTCTTATCAAGATGCCTTCCACCACCCGCACTCTTGTCTCTGCCCTGGCGGGCGCCGCCGGCGTCGCTGCCCACGGCTACGTCCAGAACGTTGTCATCAACGGCGTCTCCTACTCGGGCTACGACGTGACCAACTTCCCCTACAACGCCAACCCGCCCACCGTCATCGGCTGGTCCTCCGAGGCCACCGACCTGGGCTTCGTCGCGCCCGACGCCTTCCAGGACCCGGACATCATCTGCCACCGCGGCTCCCAGAACGCCGGCGGCTACGCGGAGATTGCGGCCGGCGACAGCCTCTTTGTCCAGTGGAACACCTGGCCCGAGTCCCACAAGGGCCCCATCATCGACTACCTCGCCAACTGCGGCGACGAGGGCTGCGCCTCGGTCGACAAGAACACGCTCGAGTTCTTCAAGATTGGCGAGGCCGGCCTCGTCGACGGCTCCTCGGCGCCCCTGACCATGGCCGACAGCATCCTCGACTCCAACGGCTTTGGCTGGATGGTCACCATCCCCGCCGACCTCGCCCCGGGCAACTACGTCCTCCGCCACGAGATCATCGCCCTCCACTCCGCCGGCGAGCTCAACGGCGCGCAGAACTACCCCCAGTGCTTCTCCCTCAAGGTCACCGGCTCCGGCGACGTCCAGCCCGAGGGTGTCCTCGGCACCAAGCTCTACACCGCCGAGGACGAGGGCATCCACTTCAACGTCTACTCCCCCGTCGACTCCTACCCCATCCCCGGCCCGGCCCTCTTCTCCGGCTTCTCCCCCGTCGAGCAGGCCACCTCCGCCATCGACTCGAGCGGCACCGCCACCGTCGGTGACGGCCCTGCCCCTACTGCGGCTCCTGCTGAGCCCACCGGCGGAAACGACGACGGTGCTGCCACCACCTCGGAGGCCCCCGTCGTCACGGAGGCTCCCGCCACCACCGAGGCTCCCGTTGTCACATCGGCCTCCGCTACGGCTGCCCCTACCACCACCGAGGAGGTCGCCCAGCCTGAGCCCACCCAGGACACCTGCGCCCTCAAGAAGCGCAGCAAGAAGGCCCGCCGCCACGCTCGCAAGAACGGCAAGGTCGCTCGCCGCGTCTAAGATGCCCTGGACGGAGCTGTCTAGACTAGACTAGACTAGACATGATGGAGGAAAAGCTTGTTGTGATGGACGGATCTTGGTGATGACCAACCGATTTGCATTCTACTGTATATATGAGCCTCGTGCTTTGTACCAAGGAGAGAGAGAGAGAGAATAGACGGCTTTCATGTCGGCAATGTGTGTGCTTCGCTTATGTGTCTTGTGTGTGTGACTGTCATATCTAAGCTTTGAGATACTTGTGTCTCAGTGTGCCTCCGGCGGCGCCTTGCGGCGAGCCTCGCTTCGCTCGCTTCCGTAGTAGGTAGACCCTTGGGAGTCTCATTAGATGTGTCTGATATAGCTGGATATGGATGTGAGTCCTACACAACGGTTGCTATCGAAATACTTCACGAGCTTCAGAAACAAATGCTGTTCTTTGCCGCCCCAACCAACGCCCTAACAATACTGTCCATGCGCCATGCTAATGTCGAAAGCCGGTACCTAACACCCAAGAACCCCCTTTTCGATCATGGACTCGTCACTCTCCTTTCCCCTGAAAAAGCGCCCCTGAGCGTGCATGTTAGTGTATCAGACCAAGAGCCATGGGGAATCTTCGCATCACGTACCGGCCAGTCCCAGCCCGAACTTCTCCCATCGTGCTCAATCTCATCAACCAAACCACTCATCTGCATTGTCCCACCCCGTCTCGTCGACGACGCCACGACAAGCGGCCCGCTCGTCGGTGTCCAGTCTACCGTGATCCACGACACGGGTACGCCCCATGGCGCGAGGGCTGTCCGCATCTCGCTGCACAGATGGACCAGCGCCTCCTTTGTCGAGAACCGGGCGCTCTCTGCGTGCAGGTTAGCATGCTACTGGAAATGGGCAAGTCTCAGACGTACTCATGCACGGCGCGGAGATCATGGCGGCTGACGTGCCGAGACACACGGTCCTCCCACACTTGCGCTCCAGCAGGTCAGCAAAGACCACGACTGCATCCGTTATACTGGCGATTTTGGTCTTGTACGTGCTTGACGACCGCATGGCGTCGAGGAGGGCCAGGGAGCCGCCGAGTCCTGCATCGTTAACGAGGATGTCAATGCCCGAGACGGACGAGGCGATGCGGCGAGCGACTGTCGTGATGGACAGAGACGAGGAGATGTCGAGTGCGAGAACGGTGATCTTGGAGCTCTCTGATAGTGCGGCTGGCACTGCCGCTGTGGATGGCAGTGTCAGATAGACAGTGTGCTGCTGCGCCAGCGATGTCGTCAAGGAGATGAGCAGTAGATGCACCGACGAGCCAAGAATGAGGACCGTCTTGGAAGCCATGGTCATTCGTCACGAAGGAGAGGAGAGATTGAGTATGTTTATTGGACCTGCGAAATTGGATGCGCCAGCGCGAGGCTTCAATCCCAAGGGCGCTGAGCACTTATACCACCCCGACTCACATGAGCACGACCCATCTCCCCTCATTCAGCAGCACGCGTCGAGGAAAACCCAGGGCGTCGTCATAGCTTAGCCCTCTGCACGTCCGTTAAATCGACGCAAAGGCCCCGTGAGGCTTGAGCGAGCACTCGGGCATCATCCTGAGCCCAGGCGGGCTGCCCCGTCCAGCACAGGCCACGGGGCGCAACGCGTTGAGGTCAGATCGTCAGAGACAAAGCCAGGTGCTGTGCTGTGCTGTGCTGTGCTGTCTGTGCGTGAGACTGGGCTTGACCGGTGAATGTCGGGCTGGACTAGTAGTAGACTACTTGTGGCGTAGTAATGAACACAGGTTGATGTGGCCTGTGGGCGGCAGAAAAAGCAACGATCGTTATGCGACCCGATAATGCGGACGGTGCGCGGGCAGCAGGCTGATCATTGCGTCCATTGTTGCCTCTTGTGAGTGTCCCCTGCTTCCTTGTTGTCTCTGACGCTTCACGTGGATATCAGGTGTTGGTTTGGATGAAGTCTATCGGCAATGTTGCTTCTGCTGACTTGATGTCCGGTGCTTACTTATGTTTCCATGTCGAAACAGCTGCTTCGAATAAGCTCCCTGTTTCGGGTAGCAAGGAGCCTCCATGCACGAAGGATGACGGTGTGACAGATGCGAAGTGTGATAGGTCACATCCATCAGTCGCATGGACGTGCCAGGTCACACTGAGATCAAGGCGTGCAGATCGAGGCTGTGGCCGTTGTTGGTTCGTCGCTGTCCATTGAGTTAGGCCTGCATATCCGTAGCATCTCATCGACGAGGAACAAAACCAAACAATGCTCTATTTAGACAAAGATCCTCCCAACGAAGCCCCCAGCCAACGCCATCTACCTCTACTCCAAATTGTATCCAGTACCCTCCCCCTATAGGTCCTTGACCAGCATGCTAAAGTACAAATCATCACGCAGCGCCTTGCCATTCACCAGATGCTCGTAGGGAAACGGCCGCGTCTCCTCCGTCTTGGTGTACCCCCGCCGCACGTACCAGGCAATGAGCTCGTCGCGCGTCCAGATGACCGACATTTCCATCCTCTCGACGCCAAACACCTGCTTCGCGTAGCGCTCCGCCTCGGCGAGCACCTGCCGCCCGATGCCGCCGGCCTGGCGCGTGGGATCCACGGCAAAGAGGCCAAAGTAGGCGAGCTTGCCGTCCGGTCGCTTGAGGAGCTCGCAGCACGAGGCGAGGGCGCCCGTCTCGTCGTGCGCCATGAGGATGACGCCGTTGGGGTCGGCGATCTTGGCGAGCACACCGGCGTGGTCGATGCGCTCGTCGGCGAGGAGGTCGGCCTCGGTCGTCCAGCCGGCGCGTGAGGCGTCGCCGCGGTAGGCGCTGCGGACGAGCGCGAGCACGTTGGACACGTCCGGGTCCGAGGGGGCGGCGATGCGGAAGGTGAGCGGGGTGGCGTGCATCTTTGTGTGTGTCGGGAGATGAGAATTGGTGAGATTTGATGTGTCTCAAGTGAATAGGGATTGTAAGCTGGACGTTCACTGAGCATCTTATGAAGTTGTGAGGCGAAGGTGAGAAACCCGCAAAATTCGCGGCTCGGCGATATCGGAGGGCGTCGCGACAGGCAAAAGGCGTACTTGACATGAGGGACAACTTGTCCTCTCAAGCTACCGACCACCACTCTGCTTCATTTCACATAGTCAATCATCCAGCGAGGAGAGATCAAGTGGATTAAGCTATAGATGGGCTAATTCACCGCGTCCTCCCCCGACAAGCCCGACGCGATCGACATGCGCCTCTCCTTCACAAACTTGGGCCATGTGTTCGTCAGCACCAGATACTTAATATTCGCCTCGGCCTCGTCAAACAGACCCCCGTCGTAGTCAGCAGGTATCGCGCCCCAGTATTGCACCCGCACGCCCTCGCTCCCATCGCTGGGCATTGACCGCGGCGTGTCCCACATGGTCGACGGGTCAGCTCCCTGCTTCTCCCCGTCGATGATCCGGGCGGGTGTCTCGAAGACGGCGTGCAGACGGCGGAATATCGTGGACGGCAGGTTGACCTGGAAATCGGCGCTGGGCGAGATGTAGTCGGTGTAGATGCGCAGCGCGCGGTTGAAATGGCTGTAGACAGCGTCGGTGTTCGTGTTGAGGTCTTCCACGAGCTTCTCGGCTATGTTAAAGGACAAGCGGCGCCCTGCACCAGGCAGCATGTCCCGCCACGAGGCCACCGCCGTCAGAAAGGCAATGTTCTCCCCGGAGAAGTCTCGCAGGGCGGAGAATTGCAGCAGCGGCGTGGGATTGCGCTCGAGGACGTGCTCGAGGGCGCCCATGGAGAGCATGCTGCCCGACGAGGATTTCGAGGAGGAGACGATGGACTTGGTGGTGTCGGATGACTGGTAGTGATCTTCTTCCTTGGGCTCCCATCTTCCAATGTTGGCAATCGTGGCCGACCTCTGCGAGCGGTGGCGCATGGTCTCGTAGCACGGGAGCAGGATCGTGAATATCTCAATGAGCATGATGGACAAGGCGATCCTAGAGGTGTCAGTAACATGCCACAGCGCAGAGAGTGATGGGTCCTACCATTGGGGAGGGATGAAATACTGGTTGACCTTCTCCATCGCTGGGACGTATAGTGCAATGAGCCACATGGGTGTAGCATGTAAACTGCAGAACTGTCAGAAGAGCATCTGCACGTAGACTGTCAGGACTCACCTCGCCAAGCAGCAGCCCATTGTTTGCACCCTCCACCCTTGGGTGTCACGGATATGCCTCGAGCGCCAGAGGATGATGGGCGCCACGATCCAGGCCCAGATACACTGCCAGAAGACGGTTGGCCACCACTCCCAGCCGCGGGCCATGTCGTGCATCCGCTCGTCGTGCGTACTGCCCAGAGCTTGTGTGCCCGGAATGCCCCAGGACGAATGCCACTTGCGAGAAATGATGTACATGAGCACCGTCACGAGGATCTGCCCGTTGTCAGCCACCGCTACCTCCCGAAAGACAACAAAGAGCCAACATACCTGGACCGCGAGTCCGGCACCCACCACGACAAACACTCTGCCCGTGTGATTCAACTTCCCCCACCAACTCTTCTTCGGTTGCTTCCAGGCCGGCTCCTCCGTCAAGAGGCGCTTCTGGTGGGCAGCCACCCACAAGAAGCGCCAGTTGCTGCCGTGGAACAAGCCCATGCCGAGCGGTAGCCACGTCCCCATGATCCAGTACTCGGCGTCCTCGGGCATGACGGGGCCGACCACGTAGCCCAGCTGGACCGACACCCAGTAGCAGTGTAGGAGGGCGCAGGCCGCCATCGAGAGAGGGATGTTTCGCACGCGCAGGAGGGCGCATGTCTTGTGGTGGAGTAAAAGGAAGCCTGCGCAGGAGACGGTGATGCATGTCCATAGTATGACAAGAACAAGATAGAAGACGGACAGATTGTCCATGAAGAGACTGACGGACGCCATCGTAAGGAACGAGAGTGACAGCGCAGGTGGCCAATGTGAAAGAGCGTCGTGAGCCGTTGGAAGAGCGAGGCTTGTGGATTGGCACTGAGGATGGGAAGGACGGCCAGAGGCATACTTATCACAGGTGTCTAAAAAGAAGCGTGCATCTTGTCGGCTGTCAACTCAGGGCTAATGCGTTCTGCATGCATGATTGCATTGGTGGTGGTGTCAACAGACTGAAGTCGTTGACGCTTACGCAGGGCCGGCTGTCGTCGAGGCGTCGACGGGACATTTGGTCCAGCAAGTTTCTACTGCTGCTGCTACTGCATACGCCAGGCTCAGCTGGAGAGCGTCAATGCACGGGCGTCGATCTGCCCAGCTCGGGACCTGCATGGATCGGGGACCTGGCGAGCGAGTCCCCTTGGCGATCAGAAGCAACGGTGATCTCCCGTGACGAGTCCATCTCTGGGATCTTCACGACCGGTGAAGGCTTAGCTAGGATGCAAACCAGTGCCAGGTCGACTGTCCGTGGACTTGGACCGACTCGCTACACGTTTAGACGATCTCGCCCTCGAATGCAAAGCAGGCCTCCAAGGGTCCAGTCGTGCACTCATACTGGCGTTGTTGATGCTCGAGGCTAGAGGCTAGAGGCAGTCCGCCTCGAAGCTATCGCCGGCCCGTGGGCCGCAACCACCGCGTCGGGATCTGGCTCGACCCCTGAGGAGCATGATTTGATCTCGGCAATCTCCAGTCCCGCGTCTCGTCGCAGCGCCTCGAGGACATGGCGGCGCAGCGCGATTGGCGAACCGGGCAAGTTGCAATGGTCGGGAAAAGCAACGACGCGCGGGTGTGACAGGCACCAGCCTGCGTCCCTGAAGCTTGTTCGGTGGGATCGCCCAGTTAGCAGATGCGACGAAGATGGTCATTCATGCGGAAGAGGCACGATCGCATGACGAGGCTATTTCCAGTTACTTTTCGATCATTCATCTGCGCGATAGATGAGATCCAATGTGAGATATGATATGTGATCGGCTGAGCGCGATGGCCGTCGGGCATTCGTTCATGCTTCGTTTCATGCGTTGACGTAGGTGTTGTGATTATACAGTATACGAACTTTGAAGGCTGTGGCCAAGAATGCAGTTCTGCTTTCGACTCGTGCTGTCGGAGCGAACGATGCGATGATGATTGATTTGTGGGAGGTTGCAGCCTGCAGGACGTGGATGGATTTCATCAGGATTCAGGCTGCCAGGCCAGGCAGCCACGCTTGCGCTGTACAGTACCTGGTATGGAGTCTATGGACTGAAGCCAATACGAAGGCAATTCTACCATCAGGAACCGCATGTCAACATGCCCCATCACGAACCTGCATGGATTGACCGTCTGCACCGTTCCTTTGGCGATCACGGGGTTGAGACTTTCTCCTGAAAAGGAAACCCGAGCCGTTGACCCTTTCGTTACGTTACACGTCGTCGAGTCTCACGTCTCCCCGCAAACTGGATCTTGAGTCTTGAGCCACATTCCCTCCATCTTGGAGAGAGTGAAACCTTCGATTTATGACACCTCATCTCTATCCGAATGAACATGGCCACTACGCCGGCGCAAACTCAGACCCTGGAGTCCCATGCGCTCTCAAGCCCAGCGACATGGACGCTGCAGCCCGAGCCACGCTCACAATCTGCGCCCGCGGCTCCCACAGAACCCTGCGAGCAGCTCGACGAAAACATTGATTCAAATAGCCTCGATCGAGAGACGCTCCTCAAAGTAGCCAGCGCCAGCTTCTCCTTCTTCTGCGCCGGTGTCAACGATGGCAGCACGGGCGCCATCATCCCCCATGTCATTCGCGACTACAACGTCAACACAGCCATCGTGTCGAGCATGTGAGTATACAAAACCTCTGTACATATCACAAACCGAATTGCCCAGCTCACATCCCCAGCTACGGAGCCACCTTTGCCGGCTGGGTCGTGGCCGCCCTCACCAACACCCACCTTGGCCAGTACCTCGACCTGGGCGCCATGCTCGCCCTCGGTGCGGTCCTGCAGATCCTGGCGCAAGCCCTGCGCGCCTGGATGCCCCCGTTCGGTCTCTACGTGACGACATTCTTCCTCGTCGCCGTGGGCGCAGCGTACAACGACACACACGCCAACACCTTTGTCGCGACCGTCAAGGGTGCGCATCGCTGGCTGGCGGTCATCCACGCCTCATTCATGGTCAGTTGCCAAAGAAACAGCCTTTGAGGATATGACTGACCAGAAAAGGGCGGTTGCCTCGTCGGACCATTCGTGGCCACAGCCGTGGCCTCGGCAGGCGAGCAGCGCACGTGGAATCTCTTCTACATCTTCCCTGTCGGCATCTGTCTCGCCAATCTAGGCTTCATAGCTTGGGCGTTTCGCGACTCATTCACTCTGCATCCGACAAGGCATCTCCCAGGTGGCACGGACATCGAAGGAGAAGAATCTCAGGTGACGCGCGGCAAAGATGCCACGGCCCTCATCAGAGCGGCACTGGGCCGCCCTGCTGTCTGGCTTCTCAGCCTCTTCTACTTCTTCTACATTGGTTCCCAAATTACGTCCAACGGCTGGGTGGTCGAATACTTGGTCGAGGTCCGGGGAGGTGATCTTTCTCGGATGGGCTATGTTCCTGCGGGTTTCAATGGCGGATGTCTGCTGGGCAGACTGTTGCTCGCCGAACCGACACATCGCCTAGGCGAGAGGAGGATGGTCTTTATTTACTGCGTGCTGGCTGTCGGCTTGCAGATCTTGTTCTGGATGTACGTCTCATGTCCGCTCCGTTGACGAAGCTAACGGTCCCAGGGTTCCCAACATTATTGCTGCGTCTGTCGCTATCTCCTTTGTCGGCTTCTTCACTGGACCGCTCTTTGCGACGGGGATCAACGTGGGCACGAAACTGTTCCCACCAGAGTTACACTCGACTGCCCTCGCTTTCGTGTTTGTGTTTGCCCAGATGGGCGGCTCGTTCTTCCCCGTCATCACAGGTGTCATCGCCTCGAGCAAGGGGGTTGGTACTCTGCAGCCCATTCTGGTGGCCATCCTGGCGTGCACGGGCATCAGCTGGCTGCTCGTCCCCAGCGCCAAGAGGCAAGGAAACGAGGCGGCCTTGCACGAGGAATGAGAAGTCGACTTCTCGCTGTGATCGCTTTGCTAGTCTGGGCCTCGAGTATGGCGATAGTAGACTGGTTCCGGCATGCTTCTTCTCTCTAGCAATGCCTTGCAGACCAGGACCAAGTCTATACTCAAGCAGGACGCCAGCCATGTCACCCATATGTCGCTTGGTGACCTCCCGCAGAGCGTGCGAGATGTGCGTTTCACATAAACGACCAGCCTTGGGATTGGCAGCACATAATCAAACATAAGTATTAAGCATATTCTTCTCAGTCTTCAAGCATCACCCCCGCAACTTCACTCCACGTTGAGTGCCACATCGGCAGAATCAAACGCACAATCCACCACTCACTTCATCGAGGCACCACGGAAGATACTGCAGATTGGCCCGATCGGGTCAGAGGGCGTCTCGGCAGTTGGTTCCATCAGGGAGGAGGTGCCGCGTCCAAGAAATGATTTTCCGGGGTAGATCAACCTCACCAGCCAAATTCCACCAATCGGTGCGTCGTCGCCAGGAAACTCACATGTCCCTCGCGGCATACGTCTAGGGGCATCAAGCACCTTCACAGATAATATGTCCTTCCCAGAGAGGTTCTGCAGAATGTACAAGTACATAAACCTGTCCAGAGGGCAGACACATCCTCCCTGACCATGCCTGACCACCCCATCCCAAAACATCCACAATGAGATCCCTCTTCACCGTCACGGCCCTCGCCACAACCGCGCTCGCCGCCTCCCGCACCTCCGCACCAGACGACTGCCTCACCGTCTCTGCCGACGGCACAGGCGACCACACCACCGTCCAGGCCGCCGTCGACGCCCTGTCCGCGGACGACCCCGACCCGCAGTGCATCTTCATCGCCCCAGGCACCTACACCGAGCAGGTCCTCGTCTCAGACCGCGCCGCCGCCCGGTTCACCATCTACGGCCACACCGAGGATGACACCTCGTTCGCCGGCAACACCGTCACCATCACCTACCATCTCTCCCAGGCCGACGGTCTGAACAATGACGGGACGGCCACCCTGCGCGTCAAGGCGCCCAACTTTCGCCTCTACAACGTGCACGTCGCCAATACATACGGCGAGGGCTCGCAGGCTGTTGCGCTCAGCGCCTACAGCGATGCAGGCTTCTACGGGTCCATGTTCACTGGATTCCAGGACACCGTGCTCGCCAACGAGGGCACGCAGATCTACCTCGACACCCAGATCCTCGGGGCCACCGACTTTATCTTTGGCCAGAGGGCCGTCGCCTGGTTTGAGCGCGTCGACATTCGCGTCGTCGAAAAGTCCCTTGGGTACATCACCGCCAACGGTCGTGACAGTCCCGACGGCGCGTCCTACTATGTCTTTGACCAGTCGACCATCTCGGCCGCCGAAGGGGACAATGTCCCGGCTGGTGCGTACTACCTTGGCCGTCCGTGGCGTGAGTACTCTCGTGTCGTGTTTCAGAACACGGAGATGAGTGAGGTGATTAACGCGGATGGCTGGCACGACTGGAATGGCGACCCGACGGACAACGTGGAGTACGCCGAGTATGGGAACACCGGACCTGGGGCTGCCGGACCAAGAGTGAGTTGGGCAAGCCAGCTGAGTGCGCCCGTGACCATGAGCGAGGTGCTCGGTGCGTATAAGTGCGCGGGATGGTTCGACGCGAGCTACTACGCAGGGCAAGGGGCAGAGGTTGGCAGTTCATGAGGTGTTGCGATGAAATACATGTATTCACGGAGCTGCGGTTTCTGGTATCACGCTTTGTAATTACAATCGTTCACTAGCCACTAGAGACATGTAGTCCATGCTGATTCCCACAACGCTGATCCGCCCGCTTAAGCTACCGATATGATGCTTCTCACTCCAGCGTCCCACTGTTCACGATTTCCATCAGGTGAGGGTACCCTGGGGATCGAGTGACTCAGGGTCTATGCTGTAAAAGAGTGCTAGAAGATACACCGGATTATCTACCTTGCGAAAGTCGATGTATTCCTTGGCCCGCCAGCCGGCGTCTCTCCCGTTGACGCGGAGCTTCTTCTTGCGTCTTTCCAATACGCTTGGACGGATATCGGGAAGGCCGCATTGTTCCAAGCAGAAGCTCTCGGCCACGATGCCACAGATCATGCCGGCGACGACACCCCTTTCGGCTGCATAGGCAACACTAAACCCCCCAACAAACGCGCTGAAGGAGTACTTTGCATCCACCACGTCGGCCGGTTCATGGTAGGGTGGATACCATCGAGAGACATCCTCCATGCCATAGTACAAGTAACCGTGCTGGCCGCAGGAGACAACCATAGTGGTGCGAGATTCCGTCAAAGCGTCGGCGTGCATCTCCGTCGCAGCCGTCGCAAAATCGGGCAATGCCGCCTCTTGCGTTTGGGGGAGACCGTCGCCTCTCGGGAAAAACTTGACGAGATCCTCCCATTTGATGCAAACGACTTCAACGTGACGGGCAATAAAGTTTTTGAAACGTTCCTTTTGAGCCGTCAAGTCTGCGGCTGGGCCAGGTTGGGGCATGTATTCCCAGACGATGCGAGGAGCCGGTATCGTCTGGTTTGCCAGGTAGCGGCATTTTTCAAAGGCCGCAATCTCAGCCTCCATCTCGTCGAGGGTTTTGGCCATGTGGATGACGCTGGTCTTGAGCAGTTCTGTTGGCCAATGGGCCAGGTCGACGCCTGTAAGATGGATGATGCTGTCCTGCTGTGTCCAGGCTTCCGCGGAATTAGCTCAAGAGTGCTCCTCAGTGCGGTAACGGTCAAACTCACACTTTGAACCAGGCATGCGTTCTCGGATGCCTCTGTTGCAGGGTTGCAGCCGACCAGGATCCTGCGGCGACAGGTGTACCGCAGTGCCATACCAGTCTCGGAGCGAGTCGAAGAATTTCATGGGGAAATCGTTTCCAGGCTGCTAGATGGACGCGATACCACTTCGATCTGGAGGGCCGGGGAGGCCTATGCCGTGGGCAATGGCCGCACCAACTGTAGCTAAGGAGATTGTCAGTCCAGTCCAAACCAGCGTGGTCAGTCGGTGCTCGAACGTACCGTACGTGACAGGCCCCTCAACAAGGGTATCCGACCTTCCAAGCAAGGACATGGAGCTTCTTTTCTCGTTGAGAATGTAGCGGGCATGCGAGATGAAGATATGCGGCTGGTCCTCGGACATTGGCTTGTTGTGTAGCCGCTGGCGCGCAGGGTTGGGCTCTGTGGGAAAGGGTTTCTCAATGTACTCAAGCACAATGGACTTTCCTCTGGCCACCTTGCGATCGAATCGCCCCTTGAGTGTGGCCACGTACCTATCCAGATTTCCATTTTGGTCGGGAAATTGGTCGCCCATGATGCAAGATGGAATGGTGATGACCGTTGAGATGTGCGAGTCGTTGACGAATGTGAGACCAGAACGATGCTTGCAAAGAGGGTACTTGGGAGCGATGGTACTAGAATGCTACAAGTATCTGAGTTGTGGATGAAGAAACAGGATCATGGCGAGGGTTGCAAGCCCAGTAAATATATGGTGCCGGCTTCATGTTTGCGGGAAGGTACAGCTGCGAGAGTCACTGCGACGAGGCAACTGCAGCCTGGCCAAGCCCATGCTCAAACAGGAAGCAGAGAGCAAGCAGCGGATGCACTGGCGAGATGTGGCTGCGAGTGTGGTCGAGCCCTCTACCAAACAAGTCACTGCCCCTGACGGTTGATGGTCAACAGATGTGAAGTCTTATGAAGACGCGATGGCGGAGATAAGCGCCATTGCTGGTCGTCGCTTGTAGGAGAACCGAGTTCCGAGTCCGACAATGTGGAGTATCTCTCTGTCATCCATCGCGATTATTGCCCTCACTTGCTTAACAATGTGAGCTCACCTTCATTGACCTCTCCTGACATCTACTGCAGTGCGGGAAAAACACCATCATGGCCAATCCAACGCTCAAAGGACACAAGCTCCTCGTCCTCAACCCATTTCCAACTCCAGCGTCGTCATTTGACCCCCTCAAGGAGACCTTCCCAGACCTAGCGATCCAGCATGTCGCGGTCGACTTCCACGAGGGCGATGCGCACGCCAAGGTCTCTGACGAGGAATGGAGCAATGTGACCATCCTCATGACGGGCAGCGCGCTGCCCAAGATCGAGAAGGCGCCCAAGCTGCAAGTCGTGCAGCTGCAGAGCGCGGGGTCGAACCATGTTCATGAGAAGCCCTTGTACAAGGAGACAGATGTCACATTCTGTACCGCGAATGGCGTCCATGGGTGAGTCGACGCCACTCATATTGGATGCGAATCCGCGGCTGAACAGGCACAAACAAGCCCCCAGATTGCCGAGTGGGTGATTGCCACGTTCCTGGCGCACCAACATCACAGTGAGTTGCATCATCCAGGGGCTTGCTAGCAAGGCCAGGTTCGCTAATCAATCGTCCTTCATCTATCAGTTCCTGCCTATCTCGAGACGCAAAAACAAGCCAGATGGGCGCGACAAGCAGAAATGCCGGATGATGCTGTAGGCAAACGCATGTAAGTCCTCCCCACATCGTCGACACCAGACAGACACCCTGAAGAGGAAGAAGCTGACGATGAAAAGAGGCATCCTGGGCTACGGAGCCATTGGTCGCCAGACAGCGCGCGTCGCCCAGGCCATGGGCATGGACGTCCACGCGTACACGCTTCACCCCAAGGACACACCCGAGGCGCGTCGTGACGCCACGTACGTGCCCGAGGGTCTGGGTGATCCCGAGGGCCTGCTGCCCAGAAAGTGGTTCTCTGGCACGACCAAGGAAGACCTGCACGCCTTCCTAGGCTCCGATCTTGATCTCCTCGTCATCGCGGTCCCGCTGACGCCCGTCACGAGGCACCTCATCGGAGAGGAGGAGTTTGCCATTCTGGGCAAGAAAAGGACCTTTGTGTCTAACATTGCGCGAGGGCCCGTCATCAAGACGGACGACCTGGTCGAGGCGCTCAACAGCGGGACCATCCGTGGTGCCGCGCTGGACGTGACGGACCCAGAGCCTTTGACTGATGGGCATCCCTTGTGGAGTGCCAAGAACGTGATCATCACGCCGCACATCAGCGGCATGTCGTCCAAGTTGGCGGAGCGTGTCTTGGGCGTGCTGCGACAGAACCTGACGAATCTCAGCCAGGGCGCTGACCTGGTCAACAGGGTGAACCGAAAGGAGGGTTACTGAGTGGAGGGGGTGGTGGTCAAGAAGGAGGGTCTCCAGATCACAAAGCTTTGGCGCAAGCCAATCCAACTATAGACTGTTTGATTTGTAAGGTAAACAAAAGACAATATAGAAATCATGCCAACAACTCCCGCTCAGTCAAAACCATGGAACATACAAAACAGCAAACCCTCTACGCCTGGGCGGCCGGAGCCACGCTCTTCTCGCGATGCAGGAAGCCCAAGGGCTTGCGCAGGAGATAGCCCCCAAAGCTCGGTATCACCAGCAACCCAACCTGTGCTACAAAGAGCCAGACCGAGACCCAGTCTGTCGGGGACGTAATGTCGTTGCGACGGATGATCAGCTCGACCCAGAGGATGAGCGGCCAGACAAAGACGAGCATGAGCACACTGCCCGGGATGGCGAGATACTTGTAGTTAGAGATGGCCTTGAGGCCGGCGAGAAGCGAGTTGGGTTTATGCTCGCCGCCTTTGTCGGCCAGCTCGCGCCGTATGGTGTGCATGTACATCGGAATACTGAGGGCGAGTATGACACAGGCAAAGATCAGCATGGTGTCAAAGATCTGCCACACCAACGTGAACTTGTGCCAGCCCGGCGACAGCGTCCGCCACCCAAAGAAGAAGAACTCATACTCCCCGTAGCCGGCTGTCTGGCAGTCCCGCCACGCGATCCACGCGGCGACGGTGTTGAGGACCATGACACCCGCGGAGCCGAGGGCAAGCAGCACGCCCGCTGGTAGGTTGCCCGCCGCCGCGCCGGCGAGGTAGGTGAAGGCGTAGATCATGTTGAAGTGGACGGGCAGCAGCGAGAGCGCGTGGAGCTGGCGGTCCTGGATGGCGAAGTACCAGACAAACTGGTTGTACCAGTTGTAGGCGAGGAAGCCTAGGTTGGTGGTGCCGTGGCTGCTCCATCCCGAGAGGAAGTGGGCGGGGGACAGGACGAGGCTCGTGTAGAGGAGGCCGCGGTTGAGGACGCTGAAGCCCTGGACGACTTCGTGGGACATGTTGCTGGTTCTTGTGGAAGTGCGCGTGGTGGATGAGTGGCTCCGTACAGGGTCACCCTCATGGGCGCTCGTCTCTGTCTATATATCCGCTTGGCAAAGCTTTGAGGACTGAACGTGGGATTGCTCCGCCTCGAGCTGCTGTCAGCCGCACAGAGAAGCACGATGGTCGGGCGTTTCACCTACCGGGGTTGGGCTCAGCTGCTGCAGGGCTGGGGCCTAGACGCGGGCTGTGCCGGCATGGCGGGCCTTGGTCGATCCCAATCGTGGGCTTTAGCTGTTGGCGTGACTTCAAGTGTAGCAAATGCGAGGCCTCGATTCCATGTTTTGTCGACGTTGTGTGCAAAAAGCATGGCGCGCTGGGGGAGGGCGCCACGTAAAGGATGCCAACGAGGGAAATCATCCAGCCCTCCGTCAAGGCGTATTTGTAAGGAGCATTTGTAAGGCGCATTCCCATCCAGATCAGGCATCTGGATTCTGATTCTGAATCTGGAGACAGCGAAGGATCTCAAGGTCCACTGACTGGGGTCCTCCCAGAGACTGGACAGTCTGGACTTTATTACATGTCCACATGGTGGGTCAAGGCCTTCGCGAGTGAGCGATAGCGCCAGAAGAGTGTGGTGAATGTACTTGTACCTACTGCTCTCATAACGATTCATCCATTGCCTGGACAGTCTTTTCCAGTACATGTAAACTACACGCCGAAGAGGGCGGTAATCGACACCACTCCATGGGATAGTTACTAGGCCAGTGAGTCAGTGACCCCGCCTCATTTACGCGCCCTGCTATGGCAGACAAGTCCTCACAGACACAGTTCAACATCAAACACGACTATCAATCAGCATATTGCATCTCAAATATGACTTTCTCTTCTTCTCTCACGTCACCCTACAGTGCTCTACTTTTCGCCATTCGCGCTTACCAAGAACCAGCATGGACGCCCTAAAGTCTCTCGGCGACGCCACCTTCCTGCCCAGTGAGCGAGCCATGTTGAACATGCTCAAGGGGGTGCTGGAGTATCCAGCCACCATGGAAGCGCGAGCTGCCAAGATTGCCAACGATATCCTCCACTTCTACCTGGACAACACCCATGATGACGAGGTTGGTGGCATGCTGTTTGCCTTGTGGGGAGTTTGGCTTGAGCTAGTCTCCTGCATCCTACATGGGCATGAGTGGCATCAATGCCTAGCTCTTGCCGTCGACTTTGTCCGCCAGGACGAGAGAGCCGCCGGCAAGGGGCTCACGGTATGTTTTAGTTAGGTCAAGTTCGCACAAAGATGTACATTATTAACGAGATACACCCAGAAATGGCCTGATCCTCCTGAACTTTCGATGCGCCTAACCGAGCAATGGGAGCTAAGTAAGCATTGATAGATTTTTCCTCTCGACCTTGTACTCTTGCTTACGCTTCTCAAGAGCCTGTGGAAGGTGAAGAGAACGACTCTGTTGGTCTCTCTGCCTGGAAAAACCTCAACTCCTTCATGTCTCACCTCGTCAGCCGTGGCCTCGTACAGCAAGTTCACTTGCCCATCTGGGAGATTCGCTCAGCTCTCGAAGAGCCCGCCGCAAAGGGACCTTTGATGGATTGCCGAGTCTGGGTTGCGACGGAGTGGACTCTTCACTGCAGCGACACGCTGGAAAAGGAAATGAAGAGCACTAATGAAGAGCTCACTGAGGATGAAGCCGGTATCAGGGGGACTGGTCAGCTTTGTGACGACAGCATCACGCCTCGAAGCTTGCAGCGATGGGAGTTCTGGAAGGAGCGGCTAGCTGAAATTGCAACGGAGGCTGATGACCTTGGTCTTCAAGAAGAGACTAGGAAGCGTGTTGAGGAAACCTTTGAATGTCCTAGAATGGCAGTCTTAGTTGATGGGGTGACGAAGGATTGTACGAGCAAGTGCCTCGGCCGAGGCTCGACTCGACCTTCTCCCCGCAAACCCCACACTCAAGTTCTGGGGATCTTCATGTATAAGTCACCCTCGACATGCAAAACCACAGCTGAGGGATTCATTCTCTGGTGATTCCAGCTCTTTAGATTCTTCAACGCAAATATATTCGACTGGGCCACACTAACTCCATCATGCCCGCCAATCTGAAACGCCCTGTTCGCATCGCCAATTGCTCGGGCGCCCTGACAGACCCCGGCATCCACATGTACAACCAGGCCAAGTACGGGCCAGTCGATGTAATCACGGGTGACTACTTGGCAGGTATGTCAGAGAATCTGATCCAGATAATAAAATAATGGATCTGACGTAGGAAGAGGCCAACATGGGCGACACAGCCGTGGCGGCGGCTTCCAACGACCGGCCAGGCTGGATCGCCACGGCCCTCGAGGGTCTCGAAATGTCCCTAGACATCATCCACGAGAAGAAGATCAAGGTCGTCGTCAACGGGGGATGCATCGACCCGCGCGGTTTGGCTCGCAAGGTCGACCAAATGGTACTACTCCCCCCTTTCACTCTGGCCCTGCCGTAAGGTGCTCACTGACAACCATGCCAGGCGCGGGACAAGAACCTCCCGCTCAAGGTCGCCTACGTCGAGGGCGACGACCTCATGCCCAAGATCCAGTCTCTACTCCCCAAACTGCCCCATCTCGACTCCCCTAATGCGGACATTCAGCTCGACAAGGCCACGCGCGAGTTCCTCGACCACCCGGACACCATGCCCATCGTGTCCGCCAATGCCTACCTTGGCTACCGCGCCATCAAAAGAGGCCTCGATCTCGGCGCGGACATTATCATCTGCGGACGCGTGGCCGACGCATCGCCCGTCATCGCCGCCGCCGCGTGGTGGCACGGCTGGCAGGAAGATCAGTATGACGAGCTGGCCGGAGCGCTCGTCGGGGGCCATCTCATCGAGTGTTCGACCTATGTCACCGGCGGCAACTTCTCAGGCGCGCACGACTACCCCGTCGAGGCCTTTCTCAGTCTTGGCCTACCCATTGTCGAGATGGATGCGGACGGCGGCTGTGTCGTGACCAAGCACGAGACGCTGGGCGGGTTCGTCACCGCCGACACGGTCAAGTGTCAGTTCCTCTACGAGCTCCAGGGGGACGTCTACCTCAACAGCGACGTCAAGGCCGACATTAAGCAGGTCCGCGTCACGCAGGAGGCCAAAGATCGGGTCCGCGTGTCCGGGATCCGGGGTCGTCCGCCACCGCCTACGACCAAGCTCGCCGTGTTCTACCGCGGCGGGTTCCAGAGCGAGATCCTGGTCAACGCGTCCGGGTATGCGACGCAGCACAAGTGGGACGTCGAGGAGGCCCAGCTGCGCGCGGCCTTGGAGAGGACGGGCGTGCTGGGCGAGCTGGACGTGCTGGAGTGTCAGAGGATGGGTGTCCCGATGGCGAACCCGGACTCGCAGCTGGCCAGCACAACGTACATGCGGATCTTTATCCAGGCGAAGGAGTTGCTCGCTGTGCAAAAGGCGGTCATGGCGTGGTATGGGCGGTTCATGACCCATTTTCCTGGTAAGTCAGCGTGTGCCACCGTCGTTGCGCCATGAGGCTAATCATCTATCCTCTTGTCTTCAAGGCATGCACTGCTCGCTGGATATGCGCACACTGCAGCCAAAGCCATTCCTGGGCTACTGGCCAGCCTTGGTGGAACAAAAGGAGATTGACGAGAGTATCACGCTGGTCACTGGGAACGAAGAGTCCAGACAGTCTGTCGGTCCACCAAAGAAGACAGAGCCGCTGGGCCCACGGTCAAGCTACGAAACGACGTCGCCCATCTCGACAGAGAACGCACCCTTCACGATGCGCCCGCTCGGAGACATTGCCCTCGCTCGATCAGGCGACAAGGGGGCCAACATCAACCTTGGCATCTTCGTGCAGACGCGTCCCCAGTGGGACTGGCTACGCAGCTTCATGACGCGTGACCGGCTCCGGACGATGATGGGCAAGGACTGGCGCGACTGGTACTGGATCGAGCGCGTCGAGTTTCCCGACATCTTTGCGGTGCACTTTGTCGTGTACGGGATCCTGGGCCGGGGCGTGAGCAGCACGTCGCGGGTGGACTGTCTGGGAAAGGGCTTCGCCGAGTTCATCAGGGCCGTGCATGTCCCTGTGCCGGACGACCTGCCACTGGCGAGCGCGAGGCTGTGATCGCTGGCTTGAATGCGACATGATGGTGTTTTGTGTCGAGGAAGGATGAGAGTCAAAGAAGCACGCCCATGATTCATGTCTTGGCCCGCCAACTCCACCGTTTCTTGGCGACGGTGCCGGACCTATTGGGATTTTCCCACGTCGATAGCGTCAGCATGTAATTCCAGGCCCTGGGGCACCATTTCAGGTACGAAGTGCTCGGGGATTGGAGTGTCTTGGCGGGACAGCTTTGACCATCAGCGCTCTCCCAGCTCGCATCGTCCATGACACATCCAAGCCCCTATAGCTGGGACTGTCTTCACATTTTCCTTCCGAACGATACATGCAATTGAAGACTGAAGGATTGAGCACTATCCGTAGATCCCGTCCGCCTTCCACGTGGAGCTTGACTCTTCCAGGTCCACCGTCGGTGGGAAATTAGTCTAGCGTTCAAGTTGACAGGGGCCCCCTTGACATTGGATCGCTCGCCCGCTCGCCCGCTGATCTCTCTCGTCTGCTCCTCCGTGCCTTGAGCGTGCTTCTTCTTCTGACCGTCGACACCGATCAATCGCCCCGGATTCAACCAAGCAAGCCCCGACGAAAAGCAAGGACTTGCGCGCTGCGGCGCGTTTCGCTCTCTCGACTCAACTCCCAAGACAGGCGACTGGGAGGCAGCCAGGCTCCAGTCCAGTCCAGTCCAGTCCATGGACAGAACGGCTGGCGGAGGCGCACACGCCGGCCATGTCTCGGGACGCAGTCTCACCAACAACATGAACACCGCCGCCGGCGGCACGGGACATGGAAGCAGCCATCACGCGCGCGGCACCAGTGGCGGCGGCGTCGTCCAGCAGCCGCACCAGCGACATCGAAGCCTATCCAACCGACCGGACCTCAAGCCCGCGCCGAGCGGCTCCAGCATGCGAGAGCAGGCCGCCGCCACCGCGAAGCACCAGTCATCATCAGCACCTCCTCCGCCCGCCGTCGTCGCGACGAATGGTGCCTCCGTCGCCAAGCCCCAGCCGGCCGTGTTCTGGAACGACAAGCAATCGCTCGAGCAGTCGCGCACGCAGGAGCAGACATTCTACAACGACGTCACGCCGCCCCCCTCGCCGTCGTACGGGGGCGGTAGCAAGAACAGCTTCTCGATAGGCTATCCGTCCCTCAAGGGGCCGGCACCCGTCGGTCTGCAGCCCATGACGAGCGCAGGGTCGCGGGATGGCGGCCGTGGGGGGTACGACTACCGATGGGACCACGTCGCGCCGCAGGCCCCGATACCGCAGTCGGACAGGACATGCGGCCTGACGAAGAAGTTCTTTTGGATCGCCGTGGGCGTTGCCATTGGGCTGTTGCTTGCGGTCGCCATCGGCCTTGGCGTTGGGCTCTCTGGGAACAGCAGCAGTAGCCATGGCTCTCAGGACTCGGACCGGTGAGTCTCATCCCATAAGTCTCAAGGCATCATTTACTGACCATCCACTCAGCGCGTCGTCGACACAGACTGTACCGACATCAACTCATCCCGAGGGCGGTTCGCCTGCCACGACCGTCCTCGTAGCAACAGCCACTTTCACAAGCACAGACGAGGCGAGCGAGGCGTGCCCTGCCGCCAACGACACCACCTTTGCCGTCCCCAACTCGCCCAAGACGTTCCGTCGCTTCTGCGGCGTCGACTACCGCTCGGCACAGGGCACCACCGACCTCGCCACCGTCTGGACGGCCTCCATGCAGGACTGCATGGTCAACTGCGCCGGCTTCGACGGGTGCACGGCCTGCGCATGGGGCGTGCAAAAGGGCGACAACTACCGAGACAACCACCGATGTTACCTCAAGACCGACTTGGGCGAGAGCCAAGAGGTGAGGGACGGCTGGGACTTTGCCATTCTGGAAGAATAGATGATACGGGACACGCGGACGGGTGACTGATACCCCCTGATGAATAATGACCAACACAATATACCTAATTAATTGGATACCACATCTCTATCTGTCTACTCTACATACGCCGTGTGCATCGTGAGCCCATCACCGCCCGCCTTGATGCTCAGCTTCACGCCCTGGCCGACAAAGTATACGTGTCCCTCCTTGAGATCAAACCCATCTCCGCCGTCCACGTCCACGCGCCCACTGCCCCTCGTCGCGATGACGATGCCGGCGCCGCCCTTGCCCAACACCTCGTCCTCGTCCTTGCCCAGCGTCGTGGCCAGCACGTTGAACTCGCTCAGCGGGGGCGCGTACGCCTGCGTGCGTCCCTTCTCGCTGCGCCAGTACTTCTTGGCCGGTAGCATGCACTGCGTCTTGTCGTGCGGGGTGAATGTGAGCAAAGAGCAGAACTGCTCGATATTGTCCCGCTCCGCGCGCGGGCAGAAACCCGTGTTGAGCACGTTGTCGCTGCGCGCCATGCACTCGACAATGTCCCCCGACAGGTACGCGTGGATGCCGTCGGCGGGGATGTAGACGGCCTCGCCCGGCTGGAGCACGAGGTAGTTCATCGCCAGCAAGGCCACGAGCAGACCCGGGTCGGCGGACGAGTACTGGTCCGCAAGGCGGGGCGCGAGCTTCTGGATGTGCCCGTTGTGGGGGCCGGTGAAGGCGCCCGAGGGCATGCTGGTGATGGCCTTGTAGGTGTCGCGACACGTCTCGGGGGAGGCGTTGAGGATGTCGCGCACAACGGCGCGGAGGTCCTCGTTGGTGAAGGCGGAGCGAGACGCGTTGCCCGAGGTGCGCAGGTGCTTCAGCTCGGGGAGATCCAGCAGGGCCGCCACGGCGTCCAGGGGCTTGAAACCGACAAACGCCTCAAACTCGGTCAGCGCCAGGGCGATCTCGGGCTTGTGGTTCGGGTCGCCAAAGGCGTCCGGGTTCTCGTTGTGCATCTTGGCCGAGAACGCCTTGTTCGGGTGGATCTGCAGCGGCAGCGCCTTGGAGATACTGAGGATCTTGGGCAAAAAGGGCAGCTGCGTGTGGCCAAACTTGTCCACGACCGCCTTGCCAAGCAGCTCGTTCGGGTGGCGGTCCAGCACCGCCTGCAGCTTCTCGTCCGTGTCGGCCACGTACGATGGGAGGGTGGGATAGGTGCCCATCCACATCTCGGCGTACGCCTCGTCATCCTTGGCCTGGAAGGGCGTCTTGGGCGCCTTGTCGTCGGGCGCGTAGCCGGGTGTCTGCTCGCAGAGGTACCCCGACAGCGAGGACTTGCCCTGCTTGCCCCATGGGTACGAGTTGCAGCCGCACTTGAGCTGGTAGAATGGTTTGAGAGGCGTCGTCATGTTGGGCGGTGTCTGATGAGGGTCGGGTGATTAGTGAGTCGAGGAAACATGGTGTTGCGGTCTGGTCTCTGATATAGAGCCCATTGTTCCTATCATTGACGTCAATCGAGGTCTGACGCTGACGTCGCTATGCTGTCTTGCCATTGCTACGCAAATGCTTCAAGGTGACGTGACCGCGTCTCCGGTGGAGATTTAGACTGGAGGCGCCGTCGACAATCGATGGGTTGTCGAAGATCAGGAGGGGTAGAGCCTCAGAGAGAGGAGTGACATCGATGATCGAGGAGCTTTCAACCCGTCGCAGCCGGAGGTCACGTCCGGCGTCGTGCATTCGCTTACCCTAGACTGAAACCTCATCATTTGGCTTCAGTGCAAGTTGTAAGAATCAAGTTCACAGTCTTGTCTTGCTGTTCTATTTTAGACCCGTTTTTGTATCTGGCTAGGTTTTATCAATAGCCATTTTCAGTAACACCATCTTCTGTAACGTCAATGTAGACCCTGAATCCTCGAGGTCAGCACCATGAACGGAAGTTGCAAACGCTGAAGCATGAACTCACCAGGAAACCTCCCAGTCAGGCCTCCCTCCAAGACTCCTACACATAGCTCTGCTTCCCTCATTCGAGGCTGACACGTCTGCCGAGCACCATCCGTCGCGAACGAAATCACCCGGACCCTGTCTCATCAGCCTCGCAGCCAGCAGCTTGGCCAAGCCTCTTCTGCGGAAGTCCTCCTGCAAACATTCAATGTGAGCATAATAATCTCGTCACATCATGCAAAAGACACCCTCTTCCATGGCATCACTTACCTCGCAATGAAGGCTGATCAACGACCCGTCGTGCCCAAGAAAGGCCCACGCAATCGGCCTCCCATCATCCAGACGGATCACCAGACTCGGCAGCGTGGCCAGCATGGGCCTATGGACTACAGTCAGCAATGGTACTGCACAAATGCCCAGACAACAGAAGAAAGCACATACGCTGTCCGTGGGATATCTGTGCGAGTCACCACAATCTCGCAGTCCTCCAGACTCGCGACATCCCACCTCATCCCCTCTTCCAGTCCATCTTCCCTCCTCTCCGCTCCCTTCGCCCCTAGAATGTCCCTCTGCGTCGGTAGATTCTGCTGTTGAAAGAGCCACTTGTCATAGAACCCCGTCTCCCTGGTCCTCAACCTCTTCATGCCCGTCAATACCCTCCTGACGCCCGTTTCGCACGTGCCCAACAGCACACCCTCCTCGTGCCACAGCTTCTTGCCATAGGACCTCTTCATCTCAATCATCTCCCCCACGAGAGCTTGCAGCTGCGCAGCGTGGACGTCGACAGCCGCAGGCTGGACCTCGAGGGTCGAAAAGAGCCACATCTGCGTTTCCGGTCCACCCGCGAGGTCGACGTACGCAGCAGCCAAGTACTGGGGCTGTTTCGGTGGACCATTGTGTATGAAGATGATGCGGGCTGTGGGCGTGATGCGTCCCTCGTGCTGCGCGAACTGCAACCGCCGCAGGAGGGGCAGCGAGTTGGGCAAATACGACTCCAACAGGGCGATCAGGCCCTCGGGAACATGCGACGTGGTCGAGATGGATGATGCCATGTTTATTTCGCGAGTCCCATGTCCTCGAGGGCTGGATGTTCGAGGTTGGGGAGAAGAGATGGTGCAGATAATCGGACTCATTATGACTCTATGTGCAAAATCTCCACTTATAACCTCATCAACGCCGTGATCGCTCAAAAGTTCCGGATTTAACCACAATTCACATGTCTGTGCTGCACGGCTACATAACTTGAGACAAGATGTACGTCTGTATATAAATATATACTCAATATTTACTTCAAAGAAAGAAACTTCCTCTACAGGCACTGCGAGTAGTAGTTGTCGACCTTTTTGCAGGTCAGCCCCTTTTCGCACTGGTAGCTGCCAGTCCACGTCTGCCCACCGCACTGCGCGTACTTGCTGCCAGGCTTGGACGGGTCCATGGCCAGGATCCTCTCCGAGGCCCGCTCGGCTACGGTGATGATGTAGGCCGTGGGGTTGGGCGTGATCATGCCGGGGAAGATGGACGCGTCGACAACAAAGATGTTGTCCGTGCCCCAGACCCGGGCGTTCAGATCCACGACGGCGTCCCCGTTGTTCTGGCGCCCGTCGTGCGTGCCCATCTTGTTGGTGCCGATCCAGTGGTTGGCACGGCGGTTGGACGGCGACACGGCCATGTTCTCGACGAACTCGCGCGCCGTCTCGTCGGGGCTGGGCGACAGCCACTCAATGCCCTCGTAGCCCGCCATGGCTTCCTGGAGGTTTTCAATGCCCTTGATCACGGCCTCCACATCCTGCTGGTTCTTGAGGTACGGCACGTCCGAGACGACGGTGCTGAGGGACGACGTGATGGTCATGCGACCCCGAGAGACGGCGCCGCGACCGAGGTACTGTGACATGGTGATGGCCGTCAGGTTGGTGTGGCCCAGCGACGGCTCCACGCGGGCTGTCCACTGCAGAGAGCGGGTGATGCCGTCGGTCCCGGTGATCTCGTCAAAGAAGACGGGGCCAATGTTGGGCGCCGCCTGCGTGAGGATACCAACGCGCTCATCGAGATAGGCATCGCGGTCCGCGGGGATCGGGTCGTCGTACGCCTCGTAAAAGTCGTAGAACACGACGTCGGGGTGCGCAATGACCGTGTCCGTGTTGGTGTGGTCCTCCAGGTTGTAGCCGACGGGCAGCTTGATCCACTCCGACTCGTCAATCATGTCTGGCCCATCGGCCGAGGCAGCCACAACCTCAAGCTGATCCTGAGGGCCGATGCCACTGCGCATCAGCAGCTTGGCGGATCCAAAGGTGCCAGCGGACAGGATGACGCGACCCGTGCCCTCGGTCAAGCTGACCGTGCCCACGTACCCATCGCCATTGTAGTTGGTCACCTCGACGCTGGTGGCGTGGCCACGCTCACGGTTGACACGCTTGACCTGCGTGTTGGTCCACATGTCAAAGTTGCTGCGGGACGCCGCCGTCTTTAGGTAGGTGTCGAGAGGTCCGCCACGCTCGGCGTGCTCGTTGAACATGAACGGGCCGTGGCCAAACGTCTGCTTCTTCTTGTTGGGCTCCTCCAAGAAGTTGATCTCTGTCCAGCCAGCCTCGGACAGGGCGCCCGAGACGACCTGGAAGCCCTGGTCGAGGTAGCGCTTGCCGTCGGTGGAAGGGAAGCGAGTACCGGGGATGCGGCTGAAGACTCGCTCCTCGGCCGCCGCCATGTCGTCGGCCTTCCAGCCCTCGGGGAAGTTGTAGTCCCAGTCAGCGGCCTTGGGCCTCCAGAACAAACCGGCGTTGATGGCAGTGCCGCCGCCCAGCAGGCAGCCCGCCATCTGGTCGGTGTCGCGGCAAGCAATGCCGGAGGAGTCCGCCCAGATCTGGTTGCAGAGACCGGGCACGTCGAAGCGGGTGAGATCGGTGCCCTCGAGCCACTCGGGCTTCATCTCACCACCCCACTCGCCAGTTGAGACGGGGCCTTTCTCGATCAGCAGGACCTTGTGACCAGCCTCGCTGAGCCTGTCGGCCATGGGGAGACCACCGGCACCGCCGCCGACAACAATGTAGTCGTAGGACGCGTCAGTGGGCACCGGAATGCCAGTGCCAGTGGGAAGAGCAGTGGTGGTGGTCGGGTCCGGGTCCGAGCCGCCACCGCAGTCGCCCTCTACGACGTTTGTGGCCAAAGCAGCCCACTCCTCGTAAGCCTCGTTGACGACGTTGTCGGAAAAGGTGCCACGGAAGATGAACTGGGTGTCGTGCTGGGCAACCACCATGGTCTGGGGGCATTCAGGGTTGGTGGGAGAAGCGGCGGCCAGGGCCCATCCGAGCATCATGCCGCCAGTGCTGGTGGACGCCTTGCCAGTGGCACCATTGTGGTCCCAAGCCAAGCAGCCCTGGCAGCGATAGATGAGCTCGAACCCATCATCGGTGATGCTGGAGCTGATTTGGGTGATCTCTGCATCACCGGCGTAGATATCGGGCATCTCGTAACCAGTCGCCCACATGAGGGCAGTGAGAACCTCGCCATCCTGGGGGTAGGCCGCCAGCAGAAGACTGTTGGTCATGATTCCGTTGAACGACAGACCACACCAGCCCGAGCCGCCACATTTCTGAAAGAGCTGTCAGTCTCGCTCGTAACCAGGAAGATCGCATTGCTCACCAGGTAACCGATCAACTCAGTAGCGTCCACATCCAGCGCGTCCGAAGGCAGGGCAACACCAAAGGTGATGTCCGCGCCAGTACCCTTCCATGTGTCGAAGATGATACCAGTATCGGGGTCCTCGTAAGTCGTCGGGGTGGAAGTCTGAGCCAACACCAGCTGGGCGAAGGGCGCAAGCGCCAGAAGAGCCGTAGCCTTGAGAGACCACATGGCGGCGAATGTAGCAAAAGGAGGGATGCTTCGAAAAGAAACATGGGCAAAAGCACCCGGATGACCCCAAGGTCATATACTCCTCTCAGGATAGGCGTTTGCCAAGGTCAAGTGGACAAGGCTGCTCAACTTGGAACAGCGACGGGCAGGATGTTCTGCAATGCCTGTTTCCTGATAGGATGGCCTCAAGGCGTTGGTGGTCGAGATCCATGCCACGTCCATGCCATGATGTTACACTGCAGCGCAGGAAGGGGACCCGGGCCTCGTCCCTAGCCCGCGGGTTACTTGCATAAGTTGCATTGACATTTCTGGGGGACCGTCCATTCCTCGGAGAAGAGCCCCTCCGCATTATACATTAGGTGAAACACGTCTCGCCAGGTACGTTCGTTTCGCGGCTGTCCATGTTGTTGCGCCGTACTTCGTACACCTGGTTCCTCACAGGCGAGATGGCCAACAGCCAGCCCGAATTGATGCTTGACTTGTCTACCATCCGTCATCGAAGACTGTGCGAAGGGTTTCGATCAGAATGATTTCGACAACTTCCGGATCTGGCTGTCACATCCGCTGGTCGTTGTCGTGTGCTTCCCAAAGAGGCAACGGGAGTAGCGCTCCGGATTGAATTCGAAACAACTCTATCGGCATCCCAGTCGGTCATGAAATGAACAGAATCTGCCGAGACAGATTCCTCCGCGGGACTTCGCCCCGCGTTTCCTTCATTGTCAATAGGATTTGTTTGCGTGCCGAGCAAAAGGGTCGCCGAGCTCCGAGTCTCTGCACTTTGCAATCATGCCACCAGCTTCCAGTCGTTTTGTACCCGACGCGTTCGGAGACACTGAAGTGACGGACGGAAAAGAGCAAGACGAATGAATCCCTGTACAAAGTGTCGTCAGAGTCTCGTTCGCCGATGACCTGTGTGCGTTGCGGATTCGTTTCATTCAGAGTGTTTGAAACTTTGACAAACTGAGCCCCGATATCATTAGCGATGCTTAAATTAATACCCGGTCATCTGTTCCAGGCAACGAAGAGGGTCCTCACCTGAATCTCCCACCAATTATTATACAAGCTGAGCAATGATCATCCTTCCCGGAACGCTGTCAACGGAGAGATATTAGTCTAGAGTTGGCAATCAGTTTCGGCCGCCAAGCTCCCAGTTCGACATGGCTGTCTAGCCGCGTCGACGTACTTGGAAAGACGGCGGATGAGCCGTGGCACGTGGGTCGCGAATCCAATATTGGAGAACGCAGCAGCTCGTGGTCAGAAGCAAGACCTAGAACCTAAGAGGCCAACCTGTTAAGCGCCGTGGTAGCCTGGACTGATTGTGTCGGGGGGTTGTTGGTGGAGCAAGTTGCGAGAGCGCTGGTGTGAACTTGTGAGATGGATAACAGTGCGCGTATGCCACTAGTACCAGTCTGTACTGTGTGGCTCTCACTCAGCCCGCAGCGCCTGTCGCCGTTTTGCATGCAGAAGCCACTGGAGCACCGTGCGAATTCCTGCACGTCGACAGGCCGCCGAACCTGCCTCAATCCAACATGGATGTCCACCGCCAACAGCAACCGCAACATCACGTCTGCATCCTTACCAGCTGATGAGCGTGTGCTATAGCAGCAGTCCTTGCCATGCATCACGCGACATGGTCGTGCTATTCTGTGGCCTATTAGCACTTTACCATACCTGCATTCCCATGTCAGGCGCGTGTCCCATGTGATGGTGACATGTCGACCTTCAAGGGAATAGTGTCCGAGTTTCCGGACATACGAAGTGTGTGCTCTTCCCCAGGTTCTGATCTCCCTGCATGTGTGCTGACATGCCTCCGCAGTCGACTTCTTCCGGCCGACGCCCGGCCAAAGGCCCCCGTTGGCATGCTTCCTCAGCCACGTCCACAGCGATCACCTAGCAGGCCTGGACACGCTTTTGTCACCCTTGTGAGTTGCCAAGCTTCCTTTGAGAACGAGAGGCTCACATTGTCTCCATAGTGTATATTGCTCTGCAGCCACGCGAGAAATATTGCTGCAGCTGGTGAAATATCCATGTCGGATCAACTTCGCCCAAGGTATCATTGAGAGGTGGAAGCAGACCTACAGAAAGCAGCAGTCCATTCTCGTGGGTCATCTGCTCCTGTCCATGTGTCCCAGTGGAGTTGACAACCGCCCAGAAGCCTCTCCCTCTTGACACGCCAACATGCTTGGAGCTGCGGCCTGGCTACCAGATTCAGGTGACCTTATTGGATGCCAATCACTGCCCTGGCGCTGTCATGTTCTGTTCGTTTCTGCCACTTGCAAATATGTGCCGAGCTGACTGGTGTTAGTGATCGAGGGTGATGGCAGCGCGATCCTATATACCGGCGATATTCGAAGCGAGCCTTGGTTCGTGAATAGCCTGTCCCGCAACCCCAATGTAGTTGAATACACACATGGCCTCAAGACTCTCGATAAAGTATACCTCGACACGAGCTTTACCAAGAATATACCATTCCAGACCAAGGCAGAGGGCATCGCGGAGTTACTGGGTAAAGTAGCACAGTATCCCGAGGATACCGTCTTCCACTTTCAAGCGTGGACATATGGATACGAAGATGTCTGGATCGCTCTGTCCAAGGCACTGAAGTCTCAGGTATGTCTGCCCATTCGTCCAGTTCGGGGCTCACTAATGAGGACGGAAAGATCCATGTCGACGACTACAAGTTGAAAGTATACAATTCTCTGCGAGCAAACGAACTCTCTGAGTATTCCAACCCGATTTGCCCCGAGGCTCCGGCTCTTGTAGGCTTCAAGTGCGCCAACAAGGCCCATGGCGGCTGTTTGACATCTTCGAGCTCGAGCAATGTGCGCTTGCACAGCTGCGAGAAGGGCAACATGTGTGAGGCAGCAAAGGGGCCAAATGTTGTACGTATTGTACCCATGGTTGCGAACCTGAGCGATGGGACAGGCCTCGTGGAGATCGGCGTCGGGGGTGGAGGGGATGACCTTGTCAAGGAGACTGAAATTGCGCAGGGAGACTGGCCAACGTTTCTCAAAAGGTATTGTCTCTTTACTTTATGCAAAGCCTCTCTCACACAATATAGTCTGTACGAAAGCGCAAATATCCCAGAAGATGCCAGACAGGGTATTGGCAAGCTCATACAGCAACTCGCGATCCATGGACATACGCTGCTACTTGACCTCATCACGGCTTTTGACGAAGGCAAGAATACGGCAGAGATGGGGAAAGTGTGCCAGGCAATTCTGGAGAGATCCAAGGATATGTCTGAGAAAACCATTGTCGCGGACGACCTAAGCACACCTGCCACAAAACTGCCAAAGACCATCACATTCCCCTACTCGCGGCATTCTTCGTACCCAGAGCTCTGTGATCTCTTGCATATATTCAAGCCGAAAGATGTTTGGCCATGTACCGTGGATGAGGATCAATGGTTGAAAGAAGGTGCATGCCTCGGTGTTCCTCGGTACTTCACAATTAGCTAACGTTACACAGAGATATCCATATCACATCTTTTCGGTGAGTTTTGCTCTAGCAACGAGTTCTCACACGACATCATGATGGAAGAGGTCCGGATAGCCAGAGAGGCAGAATTCGGACGCGATTTCCGGCATTCAAGCACGCAAAGAACAGACTCGCAGCATCACTTCCTATCATCGCCTCCGCGTCCTCCGTCGAACTCGGATCCGTTACATGGGCTCCAGCACACTCCGGCAGACATGTCAACCGTAGATGACGGCCGTCAAACAACGCGACTCATCAGCCCAAGGCCCGGCACGCAAGCACCGCCTCGCGGATCCTGGAGTGATACAGAGTCGAAGAGTCTACCACTCCCCAAACCTGTCGCTCAGGTGATAGACCTGACACTCGACTCCGATGTTCTCTCGCCCGAGACAGATAGAGGACAACGTGAGGACCAGAGGGTTGATGGTCGCGAATCCAGTTTTGTTTTCTCATCACCTAAACACCACAATTCAGCAAAACGAGCATACGACGACACATTCGATGACGACGAAGACCAGGGCGATTCGCAAAACACCCAAAGATCCTTCACCTCAGACTTGTCCATGCGACACTCAACCTCACGCAGGGAGGCGTATTACCATATGCTCGAAAATGCAAATGATGGGTCGTGGCATGGCATTTCATTACTCTCCACAGATGGGGGTCACTCAGCAGAGGAAACGGAATTATAACAATAAATTTGCGTATGTATCATCTCCCATCCTAGGCGAACCCGAGTCCTAGGCCCTCACCGCCCAGGAAGATTCCACCCTCTCCCTTCTCCCTCTCACGAAGCAAAGCCGCGACATCCACCCGCCCGCCCGTGATGTAGCGCTCGCTCACACCGAGATTCACCCTCTGGGCCAGGTCCTTTCGTAGCTTGGCCCGCAGTATGCCCATCTCCTGCTTCGTCATCTCCCTCGCCGTAGCCTCCTTCTTCTTCCTGCCTCCGCCTCGGCCCGAGTAGCCCATCTCAGGCAAGTCGTCCTCGTCATAATCGACGCCGAGATCCTCGGCCGCATTCTTCATAAAGGAGTCGTTGCTCCTCGCCTTCTCCTTGGCGAGCGTGGCGTCCGCCAGCTGTTTGGCCGGCCCCACCCGCGACTTGAGACGTGATGCGAGCTTGCGATCAACGGGGAGGGTCTGGATGACGTGCTCACGGGACGCCTTGGCGTGGACTTTACCCGCGAGACGGCGCGTGGGCAGGACCTCATCCGGAGCACAGAGCAGAACGGACACGCCGTTGCGCTCGCCACGGGCGGTACGGCCGGATCGATGGACATATGTGTCTGCCGCGCGGGGCACGTGGTAGTGGAGGACGGTGTCGACCTCGGGGATGTCGAGACCACGGGCCGCCACGTCGGTGGCCACGAGGATGGAGGGCTTCTTGGCCTCGGTGAAGCGCTCCAGCGAGCGGAGACGGGCTTTCTGGGGCATCTGCGAGTGCAGCGGGAGGGCGTTCTGCTGCAGGTTGACCAGGAAGGGGGTGAGTCGCCTGACGGCGGAGATGGAGTTGGTGAACACCAGGGTGCGCTTCTTGGGGTTCAGCAGCAGGACGGTGTAGAGGTAGAGATCCTTCTCCATGGCGCCGCACTCGACGAGGCCCTCCTTCAGGCCCTCGGCCATTTGGCGGACGGGGTTGGCGTCGATGAAGGAGGGTGTCGATCGGAACTTGAGGGACTTCATGAGGTACTCCATCTGGTCGTCGCCTTCTCTCTTCTTCCCTAGCTTCTTGCCGGCCAGCTTGCTCTGGAGGTCCTTGTCGAATGTTGCTGAGAAGACAAGTGTCTGTCGCGGCGTTGCCTGGTCATCTTCGTCATCCTCCTCGCTCTCCTCGTCGGACGCGGCTTCCGGATCTCTGCGGTCGAGCGCGCCGATGATATCCTCGGCCTCTTTGAATTGTCCGGCCTTGAAGAGTCGATCGGCTTCGTCGACCACGAGAAACGAGATTCTGGTAAAGGTGTCCTGTAGCTTCGCATCGCCTTCCATCACTTCCCAGAGTCGTCCGGGCGTACCAATGACAATGTCTGCCTTGGCCAGCTGGCGCTGTTGTTTTTGGATGCTCAGACCACCGGTGATGACACAAACAAAGGGCTTCGCCTCGGGCAGTCCATCGCACAGCGCTTTGATGTGGTCGCCAATCTGCTTCGCCAACTCTCTTGTCGGACTGAGCACCAGCGCCATTGGGCCCTGCTTAGACCCTTGCTTCAGCCACTTCTCGACGATGGGGATGCCGAATGCAAGTGTCTTTCCTGAACCTGTCTGGGCCTTGCCGATGACATCGGCGCCCTTAATGACCTCGGGAATGCTCCGTTCCTGGATGCTTGTCGGTTTCGCGAATCCTAGCTTCGACAACGCAGTCAGTGTTTCGGGGCTCAGGTTCATCTTCTCCCAAGCCTTGGTGCTGACGCCCACGACCTCGTCCTCCTCGTCTGAGATCTCGGGTTCCTCGCCATCGACCAGCGCGCTGAAGACGTTGCCTTTCTTGGACGACGCCAGCTGCTCGTCGTCCGTGTGCTTTTTACCCTTGGTCTCCTTCTTCTTCTTTTTCTTCGGTTGTTCATCAGATTCCTGATCCGCCATCCCATCCTCAGGATCCCGAGTTTCGCTGGAATGCTCATCTTGAGCCTCCATAGCTTCGTCGCCAAAGCCCTCAAAAGAGTCGTCTTCGGCATCGTCGTTGGTTGTCGGTTCCGCTGCCACTGCCGGCTTGTCGCTTGGTGTGGGGGCTGATTTGGACTTTGAGTTGGACGAGGTTTCGGTCTTGCGCTTCGAGTCGCCAATCAAGAACTGAACCTTTCCATCTTTGTTCACCACGTCGACATTCTCAATGACTTGGAGGCCGCCAAACTCGTCCTCGTCCACAGTCTGCCACGCGAGCGCAGAGGGGTCAACAGCGCGACGAGGCGGCGGCGCAGGTTTGGACTTTGGTTGGGGTTTGGCGTTCTTCGGACGCTTCGATGCATTCGTGGCCGCAGGGGCGGAAGATTGAAGCTTGCGCTTCTTCGTTTGGGGACCCATCAGTGTCTTTTGCAGGTCTGTCGCGTGCTCGCAGTGTGGAATTGCGGCCGCAGTTGTGTAGGGGAAGAATGTTGAAGCTGCTCGAGTGTGCGAAAATCACCAGTCGAACTTTTTTGTGGGTCACTATGGCGGGACCGCCTCAGTGCGTCCGATGTCCGAGTCCGTCAACGTCGAGACTCGAGTCTCACTCTTACACGCAATTATGGAGTTGCTCTGATATCGGTAAATCAATTCAAAATGTGCTTACTATCCGATAGAAGACATGCGCCATGTACGCGCGATTCAGTTCAAACAATCCTTCCGCGACAGACCTCGCTGCCCCCTCAAGCCTTCCGAGCATACGCACTGCTCCTGAGCCAGGCTTCGAAACTCGTCAAATGAGGATTAGACTTCCTGTTCGCCTCAATGTCTGCCCCAAACCCCTCGTCATGAAACCAGTTGATCATGGCCCCCATTTCATGCGATGCCATCTTCAACGCCTTGCCCAGCAACCCAAATGTCGCGGGCGCCGGTGATCCGGTCACCTTCTCAAAGATCGCGCTCACCTCTGCAAAGGTCAGGTTGTCGCCAGCGAGACCCACGGCCTTGTGGTTCCAAGCTACGGGCTGAGAGAAGGCCTGGGCGACGGCGAACCCGATATCCTTGACGGCCACCCACTGCACGGGCTTCTCGCCCAGCGTGTCGCGAAGCGAGGCGAGGAACACCTTGGTGGGAAATCCTGGCTGGAGATTGTCCATGAACATGACGGGTCGCAGAATCGTCCAGCCCATCTTGTCTCCATCCTTGGCAGCTTCGTCGCGAAGGTGATGCTCTACAGCATGCTTTGTGATGAAATGCGGCACCGTGGTCGGATCAGCCCATGACTTCTCGTCACCTCCACGCTCCACGCTGCTGTACACGAAATGCTTGATCCCAGCCTTGATGGACTGGTCTATCAGGGCTTTGCCTTGTCGCTCCTCGCTCTCGAGGGAGGCACCTTTGCCCATAAACCCTTGGACGGAATAGACACCCCAGAGGGGAACGGTCCCAGCGGCGTCTCGTGCAGCGGCAAAGAGACTCGATGTGTCGTTGAGGTCGCCGCGAACGAGCTTAACGACAGGCGATTTGGCTTGGGGGCGCTGGGCACCTGGTGACTGTGTGTTGCGGGTGACGGCTAGTATCAGGAAATCGGACGCCTTGTCTGCAATAAGGGCGTCAATAGCAGCGCCGCCTTGGTTGCCTGTGGCACCAGTGATGATCAGCGCGCGAGACATGGTGATGATGTGATAGGGTTGACTCGGGTGGGTTTCGCTCGTGGTGTTTGGTTGTTTGTGCAATTAGTTTGTGACTTGAGTTCTTTTAAGTGATGAGAGAGGCTGAGAGTGTGATAAGCTGGGTTGTAAAACGAACATTGTGGTCAGACAAACGTCAGGTATATATACGTCTCATGATTCACCATGGGCTAAGGGAACGACATTGTGATGTCAAAGCATGCTCGCCAATCATTTTGATTGCAATACATTCGGGGCCCGACGGTGATCACATAATGGATCTTCAGTAGTGCCGATGAGCTATTTGCCGCATACAATAGCATATAGCAGGAAGGAAATGGGATGACTATTCACGTCTACGTGGTGCTTGAACGTGGTTGATTGGGGACGCTGAGCAACTTCGGTCAACTCGCTGCCCGAGGAGGACCCACACCGACTGGCGCGCTCACCAATCAACCGCAAGATGGGAAATGTCTCAGAGTCAACGCCGTCATGTGATGATTAATGGTTTAGCAAATACAATAGGGCCATGATGCCAATTCAACGCGCGTGAAATCGACCATATCATTGTACAACTATTGAAGACAAATGAAAGAAAAGAACATGAACAGCCTAATGTACCAACGAAGCCATATGCATAGCTTGCCACCTCAACTCCACATTGTGCTGTGAAGAATGCATCCCCGGACACTGCCATAGCAGGTCACCATCGTCTCTGACCCCTTTTCATACATCAAGCAACATCAACTCTCAGAGCTGGTCGCTTTGGCGTTCCCCGCGGCCTCGTCCCTAGTGAGCGCCTCGTGCACGCTTTGCCCCCCCTTCGGCGTCCGAGTCGCCTCTAGGACGTTTCGTCCCCGACTGGAAATCTTGCGCGCCAGGATTCAGCCCTCCTCTGCCTCCCCGAGTGACGCCACCGCCACGTCCACCACGACCGGCTTGAGGAATCCCAGACTCCTGGGTGCCGCTCGCAGCTCGCTGATTTGGATGGACGTATCCTCCACGACCGCGAGCGCCCCGGACCATGGGAATGCCTGTCCTGGGCGGCTGGTTGCCCTGCGTAGGTGGCTGGCTCGACGTTGATGCTGAGAATGGATTTGTCGGTGCATTTGCGGCAGGTCCCTTGACGACATCAAACGGATTCTTAGGCTGGTTCGACGGAGTGCCCGCCACTGGTGCGCCGCCCGGTGTCGAGGTACTCTGAGCTCGAGAAGGCGCTGGTGATGCCGTTGGAGTCTGCTGGGTAGGTTTCCCCGCGGGAGCCCCTGGTTTCTGCGGTGTTCCAGCGGGTGAGGCAGAGACCGCGGCGGCCCCTGGAGTCCCATTCGCAGCTGACGCTGGCGGGGGTTTGGCAACCTTTGCAACCTCCCAAATTTCAACGACTGGCTTCTGGGGAGTCTCTTCAGCGGCCTTGCGGACCACCTCGAGTTTGACGTTGGCCTGGGTCAGCTGGTTCTTGGCAAAGTTGATCTGGACCTTAGACTTCATCTCCGCTTGCTGCTTGGCCTCGTCCCGCGCTTCTCTCTTGCCCGTCTCCTTGGCTTCCTTCTCCAGCGCCTGCCTCTTGGCCTCGAAATTCTTGGCGAAGAGCGACTTGACCCTAGTGTCGCGGAGCAGGACACTACGCTGCTTCTTCTCCTCCAAGGCTGCGAAAGCTGGCGCCAGGTCGTCCAGAGCAGGGATCTCGTCCTTCTCTTTCTCCTTGTCGCCTTGATCCTCAGACTTGGGCTCCGTGGCTGATGCTGGGGTACCGTTGTTCGCGGGCGCGTTGTTGGATTGTGGTGTCGCAGGCACTGGGGCAGCTGGCTCCGGGTTGTTAATCGCTGCCAGGGCAATGTCCTGTCGCAACTTCACATTCTCAATGTCCTTCTCCTTGGCCTGCTTCTCCCAAGAAGCAAGCTGCTTCTGCAAGTCGTCTTGCACGCTGCGAGACTGTGTTTCGAGTTGACTGGCTTTGTCTTCGAACTCCTTTGCCCTGGTCTCCAACGCAGTTATCTTGTCCTCCAATTGTTTCCGCTCTTCGTCTGACAGACCAGGCGCGGCTGCAGGCTCCGTTGCCGGAGCTTGACTTGGTTCTCCCACGTTTTCTGTAGTTTGAGACGCGGAAGCGGCGGCCCTCAGCTGCTCAATGGTAGCGTCACGTTCGGACACCGCTGTCTGCATCTGTGCCTTGAGTGAGTCGAGTTCCTGCTGGGCGTTAGACAGCTGCGCCTTAACAGACTCGAGCTCGGCATTGGCTGCAGAAAGCTGCTGCTCCAATTGCGAAACAATCGCCGATGAAGCAGTCGCCTCAGATGGTTTCTCAGCCCGAGCGCTCCCGGCGACCTCGAGCTGCTCTTGTAGGCGTTGCAGCTGCTCCTCAAGGCTGGTCTTTTCTTGTGTCCGCGTTGCTGTCTCCTGCTGCGATGCACTGAGCTCTTTCTCAATGGCCTCCTTGGCCTCCTTGGCCTCTTGGAGCTCCTTCTGCTCGGCCTCTCGCGTAGACTCGAGTTTTTTCTGATCTGCTTCTCTCAACTCCTTGACTTTTTTGTTCAGTCGATCAGTTTGCGACTTCTTCCACTCGCGTCGAATCTCTTCCTCTTGTTTCACCTGAGCATCCATCTCTGCCTTTTGCTCCTCCGCCTTCTGTACCTGAGCGCTCAACTCAGTCTTTTCGTTAACCAAAGTCTGCTCGCGCTCCTTCAATGACGTGTTCTCAGTCTCGAGTTGCGACAGCTTTTCCTTCAAGCCATCCATCTCGGCAGGGTCGACACGGCCATACTGGGTCAGGATGCTTTCAGTACGTTTCTGCCATCGATCGCGGTCTTCCTTGACCTGCTTGATTTCCTCCTCGAGGTACGTCTGCTGCGCCTCCAAGGTGGCAATCCGAGCGTTGAGCGGTTGGATCTTCGCCTCCATGTCTTCGACGTGCTTCGTCTTCTCCGCTACGAGATCGTTCAAACGGTTGTTCTCGTTCCGGAGAGTTGTGGTGCTCTCTCGATACGTGTTGAGTTCCGCAAGCTTGCCCATAAGATCGTTGTAGGCGGTGGAAGAGGCTGCGCCAGCACCAGATTGGTCGCGTTCTTGCTGGAGTTCTACACGCAGTGCATCGAGCTCTTCGCGAGCGTGGTCCAATTGCTGCTGTAACCTCTTGGCTTCTTCCGTCTTGATGTGATGCTGCATCTCCAAGATTTCCTTCTCTTTTCGGAGATAGCTGTTCAACTCAAGCATGCGCTGGTTCATGTCACCCATCGGAACAGGGGACATGGCCTCATCGTCAGCCTCTTCGTCTGGGCGGCTTTGGCGGAGGGTGTCAAGTTGTGCAGTGAGACTCTCCAACTGCTGATAAAGAAGCTTCGTTTGTGAATTGGTATCGTCGCGACGTGCCTTGAGGTCCCTGACTTCCTGCTCGAGGCGGTGGCGCTGATCTTCCCACAGGCTTTCGCTTTGCGCCAAGGTGACCTTTGCTGCGTCGGCTTCGCTGCGCAATTCCAAAGCTTGGTTCTTGAACTCGTTGCACTCATTTCTGAGTTGTTGTGCGAGCTTGGCCGCCTCCGCATGCTTGATCAACTCAGCATCATAGTTGCGCTGTGCCATCGACGCAATGTCAGCTTGGGCACGGAGGTCCTCCTGGTGGTATCGGGCTGTCTCAATGTGTTTCGCATTGTCTTCCTTGAGACGCGTTACCTCTTCTTCCAAGATGGCCTTCTCATCCTGGTGACGCCGGGTGATCTCGCCCTGAGAATCACGGATGCTGGAAAGTTCGGCGTTGGAATGCGAAAGCTCACTAGACATATCGTCGATGCGCTGCTCCAGCTCCTTGATCTTCGCATTCTTCTCCTCGACAAGATTCTCCATCTCTTTTTGGTAACTTTCATGGGAAGCCCGTATATCATCAAGCGTCTCCTCATTCGACTGACTCAGCTCCTTGAATTGCTCAGCCTGGGCCTTGGCGTTGTCCAGGTGTGTCCGGGCTAGATCAAGTTCCCTCTTGAGGTCGGCAACTTCGTTGTTGAGTTCCAGAATCTCATTTTCAAACTCTGAGGTATCAACAGCCGTGCCAGGTCGAGGGGTGGGCCGGGGCTGCAACCGGCCAACGCGATCTTCAGCACTCCTCAACTCGACCGTCAACTCATCGACACGGGCCTGAAGATGGTCGCGGCTAGTCTTAACAGCCACGTGCTCCTCGCGGATTTGGCTGAGATTTGCAAGTAGCTCATCAATTCGCTTTTGAGACTCCTTGCCCTCAAACTCTTTGCGCTGCTGCAGGCGTTTGGCGTCTTCGGCTTCGTCCGCAAGCTTACGCTGTGCTTCGTTGAGATCGCGTTCCAGTGCATCAATGCGCCCTTGCATTTTCCTCCTTTCTTCCGAGTGGGACCGAGAACGCTCGTTTTCCATAGATTGATGAGTTGCAATCAAATCGTTCAACTTGTTTCTCTCCTCAATCAGGCCCTCGTTCTCCTTTCTCATGCGATCTTGGATGTCGTTCCAGAATTTCTTCTCGGCCTTTAGGTTCATTGTCTCATTTCTGGTGCTGTCAAGTAACCCCTTTGTCTCAATGAGCTCCTCCATCACTTGCTGGGTTCGGATATCTTGCTTGGCGGCGCTTTCGGACAGGACTTGACTGCGCTTCTTGAGCTCAACATTCTCAGACTGAAGGGCCACAAAGTTTGCTTGCAGCATCTCGCGGCGTTCCACTTCCAGTCTGACTTCGCCTTGCAGTGTGACGTTGTTCTTCTGCAGTGAATGCTTCTCAGACGTGAGCCCATCAATCCGATTGTTCAGCTCCCGGCGGACGCCATCTGAGTCCTCGCGGAACTGATCGTACTCAGACTGAACTTTGTGAAGGGCGTCGTTGAGTGTCTCGGTCTGCTCGCCACCCTCGATGCTAGCGAGGGGTGGGCGTGGGCTCTCACCTTCTGCCGTATCGCGCTGCTGTACCAGGCGTTTGAACATGTCACGTTCGGACTTGTAACTGTCCATGGTCTTTTTGATGAACTTGAGCTCATCAGTCATGTTGGCAAGATCCTTCTCCAGTCTCTCAGCCTTCTCGTGGTCGAGCTTGGCCTGGTTCTTGGCATCGGCGTTCTCTTGGCTGTCCATCTCCTCTGCCAGATTACGGGTAATGCGCAGCGCCTCTTCGTTCTGTTCTTGCAGGGCTTTGATGTTTTTGAACACGACCAGACGTTCCGTGATGAATTGTTGGGTGTCAGACATGTCTGACAGAGCTTCCTCCGTGATTTCGCCCTTCTCAAGCTGCGCAAGACGAATTTTCTCCTCGTCGGTTAGCTTTTCCTGACCCTTCTCCATGGCGTGGATGTTGAACACGAGGTATTGGATCTGCGTGCCAAGATCACGGACCTGTGTTCGTAGAATCTTCGTTTCGGTCTGCGCCGTTGACAAAGCTGCCTCTGCTTTCCTGGCCATTCGCTTGGCCTCGTCTCGCTCAGCAAAGCTTTGCTGTGACAGGTCAGACATGCGAGTGATCTCCTCGCGAAGAGTCTCGACTTCTGACTGAAGCTCTTGGATCTCCGGTGCCTTCATCTCCAGTGCAGACATCATGTTGTCTAGTTCTTCGCTGAGCTGCTGGGTCCGCCTCTTCTCGTTGGCCAGCTGAGCCTTAGCCTGGTAGACTTGCTCGATCGCCTGAGTTACCGACATTGAAGACTTGCCCCGTACCGAGCCTGGTGTCGCAAACGGCGAAGAAGGTCGTGGCATGGCGGAACCATTGTGTCTCGGTGTTTCGGGCGGTTCCATTTGAGTTGGGGCTTGCTCCGCGCGCACTTGAAGCTCGTCGATCTGCCTCTCAAGCTCTTGGACCTTCTCTTCGAGCCTGGCGGCGGATTGTCTCTCCTGCTCCATTTCACGTCGAACGCGATGGAGCTCGGCTTCATGGTTGTCAATCAGTCGCTCGCGGGCGGTTTCGAGGTCCCGGATTCGTTCTTGGTGGTTCTTGCTCAACGAGTTTGACATGTCGACCAAACGCTTTTGCGCGGCGAGCTCATGCTGGTAGCTTTCGACCTGCGAAGCGAACGCACTTTCTTGCCTTTGAACCTTGACGAGAGCTTCGGTCGCCTTGGCCTCCATGGCTTTCAGGCGATCGCGCAGTTGTTGCTCCGTCTTCTTGAGAGCGTCAATTTCCGATTTCGCATCTTCATTTCGGCGCTGTAGCTCGGCAATACGGGCTCCCTTTTCCTTGCGATATTTCAGGCTTTCCTGGGTCTTGGTCTTCAGCTCTTCCTCGAACCATTCGCCACTGCGCCGAGCTTGGTCGAGTTGCTGCTTGAGGGAATGTTCTCGGTACTCGGCACTGCTAAGCTGCGCTTTGACGGCCTGCTCGGATCGTTGCAAATTGGTGATTTCACGTGAGAGTTCGACGGTTCGCTGATGCTGCTTGTTTAGGTCTTCGGCAATTTCCTCCTTTTGCTTGTTGCGAGTCTCGATGATCTCCAGGTTAGTGCGGTTAGACGACTGTAGCGCTTCTATCTTGTCGCTCAAGGCTTTGACTTCATCATCGTGACTCAGTGTTTTCGCCTTGAGCGTCTGTAGTTCAGACTCGACAGCTTGTCGCTTGTTCTCTGCTGGATGTCAGTCCTCTGTACGTCGTCAAACTTCGGTATATCTACCCTCTTCTCGAAGTTTCTCTCGAGCCTCCTGCACATCCTTGAGAGCCTTTTCGACGGTTGATTGAGAAACTTCGGTCCGCGACTCGGCGCTACGGACCGCACTTTCGAGCTCGATGTCGGTCTGTAATTTTGCGGCGTACAGCTCGTCGAACTCGTGAGCTTTGGCTGCTATCGCTTGTAGAATCGCATTCGCAAGCTCAACAGTCGGTTGTGTAGCTAGATTCTGCAAGACCGGCTGGTCCAGGCCAAGATGGCCCGCGACGTAGCCAAGGTCTACGTCGGCAGCCGCCATCGTTGGCAATCTACTGGTCTTTGGCGATCGGTGTGTTTGTCATTCCCGAAGCTACTCGAAAGCGTAGTTCAGTCAAGATTGAAGAATTATTGACCTCGCCGACCTAGGGCTAGACGGAAGAAGGGCGTAACTCGTGTGACCGAGGCTGACGGTGGAATGATGGTGGTTGGAGAAGAGATTGTCGATCTCGAAAGCTGCCTGCACAATGGATCTTGGGGAAGCAACAATGCCTGCACGCGCCTGCCTTGCATGCGCTATTCACAGCTGTTTTGGGACGCCTCAGCTCTGACCAATCACAGGTGCTTATATCGGGTTCTTTGTGGCTGAATTGAGCCTGAGCCACACCAGCCCAGTCAGGCCCGGCCGCTAACCACAAATTACCAGGTACCTTACGTTTGTGTTGACACGACACGTCCGGTCGGTCGCGAAACAACAGTGAAACTAAAGTAAATAGCTACCCTATACACAATTGCTCGAAGCCCGTGCCAAAGCCAAATCGTTCGGTGAGCAGTTGCTTTTGAAATAGAGATTTCCTTTCTGTGGTAAGAATGAAGCTCGGCTCATCGTACAGCGAAACCATACGTCAATTATGAGCTGCTGGGTCCTGCGCTGGTGTTTGCGATGCGCTTGACTGTTACTCCGTTAGTCGAGTTCACACACATATTAAAGCAAACATCTCACATTTCCCCCAGCTCATGGGCTCAGCCAGATCCTTTTTGGCCTCTCTCCAAATTCTTGCTGCCCACGCTGTGACAAGGAGATCTAGGTCTCTGGATTCTAGAACCACCCTGATCTCCAATCGTGGTGGCCTGTCCACTGACATATCCTCCCTCCGCGTCAGCTTAGTCTCTGTTGCGACAGTCCTACCAGAAGTATCCGTCCAATCGAGCTGATCACTCCGTCGCCATCGCTGTTTGACACTGCGCCCTGCGCGAAAGTGTTCCAAATCCCCCTTTGACGACATATGAGAGTCGGACGTGACTTTGCAAGACGACCACTTGCCCATGGGCCCTGGTGCGATATGGGCATCCTTGGCTACTAGTGCTTTTCGCGCGGCTTTGCCCTCGATGTAGACACCTTCGCCAAGGTCGGGCGAGATGCTGAGAGAGAAGTCGTAAATATGGCGCTTGCGATTCCGGATGTTCCCCTCTCCGTCATGCGATGAGAGCTGATAATTGAATCTCTGGACGGCATAAGCTGCTGTTTGTGGTCTACACATGGCTGGAGGTTGGGATAGCTCGTAGAGAGGACGCTGTGGCTGGGATTCGGCGTAGATAAGGCAATCGCCGAGGACCAGGCAGGGCAACTCACTTGCCGTCAATCGTTCGTGAGGTCTCGACTGAGCGACCTGCAGGTAGCTGGGAGGGTTGCTCGTAGCAGCCTGAGCTAGCCCTGCCATAGTTGGTGATGCATCATCATATGGAGGCGGGCTTGCCATGGCGAGGGGTGATGATTGCCGCTCGTCAACAGCCCAAGGATCTCAGCGAGGCGAAATGCGGAACATACATGCGCTTGGCCACTGTTAATAAGTGTGCGCCATACACAGTTCTGGGATACTTGTTCACCTGTTGCGCACGGAACATGAATCGACAAAGGCAAGTAATGGATGGAGAACAACAATCATGGTTAGCAAACTAGTGCGGGGGAATATCATAGGTAGGTAAGGGAGTATCCTGGGGACATGGATTTTGACGTGATTCATCACGCAAACAGGGATACACTTTCAATTAACACGATTAACAACTGTCCGAGGACACTCAACAGTTCACCGAGCAGAAACTTCGTCCTATTCATACTTGAACAGCTCCTAAGTACAATCCGATACCCTTGCACGTAGCTTTAGGATGCCTTAGCTGCACGCATGCGCAGTATTTTCTTGGCGGAATCATCACAAAGGCAGCTTGTAACATGGACTCTTGAACTTCACATCAGGTGCACGTGGCGCCTGTGGAAATTCTCGTCACACCAGGCGGTAGGCCATAGGTCCCCGCATGGCATGAGCCGAGGATTTTAACGCCTCGGGGTGTGAGTAACAAAGGCATGAATTCTTTCAAGTTTCCAAGTGTAGCTTTGCTAGCTTGCCTGTTCCAAGATCAACCGCTTGCAGTAGCAGACTATCAGTGAATTGGCGAGGGCGACCATTTCGACGCCTGGACTCTTTACTTCACCATTTCTTCACTTCGCACCTCATTACGATACTCAACTGGCTGACAGTCATGTTGCGCGGAGCTTTGACTATTCAATAAGGTTCACAAAAACAAACCTATCGACCCCAGCAACACAAGCTCAGTCGTTCAAGTGAACTCAAGTCCTCGCAAGTCTTCGTAAGTGAAGCTACCATCTGGAATGTTGCGGTGGGCTTCTACCTGGCATTAGCGCCTGTTTGGGACACTCGTGAGTACCCTGAGCCCAAAGCCTCCTTAGCTTGAAAAATGTCTGTGAATGCAAACGGGATCCTTATTAACCATTCTCAGAGCAAGCTCGCGAAGCACAAAAAGCGGTTGCAGGGCATAGATGGTGTTCCACAAGAAGTAGCTCGGCACAGCACGAAATTCCTGGCGCCAAATTTGCGATACCCCGAAGACAAGGCTCTCGTCCTCCTTGGGAAAAATGGAGGACTTTGGATCTCAGCACAACGGTGTTTTAAACTCGGTAGACGATGGGATATCCAATTCGGAAGCCAGGATCAGGGTATTGGAGCAGGAGAAGGTGATACTCACACGCCAAGCTGAAGAAGTCCTAGCTACCCTGGCTGGGAAGCATCGGGCGCAATGCAAGAAGGCAAAGCGACTTGAGAGCCGTCTTTGCAAGGAGGCGACATTGGCCAAGGAGAATGCGGAAGAGGCCGAGCGCTTCAAGCATAAATTTTCCGAACTGCGCGATTTGCTTGATTCCGAGCGGGTGCCAAAGGAGGACGAACTGGACCATCTCAGAGGCAAGGTGCAAGAACTCGAACAGGCGCATACTCCGAGTGCTTGCCACCGGGCTTCTCAGACTGATTCAGGTGTTGATACTTCCTATGTTTGTGCTCGTTGTCAACAAGAACGTGACACAACATGTGTCGATATCGAGCCAAGCCATTCGAGGAAGGTTTCGGGGCCTCGAGAGGACTCAGATGTCGGACGAGAGACGCCAGGAGCGCCCTATTCTGTCAAAAAGGGACAATTGTCTTATACAATTGGCCAGGATGAACAGTTTTATACTGAGGCAAAGGGACAAATCTCGCAACTAGAGAAAGCCTTAGCAGACAAAGATGCCCGATACAGAGAGACCCAAATTTCTCTGGAGCAAGCCGCAGAAAGGCGTCTTCAGGAGCAGCGACAACGCTTCGAAGATATCATTGAAGAAAAGATGGCGGCTCACCGCAAGGAGCTATTAGAAACCCAGCAACAGGCGGAGGAGTACTTCCTGGAACTGAGCGAGCGGCACGCAGATGAGTGCGAGGCCCTCTTACAAGATGGAAAGCAACTTGAAGAAAAATATGGCAAGTTACTGCAAGAATACAACCAGACTGAGATCAAGAAGCAATATCGAGAGGAGGACCCTGAGCGCGAACACCACTTCCAAACCGACGCCATGGAGAAGATGCACAAAGCAGAAGGTGATAATCGAAAGAGCGAAAGAATGTAGCTCAATCGATCAAAGAAGCAACGACGAGTGAGAACGCGGCGGGTCATCCCAAGGGATAACACGACCGACATCTTCAGCAAGACCGTGGCGAACACAATCAACAAGATCCAAAACTACAGGAGAACATATGTCGCCAAGAAGAGCAATGAGATCCAGCCAGAGAAGCACATTGCAATCTGCGAGTGAACACATGGGGATGTGGAAGACGAGAGAGCACGCAGCCGGGAGCAGAATGGTCATCGACAGGAAAGCCAACTTCAGTCCGAAGAAACAAGCTTGCGTGGCGCTCAAATAAAGAAAACCGACATCATTAAGGAGGCCGAGCTCCCTTAAACCACCAAACCGGACTAAGAGACTGGAATTGAACTGGATGAAGTGGTAGCCGAGATTGCTGGAGTTGAACAGGATCCAAAACCAAATGAACCTGACAAGAGACCAAATCCGCGGTCTTCATGCACAAGTCCCAGTGGGATTAAGACAAAGCAAAAGGGGGTTGATGCCGCAATAGGAGTTCTCGAGGTGGATTTATCAAAGATTACTAGGCGGGAAAACGCGCGAGTTCATGTGAGAGGAGGGAAGCATGTGGTTCACGGGCACTTTCTCTCGGCCACAAGATGAAACCAAGACTTGGATAGGAAAAGACATGTTGCGTGAAAGAATAGGACATTGAGTAATAACACTGCAGTAACAATATCTCTTCCCAACCCGGCCATTTCAAACCACTGCTCAACATCGCCCAGTTCTCGCAGCCCGTAGGTTTACCATGGCCGTTCATTATCCGCTCTTTGTCTTTTTCTTGGGGGGCTCAGCGGTGCCATAGAGCTGCCATGTCATGACGACGTTGCCGAGCCCGTTCGAATCTGGACAGGGCAAGTATCCTTCTGCTGACATTAAGGAGCCATGCGAAGCACGCTGCATAGCAGAGTAGAGGATCCGCTTGACATCGGTGTCCCCGAAAGAGATCCCGTAACCTCGGGGTGAGGCGACGGCGAGGTTGCAAGTATTGTGGTGAACGATGGTGTGAAAGCCGCTGGACTTCTCGAGCTGCGTGGCAGGGATCGCAAAGGAGCCTCTGACGGCCGAGTGTCTCCATGCGAGCTCCAGGCTACGGCAGTCCCGCGTCCACGCTAACGGAAGACCAGAGTGAGATCTGTGTTGGCTGAGGTGCGAGGGCCCGGCACAGAGCCTCTGAGGAGCCATTTCTCTTGTGAAGTTGATTCCGTCGCTGAATCTGAGTCCCGTGTAGCCGAGGGCGCGTGGTTCATTGCTAGGGTCGGAGTGGAAAGAGGTAGCCAAGGCGACGAAGCTAAGAAGTGCGGTGCTCAGGAGCATGTTGACTTTGGAGACGGTGTGGCTAGTCTGTTCGAGGAATGTCGGCGTATGGTATGCTTTGATGCCGGGTTGGTTGTTGAAGATGAAGATATTATTAACCAGTGCTTGTAGAAACCAAACGCGATCACTCAGTTACCTTGTTGTCACATCAGGGCCATTGCTCAACAGCAAGCGCGGACGAGGCGAAGGCAAAGAAGTGATTGGCCCGAGGTGCATCTATGGCTGGCACTTGCCCTCTCTAGTCGTTTCAACCCTTCCATTGTGATGATATGGACTGGACGTTGGAAGGTGCTGGGCATATGTCGATACCAGACGTTACCAGTACCTTAAGGTAGGGATGCGGCACCGCTAATGCAAGCGGCAAGACCAAGCATTGAGATAGCTCTCTGCCTGTGCAGAGCCAGTCATTTCCGAGACCTGGACCAGCTTTTTCGAAAAACAGTAGGTACCTAGGGTACTTTGGAGAGTTTCTCTTGCAATGGAAAATATCATGACACTCCAGAGAAAGCAACACATCTGGCCCTTGCAATAATGAGGTCGAACGTATTTGCCGAGAAGGGTGTCGGCTAGTCAGTTTCTCTAGCCGCGAAGAATGCAACCATAAATTCTGCAAGTTGATACTTTGGCGATGACCGAACTTCGGGTACGGGCCAAGGTCCAACTGCCGCGTCGCCTCGGTGATGCCGCGATGCGCTGCGCTCAGGACGACATTGGCTGTTGCGCTTACTCAAGCCGCTGCGCAAATGAGAATAGATGTACTGCCGTCAATTAGTGCTTGGTTGCACAGCGATTCATGAGACCCCAATGGCGGTTACGACCGAGCTAGCAAAGAAGGTCTTGACGTTCCAGTTGGCTTGACTCGCCTTGAACCCTGAATGACGCACCTAGGGCCTCACCGGGCACCGTCAAGTCCATGTCTGGGCGACATTGGTCGTCCCTCACGATAAGCGGTATGGCGGGCGCGATAGGCGCCACGCGGCAGCGCTGGCCGACAGCTTTTCCCCAAGGACGACAAGCTGGGGCCGAAGGATCCACGATGACCTCATTTCGTCGGCTGCGAACCACTGACTGCTTCTCTCCATCTCCGTCACTGCACAAGAGCCCACACAGGTGCCAGGCGCTTGGATATTATACCCAGGACCCCTCTCTGTGTAGCCTTCTGGTCAATGAGCTGATCCTCACCCCCTCAGTCGGATGGCCTCGCATCCAGTTTGCATTCCGTCAGGGTCACTTACTCGTCACTAACTTACATTGCGAAACTGCTAATCGATCGAATCGACTCCAAGACTTACATATGGGCAGCAAGCAACCCTCACGAGCTTGAGTTCGAGATATCCGACAGCCCACGCGAGACTAAGGTAGTCTAATATACGTCAGCCGAGCCGTCTGCCAATAACGTTTGGAGTTCAGACCAATTGCGACGGCCCGCCCACTCACACACGGGGACAGCCTCAAGAACTGCACCGCAGAACAACCGGCAGAGAGAGTCTTGTCCCGTTTGCGACCGCCACTGGAGGGGACTGCCACGTTTGGGCGAAACTGCTATTACTACATAGGGCCTGGGATCGCCAGGTACCACAATCAATCAGACGTGCATTCCTGGGAAGTCTTGATCTTCCAATCACATATCTTGTCCTAGCTGTCAATTATGTTGACCGAACAGCAACAAGTCTCTGTCGAGAAGCCTAGCGTACTCAAAAGACTTGTTGGCCGCGCGCGCAGCAAGTCTGATCTATCACGCAACGACAGTGTCAGCAGTATCGCCTCCAACGTCAGTAATCTCTCGCGCTCGACCACGGGTGGCTCCGTCGCTTCCACGACGGAACGCAGTCGTGGCCGCATGCCTTCTTTCAAGACGCCGTCCTTCAAAGTCGGATCCTCGAGCAGCTCATCTGCGTCTCCTCCAGCTCGCAAGAAACTCTCAGTGCCGTCAGTGCGGCCACACCCTGAGGCTGCCCTGTCGCGCGATCTCTGGGACGAGGCATATGACGCCTTGCGGCTTGATCCCAGTACTGCATCTTTGGTAGTGACATACGAGAGCATTATATCTCAAGAGCTACCCGAAGATGTGAAATCAGTGGTACGTGGGACACTGTCCCCTTCAGATGGCAACACGGATCGCAGACTCGATCTGATGACCGCAATTGCAACGGCAGGTCTTAGCAAACGCCGCGGTAGCAAGAGCAGCGAAGTGGACGACTCAACACCACGGACCTTGGAACACACCAAGCGTATAGTGGAGAGCCAGCTTGAAGACTTCCCGTCCACGGCCCTTGCCTGGGCTGGCTTGTGCACCTTGACACCTGTAAGTGCCGTGCTCTCACTGTCCCTGGTCAGATGCTCATTATTCAACGTAGCTTCTTCTTGACCCGATTCTTGGCCATGCCCAGTTTCGGCGAGGGATGGTCCATGTCATTGGGCGCATCCCTTGGTACATGCATCTCACTCACCTCATGCAATGCCCTTCATGGGTCGACGCGGGTGACTTCGAGGCACGGCAACACGAGTTTGCCGTGCGTCGGGACCGCTCGCGAGACGCAATCACAAAGGTGTACAGGAGAGTCCTGGAGTTCGAAATGAACTGCGTCTGTGCGGCGGCCAGTGCTTGGAACTCGGTCGCTAAACACGCCGTCCGATGGAAGACCATTGACAAGATGGTGGACGGGATATATGAGAGTGACGAGGCGGCCAGAGAGTTGGTGAATGAACTCGTTGTTGAGGGCCCCCGGCGACAAAAGATGGCAACGCGGGACGTTGACCTTGACGTCGATGCTCTGGACAAGCTACGGCAGCAGGAACAGGAGGACTTGGACCAGAAGATACCCGAGGACCGACCTTTGTGAAAACCTGCATGTCGACCTTGTTGTTTTTAGCATAGCCTCACGGAGCATTGGATTCGCAACCTGTATTTCCCAAAAGTATTACCAGATAGAAACAGTATGTTCGCATTGCGACTGAGTACAGATTCGACGATCGCACACGCAGGACACCCAATTTTTCAAGATTGGTCGCGAGGCATAACATGGTTTGGGTGAAATTTTTTCGAAACGTAGCAAGAACATTGACTGGCTCTCTCCATGCTCATATACTGATGGGGGTGCTTCACTCCATGTATCGTCACGCAAACAACCAGCCTGGCAAGCGCCTCTGGAAGTTGAAACGGCACAGTACTGCGTTTCCATGTTCCAGTTACAAAGAAACGTTCGCTTCATGTTTCACCCATACTTTGGGCCGGTAATTCTGGAGCCAGTGTCAGAAATAGTTGACCACTTCAAGAAGTCGTGTTGAGACACGGTTGCAGGAGCTAGGTCAGGCCTCTTCGGCCTGGGGACTGTATGCTCAATGTGGCAATGGCAGAGCCAAGGTGTTCGTCGCGGTCAGCATGCTCGCGGTAGTGCGCCCTTTAGTTTTGATCAAGAAGTCGGATTGGCGTGGGCTGAGATCTGGCCTTGATGAAGTCAACAGGGTGCTATTTAATGGAAAGGGCCCTTGTGTTCTAAGTAGACAGTTACTGTTTAGTGCATACCCATTTTACAGAAATACGCCCAACCTTGTTATGCTACTATCAGCAATATTATACTAAACAGGCTCGACTCATCGCTCGCCGGGGTGAGCCAAAGTGCCTGCGTCGGCCCGTCGTCAGTCCAAGCGCGTGCGAGCGCGTCTGTGGATCTTTCGACATTGAAGCTTCGATTCAATCGCACACCCAGCAATCCTCATCGACACGCCTGGACAGCTCTGGATTCGACGACTCCGGCCCATCTACTGTATCGCTTTCATCTTCAACATATAAGACTGCTGTTGCATAGAGACCGGCGCAATGCGCCTCATCAAGCCTGCATGGCTGAGCCATAGCGGCGAACAGAAGGACTTCGAGGTATACAGCCTCGACGTCTCCCCCGATGGGACTCGATTGGCAACAGCCGGCGGCGACGGACACGTGAGGGTCTGGTCAACTGATGCCATTTACCATTCCGACGACCGAAATTACATCAAACCGCGACAGCTATGCCATATGAGCCACCACCTGGGCACAATCCACTCTGTGCGCTTCTCCCCGAATGGTCGCTACCTCGCGAGCGGCGCCGACGACAAAATCATTTGCGTATACCACCTCGATAAAAGTCCTGCGACGACAGCTTTCGGAAGTAACGAGCCGCCGCCGGTCGAGAACTGGAAAACGTACAAGCGATTGATTGGCCACGACAACGATGTGCAGGATCTTGCGTGGTCTTACGACTCGTCCATCCTGGTTTCGGTCGGATTGGACTCCAAAGTCGTGATCTGGTCAGGATACACCTTTGAGAAACTGAGGGTCTTGTCTGTCCACAACAGTCAAGTCAAAGGCGTCACGTTCGATCCGGCCAACAAGTTCTTTGCGACCGCCAGCGACGATCGGACCATCAAGATCTTCCGCTTTACACCCCCAGGTCCCAATGCGACAGCCACGGATATGGTTAACAACTTTGTTCTCGAGACGAGCATATCTTCCCCTTTCAAGAGTTCGCCCCTCACAACGTACTTTAGGCGGTGCTCCTGGTCACCCGATGGCAACCACATCGCGGCGGCCAACGCTGTCAACGGACCGGTCAACTCTGTCGCCATCATTGAGCGCACGCGCTGGGACAGTGAGATTAATTTGATTGGGCACGAAGGGCCGACAGAAGTCTGTTTGTTTTCGCCTCGATTGTTCCACACAGTCGACCCGGATGATCGTTCAAAAAGTGAGGCAGAGAAGGCGGCGCTTGTGACGGTCATTGCATCAGCTGGACAAGACAATACCCTGAGTATCTGGAACACAAACACTTCCAGACCTGTGACCGTGCTGGGCGATTTGGCAGGCAAGGCAATCACGGATCTGGCTTGGTCTCCTGACGGTCAAACGCTATTTGCTGCATCGCTGGATGGAAGCATTGTTGTAACCCAGTTCCTGCGTGGAGAGTTGGGATGGGTCGCTCGACCGGAGGAGAACGACCGTGCGCTATCTAAGTATGGCGTATCCAGGAAAGGCATGGGTATCGCTGAGGATGTGCAAGGTTTGGCACTTGAGAACCACAGCAAGGAGGGCGAGTCCAGAGCCGTGGAGAACAGAATGGGTGCTCTCATGGGAGACGACAACTCTTCATCCGCTGAAGCCATCCCGACGACCAATGGTGCGAAGTCCACACCAACCCCCGCCACGAATGGGGAGACAGCCCCTGAAAAGTCAGCAGAGCCCCCAGAACCCACGAAACCAGCGAGCGAGACAGAAACCAAGGTCAAGGAGATGAAATCGCGGGTGACAGTTGGGAAGGACGGCAAGAAACGCGTCGCGCCCATGTTAGTGTCGTCGTCCGGAACAGGGCAATCGTCATTGCCACAGACACAACTAGTGGGAGCAATCACGACGTCAAGAGGAACCCGCGACGAGGCGCCGCAGACGACACTCGATCTTTCACGGCCCTTTGACGGTTTGCCTAAAGGAGGGATCGCTACGTTGTTGTTGGGAAACAAACGCAAGTCAGTCGCTACAGGCGAAGACGACGGCGATGAGCCAGCGACAAAGCGGCTTCAGAACGGGGCTGCACAGATCGTGACAAACGGCCCAGATGGGACGGTTGAGCCAGCTTCTCTAGCTCCGACACAACATGGCGTTGTGCCCACGCCCGAGTTTCTGCGACCGGCTATACTAAGCCCGATGATATCAGTGGCCCAAACGCGACTGGCTGTGCCTAAAATACGATCACACATCCTACGCCCATTGGAAAAGGGGACACTCAAAGAAGAGTCGACCTTTGAAGATGCGTCAAAGACTCCAGAAAACCTCATTCTCGAGGCCAAGAACGACCCAAGCCCGAAGGACCCCTCGCATGTCGTGGTAACCAAGAGGGGGGTCATCGTGTGGGAAGAGTTCCTGCCAAGAGCAGTGATTCTAGTGGCCGCGAACAAGAACTTCTGGGTGGTAGCTTGCGAGGATGGGTCGATACATACATGGACCCCTGCGGGTCGGCGGTTGTTAAACCCAATGATCCTCGATGCCCAGCCCGTGGTTTTGGAGTGCCGCGATCAATGGCTTCTCTGCATAACTTCAGTCGGACAGGCTCACGTGTGGGATCTCAAGGCACAATCGTCGCCGCATCCGCCCGTTTCGCTTGCACCTATTCTGGATATTGCTTCGACATCGCTCAATCAACATTCAGCAACTCCCGGACCTGGTGTTACGTCGGCGCATCTCAATTCTACGGGTCATATCATTGTCACGTTGACAAACGGGGACGGTTTCTACTACGCCCGGGACATGTACACTTGGCAAAGACTGAGCGAATCATGGTGGGCGGTTGGCTCGCAGTACTGGAACTCAAACGATTCGTCGATATCGGCATTGCAATCCACAGCAGTGGGCAGCAAATCGAAAGACGACAAGGACAAGGGCGAGGAGGGCGCTGTGAGCGTGTCGTCTGGCGTGATTCCGCACCTTGAGCGTCATACCACTAATGAGTTCCTTCTCAAGGGGCGTGCCTATGCTCTCCAGCGCATCATCAAGAACGTCATCCAGCGCCGAGACGCCGAGGGCTTGGAGAGCAGTGTCAGCGTGGCCCATCTGGAGAACCGCATTGCGGGAGCTCTTCAGCTTGGGTCCAAAGACGAGTTCAAGCTATATTTGTACATGTACGCGAAACGACTAGGCGCTGAAGGGTCTAAATTAAAGGTTGAGGAGCTTCTCAGCAATCTTATCGGAGGATTGATGAAAAGTAAGACCGACGACAAGGGTGGTCGCGGTTGGTACAGCACCGATAAGGAGATCTGTGGATGGAATCGGGAGGATTTGCTGAAAGATGTGGTCATGATTCTTGGTAAGTGCACAGCACACGCGACGTCGAAAAGGGATTGCTAACGGTATCAACACAGGGAAATATCGAGAGCTGCAGCGCCTAACGGTGCAGTATGCCCGATACCTGGATCTGAATTTAGAGGAGGCATCCGTCGATGCCGAGTCCATGGACGTTGAGTAGGCCAAGCGTCCAGGGCAGACGACTCCGGAGCATCTTCCTGTAGCTCTTTGCAGCGTGGCTAATGAGGTCAACAAAGCGACCCAGGAACATGATGCTGCATGTTCTCGACATGGTGGTGTTTGGAGTTGGTCGACTTTTCATCATGTGGGATGATTAGGAGGTCTTGATAATTTTTGAGGTTTGAACGAGGTGCTATGTGTCGCAGACAGTGCGTTGTCTGTCGAGGACCCGTCATCCAGAGGCACGATTCCATGTAACCTGTTTTTGTGTTTTGACTACTTACTCATTTGCCCCTTCATTTAGGAGTCACGTTGCCTCGGCTTGTGACGGGATAAACAGTTCATCACACGACTAGACCATGCCAGCACTGGTGCTCTGCTATGGTGAACTAGGCTTGGCCTTGCATGTTGCACTTGTACAACACCTCGAGGAATCCGACGGGCTCGGACATTTCCTCGACGGATGCAAATGTTTATGCACAATGTTTCAGGCATTCTCGCAAAAGCAGCAAATAGGCGCCCCTTTTGCACACAGGCGACGGTGTCTAAGCCTATGATATGGGCGTTCACACCAACAAAGGACCGTTGGCAAATCTCGTCGCCAGTCCAGTCGGCTACAGCCTGCAGTTCCGCGATGTGAAACAGTGCCATGCTGTGTAAGTCAGGCTGGAACTGGCGTGGCAAGACGTGCAGCAGGCAGTCCAGTCATTGTGCCCAACTTTTGGTTGCCTTTTTTCTCCTCCTCGTCCAAACGTTGCCTCTCGCCTTTTCCCATGGACCAGCCTCGACCGGTCAGAGCCAGGTCACGTTGACAACCTCCACCGGTCAGAGCATCGTTCGCAACCTCTACAAGTCAAAGCAAAGCACTCACAACTCCATGTCACTCACGGCCCAAAAGTACCGTTGTAGCTGATAGCAGGAGCCCAGTTGAGGGAGGGGAGGCACGCGCGATTTCCAGATGAAAGTCGGGACGAAGCGTTGACTGGCACAATCCAGCCTAATCCCTCAGCGTGACCTCACCTTTCCCTGGGTGGCCGTAGCAAATGAAAACAACCCCCCCCTCATTTCTGATCCTTGACTTGTTGTTCCCTCTTCTCACATCTGAGTAACCGTCGTCTTTCTTTTCACAGGCCAACTGTAGCACGCGCCGATCTATGGCCATCGTGGTGATTGCTACTCCCTATTCACTCTCAACCTCTTCGACTCCCTCTCCCCTCAAGACCTACCGCTTCGAAACCCTTCACTGCCCCCGACTAACCGCTCACTACTGAGGATCGCCTTTCATTCCGCATCCAGCAAACCAACCCGGCACTCCAGCTCGTTATTGAATTGTCAGCACGACTCCCAACTTCAGATCTTCCTCCAGTTCGCCTGCTTGAGGTAGTCTGTCTTTCCAAAGTCGTGCCACGCCTCGTCTGTCTTCAGTATGAGGTTAGCAACGCCCTTTGCACTCTCTCAGACCTTGCTTTGGGCATCAGCTGCTATCCTGTCCAGCTCCAGAGGCATCAAAGCTTGCAACAGCTGGAAGGCGAGCCCGGTAAAGGCCAAGGTGGAGGATACGAATCTTCGCGCTGCCATCATCGCCCTCACAAACGAACAAGATCTCCCACGCATCATCGGCACTGTCGCACAGCTGGAACGCTCGTTCAACGAGGACTACGAGTACGACTGGATTTTCTTCAGCTCTACGGATCTCAGCGAGAATTTCCGCCGCCAGACGTCTAATGCCACCAAGTCCACCTGCTTGTATGAGATCATCTCGAATGAGCACTGGCGACGCGCCAGCTCGGCTGTCTCTGCGTAGGACCAGAGCACCGATGAAGAGGCGTCGGTAGCCACACTACACATGGGGGCTCAGCACTGGAATCCAGCATTTCTTCTTCGCGAGCAGCGAATGAGGGACTATGACTGGTTCTTGAGAGTTGAGCCTGGTGTAAGTCCAACTCCAACTATCAGTGCATTGTGTGCTTACTATGATCAAAGGCACAGTTTCCCCGCCCCATCGGCTTCGATGTCTTCCGCTTCATGCGCGACAACGGCATTGCGTACGGTTTTACAGAGTCTGCGTTCGACTACAGCAGTCTGGAGACCCTATCGCCGCAGATCAGATCCTTCATGGAGAACAACCCACACCTGCTTCACCAAGACGCCGATCTCGGCTGGCTCCTGAACACCGCGACGAGGCCTGCAGCTGCGGAGGGTCTGACCGAGACACACGGTGAGAACCTTGCCTTGGACATTGGGGCTGAGTACAAACAGAAGTGCAAACACAAGTGTTTGAGCAAGGAATCGCCAACGGATTCGTTCGCAGATGCATTCTCCGCTTGGCTGAGCAACCTGTACCCCCCTTCTTTTGAGCTCGGATCGATTGGTTTCCTCCGCGGTGAAAGCCATCAGGCACTGATGAGCCACCTTGAGAGCCTCGGTGCGGTGTTACAGTATAGCCCAGTTCGTGACGTACCGATCCTCACCTTGAGCGCAAGCATGTTTTTGCCCAAACAAAGCGTGTGGAACTTCCGCACGAAGCTGACAGGCTACGCAGCTGCGAGGCCAACGCCGACACCTGCACCACTCTCGGCGGTGGACGAGCGGGATACGTTCCCATTCGACGGACAAGAGTTGGCACAAGCTGCCATGCTGGAGCAGCATGAGCTGTGGGACCAAATGGCTGTTGACGTGACCAGGTACTCACTTTCGCCAGGGCTGATCTCGGGGAACACAGTTGTGGATGACCGAACGTTCCGATTTTCGCTCATGATGGGAGAAGCCTTCGTGCTACAGGAAAGTGGCGCCGAGAAATGAAGCGACTGGTGGTGCCGTCAACAAGTAGGAAACGGGGGCGGAATGGTATGGTTTCTACGAGGGCATGCCGCTGCTGAATGGGCGAAATCTTTAGGCCATTGTCAGTGCAAATAGATTCGGCACTAACCTGACGTCCTCAAATCAGAATTACGTTGTCTTCACACCGAGCAAGTGCGTGCGTGCTGGCGCTTTCGGGGCGCACCACATATGATGGATGCAGCTTTGGTACGATAACTATTGCTGGTGAGTCACACTGCCTTGCGTTGCTACTCGCCACTGTGTGAGATATGGGCTTGGGAGATGGCACCGACTTCAGGTTTGTGGAAGGCTTCCTCGCCCCCCAATGCAACGTGTGGGATGATGTTCAACAGTTTATTACGCGGGAACTTGTACACGCTTCAGGGATTCCATTTGTTGGCGTGTTACCTGTGGCAATAGTGCAGGGGTGAAAGATACCTAATCAGCCACCAATATCTCCCGCAAAGATAGGTAGTTCTATAGCCTATATTAATCCTATTGTTTAATCAATAGCTTCTAGCTAAATGAAGATTTGCCCTCCAGAATGATCACCAATATCAAACATAACCGAAAAACACTAGGCTTCATATATAACTAATATATTGAATCTCTAAATAGTCAAGGGTGTACTTGACCTGTGGAGAGCAATGACTGAAACGTGGAGGATCGGCAAAGAAGGGCTGGGTGAGCCCACATCTGGCTGGGGTTTTGATGGCCAACTGTTACCAAACAGTTCCGGACTTGACAAAGAGGGCCACTTATTATGTTGCCTGGAAAAGCTGGACCTGATCAAGGGGCCAGTCAAATAAAAGGTGTACGAAGTATACATAGGATGACACTCTTGAGACGCCTAGTATCTCCCAGGAGGGGATCCAGGCCGTAAGACAAGTCGAAATTGTCGGCTTGTTTGCTCACATAGGCCTCTACTCTCTAATTACTCTCTTCTTCGCCCGAATACGTAGTCCGTGCGGAGTAAGGGAATTGCCCGCGTCCCGACCCGATGCTTTGTGGGCTGGCAGTCCCACGTTAGCGTCCTGTCGCCGAGGCTAGTCCAGCGGGACTGAGACAGACTGGAGACGGTTCGTTGAACACGGACAAAGAGCCCCGAGAATGCTTACCTTTCTCGGATCGTTTGCGAATACGACCAGTGCCGAAAGCTACAGTGAACTACGAAGTGCGCAGATCGGGGTCCGGGAACCAGGAAACGACATGAGCGTCTGGCATGTGGCATGCCTGTGTTATCGATAATGTACTCCGTAGTCCGTACACCGGCCGCCCCCTGAAGATGAAGAGCTAGGGCGGTCCTGCAGGGGCTCAATTCGCTTGGCATTCCAAGTGGCAGCCAACCCACGATCTAAAATCAGACACCAGATCCAGCTGGTCGACCGTCAACACACATTTCTTTCCCTGGCTATTTTACCTCCCTTCTTCTACACTCGTCCCTCCTTAAGCCGGCATTGTTCATTGCCATACTGTCATTTCCTCGTGCGACTGTAGAACAGCGACGTTGCACCCCGATCATTGTCACGCGTCGTGTCGCGCGCTTCTCTCGAAACTTTTTTCCCGCCTCCTTAATCACCCACGAGCCGAAGATCTAGTCGTTGCAGGAAGATCGACAGCCGGATACCACTGTACGACACGTCTTCCGGGATCGCGACGCGCAAAATACGGCTTGTATTGACGGGCCACTGGGGTTTTTGATCGATCTGTCCAGCTTTTACGCTGGCGCACTCGCCATGACGTTCCTTACGCCCCTCATCAGGAGGGGCGGCTCCTCTTCGAAGAGAGCTTCCCTAATCACAGCAAGATCCCCCTTTGTTTTCGAGAGCTTGGGCGACTGGGCTAACCGTTGTCTAGCTGACGGTCCAAAATTCGGCTCTCATACTCATCATGCACTACTCGAGGATCATGCCTTCGTCAGGCGACCACCGATACTTCACCTCGACAGCTGTCTTTCTCAACGAGCTTGTCAAGCTCTCTCTTTCTCTTTGCCTGGCGATCAACGAAACCTCGGAGAGTCTCGCGCCCGACACGCCCCTCACGACCCTTCTCGAGCAAGTATATAATAGTGTTTTCGGAGGCGACGGGTGGAAACTGGCGATCCCAGCGGCTGGGTATACATTGCAGAACCTGCTGCAGTATGTGGCCATCAGCAACCTGGATGCTGTGCAATTCCAGGTGCTCTACCAACTCAAAATTCTCACGACGGCCATCTTCAGCGTGACCCTGCTCCGGAAGCAGCTGGGTACGAAGCGGTGGTTGTCGCTGGTGGTGCTGACGTTGGGCGTGTGTGTGGTCAGCATGCCAACGAGCATGACGGGCTCGTTCCTCAGCGACACGAGCGACAGCTTCTTCCCTCGATCGATACACGATATGGGCACCGCCAGCCCCGAGCTCTACGCGCCCAAGAATCTGAGGAAGCGATCGGCTACGTACCAAGGGGTCACTGAGGATCTCGGCCCCCCTGAACCGACGATGAACTACTCCGCCGGCGTGATCGCTGTGCTTGTGGCGGGTGCTGTGTCGGGTGTCACTGGTGTCTATTTCGAGAAGCTCATCAAGGAAGGCCCGTCGCAGCCTAGCTTGTGGATTCGCAATGTTCAGCTATCGACATACTCGGTCATCATGGCCTTCTTCATGGGGATCGTGTACCAGGATGGTGCTGGCATTCGCGAGCACGGGTTCTTCGAGGGATACAACTGGGTTGTATGGACGGCCGTCGTGCTGCAGGCCGTGGGTGGCATGGTGGCGAGCGTGGTGATTCGCGATGCAGACAACATCGTCAAGAACTTTGCCACAAGCATCAGTATTGTGCTCAGTTTGCTTGTCAGCGTGTTCCTCTTTGACTTCCGATTGACATGGACGGTGAGATGCTTCTCAGTTTCCCATTCCTCAGAACACTTCAGCTAACGGTGGACTAGTATGTCATTGGAACTGGAATGGTGCTACTTTCGATGCACCTGTATAGCACGCCCCATCGCCCGATACCAGGCCACCGACCGAAACCCATTCGAATTGTCAGTTTGGACAAGCCGGCAGTTACGCCTTTGCATACACCTCGTCTGGGGGGGCCGTCGCCACACCTCACAGCGTCGCCACGACTGCGGCCTCTTGACTCGTCAGGAAGGACGCATCTTGACCCTTTTGATATGAAGGGTTTGGGCTCGACATCGAGTCGACCAGAGAGCCCTATGTTGCCGCGGATTCCGAGTCGCAGTGATATCAAACGAGCCGACTGAGTAGTTATAAGACACCTCGCCTGCACAGCAACAGCAGCGAGAGCGCCATCTCATAATATAGAGAGACTGGCGTCGGACATGGAAAAGTTCATATTATGAGATACGAAAGCTTGGATCTAGATATCGTCATTAATCGTGGTGCTTTGGCACAATACCATACTGTTCGTGCCCCGGCATTCTTCAGATCTATGTCTTTGGCACTTTTCTTGTATATGGCCTTTTCTTGAGCATCCATTTCGTGGCTCCTTGGCCCTTTTGATTGGTATCCCTAAACGCCCCGTGGTGAGATGACCTCTTCACATGATTACTTCATTGGCAACATCCTGATCAGATAGTTAGCAGTTGTTTCATAAGCACATACCACGGCACGACTCACCCGCTTCAGCTCCTTGTATGGCAAGCAAACACAGTTCTGCACGCGCACCTCGTCACCGACGCCGCAGTCCTTCCCCAAGATTGTAATGCTCTGTACTTTGACGCCGTTCTTGACGATGCTCGTCGAGTGACTTCCTACAGGGGTAGGGGTTCCCTCCACGCGCGCCCATGCCCCGACGCGGCTGCCCCAGCCAATGATGGAGTACAAGACACATGCATCGTGCTTGATCTCGCAATCCTCGAGTACAATCGACTCCTTGACGCGCGCACCGGCTCCGATGACCGCGCGAGGCCCGATGGACACGTTGGGCCCTAGCTTGGCGGTGGGGTGGATCTCGGCAGTGGGGTGGATGAAGACAGGCGCGACGAGGTTGGCACTCGGCTTGGCCAATTCCTCGCTGCCAGCTTGCCATGCGCGCTGCAGGTACAGTGCGTTTGCCGGCACGGCTGAACCAGCGGTCTTGATCTGTCGCCAAAAGTCTTTGGTCTCGTAGACAAAGAACTGCTTGCTGTCGGCCATGTCACCCAGAATATCCTGCTCCAGCCGAATCACCTGGTTCTTGCGCTCCTCATCGTCGTCGTCGTTGAGCCCCGACGAAGCAGGGTGGAAGGTCTCGAGGTTGTCGGAAGAAGGGTAGGAAACAAGGCGGGCGGGGCGGTCCGTGCGACGCTTGATCGCAGATTTGATGCTGGGGAAGATAGCCTCGGTGGCAAACAGATAGACACCGCAGTTGATCAGGTTGCTGATGCGGGACTCGGGCTTCTCGACGTAATGCAGGACGCGACGAGTGTGCGCATCCGAGACGATGCAACCAAAGTTTGTGGCAGCATCGTCGCTTACGCGCGTGCCCAGGATGACTGCCTCTGCATCCTTGTCGTCAAAGAGCTTGAGCATCTCGCCTAGGGGAAAGCTGCAGCAAACGTCGGCATTGAGGACAAAGAGACGGTCTGGGCGGCCCTTGAGGATCGCATCGCGAAAGTGGTACAGGCCGCCAGCGGTGCCGAGGGCCTCGTATTCGCGCAGGTATTTGATCGAAGAGAGGTTGGGGAACTCCTTGGTCGCATCCTTGATGAAATCCCGAAAGACGGTCTCGTCGTAGTACCCGATGATGTTGACGTCTTGAATGGAGCCAACGGCAGCAACGGCAGCGAGACAGTGCCAGATGATGGGGTGACCGGCGACTTCGAAGAGAGGTTTCGGTACGTCGAGGGAGAGAGGGCGAAAGCGAGTACCACGCGAGGGACCGCCGACCTAGATGCAATCAGCATTGCCCGCCACGAGCTACGAGCCAGTGCTAACATACGAGGATCACGGCTTTTGTTGAGCCGCCTTTGGAGCGGTGAGCCATTGGTACTTGGAGAGACATGGTGAAACTTGACGCGTGCTCTTTGCGTCTCTGGTGATGAGAAGAAATCAAGGCCGCCTTGGTGCTTCGCTATTTAGAAAACTGAAGGGCAAAAGGGGCCAGCTGGCGTCGCCGAGGGGTTGGTTGGGTGTTGGAGGGGACTGGTCGCCATTTAGAGTGACACGGGACTGCTAATAATATCGGTACGTACTGTACAGATTACAGCGTGGGGCAGATTGCAGCAACGGCTTTGCAGGCTGCTGCTGTGGCGCAAGCTCTATCACCAGCCACATTACAGGGGTTCAGTGAGCCCCTTGAAGCCGCACCTCTTGTTTATCTCCATGGCCTGTGAACGGATGTTAAGCATTCTCAGGCGCATCAGCTTGGGGTGAAGAACTACATTATCTCTCCTTTGCAAAACTGCAGTAGGCTTTTTCAGCTGGACTATTTACCTTTTCAACTCAATCTCAAAACCCTGGAGAGGCCTTGTGTGTGGCAGTCTGTTCCGCACAAATTATGCGTTAACGGGATTTATCATCTCGCCGAGCTATCTCAGAGCTGCAGAATCTGGGGTTTGCTATGCCAGACCCTTCATCTTCACGCTCACATTCACTTCACCTCAGCATACCATTCACTCAAGCTCCTTCATGCCTTTCGCTTGCCAAAATTGATCAGCTTTTCTTTGACACAGCCAAACTATTTCTTCACTCTCACCTGCAGCACACTTGCCTTTCCCTATCAAACTGAAACTCTACAACAGCAACCTCGATTTCCCTTATTCTCTTGAACCTTTCACCCTCACTCAACCGAACCCACTGAGGTACACATCACAATACAGTCAGCAGCAATTGGGCTTCCTGTCCCAAAGTCTGTGCCAGCTTCACTCAACAGCATATGGATGGGGGCCTGATGCTCCTTCGCCATAAGTCTGCCCACACTACTGCAAGCTTGGAGGGTCTACAGCATGTCTTCCGCCGAGTCATCGCGCTCAGCCAACGGCATCAAATCAGAACCAGGCATTAGAAACTCGAGCCTCGCAGTCCGGGCATCTACCACCACTGGCAGCTCTCTCAACTATGATGAGGCAACGATGGAGAATGGCAGCACCAGCGGATCCTTCATGGTGACGGTCGGCACGCCCTCCCGTGTTGGACGATCAGATGCACGTAAGTACCTTGATGAGGCAGAACCGTCGTGTCTTCGTTTTCTGACATATGCAAGCAGCACCCCCCAGCGAGCGTACCGATGAGTGCGAGCCAGAGCCTTTGCTTAGAGAGCTTAGGATGAGGCCTCAACACGTTAACATTGGCAGTCCAGCCATCCCCGAGGAAGTTTTCGGCTTCCAGGACTCTTTCCATGGCATCGGCAGAAAGATCAAGGCTCATAACGACACACTCGGTGAGCTGCAGGCCCTCGGCGTGTCTCATGACGTGCCGCTGCCCGAGCTCGTCCTCGTCGGTGATCAGTCTGCTGGAAAATCAAGTGTCATGTCAGGGCTGGCAAACCTAGATCTGCCACGGTCTGAGGGTACCTGCACGCGGTGCCCATTGCACATACGCGTGTCCAAGAGTAACGATTGGTCTTGTCGAGTCTCTCTGTCGAAGCAATACCGTTACGATCCTCCGGACACAGCTATTGTCGAAGACGATGTGACGGATACAAACCCCTTCTTCCCGTGGCGTCGGCTGCCAAACGTGCAGATATTGGAGTTTAAGACCGTGCACGACAAGTCGGAGATCGAAGGTCTGCTGCGATGGGCCCAGGTGGCCATACTCAACGACAATCACAGCCACCAGCAGTTCATCCCTGGGTCGGGTGCCATTGCAATGAATGTACCCATTGAACAAGCACAGGCGGAAACGGTGGCCAAGTTCTCACCCAACGTTGTGTTCCTGGAGATCAAGGGACCCGGAATGCCTAACCTGTCCTTCTACGATATGCCAGGTATTTTCCAGAACCCGGCGGATGCGAGTGACCAATATTTGGTCAAAGTTGTCCAGAATCTCTCCAAGTTCTACATTTGCCGCCAGTCCGCCATCATCATATGTTCCATGCCAATGAACACCGATGCAGAGAACTCGTGCACCTTTGGCTTTATCCGCCAGCTTGACGCCACGCGCCGCACGATTGGCGTGCTCACCAAAGCAGATCTTCTATCAGACAATGCTGACCGTCGTCAGTGGCTCAGAATCATGAATGGCAATGCCCACACTGTCGGACTTGGTTATTTCATCACATCTCGCCCCCATGGGAAGGATCTCGACGAGCTGACTCGGTGGGAGGCCGGCATGTTTGACCAACACACGATTGAGTGGCCTAGCGAATTCCATGTCTTCGCGTCCCGCTGCGGTGTTGAGAAGCTGAAGCACTTCTTGTCAGAGCGCCTTGGGGAGCAGTTTGCCAAAAGCCTGCCGAGTATTGAAGAGAAAGTGCGAGGAAAGTTGGGCCGAGTACTCAGCGAGCTGCGAAGTCTCCCAGACGTTCCCGACAATGTGGAACTTGAGGTCCAGCGGAGCTTACAAAAGTTTAGTGACGCCGCCAGGAACAGTATCAAAGAGTTTATGAAACACTTTGATAACGACCCCAAGGAATTCAGCGAATGCATCCTGGGCATGTATCCCCGGTTTATTCTCAAGGACGTGTCAGATGCCCCTACCTTGGTGATTTCGGACGACGAAGAGAATGATAGCTCTGAACCTGCCGCTCCGGCTCCAACGGGCGCTGGGACACCGTCTCACAAGCGGCATCGCATGGCTCCTCCGGTGACGCCCTCAAAACGCACACGTTTAACCCCATCTGAAACACCGAGGTCTGGCAGGTCGTCACGTTCCGTCAAGCCTGAAGACTCCGATGGGGCCACCAACGGAAGACCGTCCCGATCTGAGCACGGAACCCAACCAGCCAGGGCTGGGTTGGCAGCTCCAACATCAATATATGCCAGCTTCGCAAAAGTGAATCGTGGTTTCCGGACTCTACGTGGGGTACGAAGCGACATAAGGGCGCGCAGCCAGGCTGGCGTGCCAAATCACATACCTCTCGAGGTCAAGGAGGACCTAGCCCTTGAGGCTATCGCGCCTTGGGATGGGCCTATGGATGTTTTCCTCAGCCAGACCATAGCGAAGCTCCACAGAGCCTTCAAAGAGGCACTGGAGACTACCTTCGCCGGACTTCGACAGCGCGTGATCTTTGCCGAGTGCGAGAAACACGTCGGGACATTCCTAGAAGGACACAAAAGAACAATCAAGGAGCACATGCTGCAGGTCTACCAAGACGAGAGATGCAAGCTTATGACCTTTAACAGCGCCACTTTTACTCAGTACGAGACTGAGGAGCTTCACCTTCTAGAATGGTTCCGTCACAAGATGCGCATGGAGGCCCAAGGTGTAGCCTCCAAGGCCACATGCAACAAAGATTTCAACAGCATGAGCGAGCAAGAACGACGCACCGAGAGCGAGACGCGCAAAGCCGAGATTGCCAAGATTGGCGTGGACGACTTTGACCGCGAGATCAAGGTGATTGCATACGTTAGAGGCTACTATCGCCTTGCCGGTCTGCGGTTCGTCGACAGCATCGCTCAGTGCGTGCTGTGTCGGTTGATCCCCAACTTGCAGGAGCAGCTGCCACTGTACCTGAACGAGCGACTCGGACTGATCGGCCGTGGCCAGGACATCAACGCCATCTACGCGCGCCTGCTGGAGGAGGACCCTGCCATGGCTGCGCGCCGCGAGGTCTTGAAGAAGGAGAAGGCCAAGTTTGAGAAGGCCATGGCCAGCATCGGGATACTGAACAATGCGGCCGCCGAGGACAGCGAAGGTGGTCTCACGCACGCGTCCGAACATACCCGCGACGACGACACGGTTATGGGTGATGATGACGAGATTGAAGTGTAATGGAGACCCGATGTGCGAAATGGCCACCTACGGCCTGCTTTTGTATCAATATTGGCGATTCTGTTTGTGCGTGTTTGGCTATGAGGAATTGAGGGTGTCTGGCTACTAGTGCGGAACGCATCACCCGAGGATATTTGCGATTTTGCAGTATTTACAGAGACGCTAGACCAGGCTCACGAGGAGTGGTCAGTCCGAACATTGTGCGCGAGGTTGCTGCGAGCAGATGGCGCAGTCTTTATGAGGAAATGCCCGACCGTAGATGGATACTAGGTAGTCTAGATGGCAACGACTCTTGTGTTCTTATAGATGAGATCTTCCTGGTCGGTCCTTTTCACTCTCCACGGCTTTCGCTTACAAGACTTGCAGATCAGGCGGCCGCATACGGAGACGCATGGTATCATACTCATTATAAAAAGACTGACGCTGTAAAACTACTCTCAGCGCGCGCGCTCCCAACCACACACACGCACACACATCACAGAAATCAAAGTACGTTGTGTATATACCATCCGCCCGACACGCTTCACGCCACTCCAAACACGAGAATCCTCAGGGCACCTAGGACATGCTCTTGTTGTCAAAGCGCTCCTCCTCGTGGTGCAGCTGCATCTCCTTCTCGACCTGCTCAAAGTCAATGTGAGCTACGGTGGCGCTGTCGCCGTCGAAGATGCGAGCAATCTCCTCAAGGGTAGGGCCCTTGGTCTCGGGGTAGACAAAGTAGACGAAGATGAACTCGAGAGTGTCCCAGAGCGTGTAGAACAGCATAAAGTTCCAGTGGTTGGGGAGCTTTCTCCAGGCAATCTTGTTGGTTTGGCTATACACGCAGTGGTTAGCAAAGATGTCGTCAAACGAGAAAGGAAACAGGGGGTAAACTCACTTGCCGATGGCGAGGATGGCCTGGACGGTGATGTTCATGATCATCATGCCCTTGGCGCGGAGATGGAAGGGCAGGACCTCGAGAGCGTAGGCGACGAGGAGACCGGAGAAACCAATGGAGTAGAAGACACCAAACAGCCAGATGAAGGGCAGCTGGGCGTATCCGGCACCAGCGTTGGTGGCCTTCATGGTGCCATCGGGCTGCTCGCGCTCCGAGTTCTCGTACACGGCACCGGTGATGGTCCAGAGGGTGAAGGAGGCGACCATGCCGGCCGCGGAGACGAGGAAGAGAGGGCGACGACCAAACTTGTCGATGCACAGGGCCGCGGAGATGGAGACGGAGAGATCGAGAATGGTCTTGCCGGCGGACAGGGCGAGCTTCTTGTTCTGCTGCGTGATGCCAGCACCCTCGTACACGACGTCCATGTAGTTGGAGAAGAGGGCGTTGCCGGAGTACTGGGAAATAATACCGAGGGAGATGATGATAGCCAGACGCCAGCGGTTGCCCTTGGTGCGGAAGAAGTCGAGGTAGCTGGTGGCGGTCTTGTTGTCACGGTCGGCCTGGATGGTCTGCTTGATCTCGCGGTACTGGAACTGGACGAGAGGGTCCTGGTCATTGCCTCTGCCGTGGTGCTTGGCGAGGACAGCCAGGGCCTGCTCCGTCTTGTCCTTGTTGACGAGGTAGCGAGGCGACTCGGGGATCCACCAGATGCCGACGAGCTGCATGGCGGAGGGGACGGCCTGGATGAGGGTGATGGACCTCCACGACCAGTTGCCGCCGATGGAAGCGGTGCCCCAGCCGACGATGGAGACGATGAGGGAACCCAGGTTCCAGAGACAGTTGTAGACGGCGGTGAGGGGACCACGGTGCTGGGGGTGGCAGATCTCGGTGAGCAGCATGGGCGAGCACATTTGGGAGAAGGAGTTGCCAAAACCGAGGAGGAAGCGTCCGCCCATGTACATGTTGTAGCCGTTGGCAAAGGTCGTGAGCATGGCACCGACGATCATGAGGACGCAGCCAGCCATGATAGTCGGGCGACGGCCGACGCGATCCGCGATGTAGGGTGTGAAGAGGTAGGAGATGATGGAACCAATGTTGTACATGTTGATGAGGATGCCGAGCTTGTGGTCGTTTTCGTACTCGGGGAAGAAGCCCTTCCAGGCGTCCATCTGCTGGGAGGTGTTGAGCAGCATGCCATCGTAGCCGGTGGTGGCGGAGCCGACGAGCAGGAAGATGGACAGGAAGTAGAGCTTGCGCAAATAAGGCTCCTTGTACCAGGTCACCTTTTCGAAGTTGGGCGCCTGCTCACGGGCATGCTCGAGGTTCTCCACGGCATTGGACTGCACCAGGTTCTTGCTGACGGTGACCATGGTTGCGATCAATGGGTCCGTTCAGGATCTACGGCTGGGGACGAGGGGTGTGGTCTTGGTGAGTTCGCTATCCCAGGCTGTGAGGAAGTGTCGACGATGCCCGACCTGGTGTGCTGGTGAGGTTGTCTGTGGATTGGCACGGCGGGGATGAGAAGACCAGGAGGAGAGGGTCTGGAGAACGGGGGACGCGTGCTACACTTATAATCGTGGAGGGCGCATATCACCATCGTCAACCTTTCGACCAATACCATGGGCCAGGATGAGGACAATAGGACCAGCATGCATGGCGGAAACGAGGGTGCTACAGCCTACGGAAAGGCGGGTAGAGAATGCCAGAGGTCCATGTCTTGCGAGTCGTTGATCCATCTCGCCCCAAAGGACCGGTGCCTCGTTCCAAAACTAGATTGGGAACGGCGGACTGGCCTCGAATGGTGAAGATGCAGGGGTAGGCCCTCGGAAAGTCGAACAGAGTCGAGGACTCGAGAAGTCGAGCCTCGAGACCCCGGACATCCTGAGCGCAACAACCCCAAAGTCCAGTCCAGCCGGCCGAGGGTGGATCTGCTGAAAGGGGGGGCTCGCGGGACACGCCAGAAATGGATCATGGATCCATCATTGCATGGATGATCCTTCATCTCGAGCCTGCTGAGCCTGGCTCTTTTACGCCTCCTAGCCGGTTCTCGATTCCGGCTCAGTGCATGTGTTCAGGCAAAGATGTCCAAGTCCAAGCACCCAGCCCTCAGTGCCGCCCATCAAGCAGTCTCGAGGTTTTGTGGGAATTGAGAGCGGCTGTCGTTTGCATTATCTTCTCAGACAGTCAGCTCCACGCAAGAGTCTGCTATTGAATGCAACTGGGGTATTGCTCCGTGCTGGCATGCCCAGACATGGAGGGTCCAGATGAGGACCCCAGCTCGCCAATCCATTGAAATGCGAGCATAATTTAAGGATATCTGTCCCGACCAATCATCCCGGCAGCAGCTGCAGCGTCTCCTCCCCTCCCCCATGTTCCCCTCCTTTTTTCCCAAGATAGAGAGAGGGCGGCTGATCTGTAGCCCGAAACGTGGAGAGCGCTGGTGCTCCGTTCGCTTGATCATGTGCCTCGCTGGGCAGGTTTCAAGCCCAAGCCTCAAAACTAAGAATCCAGTCGACTCAGGAGCAGCGAACTGAATTAACAACGCGACTGTAATCAGGTTGCCAACTTGTCACTGCATAACCAAATTGCGGCATGTCTCCTGAACTTGCGCCAGGATGATGGCTGCAGCCTCAATATTACCTCTGGTCACCCTGGCGCGAAGGACCACTGGTGAGTCAAGCCAAGCCAAGACACACGACGCGGATCGCCCGCGCACGGCCAAGCTCAGAGTTTCGACGGAGATGGTGTCTGGCGTCTTGATCTTAGCCGAGACATGGGGAAGCGCGCTCTTGGGACGACACGGGCTGCCCCGATCAATGGGACATGCCCAGATCAACAAAAGAAGCTAATCTTGTCGCGTCTGACGGTTGGCCCTGTCCCGCAATTGCGGAAGAGCCTGCCGCTTAAGCTTCAAAACAAGGTGCCCCCATATATGCATGCGTGCCGAATGCTTGGCGAGGCGGCGGCATTTGGCATGTTCTCAGTGCTCCGGCTGGACGGGCCTGCGAAGCACAGTCCTTCTACTGGCCGCCAAAGTACGAGCGAGCTCTGCGCCTCGCTGGATCGTTCTTTCAAGATTTCTTCTCCATACGACGAGTCCAGACTGACGCTCATGTGGCGCTTCAAATATGCTCTTCAGATGCCTTCACCCCAGCCAACCACAGTATGTGCAAATTCGTGCAGCCGGAGAGGGCTCTCAGGGACTCGGATATCGCAGGCCATTCTACGCATGTTGGCCGCGTTCAGGTCTATTTTGGAAGCAAATACAGCTCGCAGTCATTTTGCACTATCTCAGCTGGTCGGAGACACGGCAACATCAACCTGTCTAGTCTTCATGTTGACTCTTGACTCCTTGAGCTACTACTCAATATTAATGCTCCACAAACCCCAGGCCATGTGCTTCTCGCTTAGCTGGGGAAAAGGCGGGCTTCTTCAATATGCCGGTGGAGAGTTCCTCTGCCCGACAGGTGTGGGGAAGAGCTATGGTATTCAATGTTTCCGATTAATGAGTTCCTGTTCGTTTGGTGATCCCCGCGTATCCATCACGTCTCTTTTTGAAGTTCGCACTACATCTAGGTAATGACACCCTCGGGACCTCTGTTTTCGAGTGGGTGGTCGTCCCTCCTGTCTGACTGAAGTCGGAATCAAGCTTCATCGTATAGACCGCTTCGCGTTCTAGAATCTTTTTGGTGCAAGCCTTGCCGTCAATTCGTGATGGTGAGTCGCGGGTGGCGGCATTTCGGGAGCGCTGCCGCCGCAACCAAATTGGGACGTCTTGGGAGTTGGGGGAGCGGGAGCTGGCGCGTGCCGCTCTCGAGGCGCGTTGAGAGGCTTGAGACACGGCCTTTGTCTAGAATGTTCAGACTGTTCTGATCAACCCATGGTGAGGCACTCGAGAAGACCGAGATGCGACTTGAAATTAAATGTAGGCATCTGAGCGAGTCACTCTTGATCGCTAGTGTCAAGCATAGCAAGCAAACAGAACCTTGTGAACATGAAGGCAGGAAGGGTCAATAACACTGCCTGAAGCAAGCTATACCTTGAGAGGTATGTAATCGGAAGCTTGACGACCCTGATCGCTCCTCCAGGGCGTGACAAGAAGTCTAGGTTCGCTGTCAAGCTCATATCAGCCTGGAGGGGCCTGTTCAGGGTTAAGTCCGGGGACCACTTGTTGCAGCTTTAATGTGAATAATTTGTTTCGCAGCGTGGTTGACGATAAGTCGAGCACGGACATCGCGTCCCCTGGTTTGGTGAAAGTCATTATTTGCATCTCAGGACTGGAAGCAGCGTCTCCTGATTCAGTTGGTCTCGCTCCCTTTTTTGAGGCAGTTCAAGTTTTCAGGAATCATAAGGCCCCAGACACAACTACCTTATTCAATATCCACACGAAAAAGAGTCGTTTGGCATGTGATTTGACTCTTGACTAACAATAAATACTCTGTGTCGTCACAACCAGTCAGGCACATGGATGCTCGCACTCTGCACAATGCCACCCCTTTGCTGTCGGCTGTCAGCTTAGTTTTGCTCCATGTCCTTGAATGGCATCATTTATCAAGAAATGAAAGTTCGGTTTACTTTGTTCGATATCTACAGCTTTGTTTTGTTGGTTTCTATTGGACCCTCCCAAAGATCTTTCTCGCAGCGAACCCTTCTGGTGCCGATCGAGAGCCCGCCCCTTTCTCCTTCTCAGTCTGGGCAGCCACTCGGTGATCCCGGGGCTCCGGGAGATGATCCATCTTGGCGACGGTGCCGCGCTCCTCTAAATCCTTCGTTCACGAGAGCCAGCTGGAAAAGATCAGCCCCCTTTGTTGATAGCCAAGGGATCACTGCGGCTCGAGCCAGGGTTCAGAACCATTGACGCCGAGAGGGATTTTTTTTAATAGTAGAAGAATGACAGCAGCACAGAAATAAAACAGGGGCGTTTGTTCGTAGACCCGAGATCATGTCAGCTTCGCTCGAGACGAGCCATCGCAACATGAACACACTCTTCATATTTGACGAACACTGCACTATTGGGTGTCCATTTGCACCAGACAGGTCTTTTTCGGCAATTCAGCACCTGAGGATCATCGAAGAGGTTTTCGTTTGATGACAGGACTGGTGCCTCCTAAATTAGCAGTCTGGTTCACGAGCGTGTGGTGGGCGTTTGTCAAGCCCACTACATGCAGCTTTCCTGAGCCTTCTACTCAGCCCGCTCGCTGGACGACTAAGTAATTGTAGACTGTCCAGAAATGTTGATTGCATAGTCAAAAACTGGATGTTGTAGGATATTTTCTATGCGTTACCAATGTTACCAGCCAGCCAGGGGTGTTGCTCAGGGCACACATTAACGACACGGAAGATTTTCAGTCTGTCTTAGTATGGAGAGTCGGTGGGACTCTGTATATTTGTATCATGATCAATTCGAACACTGATTTACCCTATGTTGAGTCACTGGCGATAATTTCAATCTCGTCGTGAACTTTGCGCACGTAGAGTCCGATCCTATAGTCTATGACCGCCGCGTCAAATGTGTCTCGTTGCCGACTAGAGATATCATTGTGATCATGGGTATGAGTATTGCACGGTGTTGTTGGACACGCTATTTGCTTTTTATTTGAGTCTCTATATGTTTATGTTTTCCTCGATTCATAATAATTCAAACCTCGTCATTGCCTACAAACTTGGCCAATTGCAATTGCACTCTAGTCTACATCAAACCGCACAGCAGTCACCAGCAGACTTCAACACCTTTGCATTTTGACATAGCCCCATTTAATTATATCGATAACTTCGTTGAAGCAAACACGCTCTATACACCGAATCTTGACGAATTGCACCAAACGTGCGGCCTAATTTCTCGCCCGCGAATTTAGTACAGGGTAGGGCATTAGACAAGCAGGTGAAGGAAGATACTTAGATGCAGTCAGCTGACAGATGTGATGCTCAAAAATACTCGACCCAAATTGGAATCGATATCAAACGCTTGTCATTTTCTGTTGGAGATTGCCGTCCATGCTCTTGTCTAGTCAGTCCTTGTGGTGCGCGTGAAGGCACCACAATACATGTAGTTTGCAAGGACTTCGAAGTGAGTTCGCCGACGGGTTAGTGACAGGTGCATTGTCCTTTGAACATACACGAACATAGGCCAAATAATGTACTGATGTATCCTTGTCCGCAGAGGCCAGTAGTAATAGACCGGAAGGCTGACGTCCAGCTAGAACTCCATAATGAGTGTTATATGAACATGATATGCCTCGGCTTGGGCATCGGTAGAACATGACACATGTAAGTGAGAAGTTGATGTCTAGACATTTGAATGAAAGAGATACCAACCGCAATAATTCACCTACCTTTCGGCGATACCTGGTTCTTGGCAATTACATCTTCGTACGAAAGAGCTGTTGGGCCTGTCATCGAGCAAAGATACTTTGGAACATGTTCGCTCAACTTTTGAATAAAACGTGCTATTAGGCTAGTGAACTAATTAGTTTGGCATATATACCAAGAACGCCCCCATCATTACAGTCCCGCGACACCCCCATCTCGTGCATCACTCCTGGGCGCAACCTTACTCCTCCCACCACCGCTGAGACAATGGCGCCATAGGAGCCCTAGGAGCCCTCCTCATTCCGGTGGGCTGCGCTACGCCCATCATGGTGGAGTTAAACCCCATTGTCGGGCTGGCAGTGACGGTGACGGTGTTGAAGGCTGTGCTGATGCTCGTGGATGGCTCGACCGATGAGCAAACGGTGGACTGGCTGGGCGTGACCGCGTCCTTGCAAGGCTTGCCGCTGTCCTTCTTGCGACACTCAGTCTCGCCCGTATTGATGTTGATGATGATGATCTCAATGTCAATGTCGTCGCCGCCGTGGCTCACGGTCTGGGTCACCGTCGTGTAGTGGTCTTTGCTCTGCACAATCGTGGTTGCGTCGTGCACAGGCGCAGCCGTCACGGTGACTGGGTGGTCAATGGTCTCTGTGATGGTTTTGCCGTCGGCAACGACAGTCTGAACACTGGGCTCGAGACTGACAATCACCGTGGCCGGCCTCTGCTGCTTCACCTGCATGTGCTGCAAGGTTTTGGTCGTGATCTTGTCCTGGACCTCGGCGGTTGTGGCTTTGGTCAGAGTCCCCTCAGGCTCGGTAGTTACCGTCACGACCGATGGCCCAGCTGGTGCATCCTTGGTAGGGCTTGCAATGATGGTGACAGTCTTTGGCTCCTTGGCTGGTTCAGCTGAATCGGGGTGGACGACCTTTGTCACCACTTGCTCCTCTTTCTCGTTCTCCTGTGCTTTTGTGACCGACTCGGGATAAATTGTCTTGATGATGAACTTGTCTTTGTTATCGCCATTTTCCGTTCCAGGTGTCTCGCCAGCGTTGGCTGGATAGATCGTCTTGGTGATGACTTTGGGGTGATCAGGCTTGGGCTCGGTGGCCGCGACATCGGGCTCGTGGGTCACATAGATCGTAGTTGCGGGATGGGTGACGGTGCTCTCGACCGTGACAGTGGCTTGTGGCCTATTAGATATGTAGATAGTCTTAGCTAGGGGTGCCTCGGCCGTGACAGTAACTGTTGCTGGCGCGCCAGAGCCGGTGCAAGGACAGCATTCTTCTGCATCCATTCGTGCTTTGAGATCGCCATGACGGGCGAGGGAGTGGCCGGCCAAAGAGAGCACGGCAAAGCTGAGAGAGTATCGCATGATGATGTGGTATGAACGGTCTATACGCGAGGAGTATGTGGTTTGGAGCTGTTGGTAGTGCTGAAGCTGATGGTGCGAGGTTGTCAGAGTATCACTCAAGTCACAGGAGCTTGCGTGTCTTTATACACAACCTTCACTTGGTCTTTCAAGAGAAAAGTCATTTTTGGCAGCTTTCGCTTTGCACAGCCAATACTTCGAAGCCCAGGGATACCCTTCAAGGCGGGAGCCAGGAGTCATTGTGATGGAATGGGCTTCAAATAAATTGACCAGGGAGGAGGCCTTACAGATATTATGGGCAGACACGCCTGGCTGATTCCCATCATGTCGACTTCCAATGAGTGAATCTCAAACACTCTGAAAGTGACATGAGGGTCACCCTGAGGGAGACTTGCCCGCTATCGACGGGTGAGACAGTCATTAGGGTCGAAAGAGAGGGAGAAGGGTGGAGCACTAGAGAGAATTGAATATTTCTCGAGGGACGCAATCTCGAAGCACAAAGATACAGACATGGAGCTGGCTGACAAGCACAAAACGTTATGGCGAGTGCCTGCAAACGGGAAGATTGCACCCTGATGAGAGAGGAGGTTCTGGCAGGATAAGCGTCCATCATGACGGGCCGGCGATTACCCGCTGTGACGGCAGAGCCGCCCCACCACTTTCCCGGAACTGAGTCGCACCTGAAGCTGCAGGAACGACGAGGGCGCAGCTCCAACCTCGAGACTTCTTTCTCCACGAACGACCGACATCATATCAAGGTCTAGAGCCTTGCCGGGCTGTTTGGAGTTTCTCGCCGAGACTGCGATGCTCTTCGACCTCGCATCATTACTCATATGCCCCCCTTGGTGATCCAGTCGCCTACTCGATCAGCATTCTCGACACTATGGGCGCCTGCCAATCTTGCCTAGGGCGTCGCAACAGCGATATATCGAACAATGTGTGTGCAATCCGTCACGATGCGATTGCGAGAACATACTGACGGGAATCAAGGACGAGGGTACGGGTCTTTTGTACGACGACAATGGCATGCAGTACGGTAGCTTTGGCGACCAGGCCATGAGCGGAGAGAACGAGACAGTCGAGACACAACGCGAGAACGAGGCGATACAGACGGTCGTCGCGAAGACCTCAAAGTATGGCAGAACGTGACGAGCTTGACCCGCGTGACTCGCTGACGCATGTAGCAACATGGTTGACGTATTCGAAATCGCCCAGGCTGCCGGCACCAACAGAGGCATGGCAGCTGGCTTCGCCCAAACAGGCCCTGGCCCTCGCGAAGCACGTTTCCAGCACCTTCTTTCGAAACTCAACACGCACGAGTCGAACTTGCCCAACGAGGGCAGAATTGGTGTGCTCGCCGATGAGGAGGATCTCAGTTCCCAACCCGGCAAACCAGCCAGTGTAAACACCCAAGAAGGCGGGGATGATGCGCTGGTTGGTACATTCGCGGACGCTGCCGCCGCCGCAGCGGCTGGGGCATCTTCGTGAACAATCACATCAGCATGATGGAGCCGTTTGCGCGCTTATCAAGAACTTTAAATCGGCTACCCGCAGTCTGGAACTTGGGTCATGTGGCATAATGGTGGACTTGTTATGCATGCGTGCATACGCAATTCGAAGCTAGCAAGTGCCCGAACCGTTTCGGCGGGAATCACCATTGGAATTTTCAAAGCACTCCACGACCACGAGAGCTTAGGTGGGGCAACCAGTCACTCTGGTTCTGTTGCCCATTTCTGTAATTACCATTTCTGAACCCGACAATCTGGAACATGGCAGCCTCAGGACTTCGGCTTGTTGCCGAGAGGCATTGCTTGCCATGCTTAGCTTGGAGAGAAAGTACGCACCCCTGTCCGGCACTTTGACACTGGATCCCTCCCGTCTTCCATCCGCCACAAGAGGGCTCACCGCATCTTCACTTTCTGCGGGAGACTGGGGCACCTGGACACAAACCACACCAATCGAAAGCACCTTTTACATCCCTTTCTCCATCTCGTTGCATTCCGAGAGAAGTTTTCGCCGTGGGTTAATTATCACTGACGCTCGTGACGTTCTTGGTTGGGGGCGACATCTTCGCGACTGACGTCGCGACTTTAGCGTTCCCGATGCACTCTAGCATTCTCGACTGGCAGGCACGTGCTTATGGGAATGGGTCAGCTATAAGCAGTCACGCAGCTGCTCCCGCGCACGCGTATACAGTAACAAGTATTATAAACATCTGAGCAGAATGCGCACTTCCTTCCGCCTTTGATCGTCTCATTAAAATGACTGGCCGACAAGATCAGACATTGGGTCGGCCATGGGCACTATCTGTAAGAGCTTGCGCGGAAAACCATACGTACTCGTATCATCACGCGCACAGACCTTCGATTGGTTCTGCCCATGGACCATGCGATGTCAAGCTAAGGCGAACAATTGGAAGACGACCGATCCAAGGGTGGCGGAAGGATGGGAGTGCTCCATACGCCACCTGCTTCTGGCCATCGTTCCAAACGCAAAGCTCGGCCTTCGTTCTCAGTTAGGGCGGGTGCTGCCATTGCTCCCAGCTAGCAGGGCTACGAAACGGGCAGTATTGGCCAAGCGTGTGCCCAGACTCGACCGGCCATGCGAGCGCAATCTTCTTGGTCCCGGTTCTGTCACTCCACCTTCAATCATCCGTGCTCAAGTTTGGGCTAGCAGCGTCCCCTCGCAGCTTTGCTTCATATCTAGGTGGTTAATCAGTCGTCTCAAAGAGCAATCGCAAGGGAACGTCCTCCCAGGCCGCTGAGACCCCTTCGCCAACGACAAGCGATCGCTCACGGATAGGACCGGCCCGGCCCTGTAGCCGTTACAGGGCTTCCCCAGTCGATGCTGACGCAGCTGTGGCCGTTTAATTGCGCCTATTCCCATGTCCACACCAGTCACCGTCTTCTATAACTCTGCACTTCTGCACAGCATTGGATCTGGATCAGTGCGGGCGGCGCTACTACACACTACACAGCAGTGCTGGCTCCAGTGACCGGCCCTCTCTCTCCCGCCGTCTCTCCAAGAACTCCGGCGGTCACGAATCACAAACCCGTGTCATGTTGTGCGAGGGATAGAAACCCCGCTTCGCGATGGGACTGGCTGGTCCCGCGTTGGCATGGCATCTGTGAACCGTCTTCACATTGTCAAGTCACACCAACTGCTGGAAAGCAGACCTCATTAAGCCTGAACTACGGTTTCGCATGAACAACCGTTGAGGTGTGAGGGAGACTAACTTAGACCAAGCACTATATAAAACAATCCTCTTTCCGTGGAGGAGGAGCCCAAGTTCTGTTATCATACAAGCGCAGTGCAGGCCAGTACCCACCTGGAAGACTGGGTTCTCCTGTCTGTCCGGCCATCTGTCTGCCTGCCCTGTCCTTCTGTTTTCCAGGATCTTTGCGCTTGTCCTGTGTGCGCTGCGCCCTAGCGGTGGTGGAGCGCAACCGCAAGGACATGAAGCGCACTGTCCGCCTCGAGAATATCAAAGACAAAGGGAATCTGTAGCAAGGCCGTGCGCGCCAGGCTCCCCTAGCACGCAGCCATCATCCTGTCCCCGCCACGGCCCTCCGCGTTGCTCAGCACAACTGCGGTGGCAGGTCAGGATCCGCGTCATCATTCTCGCCAGCAGCCGCCTAATCATCGCTGTCATCCACTGTACGTCAAGGTTCAGCTGTTTGTTTTCAAGCTAGCAGGCCCCCTGGCCGCACCTGTCACTCTACACTTCCCCGACGGGCTTGAGGGAATCTTACCTCTTTACCCAAGATGGGCTGTGCGCTGGCGATGGTCATCTCTCATCCTGGCAATCTGCTCCAGGACGTCTTCCATGTCGGCGCAGGTACGCTCGACAGTGGCGGGGCGGCCGCCTTCGCGCTGCCAGCGCTGTACATCGCGGTACATCTTGTCGTACCGGCGCTGTTTCTTCTCGATGTCATGGCACAGTTTGCAAACATCCTCCTGCTCCTTGGTTTCGTAAACAAGCTTGAGACCGCAGGTCTCCCCCATCCGGTATTCCTTGTTGCATTGCTGGCGGAAGTGACCCCAACGCCAGAAGCCACAAGCCCATCTTGTTTGGTCAAAGTAGCACATCTTGTCCCTGGCGTGCTGCAATGTGTGCGGCCTGTTGCGGAGCCTCCAGACGGTTCGATCTTCCTGAAGGACGGACAGGCGTCTGTCTACTTGCACGGTCAGCTTATACATCCTTGTCCCGTCGACCCAGCCTGCGACAGGCCGAAAAACTTCTTCCCCTGTCTCCGCCGAGAGGGTTTGTACCTTGAGCAAGGGCCGGGGAACGTCGGTGGCAAGTCGAGTGCCGGTGTTCTCTGCAGTGCTCGTTCTTGCACTGATTCTCTTCCAGGTTTTGGAGTCTCAGACTCTGATTATTGATTGCACGGGCGCAAGACTCGTGTCGTATGATAGGTGATGGTGGCCTCTCGACCACTTCTCCTTTTGAAGATGCAAAGTACCAACTTATATTCAATCGACCACGCAGCGAGATGCTTGATCGACGCACCATATCCCACCTGTCAATCTTGACCACCCCATCCCCTGTGGAACTCGTGTCGACCAACAAGACGTGCCTCTGGCATGGGGCCAACAGCTCATTCATCGTCATGCTGCTTCGAGCGGGACGAGACTGAGGCTTCACTTTGTGGATTGGGCATCCTTACCTCTAACCCATGCGGGCATCTCGCACACGCCCTGCGCGTCCATTGACGATGCACCCCCATGCGGCCCCTCTGCTTGCCGTGGCCGGCCTTAAGCAGCGACCAACGCGGCAGCGCTCGAGTCCCTGCAGCATTGCAATGTCTATTCACTTGCTTCGCCTGACTTTCGGCCAATGGATATTGAGGATTCTCTTGTTTACTTTGGAACATGAAGCTCGAAAAGCACCCGAATGTACTCTTTCCGTCTCCCTTTCCGTACCTGGTGGCGAATGTCAAGACGGCAGAACGCTTCTGTGTAGCAACAAATGCCGCTCCACCTCACCAGTGCACCTAGCTCTCTTGGTACGGCATGCAATCTTTGGTGTCTCGCTTGGATGACTTTGAGTGTTGGCCATGGCCATGCTCAGCAATCGACATGGCCAACGCACTTCTCTCGTGGTGTTCTACAGATTGCTCCCGCCCTGCGCGTCTGCAAACCACATCATCGCGTCAGGCAATGCTGGCTTTTGCCGTCCGCAAGTCTGCAGCCAAGCCTGGCTTTGCAACCCTAGCCTCAGCCAGAGTGTTCTGCAAGCTACCCGCTGCAGGCCTCGTCAACAGGCTGCCGACGGTCGGATGAAGGGCCGTCTCGATCTGCGGCCGCAGTGGGGCCATTGCGGTGCTTTGCTTCGAGAAACTGGCAAATGTAATTGACATACCTACCAGTCGAGAATAGCGCGAAGCTTGCAGTGGAAAATTCGGTGTCTCCAGGGATCGTGATTCGCTTCACGCGTCCCGAGGGCGCCTTGGGCCTGTCTCGGTTGCATGTTGAACGGTCGGAATCTTACTGCACCAAATAAAGGGCTGACATGCGTGCAAGTCGTCGAATTGCACAGATACATTGGTTGTATACTTGTCGGACTATGTACTTTGACTTTTATGTGAGAGCGAGCAGTACTGGGTGGTGGTGGAGAGCCAAGCCGATCAGGAGGTGTCCTGAAGTCAGGGTGGTTTGCCCCTGAGCCAAAAACACAACGGCGCTCAGGGGCTACACAAATGCGAAAGCATCATCGAGAAAGTTCGTAAACGGAATAACGTCTTGAATTGGCCTGAGAGCCAAAAAAAAAACCTATCAAGGACAACGCGAAAGCCAAGTGGCAGCGCAACGACAACAGTACACCACGCCCTGTCACCATCTGGTCACCAAAGAAAAGGATGGCACCGTGCAACTGTAACGCCAGGAGAGCATAATGGCGCCCAGCAAAGCCCATGGACAGTACAATGCTCGGTGCTCACTGCGGCTCACGCAGCTGAATCACTCACGAGATCGCCTGCGTCCGCGCGATAAGTGGCAACAACTTGGTAAACGCAGACAGTTTTCTCAGTGACAGCGGCGGGGCCTGGATGGCGAGCTATCTCGGGCGATGCGCCATTGCTCTGCAACGGAAGACTCACACCTCTTCCACCCTGCATCACGGCGGTTTCACTCACCGGGCTCAGGTCGACGCCAGGTCTCGAATCGATGGGTACCCGTGGCTGTAGCCGGCACAACTCACGGGCAACCGAGCTGTCGCTCGACCAGCATCGCTCGTATGTCGATTGGACAGGCTCTGCTCCACGATGACTGCTGAGTGGCAAGCACAAACCAACCACTGCGCTGCGTGTGTGGCTACGCGCATCCGGTGAGGTCTCATTGCTCCGAGGCAGAGGCATGGCGCAGTGCTGCCCTGTGGTTGTCGATCCACGGTTGACGAGGAGGCATGCAGGCCATCCAAGGACTTTGACAGGACAGCGCTCACCGCGGACAGCAAGTACAGAGACTTCGAAATCAGCGTGTGTACTTACTTGGGCCTGACCTGTCGACGGCACATGAAGCCACGCCTGCGGCATCAGAGCAAAGACACAACCCTTGCACACTGGCAATGCCCGTCCGGGGACACAGCAGAAGCAAGCACTCAGTCACAGTGCTTGTGCAGGGCCGTGGTGCCAGGCCATGTGCGATGAGCTGGCCTCCTTGCCGTGGAGTCGCCTGCATTCGACGCATCGACCATGGCGGGCAGGAGGCTTATGCTGTGATCACTAGTTGCCGAGGCGATGCGCAATGTGTCGGGGTTGCATCGTATCACCATTGGGTAGAAGATCCTCGCAATACTCTACCTGTCTTCCCCCGTGAGAAGTCGATGGATGACTATTGTGCCTCACCGGCCGGCCCCAAAAGGCATGACATGACGCGACGCTGGCCTGCCGACCCACGCGCCTCGCGCCGGGGACAGGCAGCGTTGCAGATTGTATTGTCCGCGCAGGAATTCTTGGGGCGACTGAATCGGTAAGTTTTACCTGATCGCGCGACCTTGATTCCGCCACGGTCGCAAGACCGAACACAGACGCCAAGGCGCATCCGACTCAAGGACATGGTCATCCATGCTGTGTGCCCCCTGGTCGACGCTCCTTTTTACTCCAAACGTTTTAGGGTAAGAATGCGGCGGGACAATACTGGAGCCTCGCTACGGGCCGCCCACCAGGCCAACGGCCCGTGCCGTAGCGAGAAATCCTTTCAAGACAATGATAGCACGGAGAAGGGGAGAGCATAACTTGCTTCAAGGCTACACTGCTGCCCAGGTTATCATTGAAGCCTGACCAGCACACAATTTCACCAGCAAGACCGACCGGGGAAATGCGTCCGGTCCCCGGTGTGTGATCATGAAGGCTGTCGATATGTGGCAACCTCTGGTATCGTGGGCGACACATCCCCGTCCAATGACAAGTAGGCAAGATGTCGTTCAGCTTACTGGATGTCTCAAGAGCCAATCCGAGTCAACGAGGCTCCCGATGATGCAGATGCACGGCTACGATTCAATGCGAGTGGCCAGGACCATCGGCGAGGTCTCGTCCGCATAGCCGGGACGCTGCGAATCATAACGCTTGACGACACTGCAGGGGTACATGAATGGTTCGTCTGCACATCTACATGAACCATTTAGGAGGTCTACATTTTGACGGTATTCATCAATTGGTCCGCGGAATCATGCGGCTCGCCCATCGGTTCTTGGCTCATTCTGGCATATCGAATTCCAGGCGAGGGCCATGAGCACCATGAGTCCACACGACAACTCAGCCTTGTACAGGAAACGCAAAGACTTGTCGCTGGCGGACAAAGTGGGAGAAATGGTTGAAAAGGTTTGAGGCGCATGCTGCTCTCGAGTACGCTGCCGCCCTCACAAAGATGACGAGGCTCAGGAAATACACTGTCGGTCGATTCAACATTGTCACCCCAGCCGGTCAGCATCGGTCAGTGAGGAACGGGCAAGAGTGCGAGCCGCAACCAGGGCCTCAATGCAGCGACAACGAATCACACTCATCCTGGTACCGAATACCGAATCGCTCACCAACACGCAAACGTCTTGGCCATTGGTACCCGACGACTACTCGCACTGGAGTTACGGCCGACCCTCCAACTTGGACGCATTCACCGTGACACCGAGAATCGACAGGAAAGCTCTATAAAGAGGGGACCACCACGTGTCTGTGGCGTGGTAGTGCATTGCATGAACAGGGCGTCCGAACCACAGCCCTAGCGGAAGATGCAGGCCAACGCATCGACAGGTGCATGGACTTGTGGGTGAGTGAGCGGTATCATCTTCCACGGTACCCAGGCCTCGCGAACGGTGATACATCGACATCCCGGGCTTGTATGACGAACTGAGACGAACTGGCCAGGATGGATAACCCACGCGCGGGCCAACGGTCTCCAAGCAGGTCGCATCGATGCGTGGTGAGTTGTCGCATTATAAGCGATCCCGTTTCTACTCCAAGAGCGAGCCTGAGACCAGTCATCCAAGCCCGCATGAGAGCCCGATCATTGCCTGCAGGACACGCGGGAGGGTGGTGCAGGGGTCACAGTTCTGTTGGTTTGAATGTCCATGACACGCAGGCAGCATGGCGCTATGCCCAGACCAAAGCGTGAGCCGCAAAGGAGGCTACGGAGAATCGCAACACCTTGGGTTGTTCGCAAGGTACAAGAAAGCAATGAATTGCGCAGCTAGTACGTACAATCGTGGCTGGGTGGTAGATGCTTGATGTTCGATTGGATTAGCACAATGAACGACATATTTTACCCAATCGGCAGCACCTTTCGACAGCAAATCATGAACACCCTCAAAGGATGAATGCAAGGTACTCGTAGCCGTGCAGCACGTTCAAGGCAGCCATGCGTGACATGCAGGGGAGGACACATGACGTGGCAGCCGACTAATCAGCCACCATTCTGGCAAGCACCTCGCGTCGTCAATGACGGGGCGTGAGATCGGGCTGACAGCCTGATGAATTGTCCAACGGCATTGGGTCGAGTCGCATGAATGTTCAGCACAGCCGCGTCCAGCCTGCATCTCCTCTTCGTGATGAGCCTGGCGATGTTGGGGGGTTGTTCTAGGAGTGAAGAGGGGGGCAGCCTGGGCAGGGCACAATCAGATAACCGCGACTTGACCCCCAAAACGATCCGGAACCCCGCCAAACTCAAAGAGGGCAGGGCGGGGTGCGCATACTGGTCAAAACCATGTCCATGTCCATGTCCAGCCGTTCGTGGAAGCAGATTACCTTCCTTGTAGCGCAGAGGGTTGGTTGTTGATGCAAGGGCGGCTTCAGCGCCCGAACCCCTGAAGCCGCCCGGTCACAGGGGCAGAATCCAGCCTGGCAGCCTCCAGTGACCACTGACCACCAGTCCAGTCCTGGTGACGTCGCCAGTCTGCCTCATGTGATCAACCATCCAGACGACCAGATAATAATCAGTCCACAACCTACCATCACGCCTCTTGTCGTTGTGCGACCTCTTTTCCATAGAAAACATCTCCGTAATCCCATTCTTTGGACGTGCGCTGGACGGCCAGAATCATCGACTTCTGCCATCCGAAACTCATAATACCCAGGCTTCGACGCATGCGGCCTGTTGATACCTACATGGCGGCCTTGCATTGACTGCCGCGCACGCCTCGACCCTCATCACATCACGTCACATAGATCCGCGTCCGCGACCATCTTTCGCGACCTCGCGATCCTCCCAAACCGCTGTCGTAATTGCGCGTGCCCGTACACAAACGCATCTGATTCTCCTGTACGGACGCACGCGCGCCTGCGTCGGCCCACCGACTCGCGAACGCCGATCGTTGCAGATGTGACAACCATCGTGCTCTTGTGACAGACCATCCCTCCCTCCCCTGACGCCTAGCCTCTTGTCTCTGCTCGGGTACTATTCGACCCATCTTCAGCCCAGCTCTCACTGACGACCGTCGCGCTTCCATCGTTGTCTCGCCCACACCACGCCTCTGCTAGACTACAATGGACAGCCCAGACGGACGTGCCACCTCAGGCAAGGACCAGCTCATCGCGCAGACGAATCGGCTAGCCCTCGACCGCTTCTCCAGCCCTGCCTACATTGACGCCCACGATCACCTCGAGGCAGACGAACGAAAGGTCGTTGCTGCCCGACCCGACCGTCCTGGTTTACGAGGTTATCCGTGTTCCCTCGCTGACCTGCCGAACGAAGTCCTCCTTCATGTCTTTGCGTTTCTCGATGTCAGCGATCTCCTCGTCGTGTCGAGGGTGAGTTCCTCCACCACCTACGTGGCTGCGCATCCTGGCTGGCACAGCACACACTGATGAAATGACATGGCAGACAACCCACCATCTTCGCAGCCTCTGTGTGTCGCCCATTCTGCACACCTGGCGACTTCGCCTGACACGTACCATCCTCCCTCCCCTGCTCTACTCCCGGCCTTCGCGACAGGAACTCATTGCTCGATCCATCTTCCTAACCCAGACCACTGTCGTCTCTCGGCGTCTCGCTCGGTCCCTGACATCCATCCGCCTCTCGCGTCGACTCGCTACGCGCCCATCGCCAGAGGTCCTCGTCGAACGAGCAGTCTTGCCAAAGGAGTGCGTACCAGGTCTCACGACTGTTCACCTCACGCCGCGAATCGTGCAGCGCAAAAAGACCATTGAGCGGGAGAGGATCAAGGACGGGCTGCGACGCTGGATCGAAGGCACCTGGAGGGGCCGCGTCGAGGTCAAGGAGCTCGAGGCCCGAGAATGGGAGGAACGCTGGGGCGTGGGGCGCGTCTGGCGCCTCCGAAGATTCTGGGAGAAGATGAGCCGAGGTGAGGTTGTGTACTGATACCCTGTGTAGTAATGTTATGTCAATTGGCTAGTGGCCCCCCGTCCTGAGCATGAAATACCTTTTGGGGCCCGCCCATGTTATGTACAGCAAGAGATACAAAGCATCACATTTCATCCTTGACAGCTCATCGCGTGCGAAAGCGAAATCCGTCCCAGTCGTCCTCATCCTCCGACTCCTCCGACTCCTCGTCTTCCTCCACGACGGCCTCGTTCTCTTTCCCACCCCTTTCGTCCTCGGGTATCGTTGGTTTGGCGCCCTGTAGACTCTCCGCTCGCCTCTTCCGCAAGTCTTCTCTTCTTTCTTTCAATTTGAGGACCTTGGCCTCCAGGTCCTTCATCTCGTCAAACTCCTCTTCCAATGCCCGCTGCGCCTCCTCGCGCTCGTCTTGCAGGTCAATCTCCGGTTTGGACGGTTTCTGTTCCTCGGCAGGCTGGTTCATGAGATCGGCCGCTGACATGGCTGGCGCTGAGATGCTGGCCTCAATGGGGATAGCTGAGGCGGCAATGTCCGCCTCAAATGCTGCCCACTCATCTTCGTCCACTGTATCTTTGTTTCCGTTCTTTGCCTCGCCGTTTTCTGTAGGGAGTATCTGTGCTTGTAGTTCTTTCGACGTAGTAGTGGCCGCTGCTGCTGGGTCGCGGGGTGTAGCAGGTCGACTGGGAATCTGTAGCTCCATGCCTTGACTGGGTGTCCTCGACGAGCGACGGGTCAGTGACGGCGGGGTCCTGGCGGCAGGCTCGTCGAGCGATGGCTTCGATCTCTTGGACATTTGATCGTCCGAGGAGGAGGATGTGTCGTCGGCAAAGTGCTTGCGCTTTTTGTGGGAGGTCACAACCTCCATCTCCAGGGTCTTCCCTCCATCGGCATCTGCGATTGAGCTGGGCCCGTCCTGTGAGGGACCTTGCCGCGCTTGTTTCTGAACTTGCTCTTGCGGCGACGCCTCTTTGAGGGCGGCAAGCCGGGACTTGTGTGTGGCGGAGGCGAGATGGGAGTCCCAGAGCGATTCGGTCTTGACGGACTGGCGGCAGAGGGTGCAGAGAAGGGTGTTGGACGAGGTGTACGTCGCGTACGGATGTGTTATTCGACGAGCAGCGCGTTGCTCTCGGAGAAGTGCACGCGCGTCAGACATTGTAGCTATTCGTCGGGCGCTGGCGTGTGTCTCTTGGTTCGAAGTGGGAGTCGCCAGGAGTCGAGATTTGAAGCTGAAGGTGGGATGACGATGCTGCTAGCCGCGATGTTGCACGAGCTACCCTGAACCTTAAAGCTCGTGGAAAGGAGCCCAAGTTGACCCCACACATATCTCATCAACTCAGCTCATCCATCCACAACGTCGCGGTATCACAGCTTGCTTCTTGGGCAACTTCACATTCCCTCAGGGCAGTTGTTGCAATCGACCCACGTAATTGATGACCTCAAGCCGCGCGGACGGTCACAATGGCCGATGAAGAAGACCCTCAGTCCCTGGTGGGCACATTCCCCGAACCACCATCCTTTTACAAGGACTTCACCCCAGCCAACGTCTCCCGGATCGAGGAGCTGCGCAAAGCCGCCGGCATCGAAGACCTTGCCTCCAGATTGCCAGACGTACCTGAAGATCTCATCAACTTGCAACCGCCCGCTGAACCGGAGAACGGCAAGTGGCGGGTGTTTGGCGATCATTACACTGTGAGTGAACCATCCGATGCTCGCGACGCCCAATGCCGCGTGCTAACGTCTATCACAGCTCGAGGACAAGTTACCGACGCTCGAAGAAGTTGGCGCCGTATCTCTGCCCCCAACGCACCCTTCCCGTCTCCAGGCTTCCCCTTCCTCCTCTCAGGTGGCACAGAATAACCATTACGACCACGCACTCGAGCTTAAGCGACTCACAAAGTCCCTGCTGCTCAACTTTCTCGAGCTTCTGACCACGCTGTCGCAGAACCCAGGCCACGCCAGCGCCAAGATCAGCGACATCAACACGCTCCTCATCAACATACACCACGCGCTGAACGAGTATCGCCCCCATCAGGCGCGAGAGAGCGCTGCGGAGCTGATGCAGGATCACCTCGACACCATTCGTCGCGAAACCACCTCGGTGCGCGAAGGGGTGGACCGCGCTCGTCGCGTACTCGAAGGCCTGGGCAGCCTGACGTTTGCAGAGCGCGAGGCCAGCCAGGCCCCCGTTGACGAGGAGGCAGAAAAGAAGCTGCGAAAGCAGCAGGATGGGCTTACTCTGTGGAACTGTGCGGATGCGCTTCTCGCTTGATTGCGTGCGAGATTTGCTGGTGGCGCCTTTTGCGGTCCTTCCGGAGCGATAAGCCTGTGCATACAAACAACACAACTACGAGGATTGAATTAGGATAGACAGGACAGCCTTCTACGTAATGGATTCGACGACCACTGCTGGGTCTCGCTACAATCACGGGACAAGGCGTCAAGGCGGTGATTATACCCAGGTTACGAGATGTAAAGACCAGACAGAGATTATAATTTGCAGACCAACAATTGGCCAGTGAATAGCTTCTGAACAAGCACATCAACACAGTTTGACATTTGCCACCCAATTTTCTAGCTACATACCATGTTCATATCATCCGAACGCCAAACGCCATTCAACATCTCGACTTGTCGGTGGTATCCTCCCCTAGATGCTAGTGCGCCTCAGTTGCCTTCCATTCGTGACTTCTCGAGCAATTGGCCCAAGAATCCCAAATCATCTCGGCTCTTGGGCTCCCGCTCAAACAGACCCCTAATCACCTCCCATTCCTTCCTCTTCATGATCCCCGCCTGCGGTAGCAAGAACTGCACCGTGGGGCAAGTCATGAACTCTGGTCCAAGTACCTCGAGGGCCACCGCCTGCCCCTGGGCAACAGCCGCAGGGTCATGGTGAGGAGGGTGGGGCTGCGCGGCAGCGGCTGGCGGCTGGGTTGAACGACTCGTGTAGGGAGGCTGTGGGATAGGCACCGGTGTGGTCGACTGCAAGGGATACCCATTGGCTCCCACGGGTGTCGCCGGCGAAAAGCCAGGACCTTGAGAGACGGAATTGCTCCTCTGGTTGGAAGCAACTGGTGTGCCGGAAGAAGCTGGCTGTGTCCTGTCGCCCAGTTTAAGCTCACCGGGATCGTTCTTCCACACGAAGACGCCAAGAAGCAGCGGCTCCGTTCTTTCTTTAGGCACGAAATTGTCGTTCAGGTTGTGCAAAAACTCGGGAATGTCGTCTCCTGGAGAAACAGGCACCAGGTACGTGTCGCGGACATTGGCCAGGACCTTCTCGCCCACGACGCCATACCGTTTCTTGTCCAAGAAATATTGTATCATGGCGAGAAACTCAGGGCGCTTGTCTTCTGACACGGGAGAGAAACTCACGATGATGACATCGTTGGTCTGGCTCCACCGCTGATTGCAGAGATAAGTATTGGCCTGGTCGTGGGATATGCGTCCTGCAACACTAAGGCGTGGATTGATGAGCTTATCCCACGACCCGTGCTTAGCAAAGTCGCCGCCAGCAATGTACTTTGCGGTGGCGGAAAAGTTGGCGATCGAGGTCATCGCGAGGGAACCGCGCCAGACGACATCAGGATCCTGTTGCTCCTCGGCGGGAGAATACGGGGGAGAGGTGTTCTCATCTTGAAGCATGCGATCGACGTCTGCATCCTCGCCGGGTGTGGCTTGCGGCACCGGCGCTGAAGGTCGTCTGGCCTGGGACACGGATGGCGATCGCACCTGAGAAAAGACCTTGTTGATATCAAAGTTGGGCTGACTGGGCGAGCGTCCACCTGCCGTGGCGCCCTCGTCTCGTGACTGTGATCGAGCAAGTGCACTTGGTCCATCCTCAGACTTGTCTCCTTCAGTGGGCAGGTTTGGCTTTCTCCCGCCGCCGCCGCCCATGGGCGGTAGGGGCACCGGTGTTTCCACCATCGCACTGTTCTCGTCCTCCACGACTTCCTCGCCCTTGTGTGTCCGCCTCACCCTGGGCCCGGAGGCATCTCCTTGGTATAAGATTGACGCCTTATCTGCCTTGGCCTTCATTTCGGCGTTTTGCTTCTGCAGATCGGCGGAGGCCATCTCGTCACTCGTCATAACAGCCAGCGTAGGCGGTGTATGGAGGCCATGCAAGAGTCCACGCACAAGCTCAGGGTTGTTCTTGAGGTTGAACGTAAGCGATCGCGTCTGTTGACTGTACTCCTTCTGGCCTTTGGCCATGGGATGTGTCTCAAAGACGGCATATTCGATTTGGATGGCAGAGCGTTCGGCCATACCGTCGACAGTCGAGCTCTCAGCAACCTCCAGTTCGCCGGTCTTCGCCATATCCGTCATCACATGCAACAACGACTTCTTCAAAGCCTTGGCTGGATTCTTGCGCGTCGGTGGAAGCTCGTCGATCGACGGCGCCAGGTCCTTGGGCTCCGTGTACTTGGGCTTGACAGATGGTGGCGGAGGCGGCTGCGCTGGCTCAGCCGACACGCGCCTGACTTTGGCAGCCTTGTCCTCCGATTCACCAGCATCCTCGCGAGTTTTGCGCTTTCCGCTACTCGCTGCGGCGGCTGTCGTGGCATCTTCCGGTACGCTGGCTTCGCCTGCTGGCATTGGTTCAGGGGTTGGTTCAGTCTTTGGCTCAACCACCGGCTTGGACTCTGCTGGCGTTTCGACAGGTCCAGGTGACTCGTCGCTGGGCTTCTGAGGCTCAGCCGACGCCTTCGCATCGGCCTTCCTTGGCGGAGGCCCGCCCCTGGACTTGCGCTTGCCGGTCTTCTTGTTCTTTTTTTCCTCCTCTTTCTGTCGCTTCTCCTCGGCTATTCTCTCCTCGTGTCGTCTGTGGCGATCTTCCCATGGTTTTTCGCCTCTCTTGATACCCTCCAGAAGCTCTTTGTGATCCTCGGGCTTGCACTGTTCGCACCAGTACTTGTCTGGAATTTCGTCATCGTACACGCTGACGCCAACGCAGATGTTGTGCTGCCAGGCGCCGCACCCATCGCAGGCTACCCAGGAAAGATTTGGATCATCGTCTTGCTCGGTTGCGCCACAAACGCAACGAATGAGCTCATCGCCCTCGTCTTCCGCAGGCGTCTCCTCCTTGCCCTTGGATTTCTTCGATGCTCCGGGCTTCTTATTTTGGCGGCGCTTGGGTCCGGCAGCCTGGTCGAGTTCGTCGAGCGGTCGAGTGTGCTGGCCCTTGGTTGCGCGGACAGAGCGCCTTGGCTCAGGTTCTGCGCGAGGAATGTCAGCACTTGCTATTATGCGTTTCGACTTGCGGGGCATGTCTGTGTGTGCGCAGTGTAGGTGTCTTGGCAGGAAATGAAACGACTGGAAAAGGCGGTGTTAGCTTACCAGACATGGTGTGTGTTTGCTGTTGTTGACTGTTGTTGGCGATGCTTCGCTCGATGCACGCAGCCGCGTTGTCGCGGGCCGACGGGTACGCGTTCAGCCAGCAGTCTCTGGACTGAGCAGGCTTGACGGACTACTGCAGTACGACGGGACACGCTCGTCCTCGAATACGTATATGTCCGTCGCGGTTACAGGCCGACGTAGAGGAAACAGAGCAAAGAGAACGTCACGTCACGAGGTCACGGGCTGTTCCTTCACTAAGGTACAGCTGGCGCAAACGGCAGAGCTCGAAATGGGCTTTGCGGACTGGATGACAGGAACAAAACAAGCTTTGCGCGTGTCACTGAGCCTGCGCGACTGCTAATGCCGAAGCAAACTATGAGCGCTGGTGACTGGAGGCCCGCGCGAAAGTGTCGCGTGTTTTTTCAAGGGTCTTCAATTTGCGCCCGTGTGACCACTGGGGTATCTCTCGCGTATGCTGGCGGTTGGAGTCGGACTGGGAGAATATTCAAGCAACTGATTGTGAGGCGACAAGCATTGGCTAACAAAGAGTCGCTCCCGAAATGTTGGTGATAGTGGGCGGTAGGAATTTGCGAGGTGCTTGAGGAGAAATGGGATCCAGCTGGTGGGATGGCGACGAACTGATTGAAGACCTCGATGCGGAGGGCCGCTGGATGGAAGTGGATCCAATTTGTCAGCCACGTTTCTACGCAATCCTCAGCCACAGAGCGCCGGTCCAACTACGGGTAAACAGCCGATGACCTCAGCTTTGACTGTGGCGCCTGCAGTCGGTGCTGGAGCTACGCGGCGGTCGTGCCTGGAGGAGCTTCAACGGGTAGGCAGACCTCCAACCATCACGATCTTCTAAACACATCACAACACTCTCTCGAAGCCACAAAGTAGACTTCGCTTGTGGCGAGAAGTGTCTGAGAATTGATTTCACATCTTCGAGCACTTTCTTCCTCCCTCACAGCAACATGTCTCGTCGCTACGATTCACGAGTACGTTTCGAGCACCCCACCTCTACATGCTTGGCCCTGGTATCAGCTCTAACAATTACAGACCACGATCTTCTCGCCAGAGGGTCGTCTCTACCAGGTAGAGTATGCTCTCGAGGCCATCTCCCACGCCGGTACCGCCATTGGTATTCTCGCCAAGGATGGCATCGTGCTCGCCGCCGAACGCAAGGTCACCTCCAAGCTCCTCGAGCAGGACACCTCCGCCGAGAAGCTCTACATCCTCAATGACAACATGATCTGCGCCGTCGCAGGTATGACGGCCGACGCCAACATCCTCATCAACTATGCCCGACAGGCAGCGCAGCGTTACCTCCTCACCTACAACGAAGACATCCCCTGCGAGCAGCTCGTAAGGAGACTGTGCGACTTGAAACAGGGTTACACACAGCACGGTGGACTGCGACCATTTGGTGTATCGTTCATCTACGCTGGTTGGGACCCACGACGTCAATTCCAGCTGTATCTGAGCAACCCGTCGGGCAACTATGGCGGTTGGAAGGCGACAAGCGCCGGTGCGAACAATGCGAGCGCGCAAAGCTTGTTGAAGCAAGATTACAAGGAGGATTGCACACTTGATGAGGCATGCGACATGGCTGTCAAGGTGCTGAGCAAGACGATGGACTCAACCAAGTTGAGTAGCGAGAAGAGTGAGTCTAGCGTCAAGACGATGGCAAATCCGGAAACTAATGTCTCCCAGTCGAGTTCGCCACAGTCGGGCAAACGGACGACGGCAAGATCTACCACAAGCTATGGAGTGCCGAGGCAATCGACGAGCTGCTGGAGAAGAACGATCTTGCTAAGAAGGAGGAGAGTGAGGACAAGTAAATTAGACCGTGTACAACAACAATGGAAACGCGTCATGATCAATGATTTTACAGCTCGTTATACATGTTGACTTGCTCGGACCCTCTTGCCTCAATCAGCCGCGCCCTTTGAGTTGTTTGCCAATTGGAACCCGGTTACTCCGTCTCCTAGTCCTACACCCGTGGTCAGTCATTTTCCGTCTGCAGCGGCTGTATTTCGTAGCCTACATCAGCACTGGCTTCCTCCTCATCTCGCACACGCTGCCATACAGCATTACTGTCTCCATTCATACCCTCCCTAGTCGGCAGGGGGTACGGCTCGCTGCACTTGGCACTAGACAGCTTCGGCCAGTATCTCCTGTAGCTCCAATATGCGACGGTCATTCCCAGCGCTGAGCCTACGCATACGTCGTATACATCGTGGCGATAATCTTCGCAACGAGATATAGCGATCATGGCGGCTCCCACCAATGGCGCGAGGAAGACCAGAAATCGTCCTAGATCACGGCTGCCGGTTCGGAAAACGCCCAGTTGGCCAGCAAAATACAGCGCCACGAAGCCCAGCCCGGAGAACGAAAAGCTCGAATGTCCGCTCGGGAAACTGCGCCATCCATCCTGTAGAAGGTGTGTGTTGTGTGGCGCCGTGCAGACACTGATGTCTACGGGGACGTTCATAGGCGCGTCACTCGCTGGTACACATCTGGCGAGCAAATCCGGTCTGGGGCGGCCAACGGCGTTCTTGAGGATATCGGTGAGGAGCGCCGTAAAGGTGATAGAGATCAGGAAGGGAAGATATGTCGCCTCGTGTTTGTGCGCAGAAGAGCGAAGTAAGAGGATGTTGATCAAGATGAGCACGCCCAGTGGTATAAAGAGCGCGTACACAAAGTTCATGACTACAAGGTGGGCTCTTTGAGTTTCGTCTCGTTAGCGTCAGAGGGCGGAAGACATACAGACAGGGACGCGCTCATGCTCAGCATGAGGAAATGAGATGTTCACATCGTTGATGAAGAACAATCTTTTGAAGGGCGTTACAAGAAGGATTATCTTGAAGCCTGAGTCAACGCGCTGCCTGTGTCATTTCTCAGGTGATACATACCAAGATGTATGAGACAATGATCGCAACCAGACCGACATAATCCGGCGCATTTGTTGTCTGCATCTGTGAGTACTCGGTTGATTGAGTCGTAGGATCTCATACCGTCCAGAAACGAGCTATGCTCGACAGCCGACTCGGCGTCGAGTGACTGCGTCCGGGCGCCATGGTACAAGAACCGGATAGACGACCAAGTCGAGCGCGGTTACCGTGATACAGAAGTAACTCGTGCGCACGTGCGGCGGAGAAGAGCTGTCAATCAATGACGCGCCAATGCTTCCATGAAGACTGGAGTATGTTGGTCGCGGATGAAGACAACAAGAGGTCGGGTCCCAGGAGGTGACATTGGCAGGGTGATTGGTGGATCGCCATGCATCTACCGCAACCATCATACATCTTATGACAATTGAAGACAATTCGCACCATAGCACAGCTCGCTGTGATGTATGCAAAATGCAAGAAAGTAGCAAGAGGATTATTTTCTTTATGACCCAGAGACTCGTCAGCGCTGGGTCAACTCGTGACAATTGGGGACAAGCTTTGGCTCCTAAGCTATAGGGTAGCCATGCCGGGTGGGCAGTGACGTTGCTGAGGCTGGCGAGTAGATTTTGGACCTTCAAAAATACACCAGAACACGTCCCCAACTCACAGCTCTCCGTGCCCCCGAACGAATGCGCGTCGAAAAATCTCCCATGACGACTACTTGACACTCCCGCGGCCATGCTCAAGTCCACATATCAACGGGCCGATGCCGCGGCACCTGAGGCCCTGCCGCCAGGCTGGACAGAACACAAAGCTCCAACAGGTCATACCTATTACTACAACGCGTCGACCAAAGAGTCAACCTACAAACGTCCTTCAGCCCAGCCGGAAGCACCATCGATTGTGCCAACGTATGGACCCAACCTGTCCGACCCCAGCGTTGCCAATGCGTACGTGGCGCAATTCAACCCGCCTCCGGCACAGCAGTCGCATCGCGGCGGCTTTGGCGCAGGCAGAGGTGGCAGGGGTGGGTATGAAGGGCGGCCAAAGCCAGCCCCGATCGATAAGCCTGTGAAGAAGGAGCCTATTCCGGGCCATGAGCCTTGGATCTTGGTGTACACCAAGTACTCGAGACGCTTCGTGTACAACCCTGTCAAGAAGACAAGCTTCTGGCGCATACCCGAAAAGTTGATGCCAGGAATTCTCGAGCTGGACAAGGAAAGAATACGGAGGAAGAGCGGGAACGAGACGGACCCTAAGAGCGCAGAACCCGAAACAGCTGAAGCCGAAGAGGCGACAGTTCAACGGAAAGAGGAGACACCGACGGCTGCGCCCGAGGCGTACGATAGCTCTGAATACGAGGAAGTGGAAGTTACGGATGACGAAGACGAGGAGGGCCATGCGTCCAAACGCCAGAGAACAGACGACGCAGCGCCCGAAGAAGAAGAGGAACCAGTTGAGTTTACAGAGGCGGACATTGCAGCACAGCTTCAAGCCATGGGCACAGACTATGGTCTTGAGCCGGGTGACTACGACGACGGTAACATGGCTGATTGGCCCGAGGGCGCAGAGGGTGTCGAATTTTCAGAGGAAGACGCCAAGCTCCTTTTCAAAGACCTCCTGGACGACTTTAGAATCAACCCATTCAGCCCCTGGGAGAAATTGATTGAGGAAGGCAGGATTATTGAGGATCAGCGATACACAGCTCTGCCCACGACACGAGCTAGGAAGGAATGCTGGGATGAATGGTCACGCGAGAAGATCGCGGCCCAAAAGGAGCAGCGTGCCAAGCAGGAGAAGAAGGACCCGCGCATCGCATACATGGCCCTCCTCCAGGAGAAAGCCACACCGAAGCTCTACTGGCCGGAATTCAAAAGAAAATACAAAAAAGAACCGCCTATGAAGGACCTCAATCTATCGGACAAGGACAGGGAGAAGGCGTACCGAGACCTGGTCAACCGCTTGAAGACGTCGCAAGCCACAAGAAAGACTGAGCTGACGACGATGCTCAAGAGTCTGCCTCTGCACGTGCTCAACAACAGGTCCCTCGCGGACGGCCTGCCGACGCAATTGCTAGTCGATCCACGCTACGCTGCCCTGGAGCCTTCGATCCGAGATGGCTTGATTGAAGCCTATGTTCAGGGCCTCCCTCCCCCTCCTGACAACGTGGAGGACGCCAAAGCAGCGAGCGACGAGCGGGAAAAGCGCGAAAAGAGAACAAAGGCTCTGGAGGAGCGCAATCGCGTCATCGACGAGGAGAAGCGGCAGCGCGAGCGGGATATTGCCAGGGGCAAGGCTAGATTGCGGGACGGAGAGAGAGATATTGAGATGGCCATGGCCGTAGACAAGACTGGACTGCGCCGCCAGCTGGAGGATGCCGCTTAGGCTGCTCACTGCACGCCATCCCTCTTCTTTACGAAATCCGTCTCGAAATCCAATCCTGCCTCCCGCCGCAGCACTCCATACAGACTCGATGAATCCAGAGGTCGCCCTTCTTTCTGCGCCTCCTTTAGGTGCTCTAGCACCACCTCGCCAATGTGCAGTTTTGCGCCCACGTCTTCAGCGCACTTGACACCGTGCCCAACATCCTTCACCGCAAGATTCAGATCTGACCACGGTCGTTGCCCGGGCGGGGGGCAGTAGGCTCCTAGGGTTAGGCGCTCCGACATGGTGTGCGCGAGAGGTCCAAAGTTCTCTTTAAGGAGCGTGGCTACGGCGTCGCTCGGGAGGGCCGCCTTTTCAGCAAAGACGTGTGTCTCGGCAATGAGCTCCATCATGCCAGCTGTCATGAAATTTCTGCCCGGTCGGTCAGCCTTTTGTACTTTTGATGCGTAAGAAGACATACCCCGCTGTCTTCAGGAGACTGCTTTGGCGGACGTCCTCACCCAAGCGGATCACGCCCCTGCCCATCACACCGGTCACGTATGGCATGATCGACTCCACGGCTGCGCTCGGTCCGGCGATCACGAATAGAAGCTGGGCCGTCTGAGCGACCGGACTGGCACCGAACACTGGCGAAGCAACAAAGGAGGCCCCTCTCTTTTTGAGAAAGAGTTCTGATTTGGCCGAAGAGTCGGGGTGGACAGTTGACGTGTCGACGAACACTTTGCCGTCGAGACTGCTTTCAGCGTTGAGAATGGCACCGATTGTAGCCCCGAGAGCGGCATCATCACTAAGCGACAGGAAGATGATGTCGGATTGCGCTACGACGTCCGGTACAGAAGGGCACGATGCCGCACCGAGCTGGAGTAACGGATCACCGCGAGACAGCGTGCGGTTGGTGAAGTTGAGAGGCCATCCAGATGTTGACTGGAGATGCGTCTGTAGGTTCACAGCCATGGGAAGGCCCATGGACCCAAGGCCTGAGGTAGAATCGTGAGCAGTCTGGGGAGATGGGCTAGCGAGAGCAATGGACATACCTATCCAGCCAAGTCTTGGCGTGGTCATAATGTGCTGGTGTTCTTTGGTGACAGTGATACTGTCAGAGCTATTCCTAGCAGTTTGTCTTACTCGTACTACTTTGTCCAAGTGAAGGGGATATTTCGCGACTGGAGCTGGCTGGTGTGCGAGTCAAGCGTTGGCGGGGTAAAGCAGTATATGAGTCACGGTTCAATTGCTTTCAACAGCAGTACGGATACGTACTAGTAGTCATATTTCCCAATGTTTCAGTTCCCAATTGTTCGAACATCGAGTGTCATTTGGAATACTCCAGTCCAATTCAGAGATTATCGAAAACCGCGGAACCAATTGAACTCGGTGAAGTGTATTGCGAATGCTCGGCGCCCTAGGACTATCGATTGCTTCACGTGGCCGAGGCTGTGCTTTATTACTATCCGTAGTATAGTTGCCTTCACCCTTCCACAACCAACCCACTGACAGACCACTTACTGAGAGTTGTATTGTTTCAGGCTGTGAGGCTAACGACCCACATGTTGTCATTTGAGTTGGCGCTGTGGAAAAAAGGGTTCTTGGGGTAATTGGGGGTCATGACATACGTAGTAGTGATGCTACCCCTTTATTGTTCGTTTCATTTGCTAAGGTAGTGCCGAACCTGAACAACCTCGAGGTCAAACCCAAATCGCTTGCCATTCCGTACTACATGCAAGCTACAGCACGCATCTCTCGCCCGAGTTAACGCAAAACTTGCTGAACCTGCCTAAGCTATTTCTCGTGAGTGGGACTATTTGACACCCCTATCATATCCATTGCTCATTAATCATACATGTATTCTTCTCGTATCTCGTCATGTTGTTTTTGTACCACTGGTAAGCACAGCTCCCCTCACGCCATTGATGGTGCGGCGAAACTTGAGGCAGAACCGGTGCCGGAGCCAGGGCGGATTCCAGTGCCAGAAGAAGAACCCGGACCAAGACTAGAACCGCGAAGAAAGCCAGACCCTGACACAGAGGTAGAATCTGAGCCAGCAGGGGACGCTGCGTTGAGCGCCAGACCTGAAGCGGCATGCTTGATATACTCGTCGATATGGCCGCATCCGCAACCCGCGTGTTCCAGGACCATGGATTTGAGTTGCAACGTTTCCTCTTTTAGCTGAGAAATCTCGTCGGCAAGCATGCGGTTCGCTGTGCGGGCACACTCCTCCTTTTCCTTGAGCTTGCCAACGGACTCCCTTTTGCGTTCGCGAAACTTGGCGGCGGCAACACGGTTCCGCGCTCGGAGGTGGCTCCTGTCGCTGTCGTGATCAGAGCCATCGTCGGACTCATTGATGCTGTCTTTCCGCGAAGAAGCTTTCGATGCCTTTCTTACTTTTGCCGGGGAGGACTTTATATCTGCGCGCGGCTTTGCTTGGCTGCGCCTTGGACGGCCACGCTTCTTGGGGGGCTGTGGCTGCGGCTGGTCGACATTCTTTGGGTCGACCGAGTCGACCGTAAGCTGTGCGCTGCTGATGCTGTTGTCGCTCTCCGTCACAGATGGAGAGACAGCCAGAGGGGATTTCAATTCATGGTAATTGGGTGTTCCTTGGAGGTGAAGCATGGCTGGGAAGAGTGTTGGGTCGCTTTGCGGCATGAAGCCCGTTGCAAGCCCGTTTGGTTGGAATGGATCAGTGAACATGGTATCCGGGGAAGCATCGAATGGTAGGATCCCGTCGTTGATTTCCATATTTGTGCCAAGAGGACGACAGTCCGTCAATGCGTACGGGTATGTTGCTGTGGCTTCCATCGTGGAGAGGATGACTTGGGGAGTATGTCGCGATCGAAGTGTGTAACTGTTAAGTGGAGAAGGAGAATGGCTGTAGACATAAGACAAGGGCCGGATGCTTGGACTTGCTTCTCGACTAAGATGTATAGATTTCGAGAAGTTCAGTTGTGTTTTCGGCAGTGATCAGGGAGAATTGTCCTGGGCCGAACGAGACAAATATATAATAGGAGATGCCTGTGATATGACGAAACCGCCTGCAGGACGGCACACATCCAATTGTTGGGATCTCGATAGTCAATACCGTTAGGCACTCTTCTTTACTGTCGTTGATCGGCGTTTTGAATACTTTGACGGGTAGACGACTGGAGGCACCTGAGGACGAGGTGAGGGCCAAGGTGCCAGTGTGCCCGATGCACCAATCAGTACACCCGGACGGCCGCCGGATATGCTCCCTCAGACGGCAGGGGAAAGAGCACTAGCGGGAGAATGACAGCGGATGCGGAGCTAAACTTTCGGCGCCGCGGCTCCAGTTATGCGTGCCATTGCATCAGCCAGCTGCGCGGAGGAGGAGAAGGAGAAGGAGAAGGAGGAGGGCTGGCTGCCTCTGGAGACCGGAGGTAAAGGTGCTGCGTGTGGCATTGAGTTACAAACCGCATCTCGATCCCAGGAACCAAAAAGGTAATGATCAAAGTGAAATGTTGTTTCCTGTCACACGTCTAAGTTCTAACTCAATTCGCTTGGGTGCGATATTGACAGATTGTGGCGTCCTGACTCCTATAGGCCGTACTGTACCATCCTGGCAATTGAGCGTAACGACTAAACAAATATGGAAGGATCTACATGGTTACATCACCTCTCCAAAAGTCTACAGCCCCGCGGCAGAGAAAGCATTTGAAAATCGGAACACTGTAGTGAATTCGCGTATCACAATGCGTCTGATGATAATAATTCTTCACTCGCAAGCCCGGGGGTTGGACATTTTGCTCCGCAACACGCTAGTCTCGCCGGTGGCGAATTTGATGCCGTACCTGAAGTGCCACAAGGCGCGCGCACGCATTCTACTCATTGGCGGAAGTTGTGTGTGGATGGGAAACTGCAGCCAACTACAGTACGTACAAACGTAGGGCGTTGGACTAAAGTTGCCGCGGAGATACGTGCGTATTCTACTGTGAAGGGACCCTCTGCCATTCGCGCTTTTACTGATATCTTGGCATGCGATTGGTTGGTGATCTCCCGCCCCGGAGACTCTCCTACTGTACTGCACTGTGGCACATTCATCATGCTGAATTGCTGAGATTGAAGAATCCCATGTTCACGTCATTAAGTTTTTGATCTGACGCATCACAGCGGGGATGAGATCATGAGCGCAAAAAGACCTCCGCCATCAAGCGGTTCTACCTCACCCTTGGATAATTTGCGCTCTCGAGTATGAATATTTGAAATAAGCACTTTTATCTGACACCACCTGGCACATATTAACCCCCAGTGCCTGGGAGTTGTGAGCGGGTGACGCTACATGCATGCCTGTGACAGGCCCCGCTCAGAAGCTTTCAGAGTTAAACACCCTGCCAAGTCTGGCCAGTGATAGGCACTTGCCGCGCCGGAGAGGGCTCCGGTGTTTCTGAATGGCTGATTCCAGTCCTTAGGCCAGCCAGCCACGTACCGAGTACCGACAGCCGCATCAACGCACCACGAAGTTCCAAGCAGACATTGAAATGAGAAAGATGCCGTCGTGTCGAAAACATGTATTGAGCAACAGTATTTCAGCTTCAAATAAACGTGTGCATGATTTCTGGAATTTCGATTTCCTCAATACATGTACACGACGAATCCGACATTGAGGAGCGCCAATCTGTTACTAATCTGCACAACTTCCACTTGAAGGCGAAGAAGAAAAAAAAACTTACGTATCTTCTCAGGGCAATATGCCGAAACGCTTGGCTGACGACACCCGCATCGAGTAATTATTCTCTTGGACCAACTTGGAGATCATCTTGAGTACGTGACCTCATGGGCCATGCCCTGGGCCCATGGCCCCCACTGGAAGAAGACTCTCGAGTCGCCAGTCGTCACTCTCGCGGGCCATATCACGCCCTGAATCATGCCGCGCTGCGTCACCTAATTACACTGCTCAAGCCTGCTAATATGAACGCAAACATATTGGCGGAAGCCCCTTGGTATACCATGTACGTGGAAAGCCCTACCCCTCGACGAGGCTTTGTACTCGACGTAAGTGGAGGATTTGGTCAATGGTTGACAGTCCGGACGCGGTTCAGTCACTGCGAGGAATGTTGCTCATGAGGTCCGCTTGCAATGTGTTACAAGCTGACGGCAAGATGCGAGGCACGTTACGATCCGGCAGGGGTGGATATCACTTCGCAAGAGGGGGCACCTTGTGGGCATGAATGACGTGCAATTCTCGACAAATGTACTCCTCATGATTGTTACTCCCTCCCTGAACCCAGTCTCTGTCGTCAGTCAGCGCGGTGCATGGTAGTCTCCGCAATGATGCCGCACCGGAACCCCTGAGTCTCTCGTACATTGGTCATCGCGAGGACCCCATGCCTCCTGCGCTACTCCGTACCGGGAAGAGGGACGGACTGCGTACTTAAGTACGTAACTGAACGGGGACCGTATCAAGACAACCGTTTAATATTCGGATTAGCGTGAGGAGTGAAGTATCCCGGCAGCCAGGATATTCTGCCGCGTCTAGATGGACGTTGCGTGGAACCCAGACTGAGAGCAAGACGAGACTGGTACGTAGCCAGTGTTGGTCACTCGAGCTGCGCCATGAGTGTATTCTCCTTTCGCGAGCTTTCAGATTCCAACCGTTCCAGCCCAGGGTGCCGCCGCAATAGGAGACGTATCCCCCTGGTCCCGCAAGTCCGTCAAACCTCACCCCCCAGCACCGATGTTCCATCATGAGGTGAGGTGCCAGGCACTACGTACTTATCCAACGTGCTGACATGGAATTAATTAGCCCAAGATTCCGCGAGCTCGAGACCTAGGCCGAAACACTTTTGACTATACTTGGCACTTCAACAGCAGGTGGGTTCCATGCTCTGCCGCCTCAGCTATGCGCCCTTGGAAGCTGATATGAATTGCAATGACCTAGAAGCTGAAAAGACAAAATCAGCACCAAGTTCATTCTCGATGCTTACCACCAGTCAACATGGTTCTGAAGCTCAGCATCCCGCCCATCTTTTGAGTTTCTATTCACACACAGTTGCACTCGACGTGACCTTCAGATGCCTCGCTCGCAGGCAAAAGGTAATCAACCATGATCTGGCATTCTAATGACGACGAATCGTACCAAATCCTCTACAAGTGACAGCGCGAGGCTGAGGTCGTCGGCTGGCGGCGCGAAGTCGCCTCCTAAAGGGGCGTCAGAATAAAGCAGACGCTCTCAACCCACTCACAGGCCCTTGCTGACTGCTGAAATCTGTCAGCTTGGTAGTTTCCCGCGGGCAGATGTGGAGTTTTCCGAGATAGAGCGAACTGGACTTGGAGCCCCTTACAAGTTCCAAGTGGACGTCGAAGATTGGGTCACCACATTTGATTTCAGTTGATCACAACCACGGACTCCCATTCCGGCCTCCGTGAACCATGTCTCTGCGCACACTCACACGCATTTCAGCTTCATCTGCCGCGCGACCAGTGCAACGATGCGCTTTTGCGACAACCTCGCCCGCTGAGGCCCCCCTACAGAAACGCGCCGTCGTCGGCAGTTTTTTGTTCCGTCGACATGGTGATGGCAAGCCTAGAGTCGCTCTCTTCAAGAGAAGCGACAAGGTGAATACATACCAGTGAGCTTTCGCCGCCATGCTCTCCACATTTCGTTCATAAACAAGCTAACAACGCAAAAGGCACAAGTACGCGGCCATCTCTGGGGGGGTGGAGGCGGAAGACGAGTCAACGCTGAGTGCCGCGTTGCGGGAGCTGCATGAGGAGACGAAACTCACCAAGGATTCCCTGCACTACCTCTGTCACGGGAAGCCGTATTCCTTTATCGACAACAAATTCAACTATGAGTGGAGCGTGCATCCATTCGCCTTCCAATGGCCATCATCGAGCACGGAGCCTTTGACTCTGGGCTGGGAGCATGAGGGCCACGCATGGTTCGAGCCCTCGGAGGTGCCTGAATCCGAGGTGGCGGCCGGCGTCGTGGAGTCCCTGCGTCGCGTCTGGCCAGAGGGCGACCTGGGCAGGATCGAGGTGCTTGTCAGGTACTGTCTAGGAGAGGCAGTGGGGAAGCAGACGGGTGAGGACGCGCGACGCGATCCCCACGACGCTTTCACCGTCTTTCGCGAGACGGTCGGGGAGATTACAACCTCTGACTCGGCGCAGTGGCGGCGCTGTGTGCGACTGGCGGCATGGCATATTTGGAACCACGCGGACCGCAGCGTAAAGGCGCCACTGCTGACGAGACTGCTCCCAGGTCTGGAGCTGATCGAGACATTGCTGGAGCCGCAACGTGCGGAACTTGCGCCGCAGTTTGAGAAGCTGGCGGCCATGGCGCTGGAGAATGTGCAGCCGCAGAAGGAGATGGAGGGCCAGGGCGTGATGAGCGAGGAAGACATTCAGTACTTGACGCAGGAGGCGGATCGCTTCTTCTCAGGACTGTGGCCCACGCCTGAGTAGTGTGCACATTGTATGTATTACTATTAATGTCGATATCGGGCATTTATCATCATCGAGGGAAGTGCTGACCTCCGAAAGACCAGTCGTGCTCCATCCACGAAAGCACGTCGTCCTGCAAGGACACAACATCCCCTCCAGCCACGTGAGAAGGCATATCTGGCGTATCCCATGTCGTGTTCTGAATAAGGTGCTGCTCAAACGCCTGCTCAATCTCCATGGCTGTCTGCGTCCCTCTGCGCTTCGCCATGAGCATGTGCAGTTCTCTCAGCGCGTTGGCGCAGTTGAGACCGTACGTGTTGCCGGTCTGCGCCTCCCGATCAAAGAGCTCCACGGCAAAGTCCACCTCTCGCGCCGTGGTGAGATCGTCGTTCCCCAGCAAGCTCTGCAGCATGAAACACAGGGCTGCGCTGAACACACAGTGTAGACCGGCATGGAGGAGTCGTCGCGGTCGGTGCAGTGTTGCAATATGACGGGCTAGACGCATGTTGCGGAGGGCAGCGGCTATACAGGACTCCCACTGTGGTGCGTGCGAAGGACTCTGTGAACCATTGTTGGAGAGTGCGGATCGCACGGCCTTGAGGAGCGCTGGGCGGTGGATCATGATGATCAGGTCGTTGGCGTGCATGTGCAGCGCGCACGTGGCAGAGTCGTTGCTGACGCCTTCAGGGGTGAGTTGAAGGCTTGCAGGAATGTTTTGTTGCCATTGCTCAAGGAGAAATGTCGCCTTGTCCCGGATGGAAGCTGAGGTGTCTGCATTCTCGCGCGTGGCAGCAATGCGGTAGAGATTGCAGGTGATGTAGTCCGAAATACGCGCAAGCTTGACGTTTGCATGCAGGCCGGCTGACGGAGGCATGTTCCTACTTCATGTAAGCTTACGCGTGACATATCTTTGATGTAATGATGGTACTTACGGCGAGTCAACTGGCAGAGGCAGCATCAAGGCTTCGTCCTGGATGGCTGTGGGACGCCCCAGGAGACAGCTCACCCATGGATCCAGAACATACAATGTCCAGAATATCCGTTTCCCCCTCTCGTCGACGTTGCCTCTGTGAGCGCCGGCGCCAAACGCCACGCGAGAGGCGACGCCAATGTACACATATGCTGCTTCCACTCGATCCGACTCGAGCAAGTAGTAAGCCATCATGGTCAGAACGGACACCTCACCCATCGAGCAGCGAGTTACATCGAGAGGATTTCCCAGCAGTGTCGTTGCCCGCGCAAAGAAGGGCTCGCTCCTGTCATGCGAAAATCCAGATGCGGATGGCTTTGTCGAGGCAATTCGGCATGCCAGTGCTAGCCCCGTCTGGTAGAAGGATAGACGACGAGCGCTTCTCGTGTCCGCCTCCACGTTGCCGCTGGACGTGGGTATCGACGGCATGGAGGTGAGATTGCCAAACCAATACAGCCCCCCGCTGGGAGATGGCTGCTCATCTGTCCCGTCTTGCAAGAAAGAGCGTAAGACCGAAAGCATGATACGGGTCGTGTTGGGCGGCGGAAGCCACAAGGGATTGGCGTCGGGCGCCGGTAATGGACGCGAGTCAGCGGTCTGGCACTGTCCTATACTTGACGGTACGGTGCTGGCTTCTCCCAGGGGTAGTAGCCCTCTCAAGAAGGACTTGAGCTCCTCTGTGAAGGCTTTTTCGCCCGTCTCGCCATGGAAACGGGGCGTACCAACTCCGTCGTGCAGGAGGTGACCTTCAACCGGGAAGGGTGAAGCTGGCTCCTCTTCAGTCGTGCCGGTGATTTCAGTCTGCACGGGGCTAAGAGGCTGGTGACCGTACGCACCGGTCCGCGATGCAGGGGACGACCCCCTGGTCGTTGGTGTAAGTGAACCGGCACGAGAGCCGAGTAGTTCCTTACGCTTCTCAGCATCGGGAACGATGTCTTTGAATGCTTTTTCGTAAGCCTCCACGCGATGACGAAGATCTTCGAGCTCGGCCTTTGAGACGGATACTTTGGGCGAGATCACTGGATACACGCATTCACGGCATGCAGCTGCGCATTGCGTGCAGGGTTGATCACCCGAGCATTTTGTCCGGCGGAGGTTGCAGCTGTTGCATCTGTCTTGATGATCAGCCATGGTGAACAGCGATGAGTGAAAGAGCGGGCAGTCTGGTCTACACGTACGCTGTGGCGACACGCTTGCGGTGTTCGGGGGGAACCTTATGCCGTCTGGGGTTGACAGGCAGTCGTTGCGAGGACTTGTCCGCGTCCTTGTGGGAGGGCTGCATGGTGTCGTCTGCTGTTGCGTCATGTAGTAGATCGGCACTAGTGGTCAGATGTCCGGCGGCAGAATGTCTTGGTGCGAAGCGTGCAAGACCGAGATGGGCGCCCGAGTATCAACAAGTCAAGATACGACCAAATTGTTCATCGTGGCAGCCTTGTGGTTCCGCAGGGCCAGCCAGCTATGTATGTGCGATCTCATCCAAGGGCGCCCAGCCTTGCTGACGCTGAGCTCACAGCTCAGGCACCGGTTCTATTTCCCCAAGACTGGATCTGAATCCATCCTCGTCATGACCTGCATGGAGACCACGACGACTTCCGGCCGAAAGAGAGCCACGGACCCTGTCGACAAAGGGACCATTGTGGAAGCGTCGTTACCCCTGGACCGAGGGACAAGGGGCTCGGGTATTCAACGTTTTATGGGTCAAGCAATGAGGCTCCGGGCGGCTCAGTGGTGGACAGGCAGGTAGGCAATCGTGCTTTGTTTGTAAGCCTAATTCCTCCAAGCTATCTTGAGGCAAAGAAGAACGTGGGCCCCTGCTTGGCGATGATGAAGTCCTTGGTCTTGCCGCAGCGCCCACTCCCGGGTCGGACCCTTTGGGCTTAGCGGATGCTCCCAGGCGGCCCCCGCATGCCGCCAGCTGTCCTGCAAACTCCCACTGTCCACGTACGCGTCGTCGTGGCCTCGTCACGGACTTGCGTCTCTCTCATGCAGGTAGGTCTGCCCTACGGGTGCCTCATGTTTTTCCATCGTGGCTGGATCGAATTCATTGAGGTGCCTGGATGAAGCACCCGCCGCTCCTCGTCTCCTCGGAACGCGGTGCGCAGCCTCGTCAGCCCTAATTATGGGGAGCTGGTCTGCTGGAGATCCGCCTGCGCTCATCGTTAGGGAACATGTATTGAAAGTAAACATGTCCTTCACGCGACTCTCACCACCAGCGCGATCGTAACGACAGTTACACTTGGGCAGTATTTTCTAATTTCTGTGTTGACTAACTCCAGTCTGCAGCGGCACGGTTCCGACGCGATCATAGCGTTGAATATGTTTCAGACGCTATAGCCTCATTGCACACGAGTTTTAGTCTGACCAGGACCTTTTGAACCGCGACCTCGCACCATGTCTCCTCCACGTCGTCACAACATCCCGTCCCTTCCAATCATTGCTTGTGTGCAAAAATAGAATTGACAATCTCGGCCGAACGCGTCGCAAGGACTGACAATAAGGTATCCGACAGCTAAGGTAACGTTGTCAGCATTAGGTACGCGTGTCCCACGGGGTTGTCTATCACCCGGGTGAATCAAGGGCCAAGACTTACTCCATGCGTTCCTTCGCAACAGCCCTGCAACCAGACACCAGACCCTTCCGCGACTGTCCCAGGGATAAACTTGACCTGGTAGTCGCGGCCGACTGCGATTGTTCGCTCGCCGTGCTCTGTGTCCACGTTCCAGCCTGCGATGCCCTTGCGGTACTGGACATTGCTGGGCAGCGCCTTGGGCAGCAGATCCCAAGCGCCGCGCAGCATGTCGACGTGCGCGCCCCTCTGGTAGCCCGTCGCGGCGATCACGAGGTCCGCCTCGAAATGCTCCTCGACACCGACAAAGCCTTCCGGGGTGATGTCCTCGAGACTCTGAATATGCAGGTCGACCCGGCCATCCGCAAGAGGTTCCAGGCTGCGAATCTGCCGCCCACCCAAAATTCGGTGCGGCCAGACCTTGTCGTCGCGTCCTAGCTCACGACGCTGCTCATACTGGCGCTCGTATAGGTCCTCGATAAGCTCGAGGCGGACCACGCCATAATTGGTGCCGCGCGCTTCGGCCAACAGGTTGTTGCGGTGCTTGGCTGATCGAGGAAACATGTCTTCAATATACTCGGGGTTGAAGACGCAGTTGACGCTGTCGGTTAGCTGGATTTCTAGGGAGAAATGGGTGCCTCGATTGCTTACAATGGCGAGTCGTCACTCGGACGCAGAAACTCCTGCCTCATGAGCAGCCGCGTGTGCGAGTTGGGGAACTTGTTCTGCAGGTCCCTGAAGATCTCGGCCGCGCTTTGCCCGGCACCAACGACAGCCACGCGATACGGGGCGTTGGGGTTGCTGAGGACTTGGTTCACGACGTTGGCATACTGTGACGAGTGAATCACACGCGGGTGCTTCTGAGGAAAGCTCTTGGGCAGAGACGGCGCGCCGCCCGTCGCAAACACCACGTTCCTCCCGCGGAATGAGCTCACTTGGCCGGTCTCGACATTGCGAGACTGGACTGTGAAATTCTTGACGCTCTTGGCCCCCGAGTCTGGCGAGACGGAGATGACCTCATTGCTGTACCGCACCACGGGCTCAAAGAAGGAGGCAGCCCAGCGCATGTAGTCCTCGTACTCGGCACGCGCCGGTAGGAAGGTGCCCAGGTTTGTGAAATCGACCAGACGGCCTTGACGGTGGAGATAGTTCAGAAACGTGAATTCTGAACGGGGATCCCTCATGGTGGCGAGGTCCTTGACGAACGAGATCTGCATCTTGGCGCCAGGCAGGAGCATGCCCGTGTGCCACGCAAACGTAGGCTGCTTCTCTATGAAAAGAACACGAGGTGCGGTGCCATCTGGGCGAAGCTGCTTGCCCGCAGCAATAGAGTCGTGGAGAGCCACAGCAATGGCGAGGCTCGCAGGCCCAAACCCTACGCAGATGAGGTCGTGCTCGCTCTCAGGGTCGGCTGCGGTCAGATGTGGCGACCTCTCGCGGTACTGAGGCTTCCCGTCTGAACCGTGGCTCACGGGCGTTGAGAGACGAGTGCTTGAAGCTCCGCTGGCACCGTTGGCGTGGGCATCGTGGGCGGTGCTGTCGCCATTTGTGTATGAGCCACTCATGGCGCGGTAGTCCAGGCTATCGCTGTCAAAGGTGTCTTCAGCATGTGGTGACATTCTCGTTTGGGTAGCTTGTCCAAATCGCTGGATTGTAGTCCTCAAGACCGGATATATATACACAGGTTTGGTGCTTCAACGCGTGTAAATGATGGCGTCAATGACGGGTTGGCGGGGGTGTTATTCGTTGTGCGTGGGTGGTGCCAATTTTGACAGTCGGGACTAAGAGCCAAGAGTCTAAGACCCAGCGAGACGGTGCTAGCCTTGGGCCGATCAAGAGTCCGATTTGAGACTGATGCGTACGTGAAGAACTTAGCAGGTTTTGGAGCCGTGTGAGATTCCTGGGGATGGCGCTTCTCATATCCTTCAGAGACTGGACTGAGAAGTGTTGGACCCGTCGGCTCACAGGGGGTGAATTAGTGCAAGATTCCGTCATGTGCCGAAAGTACTTGTATAAACCTCTCCAGGCTTCCCGCTTCAGCAACTTGTACATGTAGCAGCGCCCCTTTGGTCCCTTCTGCCGCATGTCCCCTGGTCATGCAGACTCCAGTCTGGCCTGGTCCCTTGGCTTTGCGCCATTATGAGACTGGAGGCAATGCAAGGCGGTATACGTATACGCAGTAATTACAGCCCGTACGTAATGGGACTGTGGGAGGAAGTCCATGTCGGGCTGTTAGTGGATAGCCCCCTACTCAGTGTGCCGAAGGTAAACCCTAGCGCAGTTCCGCAAACGCCCGTCACTGGTCGCTTTGGTGTCTCGAGGTACCCGCCCCGGCAGTGGTGAGATTTGAGAACGAGGAATGAGGCAAATGGCGATCCCCACAGTCAACTCAGATGCCGCTCTGGTGGATAGTGGCCAGTCGGTAGTCGATCGCTTCTCGTGTGTTTCAACCGCAATCCTCAGGAATTTCCAACTGGTGAATCACCTTGCACATTAGGGACCCAAGAGACCTGGAATCAACAGGCTGCTGGCTTCGGCTCGTATTGCACCGTGCAGTAGCCAAGTCCTTGTGGCCATGTCGAGCCGAGCTGACTACTTAGAGTCCTGCAGATCACATGTCCACTTGCCGTGTGCACCCAAGTCTAATGTTGATCTGATAAGATGGTGTCAGGGATTGAAGAAAGACCCCACCGTAGGCCTGCTGTAGAGTGTAGACAAGCTTCGGCTGTTGCGCTGCCCCGATCTCGCAAATTCTCTACCAATCCAGGAAATTAGCGGAATGGGGATGCGCACGCTAAAGCACGTACTTTGAGACGTCAGTCCTAATTCGCCTCACCTCGCCATCGTAGGTACTCCAAAAGCCACCAGCATCATGTCAATGCGAAGCCGCCACCAACCAGCTGCCACCTGCGCCCTTTAGCAGCCGTTGCACAGCTGTACGCAGCTCAGGCCTTGACGCAGGAGGTACTGGCAAAGGGGTGCTGATCTGCCGGTCCAATGCAGGGTTTGACGATGTGGTTCGATGTTTGAGGGATTTTCCTGATTGATTAGATGATCTGATAAGATAAATTTTGCGCTGCAGTGGGGAACAGACAGGGGCCTTTGTCCGCTTCTCGTCTGACCCTCGTCTTCATTCGCTCCTGCCCACCTTCTGGCGTCGAGTCACTGCTCCTCGTGGAAATTGGAAAGTGCTCTGCCTAACTTGGCTCCTGCCGCCTTGTTTCGTCCCTCGGTCCCACTCCACGAGAAAAATTTGCATTCCGTATGACCCCGTCAAGCTCTGCTGGATCATGACTCCATCGTGTTCATGTCGCGAGAAACGGTGCCGCTCTGATCAAACGCCGATGCTCGGCATGTCAATACGGACCCTGAATCCATCACCAGTCCTAGTCCTACCGGTCCATGGACATCGCAGCTTCGCGGCGCTTGCGCGCGCATGGGAAAACAATGAAGCATGATGACGGAAATATCTCCCTATTGATCGAGCAGAAGCCACTCTAGGGCCCGGCACGAGAAGTATCCGTTGGCGGCCAATTTCTCACCCCCAGCCTGCAACGCCAACAGCGATCCCGTTGGGAGCATAGCGCGCATTCTTCCCCACAGATGATGGGCATCTCTTGCGCTGAGAGGGCGCTTCGCTCTCCACCAGAATAGCTTCCTGTCCACGCCGATGTACGCTGCATCGCTGCCCTGAACAGACGTAAACTACTTACCCGCTGTCTCCAGCCACGAGCTTAAAGCTACAGGTGTTGGGCCTCCGAGCTGCCTGTTGGGTCTTCAGTGTGGAGGACTGCCTGTTACTAGCTTCGATCCGGCACCCAGACCGACGTGGTAATGTATGCCCGCGCTTGGCGTATGCTCCGTCGACGCAGCGTATTTAATACAGAGTATTTTGTTGCTCCCCTCGCGATGCCACGAATGTCTGCTGTCTCACCGAAAGGACTGCCGGCCGGATTCGAACACTGACACCGACTCGGCTACCTAAGTACTTGGGCACATTACACCTCGACATTGAGTGGTGACGACATACATTGAAAACGCTCCATTTTCGATCGAGGCGGCTACATCCGCAGCCTCACGACTCGCGAGTCACCTTCTCAGGCATCACGCGCCCTCCACGGCACTTATTCAAAACGACCCGAACTCTAAGCAACTGACGCGCGCTACCCTGTGAAATCAAGGAGCAGACGAATGGACACAGGCGGTCACATTCTCACCAGCACCCTTGCCTGTCTTGCCGTTGGCCTCCGCTCCCGCGAATCCATAGCTGAGTAATTGCTGCACTCTGACAGGCTGGAGCTCTGTCCACAAGACCGATACCAGTGCCTCATACAGCCTGACTTGACAAAGAACCATCCACGTTTCTTGCAAAAGAATCATCGCTGCTATCATTGGCCGACCGCCTGCAGCTTGCGCCGCTTGACAGCCTTTTTTTTTTTGGCAAATTGTTGCTTTGGGTTGGCTGTTGCTGGCATTAGCTGCATGTTGCATCGCCTACTGTTCTGGGCTTGCTCACTGGCAATGGTCTACAAGTCATATTTGGCCTCCTTGTGTTGCATATCGGACGTGTCCGAGTGTCTTTTCTTATTTTCGAAAGCTTTCATTCTTACATGATGGACTCGTCAGCAAAGTTATCAATTATCAACCCTCAGCCGGCGAAGCTGCCTGGCCCAGCCCTTCTACATGAGCTTGTTGCCGGTACATCGAGCTCACCAGCTTTAGACCATCTCCAGGGGACATTTCGGACGTCCTTCACATACGACGAGCTACACGCTGTTTCAGATACCATCGCAGATAAACTATCCAGTGTTGTTCGGAATCGCGATGCTCCCTTCGTGGTCCCGATCCTGATGAGGCAGTCGCCTCTCTTGTACGCTAGTCTTCTGGGCATCCTCAAAGCCGGTGCAGCATTCTGTCCTTTGAACCTCGACGCGCCACCGGAGCGAGTATCCTTTATCATCCAGGATGTCTCCGCAGCAGTGGTTCTCGTGGAAGAAGATCTAGTGGCCAGGATGCCGGAAGGGGTAGAGGCAGATGTAATGACAATACAGTGGATGTCTGAAAAGCCTGCAACATCCAAGCACTCACCAAAAGTCTCCTCGACGGACCTCGCCTATGTCATGTATACTTCGGGATCTACAGGGACACCCAAAGGTGTTGGCTTATCGCACGGCGCCGCCACTCAAGCATTGCTTGCGCATGAACGACATATACCCCAATTTAGCCGATTTTTACAGTTTGCCGCCCCGACTTTCGATGTCTCGGTCTTTGAGATTTTCTTTCCTTTGGCTAGAGGACGCACTTTGGTCAGTGTGGAGCGTGGCCAGTTGCTCGATGACCTGGCAGCCGCCATACGAGAAACCAATGTTGATGCGTGCGAGCTTACACCAACTGTGGCAGGGAGCCTGTTACGGTCCCGAAATGCCGTGCCTGAACTCAAGCTTTTGCTGACCATTGGTGAGATGCTCACGGAGCCAGTCATCCATGAATTTGGAGGAGGCGAGGGGCGAGAGAGTATCCTTTGGGCAATGTATGGCCCGACAGAAGCCACCATTCATTGGTAAGTTTATAACAGCGGATGACAACTTCAGAGTCAGCTAACATGGCGCAGTACTCTTCAACCAGCGATGCAAGCCGTATCGAGTGTTCAAAATATTGGGTTTCCGCTCGACACCGTCTCTGCTTTTGTCATCCAACCAGCTAAATCCGACGAGGAAGCTTTGACGGTTCTGCCTTTGGGCGAGGTCGGAGAGTTGGCAGTAGGTGGCCACCAGCTGGCTGAAGGCTACCTGAATCGCCCAACACAAACGGCTGCCGCTTTCATCGAGACTCCTTACGGTCGCCTCTACAGAACCGGGGACAAAGCAAGAGTCTTGTCGAATGGCACTCTCGAGTGTCTGGGCCGGTTATCTGAAGGGCAAGTCAAGCTTCGCGGTCAGAGACTGGAGATCAACGAGGTACAGCAAGCCATTTTACGTGTGAAATCGTGTCATGGTGCTGTCGTCGCCGTTCACGAGTCCACATTGGTCGCATTTTGCGCCACGGACCCGGGTGTACTGGAAGACGTCATCCGGGACGAGTGCAAAAAGTGGTTGCCTCAGTTCATGATCCCAAGCGTCCTCATGCTGAGTGACTCTTTCCCCAAACTCCCAAGTGGAAAGGTGGACAAGAGAAAGCTGCTTGCTGATTACGCTACAAATCTATCAGCGAACACAAACTCTGGGGAAGAGCATGGCATCCCGGGGTCGTTTATGAGTGCCTTTATGGATATCTTGGGCCCGCATGTTGAAGCACACACAATACTTCCAGCAGCAGGTCTGGATTCACTTTCTGCTATTCGCATAGCGTCTTCCCTGGGAGCTGTCGGGTATCCAACGTCAGCGGCCTCCCTTATTAAATGCAAGAGTGTTGCAGATGCTTGGCATCTGGTACGGACGGCGGAAGGGGAGACAGAGGCCGTCCCAGCCAGTTCTCAGAGGAGCTTGCTCCATCGCTTGGAAGATGTACTGGCACAAAATCCTGATACTCATGTCGCCAAATTTGCGGTATCAGATATCCTCCCCTGCTCAGCTTTGCAAACGGCCATGCTAGCCGAGACAGTCGGACAGCCTGACCTGTACTGGAACGAACTCGAGCTCGATGTGGCCGACAGTGCCAACCGAGTGGCAGCGGCTTTCACGACGATAATAGAACAAACAGCCATACTTCGAGGAATCTTCGTCTTCCTGGATGGCACCTTTGTCTGCCTGGTGAAGCAAGATGTTGATGAAGAGCAGATCAAGATCGTTGACGGTCAGTCACACTTCTCACGTGAGCAGACAATCGACTCTCCAACCTTTCAGGTTCAACTCTATGACAACAATCATGGCGGGACGAGAGTATGGATTCTTGCCCATCATGCCATCTATGACGGCTGGTCCATGGATATCATACTCGCCGACGTCAACCGACTCCTCAGCGGACAATCTATACCGAAGCGAACCCCTTTCGCTGAAGTTGTCGCCATGCAGCGATGGCTAGCGTCTTCGCCCGCAGCTGACCGATCAGGCGCATACTGGGCCGCACATTTACAAGGATGGACCAAGGATCCTTTTCCAACGCTCGTCGATCGCTTAGGAGGCCAGCAAGATCCGCTTGTTATTGCAGATCAAGTGGAGATTCCATACCCCAAAGTTGACGCAGCCTCGAAAGATCTGGGCTGCAGCGTGCAGGCCTTATTTCAAGCAGCGCTATACGTTGTGTGGGCCGGTATACTTGGCAGCACAGATGTTGTACTTGGTGTGGTGTCCTCAGGCCGGTCCTTGCCAATGGGCGGTATCGAAGAAATCATCGGCCCTTGTATCGCTGCGTTGCCTCTGCGCGTCGACTTTGAGAAGTTGTCCGACGCCGAGCAATTGCTACGCCACATTCATTCATGCAATCGAGCCATGCTTGAAAATTCGATCATCCCACTGGGCGACATCAGGAAGATGATGGGGTTGCGCGCCAGTCAAACCGTCTACGATCTCCTATTCGTATATCAACAGTCTTCGAAATCTGAGAGCAAGAGGCGCGGCCTGCTAAAGGAAATCCGGCGCTTGGATAGACTGGAAACCAAAGTCCTGTTTGAGGCTGAGCCGAACGACACATCCTTCTCGATTCAGATCACATACCACTCAGACAGCGCTCGAGGTGATATGATGAGAATGCTCTTACAACAATTCAAGCTGGCCTTTGGACAACTTATTGAGCAATCACACAGCGCACTGGCTGATACACGTCGGGCACTGATCCCAGTACCGGCCACATATAATACTTCGCCAGTCCCGCTTGAAGGCACGCCAGACTTGGCTGCCATGTTTGAACAAGTCGTCGAAGAAAACTCCGACAAGGATGCCCTTTCGTTCATCGAGCCCGGTCACGAGTCTCCATTCGCCAAGACGACAGTGACTTATCAAGAATTGAACGTTCTGGGCAACAGGATTGCGCATTTTCTGCTCAGTCAAGGCGTTGGCGCTAATCAAATTGTTGGTGTCTTTATGGAAAAGTCCATATTCCTCTACGCAACTATATTGGCCGTCCTCAAAACTGGCTGTGCATACCTGCCTTTGCCACCATCGACCCCAGCTGATCGGGTGGAAGACATCCTGCGCCTGGCCAAAGTGCGGCACTGCGCGGTGGACACGGCCGCTGTCCGACTGTTTGGACATCTGCGAGAAGCCCGACTCGTTGACGTGGAGCGCACGCCTCTGGATGACTTTCGATCCCGTAATCTGTGTATTCCGCCTGACCGCGACCGCTTGGCGTATGTCATCTTTACTTCAGGTACTACCGGAACACCCAAGGGAGTGGCAGTAACCCACGGCAACATCGTGAGCAACATCGACTATCTTTCTGGGGTATACCCAGTCAAACGAGGAGCGCAATCAAACTTTCTCCAGGCGTGTTCTCAGGCTTTCGATGTCTCGGTGTTTGAGATTTTCTTTGCTTGGAAAACCGGCATGTGCCTTTGCACCGGCGTCAACGACACCCTGTTTGCCGACCTCGCGCTTACGGTCAATGGTCTTTCCATTACGCATCTTAGCTTGACACCGACTGTAGCTTCACTCATCAGTCGTGAGACATGTCCAGGTGTGGAGTTCCTGGTCACCGCGGGAGAGCCCTTGACACGCAGTGTCTTGGACCAATGGGGTGATATACTTTGGCAGGGATATGGTCCGTCAGAGACGACCAACATCTGCAGCGTCAAACAGATGCAAACCGATATGGTGGTAGAGCATCTCGGGTGGGTATTCCCGAACACTTCAGTCATGGTGATGGCCATAGGGAGCCTCGATCCCGTGCCAGTGGGCTGGGTTGGTGAATTCTGCTATGGCGGTGACCAAGTTGCACAAGGCTACCTCAACATGCCAGAACTGACGGCAGAGAAATTCATCCAACATCCTCGCTTCGGAAGGATATATCACTCGGGAGACATAGGTCGTATGCTCCCTGACGGCTCCCTGGTGATACTAGGCCGTATTGACGATCAGCTCAAGTTGCGTGGGCAGCGCATCGAAGCGGCAGAGATCAGCAACATCATCGCGTCCACGCCCTGGGCGTCGTCTGCGATTGTCATGATTGGGAGAAGAGCTCCGAATATGCCGGAACAACTGGTCGCTTTCTACGTGCCAGCTGAGCATGTCGGCGGCGATGGACTGTTGGACATCGACCACGAGGCCTGTGCGGGTCTGTACAGTCTCATGCAGTCCAAGCTGCCTTCCTACATGGTCCCTTCTTACCTGATTCCTCTGGCCCGCATTCCCATGACGAAGAGTGGCAAGATCAACAAGAAGCAACTTCAGGATTGGTTCCAAGATTTGCCATCAAGGTATCTGGAGGCTGCCGTGCCCCAAGCAACCTTGAATGAGGACGGAAGCGAGTGGTCCACGATGGAATCGGACATTCATGCAGCCCTCATACAGTCATTGAAGATATCTGCGACCGAAGCCAACCGATGGACACCTTTCGCCAACCTAGGCATTGATTCCGTATCTGCCATTCGTCTCGCACGCGACTTGAGCTCTTCTCTGAATCGCAGAGTGGCAGTTTCGTCCATCATCCGAAATTCAAGCATTGCGCAGTTTGCGCGTCATCTCGGCCAACATGATGTTGAGGAGAGGGCCGTGATAGCTGAGAAACCTTTACTGCCTCAAAGTTGCATAGAGCAACTGCGACATTCATTCATCTCTCAAGACAAGGCAGTAGCTTCCATTCTGCCATGCACGCCTCTGCAAGCGGCCATGCTATCTCGGGGTGGTCGCAACTACTATAATAGAGTCCTCTTGCGCCTCAAGGTTGAGGCCTCGAAAATGCAGGCATTCTGGAATTGCATGACTGAAAGGCATGAGATCCTCAGAACTTGCTTCGCCACGACAGAGGACGCGGAGCATTCCATTGCTCAAGTGGTTCTTCGAGAATGGAGCATCCCCTGGCATCAGTTCGATGCAAAGACTCCTTCATTTGAGGAAATCATTCATTCACATTTGGAGCAATTGCCGGATCCGGTCGATGCCATGACGCCTCCTGTTTCCCTAGCTTTGATTCGGCGCGGCACATCGTCGTTTCTATCGTTCATCTGCCACCACTCTTTGTATGATGGTGTAGCTATCAATATTCTGTGGCGCGAAGTCGAGGCACTCGCTGCAGGCGAACAACTGCCACCAGCAATACGCTACGAGCCTCTTCTACAAGAGATGGCCAACCTGCCTGGCAATACTGAAGCATTCTGGAAGAAACACTTCCACGACTTTGTTCCCTCATACGCCTTCCCCTCAAATGCGGGCGGGAGCACAGACCAGGCATTGATTACCAAATCTGTACGCACGTCGCTGGAAACACTCAACCATCGCTTGAAAGGTCTTGGAGTGTCTATGCTTGCGGCTTGTCAGGCGGCATGGGCTGTAACCCTGTCTATCTCATACAAATCAACGGACATCTGCTTCGGTAACGTCAATAGCGGACGGACTGCCGATGTTGACAGCATTGAAAGACTTGTTGCGCCCACCTTCAACACCATTCCGCTGCGAGTGGACCTATCAACGGCCTCACACGGCCATTCGCTCCTTGAATATTTCCACCGTCTCAGCTTGAATGTGTTTCCTTACCAATTCACTCCACTTCGTCTTGTTCAGAAGATCAGTGGATGCCAGGGCGTCGGTCTGTTCGAAACCCTGCTTCTCCTTCAGCAGCCCCTTCACCCTATGGACGATCGCGTCTGGATCCTCGAGGAAGACAAGGGCACTATGGACTTGCCAGTGGTCTGCGAAATAGTGCCTTGCCCGTCATTAGATTCACTGGTCATCGATCTACACTACGACATGAACTTCATGGATCCTAGTGTTGCATCAGCTCTGGCTGGGACCTTCGTTTTTGCGCTCGAGTCACTGCTGGAGTCTCCGTACGCTATATTGTCAGATAGAGGGGACATACCCAGCCATTTTCGGGCTGAGCTCGAGAAACTGAGGCCCAGGCGCGGCAAAGGACCCGTCATCCGGGCTGATGTTGGGTCAGGAGAATGGTCAGCGGACGAAACGACGATTCGCAAAGTTGTGGCGGAGCTGTCCAAACAGTCTTTCGAAAAGGTCGCACGCAATACGACAATCTTTCAGCTAGGACTCGACAGTATCAACGCTGTGCAAATTGCGTCCAAGTTAAGACAGGAAGGCCTCGATGTGTCGTCCGCTCATGTCCTCGAGTACCCTACTTGCGCAGCACTGGCCGAACACCTCAAGAACAGTCGTCAAAAGAAGGAGCCCTCGTTTGCCTACGATCTACGTGTCTTTTACCAGGACGTGGCTGACGAGGTTAGTCCGATAATCGCCACTTCAGAGATTGAAGCTATTCTTCCGTGCTCTCCGATGCAGTGTGCCTTGCATACAGCTTTTCTCCAGACGCGAGGTCACCATTACTTTAACAGCGTGACATACAAGGTCAACAGCTCCATTGGAATCATCAGCTTTACAGAGGCTTGGAAACTAATGTGTCGTCAACATCCGATGCTGCGCACGGCTCTCGTCCCGGTCTCTCACCCCGACACCGCATATGCCATGGTGAGACATACTCCAATGTATGACCTGCCAATGACAATACTTAACCACGGCGAGCGAGTATCAGAGCTAGTGGAGGATCTCAGAGCTAGCTTACTTGCGCATCCTCAACTGCCCCCTTGGCACGTCTTTGCACACGATGGTGAGGACGGTATCACAATGACGCTTGTCATCCACCATGCGCTGTACGATGCCCAGTCTCTGGATGAGCTTTTGGTTGGTCTGGGCAAGACTTTGCAGGGGGAGGCTGACGAACTCAACATCACACCGGTCGAGCCGGGACTGCAGGTGATCATGTCACGACACATGGCGGACCAAACTGAAACACGTCTCTTCTGGGAGTCAAAAGCCACAGATGTAGTGATCAATACCTTTCCGACAATGACGCCTCTTCGGGAGCCTGCAACGTCTCTTCGCTCGGAAACCTCAACCTTGTCGCTCTCGTTCTCGCATCTGCAAGATGCAGCAAAGGACGCAGGTGTCACCGTGCATGCAGCCATTCATGCGGCTTGGGCAAGAGTTCTCTCTTCGTATCTCGGGGAAGAAGCCGTTGTATTTGGGTCGACCATCTCAGAGAGGACGTCTGAAGCTACCAAGTCCACGCCGATCCCCTGCATTACAACTCTTCCTGTCCTCGCAAGAGCTACGCCTTCAAACCTGGGTCTCCTCGAGAGTATCATGGATTTCACTACCAAAGTGCGCAAGCACCAGTCGGCATCTTTGAGCTCTGTCCAAAAGTGGTTGGGTCATCCTGCCACTCCCATCTTCGACACTCTTGTGTCTTATCGGAAGAGGGATGAACATGAGCCCTCACGACCTTTTGAACTCCTCTCTGACAACGCCACACTCGACTACAAAGTCTCGATGGAAATAGAGGCAGGCCCCGATGACTGTGTGAGGCTCACGACCACGTTCATGCCGCACGTTCTCCCTGCTGAGCAAGGCCGCATCCTCTTGGATCAATTTGATGCAGTCTTGTCTCATCTTGTACTTCACCCTGGGGAGACGGAAGATGACCTGCATCGTCTCACCCCCAAGCTGTTTTCCCAGCTTCCTCCAGAAGTCCCCGTTATGCCCACGACGGTTCAGTACCTGCACCAGCTCGTTGAAGAAAAGGCACGAACCAATCCCGAGACCATTGCCCTAGAATTCATTGACTCGTTGCACCAAGGGACCATAGAGAAACGCATCTGGAATTATCGACAGCTGGATGAGCGTGGCAACCAGGTTGCGAACATGCTGCGTACCAAAGCAGCCGTGGGGAGCATTGTGGCAGTTCACTTTGACAAGTGCCCCGAGGCATACTTCAGCATCCTTGGTATTCTGAAGGCGGGCTGTTCTTTTGTGGCGTTGGATCCCACAGCACCCGCAAGCCGAAAGTCTTTCATCTTAGAAGACTCAAAGGCCCCTTGCGTTTTGACAACAGCTGAAAGCACATTCAGCAGCACCACAACAGAAGTCGTGCGTATCGACATGTCTGTCTTGGATGAATTCTCTATAGAATCTGCTGTGATTGATATTACATCTCCCGAAGCCACTTGCTACTGCCTATACACTTCTGGGACTACGGGAACCCCCAAGGGCTGTGAGATCACGCACGAGAACGCCGTACAGGCAATGATGGCTTTCCAAGATCTGTTCAGTGGGCACTGGCAAGCTGACTCACGCTGGCTACAGTTCGCGTCTTTGCACTTTGACGTCTCAGTACTTGAGCAGTACTGGACTTGGTCAGTTGGGATTACTCTTGTTGCTGCCCCCAAAGACATGATCCTAGACGACTTGACGGGTTCGATCAACAAGCTCGGCATCACCCACATTGATCTCACTCCAAGTCTGGCCAGGCTTACGCATCCCTCCGAAGTACCCTCTCTGTGTAAAGGCGTGTTCATCACCGGTGGCGAGTCCTTGAAACAGGAGATCTTGGACGTTTGGGGGCCAAAAGCTGTGATACACAACGCGTACGGTCCAACGGAAGCAACAATTGGTGTTACCATGTACCAGAGAGTGCCCGCCAACGGTCGCCCAAGCAACATAGGCAAGCAATTCCCCAATGTTGGATCCTACGTGTTCAAGCTAGGCACCGAGGTTCCGGTGTTGCGCGGTGGAGTTGGTGAGCTTTGCGTGTCAGGCAAGCTTGTTGGCAAGGGCTATCTCAACAGACCGGACTTGACTGCGGAACGCTTCCCCACGCTGCAACACTTTGCCGAGAAGATTTATCGCACAGGTGATCTCGTGCGGGTGTTACATGATGGCTGTTTCGAGTTCCTTGGAAGAGCAGACGACCAAGTCAAGCTACGAGGACAACGACTTGAAATTGGCGAGATCAACCACGCCATCAGGGGTGTTCCTGAGATTCAGGATGCTGCAACTGTCGTTGCCACACAGGGATCGTCAGAGAAAAGCGTTCTGGTTGCCTTCATTGTCTCTGCCACAACCAACAACAAAGGCAATCTTGAAGTCATGCCGGACACCGAAAGTCTTGGCCTCAAAGCCAAGGAGGCTTGCCGTACCAAGCTGCCTGGGTACATGGTGCCAACATACTTTCTGCAGCTGCCCTTCATTCCATTGTCCGTCAACAATAAGGCCGAAGCCAAGGAATTGAGGAGGTTGTTTGCCAATCTGTCGCACGCGCAGCTTTCCGCGTTGACGGCGACACCGCGTTCCAGCAGAAGCACAGTAAGCGTATCATCTCTGACGAAGCTCACCAAGGCATTGTCCACGTACAGTGGCCTCAAGCAGAATGATGTGACCGAGGACACGAGCATGTTCGATCTTGGGGTGGACTCGATCACTGTGCTACGACTTGCGTCGCACCTCAAAGAACAAGGGTTCGATGCAGCAACGCCAACGGCATTGTTGAGAAACCCCGTGATCAACGACCTCGCCTTCGTCCTTTGCCAGAAGACATCACATTCGGTTGAAGCGGGAATCAAGGAGGCCAAACAGCTCATGGCCGCGTGCAAGCATCGCTATTTGTCGTCCGCCTGCCGTGCTTTCCATGTTCAGCCGGAGAACATCGAGTACATTGCACCCTGTTCACCGCTCCAGGGCGGCATCGTATCGAGATCCCTTGCCTCTGCAGAAGGGCATGCTTACTTCAACACATTCGAGCTAAAGCTATCGCCCCATCTCAGCGAAGACGAGCTCCGCCATGCTTGGGATAGTCTAGTGTCAGAGCTGGCTATCCTTCGGACTCGCTTTCTAGCGACGCCTTCCGGTCCCATCCAAGTCGCGCTTAAAGCGGTGCAGTTACCCTGGGAGCATGTCGAGCTACCTACTGAAGAAGAGACTCAGCATGCTCTAACGCAGATGCGCAAGGCCTGGTTGAGCACCAATGGCCACAACGTTTCTGAGCCTTTACAAATCTACTATGTCGTGCGTGGAGGGGAATCCAGACTATTTATCAACATTTTCCACGGTATCTACGATGGCATGAGCTTTGATTTCATGCTTTCACGTCTCGCTGCCGAGGTCGACGGTAGGGATCTTCCCGATGGGCCCTTGTTCGTTGAAGCACTCACGCATGGGCCACTTCAGGACTTTAGCTCTAGTGAAAGCTTCTGGAAGCAGCACTTGAGAGATTGGATGCCGCCTGTCATGGCCGGCTTGGGAGGTGTCGACAGTTCCCGTCCAGTGGCTAGTAGCAGGATCATACCTCAAGGTCCAATCGATCTGTTCCGTCGTTCGGAAAACACCACCTTGCAGGCTGTACTGTTAGGTGTGTGGTCTTCTGTGCTACAGAAGTATCACTCGGGTGTGGCCACTGTTGGTGTGATCGCAGCGGGTAGATCAATCGACCTTCCGGGAATCGAGAACACAATCGGCCCCCTATTTAACACGTTGCCCTTCTTCCACAAGTTTCAGGGGCAGGATACATGGGCCTCGCTCATCCATTCCGCACATGACTTTGGACTGTCAACCCTAGACTGTCAGCATGTGTCGCTTCAACACATTCAGAAGTGGTGCTCGGGAGGACGGCCGCTGTTCAACACGCTTTTTGCACTTCAAATAGAGCAGCCGGAAGATCATGGCTTATGGCAGCTCGTCGACGGCGAGTTGAATCCTGACTACCCCCTTGCCTTCGAGGCAACAATGATGAAGGGCGGCAATTTGAGGGTGCAGCTGGTGGCCCAAGGGCACGTGGCAACTGTCGCCGTGCTGGATGAGATGCTGGGTGCTTTCAGCGATTCTTTGCGACAGGCTATGAAGGACAGCTCCCAATCTGTGCCATTTGAACCAAGCAACAATGACCCAGCATCTTCCGGCAGGACAGAACCCTCGATCGTCGGCGAAGAGCCGCCAACAGGGTTCACATGGACAGAAATAGCGGAAACGATAAGAAGAGAAATATGTGCTCTCTCTGGGGCTTCCGAAGGGGACATCCGCGGGACCACGACCATGCTTGAGCTAGGCTTGGACAGTATTGATGTCATGAAGCTATCCGCAGCACTGCGTCGATGTGGCGTTGAACTCGCCGCATCTCAGATCATGCGGCTTCAATCAGTTTCCAACATTGTCTCTTCAGCTGAAGAGACTACCACGTCTCACACTCAGATCGACAACAACACCGACTTGGACGCTACCCGCCAGAGGTTGCGCGACAGTCTGGCACGCAGTGCTGTCGTTGACATGGCTGACGTGGAGGATATCGTGCCCGCGACGCCACTACAAGAGTCCATGGTAACGGCCATGGTGGAATCCGACTTCCAGTGGTACTTCAATCATGATCTGCTTCAACTCAGCGAGGATGCCGATGTGGAGAGGCTCAAGAAGGCATGGACGCAAGTAGTCGAGGCTCATCCGATCTTGCGCACAGGATTCTACCCTGTCGAGGATGATTCGCTGGAGAACGCATTCTACCAGGTCATCTACACAAAGAATGATCCCTGGGTCGAATGTCTTGTTACAGAGAGCCTCGATGAAGCTGACAGAGTCATGGAGCGTTGCCGGCTGAGAGCAAAGGATGGCAAGGGCCAGACAGCGTTGCTGCAGTTGTCACTTATGTCGGTTGGCTCGCAAAGATTTGTTGTGCTTTCTATGGCGCACGCTCTCTACGACGGGTGGTCACTGAGCTTGCTCTACCGGGAGCTTCAGAATGCCTATCATGGTCAGCTACTTGAAGCAAGGTCGCCCGATATCTTCTTGTGTCGGCTACTCGAGGCACCGAGCGCACAATCACAGGAGTTCTGGTCCGATTACCTCCAGGGAGCAAGACCGACTCATCTTGGTGTCTCACTACAAACAGAGCCATCAACCACGCCGGGCTTTTCAGAAGCCACTTCGGACATGAGATTGGATACAATTAAGGCATTCTGCAAAGATCTAGGTATCACCATGCAGACATTGTGCCAGGCCAGCTGGGCGCTCGTCCTTGCATACTATACGAAACAGCTGGACATCATCTTTGGCGTCATCATGTCAGGACGTGACTTTGGGGGCGCCGAAGAGCTCATGTTCCCGACCATGAACACTGTAGCGATGCGGTATATCCTACACGGGACGGCCAGAAGCTTCCTGCAGTATGTCGAAGAGAGTATGAGCGATGTTCGTCAGTATCAGAGTTATCCGTTGCGCAAAGCTCTCACGGCCGCCCGAGCACCGATGGGAGGGCTTTTCAATACCTTGTTTATGTTACAAAAGAGTGCAGAGACCGGGTCCAGCACACTCGTCCACTCTGTTCGGGGCGTTTCCGCGGTCGATTACCCGGTCTGCGTGGAGGCTGAAGTCGAGCAAGGACAACTATCCTGGCGCATCGCCGTTCAGCCTGGTTTCGTCCCTCTGGAGTCACCCTCGAATCTACTCAAACAACTGGACGGAGTTCTGAGTTTCCTGATTAAGTCTCCGGATTCAGATCTGCTCTCCTTCACAGCGGCAGGGATCTCCTTGGGTGGTCTGCCTAGTTTTACAATCAAGGAAGACGCGGAGAGCGAGGATGAGTCAAGGCTTACCACGCCACTGACAGATGACGAGGACTGGAGCGGCATCGCCAGCACGATCCGTAGCGTTCTCAGTCAAGCCTCTGGCGTAGATGAGACGAGCATCCGGATGACGGACACGCTCTACCACCTAGGCCTGGACTCCATCAGCTCTCTCAAGGTTTCGAGACTCCTGAAGCAGCAGGATCTTGACTTGCGCCCTCGCGACCTGATACGGGCCGAGAGCATCGCCCATCTGGTGGAGATGGCAACCGCAAACCAGTCCGACGGCGAAGGGTCACAAGACCAAGAAGCAGCTGTGGCATGGCAGCTGCCACCATCACTGGATGTCGATGGCCTGCTCCTCCACCACAATCTGCAGCACAGTGACGTGGAGGCCATCCTGCCAGCATTGCCGATGCAGGTCTTTGTCCTGGGAACATGGCAGAACACCAATGGCGCCGTCTTCAACCCGATGTTTACGTACGAGCTCGACAGCGCGTGCAGCAAAGAGGAGATCATGGCCGCGTGGGGGCTCGTCACAGCATCAACGCCTATCCTACGCACCCGCTTCATGGCAACGGGGGACAAACAATTGCCGCTGTTGCAGGTCGTCCTCAAGTCGGCGGCGTCAGACTTGGTCCACTTGCAGCCAGGCGAGAGAACCGAGGCTGGCACATGGCATCTCCGTCTCCACGTGCACCATGCTCTCTACGACGGTGTCAGTCTTCCGCTGCTGATGCAACACCTCCTCCACGCGCTCGTATCACGATCACTCCCCAACAGCAGCCTCGACCTATGGAACAGATATGCCACCAATCCCTATCTCCCGTCGTCCGTCAGTGCCAGAAAGGCGTTTTGGACGTCGTACCTCTCTGGCGTGGAGCCAGACTCGGAGGCACGGACGGGTTACCCCATTCGTCCTCGCGTGTCGTATATAGCACGATCGGCAGTCCGTGACACCTCTCTGCTCCAACAGCATGCCGCCGCCAAGGGCGTCGGTGTGCAGTCCCTCTTCCTGGCCGCCTATGCCAAGGTGCTCCTCGCCCGAGGTCATGAGGGCGGCGGCGAGGAGGTGGTGTTTGGCGTGTATCTGGCCAACCGCCAAGAGGATACATCCCTGGACGCAAGCTTCCCGCGGCTGAATCTCGTGCCGCTGCGTGTCAAGGCCACCGGGCCACTGGAGAGCGTCGCGCGCCGTGTACAGAGGGATCTCAGCCTGATCATGAGCCAAGGGCGTGCAGCGGTCGGTCTGTGGGAGGTGGAGGTCTGGACGGGCGTTCGGGTCACGTCGTTTGTGAACTTTCTGTCTTTACCCGATCGTGATGAGGAGTATGGTTCTTCCCCAGAAGCCGTGCGCTTACGGGTTGTCGAAGGTGGTGCTGGTGACGAGGAGCCCACCGCCTACGACGCATCGGCTGTTGGTGATGTCGTGGTAAGGCATGTTTTCCCGGTACGTATTTGCGGTCCCATTAACTTTGTTTCTTCTATGAGAACTAACGCATGCAGCCTGCTATGGATATCGAAGCATCACTCCGGAACAGAAGTCTTGACATTGGTATCTTTGGCCCTGAAGGGGAGGCTGGTGATGCCCAGAGCTGGGTATCTGAGCTTGTCCACGCATTGGACGTCTAGGCGTATTTATTCGGATGCTTTTTTCATTGTATATGTACAGACATTTCCTGTCGACGTACAACTACCGTCGATTCATGTCCATACTTCAAAGCATCGTGTGCTATCCAGGAACGCCAACCGTGCCGTCTATAGAATCACCTAACGTGCGAATGTGCACATGTGTATGTGTGGGTGCATGCAAACCCTCCCCATGGTGTCCTCATGGTCCCTCCCCCATGGGATATTCATGCTTCCCCCGAAATGCGCCCCATGCCGTCTTTTCCCAACTCAGACCGAGTACCCCATCATGGATCGATCTGGGAAGAGAATAATGTTTGATAACCGTACCACCTCGGCTTCCGCTGTTGAACTGGAATTTGAGCTCGAGACGGCGCTCTTCCCCTCCTCCTCGCTCTTTTTCCCGTTTCCATTGACCTTGGTCCCCTCGCTATCCTCCGCCTTTCCATTCGTCTTCGGCGGCGGTGTCGTCGAGCGTGTGGCGGCCGCCTCCCATGGCGCCAGACCCATGGCTTGCAGACCAGCCGGTCCACCGACTTCGGCAATGACCTCGGCCCCAGGCCGCGTCTTTGCGTCCTCCGCGATACTCCCCCGCCCGGAGGAGTCAAAGTCAGGTCCTGGGTGACCCCTCTGGAAAGCCTTGCGCTGCCGCGCCAGGTACAGCGCGTTGGTCTGTGTCAGGGGCGCCGCAGCAATGTAGAGCATCATACTCACGCTCTCCGGGTGCGGTGTCTGCAGACCCGGGTTGTTGGAGGAGATGTGGTAGGGCAGGTCCGGGTGCCAGAAGATGTAGTCGCCCGGCTGGAGGGTCGGCAGGGTGATCATGCTACTACGCAGGTGCAGGTGCGGATGCCACTTCTCGGTGATGCGCTGGGCGTGGCCCGGCACGGCGCCGTGGATGATGGTGTCCGGGTCGCGCTCGAGCTTCCAGTTCTCGGGGGCGAGGTAGGCGTCCCACTCGGGACCGCTCCGTGCGGCGGGCGCGGGTTTCTGGGGCGAGAAGAAGGGGCGGAGCAGGTAGTAGGCGGTGGCGAGCTGGGGACTGGGCATGAGGCGGACCATGCCGGGCTCAATGGTGCTGAGGGCGAGGACGCCCTGGAACATGCGGAAGATGGTGCAGGCGCCGTAGCCGTTGTAGAGGTCCATTGTCGAGGAGACGCGCGAGGCGCACTCCCAGGGGTCGTAGGACTCCCAGCTGCCCTGGAAGACGGAGCGGTAGGTGCCGGCGTGGCCGTAGCCGTCGGGCTCCCAGCGCTCGAGCGAGCCGTTGTCGACCTGGGCGATGATGCCGGCGGAGGACTGGAGGGCGTTGATCCAGTCGTCGGCGCTCTGGGGCTCGTCGGCGACGGGGAGGCTGTCGACCTTGTTGCCCTGGTCGGTGCGCGGCTCGGCGCCGTGGACGCGGATGCGGTCGACGTAGGTGATGGGCAGGCGGGTGGCGAGGCGGTCGTCCGGGGTCGTCTCCCAGAGGCCCATCATGAAGCGCTGGGTGCGGAGGACGTGCGGGTGGGCGCGGGCGCGGACCTGGGCGGGCGTCCAGAAGTAGTCGTAGCAGGTGGGATCCTGCTTTTGTGCCTTGAGGTTGGAGCTGCGCTTGGTGTCGAGGTAGTCCATGGTCTCGGCGACCATGGACTCGGCGTCGCGGCCGGGCAGCGCCTTGCGGACGACGCCGACGCCGTATCGCCTGAGGTCGCGTCCGAAGCGCGCCGTCTGCGTGGGATCCTCCATGTCGGCATACTCGATGCTGGGTATGAGGTGGGCGCCGAGGTCCTCAATGTGGTCAATCTCGGCCTGGAGGGCGCGGATGAGGCGGTGGAAAGAGGCCTCGATGGCCTCCTCGTGGCCTGCTATTAGGGCCCTCTTGATCTTGGCGAAGCGCGAGGGCAGGGGGACGGGATCGGGGCCCCAGAAGGTGAGGAGGGGGCTCTCGTCAATGGCCATGTCGCTCGCGCCGCGGACGTGGCCTGGCTTGGGCGGCGCTCTGGAGCCGGTGGGAAGGCCAGCGTCGAGGGACGAGAGCGTGGTGGCCGAGCTGGCGCTGGTGGAGCGGGAGAAGTAGCCCTTTGCGTCGAGGGCGTCGTCGCGGGTCGTCGAGGCGGAGGAGGCGGTCGTGGGCGGCGTCAGGCTTGCCGATGAGGGCGTCGCGAGGTCGTCCTTTGTCGTGTTTGTGGGGGGAGCAGCAGGAGCGTGAGGAGGACATGAACATGGAGGTGCGGATGTGGTGAGAGGAGGGGACGTGGACGTGGGCGTGGCGTGGGAGAGCGCGGGGCAAGGGACCCCGGATTTGCTCTTGGTGGTGGTGGTGGTCCTGCTGCTGCTGCTGTTGGTGCTGTTGGTGGTGAGGGGAGCCCCCGTAGTGGTCGCCCTGCCCGTCGTGGTGGTGGTGGTGGTGGTTGTCCCCTCACCAGCGCCTGCACAGGCACCAGAGCCGCTGTAGGTGTCCGTAGTTCCAGCGGTCCCAGCGGTCCCAGCGCCTCCATGTCCAAGACCCCTCGGCGCCGCCCTCACCTTGCGGGCACCTGACGCCAAATACCCCTGGTGATCTCGGCGTAAGCTCGTCGTGTGGGCTGACGGTCTCCATACATGTCCTCTCTTACGCTCGCGCTCCTCCGAGGGAACGGCCAGGGCGCGCGCGCGGTCGAGAATGGAGCCTGGGGGCATGGACGTGGGCGGTGCATCGTCCTCCTCCTCGCGTGGCCGTTTGGGAAGGGAGGTCATGACTCCAACGGCGGGCACCATGAGCAGAAGGTACTTGGGAGCAACAAGGCGGCAAAAAGAAAAAGGCAAGCCGCCAAATGGCTCGGCCTGAGGTCGTGGTAGGTGGACGAAAAGGCCAATGGCAGAGGGCGCTGTCCGCGCACGACGTGATACAGTCGCTTTCCTGGGTCCGACTGGGGTGTGCCTCGTTGTCGTCTGTATCGTTGGTGTTGCTTTCGTTGAATAAAGATTCCTCAAGGCAACGTGATGTGTACTTGGAAATAATAGCTCCTTGACATATATTTGTCGAGTGCAAAATGGCGAAAGACTTTTACAAACAGGAAACAGAGGTACAGACAGACCTTTAGATGATCGGGCGAGCGAGGAGGCGAGCGAGCTGTAGCCTGTAGGCACGTATTGCCGACGGGAGGACAAAGATTGCATGCACCAGATGGGGCCCAGAAGAACGGAATGGCCTGGCCTGTCATCTATGCGCACGTTCCGGACCGAAGCCCAGATAAGATGAGATGGTCTCTCCTACTCGTTCCAGTCGCCTGGCCGGGTGGGATAGCCATGTCCTCTCTCTCTCTCTCTCTCTCAGACTCTCTCTTACTTGATATAGCCGTTCAGCCGGCGCCCACTCTTGTGCAGCTGGAGCCAGGCGTGGGGTGAGGCATCGTGGGTGGGTGGATGGATGGATGGATGGACGGATCGAGTGACTGGAGCGTGTGTGGAAAAAGGGGATGGACGTTGTTTGGCGACGCAGACAGAGACTGGACATGGAACTTTGTCGGCCCTGCACTCCGGCCCTGTGGACCCTTCTATTCGGGGCCACGCGCTCCGCCCCGAAGTCCCGGGGTTCATCCACTTGTGGCGCTGCGTGCAAGATGATAGGTCGAATATCCATCGACGCTGGGCGCTGGGCCGCAGGACCGCCAACGCCCGTCTGTGAATCTGATGCCGATGCGCCTACCCGGCAGCATGCCTCGATCGTGCTGCTAGCCGGGACGAAGGCCATATTGCTGCATGTTACAGATGTCGATATCTTAAGTTTCGATCTGGAGGTACCAGCTGTGCTTATATTACGCATCAGCCGCCGATAAGCGAAGACAGAGTTTTGCCTATCATCTGCACTCTTGTCTGTCATGTGCAGTCACCGGAACACTCAAATGCGCTGTGAAGCATTTAAGTGTAACTCTATATCAAAAAACAATCCAACGACTTAAGTGTGGTTGAACTTCCAAATCCTCCCAGGCGAGGGTTGTCTGCCACCAGCATAGGCAGAAATCAACTAATTAATGGCCACAACATCGGCCCAAGTAAGGCAAATACAACGTTACACGCATGCCGGCACGCACACGGTATTCTTGGCATCAGGCATACGGAGTATACAAACACACTCAAACATTACTATGTATATCTATCGCGACCCGTGGATCGGGACATTGGCGCCCGGCACAAGAACCGACGTGATGCAATCCACCACCTGGCGTCATGGCTATGTACTGAACAGACAGCAGTCATCGATCAGCACCGTGATCGTCCTCACACACGGATACAGGCACAAGCACAGCTCTCGGCCAGGTTTAGCGCGCCGCAGATCCCCGGTCCGAACATGCGTGCGTCCGCCTGGCTGTCATGTCCGACGCATGCACGTCACTGCGAGCCACGCAGATCGCCACTAATTACTCTCTCCAGTCGTCAACGGCAGACTCGTTTTCTTCTTCACTCGCGAGGGCCTAGTACAGTTCATGTCATGTCATTTCAGCCTATGGATATCCAGGGTGTAACTCTTAAAAGTACAAGCATTCATTCGCCATGAGAGAGAGCGCCAAATAAAGAAAAAGAAAAACGCCAATCCGGCGGCGGAGCCAGCTTACAGCCTGGGCTTGGTGTCGGGCTTCCAGCCCTCCTCCATGGCAATGAGCTCGGCCGCGCGCTCGCCAATGGCCAGCACGGTCACCATGGGGTTGATGCTGGGCATGTCGGGGAACACGCCGGCGTCGGCGATGCGCAGGCCGCCAATGCCGCGGACCTTGAGCTTGGGATCGACGACGGCCGCGTCGTCGTGCGCGGCGCCCATCTTGGTCGTGCCGGCCGGGTGGTAGACGGTGTGCGCGACGCGGCGGGCGTACTCGCTAATCTCCTCGTCCGTCTGGACCTTGGGGCCCGGCGCCACCTCCTTGTCGAGCCAGTCGGCAAAGGGGGCCTGCTGGGCGATCTTGCGCGCGGCCTTGATGCCCGCCACAAACGTCGCCGCGTCGTAGCCCTCGGGGTCGGTGAAGTAGCGGAAGTCGAGCGCCGGCTTGACGGCCGGGTCGTTGGACGTGAGGTAGATGCGCCCGCGCGACCGGGGGCGGGGGATGTTGGGCGTCATGCAAAAGGCGTATCGCTCCTTGACCTCGGGGTAGCCGAGGCGGCCCGTGTTCAGGGTGAACGGGATCTGGTAGCAGTGCATCATAATGTCGGCCGCGTCGCCGTCGTTGCCGGCCGCGTTCTTGGTCTCGCGGCGCAGGAAGACACCCGCGTCCGAGTCCATGGTCGTCTGGTTCTCGGGCACGGGCTTGTTGAGCTGCCACATGATGATGGTCTCGGGGTGGTCCAGCAGGTTCTCACCCACGCCGGGCAGGTCCTTGACGACGGGGATGCCGAGCGCCTCGAGCTGCTTGCGGGGGCCGATGCCCGAGTGGAGGAGCAGGCGGGGCGTGTCGACGGCGCCGGCGCTGAGGATGATCTCCTTCTTGGCCGAGAGGTGCAGCTTCTGGCCCGACTTGAGCGTCACGTCAATGCCCGAGGCCACGTCGTTCTTGACGTGCAGCTTGGAGACGTGCGCCTCGGTGAGGACGGTCAGGTTGGGCCGGCGCTCCTCGCCCTTGAGGATGGGGTGGATGTAGGCGACCGAGGCGCTGCTGCGGTGGCCATTGTCCGGGTTGTACGAGACGGAGAAGAAGCCGACGCCCTGGTTGAGCTGGCCCTTGCTCGCAATCTCCTTGTTGAAGTCGGGGATGACGGGGATGCTCAGGGCCTCGGCCGTGGACAGCACCCAGTCCTTGCAGAGCTGGTTGCGGTGGCGCGCGTGCACCGGCTGGATGGTGTTGCGCAGGTTGTCCACGAGGCGCATCACCGTCTCAAAGTCCCAGCCCTCGCACCCGCTTGCCACCCAGCGTTCGAGGTCGTGGCGGAAGGGACGGAACGAGATGAGCGTGTTGTGCGAGGAGCAGCCGCCCAGGACCTTGGCACGCGAGTGGCGGATATGGCTGTTACCCATGGGCTGCTCGGTGGTGCCGTAGTCGTAGTCGAGGTCGCCGCCCAGCAGCGTCAGCCACTGGCGCAGGTCGAGGACGTTGCCCAGCTCGAGGTCAGAGGGGCCCGCCTCGATCATGAGCACCTTCTTCTCGGGCAGGTAGGATGACAGGCGCGAGGCCATGACGCAGCCCGCGGTGCCGCCGCCGACAATGATGTAGTCGTAGGCATTGGCGGCGTTGGCGGGGAGAGAGTGGACGGAGGCCATGATGGGCGGATTGCTAAGTAGGCAGGCAGGTACTTTCCGTGTGTCTCGAGGCGACTAGAGGCTGGTGGTGATGTCGCGCGGGGTGGGGAGCAGCAACGACGCTGGTGTTTGGGAGGGGAGAGGAAGAAGAGGGTGAGGATGGGTGGATGGATGGGAGGGCTTGAAAAGATAGAGACTGAGAAGAGAAGTTAGCCTCGTGATGTTTATCAAGGTGGAGTCTTGGCGAAGAGATTTCGCAATGGCTGGACGGCCACGAGCATCGACCTCCCAGCTCTCACCGACAGGAATGAGAGCACCCATCCATCCCTCTGTCGAATCGAAGCTGTGCCGCCCACCCATCATCGGCTTCGGCGAGGACGACTTTCTGCGAGGATCGCCATGCACTGTGCGGCGGGCTGGGGCGGATCCTGCTGGAGGAATTGGCGGCTGTGGTTGGATGTCGCGCGGTGGAGGCACAGGGAAGATGGTGAGGCCGTCGAACTCTATACTGTGCGCGAGTCAGCCCAGATGCGGGCGGCGGGCGGGCGGTGAGAAGCTGCAGAACTGTGTGGGCGCCGGGGCACGCACGGCCCGACTCTGTCGACAGGTGAGGCTTAGCTGCCGCTTTGGGACTGATCCCGCTGGCGGCAGAATTTTTCTCGACTCTTTCCACGCGTGTCAGCGTGGTGGATGCCGAGACACGCCGCTCACTCTGCTACTGTTTCTGTTATCCACTGCCTACTGTACAGCAGTGGAGCTCTTGGCCATGCACGCAGCGTCATTTGTCGATGGCCGCCGTTAGATTTTGCATCTGCCAAAGCCCACGTTTCTATCTGCATTCATCTGCCCCTCTTTGCACCGTGCCGGCACAGTGTGTTTCAGCCTCACCGCCTGCAGTTTCCGGCCTATCCGTGACGTATGCACGTAAGGAAAGGCATGCAGGCAGAGAGAATTCACGACGTCGTGCAGCAGCAGCACCACCAAAGCTACCTAACGCCTCGTCGGGGACGCCAGAGCTTATCGCGGTCCATAACGTACTACCAAGGTGAAAAAAAAAATCTGAATTGAGACGGGGGCCGGATCGTCACAAGAGACAAGGGTCTTCCACTCCAACGAAAAACAACAACATCAGTGACGCCGACGACGTACATGAGCATCATTCCCTTGTCGCGGCAGCTACCACAACGCCTCACCACCCTCTGGTACACGACGTTACCACGTCCAGGAACCAACGTGCAATCCATCATCCCCACGCAGACACGATCATTCACGACCCCAGACGACATGACTTTCGCCAAAGAAATCCACACCTTCCACTCGGGCAAGGCTCAGCCCACAACCTCGGACCCCTCCAAGACCTTTTCATCCATCGATCCCGCGACCAACAAGACTCTTGCGACCATCTACACCACAACGCCCTCGCAGCTCAATGCCGCCGTCGACTCGGCCACCAAGGCGTTCAAGCAATGGAGCCAGACCCCCGCGCCCCAGCGTTCCGCCATCCTCCTCAAAGCCGCGAGCATCCTGCGGCGGCGCAATGACGAGCTCGCCCTGACCGAGACGCTCGACACCGGCAAGGCCCTGGGGGAGACCAAGACGGTCGATGTCATCACCGGCGTCGACGTCTTGGAGTACTATGCGCACTTTGTCGCCGGCTCGCAGCCCGGTGACCACACCACCCTACGCCCAGACGCCTACGTGCTCACCCACCACGAGCCACTGGGTGTCTGCGCCGGCATTGGCGCCTGGAACTATCCCATCCAGATCGCCCTCTGGAAATCAGCGCCCTGCCTGGCGGCCGGAAACACCATGGTGTACAAGCCCAGCGAAGTGACGCCCCTCCACGCCAACACGCTGGCGGAGATCTACATCGAGGCCGGTGTGCCCCCTGGCGTCTTCAACGTGGTCTACGGCGACGGTCCCGCCGTCGGTGCCCCCCTCGTCGCGCACGAGGGCATCGCCAAGGTCTCCTTCACCGGCCAGGTCAGCACCGGCAGCAAGGTGGCCAGCGAGGCGGCCAAGGGCATGAAGGGCGTCACGATGGAGCTGGGCGGCAAGAGCCCGCTCGTGGTGCTGCCGGACGCCGACGTCGACGAAGCGGCCGACGTGGCCATGGTGGCCAACTTTTTCTCGACCGGCCAGGTGTGCACCAACGGCACGCGCGTCTTCGTCCCCGACAGGTTGTTGAAGGACGTCGAGGCGGCGATTGTCCAGCGGTGCCGGGAGGGCGTCCGGATGGGCATGCCGCAGGTGGAGAGCACCAACTTTGGCCCCATGGTGAGCGCCGCGCAGCGGGACAAGGTGAACATGTACATTGCGCACGGCAAGACGCAGGACAGGGCGCGCGTCGTGTACGACGGCGCGTCCGACGCACAGAAGAAGAAGCCCACCGAGGAGGGCTACTGGGTGCCGCCCGTCGTCTTCTCCGACTGCACGGACGACATGCGCATCGTGCGCGAGGAGATCTTTGGGCCCGTCATGTGCATCCTGCCATACGCCACCAAGGGCGACTATCTGCCGACCCTCATCGCGCGCGCCAACGACACGCCCATGGGCCTCGCGGCGGGTGTCGTCTCGCCCGACCTGGGCACGGCGCAGGACGTTGTGCGTCAGCTCGACGCGGGCATCACCTGGATCAACACCTGGGGCGAGTCGCCCGCGGAGATGCCCGTCGGCGGCTGGAAGATGAGCGGCGTCGGTCTAGAGAATGGACCTGAGGGCATCAGGGCGTACATGAGGACCAAGAGCACGCTGGTGCAGCTGGGGAGGGGTGCCTGCAAGGGCGTGTTTGCCAAGTTGTAAGGCGATCCATGTGAAAGCTAGTCATGATTTTGAGATATCAAGCGAAATGAAAGCTGAGAATTGATTCCATGGAGGCTCCCTAGATGTCTGCTTCACTAGTCTCTCTTGGGGCGCATGTACCTGGACAAGACGGGTGAGCCTACCCTGCGCCCGTGCCGCCAAGCAAGATCTCGCCATCATCTACGGCATTGCGGCAGCCATTCCTTCAATCCCTTATTCGGAATTCAGCAAAATCAACTTTTCAAGCGAATCCATCCGTCGGGCCAAAATGAGCCGACTACAATTGAAGCCAATCATAGATGGCATGCCTGTCCAACGCATTACCCACTCAGCGGGTCTCTCACTCTGTGCTCTTCGCCGCCTGGCGATCGCGTCACGGTTCCAGCCAGCCCGACTCAAAACATCTGCATTAACAGTAGATCCTGCCGATGTGCCGATGTGGAAATTATGGCCTCCTCGTCGACGGTACTGCCGCGTTCTGTGGGCAACAACATGCCGACCCGAAGAAGATGGAGCTGAGGATAATCGGGCCTCCGGACAAGATCTGTCCAACGACCAGCGCCCAGCTTGACTGAGAGAGAGCCTTGCATTCGTTCCATCACTCGCTTCATGTCGCGGGCTTGCTCAATCTCCCATGTCTTCAAGTACATGCAATCACCAAGACGACAGCGTCAGAGTGATGACCAAGACCCAGCCCTCGACGACAGACACAATGCCGGAAAAGACTGAGCACACGGACAACAGCGACGCTGAAAGCATAGGCGGACAGCGCAACGAGTTATCCCAAAAGAGGCTGCTCATCTCCATCGCAGCCCTGTCGGTCTGCCTGTTCGTCTCCTTTGTCGACCAGACCAGCGTCTCAACAGCAACACCTGCGATCGCGGGCGAGCTCAACACGGGCACTTCGACATCATGGGTGGGCGCTTCGTTCCTGATAGCCTCGACCGCCTTTCAGCTCATCAACGGGCGGCTGTCTGACATTTTTGGGCGCAAGAATCTCCTGCTCATCTGCCTCTTCCTCATGGCCGTTGGCGACTTGGCCTGCGGCTTCTCCCGGACCGCAGAGCAGCTGTTCGCCTTCCGGTCCATTGCTGGTATTGGCGGAGGCGGCATCAACAGCCTGGTCATGATCATTGTGAGCGATATCACCACCTTGGCGAATAGAGGCAAATACCAAGGTGCGCTCCTCGTGGACAAGTTGGCGATCCAAGTGAGCTAACACATATTTGAAGGCATGCTGGGTGCGATCATCGCCCTTGCCAATGGCATCGGCCCCTTTCTTGGCGGCGCCGTCGTCGACTCCTCCACATGGCGCTGGGTATTCTGGATGATCCCCCTGATCACAGCACCCACGACTGTCGTCATCTGGTTCTATCTGCCGCTCAAACACAGATCAGGGGACTACGTTGCCAAGATGAGGCGGATCGACTACGGGGGCATTCTTCTCAACCTGGCATCCACGCTTCTGCTGCTCGTGCCTTTGTCGGGAGGTGGCGTGACATATGCTTGGGCATCACCGTTTGTCATCTCTACCCTGACGCTTGGGGCCGTGCTCTTTGTCTTGTTCGTGTTGTACGAATGGAAGCTCGCCAAGCTGCCGATCATGCCACTGCGACTGTATCAGGCTCCTCACTGCTCTGCGTTGTACGCCCAGACGTTCCTCACCGGGCTGGCGTACTTTGGCAACTTCTTCTACCTACCAATCTACTTCCAGTCGATATTGCAATACTCGGCTTTGGCATCGGGGGCTCTGATCCTCCCCGTCGTCATCACTACGTCGGCCACTTCGATACTTTCAGGCCTGTACATGGCTCGAATGCACAGGTACATGCACTGTATCCTTGTTGGCTTCATGCTGTGGACGTTGGGTAATGGGCTGACGCTCATGTTTGATCGTGACACCAAGATTGGGCCTCTGATTGGGATCTTGATTGTTGAAGGCGCCGGCATCGGGCTGACGCTGCAGCCTACGCTCGTTGGCATGTATGCCAACGGACGCAGAGAAGACCGCGCCGTGACGACCGGCCTGCGCAACTTTATACGCACCATCGGCGGCGCGTTTGGGCTAGTCGTCTCGGGCGTCCTGCTCTCCAACACGCTTAGCAATGACCTGGCCGGCAGCCCCTTGATGTCGGCTGACTTTATCGCCGAGTTGACGTCGTCGACCTATGCGCTCGATCAACTCGATATTTCGACGGAGGAAAAGGACCACATCTTGGATGTGTACATGTCAGGGTTGCATCGCATCTTCATCTTTTACACGTGCTGCTCGGGGTTGAGCATCCTGTTGACAGCCTTGGTGGGCAACACGAGCCTCAAGCCACCGACAGCAGGGAAACATTCGGGGACGGAGTCCTCTGGGCAGCACTCTGAATCTAACGTAGGGTCACTTGGTGGCGAAGATCCCGAGAAGGGCACTGGTGTGGTGGATGAGGCTGCTATAGACACGAGAGACGGTTACGTGGGAAACGAGCATCAGGGTGATGGGCTGACCACAAAATCGTGAGAGGATGGCAGACAAGTCACAGATAGCCATAACGTATATACACATAACAATTGCACTTGAGCGGCCCTCCAGACGTATCTGACCTTGCACAATGGTGTAGTGACCCTGGGATCACGAAGGACAGCTACTCGTAGAGATTCGACGGCTAGTCTAATCAGAAACCAGTGAGCGAACTCGGACCCTGCAGTCCACAATCCGACTCATGCTGCGAGTCTTATCGCGCATTGCATGACGGGGCGTTTCCCTCCGACCGACCGCATGGACACGGTCGTGCCCACAACTTATTAGATGGAGGTTTGAGCTGCCCCTCAATTGCCCCTCGTTGATTGATTCGGACCCCTGAGGTTGGCGATACCCTCCAATTCCTTATCGCACGTTTGTTGGAGATGACCGGTCGCGAATGGCACATCAGACATCCACATCACTCATGTCGGGACCAACACTGCGCGCAATCGGCATCATGTTGGCCGCGATAAGAACTTCTGGCTGCTTGTGCGGCTGCCATGCCCCGATCAATGATCTGAAGGCCGATATAACAGCATGATCTCGACGTAGCAAAGAGAGGCCACTTTGATCTTGCTCTGCTGCTTATACCGATTTTCACAGTATTGGCTGACCTCCCCAATTCCTCATAATGCCCGAGTCGTACCACCCTCATCCCGATTATGGCTTTGCCCGCGACTTCAAGGGCTATGGCGAGAAAGGCCTCCAAGGCTTGAAGTGGCCGAACAATGCAAAGATTGCCGTGTCCTTTGTCATTAACTACGAGGAGGTAAGTATCTCGGGCCCAGTACTCCCCTTCCACGCCACTGACAAGACCGTTTCTAGGGTGGCGAGCGATCTGTACTGGAAGGCGACGGTGTCGACGAGCTTGTCCTTCGCGAGAGTCCCTCCTCACAGCACCGCGTCAACGAGCGCAACTACAATGTCGAGTCTGAGTTTGAGTACGGGTCACGCGTCGGCTTCTGGCGTCTGTTCAAGATGTTCAACGACCACAAGATGAAGTTCACCCTCTACGGCGTGGCCTCGGCCGTCGAGAAGCAGCCCGAGGTGGCTACGCGCTGTGTCGAGGAGGGCCACGACGTCGCCTCGCACGCGTATCGCTGGCTCGACCACCACGACTGGTCGGTGGACAAGGAGAAGGAGTACATCCGCAAGGGCATCACCAGTCTCAAGAACCTCACCGGCTACGCGCCCAAGGGGTGGTACTACGGACGTCCCTCGCCCCACAGCCGCACGCTCATCCCCCAGGTCTACGAGGAGATGGGCGAGGAGCTCATCTGGGCGAGCGACACGTACGCCGATGAGATCCCCTACTGGACCGATCTACCCCTCGAGCGCGAGAAGAAGGACCCCAAGGGCTGCCTCATGCTGCCCTACAGCTACGACTGCAACGATTTCAAGTTTCACTGCCAAGGCACGGGCTTCCGCGATCCGCAAGGGTTCTTTACACACCTGAAGAACGCGTTTGATGTCTTGTACGAGGACGGCGAGAATGGCCAGCCCAAGACGATGACCATTGGCCTCCACTGCAGGATTGTCGGTCGCCCTGGGCGGTTCAAGGCGTTGAGGGACTTTGTCGAGTACATTGAGAAGAAGGAGGGTGTCTGGGTGGCCACCAGGACCGAGATTGCGTTGGCGTTCCGGGAGCAGTTCCCTTACAAGAAGGGCCAACTAGCATGAGCATGTATAGGGAATTGAACTTCACACAATAAGCACATGAGTCTACTTGTAGAGTGTCAAAAGCTGCAAATGAAGATTTTAATTGATTGTGGGACCCCTTAAACCTATCAGGCCTCTCAAGTACACGATCCAGTCCGATTGATCTTCGCTAGCATAGATCACACACGAACCTACGCTTAAGTCGTTTGCCTCCAGTACATGATCGATCGAATTTGAATTACTGCCTCCTCTTACCTTAGCCCCTGAACCCCCCCAAAGTCCCACCCCGAGGCATCCATCGGGTCATAATGCTGTCCTCCATCCATCGCGTGCATCCCAGCAATGTCAAAGTGCTGGCCATACGCTACGCTCATGCCGTCCATTTGCGCCCCTTCGTCTTTGCCGTCCCCAAGCATTTCATTCCACATGCGCCATCCCTGCCAGCCGCCAGGAGCCTCATCATCGACCTCCATAAAGGCCTCCTTGACAGCGTCTGATACCATCTCACTCATCGACGGCTCCATTTCCTGAGCTGGCTGGCTCTCAGGCGGCGGGACCCGTTGCGCGACACCTGCTGTCGAGCCCTGCCGTGACTTGCGCGTCGACGGCCGTTGCAGATCCAGTGACTTGCTCGTGCCCTGTCCGTTCGGATTCACTAGTGTTTTGAACAGACTGCCAGACAAGGCGTCGAATATGTCGCGGTACTTGACGGCACCAGCCCACTTTTCGCCAAAGATTGTCAAGCTCTGGGAGCAAGCCTGTGTCGCCTCGAATACGTCGTATCCGAACAAACCGCGGTTCCTCCACGTGCAGTACACAAGGGTGAGGCCTGCGACGAAGCAGCTGTGAAGGGAGATCATTGTGTAGCTCAGGGTCTTTTGTTGATTCAGCCGCTTGTACGCTATGCAGACGCTCGCAGCGGAGTGTGCGGCCGTGGCGAATCGATGATCAGAAGGGTCGAGAGTTGGTAGGAGGATGGTGAGAAGAGCCAGGATTGACTTGTGGTATTGCCTGCGGCACGAATATCATTAACATCATAACTCTAGGCACAGGTCTCGATTTTGTGGACTCACAGGCTGTAGAAGTCGTGGGAATCGTGGTTGGCGCTCTCTGGATCGTACATCCAGGTGATCTTCTTTCTGTCCTTGGGTGGTTGAGGTACCGTGTCAAGCCAGTGATCCAAGTCCCGACGCATGCTGACCATTTTTTGATCCAGCTTCTGTCTCTCGTCGGGAGGTCCAGCCAGGACGTCCTTATCGACACGAAACACGGTCCGGTGAATGCGTGACTGGAGACGGTCGAGCTTGGTGATGTGTATGAAGGGCTCAATGTTGGACCAATTGTTTGATGATGCCTCGGCAGGCTCACTATGAGTGAGGTCCCAAAACTCGACGCTCGTGCTGGGATCCTGTGTCGGTCAGACGGGTATTCCCCTGAAAGCCAGAAAAGAGAAGGGACTCACTCCGACATTGATATCACGGTCCGCAATCGCAAAAGCCCTCCCCAGAAGAACGCTCGTGCTGCGATCCAGGCTGTAGCACGACCAAAACACTCTACGCCGAATTTCAAGATCTCGCGCATTGCAGTGTCGCGAAACAGCCTTCCGTTCACGATGCAGACCAAGCTCAATCGCTAGCGACACGGCGTAGCGCACCTGGCTCCATGCCCCAGAGCCATACGGAGATCGTTGCCCGTGCACAGCGAGCAATAGGAGGAACTGCACTGTCCCGAGACTGTGCTGCTCAAGAATATAGTCCATGGGCTCAATGGCCGCTACCAGGTGCTTCTCCGAGTCTACTCCGCAGGGGTTCCGCGTCAGCTGTAGGAACCTGGCGGCAATGGCGTAGATGAGGTGCATTATGCTTCGCTCGATGACGGGCAATTTGGGCTGGTCGTACTGTTTCTCAAAGAGTGCCGAGTAGACTTTGCGGTCGAGCAGTGGCCAACGCGTGTGGAGGCGGTCAAAAAAAGTATCGAACAGGAGCTTTGCCTGCTCAGGATATGGAAAGTCAAACACGCTCTCGATGCCAACCATTGTCGGCGAATGGGCCATAGTGAATGAAGGGAATGACGGAGGCACCTCCTGGACATACTGGCTGCTCTTGGGGATCGCGCGTCCACCGGATTTCCTGAACAAGGAGGTTTGTATCATACGTGCAATAGTGGCCCCCGAGCTTGAGCCTAGGTAGAATGGCCCTGGTGAATTGTCTGTCGTGCCCGTTGCGCATAATGACAGGTAGGCGACACCGTCGACGATGGAGTTACTCTCACCACCTTCCATCTCATCGAACTGCGATTCATGGTGAGAGGGCGGAGACTCTGGGTTCTGTGCCAGGGAACCTTTTCGTCTAGGGGAGGCATCTGTCTTGCTGGACTCATTCTCAAAGTGATCCTCCGCATATGCAGGCAGGCGAGCTTCAAGAAAGGCAATACGCTCCTCGAGTGCGTTGATGTACCTGCAGCTGTCAGACATACGTCTTACTACTGGATACTCTGCAGGATCGCCGTGCGTACAGTGTCTTGCCACCAGGATAGTGTGGACGAATGGCTTTCTCGTAAATGCATTGGTTGCCGGAGCGCTCGCAGGATGAACAGACGGGCGAGTTACCGTCACACTGTTCAAGTCAGCCCCTTTGTGTCCTTGCATTCTTTGAGCTTTCGCAAATTACTCTTTGCTTCCTCCTCTTACACCTCTTACACGCAAGGGCGACTCGGGGCTTGCGAGCCGTCTGTGTTGGCAGTGTCGAGCTCGTGCTCGATCCACCGAAGCTCTGGGCTGATGATCCCATATTCTGGGGCATGATTGTTTTTCGGGTCAGAACCTAGCGATCTCAAGCACTCGAATCTGGTTCTAATACAATGTTTTCCCGTGGTGAAGACTCTGAGGAGACGGGTCACTTTGAGGCGGATGCCAGTGTCGCGCTACCCGCTCAGTCTCAGTCCTCTCAAACGCAAGCCAGCTATCGGAACTTCCGTCCCCGAATAATGAAAAGCTACTGACTGCGTGCTGCACTTGCAGTTCTTCCTTGGTGCGATAAGCGCTGTCCGTGTAAGTGCTCGTCGTGCGCGGAGACAAGCGGGTCTTATCTCTACGCTCGACATGGGGGAACGAATGGGGATCTTTTCCCCAACTCCTTTATCTTAAGCATGTCACGCCTTATCAGCAAAGTAGAATTCCATTGTCTGGCATGGCTTGTCGACGCCCGTTGGTGCATTTGACTACCGGCATCTCAGTCTTGTGAAGTTCTTTTTGGCTGTCGGGTGCAAAACAACCGACAACGTGGCGATAACACCTCTGTAGAGAGTGTCTGGGGTGAGTATCGTCTTGGAATTGAACATGAACTTGGACGAGCTCAAAGCTCAGGGTATATTATACAAACAATGCCAGTGTCATACAGAGAAAGATCGTCAACCTCACCATCGTTGCAATTTGAAGCTTGACTTGTCTGAATCGTTCAAATTTCATCGTAGACAACATGGCTCGACGAACTCGCATTCCCACGCGGGCGGAGCTGGCTGCCCCTTTCCAGTCAAAGGCCGCATTTGTCGACTTTGTGAAGGCGCCTGTCGAAAATGAAGGCCATGTCACAGTGGGTGACCCGAAATGGTCTAACAAGGACTTGGAGCCGACGCCCCCGGAGCATCGTACATGGACGTGGTACGCCAGGTTCTCTCGATAGCTGTTCACAGAAATACTGACGGTCGGAAAGGTTCAACCTTCCCCTTTATTGGTTCTCCAACCAATTTAGCTTGACGGGGTGGAACACTGGCTCGTCTCTTGTTGCAGTTGGTCTGGTAAGTGGCTGCCAGAAGGGCTTCTGAAGGAATCAACTGACGAGGATGTAGACATGGCAACAATCCTTCATCTCGTGTGTTCTGGGCGGCCTCTTGGCTTCCGTTATCGTTGTTCTGATGGCGCGTCCTGGCGTAAAGTACCATATTGGATTGTGAGTGTCTGTATACCTGTCAGCAGACCACAGCTAACACCGGGTAGCCCTGTTCTCTGCCGTTCAAGCATGGGGATGTATGGATCGTATTTCTTCATCTTCATTCGCGCCATTGTGTGCATCATCTGGTACGGGTATGTTGACGTTCGACTTCTGAGGAATGTTTAAGACACTATCTGACGTTTCCTGCAGAATCCAAACGTTTTACGCTGGCTCGATCCTCTCTGTCATGCTTCGATGCATCTTTGGCAGCTCCTGGCAAAACATGACCAATATGTTGCCCGGCGATGCCGATATTACATCAAAGGTGCTCCTGGCCTTCTTCCTGGCCTGGCTCATGGAGTTCCCTTTTGTAAGACCAGCGTTTCTTAATTTCACGACATCAACTAACTGACGTTGGCAGATGTGGATTCACCCTAGAAATATCCAATACATTTTCACCGTCAAGGGCTTCACCATGCCCATTGCTGCCTTTGCCATCTTTGGATGGTGCATGTACACAGGGGGCGGCCTCTCCTCGATGAAGATGGCGAGCGATGTTGGCGAGTCTCTCGCCGACAAGACCCCCCTCGGCTGGATGATTATGAATGGCATCAACGTCATCATGGGTAGCCTCTCGCCCATGTTGGTCAATCAGCCTGACTTGTCTCGCTATTGCGCGAAGCCTCGGGATGCGGGTGCCCTGCAGGGTGTCAGTGTCTTTGTGTCCTCGGTCCTCGTCTTCTTCCTCGGCCTTGCTTCCACGACGTCCATCCAGAGCATCTGGGGCGAGGCGTACTGGAATATCTGGGACCTCCTTGGCTCGATTCTTGACCACTACTGGAACCCTGGCGCTCGCGCCGGCGTTTTCTTTGTGGCGCTGGCCTTCTTACTCGGTGTCTTTGCCACCAACTTTGGCGCCAACTCAATCCCCTTTGGAGCGGATATGACCGGTCTGTTCCCCAAGTTCCTCACTATCCGTCGTGGTCAGGTGCTCTGCGCCGTTCTTGGCGTCGCAGTGGTCCCATGGAAACTCATGGCGAACGCCTCTGCGTTCCTGTCGTTTCTTGGCAGCTACAACATCTTCATGGCACCACTTTGTGCCGTTATCATTGTCGACTATGCCTTCATCCGCAAGGGCAACGTTCACGTTCCGTCCTGTTATGACGGGAGCAAGTACGGGCTGTATCACTTCTGGTCCGGTGTCAACTGGATCGGTGTGATTGCGTGGCTGCTCGGAACCACCATGGGTATTCCGGGCCTCATTGGGCAGTACCAGCCGCAGCTCATGAGCGATGCCTCGCGGTACATGTACATGATGGGCTGGATCCTCACATTTGTGACAGCCGCAGTCGTGTACATCGTCGCCTCGCTGCCGATCAAGTCAAGGTGGAGGATCTTCCCGAGAGGCCGCGAAGATGCCCCTTTCACCTGGGAGTGGCTGGCGAACGAAGGCAGGGAAGGTTTCTTTGACGGCGACCGGGAGGCACAGACTGTGATTTACGCGCCTCCGACTCCTACTGGCACAGATGGCGAGGAGGCCCAGTTTGGAGAGAAAGGAGGTGATAAGATAATCTAGCGTTCGTCAAGACGAGCAAGATACTTCAAGGCTTGGGTTCTGGATCTGGCAATTGTATTTAGAAGCTTTAATACGATGAATTTTCCCGTTCACGCGATTCCAAACTATTAAACTCGCCCGAAAGCCAACCAGACCTCGTCATTATGCACTTTGTTACAACAACCGTGGCCATGAAGTATTCAATACACGAATGATGGTGACTTCACAAGACTCGAAGCACAATTCGCACAAGATGAAGATGAAGAGATAAAAGCTTACAGGAGCTCTCGCTCAACATTCGCCCAGTCACTGACTTCCTTATCGTCGGATGCCTTTCTTCGGCAGTCCCGAACACGTGGGAGGAGGCCGGCTTTCGGCGCCCCCTCAGGTCCATCTTCGGCGATGAAACAGCCGACACGACGGCCCTGCAATCCGTCAGCTCCGATAGACGGCCTAGACAATCATCAAGGAGCACCAGAGCATCGGCTCGCTGCGGGTATATGTGCACATCTGTCTCACAGGTCGATTCACACATCGTCAGCGACAGCTGTTCACTCATTCCTCGACTATAAAACTGCCGCCACACCCTTTACAAATGGATTCGTACAAATTGACCGCAACCGAGGTTGTAGCCAGGACGAAGGCGGGGGAATTGACCGTGGAGGACTATGCACGCTCACTCCTCGCCCGCATCAAAGAGCGGGACGAAGCAGTCAAGGCGTGGGCGCACCTGAACCCGGACTATGTGCTTGAACAAGCCAAGAAGCTGGACCAGGTTGCCCCTGAGGCTCGTGGTCCGCTACATGGCGTCGCTGTTGCTGTCAAGGACGTGATATATACCAAGGGTGAGTTCGAGTCTGGCGAGGCTGGCGCCGTGAGCCGTACTGATCAATTTCAGATATGCCGACGCAGTTCAACTCTCCTATATATGAGAATGACGCGCCGCAAGTAGATGCTGCCTCCATCATCATCCTTCGTCACGCTGGCGCCTTGATCCTAGGCAAAACCACGACCACTGAATTTGCAGCCACTACAACCGGCCCCAAGACGTCCAACGCCCATGATCCTGGCAGGACACCTGGTGGTTCATCTTCTGGATCAGGTGCCGCTGTTGGCGACTTTCAAGCACCCATTGGATTAGGCACGCAGACGGGAGGGAGCACTATCAGGCCAGGTTCATTCAACGGTATCTACGCTTTGAAACCAACGTGGAACGCCATCTCTCGCGAGGGACAAAAGATATACTCGCTCTTGTTCGATACGTTGGGTCTTTATGCCCGCAGCGTTGCCGATCTCGAATTGTTGGCGGACGTTTTTGAAATCCACGACGACGAACCAGCGAATCCGTCCTTCCAGATCCAAGGCGCCTCTTTTGCCATGTGCAAAACAATGGCGTGGAGTCATGTTGGCGACGGAACTGCAAAAGCAATGGACAAGGCCAAGGCTCTTCTCGAGGCGCACGGCGCCACGGTACAGGCGATCTCACTCCCTGAGCATCTGAAGGACTTACCAGCGTGGCATGCCACTGTGCTCAACTCAGAAGGCCGTACTGCCTTTCTACCCGATTATCGCAAGGCCAAAAACAAGCTGGACCCTTTTCTGCATGCGCATGTTGAGAATACGCATGGCATATCCCGGGCCCAGCAGGTTGCGGCTTGGGACAATATTGCCGCAGCAAGGCCCCAGGTCGATAAGCTGCTTGGCCAATTTGACGCTGTCATTGTTCCCAGTGTGCCTGATGAAGCACCCACGGGGCTTGAGAGCACCGGTAGCGCGGCATTCAATCTGATCTGGACGGTATGTATAGACCAGGACCGCTCATTCTGGCCACTAGCTGATATGATAAGGCTCTGCATACACCGGTCGTCAACGTTCCTGGTTTCCAAGGCGCCAACAAGATGCCCATCGGCCTATCCCTCGTTGGTCCACGATACCACGATCGCAAGCTGCTCGCTATGAGTAAGAAGGTGGGCGAGATTTTTGAGGCTGAAGGTGGTTGGAAGAGGAAGAACATTTGATATAACCTGTGCGCTGCTTTCCCTACATGTAGGTAGACGTGAACATGATATTTCTCTTTTTTTCTCTCTCGGTTCACTCTTTCATCTTCTCCAGTGGTGTGACCTTCTTAACCACCTTGGCCGGGACGCCCAGCGCAACGCTCCAGGCAGGAATATCCTTGGATACGACGGCCCCCGCGCCAATGGTGCAGCCCTCGCCAATCGTCACCCCAGGCAAGATGACCACCTGCGCGCCAATCCAGCAATCGTCCCCAATCGTAATCGGCTTGGCAAACTCGATATTCTGCCGACGACTCTCGACTTCCGTCTCGTGCGTGGCGGCAATGAGGGACACATTCGGTCCCATGGCCACGCGGTCGCCAATCGTCACAATCGCGCAGTCCAGGATGGTCAGGTTGAAATTGGCATAGAAGCGCTTGCCGAGGCGGATGTTGCACCCATAATCAATGGAGAAGGGCGGCTCGATCAAGACTTCGTCGTCATCAATGTGGCCGATGACCTGCTTCAGCAAGAGGAGGCGCTCTGCGGCGACCTCATCAAAGGTCTCGACAGCGGGGTAGTGGTTGTTGTAGTTCATGGCCCATCTCCTCGCCTTGAAGCGAACAGCTTGGAGCTCCGGCACGAATGCGTCATATCTGCCGCACGGGTCAGTGTTTGGAAGCCTGGGGCGTAGCGTATGATAGGTCTTACAGCATGCCAGAGATCATCTTGTCGTACTCCTCGCCCTTGGGCACATGGTTGAGCTTGGTGGCCTTTTCCAGCTCTTGGGGGTTCTTCTCGGTGGCAGCCATAGTTCACTCCTCTCTGCAAATATCTCAGGGGGTAAATCGATGTAGTCCTGAGCAAAGTGGCACGTAAAGACGGCGAGATACTGCGAGTCGCTCGTTCATATGATGTTGCGAAAAGACGAGAGCCCCGCGGTCACGACTCGCAAGAGTTTGGAGAATTCCAAAAGAGGAAGTAGTGCCAACTTATGTGGAGAAAATGGGGGTCCAGACGGTGGGGTCGTGAGCCTCGGACCGACGAAGCGAGGGAAGCGAGGGCAGCTCCGCAAAACTCCGCGGATGTGTCTGAAAAGGGCAATCCACTTATGCAACTATAGGTGTCCATGTAGATACACGGGTCTCTGAGACTCTAACCATATTCGATCTCACTTCAGTCCTGATTCAGATGCTATAAATAATTAGAATTTGTTTATTGAGTTTCACGATCGCCTGGGTTAATATCAGACCTGCGGGGAACGTAGCGTTACTAATGGATTTACGGGTTGGTGGATTTCAACTTGCCAGCAGACAATTCCCCCCTTAGAAGAAAAGGTATGCATCCTGCGAGCCCTCATTCTTGTCCACACATGTCTGGTGCCTGGGTCAGTCAAGTTGCCAGCAAAGTCTCTCTGTGCGGGGGAACTTACAAAGTCCATCCAAGGCACGTTATTGCGGCCTTTCGAGTTCATCTTTCTCTCCGCCCACACTTTGTTCATAAGCTCTGTCATTCCACAGTGCGGAAACCCGGTGCACGTCTTGATCTCCTCAATGGAAAGATCAATGTAGTGCTTTTGTTGCTCTGAACAAGTGTCCACGCCAGCCATAAACAATGAGAAGAGCATACGCTTATAACAAGGGGAAGTTTTGGGAATGTTAGCACAGGCATCGAGAATGGCCTCCACTGACTCTCGGATTCGTGAATCGTCGCATGAAACGCTGCATGTATCCGGCCATCGCATGATTCGTAGCAAACACGCGTGTCGAAATGCTGTTGCGAGATATGCCCATTCTGGTTCGTTGCTGGGGAAGACGGCCGATTGGGGATCCCAGTTTCGTAGGTACGTCTCGGCGTCGCGGAGCACCACGACGAACTCCTCCGAGAACAGGGTGCCTTCGAGCTCAGCTTTGGCAGCCTCAATAACAGCGCCAATGCAACGGAAGATGTTTGGAGGGCACCCAAAGGTCATGTAGAGACCGAAACTCCAGTTATCATAAACACAAGCGCGAACCTCATGTGGGTATGCCAGCTTCTCTGCGCCGCTAAACCCGCGAAGCACATCGAGCCTAGATCCTATTAGACCGTGTCCTTGAGTTTTTATAATAGTATTTACCATGAAAGGGCCGCGATAAAGAACAATATGCTAGCTTTTGATGGATGCGACATGTCGACGTTCTTGACCTTTCTCTCACACAGAAACGCCACACCGTCGAGGTGGGCGCCATGTGATGAGACACCGTGCTCACAGACCTGAATCAAGTCGTCAGTGCTAGAAAGTATACGGCCGTGTCCAACTTACATCGTGAAGCACGAGCAACAGGACAATGGCCAGGACGGCCTCTTCCTCACACTCGTCCAAGCCTCTAGAGCTCTCTCGGAGTAGCATGCAGCCAAGATCATGCAACGCAGCGACGCGATGCTGCAGGGCTAATGCCATCATTGGTCGACCAGTGATTCTTTGCGATGTGCAAACGTGACAAGCTGACAATCCTAGTAGAGCATGCAGAACGCCTCCATGTTGCCTTGCGAGCGGTAGGATGTGTTGACGAAAGGGGTTCTCCATGCCTTCAACAGCAATGGCCAGCTCATTGACGACGACATTATCAACTGGGATGGTGAGCTCAATCGGGATTTTTGCGATGGTAGATGACTTACTGTGGGATATCAGCCACTCGTTCCCGGCAGGATGGATTCGACGGGTGTCGACTCTCGATCAGCCGCAGGCGCTGAATGCGTCAGGGGCGATGCAACTTTCCACCAACTTGAAGAGCTACTTGATTCTGCTGATGTGACACTGCTTTCATCACGAGGTCTCTCCAGTGGATTCCCGGTTAACTCCAGTGGTTCTTTTGGCTGCGACTGGCTTGACGAGACAGACGGGGCTCTCACATCAGGATTTGCTCCACTGTAGTCCCAGAATTTGAATTTGGGAGGATAGCCTTCGCACTGGAGCCCCTTCTCCGTGCATCTCTTACAGACTGGTCGCGTTCTGTCGCATTTGCGACACTTTTTGCGGCAGGTTCCGCATGCAGGATCTTGGCTCTTGGTTAGCTTCGTGACTCTCCGGGGCGTTATGACCATTACCTTTGCGCACAGAAGTCGGGCCCTTCATTGTTGCTGCTGGTGATGTCTGTCCGGGGGGGAGAAGCCACGTCGGATTGCAGACTCAGTCGTCAAGGCGCGGAGTATTGACTATTGACGTCTTGAAGCGGAAATTCCGTCGGGTATGAAACGGGATGGTCCGCAGTCCACGTATTTGTCCGACAGGTGCCCTAAACCCAATCGGGCGGATCCTCCATGCCTACCTACCTAGCTTGCGCGTTCTTTCACACTCCTTCACGGCAGGTCCGCAATTGAACAATAGCGTTATCACGTCACAGCCAGTTTCCATACCAAACGATGCCACAGAAATCATCAGTCTGTGATGCCTGTCACAGGCGGAAGGTGAGTCTTTGCTCCTCATGCACCTCTGCCTAACGTCAAATCCCCGCAATCGTCCCTTCACACAACCATCATTCATGTTCAGTTGAGATCCCCCATACTCACATCAATGGCTCAAGATCGAATGCTACGGGTCCCCGCCCCCGTGTACTCGGTGCAAGCACCGTAGCATCCCGTGCACCTTTGACCGCCCTAACCTGACGGCGAGGGGTACACGAATTACCTCGGGTAGCCATACTTCAAACGAGTCGCTCAGCCAACGCATAGAGAGAATTGAGCACGCTCTCTCTGTTGCTCAGAAGAGCTCTCACCTTTGTGAGGGATTCTCAAAACCCCCTGAAAGAACTCCCTCTGTTACACCCCGGGCTTCCTCTTACGAACCACACTACTCATCTAGGGTGAGCATTCACTTTGCTGGGCAGTTTGTTGGCCTCATTGGGTCGTTCACTGGTGTCCCCTTCATCTCAGCGTCCGGCAAAGCCTGGATAGAAGAACGAACGGGCCAGAAAGAGTCCGTCGGCAAGATCTGTCGCATTGGGCCCGACTGGCACGCCAGTCTTGGGCAGACAGATCCTCTCCGACAAACAGCCAAAGGCCTGGGTTCTCTGCATTTGTCGGGCCATGTCTCTGCTCGCTAGTCGGGCAACACTCATCCATGTCAATCTGGCTCTCGATAGCCTTGGTAGCGTTCGGTAGGTCATTTCATCTTACCAACTATCTAGGATTTCCAAACTACCTTGTCCAACATCTCGACATCAAAGGCTAACGAAGAATCAGGGGAATGTTGTTCTATCCGGTTTCGGCGGCCTTGAACATTTTCTGCAACATTCTCCTGGATCCGCTCAGCCCATCGGTAGCAGGAGACTTGACACTTATCAGCTCCGCGTCAGAATTGATCAAAAAGCTCATCGAGAGGTCACCAGGCGGCAGGAATGCGACTTGGCTCCCTTGCTTGAACACTTTCATCGTCGAGTTGGTCCACCTGGGACAGTCTTCCGTGAACCGGGCCAAGAACGGAAGCGCACAGGTCTAAATTAAATACACCGGTCTACCTAGTCTAACCTCGTCTAGAAGAAACAAAAAAAAAAAAAAAAAAAAGGAAACGCCACGACAGCTGATGCACAAGCTGACGCCTCATCTATCTCGCCTTTGCCGCCCCAACAAGAGGATGATCCCACTCTACGGCGCCCACCATAGGTTCATCCACGTTGACATAGTTCAACACAAGCGCCTTCTTCATCGACCTCTTTGCCAGAAATTCCAGCATGAAGGACTCGACGATCTTGGCAGACAGGACGTACTGTGCCAAAAAGTAGTACAGCGGATTGGCCCAGGCATGAGTCCTCGTGACGAGCGCGGAGCGGCTTGCGTCCCCCGAAATCAAGGCCTTTCTCTCTCGCCCATATGTCTCGAAGAATGTAGTGAGTTGCGACAACTCCTCATCAGAGGACGTGAGCCGCTTAGCAAAGGTTCTCTTCAGGCTCCAAAGGCCGTTGCAAAGGGAGACAATATCCTGGATCGCGGTATTCAGTCCCAACCCTGCATTGGGGGTGAACTTGTGGGCCGCGTCTCCGGCGAGGACAATGCGGCCCCAGCTCCAGTGGCCGGCGATGCCCTCCTCGAGGTTCGCCATGCCGGCCGTGAATCGCTTTTCCCACACGTCCTGGACCTTGAGATTGTCGGTGACCGGGAAGTCCTTGAACTTGTCGATGTACGTTTGCATGTCGGCATCCGTATAGGAAGCCCGTTCTCGCGTCGTTTCGGGAAGCTTTTCGTAGAGGAAGATCCATCCACGCTCCCGACCCGCAAGGTACATGACGCTCTTGTCCTTGTGTTGGGTATCGAACGCGTCACCCGGTTCGGACGGCCGTGGGAAGCTGCACCACATGCACCTGTAGGAAGAGGCGAAAGGTTTCTCCGCATCCCAATCGCCTGGGGAGTTGGATTCCAAGGCAAGCTTGCGCATGAGCTGACGCGTTTTGCTGTGGACGCCGTCCACGCCGAGGACGACCGAGCCGTGGTATGAGCTCCCGTCCTCGCAGGTAACCGAGACGCCCTTCTCATCCGGCTGGATATCGGACAGCTTCTTGCCAAGAAGCACCTTGTCTTTGGCGGAGTCTGGGAGACCGTTGTACAGGGTTTCCACTAGCTGCGCACGGTGAAACGCCACAGGGGCAAGGCCATGGCTGGACAGTGGTCAGTGGTCAGTGGATGCAAGGGACAATGCTGTTAGTTGGGGATGAGCTCACTTCTTCCGCAGCCTCAGGATCTCCGTGCTCTCGTGTAATACGTTGCCGTCGGAATCGAAAGATCGATTACGTATGATCTCGTGGCCGACACCAAGCAGGTCACCCAGAATGCCGAATTGGTGCATGACGCGCAGACTGGGTGGTCCGAGGACAAGGCTCGCTCCGAGATCCTCGATGATGTTGGTTCTTCTCTCGAGAACCACGAAATCAATGCCGGCTAATTGCAGTGCGTGTGCGGCAGTGAGCCCGGCAGGCCCACCGCCAACAACAATGACTTTGAAAGAATGGGAACTCATGTTTTCGAAGTTGTAGGATTTGATTGAATCTAGTGATGGAGGCTACTATTCACAACACGTCGACAGCCTTTGCAGAGCTTTATATTCCAAGCCGTGGACGGCGCCGGAATGGACATGATACCGATGACCGTCGACGGTGGTCCGTGGACGATAGTGGAGTATTAATAACGGGAATGGCGGCGGTGCGGCGCGCCGCGGCTCGGCTTGAAATAAGACTCCGGCGCTAGTGACTGACTCGGAGGCTCTGACATGGGGCCGATCTCTGTGGCCAACGCCGAGCCATTGCCAGACACGGTTATGGCTATGGACAACAATGCCCACCAGCATACAAACGACACGATGGAGCTGCCTCTCGGCTATCTACTCAATGCCCCTGGAATCCACGAGGCAGATAGCCCACAGCTACCCTACGCTCGACCTCAACCACGAGGCTCACCGCAGGTCACTTGCCCTACAGAGGCAGCAGCACCTAAAGAGGCACAATACATGTAGGGAGTAAGTCATCACACCCATCTCTTTAAGCAAGCCTGCGAAGCGGCTTACGAGTGTTTATATAAGGAAGCTACGTAAGTTTGCGTTATCACGGGCGAAAGGTATCATGACATATCAAACGGAGACTAAATTTATGTTTTGAATAAAGGCTTGCCCTACGGCAAATAAAAGACCATCGCCACTCAGCAAATGTTGCGTGCGCCATTACCCGACAAGTTCCAGCTAATGTTCTCACCGCACGGGCTCTCCCGAACGGTCGTGCCGTCCACCCTCAGTGTGATGGAGACATCCCTGGTGTTGGGGAACTCGTCGCGTGCCGCGATACGAACCTCTCCACCTCCAGAAACAGTCCCACCAAGAATGGACAGGTTGTAGCAGTTCTCGATGAGGACGGCATTGTTGCCATTGTCAGCCAGATCGACGTATCCAATTTCCGCGCCGCCGGACTGGGACACGCAGAAGACGCCGCGACCGCCACCGCGCGAGACGACACGGTCTACGTAGACGTTGGTGTTGTAGCTGCCGTCGACCAGCTGGCCGTTGTTGTTGGCGAAGCGGAGTGTAGCGTAGCCGGTACCAGAACCGACGTTGTTGCCCTCGACGTAGCCGACCTGGACATTCGTGGAGGTCTGGATGAGAAGTCCAGACTCGCCGCAGTTTGTGGCGATGACTTCGCCAATGCTAAGGCCGTCGATGTTGAAGGTCTCCACGGCATGGCTGCCTGCGCCAGTGACGCGGATGCTATCCATGCTCACGTCGGAATTGGACGCAGCGTCACGGTCAAAGCGAATACCAATGCCGCCGCTTAGGTTCATGACGATTTCGCCGAGATGCAGGTTGGACGTGCCATAAAATTGCATGCCGAAATACGGATTGCCCGTCATGGTGAGATAGGGGATCGAGACATCGGAGGTGTCTCGGGAGCGAATGGCTCCACGGGCGTTGTTGAAGCCGACATCGAGCGTCCCACAGACCTCAAAGGTCTTGCCGCTGGAAATATCGATGCTGCTCGCACCAATGCTACCTGAGGCAAGGACCGATACGCGCTGCCCGGCGGAAATAGAGTCAATGGCAGTCTGGATGGCCAGGCGGTAGTCGGAGCCAGCATAAACCTGGCCGCCATTAGCGGTAGCAACGTAATTTCCGCTGCTCCCGCCAACGGTCGCTTCCGGGCTGCCAGCGCCGCATTGTGCGTAGGCAGTCGCGGCAAAGGCCAGGAGGTTGGCGAGGAGTGAAATGCGAGCCATGGTTCTGGGGAGGGAATCGACAAGGCTGGGGATGGCAATCAGAAAGTGGCTCTGTACGAAACACTTGCGAACTATCAGAGATCATGTTTATATATACCTGCGCTGTGCGCGATTCGCGAACATTGGAGGAAAATCTGGATGTCGGAGCGTCAGGCTCCGTCCGGGAAACAAGGCTCAGATCTGCTCCATGCATCAACCTATAATTGTGCATGAAACCCATAACGTCGCATCCCAACTGCCGGCTTCGGTATATCATTGGCGCGGGAGGAAATTTGGGGTCGGATACATTCGGATTGATGAAATCTGGGGTTGGCGGGCAGGGGTGAAAGGGATCCCTGAAACAGGTTTCTCCGTTTCGCGATCTCGTCGTAATCATAGCCCGGAAACTTTAAGTTCATGCTTATTCTGAGGAGCTTATATCGCCCGAAGTTCCGATCCAAATGCGGGGGATTCAAATCTGCTGCTCATGTACCCTCGCGGGCAGACGACTGTACGATATATATCACCAAAGACAGGAGGCCCGAGTGACAACCAGCTGCTCGAAGGCCTCAGGACAGCGCTAAGTGGTCAAGCTTGGCATGCCTGGGTTTCACATGGGAACAAAACAAAGAAGAGAAAATGAATTATAGAGACTAGTTGCCAACATGGATGTTGTAGCCAAGCTTGGCTGCTTGAGTATGATTACGACAGTTCGAACGGCGGGTGGTTGCGAGAGTTGACGCCTAACGAGGCATGCCCTCGACAGGGTAAATGAAAATACATGGACGCACTAAATTCCACCAGCTTCAAGATGAAATCGCTCGGTAGTTAGACTTCGCGAAGTGGGCACAAAATCTCACAAATGAAGAAGGGAGTCGCCCACGGGCCTAGTCGTCAGAACTCGTGCTATATAAGAGGAGGGAATCACTCTTGAAGAGACCGTACAGAATGACCCACGGCTTAATGGTCGCGAGAAAAATGGGGCATACTAAGTTAGTAGTCAACTAGATCAAGATGGAACAGAAGCTCCGAAAATCCACGTTGTACATTTCATATCCCGTCAAGCAAGGACGATACTCTGAAGACATGTCGCGGGGTAAACTCTTACAAAGACGTCGACGTGATGCGACTACTCGCAGGCCGTGACGCCATCATGATCCCAAGACAATTCTCCAATCGAGCCTACAACAATTCAACCCTTTGCCATAGAAATCTTGCAGACCCGGGGACGATGACGGTGGTGCCACCGCACAATGATTCACGACAGTCTAGCGAGCCCGTGAGCTCATGGACTACTTATAACCCCTGGCCCCAGAATAATTACACAGAAATTGATAGTAATCTAGATCTTCTATCTTCCTCGCTGGTCACTTTTCCACATTATGTCCAACTCTGTAGCCCCAAAGATCGAATCTGCGAATAAGGAGTATGCCTCCACATTCGAGAAGATCACCATCGGCCCAGCGCCAACACAGTAGGCCCCCTTTACTGCCCTTCTGATGTCGTGCCGCGCGTGCAGAGTTCCTGACAATCCTCCAAGTCATTTCTTAGTGCTAACATGCATGGACGCACGCCTTGACGTCTTCCGCATGTTGGGCCTTCAGATCGGCGAGGCGCATGTCATTCGCAATGGCGGCGGACGTGTTCCTGACGCACTGAGGTCCATCATCTGCTCGCAGCAACTTCTGGAGACACGAGAGATTATCATCGTTCATCACGTGGGTTGCTCATCGTCGACTAGTCTGCCGTCGTGCTGACAATACTAGACTGACTGCGGGTTCACACATTTCAACGAGGAGGAGCTGCGATCTAAGATCAGGAAGGACATGAACCACGTGGCTGATCACCTGGCATTCATGCCCTTCACTGATGTCAAGCAGAGCGTGCTCGATGATATCCATCTGCTTAAGAACGAGCCTTTGGTGATGAATGTGCCCATCACGGGGTACGTGTACCACACCGAGGTGGGGAAGCTTGAGAGGATTCAGCAGTAAATCAACGGGACACATAGGTGGTGTTTATCTGCGGTACGCAGATGTTATTCCTTGAATTTACGCTGGAAGGTCTTCACGAGCTCTGTCGATCGGGATGCTGGACGTCGAACCCACTTGCAGCGGATGTTTGGTCATTGACAGTTGCTAGAACGAGTCAATAACTGTTCAAGAGCGAAAGCTTCATGGGAGATCGCATAGTTCAGATATGGTGACACCAGACTGTAACACACGATGCATGGAGCATCTGACCTTGCCCAATTTGCCCGAAGGGAACATACTGGGAGCACGAACAGCGCCACTTGTCCGTAAAGAAGGGGGACCAAGGGAATAAAAGAACCGATTGTTATCCGGGGGAATTATACAATCCATTCCACCACTGTTTGGGCCCTACTCCAGTACATGCATGGCTCATCTCAACCGTACGGCACAGCTTGCGCGCCCCTGGATCGGATCAACATCAATCGTCCCTCTCGAGAGCCCGGCTTCCTTCCAATCTACATGAGGATCTATGCTCCAATGAACAGCTGACAGCACACGTTCATATGCACCATTTTTCGATAGACCTAGACCGGTCGCTCGCGCTGACCCAATCCCATGTCAGCAACAGCCCAGTCCGGACATCATTGAACACGTATGACGGTCTGATTCGCTTCAGATTTCGGATACATGCTGCGCAATGCAGCCCATTCGCCCCTCAGCAGCCACCATGAAGCAGTACTTATATGAGAGAGTACGGCTTCAAATAGAAGCGGGCGTGTTGCTCGTTCGGCCTCGTCAGGCAGGACGAGGATGGATGCGCACGCCGTCCAGCGCGATCCCGACTATGGCATGTCGCACGTCACAAGTCTTCGCCAAACGGAGTATCCGTATCTTGACCAGCAGAAGCACACGTATCTCGACTATACAGGCGCGGGTCTGCCCTCCATCACCCAGGCGGTAGCACACCATGCCCGGTTGACGAGCACAGTAGCAGGCAATCCTCACTCGATCAGCCCAGCCTCGGGCACGTCCACGGCCCTCGTTGACGAGACTAGGCGTCGCATCTTCCGTTATCTCCACGCCGCGCCAGAGGAATATGCCGTCATATTCACGACAAATGCGACGGCAGCGGCGAAACTGGTCGGCGAAGGATACCCCTTTGACAAGAGGACGAGGCTGGTCTTGACAGCGGATAACCACAACTCCATCAACGGCCTCCGTCGGTACGCGCGACAGGCCGGCGCAGACGTGGCGTACGTCCCCATCTCGGACGCCGACAGCTTGCGAATATCCACGTCTGACGTCGGACAGGCACTTCCAAAACTAAACGCTCCCATGAGGGCGTCATGCTCATTCTTGCGTCCACATCGCCGTGCCCGAACCGGCCTCTTCGCGTACCCTGCCCAGAGTAACTTCAGCGGCGTCCACCATCCTTTGTCGTGGGTCTCGTTAGCCCAGTCGAGGGGGTACACCGTTCTGCTCGACGCAGCCGCCTACCTGCCCACCACTCCTCTCGACCTATCACGCTGCAAGGCTGACTTTGTGATCTTAAGTTGGTACAAGGTCTTCAGGTTCCCTACGGGCGTGGGATGCTTGATCGCGAGGCACGATGCCCTGGCGACCCTCGAGAGACCGTGGTTCTCAGGCGGCGCCGTGGACATGGTGACAGTAGGGCGGGAGTGGCATCGAATGGCTGACGGCGGTCAAGCGTGGGAAGATGGCACGCTGAACTTTCTCGTTATCCCTGACGTCCGCGTTGGACTGGACTTTTTCGTCCACACAGTAGGGTACGACCCCTTGCGCAAAAGGCTCCGACTGTTAACGAGGTGGTGCATCGACACTCTGTCCTCGCTGCGGCACAAATCGGGCCATGGTGTCTGTCGTATATATGGCCCACGAGACGCGGAAGGGCGAGGAAGCACGATTGCGTTCAACGTGCAAGATGTCGCGGGTGTCCTGGTGGATGAGAGTACTTGGTCGCCCGAGACGCGGCAGCACGCAACATCTCCATCCGTGCCGGCTGTTTCTGCAATCCTGGCGTTGGCGAGACCGTGAGCGGGGCGAGTAAGGAGGTCTTGCGAGCGTTCGCCCAGGAACGGGACAAAGATCGCGGTGGCATGGGGGCCGTCCGCATCTCCCTCGGCATCGCCTCGACCGTCGGGGATATAGAAACCTTTGTTAGCTTCATTGAGGATACGTACAAGGACAGGAAGCTCAGGTAAATGAGATTGCAAGTATAAAAGTTTCAAAACTGTCAATGTCGCTATGTGTTCGTGTGTGCCAATTGACGTTCGTGCCCAGCCTACCCGAACCACCCATTTAAACCCAAAACCAAGTAACAACGCCGTCCTCATGAATCCATCTATACATTGTATGTGTGACAAGGGGAAGGATGCCTATGCGGTATTTGCAATCCAGTGATTAATGTAAGTTAAGTCGTGTATGTGCGAAAGGTGTTTAGAAAAGGAATGACAGCACGAAAACGAGACACGTGAACACCGTGGTGATCGTGTAATCAAATTCGTACCAAAGATCCTCCCCGCCAAATGCAATCTTCTTGCTGGAGGGAGTGGGGTGGGCAACTCCAGTCTTGGGATCCCTGATCAACAGCTGCTCGCGGGCTGGGACGGAGGGAGGATCGATGGCGTATGAGATGGGTGTCCAGAGCGAGCTGCAGATGAAGATGAAAGTAAGCGGTGGCCAGAAAGCATGCGTCAGCAGACAGATGAGCTTGTCGTGCAGGGTCTCCGAGATGGATACGCAGCGATACGACGCAATGGTCGCGGCGACGAGGGTGGAGTAGACAAAGAGCAAGTGGTAGATGGACCAGTAGTTGATCAGAATAGCCCACATGCGTCTTGCCAGTCCCTTCCTGTGCTGAGGGTCTCGCTCATTGAGCGCCGAGTCCAGGGAGCCTGTAGGCTTGAATGCTTGAGCCTCTCCACCGAGCCAGGTTGGCAAGATGAACGCCCTGATGATGCAGAGTGCAATGTAAGGGGACATCCACATCTCATAGCGGGCGCCACGTCGACCGGTGCGATAGCCAGCGGGCATGGACAGGACAAGCTCGCAAAGACGGTTGGCCATCAAGGAGGCAAAGCAAGCGCGAATGAGCCAACGAAGCTGGTTGTCGGTGGAATAAGCGACGAGAGGCTTGCCCATGGCCAGGATGATGGGGATGGCAAATAGCGATACGGAGAGCATAATTGTGTAGAGGTTCAGCGTCGCGTACAAGAAGCCAGAAAATCGCTGCGCAACGGACATGTCGCGGACCTTGTCACCCCACAGGGAGAAGTTGAGCTTGAACGACGTGTCGACAGTGCCAATCGCCCAACGGGTGCGCTGTTTCAAGTGGCCGCCAAAGTCTTCGGGAACTGTGCCAAACTGGAGAGGCTCGTGAACGTAGGCCGTCTTCCAGCCGCGACCCAAGAGGTGAGTAGAGGTGGCCACGTCCTCAGCGAGCGAACCCAGCGGAAAGTTGCCAATCTCATCCAGAGCATCGCGACGAACGACGTAGCCAGAGCCAGTGCACCACGCAACACCCATGGCGTCCTTGATGGGCTCGATCACGTGTACAAAGAAGTCCAGACTCTGTGCCAAGGGGTCGCCGCGGGGAGTATTGTAGAACAGCTGGGGTGGGCAAGCCATAGCCACCTTTTCGTCGCGAAGCAGATGGGGAAGCAACGCACGCAGCCAGCACGACTCGGGGATCATGTCGGCATCCAGCGCAGCCATGTAGAAACCAGCGCCGCCAGGGAGCGTGTGAACGTGGTCCAGGGCGTAGTTGAGGTTACCGGCTTTGAAATGGTGAGGGACTCCTGGGAACTTGGGGCGCGCAACGTAGAAGGTGTTGGGATATGTGTGCGCTATGGCACCCATTGCCTTCTCGAGGCTGGCAGACTTCCCGTCATCCAGCAGCAGAACACGGAAGCGATCCTTGGGGTAGTCCTGATTGCACGCTGCAATCACCGTGTCCATGACCACATCGTCATCCTCGCCGCAGCATGTAATAAAAACGTCCACAGTGGGCACCTCCTGGCCGACAAGCCTCAGCTTCGGACGACCGCGATTCTTGATGGCCATCATTGTCCACATATTGTGCATCAGCGGGGGAATGGCCACGCAGAACTCAATGGCGATGAAGACCCAAGCCTGGATGTAGACCTCGTTAGCCGCGTTTTGCGCGTAGACCACGCACGTGATGCGGAGCGTCAGGTAGACAACGTAAAGGATGGCGTTGAGAATGGTGAGGACAGGAATGGCATAGTAGACCTTGCGCCTCCAGCCCTTCCAGAAATCAGAGTCATCGCGCTCGTGTAGACGAGCAATGCCGGAGTCGCCCTTGACCGGAGCCTGGGCGAGCACGGGAGAAGCTGGACGCGAGAGAAGGTTTGTGTGGCTTGCGGAGAAACTGTGTTGGCTTTGGTTCATGGAGCTGTTCCTGTTGCCGAGGGGAGTTGTGCGCCCACTGTCGCCGCCGCCGTAGACGAAGCCAGGCGAAGGGGACTCTGCTCGGGGGTCAAAGTTGTAAGGCTGCACCGGCTGGTGGTACTGGTGAATGGAGTTGCCTGTCAGAGTGTTGGTGCTGGAGCCCCATGGCGAAGAGGTGATGCCAGTCGCTGTCGAGGCGCTGTCGGGCTGGACTGTCGCAATAGGCCTTATGGGCCTTGCCAACTCTCGAGGCGAACTCTGGCCTGATTCGGGTGCAAAGTGGCGTGGACTCGGGGGCGGTTGTCGAAGGATATCGATTTCAAATTCGTCGGGTGGGGAGGACTTCATGATGGCTGAATCTTCCGGTGCTACACGAGCAACCCAGACGATGAAGAGAACGAGTGGCTAGAGGAAGCGAGTCCCCTTGAGGAGCGCCGTCTTAGCTGGATTAGTACTGCGTAGCGTGGAAGGTTACCCCGGTTGGTGGTTGTTGAGGTAAGGCAAGATGGAAAAGTGTGTGCAAGACGGGGAGTTTGTCTGACGGACGGAACTAGGAGCAGTCGGACACAATAGGGGATGGATGGAGGGATGAGAAGATACCGTACCGCCTGGAGGAAGGCACGCTGGGAGGGAGCAGTACGTATAGGCATGATGGTGCCGGCACGTAGGTACTCCGTACGTCTGGTATGGCAGGAACGGAATTTGGAGGATGCCACTGCTAACACAGGGCGCGTCAGAGAACAGTGGATATCTGCTAGTGACAAAGGCAGCTTCGTTTTCTCGATTTGAAGTTAGCCTGTCGCATCTGACGAATGAACCTCGCGAATTGTCGATTGCTCGGCCCCTCTGGTGAAAAGTTCCCATGCATTGTGGCCCATGGTCTGTTGACGTTGCGCCTTGCAGTCACGCGCACTGTGCGCTGTGTCGGAGGGATCTGAGTCGGGCCCACCCCTCGCGCCTCGTATGCACTGATCTCCACCATCACAGGGGCTACAGCAGCCGCATGCAGTGGCCCTGCAGGACATGACTTTGAAGTTTGCAGCGCTTAGCTGGACGTCACTCCTGGCGCGCGCTCAGGGGTCGGGGGCCAGATCAGCGTGTCACGCGCTAGGCGTCCCCAGCACGCCAATCACGTCCAGGCTGCAGAAGCAAAGTTGAAAATCTTTTGCTTATCGGGTTGTGGGAGCAACCATGTCGAGCCTACCATCTGCTCTAGTAAGGTAGCGCTCACCTTCGCGCTCAGTCGGTCACTGTAGGCAATAGATCGCGAGTATGCAGGACTGGAATAAGGACTGGATTCTGGAAACTAGCAGAAAGTGCCATCTGCTGAAAACGCTGAAAACAGCACCCTCGCGCCTGGATACGAGATCATGCAAACCTTATCCCACGCTGGAGCCGGAGTCAGCGGACTAGGGCCAATGGGCGGGTCTGCAATCCCTGTCAACGCGCTGATAACGCTATCTGAAAATAGGTAACCCGCTGCAATGTACAACTTTTGCACTGCCAAAGCACGCCGGAGGCCCCAGGGACTGTTATTGCCGAGCGCGCCGCATTGGCGTGCCGGCTATCTCGGGAGCGCCTCGTACACGCAAGGACCGAAGTGGGGACTCGGACAAGACACTTCACACAAGCTCCAGCTGCCATGTCTCGTGTCCAGCCCACTGGGTTCTGGAAGCTCAGAGTGGTCTCATATCATAGGAGTTAACTTGTGAAGAGGTGGCGGACACGCCGTCACGAAGAGGCAACGCTGTGCAATGCTTCATCGTCACGACGCAGCCTCGTCATTGACGACGAAAGAGCGTAATAGCTCAGCAAACCGCACACGGTTTGCGCGCTTGGCATCAAGCTTAAAGGTCCAAACTCTGTTGGCGCAGCCACATTCCGATCAGGAACAAAGCCGTAATTCCAGGCTGGACTCGCTGGAGTGGCATGTCTGCGGCCTTTGAAGATGGACGTTAGCAGTGGTGGCACTGCCCCCTTTTCCACATTAGTCGCCCGATTCTCTTCGCGATCAGCAAGCTGAGCTGGAGCTGGCTTATCAATGACCATCTCAGGCCGCCATACTGTGTGAACTAGACCCATCGTGCACGGTAGCGCCAACCAGACTGTCCCCCTGCGCCATCGGCGAACTCCATGCAATTTCCTCTGGTGCCTGCATCACGTCCTACCCACAACTCCCACGAGCCGCTGTCTAGGCCGGTTCCATCCTTGCAAGATTGCCATCATCCATCCCACCTTCACTCGCTTTTCGCCTTGCCTGGTAGCCTCTTGTTGCAGGACGTGCCATATATGCTTATCATCATTGTTAATCTGTTGTCTCTGGGATTGGGAAATATTTTGGATACTGCAACTTCCTCCGACCTTCGATCAGCGTTCTAATTAGACACGAGCAAAAGAGAGAAGAAGAAGAAGAAAGCCGACATCGTGGCAGTTCACCCGAAGCCGCCATACTAGGCCGGCCACTCGTTCATCTCTTTGGAAAACGCCCGCCTTGACGGTGCAGACACTCGTTAACTCACAACAAGCACATCATGGGCGCCCTGTCAATACTGAGCGGCGTGCTCGCGCTGCTGCCTATCATCTGCTCTCTCGCAGTCTTGATCGGTCTCGACGTTGGCCGTGGTCCCTCGTCGCCGCCACTGTTCAGTCCTGAGCAGCCGAAAGGTCCTGATGGCAAACCACTGGGTAATGGCATCAAGCACAAGTCATACTGCGACGAGACGATTGGTATCTCGCCGCCTGCGGTGGGCGATCACTACACGCGTAAGTCTCGTCCGTCCTTGCGACGGAGGCGCCAGTGGCTAACAGAATCGCAGTCAACCCGAATCCATGGAATTGGAAAGAGGGCGACGATGGCAGTCTCTGCCTCAATGTCACGACGTTCAACAACCAGACGTATCCAACCGATTCCTCCGCGCCCGAATTCTCCGTCACATGGCAGTACCCTCCAGGGCCGCCGTCTTCGCCTGTGTACGCTTACCCCAACATCAAGGTCGACTCTGGTGTCTTTCCCAATCAAATTAAGAAAATTGACGAGATGATGCTCGACTTTGAGTGGACGTATGGCGTGGGCAACCTGACGGTTGAGACCACGGACAAAAAGGCACTCAACGCCAGCAACGTCAACGCCAACGTCGCGCTCGATTTGTTTTTGGACCAGGACAAGAAGAAGGCGCAGATCAGCGAGGATGCTAGTATCGAAATCATGGTGTGGTTCGCGGCGTTTGGGCCCGCGACGCAGCCCATCGGTCAGTCAGACGGCTCACTGGATGAGCAGGAGCTTGACGGTACCAAATTGTAAGTTGATCTAGACCGCAGTCCTATTACCCCGGTGCTGACTCCTTCATAGCAAGCTGTACTCTGGAAGAAACGGCGCCGACCAGTTCGTCCTGACCTGGTATGCTGAGAACCCCGCCTCCAAGTTCCACGGCGACCTCATGCCACTCGTCGACCGCCTCGTCGAAATGGGCGACACCAACTTTCCCACCAAGTCCGACTACATCGGTTACATGGCTGTGGGAACCGAGACGTACTTCTCCGACGACTATGTCACATTCCACGTGCCCCAACTCGCGATCGACGTTCACTTGAAGGGTTAAATGCTGCAGCACCATGCACAAAGCAATAAGAATGCGGTCACATTGCACACGCGCACACACATACATGTGTTGCGCACGTTACACGTCTTGGAACCCCGGGGACTGGGTGCCACATGCAATTGCCGCTCTGCGCCCGGTTTGCCAATCGGGTAATTCAAGCTGGTCCAAACTGGCAAGTCTGCCGCCGCACCTGGGTGCAGTCGCACCAGGGATTTCGATTTAGGATAAATGAGCGAGTCTTGGGAGATTCTTTTTTTGGTTGAACCATGCACGCAGCACATACATACGGCGCCGGCGCAGCGGATTGATTGAATTTTGCCATGACGAGGCCAGGTTGGTGGGATAGAGGCACACGCTCAGCCTCCGTGCATAGAACAGTGTTCTACCAGAAGCGACGTTATACGTAAGCGCAACAGCATGATGAGATATAATACAATAGATTCAAATTTGAACATCTCTCCTAGTCCGGTTTTCTAGCGCCGAGTCTACTTCTGCAAAACAATGATTCGAGAGGTTTCCTCAAAGTTGGGCGGCGGGCGCAAACACATGTCGAAGACCAATGTACATATGAGTATTGGCATACCCTACAGCCCAGGACACTTTGACTTTCAACAACCGTCCGCGTTAAATTGAATTGACCGCTCAGTGTAGTACGCCGAGCTTGAAGACTTTATTCCCGTAGTTACCAGTAACAGGTTGAATCGGCGATGACATGTGTCTTCAAGATTCAATCTGGGTTTCTGTCTGGTCGTCATTGATAGAATCCAGAGGTATTTGACGTCAGCATCAAGGTCAAAACTTCCGTGCCGCTCAATTTCAATTATTCATGCCGCATTCCTCCACGGTGAGAAAATTCCTATTCTTCCCGCACAATTCAATGTTTGAGCGCCGAAACTCCACCTCAGCGTCAGACAGGCTGGTTTCAGCGATGCTGGTCTCGAACTCCATTTATTTTCGACTAGCGAGCAAGGCCCGATGCGCCCCACCGACACGCCCGGCGGGCCGACGTTTGTCGTTGTGAACTTGTGGAAGACACGTCTTCGGTCGTGACTCTACGTACGCGTAGTAGACGTCTATTCACAAATCCAGGTAATGGTTGACATGATGTCAGTTCAGGCAGCTCAATCTTCTGCTCAGCCTGGTGATGACAACGATGATAGTCGAATTGGCTCGTCTCCTTACTGTTGACGTCCTCGCTAGCTTACCGCACAAGAATCACGCAGCGTGTGAAAGATCTTCTCCGATTATGATGAGATCTTCGTATACCAAGCAAGTGTTATTCAGGTTCGCCATAGTCTACCCGTAATGCGCCGATAGTGCCTCTGAACTCGAAGTGTGCGCCCTCCCGCCCAAGGCCAGGCTCACCGGCCTGACTGAAAAGTGAAAATCAAAAACAGAAAAGACAAGAACCCCTGGGTGAACACTCCATATCACCGCACGCTAATACAACCCAGAAAGCTGCTTCATCGTGTCGCCCATCAAATCCACGTACTTAGCAAATTGATCCCCGTCTCGACCCTCAATGTCTTCCAAAAGCTGAAGCACACCAGCAATGCGCTGCGTCACCTCGCCACTGGGAGCGGATGCGGCAAGCGATCGGAAGACCTCCATGGGTCCCACAGCAGAAGGCGGCGGGTCGTCGTCGTGTGCTGCGGCCAGCTCCATGCACTGCTTCGCCCGAGCTTGGAGTACTTCCAACTCCTGATACATGTGAGCCACCTCCTGAGCGAAAGACGGAACGCCCTGCTGCTGGGTAACACTGCCAGCGCCTGCCATGAACCGGGAGAGAATGGCCTTCTAGGGCAAACAATCCTCGGTGGAGGGGATGTCGAAGCCAGCAGCCTTGTAGCAGGCGGCGGCCACGACCATGTAGCCGCTGTCCTTGGCGTTCTCGAGGCAGACGGGTGATGTGGGAATCACGCGCGGTGGCTTGTCGAATTGGAGAGCCTTGCTCATGACGTCGGTGATGTATGTGCGGACGTGGTGCTGCAGGCCCAAAGAGGGACAGAAGTCGTACGCGTAGACGAAACGGTGGCGTTCGTCAACGTGCAGAAGGAACCAAAGCGTCGAGTTGGAGGCGTCCTTCTCACCTGAATTGACTGATTCGCCTGAACGCTCATTGACCGGAACACCAATGATGGAAAAGATGGAACCAGTCGTGCCAGCGCTGTTGTTAGTCAACGGCTGGTCGAGCTCAGCATCCAGGAAGGTCGTCGGACAGATGGAGCACTCCGCGACGAGCTTGATGCATGTTTTCATGGAGGCTTCGGTCAGCTCCCCGGATGAAATACGTTCGGGTCCCGGCAGTTGAGTGATACTAGGGATTTCGAACTTCGCACTCTGGGGCGTGATAGGCAACGGCGTTGTCTCAAGCGCAGATTTGTGGCCTCCATCTGCATGCGCGGCAGCTGTCTCGTCCACAGATGCACGAGGCTCGGAAACGTGCTGGTGCTGAATCGCATCGTCGAATTCGCATGTGGGCTTCACATCCACGATGGCCTCATTGGCCGGCGTTTCGAGGGCGGACTTGATTTCTTCGATGACACTTGGAGCATTTCCCTCGTGGAAATACTCCTGTTCAAGGTCGATGCTGCGGTCGTCATCAATAGTGTCGAGCGTTTTGGTGTCCTCACGGTCCTCCGATGCGCGGACTGAAGGGACAGAAGTCAGCGTCTTCTCGACCTTCAGGGTTTCCTTGGTGTCCTCGAGGTGAATCTCATGCTTGAGCTTCGAACTCTCAACGAGGGCAGGCGGTGGTGGGGGGCGCGGAGTATGTGTCAGCTTGAAAGGACTCGACGGCTCTGGGGCGTCTCCGCCATATTCATGTTCCGTGTCGGGCGCCGGGGTTGCTGAGCGTCGGGCCGCAGGTGCGATGATGAGCTCCATTGTGTTGCTCTGATGGACTGGGTCTGTGACTGGTTAGCAGCTGCAGTATGTGGTGTTGAATCCACAATCTGTGGTAACTTGCCGGCTTTCTTCTTGGAGGACGCGTTTGCTTTTCCAGAGTTAACAGGCGTAAAGACGTTGTCGATGATCTTGGACTTGGTAGAAGGAGAAGCTTCCGAGGCCGAGTTCTTTCGCTTCTTGCGAGGTGTGCTAGACGGAGGAGGGCTAGGCTTCTCGTCAGGAGGCTCAGTCATGCTGTCTCGACCTCTTTTCTTGGTGGTGGGCAGCCTGGATATTGTAATGCCCAGCTTGTCAGCGGCCACCTGGATGTCAGGGACTGTCAATTTCGTCCTGTATTTGTTGCCTCCAGTGTTGTCTCTCCTTATCTGCATAGCGGCCTCCAACTGCTCCAGGACGTTGGGGAACGGCTTCTCTTCCAGCTTGACGACATAGCGGATGAAATTGTCCGTTTCGGCTGCGAACTCCTCTCTGGCCTCATCACCCCAGACTTTTCCAAGACGATGAATGAGTTTCTCACGCACAGAGGGCTTGTTGGACGAAGAAGTGTCTGCTTCCTCCATCGTCGGAGCTCTAGAGGATCTCTCTATCTCTTCGCGGAGTTGGTCAAAGAACTTTGCTCGCTCCTTTCGAGTGTGTTCTTCAGCGAGAGCTTGTTCTCGCTCGAGTTGGCTTTGAGAAGGTGGGCTGGGGGTCATGGGAAACGCAGGAGGGAAGCATGAAGGGAATTGAAGGTGTAAGGGTGAGGTGAAAGAAGGACGGGAGGCAGGGAGAGCGCTCTTGGTTTAACTTGATCTAATGCTCGTGTGAGTCACGGGTTCAATGATATTGTGCTGCTTGAAAAGCTGAAAGAAGATGAGGTGAAATTGAGTATTCTCACATCCCAAGAGCAAGTGAGAGAGCCAGTGACCAGCTGACCAGCACATAATGCCCGTGAGTTGAGGCTTCCATAACGAATTCTCATGCTCAAATAACTTCAACTTGAACACATCCAGTCAACTGCCTCATATTAATAAGCTTAAAGGCTATATTCACACATGGAACATCTTGGAATATTGTTCTGAGGTTTATTGACCCTCATGCAGGCAAAAGCATCGCGGGAAGCCACAGTCGGGATCACGATGAGACCGGACGATAGTGAACATGAAGTGAACAATAACGGACTCACACGACACTACGTCGATCTCATCCTCGGCGAAGCCAACTTCTGCTCTAAATTATTCGGCTAGTTTCTTAAAGAAACGACCCAACTGCGTGTAGGGTATGCTAACTTTTGATCTCTAGTCAAATCATAGGTGACTTGGAGTCACATGAGCTTCTCGCAGAGGTACGATTTGCCTGACCTTGCCCATTCGAGAGCTGAACATCGAATGTGAAGAGCTCCGGCTTGGCTCAAGTACGAGCTCCGCCTTGCGGTGAGTCTCGACTCAGCACGAGCTGACCAGACACCGGCCTCAGAGTCAGTCCGCCTTTTTCGTCAGCACACTGTTTCTCTGCCTCAGTGAATATGCGAGAATTGCTCGTATGAATACTTCTGGCTGCCCCGTTCTGGCTGCCCCGATCTGTCTGCGATTCTGGAGAGTGTTTGTACTCCGCCCTTGAGCATAACGCCCGACAATATAGGCGTTGTCCACTTTATCACGATAAACACGAGCGGCAAAGCCAGCACAGATGCCAGCACATCGTCATCATGCCGCCATGCGACCTCGATACGTACACAGAGGCCCGCCTCATTACCCCATCTTTCTCAAAATAGACCGTCTCTTCAGTTGCATTGCGGCTGTACTTAATTGACGGTCACTCGATCGAACCTGGACCCTTGTGGGGATGCAACGATGCTATGCCCCATATGGCAACTCCTGGACCATTGCCGGCAGGTCGTTGGACTGTGCCACGGCAGCTGACATGGGTGACACCGCAGATCTTCTCGTGTTCTTCTGGCTCGGCGTCGGCGACAGATTTTATACTGCGCGTCGGTGGTGGATTAGCTGGCAGGCTCACATCATCCAGAAGGCACGTCTCTTGGCCAGTGGCTTGGGCATCGTCATGATCGCATCAAGTGCCATAAGGCGAGACTGGCTTGATCGTCCGTGTAACGACGAAATGTGTATATAAGGCCATGGACTCTTGCTTCCAAGGATAGGGCAATTTCATCACTGCTCTCATCTTCGAAGCTCATAAGACACCATAGCGACGACAGACTCACACACAACAACGAACCTCAAACACCACAAAACATTTCACCATGCTCGCTCAAAGCCTGGTCACGCTCTTCCTCGCCTCTACGGCCTTTGCTGCCCCGGCTCGCCGCCAGCAGCTCAAGTCCATGTCCTCGGCGGCTGCCAAGGAGTGGACCGTGCTGGACATGAGCCGCGACTGCAACAAGGACGACACCAAGTGCACCTGGACCTTTAGCGTTGACAAGAACGAGGACGGCTTTGAGCCCGTGGACTGCGAGTACATCATCGAGGGCGAGCCTGCCTCGGAGACGCCCGGCGTCACCCCCCAGTCCTGCGAGCCCTTCACCATCACCTCGGGCTACGACAGCAGCGGCTTCACTGTCCTGTCCATCGTCGATTACGAGGCGGGCAAGATTGTGTGGGCTGGCTACAATGACGATATCCTCGAGGACGGCGAGACTGTCACCCCCGACCGCAGCTGGGTCGTCTCTGATCTTCCCTGATTGATTGTGGTTGCTGGAACATATCCTTGGATGCTAGAATGCTGTTATGGGTATCATTGGGTTGTCTTTCCTTCAATTTCCCTTCACGTTTGTCAGAATAGATGTCACGTTGGGTTGCTTACGATACACACGATCCTTACCGAATGATATGAAACTTCAACAATGCGTCTGAGCGAATCGACGTGATTGTGACGGAGAGCTGCAATATGTCGGTCCACAAGCGTGGATAGGAAGCCCCTTCAATAGTGCAAGTCGTTGGATATCCAACATAGGAGCAGCCATATTGCCGGCTCGAGCCGTAACCTTTCCGAAAAAACACCCTAATTATGGAGTTATGGATCCAGAACATCACTACGGCTAGGCAAGAATTGGAGTCTCGTGGAGGAACAAGATCATGATCTTTCTGGCTCAACGTGGACGGACTCACGGAACCCCTATGACGTCATCGAACGTCCACATCAGCCTAAGGTATATTCATCAGACTGCTTCGAAACAACACGCGCGGCGACTGACTCTCCCCATACTCTTGAAACTGCAATCATTCTCATCATCACTCACTCAACACAATGCCCGGCGACAAGCTTAACTTCAAGTGTGCCGTCATCACAGGCGGCGCTGGGGGTATCGGCCGCGCCATGGCCGAGTACTTCATCGCCAACGGCAAAAAGGTCCTCCTTGCAGGCCGCACGGAATCCAATCTGCAGGAAACGAGCAAGGCCATTGGCGCGGCCGGCTACTATGTCCTCGACACGGGCAAGACAGCTGACATTCCGTCCTTTGTCGAGAAGATCACAAAGGAGCACCCCGAGCTAGACTGCCTCGTCAACAACGCCGGTGTGCAGCGGCCGATCGACGTTACCAAGATGGATGCCGTCGATTTCCTGTCCAAGGCAGACCAGGAGATTGATATCAACATCCGCGGACCCATGCATCTGGCACTGACATTGTTGCCGCACCTCCAGTCCAAGCCATCGGCGACCATCATCAATGTCTCGTCCGTCTTGGGCTTTGTGCCCTTCTCCATCATAAACCCGGTCTACAACGGCACCAAGGCCTGGCTGCACTCGTGGAGCATGACCCTGCGCACGCAGCTGGCGCAGGCGGGCACCAACGTGCGCGTGGTGGAGATTGCGCCCCCCATGGTTGAGACGGACCTGCATCGCGAGAGGGTCGATCCGGACGACAACAAGAAGGAGAAGAACGCAATGGCTTTGAGCTTGAAAGAGTTTATGGATGAGATTTCGGTGAAGCTGGAGAACGGTGATGATATGATCACGGCTGGGCCTGGCAATGACATGGTGCGGAAATGGTATGACGCGTATGGGGCAGTTTACTCCAAAGCTTCTGGTGGGAAGTAGCAGAGTTTGAAGAAATGAACAGAGTAATAAATGCGGACACTTTTCAGCCTGCAATGCTGTGCTACCGCCAGCTATCAAAAGTGACGAGCGGCGTGCTTCATCAACACCCGTCGAGCTTCATGTTCATGTTTGCAAGGCGAACATTGCATAACCTGTCACTTGCACGCTCACTCCACAATGTCAGTCCTCGAACCAGCTACCGCCAGAACTGTTCGGACTCGCATCCAAGTCCTTGGTGTCCCGTATCTCGGTCGTGACGATATATAAGTGGCATCTCACGGGTTCTGTGCGTCGAGCAACCCCTCGCGGCGTTCACAACCTGACTGCCCGCGGTGCCAAACCTCTGACGACAAGGCCGCTATTCCGGTATGCTTGCGACGTCGATGCTGAGCCGCTGCACCGCTACACAAAAGGTGGTTATCATCCTACGCACCTCGGAGACCAGTTGAAGCATGGGCGGTATCGCGTCCTGCACAAGCTGGGCTGGGGCGGCCACTCGACCGTCTGGGCTGCCAGAGACGAAGAGAAGGGACGTTACGTCGCAGTCAAGATATCCGTCTCAGAATGGCAGTCTGAACAAGCGAATCGACAACTCCAGGTCATGCGCACGATTGCAACGTCGTCTCTGCAGAACGCGGGTGCTGCATCCGTGATGAAAGTACTGGACCACTTTGAGCTTGACGGTCCCAACGGCACCCATGAGTGCTTGGTGCTGGAACTCCTTGGTCCAAGCGTGTCTGATATTGTCGATGTCCGATTTGTTGGCGACAGACTTCCCGCTGCGCTTGCGAAAAAGGTTGCGCGTCAGACTCTCCTTGGCCTTGACTATTTGCACCAACACGGAATTGGACATGGAGGTATGTTTTGCCCAGAGGTCAAGTCCCAGCTCCGCATGTCCGCTAAACAGAACAGACCTTCATGCGCGCAATATAGTCTTCACCCTCTCCCTGTCGGACTCGAGTGGCGAGGACGAGCTGTCGAGGATATTGGGGCGACCCGAACTTGGACCAGTTCGACGAGTAAATGGTGAACCAACTGAGCCGGGGGTACCAGAATATCTCGTTTGACCTACATCATGTCCGGTGCATACATCTTTGTCTGAGTCAATCAAAATCGTGGACTATGGAGAATCATTCTTTGATACGGAACCCCCGGTGACTCTCCACACACCACTTGCTGTACGCGCGCCAGAGGTCGTATTTGAAGACAATTTTGATCATCGCGTGGATCTATGGAGTATGGGTTGTCTGGTATGTGCTTTCTACTTTTTGCAGTCTATCATAAGGCGTGGACAGAGCTGCTAACCATGTGGGCAGCTATTCGAGCTCTTTGCTGGGCAAACCCCGTTCGACGTCTTAATGTTGACTCCTGGTATACTCACTGGCCAAATGGAGGATTTTGCTACCGACAAGCTCCCGAAGCGCTGGGTAGAGCGGGCCAACCGCCTCAAGGAGGAATCGATAGACTTTGTCCAGGCGGGACGCGAGGAAGAGGGAGCCGTGAGCACCCACACGCTGCAACAGTGGCTGGAAGAAATCTACTTTGATCAAGGCAAGAGTGCAGAACTGAGCCTCGAGGACGTCCGTAAACTGGCAGAGCTCGTGAGTAAGATGCTCTACTTTGAGCCTTCCTCGAGAGCGACTGCCTCAGCTTTGCTCAAGGACACCTGGTTGAGCTGAGGGGGTTAAGTTGGAGCTGTTCCTGTTGACGGGTCATGGTTTGAGCAGCCGCTGGACATATATGTTAGCGGTTAATCAACAAGACAAGACGTCGAGGGGGGGAAAAAAGAAGCTAGACTCATGAAGCCGGGATTTGATGTTGCCCACCCTCTGACCAAAGTGGCAAGCTAATGTTGAAGTTGCTTCCCTACATGCAGTAGCACAGGTCTGTCGTCTGACGTGCTCGTGTTTGTGATGGTCTTTATCGCTTTACCCGAGAGCCGGTCGACTGTCTATCCCAGAGCAACCACAAGGTCAGGGCACTATATCAGGGCAAAAAGACAAAAGGGAAAGCCCAGACAAGCTGGATGTTGGGACAACTGGACGAACAGGGAATTGAACCCTGGACCTCTTCCATGCTAAGGAAGAATCATACCACTAGACCATTCGCCCGAATGGTTGATGAAAGAAATGGTGAAAATGCGGGATATATTCCTGGTGCGCTGCAAATTCTCTCGGCCGACCTCCAGTGGATAACCCGTCGGGACTGAAATGCCTTAAGCGGAAAATGCGGGGGGCGGCAAGTGGTTCAAGGCTTCAAGCGTCTCGAGTCAGTTGGTGGACTAATTGTGCGGAGATTCGACGTGAGCGCGACGGAAAAGCAGTCCCTGGACTGGAGGAACGATTGAGGCTGCCTAGAGTACGCCTGAGTGCATGTTAATTACATGTTCATAATCAAAAAGAAGGACTGGAACCAGGTAATCATGCCTCGGTCGGGAAGGATTATTTACCTTAGGAACCTAAGCTTGCGACATGATACCGCCAATGCCCCATCTCGCTCAAAGCGGCTAGATCCGGCGAAGATTCCCCCTTCCCCTCCCTCGTCCTCCTCCACCGTCCAGCGCTGCTTCTTCTCCAGTCCCCTCCTACGACATATCTTACACAACAAGTAACGGGCTCCCATTGTGAGCTTCCGGATCTGCGCAATGCCCGCGGTCAAGAGGCCGTGTTTGCAGTGCAAGGGTATGTTATATATCATTATCCGTCAAGTCACACGGCACTAATGTGTACCCCCCAGAGAGACACGTCAAGTGTAAGCAGCAGCCCCTGCGTGAAATCAATGTGCAGACTCTGACACATCCAACCCGCAGGCGATGAGAAGCGCCCAGTCTGCAGCAGCTGCGAGAGGAAGGCGCTGAAATGCTCGAGACCAAGCAAGAAGACTGTCTTCCGCCACGACACCACGGCCAACTTCTCCAAGGACCAGCGGTGGGTCAACAGCGCACCTCGGCAATGTGAGTTGGGTTCTTCCCATTTGATTCTCACCCCAAGCCTCTGACTTTCCTCAGTTCAGCTTGAGACACAGTCTCTAGATCCAGACGGCGAAGATGGTGGAGAAGACACCACATCATTGTCTTGCCACAGTGAGACCCCCAATGATGAGCGTGCATCTAGTCATGATGCCTCCCCCAGTGTCAGCACTCAGCCGCCAGAGAACAAGCGTCGTCGGACAGAGAAAACCCTGCCGCCTCTGAGCTCCTCCGAGTCTGATCATGTCAATGGGGTGAGTGATCCTGCCAGCCTGCAGAACGTGATCCTGCCTCCTATATGCGAGGGGAACGTGCCGCCGCCCTGGGACTGGACGGGTCCCAACGCGAGATCTGCACTGTCACCTCCGGTTCACCATGAAGACACGGCCCTCCGTCACTTCCCCTTGCAGGACGTCCAGGAGGCCTGCCTGATGCGATACTACATTGATGAAATCGGGCATTGGCTGGACCTCTGCGACGAGGAGCGACACTTCCAGCTCGTCGTCCCGGTCCGCGCGCGTCGACATCCGCACCTGCTCAATGCCGTCTTTGCTGTCGCGGCACGTCGCCTGGCGAGAATGCCACAGTACCAGACGAAGCGAGGCATCGTCTACCAGGGCCAGCACCTCCCCGACCTCGACAGGCACACGGCCGTCGAGTACATGCTGCAGTGCATCCCCGCGTTGCGACGCTTCCACGATACAGAAGATGACGAGTACCGAGATAGCATCATTGCCACCGCAGTCATCCTGCGACAGCTCGAGGAGATTGATGACGAGGATGACGGCGATGACCATGGATCTCATCTCCACTTCCTTGAGCCGACGCCTACCAAGCCACAAATCAACTTCCTGCCTATTATTGACGCAGTCTTGAGGAGCCCCCCCTCGCAGTCCTTGTTTGGCCGCCGAGGTCTGATCCGTGCTGCCTACTGGATGGCCTTGAGGCAGGAGATTTACCACTCCTTCACGAGGAGACAGGCCCCGCAGATGATCCTGGCGGCCGACTACTGGCCCACTGCTTCCAGTGCCAACAAGGCTGTCATGCATACAGTGCAGGTCGTCAAATGGCGCTGGGGCAACGGCTCGGAGCAAGAATGGAGTACGTTTAAAGAGAGACCGTGTGCTTGACACCAGCTGACAAAACAGACCGCCTAATGAGGCAACAGGAGCATCTGGACCAAGATGTCCTGACGGATTTCCAGCCCATATACTATAAAGAGGCTGATCGCACACTGGGAGAGATCTTCCCCACCATCTGGTACTCGACTGTCTTGGAGACCACCACGATCCAGCAGGCTCTCATGGCCAAGTCGGTCCTCTACGCGGAAAATCCCGCGCTCAAGTCCAACGCAGTCCCGCGCAACGTCTGGCGAAAGGTGGAGAGCGACGTGCGCGGCATCATGATCCAGCTCTGTGGCATTGCGCTCTGCCATCCCGGGTCGCCGCCCGCCATCCTGAACGCAGCGTTCGTCCTCGAGATGTTTGGCGACTTTTTCACGGATCACTATGAGCGGGAGGCTATCAAAAAGGTGGTCGAGAGGTACCGCGCACAGCATGCCTGGCCGGCAAGGAAGCTCGTGGACATGTTTGGATGATTGCGGAGGACATTCGATGGAGGCTGTCTATATCTAACATCAAGCTGCTCCATTCTGAGCCGGCGGCACTTTCCAGCCCTTGCGCAGCCCCAGCAATGTCCCTCGAAACACGCCACGCAGCGTCAACGCGGAGCAGGTGAGCCACAGGATGACCAGAACGATGACCAGAATCGTAGACCATACCCTGCACACCGGCGAGTCGAGGAGCTTGCCCAGCTGGACAGTGGCGTTGGTGTATACACCCTGGGGGGGACTGTTAGCGAAATGGCCAGCACATGCTCGAGGCAACAACGGTCACTTACCCATGGGAACACAATTGACCAGGACGGAATAGCAAAAGGAAACGGCTCACGCTTCCTGATCACCTTGAGCATCACGCGCACGATGCAGAAGACGGCAAACGTCCACCAGAACGTGGCCTGGCCCCAGGCGACGATGCCACCCAACATGCTCGCATACCCAATGGGCGCGACAGCCTGCTGCGACACAAAGACGGCGGATTCTGGTGACGGGTAGGGGCCCGAGACGGGCTTCAACTTGGTCATGGCTTGGCCGATCGATTGCAGGGCATAGCTGGCCTGACCCCATGGACCACAGAGCACCATGTCCGTGTAGATGAGTGGGGCTGGCAGCGGTCCGCCCGTGCTGCCCTCGTGCGGCTGGAGCATGCGTATCAGGAACAGGACGTCCAGCATGACGGCGAGCGGCAGCGCCAGGCCGACGAGGAGGAACCCCACGATGAGCATGGGAACAAGCTGGCCGCGCTCCAAATCAGCCGAGCTCGCTATGGTGCCCGCCGCCGCCGCCGCCGTCAGCGCGGCAATCATGGGCAGCTGCGTCGTCGGCGTCATGCTCTCCACAAAGCCGCCCTGCGCCCGTATAGCCTTGAGGAAGAGGAGCGGGACGCCGACGCAGCATGCTATTGCCAGGCCCGCGGCCACCCACCACAGCGCGTAGACGGCATTCGCCCAGCTCCTACCGCCCCAACTCGGCACGACCACGAGCGAGACCATCATGACCGAGACGCTGAAGGAGACGCTGATGCTGGCGAGGCATGATGCCTGCGAGGGATCGGTGCCGACGCCGCGGAAGAAGGCTTTGGGTTCGAGGACGATGCGCAAGAAGAGGATGAGGCTGAAGAGCAGGAGCGTGACAAGGTTGATCATCCAAAAGATGACGGCGATGGTCTGAAGGCCGGTGAATTGGTACTCAGTCGAGTGGAGGATGACGGCGATGATGCCGGTCCCCTGCGGTATGAGGAAGAAGGGTGTCGAGAAGTGTTGCAGCGCCGTGCGCGCGGGCGTCGTCTGGGTGGCCTGGGGTTGGGCCCCCATGATGCCCGCTTTTCAAGGTTGGCGAGCAACGTATTTCGGAGTGTGTAATGATGAGGAAATCCAGATCCCAAGCCTTTTTACTCTGGTGGGGGGGGATGTCAATTCGTTTTCTGTTTGGGGCAGGAGTCGTGCCCGTTGCAAGGCTGGGCATACGCAATAAAGGCTTGGCTCCGCGTGGACAAGTGCGGCATGTCGCTGCCGAGTAGGCATTTCATTAGTGCGCGCAACACGGCGTCTCCAGTTTATTCGCAGCCTCAAATCTTGATTCCTGAGTGACCCGCCCAGTGATGATTGTCGCATCGGGGGGGATCTGAAAGCTTGGCGACAACCGTGATCTCGACATCCGGCATCAACTTGCCCATTTGCCTGCCCTGCACCACCGTCCCGAAAGAGACAGACGATTAGACCACCTCCCAATGTCAGCCTTTTCATCCTTTGCGCAGAATGCGTTCAGTGTGACATTACGGACATGCCGTATACGCGTACGTCCAAATACCGATGGGTGTCCAGCGTCCAGTCGACGCCAGCCTCTTCTCCACATCACCCTCCCAGTCCAAAAGGCCGCCTGCGTCATCAAGCAAACTTAAATTAATCTGTCGTGATGGTATGACGCTGCTTTCGATGACACTCTTCATCTCCCCTTTGTCGGATGGGAATTCTGGAACGGACTTGCTGTGCTACATCTGAATAACAATTCAAACTTATCAATTCCTCTTTATCTTGTGGCTTCGTAATTGAATCTTTCCTGTACACTTCGCGGCACAATTACCAGGATTGCGCCGCACGGGCTAGTAAGACACAGGGTAGTCATAAGACATGGGACTTCCAAACTCATTCAGCAGGGTGATCATGTTGCGGCCTGCGTACATCGCATGCACTCAAACTCTGGTCCGTGTCTATGTGAACTCATGGGCCAACCGCTCGTCTATGCATGCGAATTCTAGATCTGATACTACCCATGCTAGGCCGCGTCGCTATCCCCAGCCAGCATGACGCGCACGCTTCGTTCACGCAAAACAATAGGCATATCATCCGAGGCACAGCCAGATGCCACTGTCAAAAGCACTACTAAATCAAAGACAACGAACCCGGCAGCAGTCCCAGCAGGACCCAAGAACTCCCTGTCAGAGGCCTCGAATGCACTGCTCTTCCCGAGGGCAGCCAACTTCGAAACCTGGCTTCACGCAAACCACGACTCGACGCCCAAGGGCATCTGGCTGCAATTCAGCAAGAAAGCCCACCCAGTCCCCTCCATCACGTACGAGGAAGCTCTAGACATTGCGCTGTGCTACGGCTGGATTGATGGACAGTGCAAGAGCCTGCCTTCAGGCACGCACTCTGCTCGACGCTTCACGCCGCGTCGCAAGGCCAGTCTATGGTCAAAAAGGAACGTCAGCAAAGTCGCTGCGCTTCAACACCAACGGAAGATGATGGCCGCAGGGCTTAAGGAGGTCGAGGCTGCTAAAGCAGACGGGCGATGGGAGAGAGCATATTCAGGTGCCAAGGACGTTACCGTGCCCATGGACTTTGAGGCGCGCCTGAAGGAGGTGAAAGGGGCCTGGACGTTCTGGGAGGGGTTGAACAAGACGGCGCGGTATGCTTTCCTCGTGCGACTGGAAACTACAAAGACAGCCGTCGCCCGGGAGAAGAAGTTGGAGCAATTTGTCAAGATGCTTGCGGACGGAAAGCTGATTTGATTATATTCGTCACATTGCATAGCTAGCGGAGCATGTTCCAAGCGCGCTCACCAGCCTTCCTCCTCATCATCTTCACCGTCGCCATCGTCGTCGTCCGTCTCGCTAGCGATGTCATCGACGAGTGGATTCTCATCGCCTGAATCGTCTTCGCTGTCCTCTTCCTCTTCGCTGTCATCATCGTCCGAGCTTTCCTCATCTTCGCCGCCGCTCGTGGCATGGTGACGGCCACGCGCACGGGCAGTCGGTGTGGGAATTTCCTCCCGGAAATTTGCCAGCCGCTGAGCTAGCGTAAGACTGCGTGCTGGTGGCTCCTCATCTTCCTCTTCATCGTCCTCGTCGGAGCTGGTGGAAGCGGCTGTGGCACCGCCACCCTCCACCTCATCTGACGAAATGACCTGCGCTCTGCCGCGGGCTGGCCCACGCACTGGCTCTTCCTTGTCCTCCTCCTCGTCTTCATCGTCAGAGATTTCGACTACCGGCCGAGTCCGAACGCGTTTTGCAGGAGGGGCCTCGTCTTCCTCATCGCTGGAATCGCCGAAAATTTTCCGTTTTGATGGCCGTGGTGGACCGGGCTCTTGTTCTTCCTCTTCCTCTTCCTCACTGCTGATATCAGGGCTGGAGAATCGCCCAGGATGAGGCTCGCCAGCTTCTGTTTCCGATGAGTCGTCGACATTGACGGGCCCAGGTAGGATTTCATCTCCAGAGTCAGACTCCGGTTCCCCAACAGATGCATCATCCAGTCCCTCGCTTTCGTATGCGTCTTCGAAATTGGGAGGGTTGAGGAAGTCGTCGTCCAGATCATCTCCTGAATCCCCGCTGTCTTGATCCAACGGCACTCCGCATTGGTACTGCTGCCACAAACGAACAAAATTTGGCCCTGCAAAGTCATAGTCCTGGCTGTCGTAGCTGCATCCTCCCATCTCCCATTGTATCATGGGGAAGAACTCAGTCTCCCCGTCTCCGGCCAGATCTTCAAGCGCAACATTTGTGGGCAGGTGGCGCTCTATAGCGCCCTGTGCGTGATATTTGGCAAAGTCGGGGAACGTGTCGACGTCGGGCCATGTCCACCGGGTGGATTGAGTCTCAACAACACCCCCCAAATCCTCCTCGTACTCCGCATCGTAACGATGAGCGTGTTCCGTCACAGCCCATCGTTTCTCGCGGTCCGTCATAAGATCCTCATCTATCGCTAGATAAAGTCTTTCGATACGATGACCGGCCATATCGCCAATCCTGTCAAGATTGTCACGTATAAATCCGCACCATATAATTGGGATGGCGAGATGCTTTACTTGGGCGAGGAGGTTGGCCCAGTCCCCGCCTATCTCGCCAGCATCGGTCCACCCAAGGCCACTGACCAGAATAATGTCACGTTCCGCGTCGAAACGAATCAATCCGTCACCGGAGTCGCCAGCCGAGATACCAAAGACGTTTGGAAATTTCGATGTCACTAGGTTCCTTGACTCGTGATGTATCGAAGACACCAGTCGCAGCGCTGCGGTCTGTGGTTTGAGCCATAGGTCATCAAAGAGTTGCGGCCGATTCCTGGGCGAGAAGTTCACAGGGCGAAGGGTCAAGACGCGAGGCTTTGGGTTTTCGAGATCTGGACAAACAAACAGCCATATGCGCTGGCGCAGTTCGGGCGGTAGACGTGCAAACTGGTGGAAGACGCGGCCGTCCCCGTTTGTCGAGAGGTCACTGTCCTCATCGTCAGAGCTTGATATGTCGCTGGACTCGTGAGCTTCGTCGTCGATGAGAGCGGCACCCGAAGATCGTGAAGAGTCGGAACGATCATCGCCGGATTCACTTGATGACTCGCCAGAAGTGTCGAGAACGATTCCGTTTCTCGCCATAGTGGGCTGAGGCGAATGATGAGGGTGGCCAGCGCAAATTTGTTGAGATGAAAGTTTAATGTGTTCACGATGCCTGGCGTGGGCAAAGACTGAACACAAAGATCACGTGATATTTTCCACCTCTTCGCTGTCACCAACAAAGAGCCGGTCTGTTACAGTTTAAAAGCACGCGTTGCCTGAGACTGAATTACGCCTAAATGCTAGTTTGTACGTTGGAACCAGTCCGAATCTCTCAAGCTAAAGAGCTGACCTGGTCTCCTCACGTTTCTGACCACCATATGTGTCATAGACCATACAGGGTAAGTAAGATAGAGTAACCATTTCCGCAAGGACCCGATCGCCTCGGCCGAGATCCTGGCCAGCCATTCGAGCCTTCAAGTTTTTTGCGAATCTTGAAGATTGAGCGCACGTCGCTCGCACTCGAAGTCTTGTCAAACACTATCCCCTTTATCATGCATGCTCGCCTTTGAGCACAATTCAGGCCAGCCCGGTTCGCCCGCAAACACTGCTTAGTCAGCCAAACACACCTACCTCGGTGAAAAACACCCATCACTCTTGCCTCGTCGGTGAACCTTGCTGGACCTCTCATCGAAATAGTTGCGTTCTTGGAGGATGGATCAATCAGGGCTGAGGATCGTCTTCTATCTCTACCCATGTCTCCTCATTCTCACCTTGCTCGGGGCACAGGCCTTTGAGTACTACCGCGATCGTCGAGGCGCCTCGCGCCACGCGGTGCCGAGCAGCGAGCAGAAGGAGGATGCGCGAATCATCAAGCGCAAGTTCACGAGACCTATATGGCTACTGCAGCTCGTGCTGTCCCTCTTGCTCCTCGCCAGCATCGTGCTCGCCGTCCGCCAAGCGGTGGTTGACTTGTCTGGAAATGGTGGCAAGATCGAATTTCCCTTCAGCGCCTATATTGTACGTGGATCGTTGTGTTTATGTCCGGGGTAATGGAGATTTCTGACCAACCTCAAGGCGTCCCATGTCGCTGTGCTGTTGTATTTCCTGGCTGGGCTGCTGCCAGATCCAGAAGGCCCGTGGACCCCAGGCTCGGCGCATTGCTGGGCATGGCTGATAGCGACGCTGGTTGAAGCGACCACTCTCGGCATCTTCGCTTCTGTGCCAGAATACCTGCGCGTGCCCAGCAGCTTCATCCACGCCATCGATACTCTGGGATCGTGCAGGATCGTCGCACTGCTCTTGATGGCTGCCACCTTGATCATCCGGGACTACAAGCTGCGACCTGCCGAGCCACCATCTGTTCCGGAGGAGCGAGAGTCGCTGTTGGAGAATGGTCATGCCTCTGCCGAGTCGTACGGCAGCGTTCCGGCAAAGGCTCCCAGCGCAGCTAAGAGGACGCAAGTGTCTGGCACGGGCTGGCTGGATTACTTTGCTGGCTTCCGAGTCCTCTTCCCGTACCTTTGGCCCAAAGACTCGCCACTGTACCAGGCTATTGTGCTTATCTGCCTTATTCTCATGGTGTTGCAGCGCGCGGTCAACATGTTAGCTCCGCTGCAGCTGGGTGTCCTCGTCGATTCCTTGGGCGAAGGCCGCATCCCTTACAAAAACATCATCCTCTACGTCGCCTACCGCGCCTTGCAAGGCAACCAAGGCCTCATCGGTGCCGCCAGAGGTGTGCTATGGGTCCCTGTCTCGCAGTCTCTCTTCCGTCGTTTGTCTTCGGCAGCATTCGAACACGTCCTCCGGCTGTCCCTCGAATTCCACCTGAACAAGAAGACTGGCGAGGTGACGAGTGCTCTCAGCCGCGGCGCATCCATCAACAACTTCCTGGAGAGCTTCTGCTTCCAGGTGTTCCCCATGGTGGTTGACATTTTCGTCGCGGGCGTGCTCTTCTTTGTCAAATATGATGCCTTTTACACCATCATTGTCTTCTTCATCATGTGGTCCTATGTCTTCCTCACCATCTACGTGGCCAAGTACCGTGGCCGACAGAGGCGAGACATGACGACAAAGAGCCGCGAGATGGAGGCTGTCAGGACCGACGCCATCCTCGCCTACGAGACTGTGCAGCATAATTGTGCCGTCGAACGGGAAACGACGAGATTCACCGATCATGTTCGTCTACTACAAAAGGCCGAGCAGCTCGTCGTGTGGTCGTTGAACGGTTTGAATCTGACGCAAAGCTCCATCTTCACACTGGGCACCGCCCTTCTGGTGGCCGTATCCGCATACAAGATCTCCATCGGGCAGCAGACTGTCGGTGGTTTTGTCAGTCTGATCAACTATTTTGTGCAACTGCAGGGCCCTCTCAACTTCTTCGGTACCTACTTCAACATGCTACAGACCAATCTGATCGAGGCGGAGAGATTACTCGAGCTGGTAAGCTTTTGTAGCAGCCTGAATGATTTGATGCAGCTGACATGATTCAACAAGTTCAACGAAACGCCTGACGTGGCCGAGAAGGAGGACGCTGTAGCACTCTCGTCTCCTCGAGGCGAAGTCGCTTTCCACGACGTGACCTTTTCCTACCAAACCAAGAAGCATGAGAACGTGCTCAAGGGCATCAGCTTCACCGTGGCGCCAGGAACAAAGACAGCCATTGTCGGAGAGTCGGGCAGCGGAAAATCAACATGCCTGAGGTTGCTGTTCCGGTTCTATGATGTAGCTGGCGGCGGCATCACCATTGACGGTCACGATCTCCGAGACCTGAAGCTTGACAGCGTTCGTCAGAACATAGGCGTCGTACCTCAGGACACGGTGCTGTTTAATGCGTCCATCATGTACAATCTGCTGTATGCCAAGCCTGGGGCTACGGTGGAGGACGTCTACAACGCCTGCAAGGCTGCCAATATCCACGATCGTATCGAGTCCTTCCCCGAACAGTACGAGACCAAGGTTGGCGAGCGTGGCCTCAAACTGTCCGGTGGCGAACGACAGCGTGTGAGTCCTTTTAACAATTCTCATCGTGGACCACCGAGTACTGACATTGAATGCTTCTAGATTGCCATTGCACGTGCGATTCTGAAAGACTCGCCAATCCTGCTTCTGGACGAGGCCACCGCGTCACTTGATTCTCACACAGAGAGGCAGATTCAAGATGCTCTCGAGCGCGTGACGGCGGGACGAACTACAATCACCATTGCGTATGTGTTTGGGAAAGCCTTGTCTGACCTATTGCTAACGATGGCAGCCATCGACTGTCGACCATCACCACGTCTGACCAGATTGTGGTCCTTCACCAGGGTGATGTCGTGGAGCGCGGCACGCACGATGAACTGTTGGCGCTGCAAGGGCGATATCACGCCATGTGGGAGAAGCAAACTACCACCGAGAAGAAGGAAAAGGAAAAGGAGAGTGTCGACGGGAATGGTGCTACACAATAGCCGTCTGAAGCAAGCGCCAAGAACAGGAAGCTCGTTCCCCCCGAAGCCACGAGCTGCGCATCGGCATCTTGCTAGTCCGTTTGCTACCTGAGGACCTGAGGTATTACATCAATGCCATCATTGCCATTTTCCTTGGCCAACTGTCAGAATTTCACGACATGCTCGCTGCTCCAGGGTTCAAGCCCCACAACGCGCGCCTGTCAGACTGGCTGTCCACGATGTTAAGACCTAAGTTATTAGTTCGGAGAAACGCGATGCTGTCTCAGGCGCTCTGAGCCATCGACTACTGGCGTCATGATGCAATACAGCAGCTCCGACGCAGACCCTCGTCTTTTCGCTGATCCTTGGGGTCATTGACTAGTATAAGATCAAGAGCGGCATTATATGCGATGCTCATCGATTGCTTCTTTGTTCGTATCGTTGGTGGTGATGCCCACTCACGAAATTGCTTCTGCCGAGCGTGGGCCTCCAGTCCCACGATCGCTGCACAATCAGTCAATCACCACGAGCCAGCAAGGCCACGCGCGCTAGTGTATGCGTGGTGACTGTGCCCCTTGCAGACATCGACGCTAGGCAGTTGAGCGATGCCAGCCCCACGCGCCTAGTCCAATAAGTCGGAGCACTGGACAGCCGGACAGCAGCTGGCTAATGAGCCGGGGAGAGGGCCACGGTGACAATTTCGCACTGGCGCACAATGTGATGACATCAAGGATAGGCATGAGTCGCGCCTCCGAGGGCTAAAATTGTCCCGATCGGCATGCGTCGTCCCTGGGCCTCTGCAGCTCTGCTTGTGCCTCGACGCTCGAGCCTCGACGACCGCGACGAACCAGACAGACAGCCAGCCAGACCCCTGTCGCACGCTGCATGCTGGGCCGAGTGACTGGTAATAATCGTAAATTCGCCCGCGCCTGGGTCCGTGGTATAATAATATCTTACATGTCACCCTTTGGCACGCCCTCGCTTGTCAGGGCACCGAACAGTAGGAACCGATCGACATTGGGGAGACCTTCCATGACGCCCGCCGCCCAACGTCCCACGAGCATGGCGGAGAGCAATGGCCGATCGCGCGCGAGCCAGCGCAGCTCCGACCCTTTTGGCGTGCCTCGTCGAACACCCAGCGCGAACGCCTCGAGGTATGTTGCGCCATGGCCAATTGCGGCAACCAGCTTGAGCCCCAGCTGACCAGCTCCTGGCAGCACGCGCGAACCATCGCTGAACTTTGACGGATTCGCCGATGACTTGATTCCCAATGGCGAGACGGCGTCAGGGTATACCGCCTCGGTCGCCTCTCGAAGCATGCGCTCGAGGACCTCTGCGAGCTCCTTGGCCGGGTCGTCTGCCGAGACATGGGACACCAACGCAACATCATACCTGCCAGCTCTGCAGGTCAAGGGCGCAAGCGAGGAGGACAACCTACATCCGCTCGAGGAGGAAGAGTACGACCCGCGCAGCTTTGATATTGTGGCGCCTCTAGAACAGGGCCAAGGCCCAAAGGCATACTCGCTGGAGGACCGATCCGACCTGCTCTTCTCCAAGGAGCACATGAGGAGCATACTGGAGGACCCGCGACTGCTCGGCGACTTTTCGCGATTCCTGTCCCGCTCCCGCCCTGGGTCGGTAGCGCTCCTCAGATACTACCTGAGCACCGAAAAGGCGGTGCGCGCCATTCGATACGCCAACTCTGTCATTGCAAACCTGGGCACGTTGGATGGCCACGATTTCGCGGAAGGGGATGCTAGCAACATGGACACGGTCAACCGAACCCTCCAAGAGAAGCACGATGCTGCGTTTGAGACGCTGGCCATCGAAGAGCTGCCCAGATTCATCACCGATGTCTGGGTTGACATTGTGAGCCTCTCCATGCGGAGAAAGATTATGGGCTCGATGCCGACGGATCTTCGCGACGCATCCGAGGGCCTGGCTGAGGTCTTCTGCCTCAGCGACCCGTCGAGACACGACAACCCGATCATCCTAGCCTCCGACGAGTTCCACCGCACGACACAGTATGGTATGGAATATGCCATTGGGCGCAACTGTCGCTTCCTGCAGGGACCTCGGACGAACCCTTTCAGCGTGCAGAGGATTAGGGAACGGCTGAAGGCCGGACAGGAGCACATTGAAACTTTCCTCAACTACCGCCGGGATGGCTCACCTTTTATGAATCTGCTGCTCTGCGCGCCACTACTCGATTCCAAGGGCAAAGTGCGCTACTATTTGGGTGCACAGGTTGATGTCTCCGGCCTGGTCAAGGATTGCACCAAGATGGATGGCCTGAGGCGTATCGTGGAGGATGAGCAACAGGGCATCGATAGGAAGGACCAGGCACCTAAATCTTCCCTGGAATGCTGCCAGGCACTGGGCGAAATGCTGGACACGAGCGAGTTGGAGGTGGTGCGTCGTCACGGCGGAGCGATACACCAGATGCGCGACCACGACGGGAATGGACAGGATGCGAACTGGAACACACCCTACCTCGTCATCGAGGACGACCTCACGCCTCAGCCGTCACCGCAGGCGACACCTGCCGTGCTCGACATGTCGTCACAGCCCGGGAGCACACCGAAACCGGCCTCTAGTCCTTCCAACGGACGCTTGGCAGGCGTATACGAGCACTACCTACTTGTCCGCCCGTCGTCCAACCTGCAGATCCTCTTCGCCTCCCCCAGTCTACGCGTCCCGGGCATGCTTCAGAGCCCTTTGCTGTCACGCGTGGGCGGCTCTGGACGTGTGCGCGACCAGATCGGCCAGGCACTTAATGAGGGACAGGGTGTGACGGCGAGGGTGCGCTGGATCACGTCGACACGTCGAAAGTCGTCGCCCGAGGCGGAGCAGCGTGGGCGCTTCCGGTGGCTGCACTGCACGCCGCTGCGCGGTGTGAACGGGACCATTGGCATCTGGATGGTGGTGGTGCTGGACGACGAGAGCACCAGCAAGGGTTCGAGAGATGGATCGAGCGGCGCGCACTCGTACGACCAACGGTCTGGACGGCAGGGCAAGGTCGCACCGCCGATTGACGCACATGGTGACCGCAAAGCAGCGCCTTCGTTGTATGCGGAGAGTGTATACCAGGGGCAGCAGCAGCAGCAGCAACAGCAGCAGCAACAACAACACTGGGTTTGAACGGGGACGATGGGACAGGCTCCAGATGGTCCTACGTACTATGGGGTCTAACTCATCACGGCATAGGGGGCGTCCTTTGCAAATAAAGGGTGGTCGCGCGTCGTTTGTCGAATTTATCATGTATCATGTGTGTTGTCTTGGGATGGCAGATATGGTGTGGCTTACGGATAAGGGGGGGTGGGAGAGGGCATGATGAAGCTGCCTGATGATGCAATAATGTAACAAATCTCGAGCTAGAGGAGCTCGTTTTCTGAATTCCGTGTTAAATCTCCTATAGATTGCGTAACACAATGCTCTTGATGACCGCGCGAATGTCCAAAGACTGGAGCCTCGATGTCGTGTTGGTGGATGAAGCTGCTGTACTTGCGCAGTCCCCAGCGCCTGACTAGCGCTGCTGAATGCCGATAACAGGCCGCTGGTGCTGGTGCTGGCGGGCGCTGGCGGCCAGCCGCGTGTACCCGCTTTCCCCTGATGGACAGCCCCCCATTGACCAATCGCCGCGCTTCCTTTACTCACCGCCCAAAATAGGCCCAAGCAACTTTGGAGCTAAAGCGCCAGGCACGGATAACGGATACTGCCCGGCTTATCTGTTGAGACCACCACGTCAAATCTTGAATGGTTCAATGTTTCCTTCCACGCGCTCTCAACACATCAATTTCTCTGGCATCATTCAGCATGAGGCGTCTCAAGGCACCCCGACAGGGCTCGGTACCCAATGGACTCACTTCGGCGCCGTTGCAGCGCTCAATGGCGACCTCGTCGCGATGCACACATCATCTGGCGCCGCCAAGGCCCATCACCAAGCAGCGGCTGTTAGCCGGCACAACAAAACCACCACCACCATCATGGCAGGCGAAGCGCTCGTTCAGCACAACGAGATCGTTGAAGGCCCCGGCTGAAGAGGCCACTGGCACCTATACGGAAGCGGATCACGAGCATGCCGTCATCTCGACCTTTGATCTCTTCTCCATCGGCATCGGGCCCTCTTCCTCGCACACAGTGGGGCCCATGCGCGCTGGCAACATCTTTGTCGCGGATCTGTTCGAGGCTGGTCTGCTGCACAAAGTCAATAAGATCCGCGTCTCCATCTATGGCAGTTTGGCACTGACGGGCGAGGGCCACATGACGCCCTCCGCCCTGTTGCTTGGCCTCGAGAGCGAGGATGTGGAGACTGTCGACACTGCCTATGTGCCCACGCGCTTCTCAGACATCAAGACGACCAAGAAGCTCTACCTGGGTCGCAGACTGCCCGATGGCAAGGGCAAGGAAGTGGACTTTGATTACAGTCGCGACTTTGTGTGGGAGTGGGGTCGCAAGCTACCTTTGCACAGCAACGGGATGCGGTTCACCGTCTTTGATGAGGACGGCTATGTTCTGGCACGCAACGACATGTTCAGCGTGGGAGGTGGATTCGTTGTCAACGGCTCTTTATCTATCGCGCCAGGGCAGCAGCTTGAGGGCAGTGAGGATGCCGCTGAGTCGCCCGCCGATGTGGAAGCGAGTGGCAAGCAACACCCCGTCGATCTGGCGGAGAACATGTACTACAAGGAGATCAGGCGTGCCGACGCGGCTGGCGACCGCAAGACAGGCGCAGAAGTCAGGTCTCTCCCTGATGGCGGTGCTGAGCCGGCAACCCATGCTATGCTCGGACAAGACCCGAGCCAAGCGGACCAGCAGCACCAGGGGCCAACCTCGATCCAAGCACACGATGAGACCTCCAGCATTGACCCCAAGGCAGGCGACGAGGGCTCGTTCCAGGGTCCACGCTATCCCTTCCACGATGCGCAGAGCTTGCTGGCCTTGTGCCAGAAGCACAACCTGACTATAGCCCAGCTGGTCTATGAAAACGAAAAGGGCCTTGGCCACACGGACGAAGAGATCTACGAGAAGGTCTTCAAGATTTGGCAGGTCATGGACGAAAGTATCTTGGAGGGCGTGCAGGCAACCGAGGAGACACTGCCAGGCTCCCTGAAGCTGCATCGACGTGCTCCCGCGCTGTACCGACGCTTGACAAGAGGTCTATACCCGTCACTTTCTCAACAAAACGGGGATGGCAAGCCAAGTAGCCATCGACACAACGACGGCGACAGCCAAATGCCCGGACTCTCGGGCGGCGCAGCAATGAAACAGCTCGCTGTGAACAAGCCCAAGGACATGGCAATGGGCCACCGCCGCATCCCCCGTATCCACGGTTCCCTAGAGCATCCCATCAGCCCGTCGCCCACTCGTCGCACCACGTTTCCCACCATGGACTACTTGACCGTGTATGCCATCGCGGTCAACGAGACCAACGCCGCCGGTGGCCGCATCGTCACAGCGCCCACAAACGGCGCCGCCGGCATCATCCCCGCTGTGCTCAAGTATGTCATTGAGTTTGTCAGCGACGACCCTGAGCGCGACGTGCCCACGTTCCTCCTCACCGCCGCCGCCATCGGTATGCTGTACAAGCGAGGCGCCACCATCTCCGCCGCCGAGGGCGGCTGCATGGCCGAGGTCGGCGTCGCCTGCTCCATGGCGGCCGGTGCCTTTGCCGCGTGCATGGGCGCCAGTCCCCAGACGATCGAGCAGGCGGCCGAGATTGGCATCGAGCACAACCTGGGCCTGACGTGCGATCCCATCGGTGGCCTCGTCCAGGCGCCCTGCATAGAGCGCAACGCGCTCGGTGCCATCAAGGCCATCTCGAGCGCCAACTTGGCCCTGAGCAGCGACGCCAAGCTGCAAAAGGTCAGGCTGGACGATGCCATTGCCGCCATGAGGCTGACGGCCAAGGGCATGAGGAATGAGTTCAAGGAGACGAGCTTGAGTGGGCTGGCGACGAGCGTGCCTTTCAATATCCCTGTCAGTGTGCCAGACTGTTAGACACAGGTGCCCTTTTCTATATACGATTGCGCGGCATTAGAAAATGCCATATCGTGGGACCCCCTCTCCTGCTGCACCGAGCACCTGGCCGGCTCAGACGAAGTTGAGAAGCGATGACCGTTGCAGCTGCAATAGAAGCCTCCAAGCTGTGCGCCTGCGCAGCCAAGTTCGTCACTTCTCACGCCAAGGATGAGACGACATCTTGGGTCGCGCGCGTCTCGCCTGCTGCGGATGTAGACTTGACACGTGGGTTCCTGTCATATCTCACTCGACAGAGAGGAACGCGTGTACGTATGCGTATATGACTGGAACTAATAGACAGGTCATTACTTTTGAGATGGCCACGGTTTTGGATCTAGATTGAAGACATCTATATCTGACGATCTTCAAGGTAGTATGGGGATGGACCCAATGGCCATGTCTGAAAGGGGCATGCATCTGGATAGGACTTCAGGACAGCGTGGGCAGCGATGGCGAACAGATTCGTGCTTTGAGTTGCGCGAGCATTGCGCTCTGGGAAAAGGATAGCTAGCCTTTGGAGGAGCACAATCTTGATTCAAAATCGGGAGCCCAGAAGACTATCAAAGACCGATCTGCCATCATTTGCTCCCTACCCCGGTCGTGCGAATCTCAAGTGAGGAGATATGGTCAAGGGCTCAAGGAGTGCCATCGAGGAGGGCTGTGCATGCGAGACATACGGCTATCATGCCAAAGTCCTCGGATGGATGTATGTTAGCGACAATGGTCAAACATGTGACGGTAACGTTGCCAATACGCCTGATAAGCCTACCGAAGGTGACACGGGAGCCTCGCAACCAAACTTACGTACCTACGATGGAGTCTATTATATTATTACATGTCATCAACAGCGGAAATCTTCCCCACAAAGAGCTGCGGCGTCGAACATGTTTCTGCCACGTCAGAGCCGCGGGGGCAGGGCGACCTTGCTTGGATGAGCCATTATTAATCCCACTCGATGTTGAGTATATTCCGCCATGATGGAAGATTATCAGGATACCGTTGTGTCACTGGCCGCTCGACCTTTTCCTGCCACGCCGAAACCGCCTGAGGCGAGGACCTGCGAAGCTCGAGGTGTGTTGGCACAACGGACCGAGCCATTAGATCAACTCCGTACGGATCGTACAAACGGACCACATGTGCGTGCTCGCCGCACCACGAGGCCACGCGTTGAAAGACTTTCCAGAGAACGCACGTCGACACCAGACCGCACCCCTGCAGCGGCAAGTATAGCATGCGTGTGAGAGGAGAGAGTCCTGCATGAACAGAAGGATCTAACTAGGATTGGGCAACGAACGACGACGAGTTCCCACAGCTCGTCCTGCAAGGCTAGCTAGCTGCCTGCCGCCCTCCGTGGAGAACTTGAGTTCCCTGCTGCTTCATGCATGCCGTTTTGCGCTGCTTGTGGAGCCGAGACAACATGTCAACCACGCCAGAAGACTGGTCAGCGGCTGCAGCCTGCCCAAGAAAACCTCAAGACATGGACATGGAGCACCTGCTCGATCACACCGATCGTTCGTACGACGTCTCCTGGTCATGACAAGGAGCAGAGTCCGTGGTACGTAGTACCCAATCGCATCAGCACGCAGTGTTTCTAGAGCCACGATCCATCATTTGCTATTAATTATTGCCCTCTTGCCCCAGGATCTTTGAGAGTTACCTGTGGGACGCACACCAGACGGCACATGATTCATGAATACGTACGGATAGTGTGGGTATAAAATAGGTGGCTCCTTGGCGCTGCTTACTTGTTACGGTAAGCAGAAACAGGCGGTAATGATGTGGAGCAGACGCAAAGGAGCAAGGACTGGAGCCAGTTTCGTTCATGGCAGTTCGTCCCACGGTCCCAGATGGCCTAATTAGTCTAGCTTCGCCAAAACCCATGGTCCAGGATCTGGCGACTGGCTCTCCCGCTCCTTAAAGCCGATTGTAGGAGTCAGCATGCCAATGTCCAGGTATCAGGTATCAACTTGAACCCTGTGTCCGACGTTGGGTCACAATCATAGGCTGAGACCGAGACCGAAAAAGGTCGGCTGAAATGACAGTTCGGCTCGGGCCCCCGCGCGGTACGGCTCACGCCGTCTATAGCGGACTGTCCGCTGTCGAGCCCGCATTATTCCCCTGCTCGTTCACCGCTGCTATACCCCTCCCGTGATACGTAGCTATGGTCGTGGGCTGTTGACCACGAGGATGGATGGAACAAGCTCGTAAGTAATGCAATTGAGGTAAAGAGTAACCTGGGGTATCCTGACTTGACCAACGCCCCGTCCAATTCGAAGGAAATCCATGGAGAACAGACGTAAAAGAACGCGTCCTCGTGGCGTACCGTGCGCGTGCAAAACGAGCAGACAGACAAATAATTAGCACGTTGCTGTTCTCAGCCATCGTGCGAACGTGTCGAGGAGGTTCCTCGGCTTTCAAACTGCCCGCATTCTTTCAGCAACCTGGCCTCCTCCAGCGCTTCGCGCTTTGCAAACTCGTCGAGCAGTTTGTGCGCCGTCTCGAGGGGCAGGTCGGCGATCAGGTCGGCATATTCCTATACATGTCAGTTGTGAGACTCTTGTGCAGAAAGGGAGAAAGCGCCATACCCTTGGGAAGACATTGGAGGGGTAGTTCTTGAATTCCTCCATCATCCTGTTCAGCCGTAGAACTTGCTTCCAGGGAACAATGTTGTCCCCAATCAAGAAAGTAGGATATTTCGCCATGGCAATCTCCTCCAGGATCCACCGTCGTTGAAAGTACGGCCTCCCCATAAAGTCGTTGCATCCGACCCAGTGTGGCATCTGAAAGGGGATCATGCCTTTTGGTGCATCCGTCCAGATGTGGGCAATGCCTGCTGCCCAGCGATGCGTTGGCGCATAATCCTCTGGATGCTTCTCCCTGTCGCCAGGATCGCCCCATTTGGCGGGCATTGCGTCTTCTATCTCGGCCAGCGTGTTCATCGCGACGTCGGTGTGAGGATGCTTGTCGCCGAGCCAGCCAACGACCAATTCGGCCGAGCGGTAGATGGCCTTCATGTCGGTCCGCTGTTTCGATTTTTCGGCCTCGTCTCTTTGGTTGACGCACAAGAGGTCCATCCAGATCCGAAGACTGCGTGGCGGCTCGTCTTCAAGTTTGTGGCTCGAGAGCCCGAACAGCTGCCGCAGCCATCTCGGCGCTCCATGCGGCTTCCTCGCTGGTTTTCGTTGATATCGCTTCGAGACGGTGGGGAAGAAGACGGCCCTGATATGCTTCAGTGCCGAGACCAGGTGCTTTGGCACCGCTACACTTCGCCCGCTCAGCCAGATTCTGTCCATCTCCTCCCTGTCCCCGTAGAGGGACGAGAGGGCGATAAAGTCAATGTCATCGGTCAGGCGGGCGGTGATCAGTCGACACTCCACGGGCTCTTCGAGTGTGCGGGCGGCTTGCACCTCGAGGAGACGGAACTCCTGCTTGGCCGGGTCTAGGCGTCGGTACGTGTTACTCATGATGCCTTCATGTGCTGTCGGTCGGTCCGTCGGTCGTGTACTTGGAGCTGCAGGCCGCGGCTTCGGACTTTCGGAAATGTCCACCCTGATGCGTATTCGGTTCGGAGAAGACTTTGCGGCGTCAGGTTCCCCTCCTCGAACCAGCACTCTGCGAGGGCTAAATGCCGATGGTTGGTCGGACACGTTGTTCACCTGTAGTGGAGATAGGGCTGCCGGTGGGAGTCCAGGATAGGCGTAGTGAGCAGTACGTACGGAGTATCGGGTGCATGTGTCTGGGTCGGTCGAGGCAGCATCATATGCAACAGAAATTATCGGAACCAGACTGGCGGAACGGCCATGGGTTTATACGGCACCAAACGTGGGATAGACCCCGGCCCAAAAGACTTTTCTCCTCACCTGTTGAGGGCTCAAACGTCGGCACAATGTCTTGACAAGCCGAGGGTCCCTGGCTCGTGGACCGCGCTTTGACAGAGATACAACACTTGTACGGTCAAGAAGACCTGGGATGGGAACCAGGAATCGCACTAACTACCAGCCTCTTGCCGCTCCAGTGGAGGCACTAGTTGCGAAGGCGCCAGACGGGCACGACCGAGGTGGAGATAAAATGGTCCTGTCGAGGCCCAAGGACAGCACGTTCGTCGAGGCCAAGCATCATCATGTCAGGATTCCCTGCTGTGGAGTAAATGCCGGGGGGCGTAACGCGATAAATGGACAGTGAACACAGCGCACAGCGCACCGTCGCCAGACTCAGTCTTGAGGCGGCCGTCTCTCTGGAGTGGACGACCAGAGGCTTCCTCAGATGCGGTCAACTTTTGAGAATCCACATGACTTATCATCATGCATGGGTGAGTGACGGGCAGACCAGGGTCCTCGACCCTTGCTGAAGAAGGCACATGTACATTAGCGCAACCGCTTCTGCAAATGACGGGCCAAGACTCTCCACTCACCAAGAGGCTTTTTGTCGTTTTGCCCCTTTATATGGAGCGCTATACAGCACTGACTACGCCTTCACTTGCTCGTTTTGTGATAACTGATGAAAATCTGGCCCCGGTCCTGACGAACGTACGAAGGCACCTTTCCTTGTCGCGGGGGGGTCTGAGCGCAGCGAGAGGCGCGTTGAGCGAAGTCGGCAGGCGTCCTCTTAGGCTCGAGGGGCTGTTGAACGGAGGATCATGCCATCGTCTGGGACGCTGACTCCTCATTGCTGAGTCTTGACCAATTTCGGGTTTCCTCTGACAGGCTCCATTTCTCTCGGTCTTCACTCTGAAGACGTTTTCTCTGCCTTGGCTCCCTCCCTCCACCGGGGTACGTAGAACCCCACACGGTAATATGAACACTAGCCTAGCTACGTATAGGTACGTACTAGTATAGCACGTGCGCGTGTCTCGCCCACTTGACCTATTATCTTGAGGTTGTCTCCGACTCTCCGTGCCCTGATTGCGCTCTGCGCTAATTAGTAGGAGGACGGCAGTGAACTCTGGAATCAGGGAAATCTGATGCCGGAAACGCGAGCGAGTCAAGCATCCACTTGTTGTTGTTATCCCCACCAACGAAGTCCAAACTGGATGCAGACTCGGAAACTGCCCATGTTGAACACCCTTATCGTTTTCGACAATGATGAACAGTGAACACCATGCAGCACCACGCATGGCCCCAAGTCTAGCGGACTGGACAACACACATATGTACTGTATATCCTGGAAGACTGCACGCCGCGGCCCCCAAACTCAATCCGATTCGGCACTCCCCTGCTCGCGCATGCAAGACTCGCATTCCTTGGGTCCGCGGTGCAGAAGCTCCTCTGTTCGCGGGCCATTCAACTGCCGCCAAGCACACAAGGGACCTTGGTGGAAAGGCTTGAAGCCTCAAGTCCGTGGTCTTGCAGCCAGCAGCCTGCGATCTTTTCAAGCCAAACGGTCAACTTCGTCGCCATGCGAGAGGGCATCATCTGCTCAGTGGTCGATAGAGAGAGCTTGCGGTGGCGGTCCCCACTCCCTGCTTCTCTACCTGGACAATGAGAAGCCCAGAGATAAACGGAGGGCGTAGAATAAAGAGGCTAGGTGGTGCCCTGTTTCTCGGGGAATCTTGACTCGTATCCCTCCCACTTTAGCGTCCGTCCGTTGTCGAACTTGTGTCTCATACCCTTGATCCCTTGGTTCCTCTGGGTCCCGTCAGTTGCAAGTCATCCTTCGTCTCTCTTCCCCAGAGCCGCGGCTACTCGTCCGTCCGCGGGCCACTGGAGCACTCGCCGCCTCGTCCCAAAGCAGCAGCAATCATCGCTTCTCACCATGTATCGCCATGGCATTCACTCCTCATCTTCGCCCTGGAGCAGGTTAATGGGCCGCTTGCTCAGCACCTTGAAGGGCTTCCTCACACCAGGCGCGTTGCCGCACTTGATCGAAGATGATCTGTCCAAGAACCCCAAGCGCCTGGCGGCAGTGTGTCGACCGGTATGCCAAGACATGTTGGAGCAGCTGAACTATCCTGGCGCGCCTGTGTTGAAAGCAGAGTCAGTTGAAGCACTGTTGGAGTACATGTACAGAAGAGCCGTCGAGATTGGCGTCCCTCTCAACACTCGGATATCGGCCAAGGGCTTCCGTTTGGGATACGCCGAGGGTCTTGTGAGTCCATTGATGCCCAAGAGGGTCTTCGACAAACAGCTGACAATGCCAGCTTGCGCACCCTAACCACTCCGTGGAAGCACAAGGCTACGTCGGCCTTTTCACGTGGTTAGTTGTGCAATATGACGACATTGTCGGCCAGAACGACGAGATGATGGAGGAAGCCACCCTTTTCCACCAACGCTTCTTCAACGGCGAGAAGCAGCCAAACAATCTGCTGGAGGGCATCGCAACCTTGCTGCGGGAGGCGCACGATCACTATGATCCAGTGCTAGCGAATCAGCTGCAGATCTCTGTGCTCAAATTCCTAACGAGCAACCTCTTGGAGCGACACAGCGGTTTCCAAAACATGCGCGTGACGCCAGCGGGCGCGGGTGTCAAGTTTCCCGACTTCTACCGCGACATGTCTGGTATGAACGTGGCATATGCCGTATTCTGCTACCCAAAGGATCAGTATCCTGACGTGGGTGCTTTCCTGGAGGCCATTCCTGATATGGCCCGCTTCATCGACATTTCGAATGACGTTCTCTCGTGAGTATTCCCCGGTAGCCTTTGGCGCATCCTCCACTAAACGTATCAGCTTTTACAAGGAGGAACTTGGCGGTGACGACCGCAACTACATCCACAACCGCATGGAGGTGTCCAGAAAGTCTATTCCAGTTGTTCTGCAGGAGACAAGCGACGAGGCAATTGCCTGCGCCAGGCGCGTAGATGCCATCCTCAAGGGACGCGGCATCTATGCTCAGTCATGGAACGACAGCGTGAGGGGCTACATGGCCATGCACACGACAAATGTGCGCTACAGGCTAGACGACCTCGGCCTAGGCGAGGTGCACCCTCTCGCGCCTTTCGAGCACAAGATTGGTGAGCTGTTCGAAAGGATAGAGAAGTGATGCCCGCCTGCTGGAGAATATCTTGGGTTCGGTTGATTGCATTTCGGTGTGACATGGGTCTCCTTCGGTATCATGTGGTCTGACCACGGCCAGGATCATACGATGACAGGATGAGGATTTCTGCACACGTCGTTAGATACCATAGCATGCAGCAGCCGGGTTCCTTGAATCATTACTTACGGATACATACTTGCGAAATCTTCGCTGCGGGCGTCCCTGTCTCTTGGTCTAAAGTGATTCGACATTGCTTGGGGAGCGGATACGACCACCAATCAACCAGCCAGACTTACTCAGATGGGCGTGCTTTCACTGGGCCCGGCATTGGATCTTTAGAGACGAATCACGACGAGGACATGTGCTGCTGTCGGTGAGATACGCATCCATAGACTGTACGGAGTAGTGCATGGAGAATGGTGTGATCCACAACTCGAACCACGAGTCGCGGTCGGCATGGTACCCTTGCCCAGCAAAATCGAGGGTCCTGTTCGCAGGACTGATATCGACGCTGGCGCTCGACTCTTATGATCGTCAGCATGCGTTGGTTTCCCACTTAGTCCATTGTCGCCGAGATTATGGGACGCATCCAATAATAATGGCTTGGTTTCTGGGAAAATGACGCCTTGATATTGCTCTCAAGCGCTGGAATGGTATTGCTGGTGGTCCCAGGGTAAAGGGCAATTATTAATGTGGGAGTTATCCGCTCACAACGACGACTTGGCGGCCGGAGCCTTTCATTATGCTCCCCAAAGGCCAACCCGATCGAGTTCTGGCACCACTGGCGACGGTAGGAGGCGCGACGAAGGTGACACAGGGTCAAGCGCGATAATGAAGCGTGCTGCTCAGGTCAGGTTGAACTTCAACATCAGGAAGTGGGGATTCCACCACCACCACCGCCAAAGCGTCCCCGCGATGGCGCAGGCAGCGATAAGCTACACTCACAATCGATAAGACTGATAAGAAATTTCCATTTTTTTTTTTTTTCCTGATGCGTCCAAAATTTACATCCCGACGGCTGGACCAGCGCCCGCCATTTGCGACAATCGCGCCACTGCAATTAGCTTTTGGCACGTTCACTTCTTTCCTCTTCAGGATTGCACCTTGTACTCCCTAGAAACAATGGCTGCCACCAAGCGTCAAGTCGCCGACGAGGCAGACACCGTCCGCCCGAGCAAGAAGTCGAAGCCCCTCGAGCCTGAGGTCGACGCCGATTCGGACAAGCCTCGCCTGAAGAAGGAGAAGAAGGACAAGAAGAAGGCTAAGAAGAGTCAAGAGGAGGCTGAGACTGAGACCAACGGCGATGTCGACCAGGACGAAGCCGAGCGCAAGGCTGCGAAGAAGGCGCGCAAGGAGGCCAAGAAGCTGAAGAAGGCTGCGGCCGCTGCCGCGGCAGATGAGTCCACTGAGATGCCTGATGCACCTGCGCCCGAGGTGGTGGAGGAGAAGAAGAAGGAGAAGAAGTCCAAGAAAAGCAAGAAGGGCTCAGAACCCGTGTCGAATGGCTCCGTTATCAGCGGCTCGTACGAACAGACCATCACCCTGACCGACGTCCCCCAAGCGGACATTGATGCGTTCCTGTCCAAACACCAGATCACCACCACGGACCCGTTGAACTCCGAGGTCACCCTTCGCCCGGTCGTCGAATTCCACCACCTGCCATCTACAAACCTCCTCGAGAAGCAACCCTCGCCCTTTGCTGGCTTCAAGGCCCCTACACCGATCCAGGCGGCGTCATGGCCATTCACACTTTCTGGCCGCGATGCCGTCGGCGTTGCGGAGACTGGATCTGGAAAGACCATGGCTTTCGCTCTGCCCTGTGTGGAGAGCGTCGCAGCCATCGGCAAGAAGGGCGTCAAGGCTGTCGTCGTATCACCCACCCGCGAGCTCGCCATGCAGACACACGTGCAGCTCGAGGGCCTTGCCTCCAAGGTCAACCTCAAGACCGTCTGCCTCTACGGCGGCGCGTCCAAGGATGAGCAGCGCGCTCTCCTCAGGCGCGGTGCGGATATCATCGTCGCCACCCCTGGGCGGCTGAAGGACTTTATGTCCGACGACACTGTGAACCTGACCGGCGCCAAGTTTGTCGTCCTCGACGAGGCGGATCGCATGCTCGACAAGGGTTTCGAGGACGACATCAAGAACATCCTCGGTGCTTGCCCTACTAGGGAGAACAGGCAAACACTCATGTTCACGGCCACATGGCCCCAGTCAGTCCAGACCCTTGCCTCAACATTCATGGTGTCCCCCGTCAAGATCACCATTGGCGTTCAAGGAAAGGAGTCGGCGGATGGCAGCGTAGAACTCCAGGCGAACACTCGCATCACTCAGAAAGTCGAGGTTATGGAGGGCCACGACAAGGAGAACCGTCTGCTACAGATCCTCAAGCAGTACCAGCAGGGCAAGAACCGCAACGACCGCATTTTGGTCTTCTGCCTGTACAAGAAGGAAGCCACTCGAGTCGAGAACACCCTGAGGAGGAAGGGCGTGAATGTAGGCGGTATCCACGGTGATCTGCGTCAGGAGCAGAGGACGCAGAGTCTGCAAGCGTTCAAGGAGGGCAAGACGCCTGTTCTCGTGGCAACAGATGTCGCGGCACGAGGCTTGGATATCCCAGAGGTCAAGCTGGTCATCAACGTCACAGTAAGTGCACTCGCTGGGCAATGTCATTGATGCAAAAGCTAACGATGGGCAGTTCCCCCTGACGATCGAGGATTACGTCCATCGCATTGGCCGTACCGGTCGTGCTGGCAAGACAGGCGAGGCCATCACCTTTTTCACGACACAAGATAAGACACACTCGGGATCGTAAGTCTCTATTTCGCCCCTCGCCAACAAAGCTGACATTGGATAGTCTCGTGAACATTCTGCGTGGCGCCAACCAGCCCGTGCCTGATGAACTCCTAAAGTTCGGCACCACCGTCAAGAAGAAGACGCACGACCTCTATGGCGCATGGGCCAAGGACGTGGACATGACACAAAAGGCGACCAAGATTACATTCGACTAGGCTTTGACGTGTCGCTGGCTAGAGAGGAGAATGTCCGTTTTACTTGGTCTTCGAGTTGCGGAAAGATAGATACTCGCGTCGCAGGGTTTCTCTTTCGGTGAAGGCGCTATGTATGTCAGTATAGATTACGAATATCACGCACGGAACTTACATGGATATCACCAAGGGCACTGCAAATGATGCAACCCTGAACAACGATCTGAAGGGCAAAGCTTCAGCGTCCTCCGTAACATTGAGGGCAAACATGACTCCAGCCGTACTGACGGCCAATGCCATGGCAGTCTTGGGCAACAGCTCCCCAAATCCGATGGCCAGTCCGTGCCGCGCAAAAAAGCCTCTGATGAAGCTGGCACTCCAGATGATGCGACACAGCATGTTCACCGAGTTGGCAGCTACCAAGCCACTAGCACCGAGGTCTAGTGTTCTCATGAAGACAACCGCACTGCCGGCGAAGACCAATGAGAAGGCAAACATCCAAACTGACTGTCTGTGCACCTCACCTTCGCTGGCGACAGAAGCAACGAATGCCTCGGCGATCCCATTCAATGCAAGCAAGGGAATGTAGAAGCAATAGGTGGCCAGCACGTCGCCTGCGCCAGAGCCGAGCCATCTGCGACCAGCGACGATAGCAAGCAGGGGCTTGGCGGCAAAGGGACCGAGCGTGAGGATGACAATCGACAGATAAATGTACATCTTCAGGATGCCCTTGAGGGATTCCCTTGCTTGCAAGATAGAAGGTTTCGCTTGAGGGGGGGTGAGCAGTCGGGAAAAGTACGACCGGAGACTCTCTTCGACGGGTTGGAATAAGAATCTTGCAAGCAGGCCACCGTAGTTGTTCGCCAAAGCATAGACACCCTGCACGTTTGGCGTCGATAGCAAGGAAATGAGGAACGTATCTCCCTGGGTGAGAATGTGCTTCACCACCGACTGGGCCATCATCGTGCCAGCCAGAGAGAGGGTGGGCTGGTACAGATAGCCGTTCAGCGCATACTCTTTTCCACTGCCTGCGTGTCGCGGGAACAGAGATAGACCCAGTTGCGAGACAAGTCGATAACCGGAGACGAGGTAGACGACCAGCAGAGCGATTCCGTACACCATCTGTCCCAACGCGAAGGGCAGTACGCCCAAATCCCGCCCACTGCGCTCTGCCCACACCGCTGAGCCAAATGTGACTGCACAGCGGAGGAACGTAGCAAGACCTTCCGCCAAGGCTCTGGTGCCAAACTGCAGGCGAGATTGCATGAGCACGAAGACGGGTTCGGACAGTAGCTCTACGATCGCAGCCAGCCCATACAGCCTGAGCGACATTGCTAGAAATGCTGCATCGGTGCTCGCATAGCCTTCGTACATCCAGCCCAGGCCCACGCTGACAATGACACCGAGGGCGACGCTGACATACCCCAAGTTGACCACCGCCTGCCCGGATCCATCAGTGCGCTGGATGGCGACGCGCAGGCTCTCACGGGCGAAAAAGAGCACGGACAAGTAGTACACCTCGAGTTGTGTGGAGAGCCCCAGGAGAGGCGCGGTGAGGAATCGTACTAGGAGGTTGTTGAAGAGGAAGGTGAGGAGCCGCGAGATGAGCTGGAGAGTGATGAGTAAGGAGGCTCCTCGCAACGCGCTCGCTTTGGGCTGCGATGGCGTAGTCTCTGGCTCACTTTTGGCATTGGTCGACGTTGATTTGGAATTTTCCTTCCGTTTTTGCGTGCCTGAAGCCATTGCTGCGGTGCGGGTGCGCGGTGCTCAAGTCAGATTGTATTTCGAGGTCAGACGTGGTAGCCTTGTGGACCAGTCGCTTGTACGACTCGAGAAATAAGCTTACCCGGAACCTTTGCACACACACACAGTATCGGAAACTTGGAAGACTTGGTTGAGCAAGGGTTTGAACAATCTTTTGTATTTACATTTCCATATACTCGTCACTCGTTATCACAACTCCTCGTCAACCACCACCAACTCCATGCTAGTAAACATCGTGAACACAACTCGTGCTTCAGTACGTGGTCAACGAAGGCGACCCATCAGCCTTGGGCAAGGAGAACTTTGTCTCCACAAAGACCTTTTGCATGGAATCCTCCCTCTTTTGAAATTTGTAGTAAACCTTGTCCAAATCTTCCAACCTGACGCGGTGCGAGACCATCTGGAGGGGGTCCAGCTCGCCCTTGCGGATCTGATCAAGGAGCTCATTCCAGTATTTGTGCACGGGAGCCTGACCGTTTCCGATCACGCGGATGCCGCGCTGCATGACAGACCCAATGTTGAAGTGGTTCGTGTAGCCGACGTAGATACCGGTGATTCCCACGCGGCCGTAGTTGCGGACACCCTCAATCATCTCGTTCAGAATCTCGCTCGTGTCGGTCTCGGCGCCCGTCATCATCTCAATCCAGTGCATCCAGCCCTTGGCGTACTCGCCGGCAGCGCATTCCAGAGCACAGTCGGGACCCCGGCCGCCGCAGAGCTCCTTGAGCTTGCTGACGACCGTGGGCTTGTTTGTCACGCCAAAGGAGAGCTTGCTGTAGTCCACCAGCTCAAGCTTGTCGAGGTGAGAAACGGGCCAGTGCTCCTTGACGAAGGACAGACGGGGCTCCTGGTCGACAAAGATAACCTTCTTCGCACCCTCACCAAGAGCAAAGATACCGCACATCTGGCCAATGGGACCGGCGCCAAAGATCGCGACCTCGTCGTTGGTGTAGACGGCAGTGTCCTTGACGCAGTTGTAGGATGTGGCGAGAACATCGGACAGATAGAGCGCCTTCTCATCGGGGACATCCTCGGGAATCTCGAGAAGGTTGACATCGCCGTAAGGTACGCGGACATACTCGGCCTGGCCACCGGCGAATCCACCCGTGAAGTGGGAGTAGCCAAACATGCCTGCGGTGCGTCCGCCGTACATGGCATTCTCTGCCGTGTTGGAGTTTGTCTTCTCGCACTGAGACGACAGCTTCTGGTCGCAGAAGAAGCAGTGTCCGCAGGCAATCTGGAACGAAGCAACGTAACGTTTGCCGACCTTGATCTTGCTCTTATCCACGCCCGCACCGACCTCGTCAACTATGCCGCAGAATTCGTGTCCGAGGATGTCGCCCTTGCTCATCTGCACGACGGAGCCGTGCAACAGGTGCAGATCCGATCCGCAGACGGTGCTGCCGGTGACCTTGAGGATGACATCGCGATCCTCGAGGATGTTGGGACGAGGGACGTCAACCATCTCGACCTTGTTCTTGCCCTGCCAGACGAGCGCCTTCATGGAAGAACCCTCCTTGCCCGTCTCCGCGTAGTTGGCGACGTCTTGCTGCGTCGTGGCGTTGTCGCTATGGCCCGTGGCCTTCTCCGCCTGCCATGCTGCTTGACTAACTGACATTTCGGAGTCTTTTATTCGTGTTGCGTGATGCTCGTAGGGGGGAGATGGCGAGATCAGTCGAACAAACGAGCCTGTTTCGCAGCATTCCTCAGATAGAAGTACCACCGTCGACTCCGAAACCCCGCGTCCCCCTCTCCAGTTCCCGCGTCATCATGTGTTGGCCCGTTCCTGCCCTTCTGTCAAAATGACGATGTGTTGAGATATGAATCGGTGATGCGTCGCGGACGACGTCATGGACTCGCAACTTCAACCGCCGGAGCTCTTGTTCCTGCGGGGACTGGAGATGGGGCAGCCGTCAAGCGACGCCACTTCCTGGCAATCGATATTTGACATGTCTGACAAAGCTGCTGGTAATACCCGCCCATTTCCCACATGGAGTTCAGAGATCCCAGTGACACGCGCCAGAGAAGTTGACTTGAGGAGTTCGGCGCTAATTAGACTGTGGACGCGTCGTGACTCGTCGGACGAATGAGTGGCGGGTCTGCTGCGTCGAAAAGGAGCCTTAAGCTGGACCAGTGCCCCTACTCCTCCTATGACCGCAAGCCAAAGTCCTTATAACTAGTAGAATATAATGGTCAGCCCCGTGCCTGTTCAAAGTTCCCAACTTCCAGTCACTCTCAAGCTCGCGTCAGGGACCCCGCGCTAAGTGCTAGCCTCGCGGGAGGACCCGGGCGCCGGATTAACTCACCCCGCCGCTGGGCCCTCTCACTTCCTCTATCAAAAAATCTCAGCTAAAATTCACCTGATTCCCGATTCTCCTTCTTCAAGCCATCGCCCTCGTCAACGCTGCGTTTCCATGCTCCAAACGGAGAGATTTCTTGTTCTCGAACCTGAGATCTCTCGCTCTCTTTGCATGTGGGAAATTCAGGGTAATGCTCACTTCCTCCGGGAAGGCCTCGCCTCCCTCTCGTCCCTCTGGGCGATGCATAGGCCTGCCAGTGATGGCCTGGCGTCAATTGACGTCTGCAATCGGCATCAGAAATCTCAGAGCCTGGGCGCGCCGGAACCCTCGGGGGATGGATGCGTCCCAGTGTCTCTATGGGAGTCGTTGCTGAGCTTGTTGAGTAAAACTTGAGTGCGATACGCGGCGTGTCGTCCTCCCTCGTCTGGGGGAGGCGGCATAACTCAATCCTGATCATTCTGACGAGGGCGATGGCTTCAACCTTTTTTTCTCCCCAGGTCAGTTTGCTCTTTTGCGTGCAAGGAAAATGCTAATTTGTGTGGCGCTCCTTGACTGGGAGGCCATGACTCGCATCTAGGTAACGACTTCGAGCGGAGCATGTATCGCCTTACATCGCACACTGGCATTGGGCTAGACGGAGAATTGCCGCACGACGGAGCTTGGGTAGATTGTGCCAACCCCTTTCTATCTCAAATCGCAAACAAGTCCTTTCTGCCTGGGAAACCAACTACAAGTCACTTCCCAGTCTCGGTCCGGGTTCGTCAGCCTAATGTCATACCGTCCCACCAAGGCCGCGACAATCTTATAAGTCTGAAGAAGCGCCAAATGCCGACCCAGACACATCCTTGAGCCCGCACCAAACGAGAAATCGGTCGCATTGAAAAGCTTGATGCGCTCCGCGAACGCCGAGCTCGACTCATCCTCCTGCTGCAACCAGCGCTCCGGACGGAAAGTGTTGGGGTCATCGCCCCAGATGCGCGGGTTCCGGTTGATGATGAAAGGGTTCATGCCGACCTTGGTGAAGGGGGGGATATAGCGTCCGTCAGGAAGTGTAAGACCCTCTGCGGGTGCGTACCGTTCCAGCATCATCGATACCCCTGGATGGACGCGGATGGCCTCACGAACGCAAGCGTCGAGGTCTTTCTGTGTTAGCGCAGGTCGCCGTCTGGGGCGTGGAGCAAAGACTCACATGGCAGGGCCTTGGCTTCGGAGTACTGCGCTATGCGCCCCAATTCAAGTTCACCGAGGTCGCTCTTCAGCTTGCGGTAGACATCCGGATTCTTCAACACGTAGTACATAACCGCCCGGATCGTCAAGGCGGTGGTATCGGATCCGGCAAGCAGATTAATAAATACATAATTCATGATCATTCCATCATCGACGATATCTGGATGCGTCTCCTTTGCCTCCATGAAGCGCTGCAGATAGTCCGGTGTTTTCGGGTCAAAGTTGGGGTCGTTTCCTCGGGCGCGTGTAGCGATGTGCTCGATTGCTACCCTCGTTGCATTTCCCAGGTGCGGGGGGCCTATGCGCTTGATTGGGTTCTTGTCCAGGAGATAGTCCAGGAAAGGCATCTGGCCGATGGCAGCGAAGTAATCAAGCGCCTTGTCCGCAGTGGAGATGGTCCCGTCATGGTCCTTGCCTTGAGCCATGTAGCCAAAGTCCTCGCTGAACGATGCTGCGCCTACCATGTCCCAGGTGCAGAACGCGATCCATTCACCCAGATCGCATGGCTTGGCGGTCTTGACGAAACGTTCATCCAGATGCTCTAGCAATTGGTCGATGACCTTGTCGACCAGAGGCTCAACTGTTAGCACTGCGCTGGAGGAGTAGTGCTTGGCCACGGGCTTCCTCATCCTGGCGTGCGCCTCAGGATCGGTCTGGGAGAACATGTTTGGAATGATGTTCCAACCAATCTTGGTCGAGTTGTTATGGTAGAAGTCAGTTTTCAGATACTTGTTGTCAGTGCCGTACATGGTCTTGACAAGCTCGGGATAATCCAAGTCGACAACGTTGGGCCCGAGGCGGACGACAGGCCCATGTTTGTCGTGAAGCGCTTTCAGGTGATGCTGGTAATCACCTGTGCGGACCAGATAGAAGCGGTACCAGTTGGTCAAACCTGGATCTCTCAGCATGAGACGCTGTTGAAAGGGCGCTGAGTGTACTCACCGGCAATGGGAGGGCCAGGTAATCGCCATAGCCGCGTGAAAATGATTTCGCAGGCCCACTGAACAGATACAAGTACGACGGCAAGGCAAATGGCGTTCACAGCCAGCCCGGTCCAGGTTTGCCCGAGGAGCGCGCCTCGCAGTGAGTCGTTGTAGCTGGCATACCACGTACCAGTTGACTCAGCTTGTGCCCCTTGGCCCATGTTGACTTCAGGCCCTCGATATGTTCTCAGTCAGCTTTCTTAAGCTCAGGGGAAGCAGCAACAGGGACGGATTCGACGAGGACCAGTGCAATTTAAATGACCCAAGGTTCGTTTGTGACTACGTACATGCATGAACTTCTTTCAGGAGTCAGGACGATGCGGCGCCCCTTATTACATGCATCAGGCGGCGCTCCTTCGTGTGATTGCCAAGGTTACCATGCATGACCACATCATGTTGGTCCGCTTGACGAAACATGCTCCAGCCCGAAGATGGCAACACCGACTGAGTGCCCACGCACTTGACAAGTTGTAGCCAACAGGCTAACATGAACAAAATGCGATTGGTCCGATCCTCATCTTCAACCAACGGCTAATCCTGGGCATCCTGCAGTTGTTCCGGCGACGAAGCAAGGATGCCAATATTCTGGAATGAATTTCCTTCAATTCACAATGTAGGTACATACACCATTCGTACAGTGAACCTCACAAATTCAAGCTCCTCTTTGACTTTCTTGCATCGGATACGCCTCGATGGGTCTTCAAGCTTTGTTGCAGAAAGTCATTGTACAGCATGGACTTTGAGGGGACAGTGTCTCAATGGACATGGATTCTACTCCTTCATGGATCACCGCCAGGGGTAAAGTATGTCCGTTACATGGATCGCAACCAGACGTCAGAGGCTGCCTGCCAGCTGAGGCATACATACATGTAATTAGTCTGTGCACTGCTCCTTTCTGTCTTTCCCATACTTGTACGCACAGTCAAGTAGCGGGGAGTGTCTGTTAATAAGGCGATGGTCTGTTTTGAGCAACCATCAACTCAACCTGAAGCCGCAGCAAATCACACGAGAACAAGCTCATATGGCTGTCGCTGGAAAGAGGCCCAAGGCCCTCGCGGTCATGTATTCGCTGACATTTATTGTCCTTCTCTTTACCGCCCTACGGATATACACTCGCATCGCGGTTGTGCAGTCGTACGGGCTCGATGATCACGTCTACGTATTCGCTTTCGTTCTCTTACTTCTCTATACTGTCTTCATTCACATTGCCGCTACACATGGATTTGGTCAGAACATGTGGGACATCACGCCACAAAGCGATATCTCCCCTGCTGTCTTGAACTGCTGCATCGCACAGACGTTTGCTGTCATCGGTATGGCCGTCGCAAAACGGAGCCTGGGCCTTTTCTTGCTGAGACTGGTGAAGGAGAGATGGCATACGATCGCAATCTGGGTCGTCTTGGCGAATCTGATGACGGCCAGCCTGGTTTGCCTTTTCTTCTTCTGGTTCCAATGCGAACCCGCAGCATTTCTGTGGGATAAGAGCGTTGGCGGCAAGTGTGAGCTGCCACAGCTGGCGGTTTCCATCTACTTAGGGGGTGAGTCGATCCTTGAAAGTGACCACATAGGCAACGCGGAACTAACCTTCCAGCGTCGTGCGTCTTCACGGAGCTGTTCTTTGCGATTTTCCCGTGGGTCTTCATGTGGCGGCTGCAGATGAAAAAGCGTGAAAAGCTCATCATTCTCGCGTCCATGTCTCTTGGTATCATGTAAGTGTGCTTGACTCCATCATGCGCGAATGGCAGATGTCTAACAGAATAAGTGCGGCCGCTTGTGGTATCAAACGTGCGACCGAAATCCCGAGTTTGATGTCGAGCAATTATCTTCGTGACAGCGTTGGCATCATCGTCTGGTCATCGGCCGAGCAGGCTGTGACAATGATCTGCATTGGCATACCCGTCTGCCGGCCGCTATACAAAGGATATCTCGACCGGTTGACATCTCATAAAACGAATAGTCGGTATCGGAACCTCAACGGGCCGCAACTAAGCGCTGGCCAAGTCCCTCTGCATACCATTGGCGGCAGCGACCTTCCGGGCGGGAGTAAGGCGAGTTGTTCCAATGGGGGGTCCAAAGGTGACAGCCATACCGAACAGGATGAAGGTGACACCTTCGACTCGGACAGTAGTATGTGGAAGGCTGAATCAGGCGGCCTGGGCGAGGAGTATGTACCCGCTGGTGGTGCATATGTTCAACACCCAGCGTCGGCTCTACGAGGGATACGCGTCACCAAGGAAGTGTCTGTGACTAAAGCGGAAAGGCATTGATCAGTTGTTTGAGTTGAAGGTGCCTTGGCATCGCCATCACTAGTCGTATACGTATAACCCCTAGCCATTAGCTACGTATTCAAGCCGGCACACCCACCGCCATCACATCGGGGTTACTCTTCAGTTCCGACTTCTTGGGCATAGCTCCCGTCCTCATCAACAGGGCGCTTTGGGTCATGGCTGGGTCACGGCCCATGCTAGCCATGGCGACAACCTCCTCGCCCTTGGTATAGTACGCCACAAAGCTAGCGTCCGCCGGGTTGCCGTCCACAATCACGTCGTCCCAGCCACCAACCGTGTTGCCGCAGTATCGCATCTGAGCACCCAGGGCAGACCAGAACACGGGAATGAATTGTTCCGTCTTGATCGAGGGGTTGACAATGTGGTTTGCCACTGCGCGGCCAGCATTCTGTGCGACGTTCCAATGCTCGATGCGAGTGAACTTGCCTTCGCCGCCGGGCCCGTGATAGGGGTATGTGCTGATGTCGCCAATGGCGTACACATCCTTCAGACCAACGACATTGAAGTTCTCGTCAGTCTTCAGAGAGCCGTCTTCTTCGAGGCGGACAATGCTGTTGTTTCGCAAGAACTCAGTTGCTGGCGACACACCAACACCGAGGATAACTAGGTCCGCCTCAAGACGAGTGCCGTCCTTGAGCAACACGGCTCCGACGTTGGACGGGTCGGAGTTGGAGGGCTCAGCCTTGTCGACACCTGCACCCATGTAAAACTTGACGCCCTTGCCCTCGACAAGCTTTTGCAGGCCAGCGCCAACCTGCTCGCCCAAAACACGCTCCAAGGGAACCTTCTCCATGCCGATCACGGTCACGTCGTTGTCCGCAGCAGTTGCGACAGCAGCTTCCATGCCGATGAAGGACGATCCAATGATGACGATCTTCTTGCCCTTCTCGCCGATGGCGCCGGTGATCTTCTTTGTGTCATGGGCGCTGCGCAAGGTGAAGATATTGCCCAATACCTTGAAGCCTTGCAGGGGCAGAAGCTTTGGCTGACCACCTGTGGCGAGAACCAGCTTCGTGTACGCAAACTTCTTGCCTTCCTTGGTCGAAACGGATCGTTCCGAGAAATCGATGCCGTCAACCTCACCGTCAACCCACTCAATCGAGCCTTGCGTGAACCAGTCCTTGTTCCTCCAGGCAAGCTTATCAGTGTCCGTCATCAACGCCTTGCTCAGCTTGGTGCGATCAATGGGTAGGTATCCTTCGTTGGAGATGACTGTCAGCGGACCGCCAAACCCTTTCTCGCGGAGGCCCTCAATGGCACCGAGACCACCTGAGCCACCACCAACAACGACAATCTTCTCTTCCTGGCCATCCCCCGCGGCATTGCACTTGAAGTTGGGTGCGCGACGTGAGGATTTGATAGCAGACTCTTCGCCAGTGATGTATACCGACCCGTCGCGCTCTGTCACTTTGAACGTAGGTAGAGCATCAAGAGCGGGAGCATCTTCAACATCGCCGGTCTTGGAGTTGAAGCAGGCTGCGCTGTTAGTCCGGGACTCATGGGCTCAGAATGAAGTGCCATACCTCCATGCCACGGACACGTCAGGCGACCAGACTTTGTCAATACACCTTTCACGAGGGGTGCGCCATAGTGTGTGCACTTGGATCCAACGGCCTGGACTGTGCCTGCAGCATTGACCAGCAAGACCTTGCCGTTCTCGATACCCTCCACCTCGACTTCCTCCTTGGCTCCAGGGCCCAAGTCAAGTGACTTGACGCCCTTGAGCTTATACTCCTGTGCAGCCATAGCTCGTAGAGTTGTTGAGAAAGACCTTGTTGCTGAATATCCGTATAAGTGCGGCCGAAGCTGGTTCGCAAGACGATGTATTCGAGGTATGGACATGAGGGAGGGGATGAAAGGTGAGGTGAGGGGTATGCAGCGATACAGGCAATAGTAGAACGGTCAACAACACTGCTAGCAATGCCGGAGATACGCTGTTGATGCCTCTAGTCGATGATGTGGTGACGACGCGAGCACTGAGCTCGCCAATCCGCTGCTGCTGATTGGCTACGATCCTTATCGAAATGTGGGTAGACGGATCGGTGCTGGTGATGGTGACGACATCTCTAGCATGGGATTGCTGGCAGTCGTCTGATCTGCCTAACCTATTTCAAAGCTGACGGGCATGTTCTCAGCACCGTCTGGACCTTCGCGAGCCATGTTGACTATTCAGTAAAGTATGCGTTAGAATTTCTGGGCTCGTGAGAAGTACTATACATGAAGGAATTGATTTTTCAATCTGTTATGATTGAGTTGTACCTCAACCTGTACCGGAATTCCAGTATCTATGTTTTAGTTAACGCTATTTCGCAAACCGCCTTTAATCACAACAGCCAGTGATGTTTGTGCTTCCGGGTCAGGTATCAGACGAACTGACAGGACCAAAGATTTCATTTATATACGCTTTAGCTCAGCAACCCACACTCATCGTAAATATTTTAAGGAGGCTGTCGCCATGTCAAGGTTCATTCAGTTCAGTTCAAGTTCATTTCAGTTGGGCTTGGAGAGTGGTCGCATATGTGCCTGACAGAACCCCACTAAGGTAATTACTAGCGACTTGTCACAGTACGATCGAAGATTATGCGATGAACAAACACATATTATTAGATTGTGGCTCGGGCAATAGGACCGTAGTCGTTTCATCCAAATCCGGATGGCGTCCTCTTAAATAGAGAGGCTGGTGCTCGATACAGCCATCACTGTCGTCATGCGGATGTGGTAGCCAATTGCTGACCTCGACAGCAGGCCGCTTTAGGGCCGCCGTGCCTGCATCCGGCGGAGGTTAGTGGTCGTCTGACCTCCACCGCCATGCACAAGTTGCGTCTTGGAACAGGCAGGTGCAGCAAACACCTGGTGGTATATTATAGGCAGAGCACGAGGACTGCGCTGTCAAGTGGAGATGGTTCGCGAATACTCATACCGCCCTTTCTGAGTATCTTCCTCTTTTCCTTCTTCATCTACAAAGCAGTCTTCAGCTAGCAAAAGCTGGCTGTGCCGCCGGGCACTGGGCACCAAACTTCTTATCGTTGGGTGAAAGCGCAAACCGGCTAGACTGAGGAAGGCGTGCCCCCCACCACGGGGACAGAACCCCGCGCCTGCCCTGAAAGCAGCCTTTGACAGGGAGCATCGCCCTGAATTGAGTGGAGCGAGTTGCCGACGTCAATTCGCGCCCCCGTTACTCTGAATGCGAAAGGGTCGCGTCTTATCTTCACTCGACTCCATCTTCAGGCATCAACTCGACAAACCTACGAACCTCGAATCGAACTACCCCAGCCCACGACCTACGCGGAGACCGAGTACATACCTACCCACAACCTGAGAGCTTACGCCACACAGAAGTTGGAGATGTTGAGGCGTGGAGGCAGCCACCGTGAACACATTTCCTCCGAGTGACAGGACGGCGTGTGGGAGCCTTGAGGGCTTGTACGACCGGGCAAGCATCCTTTTTCGAACCTGGCACGATGGAGAATATTGATCTCACGGTTAATCGACGCACCGAGCCCGCCCAATCTTCCATCGCCTGCTGCTGTGGTCGCGCCGATTGCGCCCTGCTCAGGAAGAACTGCACAATCCTCGAAACTGTCGAAAAAGATGTCCACACTGCAGCACAGCTGGGCCAGGTACGTCTATATGTCACTGCCATAGATTACTTTTCTGTGTTCATTTGTGTCGTGTGCGGTGTCTTTTGCTGTCCCCACTGGGAGGGCTCATTTGCGAGCCGCATACCAGTCGTGGTGATATTATCGTCAGTTACGCTTGCACCCAAAGGAAACATTTCCTTCTTCACTTCCTAGTCTACTGTGTGCGAAAGCAATGGAGGAAAAGTCTGCAGAAACGTTCCAGCACTCGACGCTGACATTCGCCCTGCAGGCTCTTTTGGCCCGGCATGAGGCCTACATGGCTGATGCGGAGCGTGATCGAATCAGTTCCTTGACGCGGATCGAAAAGTTGGAGCATGACAAGCACGAGTTGGAAACTCAAAACGCCAATAAGATCGAGGAGAATCGACAGTTGCTGGACCAGCTCGAACAACTGAATAACACTGTCTCCGAGAGCGACACGAAGATACGGAGCCTCGAGGCGAGCCTTTCATCATCACAGCAAGCCGTTCGCCGACTCGAGGCTGCTGCTGCCCGCGCTGAAGACGCTGAACGACATTTGGCGGCACTGGAGGAAGAGCAGAATCAGCTGCACCATGAGCTACGTCTGACCAAGGAGGATGCGCGCTCGCATGCGCAACGGTGCAAGGAAGCCCAGCGGGGTATACTTGACATGCAGGACCAGCTCGAGCACATGGAGAAGGAGGCCAGGAAGGAGCGCGAACGCCACGTTGAGGTCATGGATCGTATGGAACGCCAACGCGAGGTGGAGAAGCAGCTGGACACGGCGGCTGGCCGGCTCAAGGGAGCGGCTGCAACGAAAACCATGGGGAACGAGAAGAATGGAAGCAATGTGGTAAACCACTTTGTGAGGGATCTGCTTCAGGACAATGCGAACCTGCAGCTTGGTATTGCCGAGCTGCGGGAGATGTTGCTGAACTCAAACGACGAGATCCAGTCGCTCAGAGAACAGCTCATGCACCACCAGCCGGTGGATGAAGAGGCTGTAAGCGTGCCCCCGAACCTCAAAGAGGAGCTGGAGCCGCATCAACGGGCAGGCACGAGACTGTCGCAGGAGCTACACATACATCATCATTATCACGTACAGAAGCAGGAGGCCAAGAAGCCGAGAAAGAAGCGGCAAGGCTTGACACCGGGCGTGCTACAACCTCCGACTATATCGCCCGCAGCAGCAATACTCTCATCACCAGCAGCTGCTGCTAGCCTGTCACAGCCCGACAGGCACCCACCGACGCATGCGGGTGCTTGGACACCACTGTCCAACCCACCGTCCGAGTTTGCGTCTTCCGTGCCAAGCTCGCCTCGATCAAACAGGGTCAGTTCCCTATTTGACACAAACACTTTCGACACCGGACTGCCCATGTCCCCGATTACGAGTCTCGATCCGACATCCCCGACCTGGCGTGCACACCACAAGCGACCCTCTGCTGCATCATATCAGAGCTTCCAAAGTTTCCAGACAATACCCCACATGGACCTGTCCGATGCCAGTGGCACACCGTGTCACCAACGAGGCTATTTTGACAACACCATACATGAGGAAGACGAGGATGCTCCGCCGATCGACGAGGACAGTCCCGGCCTCACGCACCCCGAAGCCTCCACTGAGGACTCCATGGAAGGCTCTGCTGCCGAGGACTCTGAGTTCTCGAGCGACTATCTGCCGCCCCCTCGCCTACGCCGGGCGACATCACACGAGTCCATCATGTCATTATCGGGAGGCCTCGACATTCACACCCTCAAGGCTCGCCCTAGCCAGATGACGTTGAGGCCCATCGGGGGTCTGGAGGCAGTTGTCACCGGCGTGACCGCCCAGCCGACATTGTCGCGCGCGACGGCGAAACGCAGCGACGCCGCGTTGCGGGATCACTTTGCTGGGAAGCAGAGCTACCGCTCCGTCTCGTCTCCGATGAGCGCAGCACCGTCTCGTAGCTCGTCGCCCGCATCGCAGAAAGGCATCACGGGCGGCCTGGGTAAATTAGTAGGCTGGCGACCCTGGGGTGCCAACAGCTCCAACAATCCCGACAGTGCTCATAACACGCCTACCAAGGCTGTGGACGTCCTGACGCCAACGACGGAAAATAAAGCTGAAAAGGCGTGGAGTCGAACACCAGGCATCAACCAGCCTGGGTCTATACCTGGCTTCCAGCAATACTGGGCCTCACAGCGTCGCAAGGGCGCTCCGGCGAAGGTTACGGCCGAAGTGATCAACCACGACGTACTCAGCGAGAGCTTGCGGGAGTAACACTTGCTTATCTGTCCAACACTCATTCTTCTTTCCTTACTGTTTGGGGGTTGCATTGACAGGTACGGCGGCACTGGTCTTGGGCGTTTGTTTAATGGTGGAACACGGAGAAACAACATTTTGCATACACACAGCGTTTGGGGAAAGAGAAGATACCCTGGTCATGACTGACCCCTTCATTTGTATACACACAAAACACTATCGCAAATTAATATAATTCATCAAACCTCGTTTCATTCATTCATTGCATCGTCACGACCCATGTTGCTCGTTAAAGCTCTGATTTAGCATTGTCCAGTACGTCGTGTCGACGCCCTGGAACGTCCAGTTATCAGCTCCAGCTGGAAAGTCCATCCATCCTCCTGGCACATCGTACTCGTCCCCGTTGAAAGCCTGTATACCATTTGCCACGTCTCCGGCAACGTTGTCGCTCGCTGGAAACGTAAAATCATTGAAATCGAAACTCAGGAACGGTGCCGAATCAGCTGGGCCCACGCCATTCAGCGTGCTAGCAGGTGCTGGCAATGCATCTGACGGCGCGTCCACAGGCGGTGCGGGCTTGGGGTTGATGTTCACGGTGCCGAGAAAGGGGACAGACAAATGCACATCTGAGTCAAGGCCCTGTCCAGATAATATGGGTAGCATGGCTCGGATGGTCTCGGCGCTTTCACTGGAGAGCTTGTCAGTCTTGTGCTGGCCCATTGCCAGAAGGCTCTCATGGGTGGCTTCGACGAGGCTACGGTCGCTCTCGCGCTGCGGATCGACCTGCCCCAGGTGACCGAGCATGAGTGTCATGGCGGCTATGAGGGCGGAGTAGTCAATATGACGACCCGCGACGTAGACGATGTAGTCCTTTCGAAAGGCGAGGAATCGCTCGAGGACCGCGCGGCTGGCGCGCATGCAGGTCAGGCGGTTGAAGCTGTAGCGGTCGCCGCCCTTCATCAGGTACGGTAGGTGCAGGAGGATGAGAAGTGTGTAGTGTCGTACTTGGAGACGGATGGCGGAGCACTCGGAGAGCATGTCAAGGGGCGACCGGCTCAAAGCCGCCGAGATGTCTGGGATGGCCCACCACGTGTTTTCCACTAGGCAGGCCGTGTTCTCGAGCTGCAGATCGAGAGCTTGTGTGACGGCGTATGCGTCTGGTTGGTCGACGCCCTCGTTCCGCTCCGAGATCTTGCGCGCGACGGTGGCGTAGGACTTGCCTAGGTTGTCCAGCGGCGTAGAGGACGGATCAAAGGGCGGGTCATTGCGCGAGCCAAAGGGCAACCCCAGAATCAGCGAGTGGTATCGGTCTCCGCACTGGATCCTGAACCAGAGAGTGGCTGGGTCGGCGTGGCGGCTGGACAGGGACCGTGGCGGGGGCGGGATCTTCTTGTCGAGGCCCATGAGCTGGGCCATGCTGAGGGCACGACGGCATGTCATCCAAGCCTTCCGGAGCTGTCCCGCGTCGCCCTGAATCATGGTCATGAGAACCAGGCACTCGATGCCCTCGATGCTGCCGATGAGGGGGTCGCTGGAGAGGACCCAGTCCTCGGAGGCACCGAGCCAGTTGGCCAGGACATGGCAGGGACGTTTGCCGTGAAAGTCTGCCGCAATGGAGGCGAAGACAACGGGAGAAAGATTCTGCACGCATACAGCGTACTGTAGTAACCGCCGAGTGATGAGGACCGGGTGTGTGTCCGGCGTAGGGTAGTGGGGATCGGCCAGAGACGCCTGAGTCTCAATGTTGGGAGACGTTGCTGGATGAAATCCCGACAAGACCGTCGTAGCACCAGGTGAACTGTACGCCAAGGTAGAGCGGAGCTTTCCTGTGGGAAGGAGAGCATAGAGATCGCGCGATATCTGCTTGAGCTTTTCTGACAACCGGGGCCCAGCAGGCGAAGAGTACTGCCGACTGTAGGGGGACCCAGACGCGCTCTGGGATGGCGTCGGGGCCTGTGTGTCGAGCAGAATGGCATGTCGCGCGGCTGAGGTCTCGAGAAGGTCATCCTCCATGTCCCTGGGATAAATGTACTCATTCGCCTTGGATTGTGGGTCGGCCAGTCTGCCCATCATGGCTTCCAGGCGGATGAGGCGCTGCGCGAGGGCTTCATCCTGGGGACGTGAGGATTTGGATGAGGCTGGATGGGACGATGGTGTCGGGAGATTGTCATCGTCGAGCGGTGTCTCTTGAGACACACATGACGCCCCTTTGGCCTCGCAGTTCACACAGACAGGGTCGCTGTCGCGCGCAAAGGTGCATTTGATCTTGCGCCGGCGGCCTGTGGATGATTCGTCAGTACGGTCTGGCGGTCGCGCTTACATACGGACGCGGTGGGCAGGAATACGTACACTCCCAACAACTGTGAGTTCCCTTGCGGACCTTGCGCTTCTTGCTGGCAGGTTCAGGCGTGCGCATGGTGTGTCTTTCGATTCGGCCGAAGTGACGGATGAATTCAGATGGGAATCTGGCGGGAAGTCGAGGCCATGTGAGGTTGTAAGATTGATCATTGACACGCGGAGTTTACCTCCTCTAGCTCCGGAAGGATTCGTTTGGGTAAGGTACATGTAAACTGTAGGCATTTGATTGCTGACAGGTAGCCATCTAGCCGTGTCACAGGCATTGGACTCATCCTGCCAGCAAATGAGGCTGATTTCGATAATTTCTTCCACAAACCTGCCCACGAGCGGAGGCAGATCTTAGTGTGAGGCGCGTCCTTTTGAGCGATGGTGCAGCAGCCTGCTCCAGGAGCAACCCGCTCATCCTTTTTGATGTACCTGGTTCCAATTACAGCCTGACCAAACAGCTCATACCACCGCAGGCCAGAGCCTTTGACCGCGATGAGGTGCGAGGTTGACGATGTGGATGCGCTATTAAGTAGGTGAATCGATGGCAAAGCCTCATTTGCTACAGCGTCCGAGTCAAGTCGCGACAGAGGGAGCTTGATGAATGACTAACACTTTTGAGTGCAAACTGTTCCAAAATCTGTTAGCGGCCCAGTATTTCCACACGACCATCCCTGGTCATTTGTCATCCTCTTCATGCACTGGTCTCCATCGTGAAATCTCACTGTGGTCAAGGAATCAACATGTCAATTTCAGTAAACACAGGCTGAAGTCCTCGCCAGAGCACTTTTGTTCATCCAGTGTCTTTGAACATGGCGACCAACCCGATTGTCATCGATGCGCTGCCAGAGCCCACCGTGGAGCCAGCGTCCGCCAGGCGAAAGGGTGAGTGAGCTGGCTGCCACGACAACATGAAGCTATGTCAAGACGTGTGCTGACAAGATCCGATCTAAGCCTGCGATTTGTGTTTCACAAAGAAGATAAAATGTGATATGCTCAAGCCCGTCTGCTCCAACTGCAAGCTGTACAACGCAGACTGCCAAACCACCAGCGTGGCAAGGAAAAGGCAGACCAACAGCAGGCCAAAGCAGGCAGTCAAGATCCGTGAGGCCGAGACGAAGGAGTACGTGACAAGTCGGCTCACTCATTGGTCATCTACATCACTAAACCGTGTGCTAGGCTTGCCGAGGAGAATGAGAGCCTCAAGAAACGACTGGCTCGGATCGAGGAGCAGCTCCAACAGATACTCGAGGCCGCGAAGCAGGAACATGCCCTGGCCACAGCCTCAGCCCCAGTTTCTTCGACAAACGGTAGTACCCCCGAGGAACTCGCGAGGAAGTGTAGCCCTGAAGAGCTCAAAGGGCCGAGCGCTTGGCGCTTCGATCCAGTTGAGCCAAGTCTGTATCACGGTCCTGGTGATGATGATCTGCCTTTGCCGCCATTGGATGTAGGTCATGGCCCCTTTGCATAGTAAACATAAAGGTAAATCCGCTAATCAGACCGATTAGCAACTCATGCCCTACGTCGACCACTACTTCAACACATTCAACAGGGCTCTCCCGCTCTTCGACCAGGCAGTCTTCATGCGCATGATGCGCGATTGGCACCACACTGACCGTCCCAAGCGGGACCGAGCTATCTGGGCCGCCATCCTCATGGTCTGCGCCATGGGCCTCCGGTCCCCTATTCCTGGAGACGAGGCTCCCACCATTGACCAGCGGGCTCGCACCGACTGGGCAAACCGCTGCATGCGCAATGCTCAGTCAGTCATGTCCGAGCTCGTTACCCGCGAGAAGGACCTTCTGGGCGTGCAGGTTCTACTCTCGTTGGTCTGCCTGTTCCACAACAGCAGCGACTCTCGGCCTGCGAGCGTCCTCGTGGGCACGGCGGTGCGGCTCGCCCAGAGACTGCAGCTGCACTCCAACGCCTCATCACGGCTTTACGCGCCCGGCGAAGTTCTTCTGCGGCACCGCGTCTTCTGGATCGCCTACCTCTTCGACAAGGACCTTTCGCTCCGAGGGCAGGCGCCCTCTGCACAGCAAGACGCCGACATTGACATTTCACTTCCGCCCATGAACCCGCCGGACGGAGCAGGTCTGATCTACACTTCCGACAAGAAAACCTGCCTCAACACATTCCGGATACGCTTGGGTCTATCCCATATCCAAGGCAAGATATTCGACAACCTGTACTCGAACCGCGCCAGTAAAGTACAGGGCGCTGAACGAAGACAGCGCATAGCGGCGTTGAGCACCATGCTCGAGCAGTGGTATGCTCGCATCCCACCGGCCTTTCGCATCGAGCACGTATCGTCCACCGTCGATGAGTCCGAGCTCGTTCAGATGGTCAAGCTTCACCACGCGTATCTTTTGGCCGTGGTGCACACGCACGGCATCTACTCGCATGAAAGTGAGTGGTTCGGCCGCATCAGCTCCATGAGCAAAGCCATGATCCAAGACTATGCGATGACGATCCTTGGGCCGACGTCGAAACGCGCCACCGAATCCCAGGAGCCTCCGATGGCGCAGGGCTGGAAGCAGTGTGTTGACTTGAGCCGGAAATGTATCAGGCTGTTCCAGGACGCGACGCCCACGGAATGTCTTATCTGGTATGTTACTGCTCTGGCGGTAAGGCCGCCTCGCTGACAGTTCTAGGCAATGCAGCTGCGCGCACTTTTCGGGGCTGATTGTTCTTCTCGCCAACAACCTCATGCATCCAACCCACCCGGACGCCTGGATAGACCAGGAACTCAGCAACAAAGCGGTCAAGCTCCTGAACGATCTCGTTAGTGTTCTCCCGGCCAATGCATTTGACACGCTGTGCGTCGTGGTCAACGAGCTGCAGAAAAAGGCGAGTACGGCTGTCGACGCTGCGAGATTGGCGGCCGCCCAGACGGATTGGATGCAAGCCAGCGACGGCAATTTACTACTAGAGGACCTGGGCGATGAGATGGGATTCCCCGTCTTCGCTGACGATGAAGATATTACGGGAGCTTTCGAACTGGATGACACCTGGGACCACCTGTTGTCGAACGACAATGCTGTCGTTGGGGGAGCTGAGTTCCAGGCATGAGCTTGGCTCGCAACCAGTTCAGAGCAAGGAAGCAACTGGGGCGCACCCTGGCGCGAGCCGGCTGAGGCCTGAAACAATGTCTCTTGCAGCCCAGTCTTATCGCGAATTGAGTTCGCTGGCTTCCTCAGAGATGTACAAAAGTGCAATCGCGCATCATGTCTGGTTGGACACGTGACGATGAGAACCTCGCCGCAAGACAGAAATACATTGCCAAGTCGGGACGAGGCGCCCCCAACGCACGGCAGTGATAACAGAGTTGCCCCGGATCCCCAAAGCTGCACATCATTGCTGACTGCATGTGCATTCCAACGACGGCGACGACGTCAGGAGCTTGCTCACGTGCCCACAGCTGTCTGTTGATGAGCGATGCTGCACAATCCAAAGAGGAGCGGCATCCTGTGAACAGTTCGTATTGTGGAATTTGGCTGCCGTTGGTTGTCAAGTAGTAATAATTAATATGATGTATTTCGGCGCAGGAGGATTGCAGCATTCTGATGAAAGGAAGGGTGGGCCTGCCGTAAAGCCGCGCGGCAGCACATGTACGGCGACTCACCACTTTATTAGGTTCCTAGGCATAACGACAACGTTAAAACTCAATAACGCCTAACATTATTAACCTTCCCGTTACGAGTCTTTAATCGATGAGAAATAAAGTTGGAATCGCTTCAAGCTGCCCAGGAACTGGCCGCAAGGCGCCCCTGAGAGACCTGCTCTGAAACGCGACCGACCCCCTCCTCCACTCCTGAGGCTAGGATTTCGTCGAAAGTTGGTGCATGATCTACCCAGTCTAGCTTAGCCAGGCCTGGTGCGTATCGCGCCCCTGACGCTTTCTTAGCCTCGCGCATGTAGAGCGGGATTGGGGAACGAATGACTTCGCACCGCCTAGGAATCTAGGATGGGCGTTCGATCCACATCGCTCTTCTGAATCTGCACCTGAGATAAGCGTGGTGGAACTTGAAACCCTTTGAGCACAAGACCTGTGTTGACGCGTGTTAGGCTCGCACGCCATTTGTGTCGCCAAATGCACAATCCCAGCTTGCGTGTGAGAATACGAGGATACGTCGGAGATCTACTATAAAACATACGCATCTGGCTTGGGCCCTTGGGGCTGCCCCAGTCCCCAATCGCCGCTGCCTGCCCCTGGACCCCTTTCTCGGCCGGCAGAGGGGCATCCAGACCCCTTTTGAATTTTTTTCCAGAGCCTGCCTGCACTGAGGATTGGACAGTGGACAGTGGAGGCTGCCGCTCACGCTAGGCCTAGGGGCCACTGCAGTGGCTACTGCACAGCGGCTCCGACAAAGATGCGGGTTTCGGGCAAGAGCAGCAAGACCGACTGGATCTTCGACGACGGGAGACTCACCCACTCACTTTTGATCCTTTGACCTCTTGTCTCCAGTCTTCACTCCTAACCTGTCCTGTCCCTCACCTCTGCTAATTCTGTTGCTTCTGGCCTCTTGTTGCATTTCCTTGCTCTGATCCTTTGTCCTCGGTCCTTCCATCGTCCTGTCTCGACTGGACGTCCGCGCTTGCTGTGGAATATCTTGAGACAGTCTCACTGCCGACCTGGTGCCAACAGTGAGCAACCAGCCTGCGAAAGCTTCACCTTCGCTACACTCTTTACGATACTCCTCCGTCCCGTCCTCTTCGTCCACTCCTTTCGGCCGGATCCTCGAACCCCGACCACGATACAATAAGCTTAAACTTTATATTCCGACCGACATCCCACCCTCACCATGGCTATCGGAGACGAGGGCAACGTCAAATGGGTTGACGTAAGTGCTGGCGCAACTCCCTAAGAACTTTCCCCATGTCTCGCGAGGCCGTGGTCACACAAACGCTACCCACATGTCTCACCCGAGCACCACACGAGACACAAAGAACATAGAGAGGGTATATGCTAACACTTCCTCCCAGGGCCTTCGAGGCGTAGCCTCTGCGCTCGTCGTGATCAAGCACATCTCGGCTGGCTGGTTCACGTACCTGCTCTGGCCCGCAAGTGATGCAAAGGCCGCCCCCGTCCTGCTGCAGCTGCCCTACTTCCGCGTCCTTATCCAGGGCCGCATCGGCGTCGCCATCTTCTGCCTCGTCACCGGCTATGTCTGCGCCCTCAAGCCGGTTAAGAACTTCAACTCGGGTACCCAGACCGTTGCCTTTACCTCGATGAGCCGATCCGCCATCCGTCGTGTCCCTCGACTCGTGCTTCCCGTCGCCATCATCATCCTCATCAGCTGCATCGCGACCCAGATGGGCGCCTTCCTCATTGCGAACCACTGCGACGGGTACGGACTGCCCGAGACGAGCCCCCGCCAGCGCGACAACATCTTCCTCGCCCTCGGTGCCGCGTTCAAGGACCTGCTCAACGTGTGGACGCATGGCCAAAGTGAATACGGAGCAGAGCTCTGGACCATGATGCCCATCCTCAAGGGTGCCTTCTGGGTCTACATCTTCCTCATCGCGACCGCCTACGTCCAGCAGAAGTGGCGCATGGCCATTGCCCTGGCGCTTACCCTGTTCCGCTGGGCGTGCAACGACCCCTTCTTCGGCATGCAGTTCTTCTTTGGCGCCTTCATGGCCGATCTGCAGAACCTCGACCCTGGCTCGTTCAGCAAGCTGCAGGCCATGTCCTCAAACAGCTCCATGCGTGGCGCCCTGTCCATCTTCTTCCTCGTCGTCGGGCTCTTCGTCGCCTCGCTTCCCGACAAGCACTCTGAGTGGCAGCCGTGGTCCGACTCCCTCCACAAATTCCTCGAGTCGATCCTCCCCGCGAGCCCCGACTTTCCTCGCTTCGCATCCGGCATCGGACTCGACATCATCGTGGTGGGACTGCACCTCTCGCCCATGGCCCGCGGCATTCTCGCCAACAGATTCTTCCTCTTCCTCGGCCGCATGTCGTTCGCCGTATACCTCCTCCACAACCAGATCCTCCGCTCGGTGCTCTGCTGGATGATCTACGGCATTGCGGTCCCCGCCGAGGGCGAGCCGCATCTCGTCTTTGACAGCCCGTTCCGCCTCTTCATGGTTCTGCCCTTGTATTTCGCACTCACCTACGGCTCGGCGTATCTCTGGACGACCCATGTGGATGCGTTCTGCGCGCGGGTTTCGGAGCGCATGGTCGGCGTCATCAAGGAGAACCAGAACGAAAAGGCCCCTCCATTGCTGCCCCAGTCTCAGCAGGGACAGCACCGTTCATAATCAGCACATTGTGTAATGCGGGATATAGCTTGAGACTAGCGGCGTCTTGGATATTAATTTGTATCATATAATCGAGGACCTTTGGATTTACTTTGGCATGGAAGCGGCTCATGGATCCTGCGATCTGGACGTACAAGTAGCAAGCGGGTTGATACTCGGAAGAAGCTGAGGGTGACAGACTTTCAATTGTTTTCGTTGCTGAATATATTTTCTTCCTGTTCAGGATTCTTTCCTGTAAGCGATTGGCCAGGTTCTGACTGAGGCCGCCCGTTCCCCGGATCGACGCAATTACCCAATCGAGTGCTAAGATTCGACCCATCGACGGACGATACGCCGCGATATGAGGTATCCGCGTACGCGCACGAACATCGGGCAAGCATTTCCTCGTCAGACATAACGACAGTGCAGGGTAGCGTTTGTCTCTGTGCCTTCGTTCCTGTTCTCGTACAATTGCTCCATGCGCGCAGCTATTGCGGCAGGTATGGCAGACATTCTTCCACTTTCGCCTCCGGACGTCCAAGTGAGCCGGCTCTAGCCTACCCTACATTCATCCCTTAGACAGGGAAGCGGATTGAAGTTGCGTGAAATCAGGTGCTCGAGGTAACTTGAAGGCAGCTGGGAATACCTCGACGCGGAGAGGCCAGCGGTCAGCAACGGCCTGCATTCCCAGCGTCTCTAGGCTTCTGGAAAAGCCCAAAATTGCGCACGAGGATCGTGTCGCGAGTCGCGTTGTCAAAAAGGTCCCATTGTATCATTTGGTTGTCCGCCCTCGGACACGGCTTGAGTAACTTGGTGTTGTCATCGTACAGCAAGCCGTGCAGCCGGATGCAACCAACAGACACTCGGTGTTGAATTAAACTTGAAACCGTGGCCGACTGGATCACGCATACGTGCCTCTGTGAACGAGCAGGCTCCATGTCTGCTTAAGCGCCTCCCTTGATCTAGTAGAACTTGCACGTACTGTACAATAACATGTCGAGTGCGTGCCAACCAGCAAAAGCCAGATCTGGGGTAGTTGACCTGTCGACTTCAAGTTGTATGCGATAATGCGAGCCACACCATGGGGAGGTGGCCTGGGCCTAGGCTCACAGACAGCCGAGTTGGGAAAGAATTCGCCGACGTGGAGGTTGGAGAGAGAGGCGGATCTACGTACGTACCGGCCAAGGATTCTCGCTGGGTTACCCCAATCCCCAAGTCCGAGGCGATCGCCTGGGTCCGTTGGAAGAGCGAGGTCCGCATGGAGCTTGGAAACTATCCATCTTCTGGGAGAGGGCTTGCGAAGCTTGCGAGCCTCGCCATGAAGATCAAAAGTTGACCTGGAAGCGAGCGATTTTCCCGCTCTATCATAAGTAGGAGAGGTCCCTCGAGCGGAATACACCGACTAACCAACTTGTCGTTCCCTACTTGAATTTTTGAAGCCATCTACAGCAACCACCCAGAATGCCTAAACCCGCCGAACTCACCACGCTCGGCATCAGCGCCTTCAAATCGATTGCGCTGCAGCCCGCGCTGCCCGCGGCGCTGCTCATCCTTCTCGACCGCGTACCGAGGGAGATGCTGGCCCATTTCATCGACCCAGCTAAGCTGCACTACTACCTTGGCACGCCCCAGGCGCGCAATGTGCTCAAGATCTTCCTGGCCCTGGGTGTCGTGAGGCTGGTGAACCGCTGGCTGAGCGCGGCCGCACTCAACAACTGGAGCTTCAGCACGAGGTCCACGTGGCATTGGCAGAGCGAGCTCGCCGTCGTCACGGGAGGATGCATGGGCATCGGCAGGAGCATCGTCGACGGTCTCGTCGCGCGAGGCGTGCAGGTGGCCATCCTGGACGTGGCGCCTCTGCCCGAGGACCTGGCCAAGATCTCGACGGTCAAGTACTGGAAGTGTGATATCACAGTACCGGACGAGGTCAGGGCGGCGGCGGACGACATTCGTCGGCGCATCGGCCATCCGTCTATCCTCATCAACAACGCCGGCATCGTCAACAGCACTTCCATCCTCGACACGCCCGACGAATTCCTGAAGAAGATCATGGGCGTCAACCTCATGAGCCTGTGGTACACGACCAAGGAGTTCATGCCCAACATGATCCTCAAGGATAAGGGCCACATTATCACCGTCGCCAGCATGGCCTCGTACGTCGCCGTCCCGACCGCCGCGCACTACTCAGCCACCAAGTCGGGCGCGCTCGCGTTCAACGAGGCCCTCAAGGCGGAGATCAAGCATATCCATCGTGCCGCGGGCGTCTTGACGACGAGTGTGCATCCCATGTGGGTCGACACCAACCTGACGGCTCCGTTTGGCGACCGCATCCGCAAGACTCAGGGGAAGATGCTGGGGCCGGAGGATGTTGCCCGTCCCGTGCTCAAGCAGATTTTTAGCGGAAAGGGGGGACATGTGTTCGCCCCAGCAGAGACGAGTTGGATCAGCGTGGTGCGCGGGCTACCTTCCTGGATGCAGGAGACGTTGAGGGACGTGGCGGGGAAGGATTCGTCAGCCATGTACAAGAATGAGCACTGAGCAGAGAAGACGAGGACATAGTTTCACAATACAACTACTACTATGGAAGTACAGGCATCTCAAAGTTCGTCGCTAGATCAAACCATAATCCTCGGAAGCCCCCCTCGCGCGCAGCCCAGACAAGGTCAACAAACCGAACAAAGTCGACCCCATGACGAGGATGTCTCGAAAAGGACGCCAGCTGGGGCACAATGTTCATACCCAGCCCCTTCACCTCCAACATGGCGACGAGGAGTGGAAACGCGACGGGTAAGCCTTTCATCTCGGGCGGTGCCCAAGCCATGAAGCCAGAGATCTCGGCGACGATCATGTGCGCATCGCCCGCGACCGGCTCATCCCGGACCCCGAGCGGATAACGCAGGCGATGGATGATGAGCAGGGCTGCACGGCGATAGACCCTTGCCTGGAGGAGCATGGCGGCCGTCTCCATTGGCGTGAACGAGGTGTAGAACCAGACGGGCGGTTTTGGCTCCCAGGCTCGTATTTGCGCCTCGACCTCGGAGAATGCATCGTCGACATCGTCCTCGAGGGGACCATAGGCAGCCGCCGTGAACAGGGCCCCAAAAGCCTTGGAGCGCGCACTGCACTCGCACAGCTTGTGCAGAAGGGGCAGTAACGTCCAACAGAGCCCCAGCTGCCGGTCGACAATGAAGCGGTCACACGTGGCCACGTTTACAATGGGGATCTCCCGCCGGACCAAGGACTCGACCGTGTCAATCCAGACGGGCGTGACGGTGATGGGATCGAGGCTTTCTTGCTCCAGCAGGTCACCGTAGTATGACTTGACGGCCAGCAGCGCACTGCGCAGGATAGGCTGCGCCGAGGTGCATATGGTGGCAATGTGGTACACGAGCAGTATCTGGCCCACCATGAGGATGGCGGCCGCATCCTCGGGCTTGACCGTGTTCGCGTTCTGCAGGACACGCAGGCAGTCTCGCCCAGCCGAGATGTCTACCTCGCCCAGGGGCCGGATGCGCTGATGCTCCAGGTCCCAGAGCGTGAAGACGGTCTGGTAGGCGCTGAGCACAATGGCATCGGCGGAGTGGGCGATGGACTGGATGGCTCGCTGGAAGGCGGGCGCGAAGGAGGAGCCGATCATGAAATCGGCGTGAAAGGTGTAGAACATGTCCTTGTCATGAAGGACAGCGTGCACCAGAGCTCGTGGGGTTGTGTCTGGTGGCAGAGTGTGCTGTCTGCCCACGGGCCATGCTGGCGATAGGGGGTCGAGGAATGGCGAAGGTGTCGTGACACTGGTCGCCGGCGGCGAGACAGGAGCAACTTGTTGTGGTTGTTGTGGTTCCTCTTGCGCATATGCATCATCCAGGTTCAAAATGTCGACGAGTCCATAGGGCAATGGTTTGGCGGTCGGTCGGCGTCCAATGCGTTTGGGACGCCTCTCAAAGAGGCAGGCGACCTTTTGCTGCTCACATCTCTGACACGACTTCTTGTCCTTGTCAACGAGACACTTTTCCTTGCGTTTCGAGCAGCGATCACAGGCGACAGACGGCATCGTCGCGGTGTCACCCACGCAAAGGACTAGAACCACTGTCCGGGCAGCTGCCGCAGCCTTCATACCCTTTGCAGAGTGCAGATGCCGTCAAATGTCGATTGCGGGGCGAAGCCAGAGCTAGAAGATGCGTGCCGAGGCTACGCTCAGCGAGAGATGTGCATGGATGGGCTTGCGAAGCTTGCGAGGGCTGCATGGGGAGGGCGGGGAATGTCGATCTGGATTCTGGGGTCGGCGATATCTTGCCCCTTTGGGAGCCGCCTGTAGGGTCGGATCATCGGAGTGTATGGGCCTCGGTATGCATGCAATCTTGAAGATCGATGGAACGAGATGGTGACATAGGCACAAGTAGATCATGTGGCGTACCATCGTTCCGTCGAGGGAGAGTCGAGTTGAGCCGACCGACCGGCTCCCGCTGGGCGTAAATATGAAGCGTGGTGTGTAGAGGCGGCTCCCAGCTGGACGGACTTCTTGTACATTGCTTCATATTGATTTATTCTACAGCACAATGGCCACCGAAAAGCTCGATGTCATCATCGTCGGTGCAGGCATCTCAGGGATCAACACGGCGTACTACCTGCAGGCGCGCGGGCCCGTTAACACGACCTACGCCATTCTCGAGGGTCGGGGTCGTCTGGGCGGAACCTGGGATTTGTTCCAATACCCCGGCATTCGATCCGACTCGGACGTCTTCACCTTTGGCTTCTCGTGGAACCCATGGAAGGGCACGAAGCCTATCAGGCAGGGGCCCAACATCTGGGCGTACCTCAACGAGTCGGCGGCCAAGGAAGGGATTGACAAGAAGATCCGCTATCACCAAAAGGTCGTCGCGGCAGACTGGAATTCGCAGGCTGAGCGCTGGACATTACGAGTCCGCAAGATCCACGAGGGGGCGAAAGAACATGAACACGAAGAAGAGGAAGAGGTACTCTACGAAACCAAGTTCCTCGTCCTGGGAACAGGGTACTACAACTACGAACAACCCCTGGAGACGATCATCCCAGGGATCCAGGATTTCAAGGGACCTGTCATTCGACCCCAGCACTGGCCCCAGGATCTGGACTATGTCAACAAGAACGTCGTCGTGATCGGCTCGGGGGCCACCGCCATCACCCTCGTGCCCAGCATGGCCGAAGACGCGAGGAAGGTGACCATGCTACAGCGCAGCCCCAGTTACCTCATCAGCATGGCGTCGAGTCAAAGCATCCTGATGAGGTGTCTGTGGGCTTTGCTCCCCACCGCGGTCATGAGTCGAATCCAGCGCCTCCGGTTCATGGCCTTTAGCAATGTCACGTACTTCTTCTGTCAATGGTTCCCCCGCGCAGCAAAGAGGTTCATCAAGGCACGCACCATGGCGCAGTTGCCAGCCAACTACCCCTTTGAGCCGCACTTCAAACCTCGATACAACCCCTGGGACCAGCGCATGTGTCTATGCCCGGATGGCGACTTCTTTGCGGCCCTGCGGTCCACCAAGGCGGATATCGTGACAGATACCATCGAGCAGGTGACGGACAACGCAATCAGGCTGCACAGCGGGAAGACATTAAGGCCGGACATTATCGTCGCCGCGACGGGTCTGAAGCTACTGTTTGCGGGCGGCATGGCGCTGACCATTGACGGGCAGCCGCTGGACGCGCCCAGCAAGTTCACGTTCAAGGGAGCCATGCTGCAAGACGCGCCCAACCTTGCGTTTGTGATGGGCTACGCGAATGCGTCCTGGACGCTGGGCGCGGAGGCGACAGCCATCTTCCTGACGCGGCTCTGGCACGGGATGAGGAAGAAGGGGATCCGCGTAGTCACGCCGCGAGGCACGCATCTCGAGAGGACCACGATGGAGACCCAGCCGCTTCTGCCGCTGTCGTCCTCGTACGTGCACAAGGGCGCCAAGGACATGCCAAAGGGGGGCACGGGCGTGTGGGCGCCCAGGCGGAATTTCGTCAAGGACTTGTTCCTGGCCAGAACGACGGATCCGCTGCAGGGGCTGGAGGTTCGTTGATCTTGGAAAGTCGTGTCCTTTTATGTCGTTTTTGTATCTCTATCATCTTTAGTGCTCCATGATTTCTAAATTTCCTTTTGAGATATCAGGACGTCCCATAGTGATGTCTCATGATCATACCGAACAGCACCAGATCATCCATCGCATCGGCCACTGTCGTCTTGACGCTGTCCCCACGCACCACCATGCCGTACAGTTTCCTCAACTCAATGGTGTAGGGGTCCTCGTACGTCTTGCGGATCGTCGTCTCCTTGTACGCACCGTTGGCGTTCTCGCTGACGTGCATCGTGATGGGCAGCCCCTTGACATACGGCGTGTCGTACTGCACCCGGATGGATTTGCTGGCGCTATAGATCTCAATGTGCGCGTCGAACCGCGGGATGTTGTCAATGCCCGACTCGTAGGAGACAGTAAAGGTTGGGTATTTCAGTAGCGCGCTGGCTTTTGTTAGTCTGCATGAGTCGGCGGCCAAGTCAAGCAAGTCCACTCACTTCCAAAAGGGCGTCCCGAGCGACGAGCCCACCACCTTGTCTGGCATCCCGATGGCTTCCCTCATGAGCGACAGGTCGTGTGAGCCCAGACCACCCAGCAGCCTCCACATCCGGGTCGTCTCGTCGTTCACAGGCACACCGCCGCCCACTTCGGCCATGGCGGTCCTCACCTGCTCCTCAGCGCGCTGCTTCTTCCCCTGCGTGTCCTCGGCTGAGAAATCGTTGGGTTTGATAGGAAACGTGCCAGACTGATTGACGAAGAAGGAATTGGAGCCAATAATGTCCCGCACCCGTGCGTAGTCGATCCGGTCCATGCCACCAATCTCCTCAACAGCGTCCTCAAACACAGTAGCGTAGCGACGCATGTAGCCGACCATGACGCGGCCCTTGCTCTTCTTCTCAGCATCCATCACCTTTTGGACGTCGCGTATCGTGAGGGCGACAGGTTTCTCGATGAGGACGTGCTTGTCGTGTGCCAGCGCGAGGACGACGTGCTCCGCATGGTACTCGTCCGAGTTAATGACCATGACCACCTCCACCTCCGGGTCCGCGCACAGGTCGTCCGCGGAGGCGGTGGTCTTGAGGGAGGGGTTGGGAATTTTGGCGGCGCAGTGCGAGAGCGAGGAGGGCGAGACATCGCAGAGGTGCGTGATGCGGAAGAAGCTGTTCATATGGAGCAGGTTGGGGATGTGTATGACCTGGGCGACCTCGCCGCAGCCGATGAGGCCTACGTTGACGATGCGCGTGGCCATGGCGGCGGCGCTTGATGGGCAATTGTCGCTTGACGGGTATAAAGTAGTCGACAGCGAGATAGCACAGGATTGAGTCCAGCAAACGGGTGGTGATGATGCATCACGTCGAGTCTCCACACCCCATGAGGGGACGGCTGAAGATGCAGTGCCACTCGAACTTCTCCACCATAGGATGCGGCATTCATTAATGATCGTGATAGATGGACTTTCACATTGCACATTTATTCACTCACCAAACTCGACCAAGTCAAGCTGTGACAGTGGCCGTGGTCCCAGACTTCTGCGAGGATGCGGTCAACATCCTGCACGTGGTGGTGATCTTTAAGGATTCTCATTATTCATTTCTATTTCATGTCATCCACTCGCTTACAGCCTCGTCGCAATGACGACGTGACTGTCATAATCACCCTCAAACCTCAGCTGCACACCAACGTTCATGAGCGTGGCCCCCGACACCGTCTTCTCGCCGATCTTGTACCTGGCGCCCGCATCGAGACCCTGCAACCTGAACCAGGGCTGCGCGTAGTTGACGGTGCAGCGCGTCTGGAAGGCAAACAGGATGACCTGCTTCCCGTCCTCGGAGATGAACTGACCCGCCGGGTTGTTCGAGTCCTCGGGCAGCACGAGGCGGTAGAAATCGCCCGAGACGACCGTCTGGTTCACCTTTTCGGCCAGCGCCAGAATAGATGGCATCTCCTTCCTCTCGTCGTCCGTGAGACCCTTGGGGTCCAGCTCGAGACCGAACGAGCCGCCCATCATGGCGACGTGGGCGCGGAAGGTGACGGATTGGGTGCGACCCGTCATGCTGTTGGGACAGGCGGAAATGTGCGCGCCCATGGCGGAGGCAGGGTACACGATGGAGTGGCCAAACTGGATGCCGATGCGCTCAAGGGCGTCCGTGTCGTCGGACGTCCAGAACTGGGGGAAGGACTGGAGGATGCCCGGGTCGAAGCGACCGCCGCCCGAGGCGCAGCCTTCCCACAGCACGTCGGGGAACTTGGATGTGAGGGTGTCGAAGACGCGGTACATGCCAATCATGTACTCGTGGTCGAGGTTGGGGGAGGGCGCCTCGTGCAGGCCACGGTTGTGGTCCCACTTGACGTATGTGATGGGCGCCGACTCGAGGAGCTTGGTCATGGCGTCGATGATGAACTCTTGCACCGCGGGGAGGGAGAGGTTGAGGATGAGCTGCTGGCGCTGCTCGGTACGGGGGTATCGGCCTGCGTGGATGGCCCAGTCGGGGTGCGCCTCGTACAGGTCAGACTTTGGGTTGACCATCTCGGGCTCGACCCAGATGCCAAACTGGAGTTTCTGGTCCGTCCCTGCTGCCTTCATCTGGGTGATCTTCTCGACCATGGGCTCGAGGCCTTGGGGGAAGCGGTCCTTGTTGACGTCCCAGTCCCCGAGTCCGGCGAGGTCGTCTATGCGGGCATGCTTGCCGTTGCCGAACCACCCGTCGTCCATGACAAAGAGCTTGACGCCCAGGTCAGCGGCAGACTGGGCCATGGTGGTGATCTTCTTCTCGTCAATGTCAAAGTAGGTGCCCTCCCAGCTGTTGAGGAGGACGGGGCGCGTCTTCTCCGCAAAATTGCTCTTCATCAGGTGCTTGCGGAAGAGTCGGTGGTACTGCCGCGACATGCCGCCCAGGCCGGTGCTGGAGTAGACGCTGACGACCTCGGGTGATGTGAAGCTCTCGCTCGCCTTGAGGGGCCAGGAGAACATGGCAGGGTTGAGACCGATCATGGCGCGGGTCAGGCCCTGGGAGCCCTTTTCGACGTCGGCCGCGAACGAGCCCGTGTAAACGAGCGAGAAGCCCCACGCCTCGCCCTGCGACTCGGTGGTGGTGGACGAGACGAGCGACAGGAAGGGGTTGTGGAGATGTGACGAGAAGCCCGTGCTGTTCTGGAAGCCCTGCGTGCCGACGTCGACCTTGCGACGGACGCGCAGACCCTCACGCGCCCAGTCACCCTTCATCTCGATAATTTCGAGGTCTTCGTACGGAAAGTCGACGCTGAAACTGGCGAGCTTGTCGAGGACGATGGTGTCATGGCCCGTGTTCTTGACCGTCACGCTGCGCACAATGGCATCGTACTTGGGGAAGATGGAGTAGAGCAGCTCGGCCTCGACAGAGCTGACCTCGTCGACGAGGGTGACTTTGAGGGAGGCGACATCGCTGTCGCTGCCAAAGGTCGCGGGCAGACCCTGGAGGCTGGGCTTGCCGCTCACCAGCGCGTGCGACTTGTACTTGAACTCGCTGACGGTGCTGCCCTCGCTCTGGCGGATCTGGAAGGCCGGCGTGCGAAAGTCGCCGCGACCGCTGTCGGGAAACTCGCGACGAGAGCGCGAGAGCGCGGGCGCCCAGCCTTGGGGATGCCCAGGGTCGCAGATGAGGCCATCCTCGGGCGCGTAGCCTCCAAAGTGGTCTGTGACGAGGTCGCCCGTGTCCTTGTCGACATGGAAGCGGTAGGAGACGTTGTGGCCTGTGAGAGCGAAGGATGTGCCGTCGACGGTGATGGCTGTGCTTGTCAGTAAGTAAATTGCAACATAAATTTCCTCGTCCTCGTTTCTGGAGACGTGGACGCTGGGGAGGAGACGCACGCGAAACGCCCACTGTAGAACCCATTTTGACGACGAATGCTATGAAACGGCAGCAAGCAAGCAAGCAATTGGCGATACAAAAGACAGATGAAAAATAGTTAATTCACCAGGGACGCGCCAGTACTTGTACCTGACCCCAACGCGTCATGAGGACTGGAGTGTCCTCCTCCATGCATGTGTCCTCCTCCACAACGCCGACCTCCACCTCCTCCCCATCCATCACTTTATTGACCCCGCGACGGCGAGGGGCCCTGCGGAAAAGTGGCGGAGTACCCAGCTTTAGGTGTCCATCCCAGGCGATTAGCGCGAGGCAAAAGCGCTTCTTTTCCGATGGAGGGCCTTCTCGCGTCCTTCTCTTCCATCCACCCACATCACGCACATGCAGTCTTGTGTCCCCCGACCTACCGGTCCGATAGGGCGGAATACGACGGGAAAAGTAAGTTAGGCGATCACTGGAACGCCAAGTGTGCGGACAATGCGGTAGACCCCAGGATTCACTACGGATGTGATGGAGGAGTGGGCTGCCTATGCTTAATAAAGGACTATGGATCCATGGGGACGCAACATAATCCGCCTGCATTCATCTTACGGTCCTCCATTCATCAAATCGATGGGCCGTCCATTTGATATCTCCTAACATACACACCAGCCTCAGCCGACGACCAATACCCTCACACTCTACGTCATGGACTGCCTGCAGCCTTGCCCATGCGCCGAAAGGTATACCAGAGCGAGAAATACGACACGACACCCGTCAAGCAAAGCCCGCTGATGACACCAAACCCCATGAGGTACTTGGGCTCGTCGTCGTTGGGGAACAGGTACGCGCCGTAGATCTGGGCCAGATTGCCCATGGCGTTGACGAGGGCCAGCGAGATGGCCTTGACCTCACGCTCCATGTCGCCAAACGAGACGGACGCGTAGGACAGGGACAGGCCGTTGGACGCCCACAGACCCGACGCCATGATCACCAGCAGCGCGTACCGCGCCTTGAAGTTGTACACGGCACAGATGACAATGGAGCACAGCATGGCCACCGTCATCCAGCCCGTCAGCATGAGGCCACGATACTTGGTGTTCCTGTCGGCCAGGACACCCGTGATCGCCGTGAACACAAAGGCGACGCCAAAGATGGGGATCGTCATGTACTGCGCGGCAGTCGCCTCGTAGCCAAGGCCACGGACCAGAGTCGGATAGAAGTAGGAGAGTGTGGACGATCCGACGACAGCCTGTTGATCACGCCCGGTTATTAGCGACTCGTTCTTCTGACCGTCATGCAATGAAATGGAGGGCTGTCCTTACCATGTAGCCGACGACAAACAGCCACGTACGCCAGCTAGTCAAGCTGATTCTGAGCGCTTGCCAGTGGCCCATTCGACTCTCGCCATCCCCATTCACGCGCGCGTTGTCGTACTGCAGACGCTTGATGGCAAGCTGCTTCTCCTCGTCGCTAAACTTCCAGCGCGCCGTCGTCGCGGGAAAGTCAGGCAGGATAAAGGCCGCGATCAGCGCGACGCCCATGGTCGCCGCGCCCTCGACGACAAACAGCCACCGCCAGCCGGCCTTGCCGTGCGCGCCGTCCAGACCGCTGGTGATGGACCCGGCCAGCAGACCGCCAAAGGCGCCCGACAGGATGGCGGCCGAGATGTAGACGGCGAAGCGCTTGCTCTGCTCCTCGCGCTTGTACCACGAGGACAGCAGCAGCAGGATGCCCGGCGCGAAGCCGGACTCGAGGATGCCCATGAGTATGCGCATGCCGATCAGCACCTCGTAGCTGGGCGTAAAGGCCATGCCAATGGTGACGCCGCCCCAGAGGAACATGATGGTGGCGAGGTAGTGGGAAGGGCGCACGCGCACGAGGACCATGTTGGAGGGCACCTCGAAGACGACGTAGCCGACAAAGAAGACGACCAGGACGACGGAGTAGCGGTTCGAGTCGAGGTTTAGATCATCTGCCATGCCGGCGATACGGGCGTTGCCGATGCTGTTTTGGTTTCTGTCAGTTTGTCCTTTTCCTTGTGTGTCCTCGTTCGAGGAGAACGTACTTGGTTCGATCCATGTACGAAAGCAGATACATGATCCACATCATGGGCAGGAGGAACATGTCAATCTTGCGCACGAGCTTCTTCTCCGCCTCCGTGTCGGGCACGTACTCGTCCATCTCGGACGAGGCCGTGTGTTCCTTCATGACCACAGTGTCGTGCTCGTGGTAGTCGTGCTTCTCCACGGTGGCAGCGTCAGGGGCCATTCTGTCTGAAAAGGGTGTCTTGGGCAAGGGGCCGGAGTCTGGAGGATGGTGAGAGATGCGAGGCCTCTCTGTGACGAGGGAGCCCAAGGCGCGGCGCATGATGCTTAAGTAGTTGGTCCCCAAGGTGACAATGATCAATGTGCTCGTCAAAGATGGGATGTTGTTCGTGCCAGCCCCCGAAACGAGAGCCTGCCCGGCATCTGTCTAGCACAATTGGAGGACCCGAGCGCCGGGAGAGCCGTCTGGCGAGGGGGGAGGGACTGGGTCACTGGGCGTGATGTAAGTGAGGCCGGCAAATCGACCCTGCTTCCCTCCAGCCGCGAGGGTGCCTTTGGTAGGTCTCTCACCCGCATTGTGCCCTCTCGACGGGGAACAATCCCCGCGGGGTGTGGTGATCCACGCATGAGTCAAATTCTCGTCCTAGCGTCGAGGGGTCGCGGGGATGGTGAGGACTCGGGAGGCGAGGACACGAGGGCAGGGCGTGGGCCTCAGGACTAGACCACATTCATGTTAGCGAGAAAACATGCCGTGGTCTCGACGCGCGATATCCCTGTCCGACAGTGGTGGACTTCTCCACGTGGCGGAAGATTGCCGACGTCTTGAGGTGCCCCGAGACGAGGCTCATGATACTTTGCCGCGCCTCACAAACACATTCTTGCGTCTCGCGGCTTCAGCACCACCATGATGCGCGGATCATGTCGGCAAAGTCAATGGCCTAGAAACTCTTGAACGTGAGATTTGTGGAACTGCATTTCTGCGTTGGAATGGCCATCTTACTTAAATGGTGCGTCTGCAATGTCGCAGGTGTCCTCTCAACAACCGCCATCTTCCTTGCTCTCTGCCTCATTCCTTCATACCCATTCCCTTCTTCGCAGTTCACAATGAGTCCCGCCGCAGATGAGACCGGCTCGCTGCCTCTCAGCACGCTCCCGCAGCCCGGCCACGACTGGTCCATCAGTCTCAAGGACAAGGTCATCGCCATCACCGGCGCAAACCAGGGCATCGGGCTGGGCATCGCCGAGGTCTGCCTGGCCAATGGCGCCGCCTGCGTCTACTCGCTCGACGTCTCCGAGCCCGGTGAGCCCTTTCAAGGTCTTCTGAAGCAGCAGCCTGGCAAGCTTGCCTTCCAGCACTGCGACGTGACCGACGAGAACAGCGTCGCAGCGGCGCTCGACGCCATTGTCGAGGCCAAGGGCCGCTTCGATGGCATGGTCGCCAATGCCGGCGCTACCAAGCACCAGCCTGCGCTCGAGTTCTCCATGGAGCAGGTGGAGAGGCTGTTCAAGCTGAATGTCTTTGGCGCGTGGAACTGCGCGACGGCTGCGGCCAGGATGTTCATCAAGCTCGGGTGCAAGGGGAGCATCGTCTTCACGGCCTCCATGACCTCCTACAGGCCGAACAGGGTATATCTGACGTCGTTTTTTTTTTTTTTTTTTTCTACATAGCGCTGACAAGATGCAATAGGCTGCTCCTTCAGCGCCTTACGGTGCCACAAAGGGCGCTGTGCGCAACATGACGCACACGCTCGCCATGGAATGGGCGCAGTACGGCATCCGCGTCAACTCCATCTCACCCGGTTTTGTCAAGACGGCGCTGACATACTATGTCGAGCGGTCGTCGGACTGGGACACCAAGATGAAGTATTACGGCGGCATGCCTCGCCTTGCGCTGCCGCAGGAGTTGGGTGGCGCATACGTCTACCTGCTGAGTGAGACGGCGACTTACACGACGGGCATTGATATACCCATTGCGGGTATTGTCGGTGCGTGGTAGGGTAGTAAGACACAGGGCATGGGTGGCGTTTCTGGAAGCATAGTGAATTACAATCATCACATTAACTGAACACTGAATGTACCTCGGGTTTGATTTGACACTCCTGTGGTAATTTTGTTTCACAGGTCAACCGGTGTTTGTGTTATAGGCGTTAGGAAAGGCAACAGGCTTGGCTCATCAATGCCGATCACCGAAGACAAAGAAGCACATGTAATCTTGGAATGTATACAAAGGTCGAATAAAATCAACTTGAAAGTTTTGAGAGAGCTTTGACTTGATCTCGACAGAATGAAGCAAGTGCTTAGGGTAGGCGAAATTACCAATGGCTGATGGTGAGACTGGACTCTGTTGGACTCTGTTCAGACCACTGCCGCGGAGGAACCAAACTGTGGCGAGTCATGCGATGCTGGTGAAGGTTCTAACTTCTTGCATGAGCACGAGACGGCATCCATCTTGATCGCTAAATTTTCGAGCTGAAAGATTGAAGCTGCTATGTAGTGGAACACTCGAGTCGGACACTATGTGGCCAGCCCTCTTCATTATTCAGCCCCAGCTACTCCGTAATCAAATCACAGATCAGAAAGTCAAGTCCTCCATTGACTCGTTCCAGGTCAGACGACGCGGAATCTGACCAAGGTTCATGCATTCCCCCATGTGGAGAAGATCGGGGGCCCCTCAACAACCTGCAGGCGGGAACTTGCCCTCGAGACGAGGCAGACTGCCATTGATGTTGATGAAGTGTCACTCAAGAGTCAACCGTCATTCATGTCAATACCAAATCTTAGATGGTGATAATAAATTGAATTGTATCTCATAGGACCTCTTTGACAACCCATTGATCACATCGGTGGCTGCCAAACCCAGTCTTCTGCCGTCCTCATACGAACCGCCACCATGACTTGGGTCCCCAGCAGCAACAAGACCTGTCAGATCCTCAAGGCTGCCGAGGAAGGCGGCTACGGCGTGGTCGCGCCCATCGCATACAACATTGAGAACATCCTCTCCTTCATCCAGGCCGCCGAGGCCAAGCGCTCGCCCCTCATCATCCAGCTCTTCCCCTGGGCCATCACCTTCTCCAACGGCCTGCTCGTCCACGCCGCCGCCCACGCTGCCAGGCACGCCAGCGTACCCGTCTCCGTGCACCTGGACCACGCACAGGATGAGGCCATGATCCGCCACGCTGCAGACAACCTGCCCTTTGACTCGATCATGGTCGACATGAGCCACTACGAGATGGACGAGAACCTGGCCAAGACGAGGGTGCTGGTCCAGTACTGCCACGATCGGGGCATCGCGACAGAGGCAGAGCCAGGGCGTATCGAGGGTGGCGAGGATGGCATCGCCGACACGGCCGACCTCGAGGGCGCGTTGACGACGGCCGAGCAGGTAGAAGACTTTATCGCGACGGGCATCGACTTTCTGGCACCGGCGTTTGGGAACGTGCATGGCGAGTATGGCAAAAGGGGCCCCGTGCTGGACTGGGACCGTATCGACATGATCAGGAGGGCGGCCCATGGGCGCGTGCGCATCGCTCTGCATGGTACCAATGACTTCCCCGAGGATGTCATGAAGCGCTGCATCGCGTCTGGTGTCGCCAAGGTCAATGTCAACAAGCTGGTGCTGGACGATTACCTGGTGCATGTTAAGGAGAAGGCGGCCAAGCTGAGCTTGACGCAATTCATGGAGGAAGGGGTGACAGAGGGACGGCGGCTGACAGAGTGGCAGATGGATGTGTGTGGTTCGACAGGGAGGGCGTAGGGAAGTATTGATCAGAATCAACTAACGTTGGAAGGAAGAGGCGGGAATATATAGACAAACAGTCAAACAATCTACTCCTCCTCGTGCTCCTTGTCCACACGGGCCCATTCACGGCGCAGATCATCACGCCACGTCGCCATGGGCGTCCAGCCTACTTTCTGCTCGGCCGCCTCCATCAGACTCAGAATCTTGTCTCGCTTGACGCGATCCTGCACGCACAGCCCGGCACCATACAGGCACTGTGCAGAGAGAATCTGACAGCCCTCGTCCCTCAGCTCCATGGCGATTCCGCAGATGGTATCCACGCAGCCAGAAAGCGTCCGCTGCATTTTGAGGTAGCCGTCAAAGCCAGCGGAATGGGGACTGTGCAGCGTCACGAGGATCAGCGCGAAGCTGTACGCTTGCAGAGCCACGCCAAACTGAGGCGGATGCACCCACATGGGTGTAAAGACGTCGTCCGGCGCCCCTTGGGTGGGCAGCGGCTTGTAGCCGGCCCCCAGAAAGGACTTCCAGCGCGTCATGTCGGCCAGCAGCCCTTCCTTGGTCGGTCGTCTCTTCATGGCCGCGGAGAGGTCATTCGTCTTGGCCGACCCATCGACGCCCCTCGCGTCGGCGCAGTAGTTCACCGCTTGCGAGAGCAGGTATATCGCACGGTTCGCCATGGCATGCTGGTCCAGCTCTGCGTAGTCCTGCACCGGCACCCAGAAACTGAGACAATGCCGCCTCTCGCGAAAGGCGGCCCAGAGATCCTGCCGCAGCCACGCCCACCACACGGACTGACGCAGACCCCCCGAGGCCCCGTGAACGTCCTGCGAGCGCTGGATCCAGAAGACGCCCTTGAGATGGCGCTGCCAGTTGCCCTGCCCGTCGGACTCATCCAGCATCTCGTACGCGGATATGGTGATGGCCGTGGCGAGCAGCTCTTCCGAGTTGGTGTATGACTTGTAGGCGAGGGCCTCGGACAGGTAGTGCAGCGTCTCGTAGTAGTACCCTATCCATTCATTTTCGCCGCCCGCGCTCGCCGCCTCTGTGGCGCTCTCATGGGCGTCGAATCCAGGGCAGATGCCCCGTGAGCGGGCGCGATGCTTGGCCGACAGGGCCAGTATGGCCTTCATGAGACCCGTGTTCCGCAGCGCCAGTCGTATTGCGTACGTGGAGAAGTGCCTTTGCGGATCAAAGAGATCGAGCCACCGCGACGAGCGCTCTGCGAAATGGCGAAAGAGGACGGCTTCGTGACCTGTCAGTGTGGCGTCGACGTTGCTCTGCCACGCTGCCGTCTCAAACTGGGGGGCTGCTCTGATGCCGTTGGCCAGCGCCTGTGCGTCGAAGCTGGGTTCGTGTTGCACAGAAAGATCATCGCGCTCTGGGCTGGGAGCTAGGGAGAAGCCGCTGTCAGCCTGAGCGGCATCTGTGGCGAGGAGACCGAGCCATCGCGTTGATGCAAGGTCAGTCGTCCAGGTTTCCGAGGTGATGGTGTCTGCTGGTGAGCAAGAGAAGTGCGGTGCCTCTCCAAGTGGTACACCTATCCTAGAAAACGTGTTTTGAGGCGAGATGACGGAGGGAACTGGTGGTAGAGATGCATGGACCTCGGAACGTGGCGGCGGGTTTGCTGGGGGCGGTAATGAAGGCCTCAAAGGCTGCTGCGACGTGTCATGTTCTTCATTCGCTCTTGAGGTTGGCGTTCCATTTCGTTCTGCGCGAACATCGTCGTCTGTCGCGGGAGACTTGGACGTCGTGGCAGGGCGCTGTCCTTCCTGCGCATCACCCTGCGGATGCTCGCCTGGTGTTGCTGGGAAGACGCACTGCCGCGACGAGACGCTGCAAGGGCCGCAGGTGGGCAGAACCTCATCGCATTTCTTGTGTCGCTTTCTACATGTCAGGCTGTAAACAGACCATCAGCAATCTTTCCAAAGGCCATTCGAGCACGTCGTCTGGGCTGGGTGACGGACGCCCACGAGGCGCGGGCCACCCTTGGGGGATGCGAGGGAACATGAAGAAGCGATCAATTACCTACCATCCAGTTTTTGTGCGGAGACCCCGGCCGCGGGGTTTTCTCGTGCGTCTTCGACGTTCCGCTGGATCTGCAGAATTATGCTGCCGCACTGGGATTCGGCCGCGTCGTTGTTCCATAGAGACGTGGTGACTGGTGAGACTGATGAGTGTATGTATGTGGACAGGAGACGCGAGACGCCCTGAGCCGTCGCCTCGAGGCAGTGGTGCTTCATGTGGATCGCATCATCGCTCGGTAAAATATACTGTAACTGGCCCCTATAATTACCAGCTAAGCATTACTCTAGACTACATGTATTGTCCCCGAGCCGAGATTGGGGAATGTGGAGATTGGAGATGTCCTGTCGCCGTCTGTGGTGAAGCAGAAGCATGATCAGCTCTGCTAATGTCTGCTTGGAACCGACCTCCTTCTTTGTTGACACTTGGCTTTCAATGAGAACTGTGATCAAATGGGCGGCAGCGACATGATTCTAACGAGCTTCCTCGACAGAGTGGTAGGGCGTCTCTCAGCGCTGCTCTCCAATAGTTAGTCGATGAGGTTTGCTTGGAGATGGACAGGATTGATCTCGAGACTCGGACCCATAGCAAATTCGAACCCGGCTGTATAGACTACTTATTCTTCTGATCTCGTTTCTTGTCCCAAGCTGTCAACATCGCCCTCCGCTTCATCAGCAGAACGTGGAAGTTGTCCATGTTCGCGTCTGTCATCATCGGACCCCAACGAGAGAGGTGACCACAAGTAGAGCACATGCAATCTCACTCGAGCCGATTATCGTTCATATACCTGACCCCCAGCCCTTCTGCACGACCTCGCCAGACCACTGCCTGCCATCCTCTCACAGACTGGAAACTAGGCACCATTCAGAGGCTGCTTATACACAATGCCATCGATCGTCGTCGTGAGGTTCCCTGTGGCATTAAAAATATTGAGCATGGCGTCGATCTCCAGAAAGAACCCGCCTGGACTCGTCTTCTTGGTGGCGTTGACAGCGCCTGTCTGTGTCAAATCAGAATACCACTCGACCCGGTTGTTCCAGAAGTTGGGCGGCGGGACAGTGACCGTCACGTCCTCCGTGCCGTCCAGAAAGTGCTCGCCATCGTCCGAGTAACCGTCCTAGTCGACTATCACCCTTTGCAGGCCGTTGACGCTCTGCTCGCCGGCAATGATACAGACGTGGGCCACGCCCGACGCCCGACCTTGGAGAGTGTAGTTCCCCGGCTCCACCGTGTAGAGAGGTGGCGCCTGGACGTCGTCTGGGCGGTAAGGGGTGGCCCAGGGGATAGACTCGGGCACCTCGAACACGGGAGGGACAGCCTTTGGCTCATGATCCAGGCGCGTGGCGAGCATAAGACGGTACTCGCGGCCACCATCGGCAGTCGACTCAGGGCAGGGCAGGGGGTTCTGGCCACCGCAAGAGGGAGAGACCACCAGACCCTGCCAGAAGACAATCTTGGTGCCATCAGGGGAGAAGCCTGGGTCTGCCCTGCCGTTCCAGTTGGGGTCGTTGACGGCGCCGTCCGTGCCGTCGCCCTCAGCGTTGATCTGCTGACCAAAGTAGTCGCCCCGATCGCCATGACGATCTACAAGAATCGGCTGGAAGAATCGACGCGGCCCATTGTTGCGGGTGGAGGAAGCCACTGTCACGGCGACCAGGTCGATCAGGGGCGGCACGTGTCGCATGCCTGACATGAACATTTGACGCTCGGAGGCCCTCGTGTCCATGGCCACGAACCATTCATTATCCCACGAGAAGGCAATGGGATCTGCGTAGTCTGGATGGGCCGTGAGGCGGCGAACGTTGCCGGTGATGAGATGGATTGCAAACAGGTCAATGTTGTTGGACTCGACCGGGGGCCCAACGTAAGTGATTTCATCACCCGTGCCGCTGAACCCACGAAGTTCGCCTAACATGATGGCATCCTCGTGGAGACGGAGCTCTGAGCCGACCACCTCGATGGGGGGCTGTGCATTCGGGTCCACGAGTACCTGCACGTTGGCTAGGTCATACCTGGGGACGCCATCCTTGGGATCTGGGTTGAGTTCCAGCCGTCCAAGGTAGCAGAATTGACCGCCCCTTTCAGTGAAAGAGCTCCACGCGAGGTGCTCGTTGTCGGGATGAATGCGGAGCTCCCGAGGCGCCGACCCTGTCCCGTCAGACTTGCTGTTCCAGTGGATGGGGTATATGTGCGTCTTGTCCGCTGTGCAGGCCTCGCTATGCAGAGGTTCAACGTCACAGTCAACAATGTTTCGGCCCCACAGGACCTTGTCGCCGCTCCGGAATGCCTGGGGATAGTTACGCAGGGGGTCCAGAGCGATAGCGTTTTCGGGGGGCACAGCGCAGGTCAGGCACTTCCATGGATCTCCGTTGGGAAAGACAGTGTCGTCTGCCTTGACAAGAATGAGCTGCTCGCCTGTGTAGATGCACGCCGGATCAGGGGCAGCTGGGGCGCCGACCATGACGACGTTGACGACAACGTGGTGGCCATCCGGGGTGAAGCCACCGGCCTGGAACGCGTCCAGAGCTCTGGGAATGCATCCGGTGCCATGTGGGTTGATATCAAGGGTACAAGCGCCTTCTCCGGAGGTGGGCGCCACCGGGGGGAGAGGCAGCTCGACGACGCTGAACGACTCGGGTGCTGGAGGCGCTGGCAAGTCGGCGAGACCTCGTGTGGAGCCCAGAATAGACACGACGGCTGCGAGAGGTGCGGCGAAACGCATCTTGATGACTGAGAAAAGAAACGCCCAATAGTGCACGATAGGTGCACCAGGACGATTGTGTTGATGGCGGTTTTCGATGAGTTGATGTTCTGTCGAGACAAGTGAGGGGAAACACCGAGACGAGTCCTCTGCATTTATACCGTTCTCTCGGCCATCCTTGAGCATTTGATGTAGGATCTGCTGCTTGCTGCCATGGTTAATATACGAGTCCACCGACTCGACGAGGTCACGCAGACGCTGTTTGGTATACATATGGTCCGTCTTGATCCACGTGGAGAGGATATGGTGATAAAGGACTCATGTTTGTTTCTGTGCTTCCGTCATGTCATGTTCATTTTCGTATCACCAGGAAATCCGTCTAACACTCCCAAGTTCCAACTCTGCGGAGTGGTCCGAGTACGTACGAGTGCTCGGATTCCCTATGCGTCCGAGATTCTCGGATACATGTAAGTTTGGGGTTAGATCGCGATCTAATGTTACTCGCCGTCGGAGAACGAGGCAGCCGCCCTCCACTGCCCCCTGGGGATGTATTGTATTCGAAAAAAATCCCAAATTGGACAGTCAACTGATTTGCCATCGGGACGAACAAAGTCTGGGGCATAGTCCCCCAACGCCATCGACACCTCCACCATCCAGCTTGCCAATGCCAACGACCGGGACTGGGGGAGCACGACGACAAAGTAAGTTTCATTAAGTGATCTACACGTTCCTAACAATACTGTGACGTGGGTTACAGCTAAATAACATCAGGCTTGTCGCTGCCATACTTGTTCTTCCAATTTTCGTTAATGGCCCTGTAGTCCCTGGACAAATACGGATGCCAAACATCTGCCCATAAGCTACCTTTGTGGGGAGGATCCAAACCAAGGTCACGTAGCAATAGATCCAGGTATGGCACCGCATCAAAGATGAAGCAGGGGCTTTTATGCCATTCAGTGGGATATCGCCATTTCCCGAATCTGTTATGCAGCACCGTCTCATATCGCAGAGCTGCCATGGCATCATGGTCACCGACTGCGGCAGCTGGATCGTTTGCGAGGCGCCCAGAGAAGTAGGCACTGATCCACAGACCTTGGAGATGAGACGTGATCACGTTGCTGAAGTTGCTGACCATGCCCGCAAAGGCAACATCGCGGGTTCGCAAGAAGCGCTCAGCTGGAGGCACGATGAAGTGATACAGCATGAACGGGGTGAGGGGTGTGTACGGCGTGACCTCGTCGCTGCTGTGGATGCCTCTCTGTTCCGTCATCGGGATGTAGTTCTTATTCCATACTGGCTGAGTCTTGAGGCGCGGAAAGCGGGCGAAGATCTCCTTGTCGGCTCGTTTCACCAAAGCTGTTTGGTTGGCAAGGTCCTCTTCAGGAGCATCCTGAGCGGGTGCATGAGGGAGGCCAAGCTCCCTCTCGATACTCTCCGGGAGGAACTTCATGGGCGGGACATGTTTCCAACCCGTATGCGCCAAGAACGCATCGGACTCAAATTCCGTACCGTCGGCCAAGTGGACTTTCCCAGGGCTGAGATGGTCAATCTCGCCAATGTGAACATCGACCAAGTCACTTTTAATAAGTTCCCAGATGTCCGTTTCCCAGTTGACGATACTGAAGCTGGTTGCCGTGAACATGGCCTCCGTCCAAGGCTTCAGTTTTGCGGTCTTGGGATGTGCGTCGTACTTGTTGAGTGCCAGGACATCCCCACCGAGAACGTGCCAAAAGCCATCGACCAAAGCCCTCCCAAAGGCAGTGCCATGTAGAAATCTGCGGATGCGGCCGTATCCATCGACGTCTCCCCAGATGCAGGGACTGAACCATGAGAGAAAGCGAACATCTGTTCAATCAGCGGCAGCTGGGCGTCATTAAGAAGGGCACATACTCGCGAGAGCCTCGATCCATTTTTTGAATGGCGTCACGAATGGAGGCGCCATCCAACAGGGTCCATGACCAGATGCTGTTCATGAGAATTAGATACGAGGACTTGGCGGCGAGGGAGAGAAACCACTTACACCTGATGACCCAATTCACCTTGGCGCCCGCCGACGCGTATGCGTATACCGCATCCCAGGCAAACTTGGTGCCGCCGTACACTGTCACCGACTTGCCCTCCTGGATAGTATCCTTGTTCTGCAAAAAGTCACGCCCGTGGAATATCCGACCACCAAAGGTTTCCTCGCCATCGAAATGAGGCAAAAAAGCCTCCGAGGTCAGACCAGAGGCAATGATCAACCGGCGAGCGAAGACTGTGGTCTCCTGCTGGCCACTGGCTACAGTCAAGACCCAGCCGCCCTCAGCGGTTTCCTGATGCTCAGCGACTGTGACCTTGGAGTTGGCGCGGATGAGGGTGTCTATGCCAAATTTAGCTGCGTAGGCCTTCAGGTATGCGTTGAGGACGCCGCCGGGGATATGCTCTCGAGTTTGGACACCAAACGTAGCCGTATCCATGGGGAAATCGGGGAACTCAAAGGTCCCCAGCTGATTGTTGCTCTTCAGACCGGGATAGATTCTATGATCCGCCCACGTGCCACCAAGCGTGGGCGCCGCGTCAAATATCACAAGTGAGCTGTCAGGGAACATGCAGTGATACTGCTTCGCCGCGCCTAGACCGTACCATCCTGTCCAAAATGTCGCGAGTCAGTATTGCATGTCGAAGTGTGAGAATTCAATACGATAGCTAGGAGCCAGGAAGCAGAACTCACCTGCGCCGACAACAACGCAGTCAAATCTTTCCATGATGCCACTTTGACTGCGTCTATGTATGTGATGTTTGGTGCTGGCGACTGGAAGTGAAGGGTGATTGTCTGAGAATTGGACAATTCTTGTCGTCCTTGAGTGCAACGAGGGGTTGAGGCAGGAGAAAGCAGCCCTGGCAGAGAAAATGCCTTTGCTCTTCGTGTTGGACGTCCCTTCCCTGTCTCCCAGACCGGGATCGGAAACTGCGCATGATTCCGAGAAAAGTAACAGGGGACCCTGAAAGCTGAAATGCGATGGTTGGATGGGGGTTTTACCCGTCAGCGGGAACCCCAGCTCGTGCATTCGTACCGGTGAGATGTGAGAAGAGGGTCCAATCCGCCAGACTGCTGTACGGATATCTCCCGAGGGAATTATTGCAGGTCTGAGTAGAAAACTGGGCCATTCATACGGACAGAGTACATATAGAGTGGAATTCTTTAAAACAACGTCTGCTGCCTTACCCTTCGCCTGCTATCCCACCGGGTGCCAACATGAAACCATCACTTTTGTTGACACGCTTACTGGATAACCTCCCGAGATTACAGCAGCAGCGTCAGCAGCAGTATCTGCAGGAATCAGCATGCAGTCAGCCATCGAAGCATGGATTCTTCTCGATATCAAAATTGTCATCATGTTGCTAATAACATATTCTCGATCCAGAGCCATCGTCGTCAAGGATAACCCAGTGTGGGTTGCAACCGTCAGCTTTGGTTTCCCATGACAATGACCCTGCTTCACATTCAATATGTCATTGTAGTTCTTTTATGCCGCTGAGACTACTCTCACATACTCAGTCAGTAACGCTGCGAAAGGGTTGGCTAACAATGGAATGACCTATGAAGAGAGAACAGCCTTGCCCTGGAGACCATGAGTATCGACTGACGTAAGGCATATTAACATGGTCGTCGTCTACCTGGATGCCGACTGACTCTGTAGGGTCCTAGGCTCTAAGGTCCAGATTCCCGGATGGTCGGCTTGTGCACCTTTTGAGGTAGTCGCTAAAGGCATCGTGGCTGGCGTTCTACCTGCCACTGATGGTGCGTACGAAGGAATAAAGCATTTTTCAATCAAGCTGATTGAGTATCCAGGCTGGAATCTCAGCGAAGGCTTTGCCACCAAACAATATCATCAATCTTCTTGCTTTCAGGCAGCTAGGGGCAATCTATGGCGGTCTCCCTCTTTGGGGTGCACCAGGTTTTTGACTTCAATCTCGAACAGCTCGTCCACCTCGCCGAGAGATCGGCTAGACGACTATGTCAGCATTCCAAGTAGGATAGTGAGTCAGAATTCTTAATTCTAGGCGGTGCCATGCACGTGAGACTGATTGTAGCCCCTATCGCAGTAACAATGGACATGCTTAGAGCGTTAGCTCGGTCACCCTGACATTTCCTCCGTCCACCTTCACACGCTTACCCCCATCACCCTCGACCTCAAGTACCATAGACTCTCCCGGCCACAAAGTGACATAGTTATCCGACCAAAGAACAGGATTGACGTCTTCGCCTTGCTCATCGAGTAGATTCAGACGGACGAAGAAGGCTGGCCCACCGGAGGTATGCTCCAAAGTAACGCTCCACGTTCCACCCTTCTGCTCCGTTGAAACTCCCAGCGAAGCCTCGTCCATTGCAAAGAGAGACTGGTAATTGGCGTACTTGGTGACAGGCGTGTGATACCAAGTCGATTCTCCCCAGTCTAGCTCATCGACCGAGGGTGCAACCCAGTATACGTTGCGGCTGAGGACCTCTCCATCATTATCGTCGTCCCGCAACAGCAGTCTGACAAAGACGACATCATTCTGATCCTCTATCCCTGATATTTGATCAATCTTTGCCCCGGTATTGGGTTCCGTCGTGACGTCAAAAGTCTCACTCGAGATATTTTTGCCCTTCAAATCCACAACATCGACAACGACACTTCTCTTCCCCTTCTTATCCAGTGATCGGTTGATCAGCCACACGTTCCGACTGTGATAATCAAAGACAGCATGCTCAATGCGGCCACCAATTTTGGTGCCAAAGTACGTACCCGCAGGATGCAGATAATAATCAAACTGATTCCAATGAAGACTCGGCCACGCGTTGACCAACATCCAGTAGATCATTCCAGTGGCTGGATTATTATCCGCCCCCCAACGTGCCGCGAAGGCTTCATACTCGGCCCGGATCGCCTCATAGTCTGCCACCTGGCACTTGAGGATGTAGTCCTCCAGGCTCGTGGGCTTGCCGTAGCGCGCGTAGAGACCGTCGTTGTAGATCTTGCGGTCGTAGAATTGGGACACGTTGGTCGACATGTGGTACAGCCCCTTGTCTGGCTTTTTCCAGAGATCCTCCATGTCTTCCTCGGACAAGAACTTCTTCAAGCTGCTGATCTCGGGCGTGCCTACACCGGCACCCAGCTCGGATCCAAAACCAAAGGCGGCACCGTAGCGATCCTCAGCTAGCGTCACATCGTACCAGTAGTTGGGCGGCACCCAGTCGTAGGGACCACTCATCTTCATACCTGAGGGACCAAGGAGGTCGGGGTATCCCCTTTTGCTCGCGGATGCTACAATGGGGAGCTGCCAGCCACCACCTCGGAGCCCTTCCACGTAGATTTCTGTTGCTCGATCGTCTGGCCAATAATCGCTGCCAATCAGGAAAGCGAGCATACTAGGGTGAGTTTGCATCATCGATGTCTCGTGACGGATCGTTGCGTTGGCGTCCTTGTAGTCTTGCTCATCCCAATAGTCAGGTATGGCGACCGTGAGGTCGGGGTTGTACTCCCAAGATTCCCCTACGATTGTCAGTTCTCGGTTCTTCAGTGCCCTTTTTGGTCACTCACACTTGTTGCAACACTCCCAGCCAGCCATGACCATGGGACCCAGTCGGTCGGTGATCTCATACAACTCAGGATGCTCGTTTTTTCCTTCGAGTCGGATGGTGTTCAGGCCCATGTCCAACATGTACTTGGCAATGTTCTCGAACCGTTCGGCATCAAATCGCAGGAACATGTCTGCGCTGTATCCGCTGCCCAGGACTTGGAATAGCTCGCCATTGACACGAAACATGATATGTCCGTGTTCATTGAGCTCCGAAGTGATGGTGCGAAGTCCAAAGGAGCGCTCCACGCGATCGGAGAGCTCGCAATTAGAAGTCACAGACACTCGAGCGCTGTATAACGGCTGGAGGCCCCATTGCTTTGGCCACCATAACTTCGGATTGTCGAATTCTGTCTCAAATTCGATGACCTTGGACTGACCGGGTTTCAGGGTGATGGTCTGATTCAGAGTGGTTGTGGGCCCATCATCGGGCTCATTGATAACAGCCTTTGCTTTAATCTTGATCTCTCTATCTTCCAAGTTTCTGGCTGTTGTGCGGAGTGTCACCTTGCCTGGTGAGATGTCCACCAATGCGCTCAAGGGTCCAAGAGCGACTGGTCCAGTCTGTCTCACGAGCACATCTCGCCAGACGCCAGTCCCATTATCAGGCTACATAGTCAGTTAGATTAGAGATGGAGGGTCATATCATCAGTTGACATACAGGTGTGGGATTCCAGTCGATGAAACCAAGTGCCAAGTCGGTATAGTAATTGGTGGGATACGTTTGGATGAGCAGGCCATTCTCCTTGCCTACCGACTCGCTCACGTCGTACTCATGCCCCGAGTATGCACCGCTCTGGTCTTCCTTGTCTGCGACAAGCTCGCCATTCAAGTAGATATCGGCTCGAGAAGTGATGCCATTCGTCTGCAACAGATAGTGATGCCCCTTCTCCGGCTCAAGGGAGAACTCATGACGATAGACCCAAGGGACTGTGAATTGTTCCCAATTGAATTCTTCCAAATTGTCAGAGAACCATAAGTCCTCGTCTGAGTAGACACCTGTTGCGATGAGACATCCCATGAGGGTGCATCGCGAAGTCGGGATGTGATGCCACGAGACAGTGTCGGCCCCGGGCTTCGAGAGCTGTGCGAGGTCTAGAGGGACGTCTGATGATGACTGAATGTCCCAATTTGGGATGCTGGTTATTTCTCCGGGTTCGGAAACTAGAGGTTCTCTAGTTGCGAAGGCATTGACAAGGACAAAGCCGATAGGTCCAAGCAGCTGGCGCGCCATGATCGAGGTGCAGCTTGTCGAAAGTGGGAGTGGTGTCGCCTGCACAGGCCCGGCCACTGCTCGTCTTCAAGGACTTTATGTGCAGTCCATAGCGTGGTATTGGGTTCCTGGACGCAGAGCAACGTTACCCAACCCGAAGCGGGCCCTGTGATCCTACATGCATCATGTAGTTCCCCGCAGGGAAGTAGACGGTGTGACGACGGGAGTCACGGGACTACTTCGTTTGAGGCTCTCTAGATTGACATGAATTTTATCGTGAAGTCCATAACCCAGGGAAAGAAATTCCACCCAAGTGTTGCTTACTCTGCTTCAACGACATCCACAGACGACGATCATGTCGAGGAATCAGTCATGGCACAGCGAAGCAAAGCACACCAGGACGTTGTCAATGCAGAACAAATTGATTTCAAATACTTTTGTCTCCTATGTAGTCCTTTCCACCTGTGCATGTTTTGGCTTCACTTCTTGCGAAGCTACTAGACCCAGCAACCACGATGAGGTACATGCACGTCTGCTGGGGCCCCGGTCCCCCGGAGCCCGGGAGCATCGCTAATGGCCCTCTCGGTGGCCCGCTAAACGCATACGCTGTCAGCCCTCATCAAAAAAACATAGGAAAAGAGGGCCAAGGAAATAGACGAAGGATATGAGGCGCAGGGAGTGACGGCTTGGCCAGGGGGGTGGTGTAGTAGGAGCTTAGAGGGGAACTTAGCTGCACCAAGGGTTCAATTCCAGCTCCTCCCACCGAAGCTTGGACTCAAGAACAGCCGGCGAGACGACCTCGATGATCTCGCGGCACTGTTCAAGTTTCTGGTCATTCATGATGACTTTGGGCAGTTGCTTGATGTGGGGAGCTGGTGTTAGAGAGAAAGGTGGAAGAAAGGAAGAAAACAGATTCCTTGTTTATATATACATGCTCAGAGGCGTGCAACATGCACTACATTATAGTTTACCATTGATACTTTTGGTTCATGTCTTGTCAATTTGACTCCGTAGCTGTAAGCAAAAAGTTCAGTTTTGACTAACTGTGCATCAACCGACGCATGGCGAAACGTTGAAAGGCCTTGTCGGTTTGTTTACATTGCCTAACCATGAAAGTTCTCGCGTGTTAAGTTTATCCACCATGGAGCTGCACTTTGAATTTCATCACGTATATAGGCCTCTGCTAGGTCGGAGCCACTCCGAACACGGGGCTTACAAGATGTATCGCTTATCTATTTATGGTGCCTAGATGCCACGCATCTGTACCTAAGGTAAGTAGTGATAAAGTTAATCCGCCTCATCGCCAGTTTGTCACAAGAACAATTTCTGAACACATGAGCTTGCATGTCTTATCTCAATATAAATCTCAATGCAATTCAAGGTAAGGTATTGCCGAGCATCTATACATATTCAGCAGAGCCTGTCTTCTCCTCGTCCCAATTTCTCTCCACTACTCCAAAGTACTAGTAAGTTTCCCTATCACAATCACATATTATTCGGGATGGCAATTTCATATAACGAGAAAATGGCTACCATCGACGGCGTCGCGGCGGCTGCGATGGCTGCCTGCATAAGTCATGTGCTTTCCTGTTGACTACATGTTGTACATGTACCTTATGCTACAGGGATGCTTTTTTGGCACCAAGCGCCGTCAAGGCAGTCATTGGCCATGCAGAAGACGGTCATACTGGTCGTATTTGATGCTTGGACCGGCCATAGATACCTGTCCAAGGCTATTATCAATGTCTTGAGTGAGAGACCTGTACTGTTGCGTATATACCCGACGCTAGTTACCCTATTCAGACCACAGTGGATTCCCCCTTGGCCTGTTTAATATGTCCTTTCTTTCCTACATGTTTGTCCAAGAATTTGCGCCTTGTCTGCATTCTCTGCAAGTGTTTTTGTCAATTCGTTCCCATGTCTATGTTCTTTCGTATCCGGTCCCACAACCGCTGACAGTGGCTGCCACGAAGAATACATGTTAAGACTCCCGGAACATCGAGCGCGATTAGTCACTACCAGTGATGCTGCCAATACCCAGGATCTGTCTCCCTTTCCGGACTAACACAGCGTCATCACAGTATGTATGTAGCAATCTGCAGGAATCATGCAGTTGGGACGATGATATTGATTAACGAACAAACTTAGAGGGATTCTGGTCTGGAATGATCCGTACCTGAGGTCAGGTTATCTGGTCAACACAGCTGGGTTCGTTTTTATACTGGAATACGCCCCAAGATTGCCCGTATCGTCAATGGTTTGAAACTATCCCAAGAAACGTTTTGCTCCTCCTCCCTCGCCTCCCTCACCTCCCTTTGCCTCACCTCCTCCTCCGCCAAGTGCTCCTCCTCAGGTTTGGCGACTGTTTCAGCGCCCGGAGCCTTTGGCCAAGGCCACCAACCTTCCATGGGCATTTTGGCGTACACTGTGTTAAAACACAGTCGAGAATCAGTTCGATACTCGTAGACTTTATTACGGTTCCAGTTCCATACGTCCACGGTCTTCGTAGTTGCTAATGTGACACAACCTGGATCAAAGTTGACAATAGTGGACCGCCTATGGCTGTCAACTACGAGCTGGGCCTTCCATCCTGGGCGTGTGATCCAATAGAGACGATAGTGGGGTTGTCTCGACAGCGTGCGCGTCTCCAAATGAACGTAAGACGAACCACGATGGATGTCGGCACATGACCAGTGAAGTCCTTCTCGCATCAGCTTGGGAATATTGTCTGCCCATACAATGAGCACTGCGCGCCAACGAGGGCGTCCAAAGGTCTTTTCTGGCGACACGAATTCGAACCGGATATTAGGCGAAGATTTTTCCTTTCCACGTGCCGTGAACCAATCACGGGGACGTTGTCTGTCCCAATACTGTTCGATAGCCTTTGCTTCATCATCGGAGGGCCCCAAAGAGGAATACACCGGGGGCAGCATTGAAGTAGGTGGAGAGTTGGTCATGATTTGAAGTATGCTGTGGTGTGTGGACTGTGTACTGTGGTATGCGGTGCGAGGTATGTGGTCCGTGGTGTATGGTGCCGGATTCGAAAGCAGGGAATGCTGACTCGCATACTGGTAAAGGTCGAGAGCCAGTTTATAAGGTAAAAGTTGCTCATTTGGGAGCGCTAGTGAGCGCTCAACGAAAAGGGACGAGATAGTCAGATGACTTGAGAACGCTGGAAATAAACTACTGCCTAGCGCACGCTTCGCATCAAAAGTTAACGGTCTCGAGCCTAAATTGCTGATCATGGTCACAATAATAGCATCGGTGCTTTTCTGTCTCCCGGTCAGAGGCGTTGTGATTGACCAATCTTGCCATGCCTCCCGATGTCGAAGAGGCTTGTTGCGTCTTGCGAGACGTATGAACGCTGAGGCGTGCACACTTGCTCCATCTCATGTGCGCTGTGCCCTTTGCGTGGGCTTTACGTGGTGGTATTGAGCCTAGCACCCATTAACACACGTGGCAGATCCCCGAGAAAGAAGCTTTCACCATCGATAAGACCCTTCACACGGCGTGCTGCACAAGCTTCAACTGAAATTTGCGCTAAAAGCGTTGGTGTTGATAAGAATGACGAGGGCTCATCCAAGGCAGACGCTGGCAGAATTCTTGGAAAAAGTCCATCGGCTTGTTTATCCGCTGGCTGTACAGCTTTCCAGGTCGAGCATGGCATTCTCCACGTGTGATGCACCCCCTGGGCTCAACACCATCATATGATCGTGAGAAGGGCAAGTGCTGCTAATTCTAACTTGATTAGCAATGTGACATTCTTAATCCATGTCCCAGACTGTACCTTCTCCTCTGCTTCATATTGCTTCCACCGATACACAGTCTCCACGCCATTGCGTCGCTGCGCCGTATCGCACAGCTGCACATTCCCACATTCGCACGCGGCGCCCTCTCTCAGCCACCGATACGTGAGACTCCAGCGGTTTTCTCTCCATCGCACCGTGCCATCGGGCAAAGTGTCTGTCTTGCGCGCCTTGATTCCGTGTGTCCAGTGCAGGCGCGCGTCGCCTCTCATCTCCATCATGCTCCTTGGCTTGAGGTCGACGTCTGTCCTCGCGTCACCCTTGGCGCCTTCACGGAACTGCATGAAGACGGGAGCGCCGAGCGACAGTGCATAGAGCTGGTCGAAAGCGCTGTGCGTGTCCACGTGAGGCGGGATGCCCGTTCCCGGGGCGTAGTGCTGTAAGCATACTTGATCCGGTGGTCTTCCCTCTGTCGTCGGCAAAAGTGGCTCCAGCCAGTCTGGGAACGGGATGTAGGGTGTTTCCTCGTCGATGCCGAAAGACTTGTAGCTGAAGGTGTAGCCGTAGTGGAGAGACAGGCGACCGCTGCGATCCGGCCATTGCAGCTCGTTTTGGAAGATGCGAATGAGCTCATCCTCATGCTCTTTTGTAACAAAGTCTTCTTGCATCCGAATGCCGGATGGGCGTATCTGGAGCTCCTCCATGTGTGCGATCCATCATCCTGTTTGCGAGGGTGGGAGAGCAGCGGAACGGAAATTTCAGCGGTCGTTGAAGATGGAGATCAAGGACTTATGTGTAGGGTAGCCAGATGCTTCGCGCAGAGCTTGGCATGCAGTCCTCCAAGTCTGGGACAGCATGAGACTCGAGCCTGGTGAGGAGCAATATTCCTGATTTAGTTCTATTCAACCATCATGTCGCGGAATTTGCGCAGATATTAAATCAGCTCTGTTCATCTATGAACATTCTGTTCGTCCTTTATATGGCAATCTCATGTCTGAAATCCCGACAACCCCTATCCGCGTTGAGCGCGTCATGTGCTCCTGAGCAAACTCAAGGGTCCTGACTGTATGCACGATTAATGCCTGGCCCCCGAGTGGAGAGCAAGTCGAGCTTGCCCGGCCGACGGCTGAGACTACATGCGACGACGATCGCTGGCTCATAGTTCCTCTTGCCATGACGGCCCCATGGGCAGGGCTTTCTCGCTGTGTCGGGCGACGCAGTAATTTGCCTCCCTTGATTGCACCCTTAAATTCAGGGGCAGGGCGCTTCTCAATCTTATGGCGTCGTCGGTTGCGAAAGGGGTGGCTCGAATTCACCATCGTCACATAACCGTTCAATCCACACCCACCGTCGGCTCGACATCGTATTCGACATCCGAACGAATGATATACTTGGCACCTTTCCTCACGCCAGTACCCTCATGCAGAAGAGCGCCCTTGGTCTCGCCGTGGGGGAAAATGGCGACAGCGCCCATGACCGGCCGCACGGGGTACGCATTGAGTGTCCCCTCTTTAGCAGACGGCAAGAAGAATGTGGTCTCGCCGCCCTCGAATTCGTCATTGAGATACAAGAGGAAGGTGAAGAGCGAACTCTGCTTCTTGCCGGGCGGTGACGCATCGTACACATACTTGTCATTGGGCAAGATGCCAGAGGGTGGCCAAGCACCGTCAATGTGGCAGCGGTACTCTGCACCTGGAACATACCGATATACTCGGAATCTGCGGTTGATGCCCCTGGCTTGACGTCCATTGATTGAGGAAGGTACGTACGGGGCGATGCGAGCCCACAGCTTGTCGTGGAATGCCGCATCGATGACCCAGTAAAAGTTATGCGCGAGGATGCTGACCTGGCCGTCGTCACGGATGGGTGCGTCGGGCACAAAGTTGGCAGCCTCTCCTGCAGCAATGATGGACTTGCATTCGCGCGGTGAGAGGAGGTTCCTCGCGAGGCTGAGTCCAGGAACCACGGGATGCGGCTCGTGGATGATGGGCGTCTCTGGAGTCTGCGAGAGCAACACAGCGTCTGGCGCGGTAGTGTAGAGAATGGCATCGTGATGGTTTGGCGGTTTGCGCTCGAGGGCTGGCGTTGTTTCGATGATACGCAAGAGAGAAGAGATGTTGTCCTTCTGCAGGGTATCGAAGATTGTGCCATTCTGTACGGCGGCGTGGATCTGCTCGCTGGGCGTAGACGGTCGAAGATCCCATATGTCCTGAAGGACTACCTGCGAAGTCGGGTGGGTGACGGCTGCCGGATTCGAGTCGATTGGCCCAACCGTACGAAGAACAGCATCAAGAACATTGAGAAGACCACGCTCGTTGTCGCTTCGGACGGCGGGCGCGGCGTCCTCAGCGGACCTGACAGTAGATAATCGGCTGATCACGTCCAGATCCCTCACCCATCGACAAAGAGCGCCGAGCTTCGGTTCCTCAGATCTGATCCTCATTTCCGCTAGTAGAACCCTGGCATCCAGGTACTTTTCGTCGGCCAATGCCGCGGTGATGCGCGAAGTAAGGTTGCCTCCGTCAGTCGATGCATTGTTGCCGGTTGTCGATGCTTTGCGAAAGTCATACACAGCCACTCGCAAGTCCTTGCAAGACTTCCCCTTGATCAGACTTGGGTATTGTGATAGGGTTTGGAGTGTCTCGACGGTGATTTCGAGCTCTTCGTCCGAGATGACAGTGTGCAGGTTCGAGGGCGCCAGGACGGTGGTGGCGGAGGGTGAACTTCCACCATTGGAGTCTTCGACGGTCGTAGTCTTTGTGACTTTGGATGGAGGCCCGCTCGACGCTGCAGCCTGAGCCTGTCGCTTGCGCTTCTGAGCCTTGGATTTGGACATGGTGATGGTGGTGACTTGGGAAGTTTCACGTTGGTGGAGGGGCATAGTGGCGACTGATGCTCACAGGAACATTTCTGCCAAGCAATTTAGCACCCCACTCGATGCTGACATAATATGGCGGGATTGACAGTGCTAACGCCGGCTCTGAAGCCCGAACTGCCTCTCGGCTACCCTATACAGGAGCGGCCCTATGAACTCCTCACAATGCCCCGGCGAAATGTGCATGTTGTTTTCGCTTTATCTCTCTAACACCGATTGGGTTCTGATGAATGAAATATTCAGTCATGATCTTGGGCGCGTGCCTAAGACTTTCCTCAATAGTGCAAGCATTTGACCCCCTTTGCAATGAAACCAGAGGCTGAAAACATTTCGAATCACAAATTGATTCCATGAAACCAGTTTTCTTTACCATACGCTTTCTCAAGTCTATAGACCTTGTAATCATTGATCAGGGCCTCCTTTTTGATCTTCTCACCCAATGGGCTTGACGTGGCCGTCTTCATTTCTTCAAGATCAACGTCAGCTGCGCCGCACTCAAACTCATGCAAGGCCAACCAGGTGGCTGCTGTAGGCGGTGGTTCATCGGTTGGAGGAGCGAGTCCCTTGAGCACGCGTGACTCTGCGTTCGATCTCGCAAACACGAGCTTGAACCGAGTCGTGCGCAGAAACCCCCTGGAGCCTGCTAGGGACGGGAGGTGCTTGAAGCCGTTAGTATTCGCCATTGCAGTCCCACGGAGCCGCAGCAATCTACCTCCTCGCGGAACCATTTGTCAAATTCCTGATCACTGATATCATCCCCGAGCTCAACTTGATTCAGGACCAAGCTCCTTGTGTGGCCCTTCCCCTTGCTTGTGGGGTCGTAGACTTGGACCAGTCGATCATTTCTCACATCAAGATCGGCCAAGTCATAGATGATTCCCGATCCAGGCAGCGAATCACTCTTGAACTGAATCCCACGGAACTCGTCGCTCTTCACAAAGGCAATGTCGTCCATGGCATGCATGGCGAGATATGGTTTGTCCGCAGAGGGGTTCACATCCACGAAGCGTCTGGCCGAGGACACTCCACTGGTCCGTATGATTTCGGGAATATGCTCATCGTCGTACCATTTGAGGAAGGTTACCTCGTCTAGCATATCGTTCCGTGAGATTCGAGACATAACGCATAGCATGCCCTTACCGGACAGATCCAGAGTGGCTGCCATGATGTGGGTATATATGGCGTGGTGTCGCCTTATGTGGCGATCCTCAAACTCAGATATGCGTGTTTCGGCTTTCAAATTTTATTTGAGTAAACGAGTTGAATGTAAGTTCAAAAAAGGGCTGCTGAGCGAGTTACCAGTCAATCACCTACCCCACGTCGGGTATGGAATTCCTCCCGAGGCGGAAATCGATAACCTTCTTGATCTAGTTGTTGTCGACAGTCCCTATAACCTCGTCAGTTATATGATCATGTTTCTTCTTAACAGCTGCAAATGAAGCCTGCTCGCCGCGCGAGCAGATTCAATAGCAGTCACCTTGTATAATGCCTGCCTCATCATCACTGAATTCGATCAGGACTTCGCAAGCTTTTAAAGATATATTTGAATGATAACAGACGCCAGTTGGACATGAGGCTCTCATTTAACATGCGTAGCCTGCGCGTTTGCGACGAATCCGACTTCGTCACTTGTTCTCCCGGCACGGCCACGGTCATTCGTCTTGATGACAAAGTCTGTCTTCATGAGTATTCCTCCAACTCCGCCAGATAACCTGCGATTTGGTCGCCCCCTCAGCAAGTCCATCCCCGTCCCACCAGAACCATCGCCGCCGAGCCTTTGCGGGTTACTAAGACCGGTACCATATGTGCCAAATCTTGACCCGAACACCTTCAGCATTATGCTGGACAGAGGTTTCTTGAGCGTGGGAAGACAAGTGCTGATAATTCCAAAGTTCATCTCCAACAAGGTCCACATGCCTCTCTGTATGAAGTTGAAAGTAATGTCTTCCTTGTTCTTCAAGGAATTTTGCACGGACGTCGTTCGGAGGATCGAGGTGATGGTAACGCTGTTATCAGTCGTTAGTACAATACTCGTCAATCTCGGGGAACGGGACCGTGGCTATATGTACAAACCACCCATGGTAAAGATACCAATCACGAGCAACTTGTCGCGAGGCTTGAGCTGGAGTCTGACGATAGACGGGATCGGGAGCAGGAGAACCATCAAGTCCGTCAAGATGTTCATAACCGCGTAAGCCACCCAGAACTTGTTTGAGTCAATGCAGGTCGCATCTAGCGATTTGTCCCAGGCCCCAGCAATGGGAACACATTGCCATATTGTAGCGCCCACGCCCCCGATACTCCACGCCACAACAATGCCCATGATCGTGTATGCCGCAACCTGGAATGCTCTCGAGATGAATATGCGCATACAGAAGAGGACCACAGCTACCTTATTCAGGCATACACTGATCTTATACGGAGTTTGCGCGAGGAAGAAGTATCGGAGTGCCACTCGAAGCTGGTCCGTCTCGAGGTCTGACTTGTGCATACCATAGCCATTTTCGACGGCTAATTGCATACAGACAGATACCATCATAGACATGACCTTGGAATGTCAGTGTCTCGAAGTTGGGTTCTCGGAGTGACGAATAAGACTCACCAGTGACAGAACTACGCAAGCATCGTCCCAACCTATCTGAGAGGCTTTGTAGCGAAGGCTCAGGCGTATGATTACAAACAGCCCAGAAGATATAATTATGATCAAAGACAACAAATACAATTTCCAGCCATTGTTTGGCAAATCGGCCGGAAAGCCCATCCCATAGGGGCCCATTCTGGCGCAATGAAGCGTTCTGGTCGGGGCGAAGGCACTGGCAAAGTGTCAATCCTTTGGACGGTGCAAAATCCAGAGTGACTTGGTTTATCAGGGGGTTCAGGCATATTCGGACCTCAGTGTCATTCCGACGAGGCAAGCACGGGCTTACGCACTGTTCGACACGGCTCCTTGCTGAAATTGTGCTCTTGGGCTCAGGCTCTTTCGAAAGCCTACGTGTAAGTACTAAGGTACCTAAGTTTTAGCATCAAGCTCGCGTTCTGTAGCTTCTGCCGAAATTGAGTCGCGGCCCGAATCACCCACCCGTCACGGTTCTTTCTAACTTTAAGCATAGAAGTGGATTACTTTCTGTTTCATGGACGCGGAATCACCATGCAGGTTGAACCAACAGGTTCATGCAAGAGCGAGTTTATATGCTGCTGAAAACAGGTAATTGGATCGCATCGTATAAAGCCCCCACGCTCGACAAATCGCGTTGAATTCCGCCTAATCAACTATCAAGGGTCAGCCAACAGAAAACATCAGCACCGAGTCCTGACCTTCAGAGAACACTGTTACTTGTTGCCAACAAATGTAGCTTGTTCCTCCCCGCGACGTTGCCAACACCTACCTAGGTTATCATAAGCGCAGCCACAGGGAAGCTCTGCGCAGAAATACTATGATGAGAAAGTTTGACCAGAGAAGGCAGTCATAAGACCAATGGCTATTGATACATACGTCTCTCTTTCGTGAGGTACGCGCTGAGCAGGGGAACAACATGCAGGCGGCCCACATGCGCAGTTTCCCGGCACCATGGTCTGGCTTATTATGTCCGTCGAACCGGGTGATCTTGGGTTGAAAAGTCTGGCAGTATTACGTGCAACAATAACAAACGGGTTGGAACTTGGGAGGGGGCGTGGTGCGACCCAATCTTCCACGAGGAAAGACACACGTTAGAAACCCTCACTCCTTTCCCATACCACCGTTCACCTTGTTTGCGTGGCTTAGAACCCCCAGCCGGTGCGAAGGATCTCAAAGAATCAGGCGCTTATGATAGGAAATCACCAGGCACAATGGTGCAGCAGTTTTTGCTACTGGCAGCCTTCGCACTCAGCGTGGTGCGCGGCAACCCTTGCCATGCCTGCCCACCAGATATATCGAATTCTTTGGTTGCGCAGACCAAGAATGGCGCCATCACCGGTCACATCGCCCCAAACACCAGTTGTGTGGTCGAGTATCTCGGAATTCCCTACGCCAAACCACCCACAGGCAAACTGCGTTTCGCTGCGCCCGAAGCGCCCACAAGTGAAGCACCCTTCGAAGCCGCCAGCTACGGCTTTGACTGCCCACTCTCCCCATCACCACCGACAGACTATCCCGGTTTCACGCCACAGGCGCAGCGGATAATCGAGTACTTCGCCTCAGCCGCGGGGACGCCACAAAGCGAGGACTGCCTGACGCTGAACATCTGGCAGCGACCTTCTGTCGACAAGTCTGGCGTTCTGAAACCAGTCCTGGTGTTTTTCCATGGTGGACGCTTTGCCATTGGTAACACCAACAGCCCCTTCTACACGGGCAAATACTTTGCGCAAGCCGAAGACATTGTGGTAGTCACCGTCACCTACCGCCTTAACATCTTTGGGTTCCCAGGAGCGCCAGGAGAGACGCAGAATCTTGGCTTGCTGGACCAGCGCGCTGCGGTAGAATGGCTTCGCGACAATGCGGAAGCCTATGGCGGCGACCCATCCAAGATCACCATATCTGGACAGTCCTCTGGGGGTGTGGCTGTTGACTACTGGACGTATGCGTACCAAGAAGATCCCATTGTGCACGGAATTATTGCCACCTCTGGCAACGCATTCAGCTTCCCTGTGAATAGCCCCGGCGTCCCGGAGAGAAACTGGGATACTGTCGTGGATGCTGTGGGATGTGGTAATGCCACAGAGGTCATGGATTGTATGCGAGAGATTGACTGGAAAGATGTCAAAGCAGCGGCTGTTAGCGTTCGACCAAGCGGAAGTTCCAGTGTCTTGAGGTCAATCCCCCCATTCTACCCGATGCCCGATGAGAAGACCGTCTTCTCAGACTATGTCTCACGGACCGAGGCAGGCGACTTCTCCCCTCTACCTGTGCTGATGGGCCACAACAACAATGAGGATGGATATTACAGGATCCCAGCCTACCGCAACGGTGTTGTACCCACCGACGAGCAGGTGCGCTCGTTCCTCCTCGAGTCCTTCACCTGCCCTGTGTCTTTCCAAGCAGAGGCTCGCCGCGCCAACAATGTTCCAGCATTTGGCTATCGTTACTTTGCGGACTGGGACAACACCCGTCTATACCCCACCAGCGGCGCGTACCATGGAGTCGATCTGCACATGGTATTTGGTGCATCGGAAGACACAAGCGGTTTGCCGCCGTCAAAGGAACAGAAGCGCCTCACGAGGGTCATGCAGCGCATGTGGGCTGCGTTCAGCGATGATCCAACGTCAGGTCTGACGGATGCGCTGGGTTGGCCTTTGTGGGATTCGGAGAATGACACATTGGCCTTGCTGGGTAAAAACAACTCTGCAGAGGTGGAATTCGTGAAGCCAGAAACGTATGATGCACCGTGCTCCACGGTCGTTATGGGGGCCCTGGCAACAGGATCAAGCGGTTGACGGATGGGTGTTGTGCAAAAGGGAAGAGGGTCTGGTATAAGTGATCCTGGCATGTGGAATATTATTCTACCACCGACAGGCGGCATGAGGCCACGACCTGCGTTTTCAAGCTTCCAGGCCTACAAATAAGAGAGCCATAATAACTGACGCATCAGGAACATACGTCATCGCGGACAGGACATGGTAAAATTGCATTTTGTCACGTTATTATATGTGCTCAATTTGTGCTGGACAGCTAGTCGGCTATTCAAGCGGCTATAGCAGATCAAACCTAAAAATGCTTTGCCCAGAGGACAGATGCAGTCCTTGCAAGGCTTTAGGATCAATGTTTATCTCGCCACCTATCTTATCACAGTCAATGATCTTCCCCATCCCAGTTTGCCGGATCTTTTCAGCCTCAGTTCGGTCAAGCCAGGTCAGGTTGTATGTAATACCAGCCAGTTCACCACTACCACCACCAAGTGGTCCTCCAGGCCCTACCGAATATTCCACTTGTAAGGTGAATAGTGGGGATGAATGAACCGAGGGAATGGAATTTCCTTGGATGGTCCCCACCACTGACTGGCTTTGAGCGAGCATGTGCTTCTGACGGCTTAATGCCTTCTCCCCAGACCCGTCTATGGTTTCCAGATTGGCGTCCCGGCGAGGTGGGATTACTTTCTCACACACTCCTGTTGTCCTTTGGGAGGCACAGATACTCGTGTCATCGTTTTGAGTGCCTGAAATAGGCGGAGGAGTAACGGACAGTAGGCTATTGGCGCGACTTGGAGTCGAGATCGAGTTCAATATCGTGAGGACGGTGCTCTCGTTTGGATACTGGTATACTGTCCTGTTCTGTCGCGCGAGCATCAGTCCAATGCTGTCCTGCACTTGTGATTCGACGCGTGTAATGAATTCACGGGTGTCGACCAAACTCGGTGGCCACAGTGGAAGCTTCCATCCTGGATATAGTCTCCCGTGGCACTTTGGGGTGTGGAACTTCCCGTGAGCTGCAATGAACAAATTGCACAGGTAGCATGCGTCTTTGCTCGAGCATATTACCCTCGGGCGAGGGCGCACATTGGCTACCTCCAAGTGGTAGACCAACTGAACCTCGGCGTGAATCTTTGCTTTGTCGAGTATCTGTTTCCTCTTTGCGGTGAACTCTGCGTTTGCCTCCTCTTCTGTCGTTCCTAGAAGCCTACACATTTGACGAACAGTTGCTTTGGCGTTTTTACTGGCGACCTTTGCATTCCCTCCCCGTATTCTTGTCAACGTCGAGGCCAAGTTCGGCGAAGCTATCGATGCATCGATTCTCTGATAAGCTTGATTGGGCAATGTGACTGTGGTAACCGAGGACTTCCTAGCTATCGGGAACCTTGACGCCGTCCGATGCAATAGTCCAGCAGAATCTTTGTATCTCGCCACCTTTCTGACGATGTTGATCAAGTTCTCCTTAGAGCATGGATCCAGATCGCGATTTGGAATAGTCCGTATCAGAATAGCCAAATTCTCAAGCTGAGACAGCGCATAAACATGCTCGACCACGTTCTGAAGTCGCCGTTCTACCTGATGCCGTTCCCACGCATCAATAGCGGCGATCAAGCGTTTCGCTCTGCTGACAAATTCGGTGGATTGTCCGAGTAGCTTTGCGACATTCTGTAAGAGTGGCTTGAGAGGCTGGCGTTGGTTTCTCTGCTGGTTGAACCTGAGACGCTCTAGAATTCGAGTTGAGCAGACGGATACAATTTCGGAAAATATCCCTTGATCACTGTTCTCTACCGCGTGCTGTGTTCAGATCCGATTCGTTATTTGACTTTCTCATGGACTGACCTTTGATTGACTGTGAAACGGCACCTAGTATCCTGTCCAGGCCTTCTTTGATAAACTCGAGCGTTCTGAGGCTGTCTCCAGGCTTTTGCGAGTTCGCAGCAACCATCACCTCCAGTTGCATCTTCTTCTGGTTCTCCCTGACAGAGAGCGCCGGAATTCGATTCGGATCCGTTTTCAAGCTCGACAAAAATGCCAGAGTACTGGCCAGATCACGCTCCTTCTTGAAAGGAAGCACATAGTCTTCGGGGCCTTGCTTCATGGGCTCATCGAGCGCATGCGCGAACGGCTGCTGAGGGACTGGATGCAAAACATAGAGGAAAGAGATACTGTCAGCGCACGCCGTCGCTTCTTCGTGGTAATTCATCGTCAGTGCCACAGAGAATTTCAAGACCATGGATGACAGTGGGCATAGACAAGCTAGATGCTACAAATGCCATCTGAAGCAAATTGCCCGTTGCCAGAGAAAGCCTGAGGGGTCGAGCGACGCTCGTTTGCATGCTCCAGCACATCGTGCGCCTGGACATGCACATTTATGCACCCACCCGACGCTCACAGTCTCCCGCCTGGTTAATCCGAATAGACTGGACAACGTTTGTTCCGTGCTTCATGCAAGACACCGAGAAGCGTGATGGTCCCTCTGACTGATGACGAGTGCCCCTCTAAAGAAATTCCTTCCCAATCTCTTAACTCGGTCCTTCGGAGACGGCGAAAACAGTCACCTTCTGTCATGATTCGAGACCAGACGGCTGGAGAAGCCAAAGGGGTTGAGTACCTCGCATATATATTGTGTGATGGCCAATGGCTGATTGACTGAGGTCAGCCAGAAGAAAGGTTGGGAGTACTATCACAGGTGGTTGGATGATTTCGCACAGGCTCATGATGGACCGTGGTTGGCAGTAGAGGCATGCTCTGGGAAATCCCCGCCTCCCTGCTTGCTAGGGTTCAATTGAGAGACAACGCTACGTCAATATACCTACATAAATTCCCCTCGGATTGTTGCTACATCCTCGTCAAGTGCACGGGCATGAATATAGTCGTTTCGACCGAGCTTCGTCCGAAGCAAGGCCCAAGCCGCGGACGAGCATCGTAGACTAGCCCTAGACAATGAGATAGCTCCACACAAAGGGTCCCCTGGCCGATCCTTGGCTGGAGATTGGAGAGAATTCGCCGGCTCATTAGAATTCCCGTCTTTACCTAGGGTCCCATGCCGTCTTGAACAAGAGCGTCCACAACATGAACCCTCGCATGGGCGATCCTTCATGTTCCCATCAGACTCAGAGGTACCTCAAACCCCCTCTTGTGTTAGACACAATATCTGTACTCCGTACTTTTGACTCATATAGCCTGGGCTTCCAAAAACCCGCTGGGGTAATTTCGGCCGAAAATGATACACGCGTGCTCCTACCTCTTTCTTTGCCAGGGCCTGCTCAACTCCACAAGGTTGGTCTCATGTTGCTTAATTGAGCAGCTGAGATGACGCGAAGTCGCATTTGATTCACCAGCACACGCAACCCATCATATTCGCTGATCTGGTGTCTCGTTGCTCAGCAGACCGAACAAACGCATCATATAAGATGGCTGCCTGTGCCCGTCAAGGCAGTCCAGGAACCAAGCAACAAACTCGACAGGCCCGATTGTCTACCAAAAGCACTCTTGCTACATTGCCAACATGGCCGAATCCGCGCTGAACTTTGCATTTCCAAGCAATGCCTCGTCTCCAACACCGTTCACGATCCAGGTGGACCAGGGCTTTGTGGACGAAAGCACCTTGAAAGCCAGCCTGTACCGACCCTCCATCGACATCCTCGACGACAGCAACGACAACTGGCTCGAAGGTCCCCCGAGCGCCAACATGACAGCCCTTGCTGACTACTGGGCCAACGAGTACGACTGGACCACTCAGCAAGACTACATCAATGGCAACCACTCCCACTTTGCCATCACGGTACCCGAGACTCCCGCTTGGCCGCATGAAGTGCCGCTGCACTTCATCCACGAGCGCGCCAATGATGAAGAAGCTCTTCCCTTGTTGCTGCTCCATGGGTGGCCCTCCACCTCCATGGAATGGCACAAGGTCATCGGTCCCCTCGTGTCCCCGGACAATGCCTCTTTCGCAGGTCACCATGTAGTCGCCCCAGATCTCCCTGGATTTGGCTTCAGCCCCGCCGTTACACACGCTGGATTCGATGCCAAAGCCATCGCCGGTGTGATGGACGACTTGATGGGGCGGCTCGGCTACGACCGCTACGGCATTGTGTCCACGGACTTGGGCTGGTGGGTCACAATGAAGATGCTCGAGGTGGTCCGGTCTGGTCGCATCGTCGGTCATTTCTGCGACTTCTTCCTCGTCCAGGCGACCGCGGAGGACACGGAGAGATACATGAAGAACCAGACCACGCCCGAGGAAACACGTTACATGGCCAGCAGCATGGAGTGGTACGCCCAACACACGGGGTACCAATATGTGCAACAGCTACAGCCACTTGCTGTCGGTCAGGCCTTCTCAGACTCACCCGTGGGATTCGCGGGCTGGGTTTGGCACCTCCTTGAGAGCGTCAGCGACGGCTACCCATACAGTTTCGACGAGATTATCACGACGGCCTTGTCCCTATTCGTGCAGGGGACGTACGGGAATCTGCGGTACTACAAGTATGCCTTGGACGTAAGATCGGACCCATCCCTCGTGGCAAGCTTGTCCAGGCACTGACAATCTATTATAGCCTGCCGCATTTGTGCTGGAACGTACCAACGTGCCGACGGGCGTCTCGCAATGGGGCTTGGGGTCGCCTGGTTCCAAATTCCCGGGGATTGCGGATCTCAACTTTGCTGTGAGTAGCATTCATGGTGTGAAGATCGAATGACAACGAGCTGACACGTTATGATGTAGCCCCGAAGTTGGTTGGAAAGGATGGCGAACATTCGCGAGGTATATCGCCACCCCAGTGGCGGCCACTTTCCAGCTCTAAGTGAGCCATCGTCTTGGGCTGCAGACGTCTTGCACTTCTTCCAGACCTGTATATAAGTCTAGGCGTATAGGCCCTTAATACATAGATGCGGTGATATAGCACCAGGCCTGTGCCGTTCCGTCTTGGTTCCCCACACGGCAGTTGGATGAACCTGGAGCTCCCCCAGTTCTGATTCCCCGTTTGGGCAGGTTCCGCCGCAGAAATGCATTCAATTGGAGAGGCTATCGTGGAGTGCAGGATTGTCCTCGGAGCGTACAGCGGGCATCGGTGGGAGTATGCACCGGGTCGTCATTACACCGAGGCCTCTCCGTTTATATAGAGCCACGAGCAGGCCGACAAGTCACGGAGGAATGCCAAAGGTGCCCAATTTCACTTGAATCCTTCGTCGACATGAAGCACTCTACCTTGATCGCCCTCCTACTGCCCCTCGGTGGCGTGCACGCTGTTGAACTGCTCTCCACTGACTATTGGGACATTGGCACGGACATCCAGGGTCCGGAGCGACTGAATGGCGTGAGCTACCAGGAAGATGTACTCATCACGCATGGCAACCATCAATATGTCACTTTTTACGACACGGCGCCGGCCGGGTACCTCCACCACTACGTCAACGTCGGGCGACGACAGGTGTCGCCCTCGTTGGGAGAATGGGAGTTTCTCACCCTTACGGACTATGTGCAGACGACCATGGATGGCCACAACATGATCTCGATGGGTATTTCCGGAGACGGACGAATCCATCTCAGCTTTGACCACCACGTTTGTCTCTCCCTGATGCCTGCCGACTAGGAACTGGACTGACATGCATAGGACGTCCCGCTCAATTACAGGGTGTCGACAGGTGGCATCGCGGAGGATGTCCCGCAAGAATGGACGGCGGACCTCTTCGGCCCTGTAATCCACGAGCTCCCGGGTTCGGAAGGGCCCTGGGATCCATTGACGTATCCTCGTTTTCAAAACCTTGACGGGGGAGACATGCTCCTCGAGCTCAGAATCGGAGGGTAGAGTGACACTGTCCCTGTACTCGGCAGCGCGTTGCTGACGTTCACAGCTCTGGCGATGGCGACAGCTACATTCACCGCTACTCCGTCGAGTCGGGCGACTGGACCCCCTACGGCATGTACATCCAGGGCAACGACAACAATGCCTACATAAACGGTCTAGATACCCACGACGGCAAGCTATACACCTCCTGGACAGTAAGGGAAACACCCGACGCAAACACGAATCACGATCTTTTTTTCGCGTACTCCGAGGATGCTGGCCAGACTTGGCTCAACAGCCAAGGAGAACAGCTCACCAAACCCATCCTGGCCGACTCGCCCGACGCCATGATCTGGGAGGTTCCTCAGAACAGCGCCATGGTCAACCAGGAAGGTCAGCTCGTCGATGCGCAGGGCCGCTTCCACATGCTCATGAGGGGCAACACCTCGGGAGAACAACTCTACGAGCACTATCTTCGCGACACGGAGGGCCAGTGGACGGTCAATCTGATCAACCCCGGTGACATCTCGGGTCCTGACCTGTACGCACCACGGGGGAAGCTCGCGGCCGACAGGACAGGCAACACGCTGGTTGCGCTGCTGCCCGACGAGCCCAAGTTGGAGACGCGAATCTACACCGCGAGCGCCTCGGACGGTTTTCGGTCCTGGGCTCTGTTGACTGTCATTCCGAACGCATCAACAGAGCCATTGTATGATCAGAAGCGGTTGAGGGATGATGATATTTTGAGTGTCTTTGTCCGACAGGGCGGGCCCTATCCAGATCGGAAACTCCAAGTCTGGGACTTTCAACTCGCGTTTTGAGGGTCCCGGCCCAGCACAGACTAGAAGATAGCAATGGCATTCGGGGGACTCGCGCAGCCTCCCGGCAGATTCAGGGGGGCACTCGTGAGGAAGAAGGACCATCTCTGCTGTACCTCGCATTCTCTGCTCAGCGCTTCTAGATCCCACAGTTCCCCCATGGGCATGCCCCAGCCCGCGAGTAAAAAGTCGTGCAGCCCTAGCAGGCAGTCAGTGAATATGACCAAGGATTGCTTCTGCGGTGGACCTACGCCATTTGTCATCCATGGGGACCACTTCGACGCCGTTGTTGTCGCTCGCCACAGCGGCAAAGTGGTTGTCCCACAGCCATTCGAGAGTCTCTTCGCATCCCTTGAGGCCAGCCCATGCATATGCGTTTGTGACGTACTTGTTCCTGTCCTCCACGCTATGCTCGTCGTACCATTTCGTCCAGCCGACGCGGATGAGCAGAATGTCGCCTGGTCGGAAGGTGATGTTGCACTCTTTGGCGATTTCCTTGAGTTCCTTGATGGTGATTGCGTGATTCGACATGGGACTGTACTGGATGTTTTTCCTTTCAGCGTAGCGGACGTAGTCTAGGAGGATGCCGCGTCCCACGATGCCGCCACGCTTTGTCCAGTCTGCTCAGTCAGTGTCAGAGACGAGCAGCAGAAGACGTAGACTCACTCTCAATGCCCAGATGGTTTCCTCGCGTGACTTCGTCATGTTTGTGGCCATTGTAATACAGGCCGGTCTGCGCATCTCCCCAGTGGCCTAGAAGTTCAGCATTGTCACATCTCGTGCCCGTGCGCGACACGTACGGAGACCATCCCACTGGCTGCCAGTCTGCGTGTTAAAGCTGATCTCGTCGTCCCATGAGTAAAGGTCGAACCCAGGCTTTGTGCGCCAGTCAACCAGCTCATGCTTTAAGACGGAGCGGCCGAGGGTGGGCTCACTGAGCTTGTCGAGGCCCCAGTTGAGGGCCACACTGCGTCCCACCCAGATCTCCTCTTTCGCCTGCAGGAGTACTTGTTCAGTCAGAATGTTCAGCGTCCCCAGCTCGTCCTTGACGCCATCTTTGTCGAATACGCCCCACGCAAAGCCGTGTCTGATTTATGTTAGCGAGCTTTTGGTGACTGGGGGCTGTTATGGTAGTACCGCGCGCCTGGCACGGCAGGCAGATCTTTCCAGGCGGGCAAGTGTTGGGCATCCATAATTGACCGATCCATGGGCGTAACCAAAATTCGGATTCTGTTTCTTTTCTTTTGCTATTTTTCGATATCTACTTCTTCTATACCAGAACGAGTCATCACTTACACGGGAGCCCTTGCCCGCTGACTCGTGATATGGGCGTGGAACGCGGGGGTGCGGGGACGTCTCGGACATTCACGGCAATAGTTTTCCATTTCATGAATCATGCTCAGAAAAGAAGGACTCAGAAGCGCACCGCCATCCTGCCCCTCGCCGTGTGATTCTGCATCTTCTCCACCATAGTAGGCAGGTCCTCGAGCGGAAAGTACTCCGTCTTCGACACAATGTTGTGCTTGGCGCTAAACTCAATGGCCGGGCGTGTATTGTGGCACTGCCCGTTGCTGGCGCCCATGACCCTGTACTTTTGCAGCGCAATGTCAAAGACGCTCAGCTCAATGGGCTGCGCGGGGATGCCGACGGCCATGAGGATGCCATTCCCGGGTCGGATGATGGCCGGCATGGCCGCGTAGGCACGCTTGCTAGCGGTGAAGTTGACGGCGGCGTGGACGCCGCGTCCGGTGATCTCCATGATGCGGCTGACGTAGTCGGCGTCGTTGGCTGGGTCAAAGGCGTGCTCGGCGCCGGATGCTTTCGCTTCCTCCAGGGCGGGGACCGCCGTGTCAATGGCAATCACCCGGTACTGCATGGCGCGCGCGTACTGGATGGCGAGTAGGCCAAGGCCACCGCATCCGATAATGGCGACCCAGCTTTGATGTGGGAGCTTGAGGTCGTCAATGGCATGGTACGCCGTGACGCCCGCGCAAAACAGAGGTGCTGCCGCGACGGGGTCCAGCTCTCTGGGCAGGACGATGGCGTTGTGGTGGTCAATGACGGCGTACTCGGCAAAGTAGCCGTCTCTGCCGAAGCCTTGAATCACAGGCGCATTCTTCTCGCACCACAGGTTGTGTCTGGGGAAAATGATCAGTCCGTGTTTCTTTGTTTCGACTCGGGAGTTGTTCACTCACACTTCTCTGCATGGACGACACTCGTAGCAGACTTGGGTGGCTGGGTTGAACCCAACATTGTCGCCTATGTTAAAGCCCGAGACGTCTGAGCCGAGCTGCACAATCTGCCCCGTCGCCTCGTGGCCCATGGTCGTCGGCTTCTCTGGATACTGCATGCCCTCGGTGGGCTCAAAGATCATAATGTCCGAGTGGCACAGCGACGCGCAGAGGATCTTGACGAGGATCTCATTGGGGGCAGGTGTCGGGATGGGTACCTCGTTGAGATGGATCTTGAGGTCTTTGGGATCGATCTGCTGCGCCTTCATTGTGCCCGTGGGCTTTGAGCCATTGGAGAGTCCCATTGTGATGGAGGGTGGGAGGATTGAGCGGTGGAGGATGGAAATGAAATCTGAGCGGGCTTAGTATATTTGATAAGGAAGTCTCAGTAACCAAGAGGCGCTCAATACTTGAATATAAATGTCCACATCGGTTGCGGGTAACGGGTTCGCGAACGTGAGGACTGGGGCGACAACCACGGATAAGATTTCCAGAGGGGTCCGCTCTGGTGGAAGGCATCGCCTCCGCACAGGACGATGCCCATGTTATTTCCGTCCTACTGATTGATTTCAGATGCGTTTCACCTTTCATGGACGTATGTCTTGTTTAAAAAATGCGCAAATGTGTTGATGGATGCATGCGTTCTGTCTACAGTCACATTGTCGCGTCAGAGCATCACACGCTACGCACCGTATGAGCTAAAGCGCTGATATGGGTATATCGGGCACAATTCGACAGAAAACATGCATTCTTCATAAAAGCTACACCTAGGAATGACAGCACGCAGCACCTAGCCCATCTACGCACGCTTCTCCTCCTGGACTTCGGTGACCGTCTTGTCGTCGATGCGGTCGTCCTCGAGCTTGTGGCTCGTGTCGGCGCCGACGAATTCGAACACTGCGAATCTAGATTAGCCATGTGCGCTTTGACGAAACGAGAGGAGAACATACGGTCCACGGGCGCGGTCTTGAACTTGCGGGCGGGCGTCTTCTTCTGGAAGAGGTAGTCGAGGTCGGCAAAGGAGCGGTTCATGGTCTCGGGGAGGAAGAACCAGATCCAGATGGCCCAGATGAAGCACAGGCCAAAGTAGAAGAAGCCGGCCTTGGGCCCCCAGTTCCAGGCGTCGCCGCCCTTGTTGAGCATGCGCGGGTTGAGCTGCTGGACGCAGATCTGGCCGCAGACGTAGACGGCGCGGCCAATGACAATGGTCTGGGCGCGGACGCGGTTGGACGAGGTCTCGCCGACAATCACGTACGTGGTCGGGCCGAGGGTGACCTTGAAGGTGATCTGGACAAAGATGAGGAGGACGGCGAGGCCGATGAGGATGCCGTGAGTCTGGGGGAAGCAGCCCAGGATGCCCGTGATGAGCATAAAGAGACCGATGCCGGCGGAGCCGTAGAAGAAAAAGGTGCGGCGGCCGAGCATGCCCATGAGGACAATGGCGACAATGGTGCAGAAGATGTTGACGGACTGGATGCCCATGTTGAAGTTGAAGGCCTGCATCTCCTCCATGCCGGCGGCCTTGAGGAAGATGGCGGCGTAGTTGGTGATGGACTGACCGTTGAGGATCTGGATGATCCAGGCCATGCAGACGATGCCCGTGCGGCGCAGGTTGGTGCCGCGGAAGCAGTCGGCGTAGCTGGCGTGCTCGGCGTTGAGCTTCTCCATGCGGTTGGTGTGCTTCATGAGGGCGAGGGTCTGGGCCATGGTCTGCTCGGTATAAAAGTCCTTGCGGGCGAGACGACGCAGGGCGGCCTCGGCCTCATCGATCTTGCCGCGACGGACGAGGTACCAGGGCGACTCTGGGGCGAAGTAGGCGACGAGGAAGAGGGGGACGACCCAGATCCACTGCAGGCCGTAGGGGAGCTTCCAGCTAGCGTTGCCAGAGAGATCGAGGGAACCGCGCAGGGTGCCGGCGGCGAGGAAGGATCCGGCGCCCCAGCACATGGAGACCCAGGCGGTGAGGTAGCCGCGCATGGCGGCCGGGCAGATCTCGGCGGCGTAGGCGGTGGTGAGGGTCTGGAAGATACCCCAGGGGATGCCGCTGAGGATGTTGCCGGCGAGCAGCATCTCGACGTTGACGGCGAAGAAGAGGCAGAAGATGGTCCCGGTCATGAGGACCATGGCGCCCATGTAGACGCGGCGGGAGCCGAAGCGCGACTGCAGCCAGCCGTTGAGGAGGAGGCCGATGATGGAGCCGCAGTTGTTGCCTGTGCCAATGGCCGACTGCCAGGTGGCCGAGATGTGCAGCTTGCCGTCCTTGTCGGGCCAGCCAAACTTTTGGATGTACGCATCCTGCGCGAAGAAGTTGTTGACCAGGCCGACGTCCATGCCCTCCATGACCAGCGCCAGACTGAGCAGCGCGCTGAAGATGACGCCGGGCATGTAGCGGGAGAAGAGCTCCTTGCGGGAGAGGCGGGCCTCCTCGTCCGACGCGGCGTGGGCGGCCTCGATGAGTTCGGTTTCGGTGCCCCAGGCGCCCTGGTCGGCGTGCGACGTCGCGGGGGCGAGGCCATGCTCGGCCTTTGTCTCGATGGCGGCCATTTGGTTTGTCTGTCCTGTCGTCTGTGTGGGGGGGGGGGGGGCTGGAGTCACTGATCCACGAGAGGGATGACGATGGGGAGGACTGGGGACTGGGGACTGGGGACTGAGCTGGGCTGTGAGGGCGAGGGCGATCCAGCCTACTTATTGTCGTCTCTTATCCTCCCCAGCTGGTATCACCAAGCCTCCCCTCAAGAGCCCCAACCGTGTGGGACTGTCAATCAATCGGCAGCACGGCCTCGATATGTCACAACTCCGCACACCGCACACGGCTGAACAAGGCTCGGTGGTCTACTCCCACCAATGGCACGGCCTGTTCGACTGTCTTTGCCCCGAGGGGACGAGCCATCACGACTCCACCATCTACCCCGTGGGTGACCGTCTCCAGTTTTTCCCCAGCTTGCTCCCCAATCCCCATTCAGGCTTCGACGGGGCCAGGCAGGGGTATTGTCTCGGTTGTCGTGCGAGTCTCGCCCGAATAGCCAATTGGGTTCATGAGGGGAGCTGGTTCGTCCTAGATTCGCCCCGACACAGCTTGGACAGTGCGGTCCTATCACAGAGTTCATGTATGCTTATAATTCAGGTGTAGAACCAGGGCATATGTGGCCATATTGTCTGTCATAGCGAAGCATTTGAATCCGGGGCCCGTGAGCCCCCAGTGATGGTGTCCATAACACACAATCTGCATCATCCAAGACGATACGACAGGTGCATGTAGTAGCTTCCGCCCCATCTGGACGCCCTTTGCCAAACAACGAGATCGTCCATTCACAACCTTGTATCTGTATAAACATCCACGTGGAGTCGTGAAAGCCACTGCACTAGGTGCGGCTGACAACTCCACCTTAGCCTTTCGCTCCTCGATGAACCGAAGTCCACACCCACCTTCCAACAAATACAGTCCGGGGAACCTGGGGTTGGCCGCCACCAACCTATTAAGGTTGGGCTGCCCTACGGCCCTCCAAGCCCGAGCTGCGTCTGTCACATTGCGATCATCGTCACGCCCGGCCGAACGCTCCCGGCAGCCCGGCGTATCTAGACGCACCAGGATCTAGCATGCTCCCTCTCGCGCCATGAGCTTCACCCGCCACTCGCGTCCATACATGGTCACAAACAGCAGAGCCACCGCGCCCAGTACCATCTGCCCAGCCGCAATCGTGCTAAACCAGCCAACGCCAATGCTCTTCACCGCAGGCAGAACCAACGCCGACGCACCCGCGCCAAAGAAGTATCGCACCATCAGGTGGCCCGCCATGACCTCCGAGCCACGCCCACTGATCACGTCAAGGCAGTACGTGTTCAGACTCGGGAAACAGAACAGCTGGGATACGCCGCCTAGGAACATGGCGATCACGGGCACCGCGATGCCGCCCACCGCTCTGTCGACTGTCCATCCGTACACGAGCATGCAGCCTGGCAGAGTGACGCCCAAGGCGAGGAGACATGAGCGCAGGCGATCTTCGGGCACGCGGTTCCCATGGCGCCTCTCGATCCACCGACGCACCACCCGGTCGGCCCATCGTCCACCAAAGAAAGTACCCGTGAGGTACCCGATGCCAGGTGCCAGGTAGAATAGCCCAGACTCGGCGGGCGACGTCAGCGCGAAGCGAGGGTTGAGCACGTAGCGGATGGGTGTCAGCATCCCAAACATGTTGAACATGATGCTCCCGCTTGCATAAGCCGCCAACGCCAGATTCGGGTAGCGGATCACCAGCCAGATCACCTTGATGGGGTTCAGGTGGCCCCATAGCCTGACCACGCGCTTGCCCAGCGGCAGCTCTCTCATCTCCTCGTACCTCATGTTCTGCGAGGTCTCTGGCAGGAAGAACAGTATGGCGAGCCCTCCCACCGCAGCCAGCGCCGTCTGCAGCCAGAAGATGACGCGCCAGGAGCGGAAAGTGACAATCACACCGCCGATCAGAGGACCGACGCTCGGTCCGATCAGGGTGCCCGACATGAACCAGCCGACCGCGGTGCCTCTCGATGTGGGGTGGTAGATATCGCTAATGACAGACGGGCCCAGGACGATGGGTGCCGTGCCACAAAAGGCCGTGAGAATCCTGAACGCAAAGAAGCTCGCAATGGTGGGCGAGAGCGCGGTGCCAATCGAGCACGCCAGCGTCAGGAGAACAGCCACCACGCCCGTCCACCTTCGTCCGTAGACCTGGCTCAGCGGACCCCAGAAGGCGACGCTGATGCCCATGAAGACGAGGTACAGCGCGTTCGACAGGGCAATCACCCGTCCCTCGGTGCCGTACTGGTCCGCAATCTCGGGCAGCGCTGAGAGCACCGACGTGCTTGACACCTGCGAGATGAGCCCGTTCCAGCTGACAATGGCCACAAAGAGCGTCTTGCGCCACCTCGAGTACCGGCTGTACAGGCTGTAGGGCGTCTGCTCGTACATCCACTGCGCGGGCGTGCCGTCCTGCTGGTCGCCAGAGGTCCGGGGCGCGAGGCCCAGCTGCTGCAGGCGGCCGTGTGTGTCCTCATCGTGCTGACTCTTTTCCGAGTCGGAGGGGGGTCGTGTCTCGATGACGACTTGGATGGCCTGCGGGCCTGTTTCTAGATCACTTGCCGGTGAGGAGGGCATGCTTGTCGAGGTTTTTGAACCATTGTAATCTGGAAGGGCCAGAATGAGGGGGCCCTGGGTCGATTATGAAGGATTGTTCACCCATGCCTGCCTGACTCAACTGGACCTGTCGGCCAAGTGCCAGGACGCCGAGTGGGAGAGCGATTGGCGCGCCGGTGACTGGATGCGGATATTTAAGCGGGTCTCGCCCCGCGACCGGCGCCGAGAGCCGGTTCCACCCACCGGTCATCGGCGCGGAGAAGTCCGGTGCTCGTCCGGGGAGACCTGGGGTGCGCATGCTGTTCAGTCTCATAGTTGTGTCTCTTGTTCCATGTCTCCAACGGTGATGTCGTATGAAGAAATATTATCCAATAAATAACCATGGCGAAACCCTCACACAGTTTACTAGACAGGGTTAGGTGAAGGAATCAACAAGCAGCGACTTGCTGACAAACAGCAACGCCTGACATATCAAAAAAGTCGGCAAACTTTGGCAGATCGAATGTCGCTGAACAAGTTGATACAGATTTAGAAAATAGTACATCTCGCTAAATATACAAGTAACGACGCTTAGTGCCGTACATAAACCATGGCCTCGCTCATTCGTACTCCATGACACAGACAATCATTTCTACAGGGTAGCCCGTTCGCCAGTATAAATGTCAAACACCGACATGCCAAACGCGACCTCCATCTCTCCAACAACCGCGTTCTTACTCCCTATACCCCTATCCCCCCCAGCAGCGGCAGCACACAGAGCCCCCTCGTACACGAACACAAACCAAGCCCGCACAGGCCCAGCAAGCGGCTACTGCAATCTGCTCTGCTGCCGCACTGCAACGACACGCAGAGGCCCGTGTCGCAGGCAAAGTTGGTCGGACAGTCCTTGTTGGCCGAGCACGCGCCGCACGCGCCGTTCTTACAAACCTGTCCCGTCGCGCACTGCGTGGAAGCCGTGCAGGCGCCGCACGTCCCGCCTGTCAAGCACGCCTGTCCGGCATTGCACTGGCTGGTCGCGGTGCACGACGTGCAGAGGAGGCCGGCGCATATCTTGCCGCCCGAGCAGGACGCGTTCGAGGTGCACCCCGCGATGCAGACGCCGGCTTTGCAGACGTTGCCCGTGCCGCACTGGTCGTTGGATGTACAGGAGCCGCATAGTCCGGTGCTGCTGTTGCAGACCTGCCCAGTGGCGCATTGCGAGTTGGCCGTGCACAAAGTACAGACACCCGTGGACTGCGAGCAGACTTGGCCGTTGGTACAAGACGTGGACGTGCAGGCCGTGATGCACGAACCGCCCTGGCAGACCTGTCCCGAGGAACACTGCGTCGAAGCGGTGCAGGAGCCGCACGCACCACTGGTGCAGACCTTGCCGGTGGGACAGTCCGTGTTCACCAAACAGGCAGAACAGAGACTATTCTTGCAGACGAGACCGTTGGTGCAAGACGTCGAGGTACAGGCGTTGATGCATGTCCCTTCGCTGCAGACCTGGCCGCTTCCGCACTGCGTCGACAAGGCACACGGGATGCAGATTCCCGCCACACAGGCCTGGCCGTTTGTGCAGGCCGAGTTGGATGTGCAAGCGGCGATGCAGAAGTTGTTGGAGCAGACCTGACCGGTTGAGCAGCCCGCGTTGGTATCACAACCTGCGATGCAGGAACCGTTGCTGCAGTATTGCCCAGAGGGACACTGACTCGACGCGGAGCAAGCACCGCACGCGCCTGAGCTACAGACAAGGCCGGCTGTGCATTGAGATGTAGCAGTGCAAGGCGTGCAATGTCCATTGTTGCAGACCTGTCCCGTGCCGCACTGCGCGTTGGCCGTACACGCAGAGTGGCAGACGCTGTTGTCGCACACCTTTCCACTGCCACATTGGCTATCAGCACTGCAAACCTCGCAGGTGCCCCCGTTGTTGCTGGTGTTGCAGATGAGACCGGTCGAGCACTGTGAAGAGGACGTACATGCCGTGCATCGCTTGCTCTGGCACACCTGGCCCGATCCACAGTCCGTGTTGGACGTGCAACCGGCCACGCATGCGCCGCTGCGGCAGATCTGAGTGCTACCGCACTGCGCGTCCAGAGTACAGGATGTACAGAGACCTAGGAGGCAGACCTGGCCGCTGGCACATTCAGACGACGAGGCGCAGGCACGGCAACGTCCAGTATCGCAGAGTTGTCCGCTTGTGCACTGAGATGCTGATGTGCATCCTGGCTGGCACGCGCCCAACTGACAGATATTCCCAGTGCCGCACTGCGCGTCAGTAGTGCAGACGCCACAGGCACCGCTCGAACACACTTGTCCGGATGGGCATTGCGATGTTGCTGAGCAGGGAGCACACGTCCCCCCCTGGCAGACGTAACCGACTCCAAGGAGGCTGCAGTCATCGGCAGACGAGCAGCTCCCGCACCCGCCATTCTTGCAGACTTGTCCGTTGGAGCACTGCGAACTAAGAGTGCAAGCCGTGCAACTGCCCAGAGAGCAGACTTGTCCGTTGCTGCAGTCACCACTGACAGAGCACTTGGGGACTTATGATGCCGCCACGCAAGCACCGTTGGAGCACTGCTGCCCGTCGCCACACTGCGTGTCCGCCGTGCAAGCCGTACAGATGCCATTCAAGCATACCTCACCCGTCGAGCACTGCGACTGGGACACGCAGAGTGGCAAGACCGTGGGCACACACGCGCCAAGCTGACAGATGTTGCCGCTCGGACACTGGTTGTTTGTGCTGCAGGGCACGAGCGTGCTCTTGACACAGAAGCCCAGCTGGCACACCTCATCTGTCGCGCACTCCGTGACCCCCGTGCACTGTGGCGGGATACATTGGCCAATCTGGCAGATCTGGTCGCCAGGACAGCCTGAGTCACCATTGTTGGCGCGGCAGCCCTCGACGCATACGCCATTCGTGCAGACAAAGCCAGACGAGCAGTCGCCGTTGGCCGCACACTCCGGGTTGGACGTCACGCAGACGTTGTTTGTGCAGGTCTGGTCCGCGGCGCAATCGCTCGACGAGGTGCAGGATGCTTGGGTGACAGCCACGCAGGCGCCGTCGACGCAGACACAGAGGCCCGCGAGACAGAGGTTGAGTCCTAGCACACTGCGGCCCAGGCAGTCGTTGGCGTCTCCGCAGCTGGGGGCGGCTGACGTTGTCTGCGCTGCGGAGCTCGAGGCTGTCGCTGTCGTGGCGGGAGTTGTCGTTGGAACCCCAGGCGCGAGTGTCGGGATATCGCCCAATATTGAAGTCACTGCTGGGATGACAGTGGTGACGCCTCCGATCACAGACGTGATCTCCGGGATGACGGTTGTGACTTCGGGAATCACACTCGTTACCTCTCCGATAACTGAAGTGACCGCTGGAATAATTGTGGTCACTTCAGCAACCACGCTTGTTACGCCTCCGACGACTGAAGTGACTTCGCCGATCGCCGACGTAACGCCTTCAATGACAGAAGTGACCTCTGGTATGACGGTGGTCACTTCAGGGATGACGCTTGTAATGCCGCCAATAACTGAGGTGACTTCGGGTATAACACTCGTGACATCTCCAACAGACGGAACTTCCGGTATGACAGTTGTAATGCCCCCAACGATGGAGGTGAACTCTGGAATAATAGTCGTGGCGCCATCGACAACAGTTGTAATCTCAGGGATCAAGGTAGTGACGCCCTCAATGATAGACGTGATCTCCGGGATAATCGAAGTAATCTCAGGGATGGCCGTCGTTACTTCAGGGACCACTGTCAGAACATCATCGACAACAGTACTTACGCCGTCGAGTATGGTGGACACGCTGCCAAGGACACTCGAGAGCGCAGGGACAACAGTGGCGATGTCGTCCACCACCGACGAGAGCTCCGGCACAAGACTCGTAATGCCATCAACCGCACTTGACAGCTCAGGAACCACGGTAGGAACGTCCAAGCTGGCGCTGATGGTGGCATCTCCAGGCAATACAGAGTCCGTGACGGGCAGTGGGTTCGTGGCGCCGCCTAGGATGCAGACGCCATCGAGACAGAGACATAACCCAGGAAGCGTGCAGAGATCAATGCCAATGAGACAGTCCGTTGCCGTCTCACACTCCTGTCTCTCCACACAGACGCCGCTCTGGCAGACGCGGCCATCGCCACACTGCGCGTCCGCGGTGCAGTCGTCCACGCTGTCATCCGTCTGGCAGACGCCATCAGCGCAGATGCACAGGCCATATGTGCATACACCCACGCCGAGCAGACAGTCGGCAGCACTGCTGCAGCTCGTGGAGGAGATGTCCGCGATGCACAATCCCGCAGAGCACTTCTGATCAGCGGCACACTGCTCGTTGCTGGAGCAAGCGATGGGCGTGACTGGCACCACGCAAAGACCGCCCGTGCAGACGAGATCCGCCTCGCACTCGCTGTCAGATGTACACTGACTAGGAGCAAGATCGGGCACGCAGCTGCCAAACGAGCATATGAGGTTGTCAGAGCAGTCGCTGTCGGTGCTGCAGCTCTTGGGCGCAGGGAGACAGATGCCATTCTCGCAGATCTGGTTGTCACTGCAGTCGCTCGACTGTGAACATGTAACGTTGCCCGTGTCGATGATGCAGACGCCCTCTTCACATGTGTAGCCTGAAGCGCAGGCGAGAGTCCCGTTGCAGATTGGCGGGTTTGCATCCGAAAGACAGACACCAGAAGATGAGCAGGTCTGTCCCTCTGGGCAAGGGTTCTCCTCCCCGCACGAAGTAACTTTGGCGACGCAGGATCCATCACGACAGACCTGACCAACCGAGCATTGATCGTCGTCGGTGCAAGACGAGCCGCCAAGACCATCTGGCACGCATAGCCCGCCTGCGCATACCAGTCCGTCAGAGCAGGGCTCGCTCTCGCTGCATATGCTGGCATCCAGACGCACCGTACAGACGCCATTGGTACATTGCGGTAATGCCTCTGGGCATGTCGAGTCGTCTTCGCAAGTGGCCTCGCCGCTGGGTAACACGCAAAAGGAGGACACGCAATCGAATCCAGTGGGACAAGATTCCCCGGAACCACATGGGCCAGGGCTGTTGGCGAGCGTGCAGTTACCACTGGCACATTGCAGACCGCCAAAGCAATCGGCAGTGGAATTGCAGAATCCGAACCCAGTGTCCATCGTGCAGAGACCATTCGTACATTGAGGTAGAGCTTCCGGACAGTCGTTGCTGGTCTCGCACATTTCGGGACCCGAAGGCAAGGCGCAGAGACTGCTGGTGCATACGAGCTCCCCAGGACAGTCCGAGTCAGCTTGACAGAGCGATAGTTCGACAGGCAGTGAACATGTTCCCGACTGGCATTCGAGGCCCTGGGTACAGTTGGCGTTTGAGGAGCAGGTTGTCGAAGGTGTCGCCAACGTACAGAATCCAGCGGTGCATTGGGGCAGGCTCTCCGGACACTCGGAGCTCGAGGCGCATGAGCTGGGGCCCGATGGTAGAGCGCAGACGCCCTCCTGGCATTCGAGGTCTTTGGGGCATGGGTCGTCCGCTGAACAGCCAGGGGTTTCGAGACGGACCGTACAAATGTTCTCATTGCACTGCGGTGTCAGTGCTGGACAGTCATCGTCCACACTGCAAGGAATGGGCCTTATCAAGAGTCGAGAAATACAGACACTGTTCTGGCAGACGTCATCCTCGCCAAGGCAAGGAGTCTCATCGTCGCACGACGACACTGGCGTACGGACTGTACAGATGTTGGCGGTGCACTGGGGCAAGTTGGCCGGACAGTCGCTGTTCTGACCACACCCGGGGGTTTCTGGCCTGGTGGTGCAAATCCCCGCCGTGCAGGTCGGCAGCTCGGCAGGACAGTCTTCACTGCTGTCGCATGTCGGCGGCCCTTCAACAGGCGCAGACGCGCAGACATTGTTAAGGCACGTAGGCAGGTCCTCGGGGCAGTCCGCGTCTTCGTCGCACGTACCGGGGACGCGAAGAGCACAGACGCCATTGAGACAGCTGGGAAGGGTTGCGGGACAGTCCACACTTGATACGCAGGTAATGACGGGTATTTCCGCGACACAGTAGCCCGAGTAGCATTGCGGCGTGGTGGCGGGGCAATCGTCCGAAGAGGAGCATGGTTGAGGCTGCTGTAGGGGAGAGCAGATGTTGTCGATGCATGAGGGCAGAGCTTCAGTACAGTTGTCGTTGTTCTGGCACTGCACAGGTGGTGGCAGTAGTGAGCATATGCCATTAATACAATGCGGTGAGCTCTCAGGACAGTCGCTCTCCCCTTGACATGTGTCTGCATCGAGACTCATAACGCAGATGGACTCGACACATTGTGGCAGACTCTCCGGGCAGTCGGCCGCAGAATCGCAAGTAATGGGCGATGGAAGAACCGAGCAAATACCGTTGACACACGCAGGCAAAGGTTCGGGGCAGTCCGATTCGGTGCCGCAGGTCTGTGGACTGCCACCAACAGAGCAAATACCCTCCACGCATTCGAGACCCTGAGGACAGGGGCTCTCGTCGCTGCAGCTGCTGACAGGTGGTTGGACGATGCAGATACCACCCAAACAGAGGGGGAGATTGTCTGGACAGCCCTCGCTGCCATCGCAGCTCGTCGGTAGTGACGGCAGTGAAACAGCAGGCAGTCCTGATGAGGTTGGTGTTGGGATAAAGTCCGATGGAAGAATGCCTGTGGGCAGAATATCGCTCACTGCTACCCCGGTTGGTAGGGAGATAGCTGGAGTCAGATCGGCAGTGAGTGTGTCGGTTGGTTCTCCGCCCGATGGCAGCAGACTTGTGCGGATATTGGTGAGTATTTCTCCTGGCTGTACCAGATCGCTCGGAGCTATCCCTGACGGCAGCAAGCTTGCTGGGAAGTCCTCAGGTAGAACGTACGTCAGTAGGTCACTTGGGGCGATCTCTGAAGCCAGCAAACTCGTCGGAATATCAGAAGGCAGAATGTCCGTGAGAAGATCGCCTGGATTCGTGCCTGATGGCAACGGAGTTGTAACGTTCGGCAAAGGTGGCGAACAGATACGTCCTATGCAAGACGGCAAAGCCTCGTTACAATCTTCGTCGCTGTCGCAAGTCGCTTCGCCTAACACAAGAGAGCAGACGCCGTTCAGGCAACGTGGCAAACCATCAGGGCAGTCCGAGTCACTCGCGCAGGGGGCTTGGGTCCCGCAGCGGCCTTCCCCATCGCAAGCCTGTGCGGCTGGGCAGTCAATATCGCTGCCACAGGGGGCTCTCGGGATGCAGGCACCAACAAGTGCACAAGTTTCACTCGTGTCGCAATCTTGATCACTAATGCAGGGCCGATCGATCACGCATCCACTGTCGCTTTTGCACACGCGGCCTGGACCGCAGTCCGTGTCAGTCTCACACGGATACTGAATAACGCAACTGCTGAGGACGCAGATGCGTCCGTCGATGCATTGCTCGTTGCTGGTGCAGGGGAATCGGGCTCGGCACGCGTCGACCTCGCAGATCTGGCCAAGAGGACAATCGTCATCCACTGAGCATCCTTCGGAGGGGAGGCAGATGCCTTGCGCGCAGGACTCATTCTCGCCGCAGTCGCTACTTTTGCTGCATCCGGTCTTTGGGATGCAAACACCTGCCTCGCTGCAAATGTAGCCATCGCTGCAATCATCTTCCGTTGTGCATGTGGCACGGGGCAGGCAGAGACTTGCTGTGCAGGTGTAGCCAGCTTCGCAGTTTGAATCGTGTTCACAGGGAGTGACCCCCAGACTGACTTCGGGTAGGTTAACAGATACGCTGCTGGGCAGGCTGACCGGCACGCTGATAGGAAGATTCGTTGGTGTGATGGTCGGCAAGTTGATTGATACATCAGTCGGAAGGTTGAGTGACAGGCTTGTAGGTGAAATAGTCGGCAGGCTGACTGTTACACTGGCAGAAAGAATGGCGGACAGGCTGACCGACAAGCTCGGGGATGGCACGACAACGTCCGGTAGACATGCATCCTCAGTGCAGGACAGGCCTTCTGGACATTGGCCATCCGCGGAGCAAGGAACGGTTGTAGCCACGGGGAAGTTATCGGAGATCCTGGGAGGCCCAGTGCCGGTAAACAAATTCCGTCCTGACAAGTTTGTCCTGTTGGACATGCCACGTCGCTATCGCAAGCAATCGGAGCCCCACATACCCCTGAAGTACACAACAGGCCTTCGGGGCAGTCCTCTGTGGAAGTACATAGAAGATCCGACAGAATACACGAGCCAGCTATGCACACCTGTACAGAGGCACAGTCGGAGCTGTCTTGGCAGGTTCCCCCATATCCCGGTGTTGCGCTTGGCAGCGCAACAGGAGTCGTCACTGACGAGACAGGCCGGACTATAGGGGGAGGTGCCTCTCCTGCCGGAAGGGAAACTGTTGGCGTAGCCGGGAGGCTTGGTGACTCTGGCAGCGATGTTGGGCTGGGCAGGGCTGGGGAGGCGGGTGTCGTCGGGGCGTCTGGCGTGTCGGTTGATGGCGACAAGGTTGGAGTAACTGGCAGATCCAGAGTCTCTGTTGGGACAACGGGCGTGTCGAGTGATTGTGAAACCGTTGGTTCATCCGTAAAGTCAACCGATGCCGATACCAAAGGGGAGCTGGGAAGTTCAATGGACACAGACTCGGTTGGTGTATCAGATTGAGTTACTGATACTGAAGAGTCGACTGTCGTACTGGTGCCTGTGACTTCTACGGCATCTGAAAGCACAATAGTGTCTGTAGACACTGTGTTCGAGGCGTCTACACTTGGAGACGTAGTCACCGATAAAGCCTCGTCATCTCTATTTGTAGAAAGAGTCTGCCCTGTGGGTCGTGCCTCTGTAAGGGGCGACTCTAACGAGAGGGTCTCCCCAGCAGGCAGAGTGGCCTCAGTCGGTGGCGTCTCTCCAGCTAATGTCTCTGAAGGGGGCGTCTCTTCGGCGGGAAGAGTTGCCTTGGTAGGGAGCGCTTCTGTAGGTGATGCTTTGGTAGGTGTTGCTTCGGTAGGGAGCGTCTCTAAAGGGAGAGTCTCCTCAGTAGGCAGAGTTGCCTGAGTGTGTAGCGTCCCTACAGATGGTGTCTCGGAATGGGGCGTCTGTCCTGCGCGAGGCGTTCCCTCTGTAGGGGCGTCGGGCGTCTCGTCAAAAGGTAGAGTTTCCTCGGTAGGTAGCGTCTCTGTTGGTGGTGCCTCTGTAGGCAATTCCTCTGTAGGTGAAGTCGCCCCAGTAGATGAAGTCGCCTCAGTAGGCGGTGTCTCTACAGTCGGTGTCTCTACACTCGGTGTCTCTGCAGTCGGTGTCTCTGCAGTCGGTGTCTCTTCGGGAAGCGCCTCCTCCGTGGGGGGCGTCACCTCAGCAGGTAGAGTTGCCTCAGGAGGAACCTCCTCTGCAACTGTCTCCAAGGGTGGCTCCGCAGGTGGTGCTTCTGTAGTTGGGGTTGCTGCAGGTATTGTATCTGTAGGCAGGGCCTCTTCTGTAGGCAGAGCCTCTTCTGTAGGCAGAGCCTCTTCTGTAGGCAGGGCCTCTTCGGTGGAGAGTGTTTCCTCTGGAGCATCAACAGGTGTTACAACTGTTGATGCCGGTGTACTTTCGGCTTCAGTCGCAATGACAGGAGGCGTTTCGCTGGAGGTGGACTCTGAGGGCACAGCACCAGATGACTCGAGATCTGTGGGAGTTATGTTGGCCCCGAGTGTGTCAGTATAGACAACTTCTGTCGGGACAACTTCAATGTCCTCCAGATCTGGAGGTATAGTGTCTGTCGGGGCAACGTCACCTGGTACGGCCTCTGTCGGTGTTTCTGCCGAAAGGGTCACGCCGGGTGCAGATGGCGTGACTTCGGGATCAGTAAGGCCAGAAGAAGGAATGGACGCAATTGCGGTATCTGATAGTGACGGTTGCGTCGCCTCGCTCAAGGCCGGGGTCTCAATGCTCTTCGGCGAAGAATCGGCGCTTGGCGACAAAGTCAAAGTAATTGGGTCGGAACCGCCCAACTCGGCCGTTGTTTGACCAAGTGAGCTCGGGGTCGAGAGGTCAAGAGGCGGTAGCCCGACGCTGTAAGAGCTACTTGGCACGGGCGTATTTGAAATGGCTCCAGGCACCTCAACAGAGGTATCTTGCGAGAGGCTACTGGTTGTCGATGGTGTGTCCATATCTTGGATGGAAGACGTTGGCGTTAGATCGGGGTCAGGCCCGATCTCAATGTTGAGCAACACACAAAGGCCATTTTGGCACTCGCTGTCTTGTCCGCAGTCAAAGTTCGACGCACATCGTGGCTGGGGAACACAAGCCCCAGCCTGGCATATGCGCGTGCTATCGCAGTCGACGCTTGATGCGCATGGATACGCAGCAGCACAGAGTCCATCCTGACATTCGTATCCAGCAAGGCACTCGCGGCTCGACTCGCATGGCGTCCGAGGAACACAGGCTCCTGAGAGACAATGCGAAGTAGGGTCGCATTCACCATCACTAGTGCAGCTTGTGTTGGGAACGCATGTGCCGTTCTCGCATTTATAGCCTGCTCTGCAGTTGATGTTCGTTTGGCACGCCACAGAGCCTGCGTCTGGGCCACCGAAGCATGTTTGGTCACCCTCGGAGCCATCGGTTCCTGTCCCTGAGCACAACGACGGAACTGGTGGCTCGGCCGGGACAATAGTGGGCGAGTCTAGTGGCACAGCTGGCGTGACAACGTCGGGTGAGTCAACAACTCTTGTGATAACCGGATCGCTAGGTACATCTGAAATCTCAGGGGGCGTGATAGGAGACTCGATAGGTCCAGGTTGCGCCAGGTTGGTTGATGTGGTTTGACTAGGCTCGAGCGATTCCGCTGTTGTTTCTCCTGACTCCTCCTCTAGAGTTATGACCGTGGATGTTGGAGAAATTGTCGTAGGACTTTCAATCGTCTCCGGAACAATAGCCTTGGGAACAGTGTCAGTTGCAGTCGCTGCGGGCCGTGTTGACTGCTCGGTAACCATCGTTTCAGTGATGATTGTGCTAGAGTCTATCACGACTGGCTCTACTTTCTCTAGAGATGGCTGAATGTCCGACGATTGGCCCAACAAGTTCAGACCTGTAGTCGTGGCTAGCTCGCTTGACGGTGGAATCACTGACTGAGCCGAAGTAGCCGCCCCTGATACGCAAACGCCATTCTCGCACCTCTGATCAGATGGACAAGAGGTAGCGCCGCAGATGCTACTGCTTGAAGGATGGCAGATACCGGCAATGCAGATCTCGCCAGGCTCGCACGGGCCCTCCTCTTTTGAGCAGGCGCTTGGGTCGCCTCGTGGAACACAATTGCCCTGGATACAGACCGTGTTGGAAGGGCAGACCTGTCCTCCTTGCCCGCAGTTGCTTGGCTCGCCCAGAGGGACACATGCGCTGTTGAGACAGACATGGTCAAGAGGGCACGATCCCTGCTGTCTTGTAAAGAGCCGTCGAAAGCGGCCTGGGATATTGCATGACGAGGGATTGCCAACAGCCACACACACACCATTGATGCATACAGTCCCTGAAGCACAGGAAGGTTGGCACTGCGAAGTGTTGCTTGGTTCAGGCTGTGCGGTTTCTGGCTGCGGGCCAGGAGACTGAACGCCACCTGGCACAGTTCCTCCGGGTTGGACGCTGCTTTGTGCGCCATTGGCTGGTAGAGTTGCTCCAGGCTGTGTGTTTTGGGTTTGTTCGTCTCCAGGAATTGACAGCTCGGGTTGAGACACCAGTGGCTGACTGCCGTCCGCAGCTGGCGGTTGATCAGGGTCCGCAACACCAGTGGGAGCGGCGGCTGGCTGGCTCGTTGTAGCTTCTCCAGGCTGGGCATTATCAGCTGGACTTCCTCCAGATATGCTGGGCTCAACGGCTACGGGCTGGCTGGCGGATCCTTTATCAGCTCCTGGCAGAGGCGCCCCGTTCTTGCTACTGTCTGAATCTGAACCATCGGCAGGTGACTCGCTGACGGATGTGTTGTCTGGTAATTTTTGCTGGGAGGGATTCACTGGTGACTGTTCGCCTCCCGTCTCTAAAGGCGCTTCGCCTCCACCCTCAGGGGTAATTTGCCTATCGCCAGAGCTGCCGGTCGATGGTTGCTGCGGACTGGATCCATCCCCTTGTGCTGGCGCTAGACTGCCGCTGGGGATACGACCAGAGCCTGAACCACCACCGTCTGCGATGGGATCTTGGCTGACACTTCCCCCATTGGGTGAATTGCTGCCAGTCGCGGGCTCAGGGGCTTGGCCTTGCTGCTCCGCACCCTGGCCCGAGCCGACTTCGTCGCTGAGCACTCCTCCAGACTGACTGCCCTGACCACCGCTAGGATTGTCGCCGGTATCTTGTCCACTTTCCGGTTGCTGAGAGTTTTCTGGTTGGGACTGGGGGCTATTGTTCGTCCCCGATCCGCTAGGACCTGGCTGCTGAGTTTGACCGTCATGCGATTCATTGTTCTCGGGAACAACCTCAGCGCCGCCTTCGCCAGAGCTGTCCGAGGCACTGCTATTGGAAGTCGAACATGAGACTAACCCTGCGTCAGGGTTGCCTGTATCGCTCAGGTCTTCAACGCAGATCCCCGAAACACACACTTGTCCAGGCGCACAGACAATACCCTCGCTTCCACAACCGAGGGTGTTTGTGTCAAAGTAAATGGGGAAGCAGCTGCCTTCGTAGCAAAAGTTTCCTGGGTCACAAGCCTGACCGGAACTTCCACAAAGCCCCGCCTCTGTGGAGGAGGTGTTCAGAGCTCGACAAGCCCCAGAAAGGCAGAGCTCGCCTGCAGCACACTGTTGACCGTCTGGACCACATACGTGCGATCCAGTGGTGGCACTCACAGACTGACACATTCCTTGCTGGCAAGTGGTGTTTAAGGCGCAGTCACTGTCGATTCCACATTGGTGAGAGACCGTGCCCAGCTCGAACGGTATACAGTTTCCTTGGGAACACCAGTTTCCAGGGGCACATTCTTGTTCGTCCTCGCCACATTGATTGGGGTCCTCTCCAATGTTGAGTCCGACACAGATGTTGTTGACACAAAGCTCGCCTGCTCTACATGCCTCCTTCGAGGCACCGCAATGTAAAGGGTCGACCCAAACCTGGATAGGCTTGCATGAACCATCCTGGCTGCACCACTGCCCTGGCTGACAGGACTGTCCAGAGCTTCCACAGTTGCCTGGGTCTGAGCTGCTAAAGTTCATAGGTACGCAGCTAGTTGCAACGCAGAGCTCGCCAGCACGACACTTGTTGCCCGCCGTGCCACAGTTGTACGGATCGATGCCAACCACATTGCTTGTACATGATCCCCCCACGCAGAAGCTGCCGTCCGGGCAGCCTCCTGCTTCGATATCGATCTGACGCTTGGAAACGGGCCGCTGGACGGCATGGGTTGGCCAGTGTGCAGTGTGGGCGCCGGCCGCCAAGGTCGTTGCGACTGCCACTGCTCGGGAGATGAGCATCATGAACTCCCAGGCAAGCGCGACATCCTTGGGAAGAGTCGGGGTGTCAAGGTTCACAAAAGTGGGATGTCCAGATGCAGGCTTGTTACTGTAATTCTTCCCTCGGACTATATGCCATGGTTGGTCCTGAATGAGTCCAGTGCCATCTTTGATGGCCTGGGTATAGAGCATTCCAGCTGCGGCTGCCCGTCTATAGCCAAGGACATAGTTCGCCAATAAAACTCAGCAAGCCATCACAAGTCCAGTACATTCTGGCGACGAGACCGGTGGCCTCATACCGTTTTCCAGCCCGAACGTACCTAGACAGTGTCTTTTCAGTGTGCGTAGCGTCGGCACAAAACGTCCGACAAGGGTAATTGTCTATCCCCGCGTTGGTTCATCTCGAGGAACTGTGGCGTCCACTTGGCGTTCGGGGAAGGAGGCTTTAGAAACTAGACACGACCTGTGCCGTCTGTCAGCGGTTCACATATGTTTTTCGAGTGTCGGCTGAGACAGTCTTGCACGTTCGAAGCATTCGAATTGGTCATTTTAGCTGAGCATCTCACACCACATACTGAGACTATGAAGTTGTATCTGACGCTTTGCAGTCGGTGTTGAGAAATGAGGCTCTTATTGAACCCTGTTGGTCGACTTACGCGATCACATACATGCGGTTGGATGGAATGTGTCGAGCCTTCTAGCGTTCAGCCCCAGAAGTTAAATCTAAGAGCAGAGCACTAAATCGGTTGGCGAACCTAAGCGAGGCGTCACGGATAGCCCAAGCACCGAATAGTGGCGCAAGAAACTATGCTATTTTGGTTCTAGATAATGCAATGATCATAATGATGAACACCAAGACCACATGCACAATCCGTGTGCAACTTGCAAGCGAACAAGCATCAGATATTGGTCGCTGGCGAACACAGACTCGTGTTTCCGCTGGATCACGATGTGCCACCAGGGAGACAACATCATAGCAACGTCTTAGAATGTTCTCTTCTTGCTTTTGAAAATACATACCAGCCACCTTGTCGAGGCTGGACATTTGGCGACCCCTATGGACCCTATCGCGCAACTGTCTCCCGATTAGGCAACCTGTCAGTGTATGACTGTGGAATTGCCTATCCGGGTAATAGCGTCGAAATCCCCCCGCGTCCCGTCCGGTCTCGGTCCCGGTCGCTAAAAATGGCGCCCATCGATTCCCGCGACCAGATTCAGATTCAGATTCAGATATGTGAGATCTTGAGGCGTCATTCCAACAGATCTGAGCCGTCCCGGATCACACCTCCCCGTTCCGAAAATGGCCAAGCAAGACGCCATTGTCATTATAGGGTATGCACCTGAAAGCATCTCGCCTCGGATCACGTCCTGGTGCGCACGTAGCTGACACCCACTCCAGCGCCGGCATCATCGGCCTCGACGTTGCCTATGTGCTCGCAGAGCGTGGTCTCGGCTCACAGATCACCATTGTGGCCGAGTACATGCCTGGTGACACTGCGACTAACTACACGTCGCCATGGTAAGGCTGGACCGAGCCTCGCTGCGAGTGTGACTGGAAGTTGCTGATCATTCCACGTCTAGGGCCGGCTGTAACTTCTCAGCCATCTCGGGCACGGATGCCAATGCACTAAAGTGGGATAAACTAGGCTATGCGCATCTCACGCGCTTAGCGACTGAGTGTCCGGCTGAGTCGTATGTTGAGCGGACACCTTCGGTCGAGTATTGGCAGGAGACTGTTCCTCACGACAAGATCAAACACATGTCGGACTACCTCGAAGACGTAAGACTTCCCGTTCCAGAAGCAGTTGAAAAACATGATCGATGGGTCTTATCATAACATGCTCCAGTTTAAGGTCCTCCCCGCCAATAAGTTGCCCGAGGGTGTCAAGGCTGGCATCACATTCACAGCGGTCACCATCAACGCCCCAAAGCACTGCGAATACCTCCAGAAACAGCTCGAGCAATCAGGCGTCAAGTTTGTCCGCCAAAGGCTGCCCAATCTTGAAGCTGGCTACATAAGCCCCTCAACAAGGCTGGTGTTCAACTGCACTGGTCTGGCAGCCAAGACGCTTCCAGGCGTCAAGGACGACAAGGTCTTTCCCACACGTGGACAGGTTGTTCTCGCCCGTGCACCAACCGTCAAGCAAATCAGCATGCTCCATGGCAAAGATTTTGAGACGTACATTATTCCAAGGCCGGGTTCGAATGGCAATGTGATCCTGGGAGGGTACATGCAAAAGGGTGTCGGGTAAGCTAAAACTGACCCTGGACATGGACATCGGAAGCGGGCTCAACCTTGACTGACGGACGCAGCGATGGCTCAACGTATTCCCACGAGACAAAGTCCATTCTGGAACGCACAAGCAACCTCGATACAAAACTCCAAAGCCCAGAGACAGAGGTCCTAGCTGCTTTCGCCGGCATGAGGCCTTCGAGGACGGGCGGCGCGCGCATCGAGAGAGATTTGATCACAGTCAAGGGTCAGAAGAAGCCGCTTGTTCACAATTATGGTGCAGGTGGCACAGGGTACCAAGCAGGCTACGGAATGGCTCTTGATGCCGTACAGGCGGCCGAGGATGAGTTGAAGGAGCTGGCGGTTGATGCTAGGAAGGCTAAGCTATGAGTATGGTACAGTACATATGAAACTTGTTTGCATGGTGGCACAGCTCCATACTGGCCTATTCAGGCGGCCCCCTTGTGCACTTTTCTGCCTTGGCGCCTCTGACTCGCCCAGCTGTTGGTTGTGCGAGCTCATGTCGGATTCACTTGCTCTCCACCTCGCTCATTAAGTCACTTCCCATTCCTTTCCTCTTCATCTCCCTTTCTATACACAACAACTCTCTACTTCTGCAAAAGCTACAAAAGACCGCGATCATGAATGCTCTTATGGCCTGTTTTTCTTGTGCGGGAGCACGCAAGAGGGCCGATACCATGTCTGAAAAGCAGGCGCTTATCCCCAACATGAACGCACAGCTTGGAGACTCGGATGCCGAAAACGAGAAGCTTCTTCAAACAATCCTCGCAGAAGCCCGTTCAGCCGATTCCTTTGACGCCGCCTTCCATTCTCGCATCGCAGACCACTTGAACGAACCCGGCGTTCACGCACTCTCCAGCGGCTGGAAGGAGCGTTTCGCTGAATCCATCCTACGAGGAGTTGAGTCCATCATCGAGGCCGAGCACAAGATGGGCATTGCCATGGGCCATGCCTACAACAGGTCTCACAGCAGCTACAGAGTCTTTGAAAAGGAACATCCCGTCTTGGGCGGCATAGTCAAGACTGCATTCGCCATCATCGCAATTGGCATCCTCGCCGAGATGCTGCCCTGGGTTCTGGAGTGGCTCGGCTTCAGGCTCCTCGCCTCTGCTGGGTTCTCAGAGGTTGGACCAGTCATGGGTATGTACTAAGCACATCATGAAAGAGACCGCCATGTTGACGAAGATTCGCAGGGTCTTTCGCCGCTAGTTGGATGTCGATGATTGCCAAGAGGTGCGGCAACGTCCCCGCACGCTCCATGTACTCGCACCTGCAGCGCATGGGTATGGTCTGGAGATATAAGCCCATTGTCAAGGCTTGAAGCTTCCAGAACACACTAGGAGCCGGATCGACACTCTTATCCCCGTCGAATACCCAGTGCTCCCTTGTTGTTTGAATTTCGGCTTGCTTTCAGCATCCTGCTTGTACTGGTTGCAGTCGTCGGGGCTTCGTCTTTGTCTCCTGCTTAAAGTACAGGAACCGGTGTGCACAGGGCTTTTATCATTCTCACTGTTTGTGGCACCTTGATAATGGAATTGAATTCATGTTCTCGATCACCAGCTAATGCTCAAGTGACATGTTCCGGGGGGCAAGGGCGCATCGAGTTAGACATCATTTGGCCGTCGACTCATCTTCAACTACAACAGAGACACAAAATGTACTCCGTGCCAGCCCCTCGAATAAGCTAAGAAGCAAGCCTATTGACTAACAGCCCGTCCAGTTCTTATTGATGAAACCCCGCTGCTGTTTGGAGAGGTGCGAGGACTGTATGTAAAAAGACCAGTACTAGAAAGTAGACCCCCATGATCGACATCCACGATCAACAAGCCTCCAAGATACCTCGCCACTTCCGAGCTCAGCGCGAACTCCGAGAATCCTCCCCATGCCAACTCTTCCAAGGTCCGAAGACGCAGTGGAGTTGTCACAGCTACCCCGCGTGTCGGCTATTACCCGTCGTTCTCCAACTCCAAGTACTTAAGCTTCGATATCCTGGCTCGAGCTCTCACTGCCAAGAAGATCATCTGTTCTGGATAACTCTGACCCTCCAGTCTTCGAAAAAAAAAAAAAAAAATCACTATGCCGCTGCCAACATCTTCCGTGTTCGCGCCGCCATCCGCGGATGTGTTCAAGTTCGCCTCGCGCCGCAGTGTCGTGCACTCCACGCAAGGCGTCGTGGCTTGTACGCAGCCCCTTGCAGCACAATGCGGTCTCGATGTTCTTCGGAAGGGCGGAAACGCGGCTGTGAGTTCCACTGTGCAATATGAAACCTGTTCACTGCTGACGGAATCAGGACGCTGCGGTGGCTGTTGGTATGTGATTTTAATGTGTGAGTGGCGTCGATCCGCGCACATGGCTAATGTGTAAATTGTAATAGCTGCCGGCATGAACGTCACGGAGCCATGCTCAACCGGGATCGGAGGTGACATGTTCATCCTCTACTACGATGCCGAGAAGAAGACGGTGTCTGCCATGAACGGCTCTGGTCGTTCGGGGAACAAGTGCACCTTGTCCACGGTCCGCCAGTCACTCGGCATCAAAGATGGCGAGTCGGGCAAGATCCCCATGGGGAGTGTGCACGCAGTCACCGTGCCTGGTGCCGCGGCCGGTTGGGTCGACACCGTCGAGCGCTTTGGCAACGGGAAACTGAGCCTCAAGGAGATCCTGGCGCCAGCCATCAAAATGGCTGAGGACGGTTTCCCCGTATCGGAGACGACGGCCTACGCGTGGGGCGTGCAAGAGCGCTTGCTGCGCAAAGCGTCTCCCAACTTTGCTGAAATGCTCAAGAAGGACCCCTCGGTGGAGGAAGGCTTCCGAGCCCCGAGGGCGGGTGACATCAAGAAGAACCCAGATATGGCCAGAACCTTTCGCGCACTGGCCGACGAGGGCAAGAAGGGCTTCTACACAGGGCGAGTCGCTGAGGAGCTGATCAAGGTTGTCAAAGACCTTGGCGGACATCTCGAGCTAGAAGACTTACAACACCACATGGAGGCAGGTAGCGAACCCGTGGACCCAATCTCTCTCAAGTTCAACGGACAAGGCCTTGGGGACAAGGGCATCGAGCTGTGGGAGCATCCCCCCAACGGCCAGGGGATCGTGGCGCTGATGGCGCTCGGTATCATCCAGGAGCTCGAGAAACAGGGCAAGATTCCCACATTCAAGCCAGAAGACTTCAATTCGCCGCAGTGGTTGCACGCCATCATCGAGGCTCTGCGCCTGGGCTTCACCGACGCAAGCTGGTACGTCACCGACCCCAACGTGAAGAACGTTCCCGTCAAGGGTCTCCTGGATCCAGAATATCTCGCCGAGCGCGCAAAACTCTTCGACCCAAGCAAAGCTTCCGATCCCATGGAACCAGGCAAGCCCTCGCCCGCCCTCCAAAGCTCAGACACGGTCTACTTTGCCGTCACCGACGCCCAGGGGAATGCTGCCTCTTTTATCAACTCCAACTATGCTGGATTCGGGACAGGCATCATCCCGAAAGGATGCGGCTTCACCCTCCAGAACCGCGGCGCCAATTTCTCCCTGGATGAGAAACACCCCAACGTACTCGAGCCGCGCAAGCGTCCTTACCACACAATCATCCCTGCGATGGCGACGAATGTGTCCGACGGGTCTTTACACTCCGTGTTTGGTGTGATGGGAGGCTTCATGCAACCACAAGGACACGTCCAGGTACTGTTGGGCCAAGCACTCGGAGGCCTCAACCCCCAGCAAGCTCTCGATGCACCAAGGGTGTGCATCGGCGCTGGTATGCCCGAGCATGGTGACGTGTTGGACTGGACTGTCAACGTCGAGGACGGCATGCCGCAGGAGACCATTGACGGGCTGAAGAAGCTAGGACACAAGATCAGTGTTGCGCGTGGGAACGAAAGGTACATGTTCGGTCGGGGCCAGATCATACGCTGGACTGTGGACGAGGTGGAAGGCACAGGCGTATGGTCGGGCGGTAGCGACATGCGAGGAGACGGAGGGGCGTATCCGCTGTAGGGATAGTCGACAAGAGTCCGTACATGTATCGTATTATAGTACATTATTGTACACCGTATAATGTCGCCTCTTTCCATGCATATCCACTGTCCATCTACTCTGTCTTCTCCTCCTTGCCCTCTTCCACCACGAGCTTCTTCTCCTCAAACAGCTTGGCCAGATCTCCATTCTGGTGCATGCTGACGAGGATGTCGCAACCACCAACGAACTCCTTCTCGACGTACAGCTGGGGTATCGTTGGCCAGTCGGAGTACTCCTTGATGCCGCTCCTCAGCTCGGCATCCTCGAGGACGTTGAAAGCGGCGAAACGTGTGGGATCGACGCCCTGGAGGCCGAGAATCTGAATGACGGCGCGCGAGAAGCCGCACGCGGGCGTCTCGGGGGTGCCCTTCATGAAGAGGACCACGGGTGCCGACGCAACGGCCTTGTCGATGGCTGTGCGTGTCTCGGCAGAGAGGAAACGGATCTGAAGGCTCTGTCGCGGGATGGCCAGGCGAGGCGCGGAGAAAGCGGCACTGGGGGCGCCCCTGAAGGCGGTTCGAAGACCCTGGCGCTGTTAGTATTAGGACGCGACATGGAGAGAGTGAGACGTACTGCTGTGGCTGTTCGGGCAAACATGGCTGTGGTGTTGATGGGTTCGAGAGGAAAGTTTGGTGATGCAATTCCGAGCCATGATGCCTGGCTCGGTAACAAACTGAGACCCGCTTTTGAGCGCTGACCAATCGCAAGCTTGGTAATCACGGCCGATGACGGGCCAGTGTTAAGGTAAGGTACCTTACCTTTCCTAAATAATAATTCATGAGCCTTCTAGCCATGATTTATGTTTTAAACCTTACATTGAGCAACGCGTGAGATCCGGGTAAAAATGGCAGCCCACGAACCCATCGAGGCGCAATCGCCTGCTCACGAAGTTGCCCTGTCACGATCTGATGGCAAGAAACATCTTCTCCTCGCGGCATCCGGCTCTGTCGCAACCATCAAAATCGCACCCATCATCAAAGCGCTGGGCTCGCAACCCAATCTCTCCATCCGCCTTGTGCTCACCAACTCTGCTGCCAGCTTTCTCGATGGCCAGGCGGCTGAGCAGCCTTCCCTGGCCGAAATTGCACGATATCCCAATGTCGATGGGGTCTACAAGGATGCGGCGGAGTGGTCACCCTCGTGGACCCGAGGAGCGCCGATCCTGCATATAGAACTGAGGCGCTGGGCCGATCTCATGGTCATCGCACCTCTGAGCGCCAACACCATGGCGAAACTTGTCAACGGCATGTGCGACAACCTGCTGCTGTCTGTCGCCCGCGCCTGGGATGCCACGGGTCTCATTGACGGGCGTCGCAAGAAGATCCTCGTTGCGCCCGCGATGAACTCGGCCATGTTCCATCATCCCGTCACCAAGAGACAGATCAAGGTCATGGATGAGGACTGGGGCGGCGCCGACGGGTGGATGGAGGTGCTCCATCCGATATCGAGGGGCATGGCGTGCGGTGACTCGGGAGACGGCGCCATGGTACTCTTTGACGACATTGTACGAAAGATTGAGAAGGAAATGGGCCTCAATAAGTCAAAGGAGTGAACTCATCAAGTCTACTACAACTTATTCCATTCGCACCTGCCATCGCTGCAGCGAGATTGAGGGGGTGGTATGATTCTCCCGCACGGAGTCGACTTGAGGGAAGGAACGCCATACCCGTGCTTGCCTTCCTAGGAGGCCTTCGACAGACACAGGCTGCAGCCAGAAATCTCTGCCCGCTTTCTCTTTCACATTTCCATCACGGCTACAACGCAGAGACAGATGCCACCTACGCTCACGAGGATCACCACCATGCCGCCCAAGCGCAAACATGCCAAGCTACAGCGATCGTCCAGCCCAACTCGTCTACCACCTGGGAATGGCGTTGGCTTTCGCGCCCGTCTTCGCAGCATCGTCCATTCCGAGGCATCACCAGCTTCTGATTCCGCGTGCGATGTCACTACTCTACCCTTGACGGTTGAGCAGCAGTTCCGTATGCATTTGCTCTGGGACTCGTGCTCCCCATCGACCAAAGAAGATGTCTCCGACAAAGCAGCAGACAAGGACGCTGATCAAATCGCAGCGCTTATGGGTAAGTGTAGCACAGCACAGCACGGGATCTGTTCTGACCTGTCAGATGCGTTCACGCGAGCTGGTTCCGCCCTCCACGCCACTGCCTTTGCGCGTCTGGCCCAACATCGAGAATCTTTTGACAAGCAGGTTGCTGGCCTGACGGAGGACTCGAACAGAGCGCTTGAGGATAACGAAAGACTATATGCCGGCAACATCGCCGTCCCATTCAAGTTCACACTGTTTGAATCACAGAACTTCCCTTCCGACATTGTTCTGGCACACTTGTCAAGTCTCGCTCATGAAGTCCACCAGGCAGAGAAGGATGTGCGCAAGCTTGCCGCAGAGTGGGATGAGTGCATCAAGGCCGAAGAAAACATTTGGCGCGAGCTGGGCAATGACGGGAACGAGAGATCATGTCACGCGCGCCCCGACGAATCCTTGTCGCCCGCAGAAAAGGATGCGTATGAGAAGGAGGCGAAAGCCATAGTCGAGTCGGGCTGCCAGAAGATCGACGACCTGGAAACAGAGTGCAAGAACAGATGTCAGGCTCTGCTGCAACAAGCATTCCAAAAGAGTTTGATGGAAATGGACTGAAGTATATTTGTCTAGCCTCTTCTTGTTCTGTTTCTACCGAAAAATCTATGACAAACCATGTTACTCCTTTTCCGGGATCACAACGCCCCATTCATGCTGTGTCCGCCCGTACATGATATCACCCAGCCACGTCTTGACCTTGTTGGTGATTTCGCCCGGTGCTCCTTCACGTCCCATGGGGATGTTGACGTCTTGTCCTCGGTGGTGGATCTGCGAGATGGCGCAGACAAAGTAGGCCGTGCCCGCAGCGAAGGCCTCCAGAATGCGACCCTCTGCGTCAGCTTCCAGCACCTCGTCGATGGAGTACTTCCTCTCTGTCACCTCAATCTCGCCAGCCAGCTTCTCCCTCACGATTTCCAGGCAGCTTCGTCGAGTCACGCCATCCAGGATCAACTTGTCGTCGAGTGGTGCCGTGATGAGCTCCTTCTTGCCGTCCTTCCTCTTCCACACGACAAAGAAGTTACTGGCGCCCGCCTCCGTGCACTCGCCGTTGGGGCCGTAGAGCCACAAGATCTGGTGAAACCCCCTCAGGCGCGCATCTTGTGTCGCCATGAGACTCGGGCCGTAGTTGGCGCCCACCTTGGCGTAGCCGAATCCACCAACCCAGGCGCGGACCATATCCTCTGGCGAGGTGTGAAGACGGAGACCACCCTCGGGTGTGTCGAGGCGGGGCATAAAGGTGACCATGATGTACATCATGGCGGCCTTGGGCGCTTGCACGCCAAGCTGGCCATCGGTGCCGATGAGCGTGGGACGGATGTAGAGGTACGATCCAGGCTTGTCCTTGGGCAGCCACTTGGGACCATCCACAGACAGAAGCGCCATCATGAGCTTGACGACCTCCTCGGGCTCAAACACGGGCAGCGAGATGCGCGCCGCACTCATCCTGAATCTCTGTGCGTTGCGGTCCGGGCGGAAGATCCTCAGCTTGCCGTCGTAGCCCCGGTACACCTTGAGGCCCTCGAAGCACTCGGTCGCGTAGTGCAGACAGCTCGCCGTAGGCAGCAAGCTCAGTGGTCCATAGGGCTTCAACTCAGGAGCCGCCCAGCCTTTGCTGAGAGACCAGGTAGCCGTGACCATGTGGTCTGTGCAAACAGTTTCGAGGCCTGCATTCGCTTCCTTCTCAGTAGGCACGCTGCGAGGATTGCTGGTCAAGGTGGTGATGAGTTGTGAGGCGTCGAGAGCCTTTGGAGAATCAGCAGGGGCTGTTGAGATGGATGTCTTCTCCTGGACGGCCGAGGCGGTCAGGTCGACGTCTTGAACGGCAGAGGGAGCCATTGTGCCGGGTGAGTGAAGATTGGTCGACAGACGATGGATGGTGTTTTAGTTTAGAAAGGAAGGGAAGAATCTCAAGGAGATGTATGTGACAAAGAGCAAATGTCGACTGGAATGACAAGACTTATGACTACTGAGCCGCCGCTAAAAGGTTGGCTGGCTCCACACCTCGGATCGAAGCATCCAGGTGACTCGTCAACATACAATGGCCACCATTTGCTCAGAAGATTCTTTTTGTCCTACATTTGCATCGTGTGATAATTATCATATTGTACCACAAGTGTCGGCCGACTCCGTGTCATCGAGTATCTCAATGTGGCTATTCAATCGCAGTATGCCTAAATTTCTGTCCAAGTATATAGTCGCTCGGTGAGTCAAGGCGACTTGGTGGGGGCGGCGTTGCCCGTTATCGTCGTCACATCGGCGTGAAATCGGGGCACATGGCTTTTGCAAGGCACAATCAGCGTAACGTGCATTCAGGTCACCCGGTATCGTCATTTTGTGGCTGATCTCGCAGCAGTAGTACTACGTACGTGCAGAATCTTCATGTCCCAGCAGGGATGATCAGTCTGATTGATAAGAAGACCAGGAAAAGAATGCGAAAAGAACTCGCCCCTCCATAAATAGTTAGACCGCGGTTAGCCGAGGCTTCCCGAGTCCCGCCTCAACTATCTCCAGATTCTGGAGAGATGACCTAGTCAGTTACTGAGAATTTGCTCACAATGCTGCAAGATCTATTCGTGATCGTAGGTCTACGTAGCCCAAGGCCTCGCTCACAATCAATTGGCTGCTGCCAATCGCTCAGCCTCTTTCTTCCTCTGCTCCTCTTCCAGAACCTCTCTCTCCCTGACCTGGGCCTCCAACCCAGCCTTGACACCCTTCTTCCGCTGCCGTGCCTCGTACATCTCCTTGTTCTTCATGATCCGCTCCACAATCTCCCCGGCGTTCACGTGCTGGAAAGCGTGGGAGCCAATCTCCTCGTAGATGCCCATTTCCTTGGGCGCCTTGTACGGGTCGTAGGTGAGCGGCATGTAGGCAGTCGGGCCATGGTAGACGGCGACAGGCGTCCCAGCGGGCAGGCTCTCGAGGTAGGCTCGTGAAGGGCTGGCAGGTGCGCCAAAGACGACGGCGTGAATGTACTGCCGAGTCGAGATTAGCCACGTTCAGAAGCACGGAGCGATTCTCTTACCTTGCACTGCAAGACACAGAGTCCTCTCTCAAAGATGTTCATGATGGGGTAGTTAACTCCCTTCCACTCGTTGATGACACTGTCCTCGTGAATGCCCACCACGATGTACGATGGCGGCCCTCCCTTGGAAAGCTCCTCCTCTTTGAGAGCGACCTGTCTCAGGAACTCGATGTGTCCGCTGGAGAAGAGATCGAATCCTCCATCAACGTAGACAATCCTTTGCCCCGGCTGGACAGGTTTCCCTTGTATCCCCTTGACCTGGCTGAACTTGCCTGGTCCACTGCCCTCCAACGTGGCCTGCTCCGTCGAGCGCCAAAACCACACGGCCACCCCTGGTGCCAACGCCGTCTCGTCGGATGCGTAGCACTTTATCCTGCTGTGCATGCTGTCTCCCAGTTCCATCCGCCCCTCCGCCGAGCCGTCACCCTCAGTCCCTGCCAGAAGATCTTCCATGTTCTTTATAAAGTGGCTTTTTGTACACAACAGCATCCGCCCCACGAGATCAGTCGTGGAGATCCCTGGACTGCGCTTGACAACCTTGAAACGCCCGGCTTCCTTGACAAAACGATAGCAGTCGTTCCCGTCCGAGTCGGACGTGATATCGTCACCGTGCACGACGTAGCGGCAGCCGTAGTGGGAGATGAAGGGAAGGGAGGTGACGTAGGGCGCGTATGGGATGGACTTGGTCACCCAGCGGCAGGCGTCGGTGGCAGCAACACTACTCTTGTCAGCGTGTCTGTCAATGAGAACACCTCTCTCGGTGACGGTACCGCTCGTCAAGGTTCATCACTGTGGGACCCTTGTTCGCGAGGATGGCTTCGTCCGAATGCACACCAGCGTAGAGCTCGCTGCACTGCTGTCTCGCTTGGAAGATGGCACCTGCGTGTCCTGTCTGGGGTCAGTAACCTCTGTATTGAGACCAATAGGGGACCCTACCGTGGTGGAAGAAGTCAAAGCAGCCATCAACCCACATGCGGCCGTCGAGGAGCTCTGGCTCAGGGTCGCCTTGGACCTGGCCTTCGAGAGGATGTGTCGTCATGTTCGCGGTTTGAGCGGGAGTGTGCGATCAATGTGCGCCCAAAAACAGTGAGAAGAGGCAAATCGCACAACGGACAAGGAATAGACGCTTTTATATGTGATTGTTCATGATGTGAAGGAAGAAACATGAAGCTTGCGCAGCATCTACTCAGGGGACCTCCAGTCCAGTGACGCGGGGCACGTTGCGTTGCGCCAGAAAGGACATGGACCCCGCCGGCGCGCGGAGTAAAAGCGGGTCTCTGACATTAGGCTGCTGGAGCATTAATTCGGAGAAAAAGGTCATCTCATCAAACATCTTCTTCAAATGATCTCTTAGTTTCTAACATATGTCCTCCACGACTCTCTACACCGCAATACCAGCCGAGTTCTTCTGCCTGGGCTCGCCCGCCGCCTCAAAGATCCCATTGCCCAACCTGACCAGGCCCTGCGCAGCGCTCTGCCCCGGTGCGACCCATGTGACATTGTGTCCGAGCTCCTTGAGGAAGGCAACGGTCGAGTTATCGTAAGGGTATTCGAAGCTCGTCTCGGGCGGGGACAGCTGATCGTGCAGTCGCGGCTTGGCCAGGGCATCCTCGACGTTCAGGCCATAGTCAATCACGTTGATGATGTTCTGGACGGTAGAGGTGATGATGCGGCTGCCACCAGCGGCACCGATGACGTAGTAGAGCTCGCCTCCGGGCGCCTCGACGATGACAGGGGTGATACTGGACAGCGGACGCTTGCCTGGGCGGACAAAGTTGGAGGGCGAGGGCAGGTAGCCAAAGGCGTTCCGGGTGTCGGGGATGCTAAAGTCGTTCATCTCGTTGTTCATAATCACGCCCGTCTCGGGGACGACGAGTCGCGAGCCGAAAAGGAGGTTGACCGTCGTGGTGAGGGACACGGCGAAACCCGCCGCATCGGCCGTCACAATGTGCGACGTGCCAGGCGTCTCGATGGACTCAAGACCAGCCGGGTTGTAATATTCGATGCCAAATGTCTCCGTGTCGGAGATCTTGCCGCGGATCTCCTCTGCTGCCTCAGCAGACAGCATGTCCTCGATGAACTCGGGCAGCCCATCGACAAATGACGGGTCACCAAGCTCAGCACGTTGCCCGTATGCGAATCGCAAGGCCTCGTTGAGCCGCTGAGTCGAGATGTTCTTGTTCTCCAGGAGGCCAAAGTCGTCGTACCCATCGAGGATGTTCAGCGCGCTCAAAGCCACCGCGCCAGACGACGGTGCGGTAATTGTGGTGAGCTTGTGCCCTCGGTACATGATCGACACTGGGTCTCGCACTGCAATGGTATAGTTGGCCAAGTCCTCCAGGGTCATGATGCCGCCAGCCGCCTGCAATGCCTGGACTGTGGCGTTGGCAATGGGGCCGTTGTAGAACACATCAGCTCCGTATTTGGCAATATCCTCCAACGTGTTGGCATAGCGCTTCCTGGTGATGGTCTCGCCCAGCTCCACGAGCTTGCCACGGGGCGCAAAGTCGAGCGCCCACGCAGGATCCTCGACCAGAAATTCGTTATCAGACGTCTTTCCGAAATACGCAACAAGATCCTCGTTCACCTCGAACCCTTCTCTCGCCAGGTCAATGGCCGGCTGAAGGGTGTCTCCCCAAGGCAGAGCGCCATATCTGGTGTGAATGTACTCCAGCCCTCGAAGCTCGCCTGGCACACCACTCGCCAAGCCCCCCATACGACTGGCCGGCTCATTGTCCTTGTACATGTCTTCTGTGGACGCGGCGGGAGCAGTCTCCCTAAAGTCCACAGTCTCATAGGAGCCGTTGGGAGTGCGCAGGGTGAGGAAGCCACCGCCACCGATGCCGGAATGGTACATGCCCATCGTCCCAACGCAAAAGGTCGTCGCAACGAGCGCGTCGACAGCATTGCCGCCCTCTTGCAGGATGTTGGTGCCAATCTGGGAGCAGACATCGATCTCAGAGGCCACCGCGCCAATGCGAGGCTCGCTGCTAGAGCAATTGGTTGGTGCAGCAGCCGCCGCAGGCAGAAGCGTTAGGAGTGGAAGCATGGCTATTCGATGGGATCTTGGACGGTAACGCAGAACATGCAATCAACCACAAGATCACGGCTTCAGAGAAGGAGGAGGAGGAGGACTGCCTCCAAGAGAATGCCGCATGCCCGAGTATATCGATCCTCGCTGGACGCAGGAACACGCCTGATAAGACCCATGCTTTCAGCTCATGTTGCCATAACAGCACTTCGCACACAAAAGTTCCTTTCCCCCTTGTTGATCACCAACTTACCCCGCGGAAGGATCATGGTGCTTATCTACTAGTGTAGGGCCCGCGACGTCACTGCCGAGACGTTCTTGTGGGGTATTTGGAGTACAGTGATAGCTTCACTTGCTGCGAATGTCTGGGCATAACGTAAATTGGTACGTAAAAGGGCGCGCCCTGCTCAGCTGACCATATCTCTGCCCCTCATTCCAGGTTCACTAACCCATCCAGCGTTTTGTTCCTCTCTGCGTCTGTGGTGTGTCCGAGTGTCGGCAGAGGTCGGTGGGGATTTGGTGGAGTCTGAGAGGTCTCATTATCAGTACTCCGTACCCTGGGAACCGAATCGACTCCAAGGCTTGTTGTTCTATGCAACCCCACCCCAACATCTTGAAGCACTCATCTCCCAAACGTCAACAGTGTCTGCCTGTTTGGGTGTGGCCCGGCAAGAGGTTGAAGAATGTTAAGAGGTTGTTGTCGGGGTCGAAGACGCTGAACATGCGCATACCCATGACCTCGCTGGTCGTCATGTGTACGTGGAACCGCACTATGCCCTCAAAGCACAGCGTGTAGTAGTATAGCTCGAGGTCAACAGGTGACAGTCCAATCATCACGGACGCTGGCACCGTCAAGGGCGGGAAGCGCTCGGAGAACAGGATGCGCACAGATCCACAGGTGAGGATAAGGGGGGCCGGAAGTCTGCCAAAGTCCTAGTCGTTGTATTCCGCCACACGGTAGTCAAAGTTGTGGAACCGCATGTAGTGGATGTAGAACCGAGCTGTTCGCTCGCGATCCTCCACGTTCAGACATGGCATGACGCGATGGCAAGCCGCGAGCGGATCATAGTGGGGATGTACTGCGAAATGGTGTTGCCAGAAGTTCATCTCTTCGGGGCCGGTGCTTTGTACTACTTCGCGGAGAGGGTCCATTCTGTCGGGGTGATGACTCGGATAGACAAAGGTGGAATTGATATAAAATCGCGAGTGATGGGAATGATTTAGAGGCGACAGACCACGACGCTGGGGTAGACGATGTCTCTCTATCAATAAACAATAAAAGTGAAACTGTGAACCGGAGCCATTCAAAGTACCATCAGTTCCCGCGGACATCAATCACGTCAATTTAAGTTTACCTGAGCTATAGTGTTGTTCCTTCCGTACCTACCAGCGATCAACTTCTGTGATATAGGGTAGGTCAACCCATATGTGAAGTCGGTATCCGTACTCCGTAACAGACCCAGCGACGCACTTCAACTTGCGGTCCATCCCTGATCACAAACCATGACGATACCTCTAATAGTCAATTACTTGGCCAAATTACGACTTGGTCGACCTCACCATTGATCTGCGTCATGCCACCGTCTGCGCCATGGATATGCAGAACATGTCTACGCGCTTTGCGCCAGCCTCTGACCAGACAATTCGTCCGCCAGGCCACCACAGCTGCTGGTAAAGTTTCTTGACCAACGTGCGCCTACAAGAAAGCCACTGACAATTCGACAAAAGGCGATAGCAAGTTGGCACCTGCGCTGCTCACCCGGGCGCAGAACCTGTCCGCCGAATACGAAAACCTCCAGAGCACCCTCGAAAAGTCCTTCTCCCAGGCTGCTGCGAAACGCGCCGGCGAAATATCCTCCGTCGCAGGCGCCCTCGCCGCCTACAACAACTCGCGATCGTCCATTGACGACCTCACCTCCCTTCTCGCCGATCCAGACTCGGACGCTGAACTCGCAAGCATAGCCCGCGATGAATTGGCCACTGAGGAGGAGAAGCTGGTCATGCTGGAGAAGGAATTGGGCAGAAGCCTGGCCCCCAAGGACCAGTTCGACGAACTTCCATGCATGATCGAGTTCCGGCCCGGTCCTGGCGGAACCGAGTCGCGGTACTTTACGGATACCCTGTTCAACATGTACCAGTCTCTCTGTCAGCGCCGCGGTATGCGCACCAACGTGCTGAAGTACGAGTCGGCCGACTCAGCGGGCGACAACAAATCGGCCGAGGGAGAGTTGCCACTACAAGAAGCGGTGCTGGAGATTCTTGATCCGGGGGCGTACGGGCAGTTCCGCACCGAAGCTGGCATGCACCGCGTCCAGCGCGTCCCCTCGACCGAAGCAAAGGGACGGGTGCACACGTCGGTTGCCGCGCTGTGGGTGCTGCCGCTGTTCCCGGAAACAGGGGCTGGCAGCAGCATCGATCCCGACGACCCTGAGAGCGAGTTTTACGTTGACCAGTCCGAGGTCAAGGTCGAAACCATGCGCGCTAGGGGAGCGGGCGGGCAGCACGTCAACAAGACGGAATCCGCCATTCGGATCACACACATCCCCACCGGTGAATCAGTGTCGATGCAAGACCACCGCTCGCAGGGACGGAACAGGCAGGAGGCATGGAAGATTCTGCGCTCACGTATCGCGGACAAGCGCCGGGAGCAGCGCGAGGCGGAAGCTGCCCAGCTCAGAGACAGCGTCCTCACCGTCAATCAGATCCACCGAGGCGAGAAGATCCGGACGTACAATTACAACCAGGACCGGTGCACGGACCACCGCGCTGGCTTCGACACGAACAACCTGAGAGATGTGCTGGAGGGCGGGGAGAGTCTAGACAAGGTCATGGCGGCGAGCCGCGAGTGGATGCTGCAGCGAGACATTGAGATGCTGACACTCGAGGAAGAGGCGAAGCAGAAGAAGCAGCAAAAGAAGTGAGCTGCTGTGTATTCATCCGTTATATGCATAACCCATCCCATGTACCAATATCTAGATGCCATATAGACTGTATCATAAAAAAAGAGAACGCCTCATGATGATGCCTAAACTCCCCAGCCCGTCAAAAGATTCCCTACCGGCATGGCTTCGTTACATCAATCCACCCAGGACCACTTTCCCAACACTCGCAACCTCGGCCTTGATGTTGGCCCGGCTACTCTCCTCAAACTCCTTCACAACACCCGCAACAAGGATCTTCCTCACGCGCGTGTCCGCCTTTGCAAACTGTTCCATAACAGCTGGCGTACACCCGCTCATGGTGGGCACCAACATGAGTACCCTGTTGTACACGTCGCTCAGCGCATCGCACAGCGTGGCAAACGTCTCAAAGTAATCCGGCTCAAAGGGGAGCGACGGCGTCAGCAGATATGTGTACTCCTCGCCGGGCAGCAGGTCGGACTCGGACGCCGCAAAGTTCATGACGCTCGGCGCGGGCGCAGAGGGGAGGCTGCCCGATGTCAAGGGGTACGACGACGAATCCTCCTCGGCCGCCGATGTCGAGCGTCGTGATTTCCCGCCTGGACGACGAAACATGGTGGGCAGCCTGGCGCGCGAGATGGCGGACGCGGAGGAATCGTTTCGTAGCTGCTGAAAGGACTCGAATTCGTTGAGCAGCCCCGTCAACGCCCTCAGGAACTCGACAGGGGTGCTCGAGTACAAGTCGGCCAGCACCGGCAGCGAGAGGCCCAGCAGTAGGTAATTCGTCGCTCGCCTCGCCAGCTTGCGCTGGTCAAACACCCGGTGGAGATCTGACTTGTCCATGAGATATGCGTTGAACCAGTAACACCGCCCGGCGTGTGCTTTCCGCAGGTAGTCCATTGTCGCCATTCGTTTTCGAATCGTGTCTTGCATGTGCTTGTACCCGGCGCCGGTCCCTTCACTCCCTTGCCAGAACCCCCCGCCGCCACCGATGGGTGTTGGGGGAGGGGGCATGCTGGCACCTGTCGCTGTCCTGGAGAGCATCTTGACGTGGTCGGGCGGTGAGGCCACGCTCCGAAAGGGGTCTTCGATCTCGGCGCGAGGCGTGAGCTTGGCTGCGCTGGGGATCGCGTACTCGGGGAGCGCTGGAGGCGCTGTGGCGTCGGTGATGAAGGGCGCGGAGGAGGAGGAGGAGACGTCGGTGGTGTTGGAGCTGCCGCGCCGGCGGGCAGCATTGGTAAAGGACGTTGCTTTTCGGGAGAAGGACGACTTGCGATCCTTGTCTTTGACGGCGGGCTGGGGGAGGGCGTTGATGGTCGCGGAAATGTCGCCTTCGCGCGTGGTCGGTCGCGACGAGGGAAGACTGTCCAGGTTCAGGGTGAGTGGTTGGCGCTGCATGGTGCTTGGCAGCTGTCGACACCGTCGGTCGGCAGGTATTATTAAATAATGTCTCTGATATTACCGTCTCTGGATGGGGGAGGATGCCATCTAATTTACCGCCTGCCCGCTTACGCTCCATGTGGCTGCAGGGTGGGCAGGACGCAAGCGCAGGGGAAGTGGATACTAACCGACCATCCAATCACGTATTGACGCGGCGCCGACTTGTGTCTGTTCCAGGGTAAGTCAATTATTCTTGAGAGAAATCGATATTATCTCGCGCTCCATTCACTTCTTGTCACGTTTGTTTTCAACCCCTTTTCAAAATCAAAACCTCGCTGGTAGTGCCCGACCGCTTGGACAACATGCCCACGTAATGGGCTCCCTCTTTGACCCCCGCCCACCCCGTACGAACAGCCATAGGGAACTTCCTGTCACAAGGCACGCAGCGCACAGCCCATACTATTCATGTCTATCCTTATTTGAACATGATTCTGTAGCTTGAGCATCCTTGCGTTCCGCGACTGTCATGTGCTCAGCCTCGTACCAGATATTGAGAACTGACTTGGCTTCAATCTGCGCTCATGTCATGCTGGATACCCATTCCGCCACTCCGTGAATAACACTTGTAATCAATCAGGAGGCCCGGCATTGATATCACCGCCAGGTCGGGGCAGTACCCACCGAATACGAGACTTGTCTGCTTGGCGCACGCCAAGCCATCCTCACCCCGACGCGGCATTGCCATCACTGCCGAGGAGTGGACACAACTCGCCCCGGCATTTGTCCCTTTCACGTAATTAACGGGACTCCGTGGACGATCCCCAGCCCCGGCACAGGTCTTGACTGTCGTCATACCCAGTAACACGAGGCAGGGTGGGAATGATCGCCTCTCCAGAGTCCAAACACCGCCGTCCTTGATTCTTCGAGGGACTCGGAACTTTCAGCACGGCCCAGCCGGATCGGCAGCAATGAGGCTATGTATGGTAACAACGTATTGTGTATACGTACCAAGTATGCGTACGTCAAAGGGTCTCCAGCGGCAGATGTGGTCTTGAATTGGGTATAAAAGGTCAAGCTACCTCTCGATGTCCTGACTTGAAGCAGCAACCAACCAAGCCTTTCTTCTCAACATCAAGACACCTGACCACCAACAACACCACTAAAACCAACACCACCTTCACCATGCAGCTCATCAACCTCATCCCCTTCCTCACCCTCGCGGCTGCCGCGCCCAAGGCCACTTCTACTCCTCCCAACCCCGACTCCTACGAGAACGTGGACATTGCCGACTTCACCGTCCGCAAGGAGCAGGCTGCTGGCCAAGACACCCCTACTGCCATCAACTCCGTCTCCTTCAAGCTCTCCGGCGACGATGCCACCGACCTGGCCTGCTCGGCTTCCAACCCAGACTTCCCCAGCGAGGTCATCACCTGCGGCGACAGCAAGTACCGCTTCGTCCTGCAGCCTGGCTCGGACGACGCCGAGTTCGGTCTGACTCTCTACCACGAGTTGGGTCCTGCGTAAGTACAGCTGGCACAGCCTCGACGACATTATACTAACATTTCGCGAACAGTGTCGGTTTCTGGGGTGAGGGCAACGTGCCCACATACTGCCGCGCCGGAGGCAACGGTCCCGATGACTTTGTCTGCCAGCAGGTTGCCGCGACCACTTTCGTGATCGCGCAGTAGAGGTGCACCTTCTTTTCATGGCTACAGATATAGACCGTTTTTAATACAAATTGTACATTAGATCCCATGTTCTGGGTAACTGGGAGCAACAATGACCGTTGATTAGTGAAAGTGTCGTGGCTCGCCCAATCAGTGATGCTATTCTAATGCCTATGATTACAGCTGCAACGCCTCTTGATCATTCTCCCGAGTACCCATCTCCACGTGAGATCCTCGCTGATCCATCGTACCGCCTTGTCCCATCAAGTCGCTGCCATTGCTCGCTGGGTCCGGCATCAAAGGCTCTCCAGCCATGTATCGCCTCAATAGCTTCCACAGTAGCGGCATCAGACTGACCAAGCCCATGGTCAGCGGGATCAGCTGCCCCGTTGAGCTAACCCCGTACACATCAGAGACGCCGTTCCAGATCAACAGCAACTCGATGCCGGCGACAGACACAACAAAGGCGACAAAGGCACAGAGAAAGGCCATGAGCTGCTCTTTTCCACTCGTGCCACGGAAGATCTTGGGCATCCAGGTGTCAGGTATGAGATAAGTGACCAGGGCGATGAGGATGATTGGCAGGAAGACGATGCTAGCGAAGACCGCGCCGATCATGTCGTACGTCTTTTCCGAGAACCACTGTTTTGTCGACGTTCGGAATATCCAAGTAACCAGGCGGAACAGGAGAGTCGCAAGCGAAACCGCCGTCATTAGCGCGCTGATGACCACGATACCTGTGCGGTCTTGGATCCGGACGAGGAAGAAGAGCGATGTCCCGCACGGAGTCGCGGCGAAGACCGTCTCGAAACCTCTGAGCAGGCACACCCAGAACCAAGCAGCGTAGCCAAGCATGCACATTTCGACCAGCGTGGACCCTGACTGGAAGCCGTGCATGCCTTGCGGATTGTCAAGATTGAGTTGAAAGGTGGTCGCTCGCTTCAGACCTGACACAACGGGCACCTCCCTGATACCGGCATCGTCAATCTCCTGCGCGGTATGCGTGATGGACGCGAGGGCCTGGGTCATGAAGGCCGTCCACAGCAGGACAATAATCTCTACAGTGTATGTGCACGTACGGCCAAACGTCAAGACGAGGATGGCCATCATCAGCGCGGAGCTGAACGTGATCAGGGCCGTCATGAGAGAGCGCTCCTCTGAGGGCAAAAGGTAGACCACCAAGAAAACACTGAACCACTGGAGGTAGACGCCCAGCCGGATCCCCAGCCCATAAGCGTCCTCGTTCCCGACAAATCCACATCCGCTCTCGCGCGCTTTGCACTGGTCCGCATCAAAGTGGTTCTTTTGCGCGACGAACACAAGGGCCAGGACGAGGGGGAGCGCGAGGAAGGCGGCGAACCCCCGATGGACGCACATGATGTAGACTTTATGCACCCTGCGTGTCCAGCGAGAGACGGCGACTTTGGCCTGTGCTGTTCGCGGGCCATCTCTTGCGTTGGCAGGCGCATCGCTGCCCTGAGCGTGGTCTTCGTTGATCTCAAGATCACCCATATTGGTGGCCGATTGGCTAGCGGACTCACACGTGCCCAGGGAAACGAAGATGGAGTCTCGCGATGGTCAGGAGTCAGGGCTTGTAAATGTGAGCCTCATGGGCGCAAGTCTAGCAACGCAAAGGTACGGCGGACCTGGGAGACGTTCGCGCTCCCTGGTGATAAAAGAGTGAGGGGCAAAAAAGTGCAAGGCATCCTTTGTCGCAGCTTCCTATTCTATCCTGGTCAGCCTCAAAGCATCCAGGCAGACTGGGATCACGTGGTCGCCGTGATCGCATCATCGCATCCGGCTGATCATTCATCTTGGATGCAGGAATAGAGTCTTGACTGTTCTGCAGCGGCATTCAACATGGCGTCTGCCTTTCTTCAAGTCAGCGGAGAAGCACGAGCGGAGCCCGAGTGAGATGAAGGCGAGGGCCAGAACGACACTGTACTGGGTCCCCTGTTCGGACAGCCTGCGCACAGAACAAAGTGACGCTGTCCACGCGCAATATCACAGCGGTCGACCAAGTCTTGCTGCCGCCTAGCTGATGCACTCACCATGCACCCGCATCTCATCCACAAGCACGGCAGCAGAATGAAACAAGTCCGCAAAGGGAAACGATCTCTTGCCTTGTGAGAGAGGCCATCGCCAGCCGTCCAGAGGCCTGGTCGAACCCTCCGACGTCGGACGATGTTGCCCGGACGACCGTGTGGTGCCACAAACACCCCCAGATCGTGGCTTTTGCATTGTCACGTGAACAAAGACCTGGCTGGGTGTAAGATGGTCGTGAGTCGTGATCCCGGACCAAGTCCAAGCTAGCAAGAGATGCCAGATGGACGTCTGGTTCCTACACGTATAGAAAGCTAATATAGTCATGATAGGACAGGTGACGGGACGGACATTGAAATGGCTGCCTAACAAGCGCAAATCCGAGCTCACCGTGATAATTAGTCCCCAGAGACTGCCGTCATGTCCACTACTCTGACTTCTTAGGCACCGATCAGTGTCCTTGCACGCCAGTGTTCATAGACAACGACGAGTCCTGCCAAACCCCAGACCAGTCTTCCTCAGCTTCATTACAGATTCATATCGTTCGCCATAGCCTCCTCATGTACATCATGGCCGACAAACAAGAATTCCTCTCAACCCCAACAGCAGCACCTCTCGCTGTCCACCACATCGACTGGCGCTCCACCGCCATCCCAGAATATGATGGCCGGCTCGCCTGCACGATCGACGGCGTCCTCGCACCGTCTGAATGTGACGAATTGCTAAAATTGGCCGAGGCCAGCGTCCAAGCCGACGAGCCATGGCAGCCAGCCCTCATCGGCCTGACGCCAGGCACGCAAATTGCCTCGCGCCCAGGCTACCGTGAGAGCGACCGCATCATCTGGTGCGACCAGGCCGTCACGGACAAAATCTGGGCACGATGCATGTCGGTGGACGGATCCGAGGCGCTGTTCGCCACGGTGCCCCAGCAGTACGGCAAGGTGAGACAAGGCGAGTGGAGGTTTGCGCGACCTAACGAGCGCATGAGCTTCCTGCGCTACGGCCCTGGCCAGTATTTCAAGCCACACTGCGACGGGCCGTACTACTACGACGCCGACGACACCGAGTACCAGACACATTACACGCTGCAGCTCTACCTCTGTGAGTCCCGCGAGGACTCGCCGGACGGCGTCCTAGGTGGCGCCACGTCCTTTCTTGCCAAAGACAAGAAACGGCGTGTGGACGTACACCCCAAAGCTGGTCGCGTGCTCATCTTCCAGCACGAGGGCCTGCTGCACGAAGGCGCCGAGGTGAGGGAGGGTATCAAGTACACCATGCGGACCGATGTCTTGTACAAGTGGATCCGAGACCAACAGTAGTATATATTCAACACAATCAAGGCCTTACGACCGCTGCTTCGGCATTTTCTTCTCCTCCATTGCCTCCACGTCCTGCTTCTTGTGGAAGTGCGGCGCCAGCTCCGACAGCCACTTGGGCTCGATCGGCATGACGCTTCGCATGTACTCCTTGGTTGTCTGGACAAGCTCAAAGTAGATGACCATCTTCTCCGGCGGATCGACGGACATGAGGACGCTGCTGGGATGGATCCAAACGGTGGTCTTGGTCTTGACAGTGCGGTAGCTGTCACCCGACTTTTGCAAGCGCGCTGCGTTGGGGAAGAAGCCGGCCGTGATGGCACGCTTGATGGGGGGCAGGTTGCTGGCGCCGCATGTCGAGGGAGTCACCTCGACTCGCTCGCAGAGCTTGGCCAGCTGATCGCGTACATCGCGCGCCCTGGTAAGCGAGCGTTGCTGCAGGAAGTTCTCGCGCGCCCACACGGGGGAGTAGTCACTGTCCACCCACTGATTGAACACATTCAGGAGAGTTAGGTGGTCACCACCATCCTTGACCGTGAACCGATTGCGCGCACTGTCGGCGTGGATCTTCTTGTCTTTAGGTCGAAAGAACAAGGCAGACGCCTCACCGAGCATCGATACGATGGACAGCACCTCGTCCACGCAGCCCTCCTTATCGGCGGCGATGACGGCCTTGGCCAGCATGGGATCGGTAGGGAATTCAGCCATCTGGCGACCAATCTTGGTGAGCTGGCCCTTGTGATTGAGACCCTGCAGGTTGAAAAGCTGGTTCAGCGCGCCTATGAGCGCTTCACTTGGTGGCGGATCCATGAAGTCAAAGTCTAGAAGGTCATTGATGCCAAGTGATTTGAGCTGCAGAACCACACCGTTCAGATTGGTCCGCTGAATCTCAGGCGTGGTTGACTCGTCCATCTCGTTCATGTACGCAAACTTTGTGTAGAGCCGGAAGCACTTGCCAGGACCGACACGGCCGGCACGGCCACTTCGCTGATTTGCCGCCGCCCGGGAGCACGGCACCACGACGAGGTTGGACATGCCCGTCTGCGGACTGTAGACGTTCTCCTTGACGTACCCTGGATCGATAACGTAGACGATGCCATCGATGGTGAGCGAGGTCTCGGCGATATTGGTCGCCAGCACGACCTTGCGAGCGCCCTCGGGTGTAGGCTCGAAGATTTTGGATTGCAGCTCGGACGGCAGGTTGGCGTAGATGGGGCAGATGACGAGCTCCTTGATGCGGCTCCCAAGCTTCTTGGCTGTTTCCGAGATTTGAAGCTCTGCCGCCTCGATCTCATCCTGTCCAGTCAAGAAGATCAGAATATCGCCCTTGTCCTGTGTTGTGTGGATCTGGAATGTTGTTGTGATGGCAGCCGCGAGGTAGTTGGCTTCGGGCGCCGGAGTGTAGTAGATGTCGACAGGGTACCGTCGTCCAGGGATGTTGAAGATGGGCGCGTCGTCGAAATATGAAGCAAACTTCTCGGCGTTCATGGTGGCCGAGGAGATGAGCAGCTTCAGGTCCGGCCTTTCTCGCGACAAGTCTTTGATCAGGGCCAGCAAGATGTCGGTGTGTACAGTCCGCTCGTGCGCCTCGTCGATCATCAGCGCCGAGTAGCCCGCAAGATCAGGTTCCGTCATGAATTCGCGCAGCAGCATACCATCAGTCATGTACTTCAAAATGGTCTTGTCGCTGGTATTGTCCTCGAAACGGATCGAGTAGCCGACTTCGTTGCCCACTTTGACGCCCATCTCCTCGGCAACACGGGCCGCCACACTCATCGCTGCCACTCGACGCGGTTGTGTGCAGCCAACCTTCATGCCGTTTTTGGTGTATCCGGCCTCGTGCAAGTACTGCGGCAGCTGTGTTGTCTTGCCACTGCCCGTCTCGCCGACAATGACCAGCACCTGGTACTGCTCCAGAGCCGCGATGAACTCGTCGCGGTATTGGTATATGGGCAGCGTCTTTCTCGTGTCCTGGATCGACAGGGCCTTTTTTTCGGCCGCTTCTATCTGTGCCGCCAGGTACAGCTGCTCCTTGCTGAGCTGCTTGCCCTCGCCGGCTAGCTTCGAGTCAAGGGACCATTTGATGTGCTGCTCCGGATCCATCACCAACTCATAACCGTCCATATCCCGCTCCGAGCGCTGAATCTGCGCTTTCGCCTTGGCAGCCTGCTCCCTCTCCCACTCCTCGTGTTCTGTGACAAATTTCTCCTTGCCATACTCGTCACGGTCGACGTATCGCTTGTACAGGGCGTCTTCCTTTTTCCGTCGATCCAGCTTGCCCTTTTCGGTGATGTAGTCCTCTGGTAATGCGTACCCGTCACGGTGATCGTCTATCCGTAGTCGCTCCTCGGCCAACCGTAGACTCTCTCGGTTCTTGGCAAAATCTGCCTTCTCGCGCTCGGTGAGCTTCACGCCGCTGCGCAGCTCCTCCGTCTCGTCGGCTACCTGTCTCCGTAGCAGCGCTAACTGTTCCGCCTCGCGCTTGCCCAAGTACTCTCTGCGCGATCGGTCGCGTAGATCGGACATGTTGACGCTGCGCGCCGCGATCTCTTGCTTGTGGCGGTCATTGTCCTTCTTGGACCTCGAGTCGTCCTTCTCCTTGAGTCTTTTTGCAAACGCATCGCGCTCTTCTTGGTCCCTCTTCTCTTCTGCCGCGCCGTCTGACAGATCCTCCTCTTCCTTTGGTGTGTGGCTCAACTTGACGCGCTTGCTGACTGACTCTTCAAATTCGGGCTCTCCTTGCGGCTCGTCCTCCTCCTCATCCGTCGGAGGCTCTTCGTCGGCCCATCGGTCGTCACCATCCTCACGTCGGCGGTAGCTCTTGGAAGAACTCGACTTTCGAGGGGACCGCGAGCGGCTGCGTCTGCGGGATCGATGCTTGTCGTCGCGATCGCGTCGTGACCTGTGCTTGCGCTCCTTTCCAACTTTCTGTGGGCCCACCTCCTCATCGTCCATGGGTAGAAGAGCGTACCGTTTCGACATGGTGATGGATGATCCGCCGCAGGAAGAGGGAGGGCGTACTTTACTCCCAGGTTGGAGCGTGCCAGAAAGTTGAGGTTCCAGTCGCTGCAGGTTTGGGGAAAATGCTCCACCCACCCATCTCAGTCTTATCGATAACTGACCTGCAAGGGTCTACTACCTACCGATACTCACTTATCTATCATGCCACGCTGGAACTTCGAGGTCTCACCCACGTTTGTTGTAGACTTTCCACTCTGTTCTCCCCCACACGCTCCTTTTGACGTCCTCGCAAAACGGCACCATGCTAGCCCATGGTGCACTGGCATTCCTGCTGCTGGCATTGGTCCAGCTAGCGTACTGCGCCCAGGACTACTACAAGGTCCTCGGCGTCGACCGCAACGTGGGCGACCGCGAGCTCAAGTCCGCCTACCGCAAGCTCTCCAAGAAGTTCCACCCGGACAAGAACCCCAACGACGACACGGCGCACGAGAAGTTTGTCGAGGTCTCCAACGCCTACGAGGTCCTCAGCGACGAGAACCTGCGCACCATCTACGACCGCTACGGCCACGACGGCGTCGAGTCGCATCGCCAGGGTGGTGGTCCCCGGCAGCACAACCCCTTCGACCTCTTCAGCGACTTCTTTGGCGGCGGCGGGCAAAGGCGTGGACCCCCCGGGAAGCCGCGCGGGCGCGACGCCGAGTTCAAGCTCGAGATCACGCTGGCTGATTTCTACAATGGCGTCGACACACAGTTCGAGTGGAACAAGCAGCACATCTGCGACCACTGCGACGGGACAGGCAGCGCCGACCGCAAGGTCGAAAAGTGCAGCACCTGCAACGGGCAAGGCGTGGTAATCATCAAGAAGCAGTTCGCGCCGGGCATGTTCCAGCAGATGCAGAGGCCCTGCGACGTCTGCGACGGCCGGGGGGAGAAGCCCAAGAACAAGTGCCCCCACTGCCACGGCAGCCGGGTGGTCCGGAAGCAGACGCCAGTAGACCTCAAGATTGAGCGCGGCATCGCCAACGGTGAGGCGGTCGTGTTCGAGGAGGAGGCCGACGAGAGCCCCGACTGGCACACGGGCAACCTGGTGGTCCACCTAGCGGAGAAGAGGCCGTCGATGGAGGACAACCCGCACCGTCTCGACGGCGTGTTCTTCCGGAGAAAGGGCGACGACCTCTACTGGACCGAGGTGCTGTCCCTGCGCGAGGCCTGGATGGGCGACTGGACGAGGAACATTACACACTTGGACGCGCACGTCGTCCGCTTGGGCCGCCCCAAGGGCAAGGTCGTGCAGCCTGGGCAGGTAGAGACCGTCGTCGGCGAGGGCATGCCCAAATGGCACGAGGACGGCGATAGTGTATATCACAAGCACGAGTTTGGCAACCTGTATGTCACGTACGAGGTGGTCCTGCCGGATCAGATGGACAAGAAGATGCAGGGCGAGTTCTGGGATCTCTGGGAAAAGTGGCGCGCAAAAAAGGGCATTGACCTGCACAAGGACAGTGGCCGGCCGGACCAGCCACCTGTACGGGATGAATTATGATAGACTGCATACAGAGGGTAGCATTGATGTTGTGTTGTAGGTGGTGTTGTTGTCTGCTATTGAACTATCCATCACCATGCCTTGCTTCACTTGTCCTTGTATAATGCCTCCTCGTCGGTTATGCTGTGACTGCCATTGCGCCTGGTCAACCTCCACTTAGACGAAGTGTTGGTGGTCGGCCCAGCGGCTGCCAGCTCCTTGATCCTGGCCCTGAAGCTCTCCTTCCTCTCGTCCAGGAACATGTTGGGGGTCATCCGTTTCTCGGGACCGTAATGGCGTAGCGAGAGTATGTCATCATGCATCGATTCGGTCCTTGCGTCTATGCTTGGCTGATCCGATGCCGACGACGGGCTCGAGGTCAAATGGTGGAAGAACCCCACGATATCGTCCGAATAAAAGGCGTAGCAGGCCAGCGGCAGCGTGATACCGACAGAGACCGCAAAAATGACGGCAAACGTCCACTTTGGTGTGGTCACAAACGCGGCCACGTCAATGGCGAAGAAGGAGGTGAGAAAGGACATGGGCAGGAACAGGATGGTGACGACGGTGAACACCATGAGCGTCCTCCCCTGTTGGACGCTCTGCTGGGCCTGGGAAATGGCAATCTCGTTCTGTTCCAACGTCAAGGTCGTGTTGATCGAGTTCTGGATCCGCCGCGCGAGCTCGTCCATCTCGTAGATGTCCTTGATGATGGACTTTGCGGTTTGGATGTCCCGTAGCTGTATCTTCTGCAGCTGGTTCTGCACAATCTCCTGGGCCTCGACGACGGCCTTGAGGATGTTGAGCTCATCTCGAATGTCCTTAATCTCTCGAAACAGGCCAGCAGCCCTCCCGATGGCAGATTGCCTTTTCTGGCTCCGGAGCCTGGCGCTCTCCATTTTCGAAAGCAGTTTTCGGTACAGCTCCGATTCTTCAATGGCGGTCTTGTTGATGGAATCAAAGAAGATCTGCCTGAGGGATCCGTGAGATCTCGTAGATGGACTGCCCCGGTTGAACTGCCCAACGCAAAAGTCCACAATGGTTTGGCTCATCTCGAGAGCTGTGGTAGGCTGCGACACTCTGGAACGACTGTCGCCCTGGCCGAGGAGATCCAGCACACCACTGAAGATGGGGTCAGGCATCCCATCCATGCGATGAGTCGAAGAGGTCACCAAGGTTTGGTCGTCAAGCATCCACAGCCACAGCTGGTCTACTCTTACAGCCGTGAACAGGTGCATGGCGTCTGCCATGCCCATGGGAGAGCCGTCGATAGCCTTGGTCACGACTTGATCCAGGTTACGGATCTGCATGTCCTTCTGGAACCGCTCGTCAGAGGCAAAGTGATAATAGAACTCGTCCAGTGTGCGCGAGCCATGGATGACGCTATCCCTATACTCCTCGAGCAGCTTGGAGTACTTCTCCAGGTTCTTGAAGTAGTCATCAGATGGCGACAGCCGCCGACGGTCTGTAGCTTCTTGCGAAAACGTGAGGTAGGGCACGTAGAGAGCAAGCGGGTAGTTGTCTCCATCCTGGACGCATCGAGGCTTCATGAAGCGAGTCTTGGAGGTACGGTCCGGTGTCTGGAGCCAGGTCTTCCGCAGAAAGGCGCTCATGTCGCGGTACTGCGTCTCGCTGTAGGTATCGCTGTCGACACACAGTTTCAAAGTGAGATCCTGCATCCACTTGAGATTGTTAGCGGGCAAGTGTATCCACGTGAAACGCAGTTCGTCGTTGGTATATAGCTTGTGCTGGTCCAGACCACCAATGCTATCGGCGTGCCGTATGCCTGAGCCGACTTGTTGCATGGTCTCCCTAGCCTTGCGCATGATTTCAAGAGGACTGGAGGTGTAGATAGTCTCTTTGATGGAGCGGTAGCGCCTCAAAAACCCTGACCGTCCGCCTGTGGCATAAAAGTCAACCACTGCGGCTTCGTACTCATCAAGGATCGCCGAGGACTTCTCCTCGAACGATGGCGCCACGAATGGTTCCTTGGGGCCGGATGTCTGGATAACTGGCGGGTCGCGTAGCATGTCTATGATGAGTCCGTAGACGTCGGTGTTCCCTTGCTGGTCGCCAGGGTTGGCAGCTTCCTCCTCCTTCTTGGTCAAGTACTTTTTCTCATTTGTTCGTTTGACAGTGTCGCCTTCGGCTGGCCTTTTGCTCGCCTCAAGAGCGGCGTGTTCCACGGGCCAGTTGTCCTTGGGCACGTTATCCACGGGCGATACATGGCCTGTCACGGGCGTCCCGGGACGCGATGCGATTTTCGCCTCGTCCAGCTTGAGTTCCTTGACCTCTTTGACAGCGGGCGCTCCGTACTTGCCTCCGCGATTCTTGGCGGACGTGTCCTTGTCCTTGACTGCCGTATGCAAAGGCTGACCAACCACGTCGATCGTCGTTGATTTGCGAGGCAAAGTTGCAGCCTTGAGCTTTTCGTCCTGCTCTCTCCTCTGCATAGCCAGCTTCATGGCAGACATCCTCATTCTGTCTGAATTGGGTCCCTGTTCAGTCGTACACAGCAGGCCCCAAAGCACGTTCGGCATGCCCCGGTAGGCTGCCCAGTCCATCGCAGTCCAGCTGATCATAGTCTCGCTCAAGATGGGGACGTTGAGTGTCGAGCTCTTCTTGAACAACAGCCGAACAATCTCGTGTGTCTCTCCTGCACTCGCAGCCCACCAAAGGGCGTTTTCCTCAGCTTCACCTTGGTTGTCGCCATAGTCTGCCACGTCTACGCGGGCCAGTATAGCCTCGGCTGGAAACCGATTCCGGCGGACGCACGCCACGCCCAGCGGGCTGAGTTTCTCCTTGTTGCGGATGTTGACCTTGTCTTGCGGTACCTTGTCCAAGATGGAGTTGGTCCTCTCCAAGTCGTTTGAAAACGCAACAAGATGCAAAGCAGTATGGCCCCACTCGTCTTGCACCAAAGGGTCGGCTCCCTTGTTCAGTAGATCCACGACGACCTCATTCCACCGATCCCTCACGCCTGTCTTGGTCCACCAATACTGCATCTGATCAAGCTGCTCTGCAGTGAAAAGAATCTCTGGGGCCTCTCCCGTGGCCGCTCGATGTAACGCGTCTCGCCCAAGCGTGTCTCGAATGGTAAAATCAGCCCCTACGCTCAGGAGAAAGCGACTAATAGAGGCCCACCCAAAGGTTGCAGCCGAAAGAAGAGCTGTAGTGTTGCTGGCGTTGCGAATATTGACGTCTGCTTTGCCCACCTTGACCAGCATTTCGACGATGGCTTCGTGGCCGTAGAAGGCGGCATGGATCAGCGAGCTATTCTGCAGCTCGTCCCGTAGATCGACATCAACCGGCTTTTCCTTGTGGTTGAGCAAATACTCGACCACTTGGGGTCGATCCATCCTACATGCGTGCATCAAGCAGTGGAAGCCCCCTTTGTCTTGCTTGTTGATATCGGCCCCTCGCTCCAATAGAGTCGCCACTGTGTCAAGTAGACCAAAGCGAGCGGCAGCCATGAGCGGCGTGGCCTCCAGAATCGAGGAGACAACATCGCTATATGCACCCTTGTCCACGAGCACTTGCAGGATGCCGTTGTCGGGATAATCGGTCAACCGATCAATTGCTGCCTGTCCAGCCGTGTCCTGTCGGTGGACATCGGCGCCATGCTCGAGAAGCAGCTCGACCATATTGAGTCTATTGGCCTCGCAGGCCGTCATCAGAGGCGTCATTGCTTTCCAGTCACAGACATTGACAGCGGCGTCTGCCTCAAGGAGGGTTTTGGCAATTTCCTCCTCGCCGTTCCAGCACGCGAGATCGAGTGGTGTATAGCCCTTGATGGTTCTGCAGTTGACGTATGCGCCAAGGGCGAGAAGTTGTTTGACAGCTTCGTGCTCGCCATCACGACTGGCTGCGTGGAGGCCTGTGAATCCGTCCTCGTCATGGCTGGCCAGATCAGCTCCCAATTTAACCAGTAATTCCACAATATCCGTCTTGCCGTGCTCAGCCGCCGCTCGCAGGGGAGTCACGCCTTTGTCGTCTCGGGCGTGTATGTCAGCGCCATGTTCGATGAGGATTTCGCACACTCGAAGTTGACCATGCTGCGCAGCCGATCGCAGAGGAGTCCAGTCATCGTTATCACGTGTATGTATGTTGGCGCCTGCTTTGATCAAGATCTCAGCGATCTCATGGTGGCCTTTCCAGCAAGCTGTGTCTAAGGGTGTGCATTCCAAATCGTCTTTTGTGTCAATGGCAGCAAGGTCCATGTGATCCAGAATCACTTGCGTGACGGCAACAGATCCTTTCCAAGCTGCGCGATGTAGCGGGAGCTGCTGAGAGGGCAAGAGGGCCATGGGGTCAGCGCCATTGTCGATGAGCGTCTTGATGATGGCGGCGGCGCCGTCTGCAAAGTCGGTCCCCAGAGCCATATACAACGGGGTCTCGCCTCGCTTGTCCTGTTGCGACAAGAGCGTCTGCGCATATTCGCGGCCGATGCTGGCAAAGATCTTGACCAGAAGGTTTGGGTATAGCCATGGGTTCAGGCAAAGACGATGGAGAAACGTGCGGCGCAACTGGAGAGCAGGCGCCAGTGGGTTAGCCCCTTGCTCGAGGTACGCCAACACATCAGATGGCTTGCGCGATTTGGCGGCGACGAGGAGTTTGGTCTGAATATCGTCGCGCTCATCTTCGCTCTCGTCGGTGCCGGAGAAAGAGGATGGATGGCGCACTGCTGACCCAGCGTATCCTGTTGGGGTGGGCGGAGCCGGAGGAATTCGAGTCGTCTCTCGCGTACTGCCACTCCTCGTAGATGAGGGAGGACTGCGCGGCTCTGACACGATTGGCGAGCCAGGTCGCGAACTCTGCTGGGTACTGATGCTGCGACTTGGCTTGTCTGAGCCCCCATCGCTGCCCTCTGCTTGGTTTTCACCTCCGCGAGAACTGATACCACCCCATGAGGACCCTGAGCTCCTGTTGCTGCCACGCCGGGATGCGGAACTCATAATGAGTTGAGGGTCGTGGCGTGCTGAGCTCGCGGAGGCCCTGAGTCCTGCAGCTTCACCTCAAGACACACATTTCGGAATTTGCGAGGACGGTTCGTGTCAGCAGGCTACAGGGATCACCAAGGGGAACCCCGGGCCAGCACACCAAATCAGGCATGTCGACCACGACTCCTAGTCAAAATCTCATGTACCGGATTCGTTACTCCTACGGGTCAGCGTGGGAGGCATTTCGGGAACCAGATGCCGACGACTCGAGCTGAGGCGTATAATTGCCAATCAGCATCTGGCTGGAAGCGCGATTGTTGCATCTTGTCCACAGTGGCCAGTGGATGCGGTCTGCAGGCGGTGCAGCGCCCACCAGCACCAGCGGGCGCGGGCCGCACATGGTGGTTTCAGCCTTGTGAGGTTATGATTTATCATGGAGTCTAGGACTTGTTAATTATTAGTGAAGACCCTTCCAAACCACATGTGCAGTGGTGGTGCTTCGAGTGGGATCCGAGCGTCTTCCCATTTTGACGTGGGGAAGCGCACTTCGCGTCAGCTAATCAATGTGCCATTCGCAGAATAAGTAATACGCATGATGCATGAGCTGCCGCTGCATCCGTACTGTGCATATACTGGATAGTTATGCACAAGCTGCGCCTTTGTGACTATCCCAGCACGCGGCATCGGTGGTCGCAAGCTGTCTGGGGCGTCTGGGCCATGAGGACAGTCCAATGGCCAGAGCGGAATGGCAAGCTATGCAGACATTGAGACGAACTTGTTTGACGTCGTTGATGAGAATTGACATGGATGTGGAATGAGAGAGTGATTGTTCGCAGTTGCCCCCAATCCAAAGCTGAGGCGACCTATGGCTAGAGCACACGTGACCGGCTTCCGCCAACAGAGCCAGGTCGATGCTTCACGCAGTCGGACAGTGGACTCATATTGCACCTCTTGTGCTTGTACGAGTAATTACGGGGAAGACGAGTAATAAGGTAAGTAAATCGCCTTCTTAGATAGAAACTCACTGATCATTTATCATCCTACCTACCCTATACACAAGAGTCGCTTATTCTTCTTTCTCTCTTAAGAAAGCTTACAATTTACTTTATAGTATATTATATCACCGCTTCTAACCCTTTATTTATTTAATAGTTTAGAATTATTCCACTTACTTCTATTTCCTTGACCTCTTATATCCTCGCTTGTTACGACTACTTCCTCGTGATCGAGATATCCGGATACCTGAGTAAATCCGAGGTGTGCTTTCCAACCACGAGGGAGGCTTGGTATTTCGGCACGACGGCATGATCCATTATCGAGTATAATGTTCATACAGGAGTATCATTGCCACAAGGATCTAAGGAATCCGGCGAGATAACGCCCTTAGTAAGGGGTAGCTACTAGACAGTCTATCGTAACAAGAACCTGCGCCGCAGGGAACACTCCCGCCTATCTTGCCACTTGGTAATTCTATGAAGAATCGGCACTTCCAAACTCGCGTCATAATACTCAAAGCGGTATCAGGGGCGATCCATAGACGTTCAGAGTTCGGCATCGTACAGCCGAGGTCAACCGGCTTCTACTGCTTGGCGTCTACCCGTGCATCCGTCGAGTAAGCACTAAAGGCTATGTGATCTATATGTGCGGAAACTAGGAGTGTACATGTGTACTTTCTAGCCATGCCTTCTCCCCGTAAGACTACGTCATGTTTGATATTATGAGAGCTCGAGTGAATCCTCCTGCTTGGCGTCTACCCGTCTACCCGATCAGTAAGCGCTAGAACTATGTGACCTATAGATGTGGAAAGAAAGGGTGTACTATCCTTGCCACTCCTCCTCCTTGTAGAGAACTAGGTCCCATTTCTGTTGGAGGATGGCAGTAAGACAACATGAAGCTACTACGTAGTAGAATCAATCCAATGGTGCCTAGTTGCGAGTCCAAGCATGCTTCCATCAAAGTATAAAGGAGTGATCCGCCGGCTGCCTTGTATGATTTAACCCATCAGCCTCATTCTCTTCATCTGAGCTACACATACACTTCCCTTCTATCCTCGCCCAGTATGCGTTCGACCGTCTTCCTTAGCCTTGTAGCTACGGCTGCTTGCTCCGACATTGAGGTCATCTGGCGTCACGCAAAGTCTTCTGGCCAGAACTCGCTCAGTGTCTTCAATGGCACTGACTTGATTGCCCAGAGTTGCTCAAGCTTCATTCCCGGCAACCCCTCCATCGACTTCTCTGACCTTGACCCGAATGGCTTTGGCAACTTCAGCATAGGCGATGACAAATTCCTCGCTCATTCCAACCCAGAGCACTCTGGCGGGCCAACATGCTCGAAGAAGTATAATGCTGAGGCCGCGGTCATCGAGTGCTCAGGTATCTCCTGGACACCTTCGCAAGCCAGCATCGAAGAGGACTGTCACGATGATGCTGAGGTCAAGGCCATACTGGACTTCTTCACTTCGAAGAACCGCGAGTTGGCTGAGCCGCCGAAGAGGACACGAGACCTTGGGCAGGGACATGGTGCCGATCTGTTCCCTCGCGTCCCACCACCACCACCGGACTGTTCGCCAAATTACGGTGTCAACGTGGTAGGCAATGGTATGTCATATATAGGAAGTCATGCAATTCACATTGGGTAGTAATAACAACACAGGCAATCCGCATCAAAATTACTTCGATCAACAGCTTTCGGTAAGCGCATCTCGGTTAACACACTCTTTACATAAAGCACGAGAGTAAAGTACTTTACTAAACGATATTTATGATCTAGGAAACTATCAATTGCCAGGCGTCTCCATCCTGCAGCGTTGGGCATGAAAAGGAGACATCGATAACTGTCGAATGGTCTGCGGATATCAGCGCAAACGGCTGGATTAGCGCCGGTTTCTCTGTCTCAAAGTCTTGGACTACCGGGAACGAATACACGTGCTACGGCGGTGCATACGACGAGGTGTGCGTTTGGTACAACACGGCCCATACTGCTTGTAAGTTAACTGATCAGTCTTTTCGACACAAAAAGTACCGAAATATAACTAACATAACGGTTAGACACAGTTCAGAACGTTAAGAGTGAGCCATGTTCTCAATCGGTTACGTATAGCGATCCATTCGTTATGTATTCCCCGAACAATAACAATGCTGGTGGCGGCTATTACTGCGTCGTCGGGACATGCAGGTCGAAGACAGATTCCTACTGGGACAAGAGTGGCCCTGCTGGCGGCCCTCCCTAAACTACGTTGAGATTCTGTGCTATACTCAGGATGTAGCTCAGAAGTCGAGTCGTGCAAAGGTTGGGCAGACTGGTTCAAGTGGAAGGGGTGGCGGAAAGGGTTTTGGACTTTGTTGTGAGGCTAGCACATTTCAGGTCATCTTAATAAGCTTGACCATGAATAGATTGAGTGTCTATCTTGCTCTCGTCCTTGTTCAGACTCTACAATTATGTGAGTCTCAATTGTTTAGGCTAACGGAGCTATATTAAATTACCTCGGATACAGCTGTACCTTTGAACTCGCAAATCCAGATGCTAGTTAGATCTCAAAGAAGAGCTGGCATTGGTTGGAACCTATGACTTGATGCAATTGATGAGCTAAGCGGGAAGGAAGACTTGGGGGCCCATAGGCGGGCACCCAGGTGCCCAAATAAGTGTCGCACCTAGGTGCCTAAATAAGATTTCTTATATAAGCGGTCCCATAAAATAACTTCGTGTGCTAATTAGATCCGTTTATGGTACTCACACAGCTGCTTATGCGCCTATAAGACTGCCTTTATGTGCGGCGATGAGGCTGCCTATGTATGCCTTTGCGTGCGGCGATAAGCCTGCCTATAAGTACGTATGTGAGCCTTTGTGTGCGGCGATAAGCCTGCCTTTGCGTGCGGCTAGGAGGCTGCCTATGTGTGCGGCCACGAAGCTGCCTATGTGTGCCTTTGCGTGCGGCGATAAGGCTGCCTATATATGCGGCCACGAAGCTACCTATATGTGCCTTTACGTGCGGCGATGAGGCTGCCTATGTGTGCCTATATGTGCGGCTAGGAGGCTGCCTATGTGTGCCTATGTGTGTGGCGATGAGGCTGCCTACTTGTATGTGTGTAATGCTGGCACGGCTATGAGGCTACGGCTACGTGAGGTATTTGATTGGCTAATATGTATTATTTAGGCACCTAGGTGCGACCGTTATTTGGGCACCTGGGTGCCCGCCTATTGGGCCCCGGAAGACTTCAAAAAGTTAAGTAATCCGTGATGAAGATCCCAAGGCCCCGGTCAATCTGCCCAGAAATCTTTCTCGGCCGAGACGCGACATGATACGTGGGTCGGGTTTTCTACAAGGGACCGGGCCGCTAGATAAGCTTAAACCCCCGCAAAACTCAGGACCTTATGTTAAACAGCAGACCATCGAAAGTGACTTAGCAGCACGGTCGAGTTGATAGTATTTTCTTATTCCTAGACCTCGGTTCAAATTCAAAATGCCCAGTAGTAGCTCTCAATTGACCTAGCCAGGCTCGTGCCCAACCATAGCACTTGATCTTGTCTAGCGCCTACCGCAAACACCAGAAACGCCGAGGTTGCTGGTGTACTTGCAGACGCAGCCGCTGGCGCAGGAAGGGCGTCCGACTCCACAGACACCGCCGCATGACTGCCTGGTGTCCAGCTCGGCGAGGGCATCAGCGGGGCTCGTTGGGGCGGCGATGACGGTAGCGACGAGGCCGAAGACGGTAGCAAGCACGGAGACTATAAGAATGTGTATCAGCAGAGGCTCGGGGCTCATGGAATGTCGAGGTCTAACGCACAGCGCATCTTGACTGTGGAGGATGGAAGTGTCTTGGATGGATAGTATGAGTTGTCTTGAGTCGGTTGGAGTCTTGTTGTACTTCAAGCGAGAAAAGAGGCTTCAGAAGAGCTGGGACAGCACGCTCTTTTATATTCAATGTTTCACTCTTTTCCAGAATCATTCGCAGCCCGTCCCAGTACGTCGCGTAGGCCCAGCTTGCCCAGATAGAGCTTGTCATGGGGCCCCGCGACGGTCCAATGGAGCACTAGGCAACCTGCTCCTTCCTGAAAGCTTCTTTATTGATCCATCATATCCGCTACAACCAGCCCGACACTTCGGTTTGGACGAAGTCGTCTTGCACGTCGTCTAAATGCAGTCAATCGACCGCCTTTGCCCCGCACGCCGAGTCCTGAGTGAGCAGGGAATGGAATCCTAGGACTGCTGACAAGGGAAGGTGCGCTGCAAAGGAAGAATAAGTAGGGTCTAGAATCGAAGATAGATCAGGTCTACTTCTCCGACTTATCACTTTAGCAGGGGCTTCGGCCTTCAACCTCTCCACAAGTGGTGCATGGGTACGGTACCCATAATACCAGGTAGTTGGACCACATAGAGTCTATGACCAGACGAGTCCGTGTGTTACTCAAAGGGTACGTAGGAGTGGTTCAAACAACTCAGCAGAATCCCACAAATTGCTTTTGAACGGATAAATCCCTGTCGCACTGGGAAACAGTGGTTGCCTGACACATACATTCTCTGTTGGCCACTCTGCTAATTGTGAATGTCCTGCTTGATGGCAGGACTATCATACGCAAATGCCTGTCCCCATATCAGTCGCCGCACCACAAGTATCTTGATCAGGTATGTTAGGAACTGTTTCTCATATAGATAAGCTACATACCTAAGGGAAGGCTCCCCGCAGCTGGAGTGAAATATAGTTAAGCAGCAATGTGGATCTTCAGACAGGTATGATGCTCCCTTATGCCAAGTTTGATGCTGAGTCCACGCTTTGGTATTCTTGGCCATGATAGTCGGTAAGAAAGGCAAAGGGTGCGCACCAATCCGCATATCTGGTGATCATCTGATGTGGACTCAGGATGCCCTCGCCTCAGCCTTGCTTCGCGAGGCTGGCCGGTGCACTCTAGGGACGAGCGCAATCCGCAGGATGGGCGATAACATTAACATATCGCGGGCCCACGAGGGGTTGGAATCGGCGGGTGCCGAAACTCGAATGGCGCTCCGATCGGCAACCTAGCCTAGACTACCCGTACACTTGACACTCGCTAGCGAGGCTACACAATCCTATCATATGGGACGGTGGGAGGTATCTCGGGTACTACCGTGATGCCGACGAGTCGACAACTTAAGCTGAGACGTATAATCGCCAATCAGCGTCTGACTGGGCGCAGGGCCCAAGCGGACGCGGGCCGCACATGGTAGATTCAGGCTTCAGTCTTGTGATGTTATCATGAATGGCATGAAGTCCAGCGCTGGTGAATAGGTCAAGACCATTTCGAAAACACTCCAAGAAACTCCGAATGGGATCCGAGCGTCTACACTGTCATGTTTTCGCGTCAGCTACTGTGCCATTCGCAAGGCCTACATAATGCATCAGCTGCCGCTGCATCCGTAGATTCCGTACTAATGAGCTTTGCACAAGCTGCGCCTTCGACGTACGTACCTTAGCATTGGGGTGTCTGGACTCTGCACCGCGCAGACAGGGTTCGGTGGCCAGCGCGGGATAGCAAGCTTATTTATACATAGAAACTGAAATAAACTTGTCAAACACCGTGAATGGAATTGATGTGGAATGGGGGGTGTTAATGTTCATGTTCACAGATGCCCCCAATCCAAAGCTAAGGCGACCCAAAGCTAGAGCACCACGTGACCGGCTTCCGCTAAACAGCCAGCTCCGTGATCGACAGTGCATAAGTCCACAATGCTTCACGCCGTCGCACAATTCATGTTGACTCCCGTCTCGCCTCTTGTGTTTGTACGAGTACTCCGTAATTACCATGTACGTACGTAGTCTGACCAATGCGAGCTTGATCCGAGACAGAATTGACTCCTCTTTGACGGCTCGACCCTCGTAGTACGACGTCCCAACGGCACGATGCTGCTGCGCCTTGTGAAGAGTTATGCAGCATCTGCCGTGCACAAGCCCTTGGCGGCGTGGTTAAGCTCAGGCAAGCTTACGTGCCCCCCTGTCGCTTTTTCGGTTTCCCAAGCGAAACCATCGCGAGCTCAGCGCCAGCCCTTTCCTCCCTTGCCATCCTTCTAGGACTCTCGCCCACCCGTCGTCGACATTGTCATTCGTTCCAATTCCTCGTAACCACAGCCACGCCGTCGCAATGGCACAGGACCACACTGCACGCCTCCTCGAGGAGCACGACGCCGCCGTCAAGCGCATCCAGGAGCAGGTCAAGTACTTCCACGACAACAAGAAGCAGTTCCGCGTCTACCATGGCTCCACCAGCTCGACGCGCCCGCTGAGCTTCAAGCGCGACGAGATTGTCGACACCAGCGACATGGGCCGCATCTTCCCTGTCGACAAGGAGACCATGACCGTCAAGGCCGAGCCCAAGGTGCCCATGGACCTGCTCGCCGCCCACTGCCTCAAGGAGGGCGTCATCCCCAAGATCGTCATGGAGTTCAAGGGCATCACCGTCGGCGGCGGCTTCTCCGGCTTCTCCGGCGAGAGCAGCATGTACCGCTACGGCCTCTTCAGCAACACCGTCCCCGAGATCGAAATCGTCCTCGGCGACGGCACCCTCGAGATCGCCAACCGCGAGCACAACGCCGACCTCCGCGAGCACGCCGCCGGCAGCCTCGGCACCTTTGGCATCGTCACCCTCTGCACCATCGAGCTCATCCCCGCCACAAAGTACGTCCACGTCGAGATCCGCGAAGTCGACGAGGTCGCCAAGGCCCACCTCATGTTCGAGGAGGCCTGCGCCAACCCCGACATCCACTTCATCGACGGCGTCTACTTCCGCAAGGGACGCGTCGTCGTCATGTACGGCCGCTTCGTCGACGAGTTCCCCAAGGGCCACCAGGCCCTCAAGAAGATGCAGGTCCACTGGTTCGCCGACACCATCGAGGACCTCCTCGACAAGCACAAGCCCACCAACGAGACCCCCCAGTCCATCTACATGACCACCACCGACTACATGTTCCGCTACGACCACGGCGCCTTCTGGGGCGGCAAGCTCGCCTTTATGCACTTTCACGTGCCCCAGAACGCCCTCACGCGCCGTCTCGCCGACCCCTTCCTCGACAGCCGCACCTGCTACCACGCCCTCCACAAGTCCGGCCTCGCCGCCGAGTACGTCGTCCAGGACTTTGGCATCCCCGCCAAGAACGTCAACGAGTTCATCGCCTTTGTCAACGAGACACTCCCCGAGCTGCAGATCTTCCTCGCGCCGTGCATGCGGCCCCGGGAGATTGGCCTCACCTCGCGCTTCCACCCGCGCGTCGCCGAGGTCGCCGACGAGCGTCTCTTTGCTGTGGGCGTCTACGGCCGCGGGCCCTCGGACCCCGCGGCCTTCTACGAGCTCAACCGCAAGCTCGAGCTGCGCAGCGCCGAGCTCCTTGGTGCCAAGCTGCTGTACGCTCGCACCTACTACACCGAAGACGAGTTCTGGACCATTTACGACAAGACCATCTATGACGAGATGCGCAAGAAGTACAAGGCCGAGGGTCTGCCGTCCGTGTATGACAAGCTCAAGGCCGACATGAACACGGGCGCCGGCCAGAGGAGGCCCGTCCGGGGCATTCTCGAGACCATTTGGGACAAGGCCATTGGCAACAAGGAGTACCTGCTCAAGAAGTGAGAGGCAGACGCAAGAGGGCGAGAGAAGAAGGGGAGGTGTAGGACAGAGGTTTTTCAGTGGTAATATGTCATGATACCCAGTCGTGTTGTATTATCTCTCCGCATTCAATCCATCTTAGACTAATTATGTGTGGTTCACTACTACAAAGCTTATTACAATTTTACTCGTTTCATTGACAATCCATAAATCCAATTCATCGACAAGGTTCAGCACTAATACCTCAGCAAGATGTCCTCCCAATGGCACGAGAGCATTGCATTATTTGACTTCCGAGCTACCCAAGTCACAGTCCGCGTACTAATAACATCTCAAATCTCGTAATTCATAAACACATTATCAACTCCCTATGTAAATAGACCCCAACAATCCAAAAACGTGACTCGTTACAGTTCGTAAATCATCTCCTCCTGTGTCGTCCGCGATTATCATGTCCTCCTCCGTCTCCTGACAGCGATGCCAAAGCCTCCTCGGGCCCAGTCAGCAACCCACTCCCCAGGACATCACCCAAGACGCCCATCCAGCCTCTCCTTCCATCCAACGCATCCGTGAAACTCCGCACCATCCGCTCCACCACCACAGGGTCAGTGCCGCCAACTTGCCACGACCCTCGGACGTCCCAATCCCCGGGCCGCTGCGGTCTTCGCTCGAATTCGCCGCTCCGCGTCGTGAATGGCGCCTGGGGAAAGGTCTGGCTCCGCGTCGAAATGGGCTGGCCGTTCCTGTGGAAGCGATCCGGTAGCTCTTCTACTGACTCTGAAGAGTCGCTGTCGTCCTCCGCATTATCAATGGCCGATGGAAGGGCATGCTTGGCGGTAGCTTGCTCGTGCTCTTCATGCTCCTTCTTGTGTCTCTCCATGGTCATGGAGCTTCGCGGCGATAGCGGGATGAATGACACAGACTTGGATCGCTCTCGCCCTCGATGTTCATTTACACCATCTGCCGAGGAGTTAGCACTGCTTTCAGCTGTCTGGCCGCCACGCACCCTCCGCAGTGTCTCGTGAGCGTTGGATCTCATCACTCACATGGTCTGGGGGGTAGTTACTCCCAGGAGGGCCGGGTGGTGGCCCTGGGGCTGGTGGGCCTGGCGGCATGAATCCCGCCGCAGGGTGAGGTCCTCCTGCTGGGGGCGGCCCCGGGGCTGGAGGGGGCGGGTAGCCGGTGTAGTCTTGAGGGATGTAGGTGGACGACTCTGCCGCTGGATATGGTGGATAGCCGGCTGGTCCACCCGCCGCGCCGGGAGTCTGTGGGTAGGGCGGGTAGTATGCTCCCCCTGATGTGACGGGCGGTGACCCTCCCCGTACAGGGCGGTCGTCAAAAAAGCCATCCGGGTCGTCACGAGCTCGGCCTGACCCCATCAGTAATGTTTTCGAATACTGCGTAATAATTACTCACGTCTCCTTGAGTGATCCCTCGATGGTGGGGCAGATCTCGAGCGATCTCTTTCATCCACGTCACGTTCCCTTCTCTCACGAGATCGTCTCTCCCTTTGCTCTCTCTTCTCCGCGTCCTTGCGGTCCTTGTACTCTTTAATACCGAAAGCTGCAGCTCCAGCCGACGCAATGTCTCTAAGACGGCTCTTGCTCCTCTCTCTATCCGATGATCCGTCCGACGATACGGACCGGCCACGACGCCTCCTCCTCCTCCTCCGCCTTCTTTCCTCTGCTTCGCTCTCGTAGCCTCGCTCGGGTCCTAGGGGGTCGTTTCCGTATTCTACAAGCCCTAATTGGGGATCAGTCCCAGTGTCGGAACGGCGAATGGATCTGCTAGCCTGTGATCTGCTGCGGCTGCGGCTGCGGCTGCGACGACTGTCAACAGACCGTCCCCGTCCGCGCACGTAGTCGCGGTCGTCGTCGCTGTACGCCCGCGATGCTGAGCGCGACCTCTCTTTCTTGTCCTTGTGGTTCTTCCACATCTTCGTGGCCACGCCAGCCGCGGCCGCAGCGCCACCAATCTCGGCCGCGCGTCGGATCTTGGACTTGCTGCGGCTGCGCGACCTGCCCTTGGACTTGTCACGGAAGTGCTGGACGATACCAGCGGTCGCCGCAGTGCCGAGGGCAGCTTTCGCGGCTGTGGATAGGCTACGTCCCCGGCTCTTGGCACTGCTCGACCGCGAGCTAGAATACACCCGGCCGCCCGTTGAACGACGACGGCCACGACTGCGTCCTCGGGAAGCCTCCTCCTTGTCCACCTTGTTCGACTGATAGTACTTGGCAGCACCCGCCGCGGCCAACGCGACGGCGGCTATGCCGAGGCCCTTTTTGAGCCGAGAGTGGTCATCTGGAGAATCATCGCGATCGCGGTGGCGGTCCTCGTACGCACTGTGAGCCCGACGCAACGCTTCGGTACCCAGTGCTCCCAGGGCGCTTCCCGCAATGACCTTGCGCCCACGGTGGTCTGGCAAGTCGCCATATTCATCGCGACGGCTGTTCATTAACGCGGTGATGCCAGCACCAGCCAAGGCACCGGCTGCCAGCGAGCGCTTGTGGTTCTCCGGGCTTTCACTGCGTTCGCGCCGCACCACCCGTCGCCGATGTACGTAGTAGTCATCATCGCTACCGGAATAATCGTGGTCGCGGCGATGACGGTCGTATCTCGCCATGCCCCAATCACGGTCACGGTCCCGATCATAGGGCCCGATTTCGTGTCGCGTGTGACGATAGTAATAGTCCTCTTCGGGCCTCTCTCGACGCGCCACTTCGCGATCGCGCTCCTTCTCCCTGACCACCATGACACCAGGGTTCGACTGGCGTGGGATAACGACAGGCGGTGGCGCGGGAGCCTCTTCGACATAGATCTTCTGCGGTTCCCGAGGTGGGGCACGGATAATGACAGGCGAAGGCGGTGGTGATGCACGGGTGTAATACTCGGTTTCCTTGCGGTAATGGTCGATCTCATGACCATGGTCGTCATACCGGTCCTCGACTCGTCGCTCGACCCGCACACCATCGTCGCGTCGCGTGTAGGTTGTTCGCCTGTCATCGAAATCGCTGTCCTTGCCCTCGTACACGGTGATCTTGCCTCGATCAGCCTCCTTCCGCGCCTCATAGTCCCGCTCCAGCACATCACGGTCATAGAGCACGGTGCTCCTCCGGTCGTCGTACTGGGAGGCCACTCCGACATGTGGCTCGAATGCGGACCTGGGCCGCTCGGGGCGACGTTCACGCTCTCGTTCGTAGTCGTAATAGTCGTCCCGTATACGAGTGTCTCTCGAGAAGCGCGAGCGTGCATCGTCGACCTCTACATGTTCATGACGATCGTCACGACTAGGTTTGATCTTGTAGCGACGCACTGTCGTAGATTTGTAATGCTCGTCGTCCGATGAGCGGTCATCGTACTCGCGGTACCGGCTCTCCCGGTAGACGTCGCCCATAGCTCCAGTCTCCGTTTGTCACTGATCTAACTTGGGTGCTGATAAAAAGGGACAAATCGCAAGCCGTTGTAGACACGGGTGGGCAGTCGCTGATGTTCACTCTTGTGCGATGTGCGCAGCGCTCCAATATACCGCTGTGAAATGAATGATGCAAAAATGCGCAAATGCGTCAGGTAAGGATGATGTGCAGTAAGATGAGGCTGGGGTGGACAGAGGAGGGGAAGATGGAGGGGCCTTCCTTGTGCGATGCCGTCAGCCACCAAGGGGGGGCGCAGCGAGTGTCAAGTCGAGTCACTCTGGTTGCCTTTCGAGGTGCCTCGCGGATCGTGCGCTTTGTTTCGAAAACAGTGCTGGGTAATTGTGAGCGAAAGAATGAACTGTCTGCCTTTCTGCCCAGTCTCTCTGTGGTCAGGCAGGCGTCGTCATAGCTCAAAACTTGGCACCACTGCCCAAGAAATGCATACGCAGCCCACCAACTCCCCCAAGAGCTACCCTACAGGAAGTATCTTTCGGTAGGTAGAGGTCCACGTCCTTTGTAGGTGATATGCAGCTAGTTCAACTTGTGGTTAATGCGAGTTTGCACATGTCCATCTCTGTCCAATCGTTGAGGCACCGGCACAACATCTTGTGACCAGGCTGTAAGGCAGCCAACTGTTGCACCACCGGTCACAACAGACCCTGCATCTGGGCGGGTGGCATGACAGCGATTTCATCAACAATGAATTGTACTGTTGTCGTCGACAGTTTACTGAATGAAAGATGACTAAAGTCGCGGCAGCTTCCGTCTCCCGCGTTCCAGTTCTATTCTAGCCGGAGGCTATTGTAGGTCCTCTGTAATTCTGGTGGCAGATTCTTGGTGAGAGTCATGTCCTGGTCGGGATGGCGTCATGGGGCCCAAATCAATCCACAGTCGCCCGACTGTCCAGCGGGAAGGGCGGAGCTAAGGAGAATTGATGCTGGGTCCAACGCCCACTGATCGGGTTCACATGATGCATTGAATGGGCAGCCCCTACAGTTTAGCAGAAATGTTGGCTCGATCCCAGATTCCCGTGGTGCTGTTCAGAACTTCAGGGTCTTCATTAAAGAAAGTCAAATGTCATTTGCCGAGCTAATTGCTTCCTGTCGTAAGGCCTATCTGCACTAACAAACCATCGCTGCACGTGTATTCCAAACATCAAGCTCGCTTCGTGATCTGCACGATCAAATCTTGCTGGATGAGAACGCCGTGAAACTTGTTCACAATAGGCCGCTCCGTGTTCAGTGCAGCAAAGTCAAAACGTCTCAGCAGCTCGGGCACCATCTTGTTGAGCTCAATCGTAGCGACAGGACGCCCCAGGCAGCCCCAACGTCCCGAACCAAAGCAGAGGTCCACGCAGTTATCCATTAAGCGGTACTGCTCCTCCGTGGCGCGCACCCAGCGATCAGGACGGTAAAAGTCTGCGTCGGCGCCAAAGACCTCCCTGTCCCGCAGAGCAGCATGGGCAGACCACGCGACGTTGGTGCCGGCAGGGATATGCACGCCGCAGACCGTGGCGTCCTCGCCCGAAATGCGAGGCATCACACCAGTGATCGGGGGCCAGATCCGGAAACCCTCCTTGATGCAGCCCTGCAGATACGGCAGCTTGCGCGCCTCGGCGTCCGTGATGGGCGTCGAGATGCGGCCTTCCGCGATGCCTTGGTCGATCTCGGCTTGCAGACGTCGATAGACGTCCAGGTTGGTCATGACATGGGTCATGATGGTGCGCAGCGCCGTGGCCGTCGTGTCTGATCCCGCAATGATCTGGACCAGGGACTCGGATTCTGCCTCCCTCTGGTCCAGACCATGCCTCACAAAGGACCCCAGCATGTCGGGTTTGTCCACCTTCTTCTCACCGAAACGCTCGGCAACGACCCTCTTGGCAGTCGCCATGATGGGACCGAGGCCAAAGGCATCACGCTCGGTGGGCATCATGGTCTTGCCCAGGGGGCCCTGGAGCATGTCCACGAGCCATGGGATGAGGGCAAACATCTGCATCATCGGTATGGTGTCCTCGGTGGTCTTGATGTAGCGAAAAAAGTCGGCATCATTGTCCATGAATCCAAACGCCCCGCCAAAGGCGATTTTGGAGATAATGTCCAGGGTCATGTACTGCACCTTGCGTGAAAAGTCGACGCTGACCACTTGGTCTGGGGTGGAGAGGTACTTGTCCTCGAGAAGCTGGACAAAGCGTGCAATGCCCTCATCGATGTGCTCGTGCAGACCGACGATATCCTTACCGCCGTAGCCAGGGGCGAGCTTTGCGCGCAGAGCCGTGTGTATGTCGGCATCACACATGGACAGCGTGCAGTCGTTGGGCGGGTCGAGGCGGAAGCCCTTGTACCATGAAGCGCGGTCAAACTGCGAGCGGACAGCCCAGAGGCGTCGCACCTCGCGAGGATCGCCGCAGACGACATGGTTGGGCGCGATGCGTGCCAGGGGTCCTTTCTAATCTCAGCATCGTGGGGGAAACGGCCAGGGCGAAGAAGGAGGGAGAAGGCGTGATGATTACCGTGTCGCTTGCAGACTTCACCGAGGTCCTCAAACAAGGAACCCCGCCATGTCTTGTAGATCAGCCACAGATCAGTGAACCCGGCGATCTTGGGGCCGGGAACGTGCGCTAGACGCCGCCAGGCTCGAAAGCGCGAGAAGGCGACATAGGCCCCCAAGAGGCAGGCCAACGTGATCCAGGCGCTGCGCATGTCGGGTGCGGATGAGAGCAGGCGGACAGACGGGGATGGCGTGAGTCCAGAGACCCATTTTGGATTGTTGTCTGGGCTCGCATGATTGATATGGCCCGGCCTGTTGGCTTGTGTAACCAATATTATCCTGGGTCTCCTGCAAGACAATACTCCTCGCCAATCACATGGAAGCAAACAAGTGGCACGCACGTTTCTCGAATCTCGAGTCCAGTTCTCGAGTCGCTTGACCGGTGGTGGCAGCGCACGGGCCGACCTGGTCCGGGCGGGGAGATCGAGCAGCTCGAGCCGGCGCCAGCGGCTGACTGTGACTGTGACTGGAGCTGATTGATTGCCTCCAGTCGATGGCACTCACGTCCTCAGCCACACGTGTGAGATCCTTGCTGGTGACACGCACCTCGTGCGTGAATGTTGCACCTCCCATGACAGCCTGCCCATCAATGTCCGCCCGATCAGTATGGCGGGTCGTGAGAAAACGCCTCTCAGCAGGTTAGAGCAGTCGCCTTCTCACCCCCCTCTTGCGCCTGCGGGAGAGACGGCCCCGGAAGATGATATCGACACCGATGAAGGGGGCCGCCCGACGGTGCGACGACAATTGGCCCATCCTTTACGTATTGCTGATTCTAGTCCCATAGGTCGCAGCATCATTAGGCAGCTCAGATACGGACTCGGCTCTGGGGATGGTGAGTGGCATCCGTATCCTGAGGTGGCGTCAATGAGCACTGACGGATAGAACAGAGCGATGATTCAAATTCGACATCATCACTGCGCTCCAGTATCTTTGAGATGGAGGAGGAAAATGGACGGTTGTATCATGCATACAACCGAGGCAGTAAGACACTTGTTTCCGTCTCCGGCAGCCACTTACACGCACAACAGGATATATCTTGCCCAGTGATGAGGTGTGTTCGTAGCCAGCAATATCTCCCCGATTGATGCCTGACGAAACCATTGCAGGGTGAGAGTGAACGCCTGGGTGAGTTCACCACCATTCTGAGTCAGCCGCCGCACATTTCTTCTGACTGACTGGTGGACGCAGACGTTCAACACGAGCATTTCTTACAGACATTCTACAACCGCCTGTGCTTTGCGCCGGGCGCGCCAACGGCTAAGCGAGTGCTTGACGCAGGTACCGGCACCGGCATATGGGCAATAGATTTTGGTGAGTGTGACAAACTTCCAAACCACTGGTGCCACTGGATCTCACCAAGCCAGCCGAGGAATACCCTAACGCCGAAGTCTACGGCGTTGATATTGCCCCCATCCAACCTCCCTAGTAAGCTTCGGATCCCTAAATCAGTACAGCTGTTCAACCCGTTGACCACCAGTGTGCCTCCGAATTGTCGTTTCGAAATCGACGACTTGGAACAAGAATGGACGTGGACGGAGCCATTCGACTACATCTTCAGCCGCATGATGAACGCCTCCTTCGCTGATTGGACTGCCTACACGAGGAACTGTTGGAAGTGAGTAGATTCATCATGTCCCGGCCGCGCCTCATCGCTAACAAGACGAGCCATCTAAATTCGAATGGCTGGGTTGAGATGGTCGACAGTGTGTTCCCCCTGGGGTGCGACGACGGGTCACTGACCCCCGAGCACACACTGTATGAATGGTCGCAACTACTCCTGCAGGCCTCCCGGAAATTTGGACGGTCCTTGGCCGACGCAAAGGACCATAAGCAGCGGCTGCGCGACCAGGGCTTCATCAACGTCGTGGAAAAGAGCTTCAAGTGGCCGACCAATGGAGAGTGGCCCACCACCAAGCATCTCAAGAACATTGGGAACTGGACGCATTTCAACATTGACCGCTCGCTGGAAGGCTTGAGCATGGCCCTGCTCACCAGAGGGCACGGCTGGACCCAAGAAGAGGTGCTTGCCTATCTGCCAGCAGCGAGGAAGGACATGCGGGACCCGACGATCAAGGCCTACTGGCATGTGCTCGTGGTGTACGGCCAGAAACCAGATCTCCCGGCAGGCGACGAGTAGCGTTTGCGCGTCATGGTGGCGTGTCTCTTTATCTTTCTTGCATATCATAGGGGTAGGAGTAGGTGGGTGGTGGACATGGGATTGGCGTTACAGCGAATGAATGCGTATACTGGAAATATTTTGGACAACCAACGCCTACGCCTCCAAATGCTCTCGAAATACAGGAAATCTAGTCGTCGTAATCACCCTTTGTGCCAATGAAGCCGGTACCGCCACCGCTGCGTCTTTTCCTCCCAATGACATCCTTCACCCAGTCGCTCAAGGTGAAGCCCCAGTGGCCAGCCACCAGGACACCGCTGACGACGTTGATGATCCTGATCAGGAACCGCAGGAAGCTGTCGCGGTCTTCCCGGACGGCCAGCGTGATGGGCTCAATGTCGTACTTGAAGAAGATGCCGGGGATGCTACGGTCCCTGACGGGCTTGCTCTGCTCCGTGACGGCGTACTGGTTCGTCGTGATCTTGTGGCTGCCGTGCGTGTACTCTGTCGGCACCAAGCTCAGCATGTACTGGAACTTGTGGAAGTTTGTCTCGGCGGTGTTGACCGTCCTGTCGAGCGGGTTCACCAGGGACGGGTAGAATGGGCCGTAGCTCAGTTCCGAGACGATGTGGCTGAAGTTGAAGCTGCCATGGTCGAGATGCGTCTGTTCGCCCATGTCCATGTAGCCGTGCCCACGGGCCGTGATGTGGAAATCGCCCTGCACCTTGTTCAGGTCCAGGGACCCGTACAGTCGGCAGCTGTCCGCGCGTCCCTTGACACGGGGCGTCTTGGCCCATTTGGCCCTCTTCTTGCCCAGGCGCACAATGTCGTGGACGTGCTCCTCGCCAAAGCCGTCGTCGTGCACCAGGTTCTTCCACCCCGCGCCGGTGTTGACCCTGCCGTGCGCGTCGCGGCCGAGCTTGTGCACGCCCTCGCCGTCCACCCACTGGGCCCACGTCGTCCGGTCTTTCTGCAGCTTGCTGGCTGCCAGGATAAGGTCGCCCGCCGCGTCCTGCACGTTGACATGGAGGTCGGCGCACTGCATCTTGACGACAATATCGAGGTTGACCTGCATCTGGTGGCTGACGCCCTTCTCGACCGCAAAGTTGTGGCTTTCATAGCCGTTCCACCACCGCGAGGCCTCGGCCCAGACGAAGAGGATGGAGAAGACCATCATGGCGACGGTCCATTTCCCGCCGTCGGATGTGCGAGTGACATACTGAGGTTTGCTCTTGGCTGCTGGTGGTTAGCAGGTTTCCCTCCTCAAGCGGTCCGGATAGTCGCTTACGGAAGGCGTCAAAAGCGCTGACGATGCTCCCCTTGGCGCCAAAGGCATCTTCATCGAGACGCTTCTCGTTATAACCGTCCATTGTTGATGGTGGGGTGGTTTTGGAGGCAGCACTCCAGCTTGGAACCCCCGTGTCTGCTGTGACTTGTCCAGTCTTTACCGCATCACCCGTCGCGTTGAGGCAATGGAGCTGTTGCTGAACAAGTGCGTTGCGTCGGACGTCGAATTGGATCCCGCCCGTCAGGAAAGCGTCTGGCAATTGATCTTTGGCCGCAATGCCTCGGGGCGCTGTCCTGAAACTGAAAGGACACCTTGATCAATGGACCCCTGATTTCGCGACCGCGCCTGATTGGAGCGGCGGAGGAAGACCCGCTTTTCGACGGAACATTGTTCACCCGCTGCATCTGGACAAGAAGGCTGAAGCTCTGGTGCCGCGTCATGCAGAATGCCCTGAAATTACTCCAAAGCGGTCCTTCAACCGATCAACCGATATGGAGCTACGCGCAACTGCTTGCGACAGCAGGTGCTATTGATGGGAGGCCTGCGGGTGGTTCCAAGCCTCTCTCCACACTCTACCCGCGTTGTACGGGCCGGCCTTGAGTCTTGACAGCATCCGTTCATTTCCAGCCAAGAGGCAGTGTAGCCCGAAACGTGCTCCCCTCGCTCGTATCGTCGAGCTCGATGCAAACATGAAGGGTATCACTCCCAGCCAGGAACTTGCTGCTTGCACGCTGCCCAACCAGACGTCTGGGTTTCGCCAAGCACGGGCGTCCTTGTCGATCGGCAGCGGACAGCCGGTCTTGGCAGCAGACGTCAACCAGGTCCTGGTCTAGTTTCCCTCTCCACGAAGCAGCGTGCATGGCTTTGGACATTGACGTTCTCTCCTCCAGAAAAGAATCGCAATCTGAATATTGAAGGCCCCCAAAGACCGCGTGCAGTCTGTCCAGTGGCATGGACACGTCGATCGCTTCCCCAAGCGGGGCGGCCTCCCTTGGTTCGAACTTTGCGTGACGCACCATTCGGCATCAGAGTTCCGTGGCGCCTCGAGCCAAAACCAGCACCACAGCATTCCCGAGGGCGCCCTCGTAATGCGCCGGCCGACTATCCGGGCGTGATGTATGCGCTTGCCATAGGTAGCGACACGTACTACTACTAGTCCATGCCCGTTGTGCGTGTGAGGGCTGTGGCGTCTACGAGGCGGCTTAGCATTCCTTTTCACTTGTCTCGTGTTGACCTCGCACTTGCTGCATCTATGTCTTTTGCAACAATTTGAACTCTCGTCAATCACGCATGCTCTCATTCGCTTGGTGTCGCGTTCGTTTTCTGGCCAGAAATCACTCGCTCCTACACCGCAATCGGACATTGGCTCCCTTGACACTCCAACTACACATCTCGCCAACCGATCATCCGGGCGCATAATCAGCGCTCCAGCATAGCCATGAAGCTATCATCAGTTCTAGCTCTGGCGACGGCTGTCACCGCCCAGCAATTCTCCATCGCGAGCGACGACGACATCAAGAAGACGGCGGCTGCCGTTGCTTGGGACCTCCTTCAGTACTATCATGGCAACGAAACGGGACAGACGCCTGGCATCCTGCCCGGACCGCCGGCCTCGGGGCTAGGTCCGTACTACTGGTGGGAGGCGGGTGCGATGTGGGGGACGCTCCTCGACTACTGGTTCCTCACCGGCGACGACAGCTACAACGACTTGATTATGCAGGGCATCCAATTCCAGTCCGGGCCGCAGAAGAACTTTATGGACCCCAACTACACGCTGTCCATGGGCAATGACGATCAAGGGTTCTGGGGCATGACGGCCTTGACTGCGGCCGAGAACAACTTTACCAACCCCCCAGCCGACAAGCCGCAATGGGTCGCCCTGGCGCAGGGCGTCTTCAACGACATGGCGAGCCCCGAGCGGTGGCAGACGGACACCTGCGGCGGTGGTCTGCGCTGGCAGGTCCCCTTCTCCAACGTGGGCTACAACTACAAGAACTCCATCGCCAACGGTTGCTTCTTCAACATTGCCGCCCGCCTCGCACGCTACACCCACAACGACACGTACGCCGACTGGGCGGAGAAGGTTTGGGACTGGGTCGAGGGCGTCGGATACATGGGCAAGAACAACGATGCATTGTACGACGGCGCGCATGTCGAGGACAATTGCACCAAGATCAACAAGGAGGAGTACTCGTACAACAACGCCGTCTACACCCTGGGCGCCGCGTACATGTACAACTACACAAACGGCTCGTCAAAGTGGGAGGGTCGGGTGAGCAAGCTGGTCGACCACGGCTTCTCCACGTTCTTCCCCAACGACATTGCCTACGAGCCCCAATGCGAGACGTCCAAGACGTGCACCACGGACATGAAATCCTTCAAGGGCTACCTGCACCGGTGGTACGCGACCTCAACGTCGGTGGCCCCCTTTCTGCGCGACAAGGTCCTGCCCGTGCTCAAGACGTCGGCAGAGGCATCCATCAAGGTCTGCACGGGTGGTGACAATGGGCGCCAATGCGGCTTCAGCTGGGCGGCCGGTCAGTTCGATGGCATAATGGGCGTTGGACCGCAGATGAACACCCTTGGAGCGGTCTCATCACTGCTCATCACGGAGACCCATGGCACGGTGTCGAAAACGACCGGCGGATCCAGCAAGGGCGACCCAACAGCTGGTGGTGAAGACACCACCACCACAAAGATCACTACCGCTGACCGCGCTGGCGCTGGAATCCTGACATTCCTGGTGTTGGGCAGCAGCGTGAGCTTGTTCGGGTGGATGTGTTTCGGAGACGCCTAAAGGAGAGAAGGATGTGATGTTCAAGAAGTTGATTTTTTTTTTTTTTTTTTTTTTTTGGTTTATTGATCTCTGCGCCGGCGTTGGGGCGGGTGAAACGGTCTGTAGGAATGGAATGGGGGTATCAGCTAGAGGCGGCGTAATAACGTCGAAATGATCATTTTTTTTCTCGCGACATGATTTCTCATCACGCTTCCGCGGCCCTCTTCGCAGCCAGGCCGCTCACTTTCTCCACGGCCGCGCCCAGGGCCCTGGGGTCCGCGCCCCGGATCATGGCCTGTCCATTCACGGCCACCTGCTTCCCCTCCTTGAAGAACATGAATGTCGGCATGGCGCTGATGCGGTACCGCTGCGCCGCCTCCTGGACAGCGTCGACGTCGACCTTGGCGAGAGCAAAGTGCGAGTCGACGGCGTGCGTCTTGGCCAGGTTGGCAAAGACCGGGCTGATGGTCTTGCAGGGTCCGCACCAGGTCGCGGTGAAGTCTACGGCGACGTAGGTGTGACTGGCGAGCAGGGCGTCGAGCTCGCCGACAGAGTTGATGGTGTGGACTTTGTCGGACATGGTGGTGGTAGCTGTCTGCAAATCGATGTGGTTTGTGAGTGAATATCAAGGTGAGGCGGGGGGGAGATGAGTGACACTGATGGCAGTGAAATGGTGGGGTTCCAGAGGTTTCTGGCATGTGCAGTTGTGATGACAAAGTGCGGCCATAGTCAGATGCTTACCCTATGCACGCTTGCTGCACATGTAAGCACGTCAATGATAGGGGTGATGGCTGCATCTACTAGGAGTCTATGCGTAAGCAGGGATGATTCATCGCTTTGGGGTACGTAGTAAGTTGGTTCTCTTCGTCTCAGGCACGTCATGCACGATCGTGTATGCAATGTCAGCGGAAGGCTTGGTCTCTATAGGGCTCAACCGACGAGACACCAGACACTCACGCTTTGGTCGCATAAGCACAGGCTTCATGACCATTCTTGTAAAGCGATTATCGCGTTGTCATATTCACGTCGGAATGAATTTTCTAGTGGTCTCCCCACAGTACCCGACTGATGAAACCTCGCTGGCTAACGTTGTGCTGTGTTGGGACTCTTGAGTATCCATGTCTTAGTCTCAAGACACCATATAGCAACATTTCCAAGTGAGAACTGCCGCCATAGATAATCGGGCTCTCGTCATGAAAATACTTTCAGTAGCTTATAACCCCAGTCTTAGGGAGCTACCCAGATCAAGGGTTAAATCTGACCATCGAGACACGGGTACACAGGTCGTGCTGTCGGCTGCTTCCATAGCTACTCACACGGGTAAAAGCCTTCAGAGTAGCCTTTCCGAGATCTCGTCTACTTGTGGCGTCTACGTACGACTCGCTGTTCCTTTGTGCCATTACCTAATGGGCCCTGGCTGCCCCTGGCCTTGTCGCATGGCAGCGCCCGCAACGAGACCTGTTCTCACCCAGGAGGCCATGGCAACCAGTCGTTGATACACGTTCCCGCCTATCTGCGCGCGCTATATGCGAGATCGGATCTGACAGGTAGATCCGGGGAGGGACGGGTTCGTGTTATCGTCGAGTGCACCTTGCGTTTACATGTCCCCGACCATCTGAGATGTTCAGAGCCATGCCCTGGCCCTGAAGATGACGGTGACACTCGACGATAGCTCCACGTCAACACTTCTTGAGCCATGCGAAGCTATCACACAAGGTCTATTGTTGACTGGCCTCGTCAATGCACATGGCCAAGAAGCGTACTTTGGGAGGACTGGCGTGGACAGGGCGTGCTGGCCTCCCTGACAATCCGGACCTGAGGGACCCACTTCCCCAGACTTCAAATCGGAGCCGCCCGAGACTCAAGAATTTTCTGCGCTGCGGGCCCGCCAATGCAATTGTGCAGCTTCGCGAAGCGCCTCGCATCGGCATTGCAATTTTTATTTGCTGCAAGCCTGCACAAGCACTGAGTACACTCAGCCAGGCCACGCGGTCACCTTGCGTGCGAGGCGCCAACGCAGTCACGTCCGCCTAGGCTCAAGCTGAATAATTAGTCGTAGGAGGGCTTACAGATCAATCGCTTTACTCCAGTCGTCATGGCTGGAAACTCGCCTGCTGAAGCGCCTGACTGTCACGCGCACCACCCATGCCGGCCATGATGCAATTCCGGCCCCATCTGGGCGCAATTCCCATTACCCCCAGAAAACCGCTGGTTGGCCGGGCAAAGTTTGCGGACTCCTCAGCGTCCTCACGCTTTGCAGTTAACCGCTAGACCGACCCTCTGCCCCAATTGCGGAGCCTTGTTTCGATGGGATAAAATTTACGTTTTCAAACTCCCCTTTTCCAGGGGGATGAGGTCTGGTGACGTCTCTACACAGTCTCGCTCCACCAGACCTCACTGTCTCTGCCAGCGATATGGACACCATGCTCACAGTGTCTGTCTCGGATGGACACCTTGATTGCACTTGCGGGGAAGACCTCGATCCCTTGTGCGGGACGCGCCAGTACACGCCCCAAGCGAGGATCTCACGATGCAATGGGCAGAGAAGAGCTTTTTTTCAAGTGTCTGCTGACCTGTTGACTCGGGCCTACCCGTCATTCCACTAGTTATTAAGCTTCATCGCATCATCGCGCCGTATGCTATATAGTCCAAGCTGCTCGTCAACCTGCCTCGGTGCTCGTCTCGTCTTCACTGTTCACATACTCCTCAGCTCACTCCCCTGAAGCCATCCCACCAGAAGAAGCTACGCGCCAGCTCTACAACTCCTCCAAACAGCACATCTATTCGTGCCTGACCACCATCACAATGCCTTCCTACATCCTCACAGAGCCCGCCCCGAGCACAACCTCCTACATTCGCTCGGGCCGCGGCGGCGCTGGCAACACCTTTCGCGCATCCCCCCAGACCACCAGCACCACCATCACCACCTCACGAGCACCCGCCTCGTCCTCCCCACGTCGCTTCTTCTCCGGCGTAGGCGGTGCAGGCAACGTCCACAAGGCATCTGAGCGCCCCAGCGCCTCGGCCATCCTCGACGACGAGCTCCGCCGCCGCACCGCGCGCGAGGAGAACTCCATGGGCCACTGCGGCATCGGCGGCGCTGGCAACGTCTACAGGCGAAAGGGCAGCGACGCCTCGAGCCAGGTCTCCGACACCAGCTCCGTGAGCAGCACTGGCAGCAGGTCCAAGCTTTGGGCCAAGATGACTGGCAAGCAATAATGACCTTGCTCTGTTCAGAAAAGACGGCACAAAGAAACAGAAAGAAAAAACGGCTATGGCATGAGCGATTGATTTGGCGTTCAAACTTGGGTACCTCAGAGCGAACGGGATCCTGGAAAAAAGGGCATTGATTTTCCGGTGTTTCTCTGGTGAACTTTTATTATACCCCCCCTCAAGGAAGGCGAAGGACTGGACTTTTATACATATGAATGAATGATGACACATGTCAAATTGACACCACACTGAATTGCTTCGTCCTGTTATGTTGACAACTTGGGTATCTTGACTCTACTACTGACAATGGATGCTGCGATACGCCCCTGCTCCCTCGGTGATGTACGTCCTTACTACAAATAACAACAGATCTTATATAAATTTCGCATGGATACAGTCGGGGTCCTCGTGCCAGTCGTCAATCGTCACCCACATCTGTATACGTTAGTCTCGAAACAGGGCCAAGAGAGGAACAACATACCTTCTTGAACGTGCTCAGCTGCGCCAGGATACTCCCGCCGATCCACGTAGTGAACTTTCGCTCAGGCGGCGCAAAGATCTTGAGTCGCATGTCCTTCGGCGCCAGCTTCTGGACCTCGGAGAGCAGCCGATCCGGAAATCCCTTGATCATCGTGCTGCCGCCCGAGAGCACAATGTTGCTGTACAGCGACTTGCGCAGGTCCAGATCCGCGCGGCTGATCGAGTCCACCACGATCTGGTGAAGGCCCGGGTACTCGAGGCCAATGATCTCCGGGTCGAAGAGGATCTCCGGCGCGCGGAAGCGCTCCGCCCCGACCTTGAGCTTGTTGCCATCTGGTAATTTGTACTCGCCCATCTTGCTCTCGCTGTGCTTGGGGCCGAACCACTCGCGCTCCTCCTTGCGGGGATCGTGCGCCACGTAGGACAGCTGCTCCTTGATGAGGCGCACAATCTCCTTCTCGGCACTCGTGTGGAAGACGTGGCCGCTCTTGCGCAGCAACATCTGCAGATATTCGGTCACGTCCCGCCCCGCCACGTCGATACGGCGGATGCTGTTCTGGACGGAAAAGCCTTCGTACACGGGCACCGCGTGCGACACGCCGTCGCCCGAGTCGAGCACGATGCCAGTCGTCCGTCCACTGGCGTATAATGATAGGATGGCCTGCATGGCTGTGTGGAGGGTCGGTACGTTGAAGGTCTCAAAGAGAATCTGGGCGGCCGTGTCGCGATTGCTTCGGGGGTTCAGAGGGGGCTCTGTCAATAGTACAGGGTGCTGCGCCAGTCAGTACAATGTCCCTCCCCGGGCGAGGCCGCTGGTGCTCACATCTTCACTCATTGTCTTGAGTGCGTCACTATAGACGTATTCCCAGATCCGCTCCATATCGTCCCAGTCCGTCACAATGCCGTGGGCCAGCGGGTACTTGATCTTAAGCAGGCCCCTCATCTCGTTCTCTGCATGCTTCCCAATGAACACATCGCCCTCCAGCGCACCGGCGAGCACGCGCAAATGTTTCGGCCGCCCCACGAACGCAGGGAAGTAGGTGTCGGGCATCTCGCCTCCCGCGAAACCTGCGCGAATGGTGCCCGAGCCATTGTCCAGCACGACGGCTGCTTGAAGATGAGAGTCACCCATATTGTCGTATCATGCGCTTTGAGAAATAGTGGGGGAGAAGGAGGATGTTGCCCGCCTCAACGTCCCACGACGCCTTCTTGAGGCCCTCGAGGGACAATGAATCGCAGCACAGGCCACCGACTCGACAATGGTGTGCTCGTGGTACGGTACAACGCAAGGGGCGAGCGTGTAAAAGTCAAGGCGCAGTGTTATGGCGTTTGCGTAGGTCGTCGGGGTGGGATTGGGCCAGCAGATGCACTGTTCGTTGCTGTTGATTGGCAGCTCGTCCTTTTTTATTGACTTTCACCTGAGGAAGCTCTCCCGCCAGACGCGTTGGCGTTCCGTCAGTACGGGGTCGAGTCAGGAGGCGCCATCACGTGTGGCGGACGACTGGTGCCGTACCTGGAGGAAGAGCGCACCAGCCACTGCACCAGCCACCGCACACCCACCCCCCTGGAGGCTGAGGCTCAGTACTTTAAAGTGCTTCGCGTGATGCGCGTCGCCCGCTCAGTTTCGCGTCACGAACGTGCCAGAGACCGAGCTGCCAGCACTGCACAACATTCGCACGTTATTCGATCAATCAATTGCTGCCCCGGCAAATCGCCATCATGGTCAAGACTGGGGGCCCAGGCATTTACAGTGCCACGTATAGTGGTGTACGTCGTCGTCCACGCTCCTGCAGCTTGCCCGTCTAACTCAGCAGATTCCCGTTTACGAGTTTCAATTCGGCCTGGACCTCAAAGAACATGTCATGCGCCGGCGCCATGACGATTGGATCAATGCCACGCACGTTCTCAAGGCCGCCGGCTTTGACAAACCGGCACGTACCCGCATCCTCGAGCGCGACGTCCAGAAGGATGTGCACGAGAAAATCCAGGGCGGCTACGGCAAATATCAAGGCACATGGATCCCACTCGAGTCCGCCGAATCCCTCGCGCAGCGACACAGCGTCTACGACCAGCTCCGTCCCATATTCGAGTACCGACCCGGCAATGAGAGCCCGCCACCTGCGCCGCGACACGCCAGCAAACCAAAGGTGCCAAAGGCCAAACCGCCCGTGCCCCGATGGAACAGCAAGGCGTCCTCTTCCCAACCGAAAAACGCACAAGTCCTGGCAGCGACAGACAATGCGGGCCCTATTGTGGAGGACTATGACAATGGCGCTGACACGTTCATGGGGGACGATACACCAGACAACCTGACCACAGCCTCGGCATCGTACATGGCCGAAGACGACCGGTTCGACATGCCACATATCTCGACCGGGCATCGCAAGCGCAAGAGAGAGGAGCAGATTCAGGACATGACGGAACAGCAGCATTCGCTGTACGGCGATGAGTTGCTAGATTACTTTCTGCTGGCGCACAATGAGCATCCAGCCGTCAAGCCCGATCCGCCCCCGAACTTTCAGCCCGATTGGCCGATTGACGAGGAGAACCACACCGCACTGCACTGGGCGTCTGCCATGGGCGACGTGGATGTGATCAAACAGCTCAAACGGTTCAACGCCAATGTGTCGGCGAGGAATATCAGGGGGGAGACTCCCTTTATGCGCTCGCTCAACTTTACAAACTGCTTTGAGAAGCAGACGTTTCCCCAAGTGATGCAAGAACTATTCGAGACGGTCGACGCGAAAGATAATGAGGGGTGTACGGTGATACACCATGCTGCGATTATGAAGAATGGGCGCATGTACAGCCACTCGTGTTCGAGATACTACCTTGATAACATCCTCAATAAGCTTGGCGAGGTCATGGATCCGGGGGATTTTCAGCACTTTCTCGACGCACAGAACCAAGAGGGCAATACGGCGCTGCATTTGGCCGCGCAGCGAAATGCCCGAAAGTGCATAAGAGCACTGCTGGGGCGCAATGCATCGACCGACATGCCCAACAACGAGGGCGTAAGGGCAGAGGACCTCATCAAAGAGCTCAACGCCAGCAAGCGGGACAGGGGCCCGCAACGGTCATCCTCGCCGTTCGCGCCGGATTCGCATCGGCACGCGTCGTTTAGGGATGCCTTTGCCGAGAAGGCGAAGAGACCGGTCGTCGCCTTTTCGTCGGCAGCGGCCAACACGGTCCAGTCACATATCTCGCCACTGATACTGGAGAAATTCCAGGACCTGGCCAAGAGCTACGAGGAGGAGTTTCAGCAGAAAGATGTCGCCGAGGTGGAAGCGAAGCGCATCCTGCACAACTCCCAGGCGGAGCTCTCGACCACGCGGCAGCAGATTGCCGAGCTGGAGAGCCAGCTGGAGGCGGACGACGCAGCCAACAAGATTATGAGCGATGCCAATCTGGCCAAGCACCAGGCACTGGAACTGATCACCTACCACAACCAGCTCCGCATACGCGACGCCGTGGATGCAGAGCTGGGCAAAGTCAACGGCGACGCGTCGACGCAGAAGGAGACGAGCGAGGAGAAGCTGTTGCTGGCGCAGCAGCTGTCACAATTACTGAGCGAGAGGCGGCAGGTTGAGTCGGAGTACGTCGACGCACTCAGCATGGTCGGCACGGGCGACAAGATTGAGCGGTACAGACGACTGCTCAAGACGTGTCTCGACCCCATGGACGGGGAGAACTTGGATCTCAACCTCGACAGTCTCATTGAGATGATGGAGGAGCAGCGGGAGGTGCACGACCTGGATGGGCTACCCGCGCTGGACGGCGTGCCCATGGATGGTGGTGATGCCATGGACGTGAGAGCATAGAGGGGCCTCGGGGCTCATGGCATGTTTGTTGACAAGCGCATTGACAAGCGCATTGATAAATGATAACTTTGGATTAATTGATCTATCTTTTTTATTGACATTAATGTCCGTTCTCCTGTCAACCACCCGCAAACGGGTAAAAACTGGGTTCCCGCCGGGACGGGTGCCGGCGTGCTTTGAAATACTGGCTGCTGCCGGAAATCACGCAATCCACCCGGCAAAAGCGAGAAAGGCTACGGCCACGTCTCACAGCTCACCTTTGGTTCTTCACCTCCCAATCTTCACTCTTTATAAGCCTGTTTCACTGTCCACTGCAGCATGTTTTCCACACGTCTCGCCAGCGTGGCTGCGCGCCGCTCCTTTGCCACCGTGGCACCCGCGTCGTCGTCGTCCGCGCACAAGGTGGTCGTCGTCGGTGCTGGCACGGCGGGTCTCAGCATCGCCCACCAGCTGCTGGGCACGGGCCGCTTCCAGGACCAGGACATTGCCGTCGTCGACCCTGCCGAGTGGCACCACTACCAGCCCGGCTGGACGCTCGTCGGGGGCGGGCTCAAGACCAAGGAGGAGCTCCGGCGGCGGATGACGGACCTGGTCGACCCCAAGTTCAAGTTCTACAACACGTCGGTGGGGAGCTTCAAGCCAGAGGACAACACTGTCCGTCTGGGCAGCGGCCAGTCCCTCGAGTATGAGCACCTGCTCGTGGCGCCGGGTGTTAAGGTGGACTTTGGCAGCGTGCGTGGGCTGCCAGAGGCCCTGGCCGACGAGGCGACGCCTGTGTCGTCCATCTACGGCTACGAGTCCGTCGACAAGCTGTGGAGGGACATTTCCAAGACGAGCAAGGGCCGCGCCATCTTCACACAGCCGGCCGGTGCGATCAAGTGCGCGGGCGCGCCGCAAAAGGTCATGTGGCTCGCGCTGGATCACTGGCGCCAGGCAGGCCTGTACAAGCCCGACGGACCGTCCGACGTGAACATAACCTTTGCGTCCGGGCTGGGCGGCATGTTCGCCGTGCCCAAGTACGCGGCCAAGCTGGAGCAGCTGCGCAAGCAGCGCGGCGTCGAGGGCCTCTTCTTCCACGATCTCGTCTCGATCGAGGGCGACAAGGCCGTGTTCGCGCGACCGGACGGGCAGGACAAGGTGGAGAGGCCGTTTGACCTCTTGCACGTCGTGCCCAAGATGGGCCCCCACGCCTTTGTCAAGGACAGCCCCCTTGCCAACGAGGCGGGCTACGTGGATGTCCACGACAATTCGGCGCAGCACAAAAAGTACGCCAACGTCTGGTCGTCGGGCGACGCCTCGTCGCTGCCGACCTCGAAGACGGCGGCGGCCGTGACGGCGCAGGCGCCCGTCATCGTCAACAACATCCTGAACACGATGGATGGCAAGCCCGTGGAAAATGGGTACGACGGGTACACGTCCTGCCCGCTGCTGACAGAGTACGGCAAGGTGCTGTTGGCCGAGTTCAAGTACGGCGGCGTACCCAAGGAGACGTTTGGCGACGTCTTTGGCATCGACCAGGCGGAGCCGAGGCGGTCGTTCTACCACCTCAAAAAGGACTTCTTCCCGTGGGTGTACTACAACAACATGGTCAAGGGCACATGGGGCGGTCCCAAGGGGTGGCTGAACTAAGTGGACGGACTGACTGGAGCCAAGCAGGCTAGGCGAAACCATGTACCACTACAAAAGGGCTGAAATAGACCACGTTATATTTTGTTGCGATCCGTGCCCATTCTCGAAGGATTCGGTCATGGGCAAGATCCGAGCATTCCCTGTCCGAGTCCGACCTCGTGCTGTCAGCCAGCCCGACGGTTGCATGCCCTGTCCGTCGTTATGATGGAGAATGGCGTCTGACAAGACTAGATCCGGTCATCCATGCATGGCAGGAGAGTCAGGTGAATGCCTGGTGAAGTCAAGATGTGGGTGGATAGGTCAGCCCTGTGACCGTCCCGCCTTGACGCCCATAGGTCAAGTCGTAAGCCTGCCTCAGACCCAGACCCATGAGCCCTGACCGTATGTAGCTTACGGGCTCGAGAAGTATCCGCGGTGTCCGCTGTCAGTGTGAGAATATGGTGAGAGCTAGTATATCTAAGTAGGCGAGGTGCTGTGGCCAGCGGGGGAGGGGGAGGGGAGGCCTGCAGGGTCAAGGGTGCGATGTCCCAGACAGGGGTGGGTGCCTGCATGCTAATAGCTGTAGGGCTGAGAAAGGGCCTCCTCCACGCTGATGGGTAGGATTCCCAGCCTCGTCTACACGAGATTACCGGCAGATTAGTTAGTGCGGCGCTTTTCGGCGAGCGGCAGAGGAGTTTGCTCTCCGTGTCTCTGTGCGGAACGAGGCTGGCAAGAGTTGCCCAACCAACCGCACGGCCATCTTGTCGCGTCATCAGTAGAGGCTCAGCGGTGGGTCAGACGTTTGTTCTATGATAGGCAACAGCCGAGAGGAAGAGGGCTTTTCGACATGTCGGATCCGTAACACGAGCACGGCAGTGGTCGTCGTCGTCGTCAGGTGGCAAAGGTCTTAACTTAGGAGGTGCCACGTAATTAGAAGCGAGGCCGTGTTCGAGAAGACGGGACGCGGGAAGCAAAGACAGACAAGAAAAAAGTCGGCAAGATATCCACGGTTCGGGACTTGCAGGAAGACATGGACCGGAGACTTGTTGAAAAATTGCCAGCATACAGTGCATGGAATTATCAGAAGAAGGTGGTGAGAAGCCAGCTGACAACCCGCTTTTCCCTAGAAACCCAGTCCAGCCGTTGCAGTAGCTGGCCGGGTCCTACCGCCTGCGACAGGTCGAGGAGCAGCGCCCACCACTTGCAGGCTGCAGCAGCATGCACTCTGGCCAAGATCGTGGTATGCGATGCGGGCACCGTCGATCTAGCGTTGCGTGACAAGGAGGATTCAACAAGTTTCGCGGTGGCGTTGGTCTTTGTTGGCGTAATGGCGCAGGTGCTGGATATGATGCGCCCGATACCTTACAGTGGACTAGATAGAGGCCATCGAAGACACGCATAGGCGCATCGCGAATCCGCATACTTTAGTTGGGCAACCATTGCATGCATGATGCATCGAAGGTTTGTCTGTGGGGACTCGGCGAACTCGGTCTCGTTTTTTACAGCAGATTGTGAACAAGAACTGTACGGTACCTGGCAGATGGACGGCGATACAGGTGGGCGAGGACCGTGACCTGGCTGGAGGGCCGACAGGAGGCTGCGACCAGCGTCTGGTCGAAATCTTTCAGGCTTCCATCGCCGTTCTTTCTGTCGATCCGCCACTGGCGCCATCTCTGCCAGCGTCGATAGTTGATCCCTTAGCACCATCACTATTGTGCGCGCCCAATGGCCTTTCACGCTGACCGACCTAGTGGACGTTTTAGGCTCATGGCCATGTGCCAGCGGCAGGGGTGCGCTGGGCGGCGCGCTCAGCACTGTAATTAGCGACTGGAGGCTGGCAGCCGCGTTTCGCAAGACAGGCTGCGACGCGGCATGCCGGAGACTCTACTTGTACTAATTCGCTCTCATGTAATAATATATACGCACTAATATAAACAACCAGCTGGAGCAAGCCTGGGCCGCCGCTAGCGCGCACCCGAATGGCAGCGCCACACGCCAGTCCTCACAGGCCGCACGGAACGGGCGCGGCCACTGACGTCGGGGCCGCGAGGCCTGAGCTGAAAACCCGCCCTCGTGCAAAAGCCCATAGCTGAATCCGGTCATGCGAGGGGCGACTCGTCAAGTCGGCGGCGCCATCGATCAATGCATCTCAGCTACCATCAACGGCCACCACCATGGTGCATCCGAAATCGAACCCGTGATGGTGTCGCCAGAAGAAGATGTGTTTTTCATCGCTCGAGCCAGTCCCTATTTGAGCAGGCCATGTACGACGTGCTTGAGCTCATCAAACCACCACTCCTTCGACACCATTGCCTGTCTTACTTACATGGACTCTCACACCCACGTCCCTGTCCTCACCTAATAATTAAATATTCCTCACTTCACCCGAGCGCGCGCCAGCCATTGAAAACAATCTGCCATCTCGTTCATTGAGCACCAGTTGGCCCGACCTCGCTTTCTTCCTGCGGAAAGGATCCCCAAGCTGAGGAGGGGACAGGCCAGACCGCAGCACCACCAACAAGTACCGGTACCGACCAGACAGACAGACCGTCGTAATTATCGCGGCTGAGCCTGAGCCCTCCCTGGCCCGGCTGGAGGGAGCGAGCATCCATTTGATCCCACCGTTTCACCGAGTCCCACAGTTGCTGCTCACTCGCGAGTCGCTCGCTCGCTCGACGCTGACACCATGCCAGCCGTCGCGACTACCAACCGCATCGGCGCCGACTACTTGAGAGACCAGCCACCCACCACCACCCCCTTTTGGTCTGCCGCCCCCGGTGGTCTCTCCATCTTCGTCGCCGTCGTCGTCCTGCGACTCTGCATCCGCCGATTTCAGAGAAAGAGGAACAGCAGGACGCCGTCCAAAGTCAGACCCCAGGCGCCCTCCCTCGTCGCTGCTCCCAGGCACCTGCAGCACACCTGCCCTCACCAGCAGCCTCATGCTGCGCCGTCCGGGACCATGAGCGAAAAAGAGTCTGATGACCAGCGGCCGCTCGTCCCCGGGCCCCCGCGGCGCAACACCGGAGGACCAGGCGCCGAGGACGGCATGCTCCGACAACTCATCACTCGGCCGCCTCCCGCTCCGCCCTTGACGCCCCCGGAGCTAAGCTCCACAGTCTTCGCGTTCGCGAACCGGCCTCACAGTCCCAGTCACGACAGCCTCATCCACCAGCCAAACCCAGACTACATCTCGCTGTCCGCCTCGGGTGCGGGATCTCCCCCCGACGCCACCGCAGCATCCGCCCAGCCGATGAGGCTCTCCTACTCAAGGACCATCCCCATCGGTGTGCCCATCACCCGGCAGTCGTCCGCGTCAGAGTCGGATACCTACTTCTCTCCCAGCTCCTATCCTCCCTCCAGCCCGCTCCTGCCCCCGGCGCCTCCCACCGACATGGCGGCGCACCTGGACACCGACGAGCCTAGCCCGGCACGGGCGCGCGACATTGAGCTGCGCGGCGAGATTGTGGGCGTCCTCGACGGCCAGGGCGTCGGCTGGACACGGCACACCCGCGTGTACGGCGGAGGACCATGCATGGCCTGCGCGGCGGCCGGCAGGGCCCACGGTGACGGCGGCTTCTATGGTCCCAATGTGATGCCCGAGGAGATGCGCTAGGAGGGAGGCGTCAAAAAGGCGAGGTGGGAGAAGACGGATTGCCCGCGAGGGCCTCATGACGATTCACGACATTTCCTAAGACAATCATTTTATTCAGAGCTGTCGACGTTGACTTGCCAGTTATCAATTCTGGCAAATGGCCGACAGCTACATAGTTCTTCGATGTATATCTGCATATTCTTACTCTGTTTGCTTCTGTTGTGAATCACCTTATTGGCCGTGAGACCGTGTCACCATGGATGCACGTACAACCCACGAACCCCCCATCCTTTCTCATGTACAAGGCCAATCTTGGTGCGGCCGTTTCCCAGTGACGTGCATCTGCCGCTCTTGCTATAGACGGCGCTTACCTCCCCCACTGGGCTGCTGACGGTTCTCACACAGGGAAGTCTTCCACGGAGCGGGGCTCTGTGAAGCTGCGTGTTATGGTCAGCCGGACTTGTGGGGTCGGAGGGTATCTACGTACTTATGCATGAGCTGAAGAGACTGGAGGCCTTGTACTGGTACATGTAGCAGCTGTGTTGTTGGTAGGTCGTGGTAGGGCTACTTGTGCAAGGCTGAGGAGGAGGCAGGGAGACATGAAGAACTGGCGTGATTGTTTCATGGAGATGGACGAGGAGCTTTGCATCGGAACGTGAGTCTGATCATGCTGCTGTTGGACTTGGCGAGCTTGGCGTGGCATTGGCCGACGGGCCTTGACTGGTCTCATGGGAACACTTGCTAACAGTAGCGTTTGCTTGCCTTGCTTGATCGGACTCGACCGCTCGTGACTGTATATACAAGGCGGTATGGACACATACCGGATGAGCCTTGCAAAACCACACACCAAGGAAGCAGAGGATGCTGTGCGAGCATGTATGTAACGTGACTATGAGAATGACCGTACGTAGAGAGGTTGGAGGCAACTGCTTCCTGTCTTTTTGATGGGGAGAAAAGATTAGTTGTTGTCATGATCAAGAGAAGAGCGCGGATAATTGTAGAGGAGAGACAGCCAATAATCAAATGGTACACAAATACTGGGGAGTGGTAGAAAAGGAAGCCCGTGCTGCACTCCTTGACAGCAATATAAGAAGACCATACTGTCAACCGATTTAGAAGCTATATTTGACAGTCAATAGCACTTTCATGCTCACTGGAGCTATGACAACTTACACTTGTAACGATAAAGCGACACGTTGCAACGAGGCAGGTTCAGTACGTAAGGCGAGGACTTAAACATGGAGGTTTAGTTTCTCCTGCAGTAATCTTGAATCGCATCTCAGGTTGTATGCTAATACGCTAGTTACGCTTGAGCGGAAACTCATGGTGAGGTGTTGACGATCTACACGAGGCCTAGATCGATTCCAATGGGGCCGGCGAGATACGAAGTAGAGGTTGAGATGGGAACAGGTCTCCAATTCTCGGCCGGCGCACAATAATCAGCTGTTTTTTCAAGTGGCTTGAAAGCTTTGTATCTGAACGGGTGAGCTTCTTGATATGGTCAGTCATTTTCAAATGAGTTTCACGTCTATAACCACACACATACTGCATTTGAGCAGTATAGTCCACTATCTTCTTGCAGAACCTTGGGAAGTTCCAACGCAGATTACATGACTGCTTCTGGAGATTCGAGATCTGACATAGGCTAATTTTTCGCAAGACACTAAAAAATTGCTGCTGATGTTCGAACTTATACAGCTATCGAGTACGTGCTGTGCCAAGGGTGTACACTCACACACCTGGACACTGTGCGGCGTGTTTTGATGCATAATGGCCATTGTGGAATAATCAGCACCTAGTGGATACAATTTAAATAACATCGAATTTCCCAATCATTTATTGTCTTATTGTCTTCATCAAGAAGCAAAAGATCCAAAGTCTGATCCGCATCAAGGGACGTGTACTATGTCCTCATCCTAGCTCGGAACAAAGAGCCTACCCTATATACTTCCCCTGTCGCGACATTACGCACACAAATGACAACGGATCTTCAAGTTATTTCGGGCATTGCTGTTTCTTGGTTGGCCCTAGCTCTGCATCGAGAGTATGAACAGTTGCCAACTGCAATTGTGCACCTGGTCCTGTTGGCATGGAACGAGAACCACAGCCGTAGGAAAGCTGACGGACTACGAAGACTACAATTTGATGACCGTAATGCACCACCAAGCCCTTTCAAGCAACCGGTCAGGTTGCACTGGCACGGAACGGAACGTGTAGTCAATAATAGCATGGACAGCTCATGAACCGCTTCCCAAGCCTTGTTAATACATCACATCGACGAAGCTGGGCGATCAAACCGCATGGCCTCGTTAAGCGCTGGCGCCGCACACCCCGCATAAGGCTAAGTTAGGACGCGGCGATGCAGCACCTCCCGGCGCCCCGCATGATGCAGGATCGTTCTCAACTGTCGCAGGTCGAGCAGCCGCCATGTGCGAGCCTGTCGCAGCAGCTGCAGTGTGCATAGACGAGGCCCGGGTCATCAAAACAAACAGGCAATAGTACCCAAAGATAACCACGGCGGTCAAGATCCCAAGATACTTCGATAGCCGCCAAACGCAGACGCGTCACGCCAGCATTCGTGGATTAAGCGCGTCGGGACACGAGATGGGAAATGAAGTGGCGTGACGTGCATATCTACCAGATTGCCATGGGCTTGATACTGGGGAATGCTCACCACCAGCCGACTGAAGGATGTCGTTTCGTCTGGTCGCATGAACTGGGCTTGAAAGATACAGATTACAGTGTTACTAATCTGTGGTACTATACTCCGTACGTGTACGAAGTTACGAACCCATTACACCCCTTGACCAAATTCCAGGGGCGCATCCTTCTGCATCAGCGCTGCTGAGCCAAATCACGAACGTTTCAACCTGTGGTGGGTTCGTCGGTGGAGAGACCGAAGGAGGAGGAGATTGAAGGGGAGTCAGGGGGTGGATGTCAGAGATGCAGGGTACCTGCAACGCGCCTGAGAATGTGCAGGTTCCAAGGTAGCCCTTATCCATCTGTGAAACACGGTCGCCTCGGTCCACCCTGACACACAGCTTCGACAAGTTCACGCGCAGATTCCAGTCACGGAAGCATCTCTGCTCCGGCAATAATTGAGGAACCATCTGGCGGTCAAGACAATTCGGATCGTCCAAGATGTCAATGTCCAATCACACCCGATGGCATGCATGGACGACCCAGGCGTTCCTCAGGACAGACGTGTACTGATCGCTGATTCGCCGCGACACAAGGACGCTAGACGCTGTCCAGCCTCGTGGCCTCACCGGACACACAAGAAGACGGACTGGAGACGGCAAACCATCACCAGAAGGGCGCTAGCGCGCCGTCTGTCAGCTATTAATGGTGCTCGTCGATTCCAGCCTCCGAGCTCCAGTCGAGGCTCTGGCTCGGCCATGCAGACAAGACAGGCAGGCAAAACACTCCGCCGCAAACTCTTTGTTCGGCTCTGCCGTCCGAGGTAGACCAAGTGGCTCCCCTGCCATCGACGTTGCAGCGTCCGTCTCTGATCGCAGTCCACGTACAAATAGATGACTTCACAAAGTGCCTATCAAAGCCTGCATTCGCCCCTCGACGATGATCCCCGTGACGATGCTTCGCAGGCTCGCGGCAGCGGTCTTTGCCCCTGAGGTTGGTGGGCAGCGCGGTGATTGGGCAGACACATCTGTGCATCCTGCATGCCAGCACACCTCTCACTGCAGCAGCAGCGGCTCCAGTGGCTCGCCGAGACCCCTTCAGGGGGCTGCATTCCTGCCTGAGAGTGCATGCCGTGCTATCTATTGACACATATACACTAGTTTAATCCTAGTGCTCATTACACGGAAGACAGTAATCAAGTAGGCGGTCAATGTGAATCATTAGACATTTGAGTCACGACCCGGGAGAGAGCAGATGAAAGCACTTGGTGCTGAAAAGCCGTGGTCCGCAAAATGCCTATCAGCCTTTGGCGCTCTCATTGGCTGGCATGTTGAACAGAGTGTACGGATAGGCCGACGCTGATTGGATGAAAGGACCCCAGTCCCCTACGAGAGCTGCCAGAAGCCCTGGATGCACGGAGTAGCAGACTAGCGGTAGCCCTGAAGGCTGAAGCTGCAGGAGTTGCTTGTTCTGGCTGGGGCTTGTCGCCTGCCATTTTCGCCGCCGTCCATCCGACCGTGCCTGCCTGCCATCTCGAGTCTCCAGTCGCCTCTCTTTCTTCTTTCCTCAACTCCCTGCACTCCTCTTCCTCTCCTCCACCTCGCCAACTCACCCTTCCCTTCCCTCCTCTCCCTCTTTCAATCAGCTTCCCTCCCGTGACTTCCTTCCTTTGTCTTCCTGTCGGTTGATTAGTTCGCATCTGCAACGCACACGCACGCGCCAACGGAAAAGCTCGAGAGAATTGAAACACGAAGAGACCACCAGCCCTCGCGTGCACGCACAGACGGCCGACAAGGAAGGATACGCTCGAGGGCATCCATCGACGAAAATACAAACCTATCATCATCATCGGCTGACAGCAAGCCCCGGACTCCCTAATTCTCGACTGTATTTTATTCGATTGTTCGACTGTTCCGTTCCTTGCTTCGACCAGCACTCGGAACGTACGTCCTCCAGACCTTAATTCCCGACCCACCCGATCAAACCTCGCCGGAAGCGTCACCACCGGCTCTTGCTCACTTGGTTCTTTCTCTCTCTCCATCACCAAGTTACTTGCCATCGCACTCGTCGCTCCCTCGGACTCGATATTCATTTTCAATTCTGCATCATACTACTACATTCCACTCGTCTTAATTGCACGCAAAGAACGCAAACGCAAACGATCACGGTCACGCACAACCTCTTTTCTGGCTGTCGAACCGCTGCACCTGTCACTGACCGTGCACGCAACGAGCCTTATAATCAACAACAACAAAAGTACATTTCTATCTGAGCCATGAACCCAGGCGGTCCCGCTCAAATGACTTCCAACAACTATCCCTCCCAGAACGGGTTCGGCAACGCAGGCGGCCTTGCCTCGCGACGTGGCGGCCAGAACATCAAGCCCCTGTCTTTCGATGCCTTGGGCACCAGTAAGGCTGGCGATAAGGAAAATGTGGTCCCGACGCCGCGCACCAGCCGTTCTCACCTTCTCGACCGCCTGCGGACGGCGCCCAAGTCCGCGACAGCCTCGTCCTTTGGTCCCATGTCGCCTACCGGCGGCTCCATTCCCACGCAGCAGTATGCCAGGAGCAACTTGGCTGCCAATGTCCACGGACTTGGTCAGGACAACATCTACAACGCGCCCAAGACGGCCTTCCCGCAGTACGGTCAGCAAAACCAGCAGCGCCAGCAGAACAACAATGTGCAGTACATGATGGGCCAGCAGTATGCGGCTGAGCAGGTGCTTGCGCCTCCCGAGCTCACGGTGGAGGAGCAAGTCCAAGAGGGCATGGATCCCAACCTCTATGCCCAGCTGGTGGCCACCAACATGTACCTCGCCCAGCAGCAGCAGCGGTTGCAACAGCAGCTGCGTAACGTGCAGGCCGCCGCCCAGCAATTCCAGCACATGAACCTCAACAACTCGCAGCTCGCTCAGCAGCAGATGGCCATCTACGAGCAACAGCAGCAGTTGCGCAACCTGCAGCAGCAACTTGGAGCTCAGGCGGCCATGACTCAGCAGCCGCAGCACCAAGCCCAGCAACAGCAGCAGCAGTTTTACTACAACCCCATGACGGGACAGTACTTTATCGACACCTCTGCGCAACAAGGCGGCTCACCCTACAACGAGCAGCCCATGACCCCTGGCGGTTTCAGCGGCTACCAGCAACAGCACGCCCAGCAGTACGGTTCGCAGGTGCAGACGCCCCGCGTGCAGGTCTCTCCTCCTCCCGAGAATCAGCCCCAGCAGCAAACCTTCCGCAGCAACTCGCCTCCCAAGCGATTCGAGTCGCCCGGCCAGACTCAACCCTTGCCGCCACCGTCCGCCAACGCCTTCCGCCGTGGCCACAAGAAGGCTTCGTCGCTGGCGCCCGTCAACGCTGCGCTGGCTGCCGCCGCTGGCTCGGATGGCGTCTTGCCCTCTGCTGGGCCGAAGACGGCTGCTTTCCCCATGACCCCTGGCAGCTATGGACCGGGTCAGAGCCGCGCGGGCGAGCACCCGATTCGCCAGCCTCGTGGCCCGCCTCCCATGGACGAGCTCAAACTCAAGCCGACAGCCAAGCACGAAGGCAGCAAGAACTTTGCGACGCGCACTCGACGATCGGCCGTTCACAACCTCGTCCGCGCCGGACTTGAGCGACGCAAGGGCACGGGCAGCTCGGCCGGTAGCATGAGCCCGGTGTCCGAGACCGCGGAGGAATCGACGACGCCCATCACCGACAATGATTCCGAGTCTGGGCGTAGCGGCTCTGGCAGTCTCGCCGGTGAGGAGGACTGCGCGGTGGCACGCAAGGTGGCGGGTGGGAGCTGGGGCGCCATTGGATCCGATAGGCCCGGATCGCGCCAGCGCGCACGTCGCCATGCCAGTGACAGCGACCTGTCGACGGCCAGCAGCGACACCAGCTCGTTTGCCAACGTCTTCAAGAACGGTGCTCTGCGAGCATCGCAAAAGGCCCAGGAGGCGAATGGAGACCAGCGCAGGGCCCCTCGGCTGGTGCTGACGAGCGCGGAGAAGCGTCGCACGACTCCCCTTGTGTAACAGCCCACTCTGTTCTTTCTTTTTTTTTCTTTCTTGTCTCTTTTTTTACGACTTTATGCCAACACTCACACGATTCCTGTGACTACGACTGATTGCTCGGAACTGGTGGATTGGATTGAGACAGGGTTCATTCATCTTCGCTTCGACAGACGACCATTTTTGAGATTTGTTTTTCCTCGTCCCATCAGCTTCACTTCAGACTGTCCTTGACGAAGTCTTTCTTACATTAATTGCACCAACGAATGGAGGCATGATTTGATTTGGTTTGGGGGTTTGGTTTTCTTGTACAGAAATGGCATGGGATGGGCCACTCACCCGAGGACGATTCCTTGACGAGGAGGACAGCGATAGGTAGAACCATGGGTGCAATATATAATTCGCCCAAAACTTGAGTGTCTTGTGCTGAGTGACCTTTTGTGTTGAGCAGTGGCAGCCAGCCAACCCGGAACCGGCGGGCACGTGAATCAGTGCCACTACCCGTACAGTACTCGCTGTGTACATGGATTTCCGCTCACTGGGATTCTGCTCTCGCATCTCACCCAGACCCAAGGATGACCCCGAGACCACCATTTCAATTCATATGCTTCATCATTGCGTGCGCCATGTTTCTCGTCTTCGTGCTCTCTTTCCTGCTCCTCAACGCATCGCTCTCCCTAGCCTCGCCGCAGCAGCCTCTCGCCTCCTCCCGGTCCTGTCCGTCACTGCCCCACAAGGTCAACATCACATATCGTCGCGACGACGACAAGACGCCTCTCGCGCCCTCCCCGCTGCCGCCACCGCACTACCGTAGTGATGGACCTGAGATTATCCGACGCCTGCTCGCCCTGCCGCCGAGCGCGTCGTTCAGGAGCATCCGCAACGTGACGCTACAGGGCGACACGTTTGAGCCGGAGGGCATGGTCCTCCTGGGGCCGTCACGGCTGGTGGTGTCGTCGGCCGAGTACGTCACACCCACCGAGAAGTACGCCAACGGCGAGTGGCGGAACGGGACGGATCGCACGCCGGGCGCGGGCTTTGGGCATCTGCAGGTGTTTGACTTGAGCGACGACGGGGCGATGCTGGCGGACGCGTCCATCTCGGCGGCGGGCGCGTGGGAGTATCACAATGGGGGCATTGACTACGACGGGACGCGCATCGTGGGTGTGCTCGGACAGCGACGGCCTGGGAGCAGTGGGTTTGTGTACGCTGCGGACCTCGAGGGGCTCGCGGTGGAAGGACTGGTGCACTTTGCGGGTGATCACATGGGGGCGGTGGTGGTGGATGCGGAGAGGGAGAGGGTGCTGGGTATGAATTGGGGGGCGCGCAAGGGGTATGTGTTTGGGATTGGGGATCGGTGTGAGGAGAAGGCGGCGGCGGACAGGGTGGTGGAGAACAAGTCGTACTTTGTGGACTACCAAGACTGCAAGTTCCTAGGGCGGGCAGAGGAGGAGAAGAGACACGAAGATGGGCTGATGCTGTGCTCTGGGGTGAAGACGTTGGGCGGCAGGGAGCGGTACGTCCTTGGTGGTCTGGCGCTGGTGAGCGTGGAGAGCATGGATGCCGTGTGGGAGATGCCGGTGACGATGGAGAGTGCGAGGGGCACGCGGATGACGATGAATCCGTTTGATGTGGCGCTGGTGGAGGATGGGGTCAGGGTGTTCTGGCTGCCGGACCAGCACGAGAGCGTGCTCTACGAGTACGAGCTGGCCTGATGAGGACTTGAATAGAGGCCGACGAAAGGAAGAGAGGACTGGAGCGTCATCCACGAGGCCCCCGCTGTGGAGAGACGTGACGCCCTCCACGTCGGAGCAGAGGCGCCCGAATGAACGTGGGGAATGTGGCATGCCCCTCCCCAGGCGCGAGAATATCTTTGCGAGGCTGGTTGATTTGGATCCTGCATCTTCCTTTGAAAGTTACAGACCAATCTTGCCTGCTGTTAACAAAGACAACCCATCATGTCCATGTCCATTGAGGAATGCGCCGTCGCGCGCCCCGGCTTCCCCAAGCCCTTCCCCGAGACACCCGCCAACGTCACGGAGCAGTTCAAGATGAGCGGCAAGGTGACGGTCGTCAACGGGGCGGCGGACGGCATCGGGCTCGCGGTGGCCGAGGGCATTGCCGAGGCGGGCGGCCACGTCGCGCTGTGGTATAACTCGTGCGTGATCCTTCCTCTTCCCTACAGTCCGGCAGACGCTGACCTTGCAGCAACGACATGGCCGTCACGAGGGCAGAGGAGCTGGCGCGCGCGCACAATGTCAAGACCAAGGCGTACAAGGTCAACGTGACGGACGCAGAGGCGGTGCAGCGGACCGTCGCAGCGGTGGTGGACGACTTTGGCCAGCTGGACGTCTTCGTGGCCAACGCGGGGACGGCCATCTCCAAGCCGATCCTGGAGCAGACGCTGGACGAGTACAAGTTCCAGATGGCGGTCAACGTGGACGGGGTGGTGCACTGCGCCAAGTACGCGGGCGAGGTGTTTCGTCGCCAGGGCCGGGGCAACCTGATCATCACGTCGTCCATGAGCGCGCACGTCGTCAACGTGCCCGTCGACCAGCCCGTGTACAACGGCACCAAGGCGTTTGTCACGCAGTTTGGCAAGTGTCTCGCGCGCGAGTGGCGCGACTTTGCCCGCGTCAACGTCATCAGCCCGGGCTTCTTTGACACCAAGATGGGCGCCAGCGACCGCTGCGTCCACGAGGCGTACCGCATGGCCGTCCTCGGCCGCCAGGGCCACACCAAGGAGATTAAGGGCTTGTACCTGTACCTGGCGAGTGACGCGTCCACCTACACCACGGGCGCGGACATGATTGTGGACGGGGGGTACACGTTGGCTTAGTTTTAAGTCCTATATAGCACATACAGTCACTCATGGCAGCACCCAGGTCACCACCGTGTTCGAGGGCACGTTCCCGCTCCACGTCTCGCCGCTGTCCGTCTTTACGCGCAGCCAGACATCGTCCGCGAGCCTGTTCTCCGCCACGACCGTCCTCGTGCCGTCCGGGTTCGCCGTGGCCACCGACTGGACGCCCGTGCCGTCGTCGTACGAGTAGCTGCCCGTGCCGTCAAGCACCACGGCACCCCGGGGGATGAAGCGGCTGTACTGCGCCAGCATGTAGTAGTCGACGGTGAACTCGTACGTGCCCTGGTCCTTGTCGACGACAAAGAGACCGCGGCAGGTGTCGCAGCCGCCGGGCACATAGGGCCCAAAGGTGCCGTCGCCCTGGTCGGTCCAGGTGCCGAGCGTCCACATGCCCGACATCTCGGCCCAGTTCTGCAGGGGGCCGACGGTGTTGCTGGACGACTGGTGCCAGGGCGTCGAGGGCGCGGTCCAGCACTCGGTCATGTAGTTGGCCTTGTCCGGGAAGCGGTCGTGAAAGTCGCTGATGACACTCCAGTCGAGCGGGTTGGCGTAGCAGTGCCACGCGGTCGCCTGGACGTAGTCGCCCGCGCCCTCGAGGACGGTCTGGGGGTAGTCGGGTCGGTCCGTGTTGTGGTCGTACGCCCAGATCCGGACGTCGCCCAGGCCGGCGGCGGCGAGGGCGGGACCGACGTGGTCCTGCGTGACCGAGGCGGCCTCGTCCGGGCCCTGGTGCATGGTAACGTGCCCACCGCCCTGGCTGTTGAGCGGCTCGTTCTGGATGGTGATGGCGTCGACGTGGGCGCCGTGGGCGGCGTAGGCGTTGAGATACTCGACAAAATACTGGGCGTAGGCCTCGTAGTACTGGCCGTCGAGGTTGTTGCCCTCGAGCTGGCCGGTGAGTTTCCTGTTCTCCTTCATCCAGCCAGGGGCTGACCAGGCGCTGCCGAGGATGTAGGCGTCCCCGTTGAGGCCCTTGAGCTCGGCCAGCAGCTCGGCCATGGCGACGCCGCGGTCCCCGAGGGCAAAGCCGTCCATGTTGGGGTCGGCATTGTTGCCATTGTCGTCGTACGTGTACGCGGGAGGGCCGCTCAGGTCCGAGGCGGCAATGGTGTGTCGCAGGAAGGAAAAGTTGGCGCCGTCCGAGGTGACGAGCTCCTGCAGCAGCTTGGACCGCTGGTCGTCGGGCAGCGAGTTGATGACGGTGACCGTGGCGTCGGTGACGGTGCCTCCAAAGCCGTTGACGGTCTGCTTGTGGCCCGAGGGGGTGTCGTTGATGGTCAGGTCCCACGTCGCGCCCGAGGGGTTGCCGGCGCCCTGGATGGGGGCGTCGACCTCGCTGAGACGCAGCGAGAGGTTCTCGTTGGAGGCGTAGGCCTTTGCTGCGGACTGGCGCGCGTGGAGGGTGGTGGCCCCGGTGGGTGAGGCGACAGCCTGGGTGGCCAGGGCGGCGAGGATGGGGAGGATCATGGTGCTGTGTTGTACTCGGGGTGCTCTGTCGTAGAAGGGAGCACGGTCAGGGAGACATTCTGTCCTTATATGCCAGCAGCAGCCATCTCGTAGTCAACACCTGGCTTCCTCGGCCTTGAGCTGTGAGCTGGCCATCTCCTTCGTGGCCAGCCTATGCCCGACACGTCTTGGCCTCGTCAACGGCGCGCGCGATGGATGGACGGGGTTGCCGATCGTCTCTTAGTATTGCCGAAGCTTGTCTGGATAGGGAAGCTGGGGATGAGCTACCGATGCATGGTGTCGGACAATTCTGCCGAGTGTGGAGTAAGTAGAGGTGGTTCGTCGATGTGCGATGTGAGCACCATCTCGTCGATGGCCATGTACAGGACGTGGCTTCAGGGTGTAGAAGACAGTGGCATGAACATTAGCTTTCGCGTTCTGATACTACCATGCGTCGTGGATGCGAGGACTACAGTCTGTAGTGGAATACACCGTGGGGACTGGGGATGGATGCCCTAGGCTAGGACAGGAAGCTCGTCACCATGCACCCCGTGATGATGGCTCCAGAGATTCGGCCCGAGCATGTTCAGCGCCTGCAAGTAACGTGCCTGGAGGATAATTAACAGACTGCCTATGTAGTCTAGGTCAAGGACTCAAGGCGGGCATCGGCCGGTGCGAGATCCGGATCGGATCCGCTTTGCCGGCCGCACGTCCGGACTCCGGGGCGACCCGCCCAGCACTGCAGCAGCCCCTAGGCCAGCTCCGTCCCCAGGCGGATGCTGTCACCTGTATCCGTATTACAGTGAGATCTCATCAGTCTCGCGTGCATTCAAGTGTCTGTGATTGTATCCAGAGATCCAGCTCTATTATCGCTCCAAGCAAATATGATACATGTACCTCATCAGTCATTACCCCCCAAGGCCCCCCTCCTCGTAGTCTACCACCGCCTTGTGTATTTGCTCTCCTTGGGCACGTAGTAGCCCTGCTGTAGGGCCGCCCGCCGCTCGGCCTTTTCGTGCCGCCGCAGGTCACTGTTGTAGGCGGGCGTCGACATGTACTGGGACTTTGGGCGCGCCGTCCAGCCTTTGCCGTCGTCAATGTAACCCCACCACTGCTCCTCGCCGCCGCCGCCAAAGCACATTATGAGTGGAGTGGTATGTGTTGTTCTTTGTAGATTTGTAGAGAAGAGGTTGCATTAGCTGTGTGAAGCTGTCGTTCAGTGGGATGTAGACTGTAGTGTGGGATAGATGGCAGACAAATCAGCAATTGAGCCCAGATCCAACGATGGACTTGAAAATGTTATATAATAATTGCTGCGTCCCCGTCCTCCTGACGCACTCCGCGTTAAAAAGGCATTGCGCAGCACAGACTCGCCACACGCTGCCCACCACGTCGATCATGACGGCGCAGGCAACGCAGGGTCCAATGACGCTAGAATGCCCGTGGCGATCACCCTGTCAATCGCAAGGCTGAGCAGCGTACGGACAGAGGCTTAGAGGCTGATTGATCTACATACTTGGTACGGAGTAGCTCAGAGCTAATCAATTACTTGCAGCACACAACAACAATACCGTCCATCGTCACCCCCCAGCCTGGCTGCCCATCAGGCATCGTGTAGCGCGCGCCCTTTGTCTCCATGGCCTGGTCCAGCGCCTCCTCGTACACCTTCAACTCACCCTCCGTGTAGTCCTTGAGAAACGTCTGCCGCCCCGAGCGCACAATGACACTCACCAGCGCCTCCCTCGTCGCGGCACCGTAGCGGACCTGCTTCGTGGACACCCGCACGTCCTCGAACCCGGCGTCGCGCATCACCTGGCCCGCGTGCTCCGCGTCGAACCACTCGGGCTTGATGGGCAGCCTGTGCAGGACCGGCTCGTTGGGGCGCGCCGCCCGCTGCGCAGGGTTGATGGCATCCTCAAAGTTGCCCAGGCGCGCCCAGGACGTGACGGCCGCGACGCCTCCCGGCTGGAGCGTGCGGTAGATCTCGCGCGCGCCCTTGGCGGGGGACTCGAAGAAGAGGATCCCCAGGTTGGTCACCGAGTGCGTGAACGTGTCGTCTGGGAAGTCGAGCTGCTCGCCCGGCATGACGGCCAGACGGACGTTGTCGCGGTCGCCAAACTTGGCCTTGGCCAGCTGCACCATGTTGGGCGCCACGTCGACCGCGTGGAGGCGGACGTCGGGTGCCTGGGCGAGGATCTCGGCCGTCACGACGCATGTGCCGCACGCATTGTCCAGGACGACGGAGGACGAGTCCATGGGCTTGATGGTGTTCATCAGTGTGAGGACGTGTTGGAAGAGCGCGCGTGTCGCGCCGCCGATCAGGGCGTCGTAGTCGGCCGCCATCTGGTTGAAGGTGGCGGCGCCATCCATAGGTTGTGATTGGGACATGGCGCTATGAAGCAGAGAAGATGAAAGGGGGAGGTTAATGTACAGCTCACTTGGTGAAGGCTTGCTGATTGTGCTGAGGAGGATGAAAGGTGTGTCTGGTGTCTGGTGTCTGGAGTCTGGGACTCTGGGGTGAGACCGTGAGATTGGTGTCCAAGCAGAAGCTCAGCTGCTGACGTGCATTTGCGCGGGGAAGCGGCACTCTGGTAATACTGATTCGTAATCTATCTTACTGATTCATGGGCTGCGCCCTCACTCTGCTCTCTTCCTACTTGACATCAACCATGGCTCCTGGCCAGAGGCCTCCGTACCCGAGTAACACCACGAGCACCAAAAAAGTAGAAAGTGCCTTTAGAAATGAGCATCCAACGTGAAGAGCTTTGCAATCAATCATTTACTTGCCATCTCACCCGCGCTACACCTTGTCGTACAGACTCCCGCCCGCCTCAGCATCCACCTTGATGGCCTGCTCCAGCCCGACAACCGTAAACAGCTTCTTGGGCGTGAAGTCGCCCCCTACCCCCGTCCTGCCCTCCTCCTTGAGCTTGACAAACCCATCCTTGATCGCCTTGTACGCCGGCCCAATCGACGCAAACGGAAAGATGATCATCTTGAACCCCAGCGCCTTGGCCTCGGCAGGCGTCCACGACGGTGTCGCCCCGTGCTCGACCATGTTGAGCAGCACCGGCACCGGCGCAAGGAGCCGACACGCCTCGCGCGCCTCGTCCGCCGTCGTGACGCCCTCGAGAAACGCCACGTCGGCACCCGCCTGGACGGCCGCCTGCAGACGACGCATGGCCTCGTCGAAGCCGTGCGTCTGGAGAGCATCCGTCCGCGCGATGATGACAATGTCCGACCCCAGACGCCGACGGGTCTGGTAGGCAGCCCCGATCCTCTGCGCAAACGTGTCCACGTCGACGACGGCCTTGCCGCCCAGGTGACCGCACCGCTTGGTCTGGATCTGGTCCTCAATGTGCAGGGCGGCCACGCCCGAGCGGTGGTACTGGGCCACGGTGCGTGCCACCATGTTGGGGCCCCCGTAGCCCGTGTCCGCGTCCGCGATGAGCGGCACCGATGGATCCAGGTTGGCCAGCATCTCGGCGTGCTCGCGCATGTCGTTGAGCGTGGCGAGGCCCAAGTCGGGTTGGCCCAGCTTGGACGCCACCGTGCCGGCGCCCGTCATGTAGAGGCAGTCGAAGCCGACCTCGAGCGCGATGCGGGCGCTGAAGCCGTCGTAGACACCGGGTGCCACGATCATGTCCTTCTTTTTGAGCATCTGGCGCAGCTTGGCGGCTGCCGATGGGGGGGCTTCTTTCGAGGACATGGTCAACTAGGGTCTGATTGTATGGAGGATAGACTGTTGGGGCAGAGATTGCGGTACTAGACTCTCAGGCAGATTGGGATCTTATAATTGTGTGCTTGCAGAGTGTGGTGTCAATTGAGGAAGCGGGGAGCGTCTTGTTGAAGTGCCGAACCGGACGCGTGGCGAGCTCGCCGGACCTCCGATCGGACCCCTCCGGCTTGGACATCCCGGATTCCCGTAGTTGACCCAGATTCGCTACGAGACTCCTGGCCTCTGGGGTATTACCGTATTATCCAGTATGATAACCGTCTTCGAGCCGTGCCCGGTGACACACAGTTTGCACTAGATGGCCTCAAGCTCGCCTTGGTCCTTGCATCATTGATGGAAAACCCCAAGCATGCAACTCCAGCTGGATCTGACCTTCACCTTGATACCAAATCACGTCTCCTGGGATGAAGAGGTATTCAAATTCACAGGCCCATAATATCAGAGTCCGTCACGTCGATGGTGCCACTAGAGGGGTGAGACGGCCACGTCGGGCCAGGCACATGCGAGTTGTATCACCACTTGACCGCACGACATGGACAATCACATGCAGGTACCAGACTGTTCTGCGTACCCTCTGTATCTACTTATATGGGTCTTTTAAACAATTTCATGGCAGGCAACACCCCGATATTCGGCACCATCATGGCCCGGCCTTGTTTGAACTCCTCGCCTTTTGTACAGTGAGCTGACCTCGACGTCACGACATTTGTCCAAGGTCAGCGCCAACAACACACACACACATCAACATAACAACAGAAAACACATCTACGTACCTCACGAGTCATCCCAGGCTCGCATCAATTCACTTTGTGAAGGGTCTCCTTAGTTTTCCTCGCCTTTTCGTCATGCGGGGATCGTTGGTGACGACACGGCGGTCTCATCATCTCAGCATTGTTTACCTCAGATGACGTGCACGATCGCAATCAACTCAAGTGCTGGCACTTTCACGTCTATAAGAAGGCACCGAAGCGTCCATGAACGCACATCTGCCCTTCTTCTTCTGACAATACTACTCAAAATCACTGCAAACAAGAAAGTCCCGCAAGCACCATCCAACCACGCGCACAATGGCCGACAGCAACCCCGGTAACTTTGCCAACCGCCCCAAGGAGGAGGTCCAGGACATTGCCTCCAAGGGCGGTCAGGCCAGCCACGCTGGTGGTTTCGCCAGCATGGACACCGACAAGCAGGTATGTCTGCTCACTCGGAGGGGGACGAGTTCACTGTGCTAACGCTCTTCGCAGAAGGACATTGCGTCCGAGGGAGGCAAGGCTTCATCCGGTTCGTTCGAGCCAGGCAGCGAGAAAGCCAAGGAGGCTGGCCGCAAGGGTGGATTGAGCTCCTAGGGTTCTATCAATCAACACAATTCGAAGACGGACTTGCATGCAGACATTGAAGCATATGATGAATATCTCAAAAGTTGAGGCTCATGGGTTTGCCCAGTGTCCAGGCGACGATGGCCACCAAGAGATCGTTGGTCAGGGTCGTCTCCAAGTTGCCGAGGCTGAGACGGATTTTGAAATTAACAGAGAAACATGGCGAATTTGGGACCGTCGACTGCTGTCTAAGAAGTATCTAGCTAAATAATTAACTCGTCCGAAAGCGTATCTGGAATCTGGCCCAGCCTTGATCTGCCCGGACGTTTACACTAGGTGCAATCTACCCTACAGACAAGATGCAACGGGAACCGTCTTATTCAAGATCCGGGACTTGTTGGTGTGAGACGCATCGAATAAAATTTGTTTCCAGAATCTCACTATTCTCGTCCGCCAAAAGTGTAGAAGTATGTTCCCGACGACCTGAGGTTTGGCTGATCGTGTGACCAACCTCGAGGCGCCACGGGCCAACCAACATCCGTCTATTTCCACCAATTTCTCCATGGTTGCCTGACACTGATCAACATCGCGTCCGATCGCTCCCTCTAACCTCAGCTTCACCTCAGCCCTTCAGTAAGGTGTGCCCGACAGGACCGCTGGGCGGTCAAGGCAGCAGCATCGGGGCCAATCAGCCGGATGCGACGCGCTGCGGACAGTGCACTCCGGCAGCCTGTGCCGCCTGGCAGTCCGTCCACCTCGCCCCGGAAACGTCCCCCCAGACTCCAACAAAGGATCATATGACGACACGGATGGGGATTGCAGGCTCTTGGTCACGACTCTGTGACCTGACATGGCCTTTGAGCGGTGACAGCGTGCAAACGCGGTATCCATCATGATCTGACGATTCAAGGAAATCATGGTAACATGAAATGGCAAGGCTACTTCGTACATGCCGCTAGGACCTGGTGGCTGCCACCGACATCCCCAGATTCTGCATCTTCGCCCAACTCTCGAGAGGCCAAGACGCCCAGCATCACGCATTCTTCCACGCGAGGACTCCACCCACACCAGGCGGACCCGCGCATCCATCCCCGAGGACCAGAACCTGGGGTCCGTTCGTCTCTTTGCCCCAGGAAAGCACAAGCCCAGCCAGTCCGATCCTTCAGATATCTGTCAAATATGGCCCCCGATGCACCCACCACGCGCTCCCCTTTTCTCTGTCCCTCCCTCATGCGACCCTCACTGTTGACCCCAGATTCCACTCGGAAGCGCATGCCTGCCATGTCTCAGAGCACTCGCTGTCGCTCCCCAGACCATCTCGACAGCAACTCGCCTGCGTTCAAGCTGCGCAGTACAGAGCTCTCATAGAAAAGGGGTGACCACGCGCGCGCGCGGGCGGGCAATCTGATGGCGGCGCCGACGCTACCGCAGCCCTCCGGAGACGGGGCGCCCACCACCATCCGCACGCGTGAGCAGATCATCGTCGAGGCATGGGGTCAAGGGTTCAACGTCGGTGCGCTGGTCTTTATTCTCCTGACGGTGCTCTGCAACTACCGGCGGAACGTCCTGCTGCACAAGCTCATCCTGCTCGAGCTGGTGCTGGCCCTGGGGCACGGGTTCTTCATCTTCTCCCGAGACCCAGCGTACGGATGGTAAGTGTTCTACTTTAAAACAAGAAGCGGCGATCCCGTTCTGACAATGCCAGGACCCTCAGCAGCACAGCCGTCGCCTTGTACGTCTCCTACAACATCCACAACGTCGTCGCGTGGATTAAGATCAAGCCTTTCCTGCCGCGCTGGGGCGGGCGCTTCTTCATCTTCTCCCTCGTCGCCGTCCAGCCGTACTGGGTCCTCGAGGTCTACGCCAACTTTGCCTACTTCAACCACCTGGGCCAGAGCTGGTTCGAGTGGACGCGCTACTTTGAGCCCCTCGCCCGGGACCCCTGGTGGATCTTTACGACCGTCAAGCTGGTGCTGGTCATCCGGCAGAACTACGAGTACTCCATCCTCGGGCTGGTCCGGACCAGCCCCCGCTTCGGCATCATGCTGCTGTGCATGCTGCTCTCCATCGTCTTTGTCGTCATCGACGTCGTCGCCACCGCGCTCATCTCGGCCCAGAGCGGCATCAACCCGTACTGGCGGCTCGCCCTCGTCTTCAAGTGTGCCTCGGACGCCATCTTCCTCGACGACTTCAAGTCCGTCCTCGACAAGATTGCCGAGTCGGCGCTCAAGTACGTGGCCAACCTGCCCTCGACCTCCAAGGACGGCGGCTTCGGCTCGGCGCAGGTGGTCTCGGGACGACGTTACAGTGGCCCGAACGGTCATGCGGTGGGTTGTCGACGACCCAGTGCCGCCCAGCGGCCTCGCCACTTTGTGCAGATTTCCTCCCATAGCAACAGCGACGACACTGGCACTGGATACAGAGACGCGTACGGTCGAGAGTACCTGCCGTCGCGTGCCGGTAGCAGCAGGCCGATGCGAGGGATCGACGAGACGCCCCTGTCGCCAGACGGGCAGATCCTGGCGGAAACGACCATTGAGGTGTCGGGGAATGATTTGACGTACAGAAACTCCAATGCGTCGGGCGACGACCGCGCAGGCTCGCAGGAGCTGATTCTCTCCGACGGCAGTGTCAACAACACGCCGCACGACTACGGTTGGGGGGAACCGCCCCGGTTGTCGTCAGTAGACGATGATGTCGAAAGGGGCATACCGATGAGGCCCATGAGGGCCAAGACGGCTGATAGAGGAGTCGGCCTTGGTTTATGAGTGAATGAATTTTTTTTGATGGTTTATGAAGGTGATGCCTAGCCCATTATGTCGCTTTTGTCGTGATATGCCTTCTCGCCCGACAGACTGACTCTCGAGTTATCGTGTCTCGGTCGTGGGGGCCCTGCAGGTGGCAGAACCATCAATGGGACACGACGAATTGACATAATATGCCCTAGCTTCCCCCAAGTATTAATTGTCAAAATACCACGAGTGGCTGACGAGCTGTCGTGCTGAGATAAGAACCTCTGTGTCACGATGAAGTCATGACCAAAGATCAGCCCTTCAGCCGCATCCATCCCCCTAACAGCTCAGCTTCAAGTCTTATCGGCTGCCCAAGGCCACTGACATCTGCCTGCATACGGGATCGGGGATTGACCGGCATTGGCAAGACTATCACCGCTCGTCGCGCGCAGAGTCATTATTAATAACTAGGCCGACCCATGACGAAAGGTGCTGCGGCTCTGCCCAGCTGACTCTAATTACTTGATGCAGATAAGCTTAATCCGAATGCGGAGCTCGACTTGGACCCCGAGCACCGCCCAAGGGCTTGATTGTTGCGACCCAGGGCCAGGGCTCCTCGCAGATCACAGACCCTCCCTCCACACAGTGACAGTGACGCCAGCCAAGCAAAGGCTTGCTCCCAACGTCGTCAGATTCACAACGCCTCAGCGATCACGGATGATCAGTCTTCCTTCTCGCTGCTCGAGTCGAAATTGGTCCCACAGACCAGCAAGAAGCTTATTTCTGACGTTACGCACTAAATTCGTAGTCTAAATAGCAGAATATACCGACCTGCCGTGGTTGCATTCCACTCCTCTTGGTGTTTTTTTTTTCCCTCTCCCTCTCGACTATCCACCACCGACGCAGAATCTGTTATTAACAGATTCCCACATCGCGCACCCCATAACCCACACGCAAAATCCTCTATCCCCAGGACCCTTTGTGTGCCTCCCCTGCTTGCTTGCTTGCTTCCTTTGGTATTCCATCTTCCTTCTTTTGGATACAAATAGCAGTACCTCTGCTCGTCATCGCCCCCAGGTCTCACACGTTGCTCTCCCTTGGGAACAGACAAGACAAAGGCAGGCAAGAGAGAAGAACTCTTTGACCGCGCAATCCTCTCGCCCACCATGTTCGGCCGCGAGAAAAAGTCAGAGAAGCCTCAGCTGCCCGAGCGCTCCTCGACAGAAGACATTGCCGTGGCCGGCCTCGCGCCGACCACGCCCGCCGATGGCTCGGCCAACGCCTTCTCCGAGGGCGGCAAGAACTATCGCAACATGGGCCGCGGCAGCACCGCCCTCGTCCTCATCACCAACCAGGTCGGCATGGGCATCCTCTCCCTGCCCGCCCAGCTGCAGGTCCTCGGCATCGTCCCCGGCGTCATCACCATTGTCGGCCTCGGCCTGCTGTCCACCTACACCGCCTACGAGCTGCTGCAGTTCTACCGCCGCTACCCGCACGTCGTCAACGTCGTCGACATGGCCAAGGTCGTCGGCGGCACGCCCCTCGAGATCGTCGTCGCCATCGGCATGATGATCAAGCTCTGCCTCTCCTGCGCCAGCGCCACCGTCACCCTCTCCGTCGCCTTCAACAGCATCTCCGACCACGCCATGTGCACCGTCGGCTGGATCGGCATCTCCGCCATTGTATGCTGGCTCCTCTGCCTCCCGCGCCAGTTCAAGTTCGTCGCCCACGTTGGCATCCCCTCCACCGTCAGCATCTTTGCCGCCATCATGATCGTCATCATCTCCCTCGGCGTCGCTGATCCCAAGGGCGTGCCCCCCGAGGGCTGGGAGAAGGAGATCAAGGTTGTGGGCAACCCGACCTTCAGGGAGGGCCTCAACTCCTGCCTGCAGATCTGCTATGCCTATGCCGGCAACATGTGAGTATTTCCTCTCTTCCGCGCAATGACCGCAAGCTGGCGTTCATTATGCTGACACCTTCTGACCAGTGGCTTCGTCTCGTACATGGCGGAGATGAAGGACCCTTCCCGCGACTTTGTCTGGGGCCTCGCGGCTCTGCAGGCCTTCTCCATCCCTCTGTATCTCCTGGTCGCCATTGCCATCTACTGCCTCTCCGGCCAGTACGTCGCCTCCCCGGCGCTCGGCTCCGCGCCGCAGATCCCGGCCAAGATCGCGTACGGCATCGTCCTGCCCGCGCTCTTCGCCACCGGTCTCGTCTTTGGCCACACCGCCGTCAAGTTCCTGTACGTCGTCAGCATGCGCGCCCTCAAGAGCACGCACCAGATGACCGACAACTCGGCCAAGTCGTGGGGCGTCTGGGTCGGCTCCGCCACCGCCTTCTGGATCGTCGCCTTTGTCATCGCCAACGCCGTCCCCATCTTTGACTCCATCCTGTCCATCTCGTCCGCCACCTTTGTCGCCTGGTTCACCTTTGGCATCTCGGCCGTCTTTTGGTTCTTCCTCAACAAGGGTCGCTACTTTAGCACCCCGACAAAAATCGCCCTCTCCGTCGTCAACGCCCTGATCATCTGCCAGGCTCTCTTCATGAACGGCGCCGGTCTGTGGACGGCCATCACGGGCCTGATGGAGATCTTTGGCGGGGACGGTGACATTGAGGGGTCCTTTACCTGCGCGGACAACTCCATCTTCTAGAATTTCCATGTAGACATGTATCTGTATATAAGCGTCTTGAGTAGCTCAACCATTTTTTGCAGTAATGAATCGTGCCGATCCGAGCTTGGAAATTGTTCAATGTTGTCCAGCGCAAAGCCTCTCCAGGGAAAAGGGTTGTGGCGGTCGTCTTGATTTCCGTAGAATTTCGACATGCTTCCTTCCCATGGCGTCGGCTAGAATCACGGCTGGTCTGGTCCTCGGTTCCTGCGTTATCATCAGTCGCTCACTTCCCACCCCATCGCTCACAGCACGTTGCACAGGCCAACAGGACCTTCCACTGCACTCGCAGCAACACGCTCAATTGACCGACCGAGTGCGTCTATCCCAGTACATATACAGGTCCTACACCTCTCCCTCGGGTCCCTAGTTGCTCCTCTCGCCGCCCTTGGCCTCTCGTAGCTCGTCCATCTTGGCCACTCGCTTCTTGAACTCGTCGTACTGGCATTTCTCGTAGCTGTGACGCTCATCCTGCTTCTGTCAGTCTACTGCGACAGTCCCGCTCGGAGGCAAAGGGAAACGCACGCTGCACTTCCACGGGGCGTACCACGTCTCGCGGCGGCACTTGTTGAGGGGAATCAGGAGGTTGGCGCAGCTGTCGCGGTAGGCGAGAGGCAGACGGGCCTCGCGCATCTCCTCGCGCGTGGCGGCTGCAAGAGGGTCAGCGAAAGAGCGTGCCTGCGGACGCGAGGGCCATTCAACGTACGAGGGAGGTTTGTCGCAGTCGAGGAACCCATTGTGCTGTGTGGCAATTGACCGTTGTTGTGTTGGGGGTTCGCTGGTTTCCCGAGTCGATTGAACGTTTGCGAGGTTCGCGGATTGGGGGGTGTGGGTGCCTTAGTCATCAGGCAGGATGAACCACACGGGAGTCGGGAATTGGGCATCAGCTTGGCATCACGGGCAGCTTCACTTCCATGTGCTACCAAGACTTGATGAGTACAACGGATCAACGACTCTCGACGATCGACTCTCTAATGAGATGACTCTGATACATCTAATGGCTTCTCGTTGTGCCTAGGAAAGAAGGTGGCTCGACGTGGTCCCAGTTGAGTGTAGCCGCGCTGGATTCCAAGCGAACTGCAGCGCACGAACCCATGAGGTTCAGCACGATTCGTCTCCGAGAATCAATGCCCTCATGTTGAGCAGCTCGTCAGACTGTCCAGCGTCTGCCTACACGTCGTCGAGAGCGCGGTCTGGGTTGCTACGCGCAATGGCCGTCGCGACCAGATCCATTGGCTGAGACGCGCTCATTCTGAGGACAGCAGCGTGCAGTCCTGCCAACCCACACTGGCCAGGACCGAACTGCGTTTGAGCGACATGAAACAGGTGCTCTTGATGCGTATTGCTTTGGCCATTGTGATCTTATTGTTTGGATACGATGACAGGTAAAAGGAGTCTCATGTGTGCGCTGTCGCTCGCCTCCCATTTCACACCTTCACCTCCTCCGCTGAGCATATAATCCATCTTCAGCACGAGCATTCTGAAATCATAACCAGCGTGCTTCATCCATTGTTCTTTCTCGTTTTCTTTTCTCTAAATACCAAACTTTCTGTCTTTACACACACATCCGTTAGAGTTCCCTTTACTCGGCCATTCTTTTCGAGAACACTAGTCTCTACGACACCACACAACACTTAATACACACACACACACGGCATCATGACGAGCCACGAATCTGTCATCGCCTGGCTGGTCCCAACGGCGCGCGGCACCAACGCCGACAAGGCTGTCAACATGCCCGAAAACTTCTTCAAAGCAGTCGCCACGACATCCGCCCCCTACCTAGACAGCCGTCTGCCCAACCTCATCCTCAGCCGCCCACAGAAGGCGCTGCAAATCACTTTTGACCAGACACCCAAGCGGCCGGGACGCTTCACTCTCGGCACAGACCCTCGCAGCTGCGACATCATCCTCCCGACCCTGCCCGGCGTGGCACGCCAGCACTGTGCGCTCAGCTTCGACCACGAGGGCCGTCTCACCCTCGAGGACTTTTCCGCGACGGGAACCCAGGTGTGGTTCGACTGGGAGAGCATGGGCGACAAGGTGGACTACACGTGGACGCTGTCGGGGACGTCGGCCCAGCGCGTCACCATTGACATTCAGGGCCTTCGCTTCCAGCTCGTCATGAACGAGTGTGCAGGCCGAGATCTCGCAGCCCACAAGGCCAAGGTCGACGCCTTCTGCACACAACCACCATGGGGTGAAGCCCTGAGCTTCGACTGGGCGCGCAAGAGTGTGGCGCCTGTGTTGCCCTTATTTACAAAGGAGCCTCTGTTTCGACACATCTTCGTCAAGGGGCTGGCGGACGACCACGCCAACGGGGAGATATACCTGTGGAACATGGCGAAGCCATGGGAGCCCATGGTCAAGGCGGTCGCAGCAGCTGCTTGAGGTGCATTTGTCTACCAAATTGTCTCACAATTGGGAGGAGTTTCTTGTCTTTTGTTTTGCTCATAGCGTTCATTGGAGAACTGGGTTAGTTACTTCAAGTATATCAATCCAAAGTCCAGACACCGTAACGCCGTAGCTTCCACAATCCCCGCCATCCTCATTCCGTCTCGGTGGCCAGGTCGCCCCCGTCGGCCCCCTCTGGCAGCTCCAGCGCCTGCTGCACGTCGTGCGCCTGCTGCTGGTCCTGGCCCTCCTCCTCGACGTAGTCAAACTTGGTCATGCTAAAGTCGGGCACCGTCCGCTTGAGCTGCTTGCCGCCGCCGCCGCGCCGCGCCCGGCGCTCCTTGGCGTCCTTGGCCTCGGCCGCGACGAGCTTCTTCTCGCTGTCGCGGTCGAGCATGGTGCCCTGCAGACTGAGGTAGGTCGAGTCGCCGCTGATGCCGACGTCAAAGTTGCGTATGCGGAAGCGCGTCTTGCCCGCGACCTTGTCGCCCGCCTCGTCGACCCAGTAGCCCGTGCTGTGGATCTGGCGGACGACGCCGTGCTCGTCGGGCACCGCGCCGGTGACGACGGACGCCGTCTCGTCAAAGACGCCGCCATTGTCCTCGTCCGAGACCCATTTCCACGACGGGGGCAGACGGCGCGCCTCGATGGACGCGTTGAACTTGCCAAAGCACACGACGCCAATGTGGCCCTCGGTCTGCAGGTTGACGCTGCCCTCCATCCAGGCACCGCGGCTCGGCACAAAGAGCTCGACGTCGGCCGTCATCCAGCCGAACGCGCCGCCAAACTCGGCCTTGGAGGTGAGCAGTGTGGGCGACTCGTCGTCGTGCGCCGCCCCCTTGCGTCCGGGCACCTCGCCCAGCGTGATGTTCTCGTAGTCGAGCAGGACGCCACGGAGCGAGGGCACGTACCGGTTGCGCAGGTGCCGGAGGTGCTGCGACTCGCAGCCTGTGATCGGCTTGGCCCAGCCGTTGGGGAAGATGGGTTCGTAGAGGGAGACGGTCTGCTTGTAGAAGGGGAACTGCGGATTCGAGGGGATGTCGGACGGTTGGTGGATCTTGTTGGACTTGGGAGCTGGCTTGGGGTCGCTGTCGACTTCCATGGGGTCGGGGTCGGCAGCTTCTGGCTGCTGCTGCTGCTGCTCGACTACAGGCTCGGCGTGCTTCTTGTCTTTCTTTTTCTTCTTGTCCTTCTTCTCACTTTGCGGCTTGTCTTCTTCCTGCGGGGCGTCGTTTTCGGTAGTGGGCGGTGCGGCATTGGAACTGCCATTGGCCTCCTCGAGCTTCTGCTTGCGCTTCTTCTCTTTCTTCTCGCGCTTCCTTTGCGCCGCCGCGTCCTCCACTACGGGGGTCTCGACAGCGGGTGCATCTTCCACGACGGCAGTCTTGTCCTTCTTCTTCTTCTTCTGTTTCTTCTCGTCTTTAACTTGGGGCTCAGTCGTGTCGGCTGCTTGTTCGGGTTCGGGGCTGGTGGCAGCGACGCTCTTGGATTTCTTGTGTTTGCGTTCCTCGGCGGCAGCCTCATCCTCCCGGGCGCGCTTCTTGGCCGACTTGTTCTTCTTCTCCTTCTTGGGCTTCACAGCCTCTGGGGTGTCGATTGGCGCCATCGCTGCGCTTGGGGGGACTGTTCTCAAGATGGCGATTAATTGTATCGTGAGCGGGAGGTCAAGGTGCTTGTTTGCTGGGATTGGGAAATTTTTCCTTATCGATATGGAGATGCCTTCACTTGGGTGGGGCCTGTCACCTGTGCTTCCTCCACGCATTCGACAGGACAAGATTTCCCCCATTGAACTTACTCGAGGATTGCTCCAAATGAGCCACATTTCGATACCTTAATTCACATTGGATCACTACATCTCATTGACCATCTTACAGCAGACAGGGGAGAAGTACCAGCCTCGATCCCACAACCCGATAAACCCCTTGGCTTGAAAGCAGGCAGTGATCAAGAATTACAACAGATTCCGATTTCTATCAACCAAAAGCTAACGCCATTCCAAATAAGTCTCTCCTACACCCGCCTCCCGAGGTCGTCCCCCGTGTGGGTGATTTCGGTGGTGACCTTAATGTGCCCCGTGTAGTCTACCAAGTCCTCTTCGCTGTTCTCGCCCGAATATCCGTGTCCCACGGTCGTCTCCAAGCGAGGTTTGGCGACGCCGTGGTCGTTGACGGTCCCGCCTGCGTAGCCACGCTTGCCGCTCGAGCCCATGTTCATCATCTTGAAGCCGGATCGCTTGCTGCCCGACTTGTGCGAGCTTCCGAGAAGCTTGGGTGCGTACCGCGTGGCGATGGTCTTGAAGGACGGGATCGAGGATGCCAGGATGCCGACGTTGGTCTCGATGACCGACCAGTACATGGCCCCCGAGATGACCCAAGTCGCGTCCTTGGAGGTCAGCATCGGAGGAACGTAGGTGATGCGCACAATGGACGAGACGCAGGCACTGCGACAATGTAAGCTTCCCGCTGGGCGGGTGGTTGAATAGAAGGGCACTCACAAGAGTCCGAGGCTGAGGATCACCCCGAGTCCAATCTTCTGACGCCGAGGCAGCTGGATCTTGATGATCAAGGGAACCGGCAAGGTATATGTCATCACATCAGTGAGGATGTTGACGGCCGCATTCGCGAGGTAGAAGGCGTTGATGTTGATGCATTTTTTGTCTTCTTTCGGGACAGTAATGTCGTACGCCGCTTGGACAGGCGCGCACTGAAAGATGCAGGCCAGGACATTCCCACCAGCCTGGCAACAGATCACGCCAATCATGATCATGGACAACTTCGTCAGTCGTGCATCCCCAAGGCGCTTGTACAAGGCAAGAACAGAGATCTTGATGAAGCCGAGGCAAGCGTTGTAGAAGATGGACGACAGCCACACGATCTGGGAGTATGTTACCAAGTTCTCGGTACCGAGCTTCTCAACGGCGTCGTAGTGCTGGCCCATGCCATGTTGGACGGCGGCGAGGGTACAGCCTATAAAAGCCCAGGACAGTAACTACAAGCGTTAGATGATGGGACAGAGCAAAGTTCTGTGTGCAATCTGCACGTACAGCAGCAACGCATATCAGCCAGTCGTCGGATCCAACTGATTGCACGATGAAGAATCTCGACCACAACCGCAGACTGATGGCGATAAAGGTGATGACGGCAAAAGCAATCGCCACCGAATTCAGGACGGGGGCCTGCGATTCCGCCATCGTGTCCGGCGCGCTGGTGGAATAGATGAGAGCAGACGAGCCGCTGCAATTTCATGACAATGGTCTGGTAATAATAGCAGCAACGACAACAACAACACCGACGGAAGCTCAAGAACGAGTGGACTTTTGTCAAAAAGAACAGACTTGGTCTCCTGATGGCCAAGAGACTTGTCACATCTTTATGATGATTACAGCCTTGTCCCCTGAACGCTTCGCCTGGGCAGGAACCTTGCCTTTGCGCTGTCAAGGCCGCGGACGGCCGAGGACGGTAGGACCCCAGCTAATACCGGTTCGACAGATCCACCAGCCGTCTACAGGCCGTCGATCAGTCCTCATCGGGTCCGAAGACTGGAGCACGTCGAAATGACAGGCGAGAAGAAATACGGCACCTAGCCTTGGCTGTCCGTGCCCTCAGCCATGCGTCCACGGCTCTGACCTAGGCTGGCCTCGATACTGGTTGCGGATGGACCCTAGCTGACACATGATATGCAGTCGTTGGACGGGAGAGGGCCAACAGGTATCGACATGTCTTTTTTTTTGTTGCCCCTGAGTCGATGGTCCCTCGATCCGAATTCCTTTTTCTATGTACGTACGGTCGTACGCACTCGTACGAGGTGAAACATGGAGGATTAAGCAACGAATAACCCCCGACTGACCTCGTTATTTAATGCCCGGCTCTTGGGAAGTACATGTCAGAAACACCAGTTGAGGCTGGATAGGCCCTCACATTTAGACTGCTAGCGTTTGTTTCTCGCTACCATGCCAAGGTCTTGCACAATCGCGTGTTTCTGGCTGTAAGACACGCTTGCGAGCAGTGCGTGGTGATCTGCCCGTTGCGAATCTTCAAGACGTGGGCTCGTGTCCGGGCCCCACGCTACTGCGACACTGATCCAGCACGCCTCGACGTGGTTTCCTAAAGGACCAATGGACACGCCGATCAATGCTATGATAACACGCAATGCGTTGCATTCTCGAGTCGTGGCTGATGAGACAATTATGGCGTGGTGTCTAGCGTCAACAGCCGCCATCAACATGATGCAATGTCTTTCTTCCAAACAGCGCGCGTCGGAAGCACCCTGAACGGTGCTTGATTATGCCAAGATTCTGTCCTTGGTAGGTCGGAAAATTACGACTCGAGATTGAAGCCAGAGGACGTTCTGCGGACATTTCTTTTATTAGCGGCATCAGCCTTGAGGTGGCTTGAATCCCCCCTGCGCAGCTAGCGAACTAGCGAACGGCACGGAGCGACGGGCACAGCGACGATCATCTCGATAGGACTGAAGGCTGAAGCTAATGATTAGGGGCCGGTCAGCCTCAGATGTTCGCTCGCGCCATTGTTGGACGACAGGGAGTTCTGCGAGAGCACGTGCAGTCAGTGTCGAGCATGGCCCAGTGCGTGCGTTGCTCAGTCTGTTGTCAAAATTCAGAACGCCCTCCGTACGTATCGACAAATCACTTGCGCGGCTATTACCATTCTGCGCCCCGCTGAGAAAAGCTCGAGTCGAATGAGGACCTTGAGGACCCATATGTGACGAGAAGATACATAACCTGCGACACATACCGCAGTGGAGACTGAAGTCTTCAGGATACAAGTACTTTGCCAGTCCGTGATTGGCATCAGAGCGTCCGCGACATCTTTTCTCCCCAAAGTTTAATGTTCTTCAACAGGGGCGCCCTGGCTAGCCGCTGCCCAGATGGGTAAAGGTGTGCGCGGATCCCAACGGTCGCTCGTTTGCGGTGCCCAACTCAGCCGTGCGGGGGGATGGGGCACGGGGATGCATATCCTGCTCCGCGCGCCGTGTTCATAAGTGACAGATCACAATGGTAACCAACAAGTCGAAGCGTCCTCGGGCCGTTCGTTGGTCAGAGACTCAGAGACTCAGAGACTCAGAGACTCAGAGACTCAGAGACTCAGAGACTCAGAGAGGAGCAATTGGGCGTCCCGGGAGCAGGTAAGCGAGAGGAGGTTGCTGGGGCTTGATCCGACCCGAGACCGATGGAAAGAGAAATGACACGATCTAGAATAATGAATCTGCGAGGGACGCCGTGACGTGCGCATCGCCATCATGCAAAAGGCTTGTTGCTCGCAATAATCAAGGGGGCGGGCGCCTGTAGGCTGTCCGATGGCCAGGAGGAGGCGGAGAGGTTCCGCCCATGTCGTGAGGCAGGCAGGCTCCGCCGCTGGCTCGGCACCAACAGGAGGAAACATTAATGCACCGGATGCAGATGCTCCTCGCCTCTCGCAGGAATAATTACCTCGCCTCTCGCAGGAGTACCCTGGCCATTGCGTGTCGGCGATAGCAGCTATGGAGACTTCCACGCAAAGACTTTGCCCCAGGGGTTGGACCAAGGGACTGGCTTTCCTTATGAAAGCATGCAGCAGCAGAACCTAATGGGACCGCACAACATTTGGCTGCAACTCGCTTTTATTCACGGCGAAATTTGTGCTGTTCTCTCACACAACTGACTCAAACTGAGCCACCGAGACAACATGACGGTCCTTAGCGTCCATAACTTGGTCCTGGCCTGCACTGGCTACGTGGCCTGCACCATCCTGTACCAGATTGTCTACTACAGGTTCTTCCACCCGTTGGCAAAGTTCCCAGGCTCGTTCTGGGCCAGTGTCACACGACTCTGGATCGCATGGCACAACGTCCAAGAAGATGAGTGCGCCACGTACCAGAAGCTTCACGCGGAGCATGGTGAGTAGTACACTATTGAACAACCATCCATGAAGAGAGCAGCAACTGACAGCTGGGAAAAAGGCCCCGTCATCCGAATCACCCCAACCATGCTCCTCGTCAACGATGCCACCAAGCTCCCCTTGATCTACAGCCGCCAGGCCAGCAAATCCCAGCACTACATCACCGGTAGCTTCGGCAAGGATGAATCGCTCTTCAACATGCAGGAGGCGAGTCTGCACGCCAAGTTCCGCAAGCTCGTCGCGGCGCCATACAGCTTCAGCAACATCAAGCGCATGGAGCCTCTTGTCGACGAGCAGATTCAGCGCTGGCTTGAGACTCTCAACAACAAGTTCGCCGAGTCCCGCGAGGACTTTGACTTTGCGCCTTGGGCCGTCTACATGGCGTACGATGTCATCTCGTCCGTCGGCTTCGGCGCACCCTTTGGCTTCATCGAGCAGGGCAAGGACGTCGAGGGCCTGATCCAGGGGTTCCACGATGGTCTGGTGCCTTTTGGCATCATGGCACGATTGTACCCGTTCACCAACTGGGTCAAGAGCACGTTCATGGGCAAGTACCTGGTCGCCAGCCCCGAGCAGGACTCTGGTATCGGCACGCTGATGCGCTTCCGTGACCGACTTATCGCGCAGCGCTTCAAGGACATTGAGGCCGGCACAACGGACGGCCGTGTCGACCTCCTGCAGACATTCATAGATGCGCGTGACGACAAGGGCGAGCCTCTCGACATCAACTACCTCAAGGCCGAGATCCTCCTCGTCCTCCTCGCCGGCGCAGATACGACTGGCACATCGTTCCAGGCACTCATGCTGCATCTCTTCTCCAACCCCGACGTCTACGAGAAGCTGATGACCGAGATCGACCAGGTCACCAAGGAGGGCAAGCTGTCGGAGATGCCGCAGTATGACGAGGTGCTCGCCCACTGCCCCTACTACGTCGCCTGCGTCCGCGAGAGCATGCGACTGAACCCGTCAGCGCCCAACATCTTCCCCCGCCTCGCCCCCAAGGGCGGTCTCGAGCTCTTTGGCCAGTTTGTTCCCGAGGGCACCGAGGTGACGTGCAACCCATGGCTCGTCCACCGGGACCCGCAGATCTACGGGCCTGACGCAGAGGAATTCCGTCCCGAGCGGTGGCTGGACGAGGAGAAGGCAAAGGAGTTCCAGAAGTACAACATGGGGTTCGGCTACGGTGCGCGGTCCTGTCTCGGGAAGGATATCGCCATGATGGAGCTGTTCAAGGGCCCGCTGGTCTTCCTCCGCTCGTTCAAGCCGAAGGTCAAGAACGAGAGGAACCCGGCCAAGTACCTGGTCAAGGGGGGCGTCAGCTACTTTGAGGATATGTGGATCAACATTGAGAAGAGGCCTCAAGTTATCCGCCAAGGGAAGTAAAGCGATGCCAAAGAAATAAAGAAACTACCGCAACACCTTGTAAACCTTGCGAAATAGGTGATGAACATGTCGCACATTTCATTCATAAAGATACAGTACATCAGGACCTCTGCAGTACGTATCAAACTAATGCATCATCTCGTCCATAGGAGGTCGGACAATCTCGGGATCCGTCGAAATCCTCCTCTCGTAGGCCCAGTTCTCGATGGACTCCCACTTGGCGCACACATTTTCCGCGTTGGACTGCGTGGCTGGGTGGTCAGCCGTTGGGTCGTCCCAGTAGAAGGAGTACACGGCCGGGTTGCCGTTGCACATGATGGTCAAACGCAGCGTCTCGATACAATGGTCTAGATCTGTCAGCACAGTTCCGATAGATATTCACGCAGGTCTTGATCTCACCCAGGTGACCATGGAAGTAGTCGTCTTGCTCCTCTGTGAGATCACCGTAGTATCGGTCTTTCCATAGCCAGAAGCGGAGTTGACGCTGGGATTGTTAGCAGGTGACTACTTCAGTGTTCCGGTGTGCGCTCTCACGTACCAGGCAGTGAAGTTCGTGGTACACTCCGAGACTTGCTGGGTAACCTCCACCTTCGAGCTCAGCGATGTTCTCAAACGACTCGCCGGCCTTTTCTAACTCTTCCCGGGTAGCATTGAAGTAGACAGCTGGATCGTGTTAGCACAGTTGCTCGAAAACATGTTCCAGTGAAGCATAGTCTCACGTCTCATCAAGTCATCCCACGCCTCATCTTGCTCTGGTGACGGCCAACCTGAGTATTGGCTGTGTTTATGATGATCGGTTGCGTGTCCGGCATTGAGTTCATACTCGATGTGCTCTCGGACTGGTGCTGTTTTCCATCTATCAGCGCCAAGCTCTGGAAAGTCGATATAGACGACAAGACTTACACCATGATGCGCCTCTTGTCGGCCGTTGATTCGATATCTTCTTGGGGTCGATGTCAATGCATAGCACCGCGATCAATACCAAGACTATGCCGTGAAGCAGGACCATGTACACTCTTTTGCAGGTCACAACTGGAGACCCACGGTTGTGAATCTCCACTGGTTCGTCATGCTTCTCCATGAGGCGTTGAGACTCTTCATCATCATTGATGCTTGTACCCCTTGAGGAATCCTGGTAATGGCTCATGTTTGCAATATGCCGTGTTGTCAGTGTGCAATGCTTCTCGTCAACGGCAGAGATGAGAGAGAAGGGTCAAGAGTCTTTGACTACAGCACAGTGTCTACCGAACCAAGAAACGACGCAACTCAACATCAGAGTATAGTCTACGGGAAAGATAAGGGCATAACATCATACCACCCTCCTGCGGGTGCCACCGGGGTCGCCCCGCCCGTGATCGACAACACCATCGTCAGTCAGCTCGCTCATGCATGCATGCAGGGTCTTCCTCGGTAGTCGATGAGCGTTTGATGGAATGATGAGCAACAGACTCACTTCCAACGGCAAGCAAGCGAGGTGTGATATCAACGACCCCGCGCGTGGCGCGGTCTTGCAACCGGCCTGGGGGAGCTTTAGCTCATGACGGCCAAGGTGAATGGCATATAAGAAACATGAAAGGACCGTGAGTGCCCAGACGTAAGAGCTCTTCTTCATCAGAGACCACACAAGCCTCTAATCCACATCATCACAGTTGTTTTACTATTGCTAATACCACAAGTCATCATGCAGCTCATCAAGATTGCCGCCTTCACAGCCCTGCTGGGCTCTGCCCTTGCCAGCCCTGTCCCGAACGGTACGTTTTGGAACATCACCTACGTGCCCACACGTTTGAGATTGACACGCAATGTTAGCAGGCCGACCTTCAGCTCAAGGTGTCCAGGAAGAGGCACGCCTGTTCAAGCGTGATGCTGAGAGGCACCATCCTGCGGGTGCGCAAGAAGAAGCTCGTCTGTTCAAGAATGACGTCCGGCCCTCGGTAGAGGGCGTCCACGAGGAGGCTCGTCTCTTTAGGCGGGACAGGCCTTCGGCCCAGGGCGCCAAGGAAGAAGCACGCCTGTTCAAGAACTCTGTGCGCCCATCGCCTGAAGGTGTCATGGAGGAGGCCCGTCTCTTTTAGAGAGACGAGAATCACGATAATGCCATAGTGAATACATGTTTTGAGCGACCTCTGCAATATCGAGTCTCCTATCGCTTGAACTGTAGTCGCGATCGTAATTGCGCATATGGACATGTTGCCAACCCTGGATGGTGCGAACATGCAGATCACACTTTCAAATCCAGACGAGGCTCTATCTCAGAGCTGATCATCGCAATGAACGTTGATTCCAGGAACGACTGAGGCGGGCGAGCTGAACATTTGATGACGATCTGGGCGGCCTTGACCGACCGAAGATCATCCCCGGTCGGTCTGTCCGTGAGTCGATCTGTCGCTCATCCTCCGCCCGTTGAGCGTCGGAACATTTGATGGTTAACAACTTAAAGCGTCAACGCCGAGCGACTTGAGAGTGGGGTGCATTGTTGATCTGCGCGACGGTGTCTCCATTCTTCAATTCCACGTCATTATCGTCGTGCTCCTTGCCCAGTAGGGCGGTCATTGTTCTTGAATGCCACTTTGTCGCGGGATGATCAGTGGTAGGCAGTCGTGACAGTGACCAGCTAACAAGCTCTAGATTCACAGATACGTTCACGTACTTCACCACACACCCTCTCGAGCCCCTCGAGGACGAGATTAGCCAGACTCAAGACATTCCTAAACGGGAACGGCGACCGAGGACGTTGTGCGTTACAGTGCATGACCAGAGGAATCGACTCGAAGCCACAGTGGCCAGCCCAGCCGCACTCCCTCCGCCAGATCCTCAATCGGCGCCCTCCCGTGACGATCCCCTGGTACCTAGAATCCTTCAGCCGCGCAGACAATCCTCTGATGGGTCCCTCTGTCGGCCATCCCCCACCCTCACATCAAGCGAGCAGGCAGGCTGAGGCGGCTGATGGCAAACGTCGACATTCTGCGCGTATATGTACGTCCCTTGCCAGGAAGGCGAAGCTTTTTGAATCATCCACAACCCCCCAAAAACATGGATGCATGTACATGTATGTATGCCTGCCTTTTGTAATTGCGACCTGCCATTTTCTGTAATCAGTCGAGCTGTGCCGCTGTTCTATTCTCATACTTTCGTGAAACGATTCGATACGATACCCCTTTCTTTTGGCTGAGTCCAGTATTCGCAAAGCATTGTACTTTCACTCCCTTTGAGCGAGAGGCCTTCCCATTGATTGGGGGCATTTGGATCACGCGTCGCATTCGAAGATTATGGTCGGCGTCGGACCCTCACATTCGTTCATCTTCCGACCATGAGCCAGCAGCAGCAGCAGCAGCAGCCAGGAGGCGGGCCTACGCCGCCCGAGTTGGTGGCCCTCGCTCCCCAAGCGTACTACCAGAAGCCAGAACACCTGCTCGCAGCGAGCATAGCTTTCATCGTCCTCACGACAGTATGTGTCGCTCTTCGATTCGGCATACGGAGGTGGCAGGGAAGCACATTCAGGATGGACGACTGGCTGCTCGTGCCGGCCACGGGGTTGACAGTCGCCATGAGCGTGTTGGTGATCTACGGCGTCCGAAAGGGAGCCGTCGCATATAGACTGGAATTCCCAGAGGATTTCACAGCGAACCCCTTGACGTTGGAAACAGACCAGACCTCGCTGATGGCGCGGGTAAGCCGTTCCCCTTACTGCTAGTTTTGTAAGGCACAAGATCGCTAACCAGCAGCAAAGATCGAATACGGCTTCACGATCATGCTACCCCTCGCCTTGGGGTGCAGCAAGCTTTCGTTTCTCTTCTTTTACCATCGCATCTTCGCAGTGAATCGCAAAGGCGCCATTTCATGGTTTCTAAGGGCCTTGATGGTGCTCGTGGTCTTGTGGTCCGTTGCCTTCTGCTTCGGCACCGTCTTCGAATGCGGCACAGATTTTGGAATCATCTGGGGCCCGACCATAGTGATGGTCGAGAAGTGTGTCAACACCATGCTGATGATCTACGCTTTCTGCATCTCCGACTTCATCACCGACGCCATCATCATCCTGATTCCAGTCCCCCTGATCTGGAAGCTCCAACTTCCGAGAGCCAAAAAGCTGGCGACGAGTGCCATCTTCTTGCTGGGAGCAGGGTAAGTGTCAATATGCATCTTGCCTCTTCCTACCCTGCTGCGCCATGTGATACTGACGTTTGCATAGTACCCTGGGTGCCTCATTCTGCCGCCTGTACTTCACGGCTCAGGCCGTCAACGCGGGATTCGACCCCAAGGAGGACGAGATCCTGACCATCACCCTGTACCTCTACTGGGGTCTTGTCGAGTCTGGCGTCGCCATTGTCGCCGCTTGCTTGCCCAGTCTGTCTTTCATCTTCAAGGCGTCGTCCGTCAACAACGTTTTCGACAAGTCTCGCACCATCTTCACGTCGTCGTCCTCGCGCAAGTCACTGCACACAACCAGCCACAGCAGCGCACGTTACGAACACACAGCGGATATGAAGCGCAATCTCCATGCTTTGGATAGCCAAAGTGACGACAGTGGCATCGGCTTGCAAGGTCGTGTCCACGTCGAAGACAACACACGCAGCAGCCGTGAGCCCATCATGGACGACGCTGTGTCGGCCGTCTCAGCTCTTTCGGCGCATCCATCGGTGGTCTCCAATCTTTCACGCGGAAGCAACCGCCTCGAACAGGATCCAAGGAATTTTGACTCGTACACCACTGACTCGAGCTGGAGGACGCGAGGTCCTAGCGTGCCCGATGTCAATGAGGAGTTCCTCGCGCCGCCACCTCCCTCCCACCATATGAGGGACTTTCGCGGCTCTCCTGTTTGACGGACGTAAAGGAGGGGGGTGTATCATGCGTACTGAGATTTTTTTTTTTTATGTGGCGCGAACGGCCGGAGTGTCGCGTTTGTGTTTTGAGCATATAGAGATACCATAGTCATTGAGGAAATCATGAGCAAGTACTACAGATGATGCGGCCGCTAGATCGCGTAATTTTCCGGAATGCTGCCTCGCTGGAGGCGCCTCGAGGATTCTTGGTCCGTGTCCAAGGCCGCATTGCTCATGTATGTTGCTGCAGATCTCGGACTCTCCTTGCGTCACCAACCGGAGGAAGTGCATCCTAGCAGCATGTAAGCAAAGGGCCCCGCTGGATGCTACAAATCCTGGGCTGCCCACGTCCTGTTCTTGCCAGAAACGCCATACAAGGACTGTAGGTTCATCACAGATAGCTCAACATGGCAAGCGACACTCGCCGTCTACGAGTCGGCATCATCGGCGGCGGCCTCGCCGGTGCAGGCGTGGCCAATGCTCTCATTCAATCGCCTCATCTCGATGTGCACGTTTTCGAGTCAGCACCAGAGTTCTCTGAGAGGGGAGCGGCCATAGGTCTCTCTGCCAACGCTCAACTGGCGTTGAAAGAGATCACACCATCGGCCGAGGACCTGATGAAGAAAGCGGGCGGCGTGCCGATGAACTCATCGAGAATCATGGTCGTAGGTAGATTCGAAGCGCAGAGTGAGGTCTTGGGCTGAACGTTTCCAGGGCTCGGGTGAGCAGGCGGGAACGCTGATCCTTGACCTCGCAGGAACAGGCATGGACCCAGGCATCATCTTCCGCCGCGCCTCTCTGTTGCGCGAGCTTCTGGCGCCCTTGCCTCAAGATGTCCTACACCCGAACAAGAGGCTTGATGCAATCACCCCTCAAGACGACGGCAGTGTAGCAGTGTCATTCGCCGATGGCACAGTGCACACCTTCGACGCAGTCATTGGCGCAGACGGTATATTCAGCTCGGTGCGGTCACATGTGCTGGGGAAACAGGCAGCCAAGCACGCAGCAACGCCCGGGGGCTTTTGGGATGCGAGGGCGCTGGTCTCCCTAGACAAAGCGAAAGCAACCCTGGGCGAGGACCTCTTTGAACTGGATCGGCAATATGGGTGGGCGGGCGACGGCGCTTTCATCATGCACGACGTCCTGGAAGACCGCTCGCTCGTGCAAGTCCTCGTGTCAGCCGTTGAGCACGACCATCCCAAAGACCGGAAACGGGCTTTGACCAAGGATGTTCTCGACGCCAAGTTCAAGAACTGGCCCGACATCCCCGTGGCCAAAGGGGTGAAAGAGCTACTTCTTGACGAGGCAGAGCCCGTGGCTTGGTCCCAGTGGGAGCACAAATCGACGCCCACCTACGCCAATCACCATGTCTGCATTGTTGGCGACGCTGCTCATGCCACGACCCCATGGCAGGGTGCTGGCGCCGGCCAGGCACTCGAGGACGCCATGATACTAGGGGCTTTGTTCAGTCAAGTGCGTAGTGCATCAGACGTGGCGGTCGCATTCAAGGCGTTCGACGCGGTGAGAAGGCCCCGTGCCCAACAGGTAATAGACTCGAGCAGAGGGACCGGAGCCATCATGTGCGGGCAGGACAAAGAGTTGGGACTTGATGCAACCAAGCTGGTAGGTGGTTTGGCGCCACGATGGGGGTTCATCTTCGCTTTGTCCATGGCGGACCACAAAGAACAAGCCCTTGCGCAGTTGCATGAGTTTCAGAAGCGCAATGGGGCATCGTAGCACGACAGATGTCTCCCCGCACGATGCGGTGCAAGCACACATACAGTCTGTACTTCCGGAAGATACCTCACGGTTATTGGGGAACTCCAACCGAGTGACACGCTCCGCCTAATCTGGCCCGCGAAAACTCTGAGCACACGTACTTCTTGATTGCCCCAGCGGACGAGGTCGACGCCTCCAATTCTTGAATCATGTTCCGAGATCGCGAGACCGTCGATGGTACTCCCAAGCAAGGGGGCTGGGTTGCGCAATAGCCGTGCCGTACAATTGAATGCAGGTTCCGAAAAAGATACCATTTTTGGAAGTTGATCGGGTCAGTGCAAGCGGTAAAATGCTTTTGCCACTGGCAGCATCCACGGTTCCGGCTGGAATGTTAGCTAGGCTGGTCTTGTCTCATTTGGGCAAGTAGCGGGGAAAAGTCAGACGCCAGCATTCCAGAGGAGAACCGAAAAGGCAACGTGCCCCTGGGTGGCGTCTACCGGTGCGCTCAAGTAGAAAGTATAATGCCCTCCACTACGAGAGCAGCCATACAACCGCTTGTCCTGAATCGGTGCCCGTCCTTTGTCACTCGGTCCCATGAGTCGGAGGGCACAAAATGGCGCGGTGGTCCCTTCACCATCGAGTCGTCCAACTGGAGGAGACAAGGCGAAGGACAGTACATTGTTGGAGCCATGGCCTCTTCAGATACCAGGAAAGTGAGACTGCCCATGATAGAGTATGAAGTATCGGCGTAAGAAGCACGGCTTCGTGCATGTCACCACGCTTTCCAACCGCAGTATCCTCTTTGGCGTGAGCCTCCCGCGCAGCCAAGCGACGGGAGCGTCAGCCTTTCCTTCGCTGCCCCTCCATCAAGCACGCATAGACAAGAAGCCCGCACGTGCCAGAGCACCGGTACCTGGCGATCGATCCATGCGATCTTATTCGGGAGTATACCGACGAAGCGCCCGGGCACACCACCTCCAACAGGTGCTGATGGTCGTGCCTGGATCTAAACCCTTCTTGTCCATAATGCGCCATTTTCTCGGACTTGGAAGGCTTCCCTCCTTGATCTCCGTGGCTTCGACCGTTTGATGTGTGCGTGAACACTTTTCTCTGGGACCCACACAGCGGCTCGTGGCATTGGTAAACGTGTCGACCCTCTCCACGACGACATTGTCTATAGGTACCTGGTATTGATGGTAGAGAAGAAATGGAGAAAGCGCAGGACCCATAGAGGCTTGCCCAAAGTGAGTGCCGATGCAGCGGGATGTTGGAAGAGTTTGCGGGTTGCTGAGCTGGGGAATCGGGTCTTCCATGTGTATAAAAGGTCGGTCGTCCTGATGGTAGGAAAGGAGTTGTGTCTCTCTTCTCTTGCATCAATAGCATATCCCTTCTTTGCAATCTCTTGCCCATTCTTGCCTCTCCCTCGGCTGGTTCCTGAGATATCTTATCAGTGATCTTTCATCGTCAGACACAACTGCACACATACCCTCTCTCTAGTGCCATACAGAGAAACTCAGAAGCACCACAACAAGAACACACAAATCCTTCTTTAAAGACCGCCAGAATGTTCAATTTCTTCACCACACTCATCGCTGCCTCGGCTGCTGCCACAGTTGGCGCCGTCCCTACCCGCCGCAGCCAGTCTGCGAGCATCACCCCTCACGACAAGTACTCATCCTCTGTCGGTGTCCTTGGCTGCAAGATCGACACCAACAACGTCGCCTACTGGCCCAGCTCCGTGGACTGTGACAAGATCTGCGTCAAGGTCACCCACGACGGCCGTTCGCGCCACTTGCTCAAGATCGACCAGTCCGGCGGTGCTCATGACATCTCATACGACGCCTGGAACTACCTTGTCTCCGGCAAGTCTGCCACCGAGGACCCTCAGATGGGTGGCGGCGTCGAGATGGAATACGAGTTCGTCGACAACGAGGAGTGCGCCGATCTCATGGACGATGGAAAGCTGGACTTTTCCGCCGCCAACAGCATCAACTTTGTCACCTCTTGCGGCGCTGATACCTGGGTCGGCAAGAACCACAAGCTCATCAACATCCAAGATCCCCAGTGCAAGTACGGCGACGATGTCGAGTGCAAGCTCGACCTCGCTGTGAGCAACCAGCCCAACTGCGGCAGCTCGGTGCTGGGCATCAACACCGACTCGGGCCTCAAGGTGGTCGACATTGCCTACGGCACTGGCAAGAAGGTTACCGCTTGATAGATTACGGCTTGATAGATTACCGCTTGATAGATTACCGCTTGATAGAAACATAGACTTGAACTTGAACTACAGATCATAAATTGATGACCCGATATAGACGCGTGTCTGCGCGTCTCGATACATTTCCCCTCTGAAAATGCGTTGTGCAGTGTTTCGTCGGCGTCGTTATGAAAGGCAGTCCGCTACAGTCGCGAGGAATGTACTCATCCGGTCGTGCGAACAGGGAACAGAAGTTGGTGAAGTGAGGCTATGTGTGATAGCGGTGTTCATTCAAGGTGATGTGCCCCGTGTGATGTGCCCCGTGTGATGTGCCCCGTGTGATGTGCCCCTGACCGAGGTGAGGTGGGCTGCGTGTGGTCAAGCCCCCACTTCCCCTCGAGCGTTCTTGTCTACCCTATAGTCTGGCGGCGGAAAGCGCACCACAGTTATGTGGAAGGTGCCGAAGTCGGCTATGTTCGATAACCCCCGAATCCCCCGCTTCAGCGGCTTCGCAACCCACTGAATGACCAAGCGCGCGGCGGTTGATGATTGAAGAATGACTAATTCGATTGCCGTCGACCAGGTTCCTCGGTAACTTTAGGTTCGCTCAAATGTTGCTGAGCATCACTGTCACTTTGAATTCTTAGAACATTCCTTCGGCCTTTCTTCTCCCATTATTACTACCTAGCATTCATTCGCATTGTCGTTCCTCTGATTGGCGACGTTGAGTGGCTAATTCGCGATCATGTCCGCTGGTGACGAGAAGCTGCCACCTTTCTACTCGCCAAAAGCCGCAGCAGCCGGCGACGATGCGCGACAGCATGTGGACGACTTTTCGATCGATGCGCCTGCGACACGAGCCGACCAACTCAGCCAAGAGGGACAACTTCCCCCGCCATCGCTGCTTTCACCTGCCTTTACCCCGCCAGCGACACCTGGGACACAGACACCGAGCGCACTCGGTCCGCGAGGCGTTCCTGTAGACAGCAGTACGCCCTCAGGAGGATGCGGCTCAAAGAAGCCCAAACTGGTCGAGTCGCTGCCAACGGTCGAATGCGAAGTCCGCGCTCGGATACCGACGGTCAACAATGGCGAATTCTTCCTCCATGTATACAAGAACAGCGTAGACAGCAAGGAGCATCTGGCGATCGTCTTTGGTGATGCCATCCGCAGCAAGTCTCTGGATGCGCCGAGGCCGGACGAGACAGAATGGGACCGCATGATGCGCGGAGCGTATACGGGCAAACTATATCCGGGACGAACGACAAGTTCTGAGGATCCGCCAAAGGAAGGACAGCCAACCTCAAAAGCATCAAGAGATACCCCGCTGGTGCGCATCCATTCGGAGTGTTATACGGGCGAGACTGCTTGGTCCGCGAGGTGCGATTGTGGGGAACAGCTAGACGAGGCCGCTCGGCTCATGAGTCTACCGGGCAATTCAGCTGGCGGCGTCATTGTCTATCTACGACAGGAGGGCCGCGGAATCGGTCTCGGCGAGAAGCTCAAAGCATACAACCTACAAGACTTGGGCTCCGATACAGTCGAGGCGAATCTATTACTGCGCCACCCAGCCGATGCCCGAAGCTACGGATTGGCCACGGCAATTCTTCAGGATCTTGGTCTAGATGAGATCCGCCTCTTGACCAACAATCCCGAGAAGATCCGTGCGGTTGAAGGTCCCAACAGGGAAGTGGTTGTCAAAGAGCGAGTGCCAATGGTGCCACTTTCATGGAAAGGGCGAGGGGGCATCAGGAGCCAGGAAATTGAAGGTTACATGAAAGCCAAGGTGAGTCTGGTTGACCCAGTCATGAAGATCGTCTACTGACAGCGAATAGATCGAGAAGATGGGGCATATGCTAAGTCAAGGTGGGATATAGTGGTTCATTCGGATTTTAGACGTGCATCTGAGTCGGAATTGTCGCATACTCAAGGATATACTGCCATTTTCCCACACATAGATGCGTTCGCCATGGCCAACACAACATGAACACTCGTGAATACGTTCGCGGCAGCGGAACGGTTCAGGTCTAAAGTGATGCAACTGACGGAGCCAATCTTACCTCCAATTCGCCATTAGGGTAGGCTAAGGTATTTTTGCTTTCTCGTGGTTTTGCATCAGAGGACAGTTTAACTCTGCCCTGTCACATAATATAACGTGAATTGCGCTGTTCGGAACAAGTTTAAATCTCCGTCTCAGCATCATTTTAGACAACCATATCCTAATTACCTGCTGTGTCGGCGCATCAACGCTGGGTAGAGGCGCAAACAGCCCATGTAGCAGGGCGCCCCACTATCATGGCGCGTTGAAACGCGGTTCCGTTGAGAAAATCGTCACCGTCAACCACACCTTGGCCGGATTTCTCGCTTCATTACACCATTGCTTTGGCTTTGAAGTGTCAAGTGCATCACCCATCGATGAGCGACTAGCGATGCGGTAGCCATAATCACAAAAATATGGACATCCGTCTACGACTCACCATCCGGCGACATGGCGTGCCCGAGATCAAGCTTGTCTGGCCGTGCACAGCATCTGACGACTTGACGATCGCCTCGTTACTCGCACAAATCAACGATGTCGTGGTTCTGGAAAGCGGTCAATGGGGGCTCGAGGACTATGCCGTGGAACTCGCAGATGTCTCGGGCAACAGCTTCGAGTGTCTGCACTTCCAGCCTGTGCGCAAGGTCTTCAAGCAAGACGACCAAGTCCTCATCCGTTCGCTCTCCACTGAGGACGTGAAACAGCGCCGTGCTAGCGGGCGACATCAAATCTCGAGCGACGGCATCCATTTGGTAGATGGTATCCCCTTTGGTCGTCGACGAGCTCCGCCTGGCCGCCCACAGCTCGAACTGCCCCCACGAAAAAGAGCACGCATCGTGTACGACGCAGACGAGGACGAGGACGACTCGGTAGAAGAGGATGCCCTAGAGCGCATGCTTCTTGAAGACACGCCGAGAGCATCCGAAAAGGTCGACCACTTCCGCTCGAATGTACACAATGCAGACGTGGAGGAGGAGGACGAGCCTGATCAAGACTATGCCACCGAAAACGACGCCGAGGTCGACGCTGACGACTATAACATGGACGAAGATGAAGATCTGGAGGAGGAGATCCGACTGCTCCAGGCAGATAACGATATCATCGGGGATCATTTCTTTGACAGCGAGGAGGAGCAGAACCCGCAGCCCGAACTACCTCGACTCAGTCCACAAGCAGCAAAGGCTCCGAGCAGCCAGCCACTGTTACAGGAGATCACTCCCGCAGCTGTCAATGCTTTACAAATGGCATTCCCCTCGACGCCAGCGTCTGCTATCCGAGATGCTCTGCAAAACCACCAAACCGATATACACAATACTTATCGAGATCTATCCACCAAGGATGATCCAACCATGTCCTTTGACAAGGTTCTTCAGAGCTTCCTGGCCGAGCGATTTGCCAACACCAAGTCGTCCCCCGGGCCATCGTTACTACCGGAAACTCCAAAGGTCCAGTCACGCCCACTGATTCAGGTTGTTGAGGCCGACGACCCGCTAGGCTCGGGCAGTCCCCTATCCAACGATGTCGATGATGGTGATGCGGTAGACGCCTCTTCGAGCTCAGCCGAGACGTCCAGCAGCAGCGACAGCGACAGTAGCTCGAGCGATGAGGCGAGTCTGCGGGGTCATGACAAAGAGGAGAGCGACTTGAGTGATGACGAAAGCTCTGATAGTGACTCGGATGAATCACATGCAGTCACGTCGCCAGAAGCAAGCATGTCCGCGGACGGCGGAGTTCCAGCGCAAGAGAGCTCAGCCAGCGACAGCAGTTCAGACTCTGAGGCCGGATCGGACAGTCAGGCGAGCTCCGTTGTTGAGCCAAACTCGAAATCTCAGCACGGCCACCGGACACTACGAGAGCATGTCTCCATGATCCCTGTCGAGCAGAACGAGCAGAAGAAGTCCAAACGCAGGAATTCTTCCAGTTCTATGAGCAAAGACGTCGGACGCAATCCCATGTCGGCAATATCCGGACGCCAGAAGAGACACAAGATCGAGGTTGTCTCCAGCAGCGACAGTTCAGATTCAGATGACGCTTCTAGCTCCAGCGACGATAGTGAAGACTCCGATGAGGCAAGCTCTGATTCGGACTCTTCGCCCGACGAACTCTCTACTAAGAAGCCCCCTGCCAAGGCGACAATCGTGCCTCCGGATGCTGCACAGACAGAGACTGCAAGGCCCGCGCAGGCGACGGTTCCACGGGGCCAGGGCATGACTAAAACGCAGAAGCGCAATGCGCGACGCAAGTTGGCAAAGCAGCATGCAAAGGCCGCTCGAGCCCCGGCGTCAACTTCGGAGGCTGATGAGCTTGCTGCTCGTAAGAAGGCCTTGCTGAGCGCTGTGTCACAAGAGGAAGACACTCATGCCACGGATCAGAGTGGGCAGCTGGGCCAGGCGGGTATGACAGAGGTCGATGAACCCCACGAATGTCAGGACCCTGTGGAATCGGCCGACATCTCTCAGGACGTGCCGACCGAGCTAAGCTCGGTGGACATGGAGGTAGATGCAGATGCAAACGCCGAGGAGCCCGTTGGCGTTCTCAACCAAGCAGCGGTCTCTGAGGATACGGCATCGGTCGATACCCCCCGGCGTCGTGTGAAGATGGACAAGGACGCTGGTCGACGGCTACTTTTCGGCGCTCTGGGACTCAAAAATCCAAAGAGCAAGGCCGACGAGGAGAAGATCAAGGAAAAGTTGATGAAGGATGTTCGGCCGCTTAAAAACCATCGACAGGAGGAGACGACGCAGCAACAGCATGGAACTCCTCCTGTCGATGCCGACGGAGAGGAAGATGACAATGAGGATTGGCGCGCCAAAATCACCTACCGTGCCGTTGAATGCTGCCATGAAGGCATGCAGCTGAGTGAGCCGCCGTTCCCATTCGTGCAACGATGGGATCCTCAGCAGCAGTACGGGGCGATGCGCAAGCGAAAGCGCCAGTCCCAGGAGTACTATCAAGACTACGATTATGAAGATGGCTACGACGACGAATCCTACAACTACGAAGGATACGAGGAAACCCACACGCCCAAGAAGTCAAAAAAGTCCAAGAAGAAGTCGAAACAGAACGGTGATGCCAACGACGAAAGCATGGTCGAAGACAATATTGTGCTCAACTACGATGATGCGCCAAAGAAGACACCGGCTGGTGAAAGCCAGTTCACAGACTACGATGATTTGCCGTCACTCCCGCCTGATGTTACCACACTTGCACCACTGACCTTGGACACGGTCACGTCTGGTATGGTGATTTGCTGGAAGGAACTACAAATGTCCAAGGCCACATCATGGCAACCCACGATGGCTCTGGTTACTGCCTTGGTCATCTCTGTAGAGGATAACACCATCCACGTCATCTTGGCGAAGCGTGATCGCCCCGAGGATGACCGCGAGTACGACCAGACCACCGGCAAAAGGATTTACGATAAATTCGAAGCCCCAGACAACTCGGATGACGACATGGGAAATGATCTAGAGCACGAGGGTCACAGATGGGTGAACTGGTCAGACATGGTCGAGCCACGCGTTGTGCAGAGCGCCCCATCGCCAAGGATAGCCAACAGCCCTGGCCCGGAAGCCGATGACCAACATACATCCATAGAGCCGACTATCGAGGTGGAATCAGCCCAGATTACTGATAGCGTCGACAAAGACCCTGCCAATGGGGAAGAAGAAGACATTCCTACCGTTTCATCTATCCCATCTGGCCAGACTTTTCCTCGGTTCGAACCCCTGGACACCACCAGTGCCTTGGACAACACGGCTGTCAGTAGCAGGACTGACGATTCCCAGGCTCAATCAGGCAGTGACGGAGCACTAAGACAAAGGCCTCAGGGCCCTCAAGCTATAGTGGAGGACTCTCAGCCGCCTCCCGTGGCCAGTGAATCGGCACAGATGTCCAGAGATGAACGATTCCAGCCACAGCAAGAGCAAGCCCTCAGTCCCGGATCCGAAGAGTCTGTGCTGGCAGAGAATTCCAACCCGTCAGTCAATGTCACCCTAGCTAGCCCGGGGCAAGAGCCAGACGAGCGCCAAAGCCCCCTTGTGGAATACCCGCAGCTCCCGCCCTTCCCATCATCGGCCGGCAGCCTCCGTAGCGGACGACAGCCCAACCCAGAGGATGAAATTATGAACGATGCTGGCGATGGTGACGATACAGTGATCCATCACGACATCGGCTCACCAGACGACGAGGCAGACGCAGTTGATGGTGAAGAGGACAACATGCGACCCCATGGAAGCAGCTCGCCGCTCCCTTCGCTGGACGATACATGGCTCACGGCAAAGACTACCAAGAGCTCACAGAGCCCACTCAAATCATCTCAGATGTCTGCCCTCTCCAAGCGAAAAGGCCCCAAGTCCGGCTATGAGGAGGCAATGGAACGCTTGGACGAAGGAGACGAATCGGAGCTGTCGCCTGATCGGAACACGTCGATTAGAAGTCTCTTCCCCAATGCGACACAGCCATCGCCGGCGGCACTGGGTGTGTCCGCCGACCGCGGCATCGCGAACAGCAAGCAGGAGAAGTTTGCGGGCCGCCGTCGCTTGTCTCCGTTTCAGCTTCCGGAAGGCAGTCAGGTCATTGAGCTCATCTCTAATCCAGTCTCGCCGCGACCTGTCGAGCATTATCCCGATGACAGCATGGACGAAACGTACCAGGATGAGGAGGATGAGGAGGGTTCGTCGCTGCCGCATGGCTCCGGCTGGGTTCAAAAGAATAAGGTGAAGAGAGAGTCCCGAAGGCCAAACAAAGATTCGTCTGCCGCGCTCTCCTCTTCACCGGCCGGTGGCACACGAGCAAAGAACAGATCATTGCCCTGGCCATCAAGCGCGGCACCGGCAGGACAAGGGCGCAGAAGGATGAGCAAGAAATTTTGAGCGATGAAGGATGTGTGATACCCTTGATTGAACCTGGCTTTGTGGTATTTATTTATGTAACAGCAAACGGGCTCATTGCGCCTGCGATCTTGATCAGGAGCAAAGATTTAGGATGTATGGGATGGCCATTGTCGTGGTTGCCTGATGGCTGTCTTGAGTGATCATCACATGCAACTAACATGCCAATCAACAAACACAATTGTTCACACAGATCAAATCACCTTGAGGGTCACGTTATGCACGAATCACCAAGCTTTTTTATTTGAGCACATGCGCCACATCTCGGCGTTGACCCAAAATGTTCATGGCCCTGGTCGACTTCCTGTTCTAGGATAGTCCCCGCGTGAGAGAGCGGTGAATTGCGGGGGGTTGCCCCTTGCGCGCGCGTGCTTTACAAAAGACGGCTGGCGCTGCTGAGCCGCCAAGACGGATGGAATAGCACCAGGAGACACAACGATGGGGGCCGGCGCACAAAGAGGGATTCTATGTGTCCTGAAAACCAGGGAGTGAGTGAGTGAGCTGAAAAGGTTGACTGGAGGCACGGAACGTCGGGGTGTGGACCTTTGATGAATGGACAGCGTCACGAGATACGAGATTACTGTCAGACTCACAGCCCGCTTACAAAATACGTAGTAGGTGGGCAGGGCAAGCAAGAGGCTTCGTTCTTTTTTCTTACCTAGCCCTCTACACAAACCTTACCTGAGGAGCATACAATGGCCTTGTTCGAAAACTCTAAATACTGAACTGCGATGTGATCTTCCAGAGCTATAAGATGCTGCCATCCCTTGCATCTTGCGATTTCGAGCGTCTGCAACGATTGAGAGGATTCACAGAGCACACGCTCGACGACGCCTCTTCACGATGAAAATCACCACCGTACTATCACTGTTCGTGCTCAGCGCCGAGGCAACGCAGTCTGCGCCTCAACAAACAACCCACGCCCAGCAACAGCTCAACAACCTGAAAAGTAGCAAACCCCCTGCCTACACGCCCATTGCGACACCAGCGCCAAACCAGGACGAGGTGTTGCGCAGCAAGGGCTTCTATCAGACGACTGTCTACAAATGCCAGACCAGGCGAGATGGGGACGAAAAGTGCGGGTGGTACACGCCAATTTTGAAGGCCGAGGCGAGAAGGGAGCTCAGCATGGGTGTGGTCTTGGGCACCGTGAGCGGCGCAGCTCTTATATTCGTGCTCGGCCTACTTTGATGACAACATACGTATACGATATACAAGGTGCAAACCCACAAACGAGGCACACACATATCCCTAGGATCTGTGGGAGAAAGCTATAAGCATTTTACAACAGGCGCAAAGGGGGGCAATGGTAAATTGGGGATGATACGGCTTAGATATCGGAGGCAGGAGCCCAAATGTGTGGCTCACATCATTCACGTCCAGCGAGACGCGGTAGCGGGCGTTGCGTTCATTGAGTAGCAACGTGATACAATTGAAATTCACCATGATACATTCAACCGTTCGCAAATCGTGACGTCGTCCTGGTCTGAAACCCGAAACACCATTGATTCATGCTAGTGTAGAAAGGGTCGTAGAGACCATCCGTCTTTCCTCCCGCGGCGCCGAATCCAGAGTCCCGCCCGATATGGAAGAAAAATGCAGGCGGGCTCAACAGACAACAAGAGTCATATTTTTCGCCGGCACGACCACCACGTCCCCAGTGACGAAAGGCCATGCCAGCAGCTGACCGATACAAACGCCAGCCATATCCGCACCACCTGAGGAAAGCCCCAATGCTTGTTCCTCCCCGTTTCGAATCCGACCTCGGATATAGAGGGGGTGATGCGTTTATTTGTCCTTCTTCGCCTTGGCACCCTTGACCTTCGCGGTACCGCGGAGGGTCTTCTGCCTGTTCTTCCTCTGCTTGCCTGCAATATTGTCAGTACTGAAGCGTGACCACGCCATCCACCATCATGGTACGCACGCTGCTGTCGGGAGGGGCGCTCGGCCTTGGTCGCGAGACCGACCCGGACGAGACGGTACTGGGGCTCGAACTTCTTCATGGCCTCAGGCGAGTCGTAGACGAGGGCGAAGCCAGTGGTCTTGCCACCACCGAACTGGGTGCGGAGACCGAAGACGGAGATCTGGTCCTTCTGGGCCTTGTAGAGACCACCGAGCTTCTCGCGGAGCTCCTCCTTGGAGATGTTGGCGCGGTTGGGGTGCAGGATGTCACTGTCTGCCGTCAGCCGTGTGTTCCTGGGCCATCCATCGCATTTCGTCTCCCATCCGCTGCCTCTCGAGTCGACAACAAGCAATCGTGCACGGTATCCTCCAAATACACCAGCAGCATGCAAATTGTCCATCGAGTCGTTGTCGTCGTCGGTCGAGGCCAGCGGTGCGGGGAGGTCACGGGCTACTCACACAACCATCTGCTTGCGACCCAGGAGAGGGTTGCGGATGAACTTGCGCGTGCGCAGGGTAACGGGGGAGTCGTTGTCCGCCATGGTGTCGGTTGTCGAGGTCTCGAAGGGGGGGGATTTGTCGAAGTTCGTCGAGAGACCGTTGGGTGGTGGTGATGGGCGTGAGTCGATTTGCGTGATGGGGGCTTGGAGGCGCAAGGGCGAAAATTCCGAGCATGCCCCGTGTCGCTTACTTAATTGGGTCCAACCCTAAGAAATTGCGCGTGTGCGAACTGAAGTGGTGGATGTGGGGCAGCGACTGGCTTTTCGAGATTACTCACGTGACTGATGACAGCTGGACTTTTGTGCCCGGCAGATCCTCGGCATCCCGCAACCTTGTTGCACCGTGAAACAATCACCAGCGTCAACTCATGCACCATGGATAACGACGCGTCTGATCAAGTTGATCGATTCTGCCGTCAATATCTGCAATTGGAGCAAATCCTTGACTTTCCAGAACCGATTCATCTGCGACAATCTACTGTCCAGGAGGCCATCTTTGACAACCTCTTTGCGGATGAGGCGCTGCGTTATGGACCACCGATCAGGTACCAGGTCAAGACGCTCAAGTCCATTGTATCCAAGATTGAGGACAGCATTGAAGACTGGGACCAACATGTGAGCAGCGCGGCCTTGTTTCCGTCGTGTGGCTCCGGTCTGTCTGACCTGAAGGTAGGAGGTATCTGAGAATCTCATGAGTGCCTTGTCCGTGCTCTTAGCATCCCCCCTTCCAGCAGAAGCAGAAGCCGTGCAGCAAAAGTGCTACGTCACGTATCATTTGTCGGCACTGGCGAGGCGTCCTTGCCCTCGTGTCACTCTGCTAGAAAACCGGTCTCTCATCTCAGCAGCGGGAACGACAGGTCTGCGGACATGGGAGGCGGCACTACACATGAGTCACTTCCTCTCGCAGCGCCCTGAGATCGTCAAGGGAAAGCGTGTCCTGGAACTTGGTGCTGGCACAGGCTATCTGTCGATTGTCTGCGCAAAGTTTCTTCAGGCCACGCATGTAGTAGCGTCAGATGGCTCTGACGATGTCATCAACAACCTTCCGGAGAATCTCTTCCTGAACGGCCTGGAAGGTGCCGATGCTGTCACGCCGATGGATCTCAAATGGGGCCACGCACTCTTGGGCACGGAGGAGGCGGCTTGGAATGGTGGTCGGTCTGTCGACGTCGTGCTCGGTGCTGACGTGACGTATGACCGGAGTGTCATTCCAGCTCTGGTGGGGACCGTGGACGATCTGTTGCAAATGCATCCCCACGCTGAAGTGTATGTTGCAGCGACAGAACGCAATGCCGATACATTTGGCACCTTCCTGTCGGTCTGCCAGGGTAATGGTTTGGCAGTGGACGATCTGGAGGTTGAAGTGCCCGCTCGCAGTCAGCAAAAGGGGCCGTTCTACAACGACCAGGTGGCCATTAGAATATGCAAGATATCAAAATAGACATGACAGGCTGCTAATTAATGTGTGCTATGCGTCGCTCATATGTAAATATCATTGTCCAGTTCCCAGGCGACCGTGAAAGGTCGCCCTTGATGATGATGTATGTATTCCGCACTCTTACATCGCTTAGTGGTGTTTTGATGCCCCAATCGTAACACATGACTCGACATCAAGATATCATATATAATGGTGCCTAAGCATTCTAGACGAGAACTTGAATAACTCGACTATGACGAGAGGAAAGCAATCGCATTATTTCTATAGCTAAAACCTGCTCGGTGAACATAGAAAGGTCAAAGCAAAGCGACACAGGGTAGCTATATCGTGTACCTGCGATTGGTCGCACCCTCACCGATGGCTGCGGGATGATCAAACTGATTGTTACACAAGACTTCAGAACAACATCACGAGACCTTCTGCTACGTGGCAGGCGATGATCATGCGTCTCCATGTCGTCAAAAGTGCGCCTTCACCTTGGAAGACTGCTTTGTGAAGTGTGGTTGACGAGTGAGGACGTACCGAGTAATGATCGGCAGCGAAGGGGGCGTCAACCTTGATTATCGGCGATGCGACCATCATCATGTCCAAACCGGAGGACCACGTCCGCAAGTGGTGGGTTTTATTTCGTTCCATTCGACTGGATTTGGTCAGTGGAAGCCTGTCAAAACGCATGATGGAGGACAATGGACCCTGATTTCGCGACGATGATGTAAGTTCCGTGATTATTTTTCTTCATCCATACTTTCTTCATGCAATGACACTGTAGGTTGAGTGCGAGCCTGAGCCGGACCGGGCGAATGCAGTCTCGAAGCCTTCCTTTTAGGGACAGGGGCTGAAAGATAATAAACTCGGTCAAGTGATTAATTAGAACGACCGTCTCGCCTGACGAATTTCCGACGGATTATCCCGTAAAAGGCTGCAATCTGGGATCGAATGGTTATCTTGCTCAATATGAACGATCGTCATGCATTGTGACAGTGATCTTCGGTCGCGCTGTTTCGGGCTGGGCTCACCGCTTGAGACCACGCGTCGACAATCAGCCACGATGGTGGTGCGGAAAAGAGGCGTTCTGTGGTAAATGTGAAGGGGAAGCTCTGGGAATGACAAGCCACGATGATCGTCTCATGGGATGACGCGAGTTGTTGCACAGAAAGCTCCTACTGACCCCCTTTTCCCTTTGAGGAGTTAGGGGAAACTGGTTCTGGACAGACTTCTGGTTCCTTTCTCAATCGATCGATGAGAACGATCAACGAAATGGGCCACGAATTTCGCCATCAACCGTGCGCGGATGATAGTCTGGCGCCGCCTGGCGGACCCCTGATGGTTGGATACCTCCGAAGGCTCTGATTTGCACCCGTCAAGCCATGCTGTCAGGGGTCCTGGCACCTAATAATGGCGTACCCATGTCCCATCATTAAATTCCTTGATTGCGTCCGGCTTGAGCTCACGTCTTATCTACGTAAGTACTCCATATCCTGCTCCCTCGAGCAATTTCATTCAAAAGAACAACATTGCCTGTTTTTGCTGCATCCTGACTGCCAGCTGAGGATTCAATCTTTCGCATCTGCATGAACGAAACCTGTCACCTGGACAGTCCTGCATACACCACGCATACACTGAGCTCCATCCGCCCAAGAACCGGTCAACATAACCGAAGTCTACCTTACGTACGAACCGCCGGCGCATACCGATAGCAACAACAAACCCGACGAAAGTGCTGCAGCGACCAGCCCAAGCCAAGCCGACGCATCTTCAGTCCTCCAATTGTGGCTTCCGTGGCGGCCACGCAACCCAGTACCTTGGGGTAGGGTTCCACAGTCGAGAATCGAACACTGCCTGGCGCCGTCGAATTGCAGCGTCTGCCCGCCCGCCCACTCGAATCCAGACTCCAGCCCAGCCAGATAGGACTGGCCTGCGCATCCGGTCCCCTCACTTGCTGTGCAGTAGCAGCACTCTGCCCTGACCGGCCGACCGTCGTGTATCCCGAGGGGTGTGCAGCGATTTTGCCATCTTCCCTGGTATCCAAAGTTCCAGACTACCGGAGGCAAAAAAGCTCAAACTCAATCGATATCTTTAGCAACTGCCCATATACTCAACCGGTCTCCACGGCATCTGCAGCCGCTTACCCTCACCTTACCTCACGTTCCTTATAATAATAAGCTGGGATCCATTGCTTTCCAAAGACCCAACACAAAGCACGCAGACAGGCACTTCTTTCAGGTTCGCTCTGAGCTGCAACTGATCAGGAGTGACTCCACCTGCGAACAGCCGTTCTGTGGAGCACATAACACCACAATCGGGTGGAACCTGGATTATTTTGGGAATCGTCGGTCTTCAGAGATTGTGGAGGACTCGGTTATCAACGTCTGATCCGCTCATCTGTTGCAGCGGTGACTTGGGCCTCTCAACATCGATCCGAACCAACACGAACTTCACATCCACGAGTGCGAGCCATATAAATCGACAACCAAACGACTGAACCCTCCAACGTCGCCGTTGTCACGTTGTCGTACCAGAATACGCAGACAACCATCCCGTTGCTGTCCACGATAAGCGCCGGAGGAGCAACTTCAGCGTTGACTACGTTCCAACCTCCCTACGGCTCCATTGCCTGTCGAACCTCACATCCCACCCAGTCCAATGGTCTCGTTATTATTACGTGCGCCTACATTGCCACCGGTACATACTTGCTGGGACTTACCAAACGCAAACCATCCTGTTACCACCACAATGGTTGGACACAACTACACACAAGCCATGCAAGAATACATGGACTTGAAATGCATCCGCGACGAGCTCAGTGACCACATTGATATGATCCGCTCTGGATCGCTCTCCGCCACATTCAGCAACTCTTCCTATACCACCTCGCCAGCAACGTCACCGACGCGCTCTGCAGCCTCGCCGTCGTCGTCACGTCGGCACTCCCGATCTGGCGAGCGCCGACATCACTCGAAAGCGCACGCTCGGTGCAGCGGCTGGGACGACAACTTGGAAACACTGGATACCATCCCAGACGAGGAGACCATGGAGGAGATCTCTGTCGAAGAGCGCCGCCTGTTTGACGTCGACGAGGGCATCAAACGGGCCTTGACGGAGCTGCTCAACTGCGAATCCGTCCGCAGCAACCAGTCCATGCGTCTTTGGATTCAATCACGACTCATGGAAACAGAGAAAGAGTTACGCTCTGGACGGCGGAGGCGCAGCTCGGAGTGACCTGGCCAACTACATGGTGCCTTTTTGACCTTCGATCGTGTCATATTTGGCTGATCCTTTACTTTACAAACCATCTTGGTACATTTCATTGGGCTAGGAGTCTTTTTTTTCTTGGGATTTCGGCCAGCCAGCGAAGCTGAGCCATGGGCGTTCATCACACAAGCGATGTCACATCAGCGATGGCTTCGGCAATAGTTTCTTTTCTTTCTCCAGCCATGTCAGCTAAGCTATTGGGTTGCTTAATATTATCTCTTTGGCTAAGACGGCCATGATCTTATCATCTTGACGACATTCAAAAGCACGCAGCTTGTATTCAATGGCTGCGACGTCAATTACGTGTGCACTTTTTCTCTTTTAGCCTTGCGCAGCGCAGCCAACACGTACTTCAATTGACCAATGGTCAGCTCTCACCCTCCAACCCTCCATCAACTGTGACCACAACTCCAACATCTCCGATAGGTTGCGCACGTAGGCAAACTCTAAGCACCTCTGGTGACATTCAGAATGACACTTCTGATGCAGCGAAACGACTACGGGCGGTGGTCTTGAGCGCTGATCTCGCCTAAACCGCGCTTGGAGCCCATTGGCGCCGGGGGGGGGGGATCGCCGGTCTTGGCAGAGCGACAAGCATTGCCAAGAAATGCAATGGGCGCTGCTACTGATTCTGGGGAAGACAAGGGTGGATCGTGGCGGCGAACTTTATGTTGCGATAGCACAGTGATCAGTCACGATTACTCGACTGTTAAGACTACGTACTTAGGTCACATTTGTTTCGTGTCAGCGGCGTACGTGCTTATTAGAGTCCAGGAAACTTGCAAAGTGTAGTTGAGCAAAGTCAGTTATGCAAAGGGGTATCATTGGAATTCTCTGGCTCCCGCCTTTCATCATCTCCTGTATCTATCGCGTCGATCATCGCGATCTCGACTTCTGTGCCTGCGTCTCTCATCACGACGACTGTCGCGATCCCGGCTGCCATACCTGGGCCGTGGACTGCGGCTCCGCTCCCGACGCCGGTAGTCTCGCCCGTCACCATTGCGGTCCCGGCCAGACTTGTCACGGCTGGGCTTTGCGTGACGGCCCCTCATCTCGTCCTCAGCGTGCACCATGCCGTAGTCCTTCCCTTGTCTGCGGTCATCCTCCGCTCGGTACTGGCGCCTCTTCTCGAGGTCCCGGACGCCACCCCAACCGCCACGCGCATGCTTGCGGCGCTTGTCGTTTGCGTCGCTGCGCCAGGAGTCGCTGAGTTTGCTGACACTCTGGGAAAAGTCGACGTGTATGCGCCGGTCATCAATCAGCACGCCCTCCATCTTCGAGTATGCTGCTTCGCAAGACTCCTTCGACTCATACTCAATGAATGCATATTGCAGACTGTCGCCCGTCTTGGCGTCGCGGATGACTTCGCAACTCAGGATTTTGCCGAAGCGGCCAAAAATCAGCTCCAGGTCCTCGTCTGCCGTGACTGGATTGAGCTTGCACACGAAAAGCACGTTCTCTGGTGGCTTGACCTCGGCGAATGGCAGGTCACCCATTAACTCCAAGGTCAGTGCCTGTGCCTTGGCCTCTCGCTCCCCGCGCCGCCTCTCCAGCTCCTCTTCGTCGACTCCGTCGTCCTCGTGAAGCGCGGCTTCGTCTGCGATTCGTACAGTCTTGAGTTGTTCTTCGGTAGGCGGCGGACTAGCGCTCGGCTCTCGGAGTCCTTCTGGATCAGGGTACGGGTCATCCAGGATGATCGTGTGCTTTATACGAATGTCGATCAACGGATAGCCCTTGTCGTCGACGACAGCCTCGTTGATCTTCTCCAGCGCGTCGAAGCCCTCAACTACCTTGCCGAAAATGGCAGCCTTGCCATCCAGATAATCCGTCTCCTCACCTAGCGTGATGATGAATTGTGACCCGGCCAGTCTCGTCTCGGGATCAGATGCGAGAGGCACCGTAGCCATGCTGACTGTTCCTCGTTCGACATGCTTCAGCTTTGGGTGGAAGAAGGCAGGAAAGGTGCGTTTCGCGCTCCCAAGATTGCCCCATATTGAAGAGCCGCCATCGGATTCTTTCGAGAGAGGGCCGAGCGGATCGCCAGTCTGGAAGGAGAAGTTCTTCTGGACCGAATGGACGGGAGAAAAGTTATAGTACTTGGTTTTGCAGAGTTTGAGGAAACTACCATGTTAGTACTTACACGCAACAGGGCGTAAAGGTGGGGGGATCTTACTTCTCGCAGAGTTTGGGTGCGTGATCCACGAGTAGATCAATCACAATATCGCCGGCACTCGTCTCGAGAAGCACAGACATGATGGTGTTGATGTTGACGAGATGGCACAACTTTTGGCGCTGGAGGCTCGCGGTGACGAAATCGAGAACCCGAATCCCGCTCCAGGACCACACAGGTCACGTGGTAACTCAGAAGCCCAAGTCCGTCTTGGCATGTGATGAGGCACCTTACCTTACCTTGTCTCGACGATCAGGGAACACCATTCGATCAGCAGATCTCGGTCACCACACGTATAAGACCAGGCTGGGCGCGGGCGACTTGCCCTTATCTTCGCCATGCCTACCCTGACGCAATCGCCTGGTTTGCGGATTGGCTTCGAGAGTGCCGTCACAATCTACAATCCTCACAGGCCTTGATCCATCATGGCCTGAAGCCGTTGATGAGTCTTGCACAAGTGTCTAGTCTCTCCCCTCTTTTCTCGCGCGCTGTTCGCCTCAAACCAGAACGCTGATAGGCCACTGCGACAGCCTGTCCCGTATAAGCAGGCCTGGGGCACGGATTGCTAGCACCGCAGCTGGAGTACAAGCAGACTGGCATGTGCGCCTCAGCTGAGTCGTGCTAAGATACTTGCGAAAGCTCAGCACGGACGGCATTTGCGACATGCTAAGTGCACTGTGCCTGTGGCTGCAGATGCATGTATCCCCGAGCAATCATCCAGGAGAGCATGACTCGCCGGCGGGCGCAACTTCGCGGCATACTACTGTGACGGGTCTCATCTTCGCTCGAGCGATAATATGTGGTGGTCTGCTGAACGTCGAGTGCTGCTGCTGCAGGCTTGACGGTCGTCATTGGGGGGTGGGACGCAACACCGAGGCACCAGACGCAAAGTCTACATGTACCCGTACGAGACAGACTACCTCTACAAATACATGGGAGCCTCGGGATGGTCCCCTTCACCGCGCGCTTGATGATACCTCGCAGCCGAAGCTCAGCAGATACCTTGCGTTTGTCCGACAACATGCCCTACACGGTGCCCCTTTACAGTGCAGGGGATTATCAAGCCCACAGAGGTACGTGCTCGACCAGGTCCAATAGTGGAATCGGTTCATCGGCAGTCTCGATACATCGTGGACGCTACTTCATGCACAGTCTCCTTGTCAAGCTCACGGTGGCTGTTGAAGCGGGTGCGTACTGGCATGTGGCCCCACATGTGTTGACTTTCAATACTCTGGCTGTCGTACAAAGCAGCCTGGTGGTTTCAAGATCTGCCCTCTTCTAGCTGGGGTTGAAACGGATACGTATTACTGCAGAAAGCTCCTTGACAGGTTTGACGTCTGTCTGGTACACTATGGGACCTGGGGCAATCGCTTGGCCTCTTGTTGATCCTTATCGATGAGCCACCCGGTTCGGCCTTGAAGTGCTCGGAAACGATTGGCATATTTTCGACCCGAGCCGCGCTTCACACGAGAACTGTGGACTATAAGCAAAACGCGAGGTCCCTACCTCTTACGAGTCGAAAGGATTGTTCACTCAACAGGGCAGCGCCATGAAACCAAGCGCGCAGATCCTTGAAGAGTATCCTGAGCGTGGATCTGGAGCTCGCAGTGCTCCCCTTGGGATCTCCGCTCTTATCAGCAACATGCTTCCCCGGCGGCCAGGCACATGGCGACGGGTGGGCCACGAGGCGTGGCGCGGTGCAACGGCACATCACAAGAAGAGTATTGCACCTTGAAGATGTTGTCCCAAGAGTCTGAATAATTTGATAGGCACAGCTCCACCGCACTGACTAAACGTCTGTTGTACATGGTTCCACCTCTTCGCTACACTGACAGCGGGCGGACAGTTGCGCTGGGCCACGTTTAGGAGGACTGGGAATTCTTCGTGGTGCGAAAGGTCAAGGCCACAGATGGAACTGCCGACCCGCAAATGGCCGTAATTGATTGACGTTGATTTGCATCTCGAGGGCCACTGGCTTGCCCATAGTACAATCTTCAGCCAATCATCATACCGGCGGCTCGGGGAAGCAGATGCATCTTGGTGCTGTGCGACCACCATGGTGCAAGGCAGTGCCTGCGAGACTGTGATGAGGAAGCTCTGCCCAACCAATTTTGAACACGGGGAAGGTCTGTATCGAAGTGGCCTGGAGACTGACTAACAAAGCTTTGCTTTGCATCAAGGCAGGGTGGCATCGATGGCACGCACAACACCTCGCACCCCAGCTCATTCAGGGTGTGCAGAGGCACCTGTAGGGCAAGGCTTGAGCCAGGATCACAAGCCTCGCGCGGTGCGAGACAACAAAAATGCCAATTCTTCGCTAATAGGTGTTTCGGAGTGCCGAGGAGCATCGACCTTGCTCTCAACACATGCAGCCTCATGCACGTGTGCATGCAGAGACACTACAACAGCAAGCGTGGCTCGGTACAAACTTGGACCCCCCCCCCGCTGTGCTGTGGAAGCAGCCCATCTGCCCGGGGAGAAGGGGCGCGTCTTCCTATTGACCAGTCTGTACTCGTTTGACAAGGCCAGAACGGACCTGTCATTGTTTGTGGTCAGCCACCAGGCAAACACGACACACGGGGCAAGGCCCCTCCCGCCACTAGCAGCGCAACAACCCGCAGGCAGACCCTTCGATAAATGACATCTGGTCGATCTGGATCAGCCAGCCGAGTACTTGGCATACACCTTTCGGAATGGCGGTCAATCATCATCCCTGCGCTCTCGAGTCTCCGTGTTGCTGGTCGGTGAACAACACTCTGGCGAAACTGCAAAACGAGGCAGGATTTCCAGGCCTTCCTTGACATGGGCATATGATCGCTGTGAGAAGGACGGTAACACAATACCTTTGGTTAGACACTTGCGTCACGTCCACGTCGCCAGAGATGAATCGTGTTTCTCATCGTGGTCTTCGCTGGGAAAGTGCACTGATTGTCGTCGATGATGACATGCATGGTGTGTAGCAGCAGTGTCCCACCTCGACGTGTTCTACAATGTGTGTGGGAGTCAAGATTCGTCGGACTCGGCGCGAACCGACCTGTCCAAACCTTCCTATGCTCGTGGACTCGGTGACAGACGACAGCAAGCGCATCCGCTCCCTAGCTCTGCGGGCTGAAGTGAGAAACGATCAAGATGATAAGACGCAACCCTTTCATCAGCCTAGGGGTCGAGTGTAGGCTCACTGTTACCGCATCCGATCATCGCATGCTACATGCTGTCAAGGGTCACCATACATGCACGACGCCGACTCGTCAGAATCTGTCCACGTCGAGACCCCCATCCCTGTGTCGACATCTGGCAAGGCTGTGGTCCCCTGGGAGTAGACACTGGCATTTCTAAGTTACTCTGCTGCTAGTGCTGCTGCTGCTGCTACGACCGATGGCCTGCATTACGTTGGCGACTGGGGGTTGACTCCAGCCTGTGTTTCTGCATTCGGTTGTGTTACTATCGACGCAAATTGAAGAGCATCAAGTGGATACTAGATAGGTTGAGCAACACAATGGTCCCTATCTATGCTTCAACACAGTGGGCAATGGCCCATGTGGATCCCCCTTTTCGGCGTGTTGTTACAAATTACTGGATGATGACTTCACGGGATACGGAACAAACAACAGGCAAGCCTGCATTGGCATTGGCAGTGGGAAGATATACGTCTTGAAAAGATTCCTTTGGGTGTGTGTGGTATAGAGAGAGGCAGGTATAACAAGTACAGCCTCACCGAGCCTTGTGTCTCTTTCATTCTCAATCTTCACCTCTAGAAGCTCTTCCATTCCTCGACTACCTTTGTCTCCCCCTTCCTTCGAGTCAACTTCCACTTGCAACTCGCCAAAGTGTGGTGGTTCGAAGACAAGAGGACGATTCAATTTGCCAGACAATGGTTGTGCATGCCTACCATCCCTTCCCAGACAGCCGTCGGTTCGACCCGTTGCGAAGTACCCTTCCCTCAACATACGCAGACCATCGTAGAAGTGGAGGCAGTGGGCGCTCATCGCCTTATCCCACCTCAAGAAACGGAAGCATGTCGACGGGCTCTGAGGACAATGGCTCCCGGAAGAGGATTCCCGTGGCCGTAGGTTCATTCTTTGTCTCGCTTTGGTATCCGTTCATGGGCTGACTCGCCAGCAGTGTGGTCGCTGTAGGAAACGGAAGATACGCTGTAGCGGTGACAATGGCCAGGGGGAGGCATGCGTCAACTGCCGCAACGCGGGTGTCACGGTCTGCCAGTTCCTGAGAGTAAGTCCGTGGTCATACCAAGCCGTACGATGACACTGACAGGCCACAGCCGCACGCATTAGAAACTCTGATGAAGGACAACGATCCTGTGTTCGGCTACAGCCAGCACAGGTCTCGAGCGCAAAGCAGTGGAAACTTCCCGAGCCTGCCTAGTACACAGCCGCATCTTCTATCAGCAACCGCATATCATGACGGCGCAGCCTCCTGGGGTTCAGGACAGGTCGACGCAATGCAGTACAGAGGCAGCGGCGCGCAGGCCTATGGTCCCCGAGGCTACCTCAACTGGGGTCCCCAATACTTCGAACCAGTCCCTGAGCAGCAGCCGCACAGCTACCCGGCCCAAAGCCTGTACAGTACTGCTGCGTGTTGCCAGGCGCCTCCAGAGCCACGATACTTGGCAGTGTACGAACAGGCCCCTTTGCCAAACATGAAGGCAATGTCAAGCTTGAATCAGGGGGGATTCGGCTACCACGTCCCTGGTTCTGCCATGACGGTTACGGAACCCCCCGCTCAGCATGCTGCTGTGTCCGAAAGCCCGTGGTTTCATAGCGTTGCCCAAGGGCTTCCCGATGGCGCGAGGGGCGACAGATCCCCCCCCGATGTCTCTCCACCCAACTACAGCAGCCACGACAACGGAACTGCTTACAGCAAGCCTTCGCCACCGGGTATTCCTGGCATGGGATCTACCTCGGGCTACGGTTCAGCCGGCTTCGACAGCTCATCCCCATCCTCATGTTCCACACCGGAGCAGACATGCGCGACTGACATGAATGGGATTGACCCGTATGCGTGGCACAAGCGCTCGACGACCCCTGAAAACAGCAACAATGCCGAGAGCTACTCGACATACGATGCTATTCGCGGTCTGCATGAGATGAGCAAGGCAACTCAGCGTGTGTAATGGGCTGCGCATCGGTCAACGTGCCAGCACAGCATTTGACACGCACTACCAATCCTGCAAGGGGTGGAAGCAAACCTGGAGGTCTGTCGTCGTCGCTTGGAATATACATGATGTTCCTTGGCCACTTGCCATTGTGGCTGCATGGCCCGGCGAGGGCTGGCGCGGCGTGTCGTACAAGACCCGAGAACTCCACTTCTCTTTTCCCCGAGTCTTCGTCTTTGTTTCGTATTTTGTCGTTATCTGCTTTACTTGCATCGCGCGTGCAGCTGGGGGGATTTCTGGACTAATGGTTTTCAACATGGCGGGTCTCGTTCCTTGCATCTGCATTAGAGTAGACCACTCAACGAGTCCTCGGATCTCTTGACCGATAGCGGGAGGATTCTCGTGCTTTTGTTTATTTTTGGCAAGTCGGGAGGTAATTATGTATGGAACTGGCTGGGGACATAGAACTGTCTGTAAAGCTTGGAGTGGCTGGTTGGGTCGTGGGACGTTTCACTTACGAGAGCGTCTCATGGCCACACTTGACGGAAGAAGTCGGGCAGCCAGGTAGGCGCCGCACACGGTGGTATTCTGATGGAAATTTGGGTGGCTGAGCGACTGCTGATGAGTGGTCCCATTGATTACGCTGCTTTGGTGGTTGCCACGGCGTGGCAGGAAAAAATAATGGTATTGAGGATTGGAGCTGTTCCCTCAAGGATTGGATCGTGGGAGCCATCACGCCTTGAGGGACCTTCTTCATCATAGTGGTGGTAAAGAAAGTGTCCGCATCAACTGACGCCGTATCCGGCACCGTCTGAGAAGAGTACATGTACCTTCGCGTGATGCAATTTGGTGTGAACTTGAACACAGGCGAGGAGGTGAGGGCGCTAGAGATTTATTCTTTCCTCGAGACGTCTCAGCTTCGTGACGACTAACATCTTTACGCCTATTGTCGCCAGCAGTTTGTTAACAGACGCTCCAGTCCAATCCCAGTTCATCGCACAGGAGATGCCCCACCGCGGGGTGATTAACGATGGCCTACGGAGTACTGAAGGTGGCCTGGCGGGGTTTTCAATGACTGCTTAGCGAACGGACATTCTAATTTACGTACTACGCTCGTTGAGACGGAAACCGTAGTACCGTCATAATTAGGTAGGTACTAGATCTAGAACACTGCCATGGTACCAGGTACCTAGGCTCTGTCTGACGTTATGGGAGGCGGCACAAAGTCCAGTTGACAGCCATCGTTTTTCCTGGCCGGCATAATCTTCACTCTCTCAACAACACTCACTCACTCATTACCTCATCTCAGTGACCTAACTCCCGCCGCAGCATCAAATCACCACGCGTCCCTCTCAATAGTCGACGGCTTCGCTCTCCGTCGGCTGACAATATGGTTCTTCCCGTGCCCCTTCTGCGCCTTCAATGTGGTCTCAACTCCTATGAATGGGGCAAGGTCGGCAACGACTCAGCAGCTGCGCGCTTTGCCGCTGCGACACCTTCCGATGACCTCAAGATCGAGTCTGAGAAGCCGTATGCTGAGGTGCGCCAGCTCTGACATCCCATCCACGTCCCCGCTAACTCTCCAGCTCTGGATGGGCACTCACCCCAAGAACCCATCCAAGCACGTCGACACTGGCCGCACCCTGAACGAGCTTTTTGAGCAGAACAAAGCTCTCCTGTCCACACAGATCACTGAGAAATATGGCGACCGTCTGCCGTTTCTCTTCAAGGTCCTCTCGATCAACAAGGCCTTGTCCATCCAGGCGCACCCAAACAAGAAGCTTGCCGAGCAGCTGCACGCGCGAGATGCCAAGAACTACCCGGACGACAACCACAAGCCGGAAATGACAATTGCCATCACACCTTTTGAGGGACTCTGTGGATTCAGGCCCCTCCCCGAGATTGCGCACTTCCTGGAAAGCATCGCGCCCTTGAAGCGCATGGTCGGCGATGACACGGCAGACGAATTCATCAAGGTCGCCAGGGACGAGGGTGCGAGCAAAGACACGCAGAAGAAGGTTTTGCAAAAGGCGTTTGCGGGCCTCATGACCTCGTCCGCGGACGACGTGGCAAAGGAAATGCCCAACCTCACGGAGCTCGCCACGACAGAGGGCAAAGACTTTGCAAAGGGTGGGCTCCCTTCCGCCTCCGGCGAGGTGCTTTCCGAGCTGGTCATGCGTCTACACAAGTCCTTTGAGAACGACATTGGCATCTTTGTGCTCTTCTTCCTCAACTACGTCACGCTGCAGCCGGGCGAGGCCATGTTCCTCGTGGCAGATGATATCCATGCCTACCTGTCCGGCGACATCATCGAATGCATGGCGGCGTCGGACAATGTCGTGCGCGCCGGCCTGACGCCCAAGTTCAAGGACACAGACACCCTCATCGACATGCTGACGTACAACTTTGCGCCGATCGAGGAGCAAAAGATGAACGCTACAGACTACCCTTACGCTACCCTCAATCGCGCTGCCTACAGCGCCAGCTCCCAGATTCAACTGTACGACCCGCCCATTGAGGAGTTTGCTGTCGTCAGGACCTCTCTGTACGGAGGTGAGGGCAGCAGGGCGATCTTTGAGCCCTTGTCTGGGCCCAGTATCATCATCTGCACGAATGGCAAGGGAAAGATATCGGTTGGGCCAAAGAGCGAGCCCATGGAGGAAGGCTTCGTGTACTTTGTGGGCGCCACAGCTGAGGTGGTGCTAGAGGCACAGGGCGGCAAGGAGGAGGAGTTTGTGACGTTCAAGGCATTCTGCGAGATCGGAGAAGACAAGCAGAAGCTGTAAGAAGAGCGGGATACCAGGATCAGGTTTCCCAGCGGAGGAGTCGCCTCCCCATAGTGGAGATACCGTGCAACTAATAGACGTTGAAAGATCATTCCTTCGGGTTTCGTTGCCCCGTGGAGCGAGATGAGGAGCAACACGCCGACAATTGCCTTCTTCGTAGAGTAGCGTCGTTTCTCCGCGTCCTTCTCCGCGCGCCCCCATATTTCTCGACATTGATATATTCCAACGGGAGACCTCATTTATTATGAGGCGTCCGCGACTCGCGTAGTTGGCGTCGTCTTCATTACATTGCTGCTTCCCAGTTCTTCTTACAAAGACCTCCCGACTGCACCAAAGAAGATCAAGTACAAGATGTTTGAAGACCCAATCCTCAGCTTAGACCAAGAGGATGGGGCTGTTGACCTCAGCGGTCTTCCCATCCTCCTTCACCCGGACGAATTTGAAGGGGTCCGCTTGGCGGCGAGCAATCTCGCCTCTGACCTTGAAAAGGTCACCGGTCGCGCATCAAGCGTCATCCAAGACCAGAACAAGATTCCACAGGGAGACGCTGTCATTGTTGTCGGGAGCGTGCAGAAATGTCGCTACTTTGACGATCTGGGTGAGCACGCCCGCGAGATCACCAAGCTGGAGGGCAAATGGGAGACGTTTCGCTGCCACGTGCAAGACAGCCCGTGGCCTATGGTCAAAAAGGTCTACGTGGTAGCCGGAAGTGACAAGAGAGGCGCCATCTTCGGCGTGTACACCCTGACTGAGCAGATGGGCGTGTCACCGTGGTATTGGTGGACCGACGTACCGATCAAGACGGCGAAACACATTTACGCCCTACCGGGCCCCTTTATCCAAGGCGAGCCAAGCGTAAAGTATCGGGGCATCTTCATCAACGACGAAACACCCTGTCTGACGGACTGGGTTCACGAGAAGATTGGCCCAAAGTACACTTCAGAGTTCTATGTCCGGGTGTTTGAGCTGCTTCTTCGCATGAAAGCCAATTTTTTGTGGCCAGCCATGTGGTCTGGGTTCCCTTGGCCGGGGAGTTCCTTTTTCGAGGACGATCCGCGGAACCAAGAGCTCGCTGACACATATGGCATTGTCATGTCGACGTCGCACCACGAGCCGATGCAGCGGGGGATGACGGAATGGCGCACTGCCAACAAGGGCGTTTGGTCCTGGGAAGAGAACGAAGACGCTGTGCGAGAGTACTTTGAGGTTGGTGCGCAGCGGGCACGGCCCTACGAGTCCATTGTGACGATGGGCATGCGAGGCAATGGCGACAAGCGCATCATTGCCAAAGACCCGCAACGGACGCTGCAGGAGGTACTGGACACGCAGAGAGACATATTCAAGTCTGTATATGGCAGGGAAGATGGCGTCCCGCAGGTCTTTGCGCTCTACAAGGAGACACAGCTGCAATACGAGAGGGGTCTCCAGGTGCCGGAAGACATCACGCTGATGTTTACGGATGACAACTTTGGAAATGTCAGGAGATTTCCCACAGCCGAGGAAAGCAAGCGTAAAGGGGGCATTGGGGTCAGTGATCCCTTTGATGGGGAGAATATGCGAAATCTTGTTGTTAACCTGATCTCCAGTTGTACTACCACCTCGAGTACGTTGGCCGCCCTCGAAGCTACAAATGGATCAACTCCAGTCCTCTCGGCAAGGTGCAGCAACAGCTCACTGCCGCGTATCGCAACGGTATCCAGCAGGTGTGGGTGTTCAATGTGGGCGACATCAAACCCATGGAGATGCCCAGTTCCTTTGCGTTGGCTCTGGCTTGGGACATCAACTGCGTACAACGGAAAAGCGTCGAGTCCTTCTTCTCAACATATACCGTGCGAGAGTTTGGAAAAGACCATGCAGATGCCATCGCCAAACTGCTGTACCGCCACGACAGACTCATCGCCCTACGACGCCATGAGCACATTGAGCCTGATGTGTTCTCCATCGTCAACTACCGAGAAGCTGAGGTCATTTTAGAAAAGTGGCTTGGTCTGGAGAAAGAAGCCCAATCACTCTTTGAGCAGGTTCCAGATTACCAAAAGGCAGCCTTCTTCCAACTCGTGCTACATCCGATCAAGGCCTCGCGCATCTTCACCGCGCTGAGAACGGCACAAGCACAGAACCAACTCTACGGGCTCCAGCGACGCAACACGACTAATGTCCTGGCAAAGAGGGCCCTCGACCTTTTCGACGAGGACTTTGACCTCCAGGAGCAGTTCCACAACAACCCCTGGACAGGGGACAAGTGGAATCACATCATGTCCCAGCCTCACTACGGCTACAGCACAGAGACGTGGCACGCCCCCTCACGAGACATGATCACGGGGCTGAGCTATATCCAGAAGAGGCAGAACACAAATCGCGTCTTTGGGCAGATTGGCGTCTTCGTAGAGGGCCACGGTGGTGTCCGATCTGGCTTGACGAACGAGGAGTCGGACTACACGCATCCCTCCAAGGGTGATCTGATCCCGGGCTTGACATTGCCTTTGATGAGTCCATATGGTCCAGCTGAGAGATTCTTTGAGATCTTCTCGAGAGGCGCAGTCAGCGTTGAGTGGGAGGTAACTGCTGACCAGCCGTGGATCACCCTCAGCGTCACACGCGGGACGTCGACCCCTGATGACGAGCGAGACGCCCGCATCACAGTCGCCGTCAAGTGGGAGAAAGTAACAGAGGATTTTACGGGGACCGTTGTGATCCATGTGCAGTCCCCATCCGGATACTACGAGAACGTCCATCTGCCCATTGACAACCGTCGGGTCCCCTCGGGAACCACTGGCTATATAGAGGCGGACGGGGCGGTTGTGATTGAGCCGGCTTCCCACGAACCACTCAAGGGCTACGAGATCTACCCTCTGCTCGGCCGCACTGGCTCTGGAGCAGTGACCATCTCACCTGGAACATCCGGCAAGGTGGAGTATATGCGATTCCCCATCTACGCCTTCTCGTCACCTGACACGGTGACCATTACGCTTCTCTTCACAATGTGTCTCGAGGTGCGACCTGACGACCCCTTGCGCTTCGACATTGGCCTCGACGATGAGGTCCAGGAGGGCGTGCAGCTGCTGACATGCCCCGAGAGGGGCGAGCTGCCCGATGGCTGGCCTGTTGCCGTACAGGACCTCGTCTGGACACGCGAGGTCAGCTTCAGCCTGCCCACTGGGAAGGATGGGCAGCATGTGGTGCTTTATAAGCCATATCAAGCGGAGTTGCTGCTGGAGAAGATCATGGTGGACTTTGGGGGGCTGAGGCAAAGCTATCTGGGCCCGGGGCAGAGTGTGTTCTTGAAGGACGCTTGATTGAGGGTGCAAGGGGAAACAATTGCCAAAATGAGCAGCAAATGATCATCTACCACGCTTTTTTGACAAGTCGGCAGAGTGCCGTATGTGAGCGAAGCGTAAAGGAAGACCTGAGTCGTAAGTTATAGACTATGAATGGGTATCAAGAATTAGTTTGTGAGCTCAACAGCAGGCCTGTCCATATGGCCCCCCTGCAAAGCAAAGAAGAGCGTGAACGCGCCGTCAAGGTATTTTGTAAGCCCCTAGCATCCATGTGCCTCCTCCCGGTTTCGCTGCCTTCATTGTCGCATTTCAAAAGTTGTGATTGTATTTCCGCGATGCACCTTTCCCGCTGTCTGAATGGGTGCTCTGCGCCAGCGTCGACGAGACGGAGATGGCAACCTCCTTCTTGATGCCCCCGCCAGAAGCATGCTCGCCGTCGTAGTCCATCCCCTGGCCGTCCGTGCGCAGTGCGTGCGTGCTCCCATCGGCGTCCCGGTTGACGCTCACCAGCGTCGTACACCTGCCGCGGCCGGTGTTGTCGTTGGTGTTGGCGAGCATGATGCTGCCCGCACTGGGTCCTTCGCGGCGCTTGCCCGACTGCGAGGAGAGGAGGGAGCCGAGGAAGGGCTTGAGCCTGGTCTGGAGCCAGCCCCAGATCATGGGGAGATTGGAGGTTGCGACCGCCACAAAGGATTCTCGGACGGCCCACGAGGAGCCTTGCTTTGGGCCGTTGATGGGGTCCTGCGCACACACAAGTTTGTCAGACATGACGGGTGTTGTCGTGACGTTTGATCATAGCAGGTACATACCTTTAGAATGAGGACGCCACGGAGAAGGCCGGCCGTCATGACGAAGATTGCGCCCGAGAAGACGACGCACAGGCTCAGCTTCTTGATTGTGGGTAGCCGAGCGCTCCACAGCATGGGGATGGGGATGAGGATGAGATAGACATCCGTCAAGACGTTTAGGATGACGGTCAGGAGGACGTATACTTTCGAGATGGCAGGTTGGCATAGATCTGGACGGTGTTAGTCCTCGTGCCCACCAAAAGGGCGTAATAATTCCACGTACTGCCGGGATTCGGGTGGATCTGCCAGAAGTGGTGGAAGGGTTGGCAGCTGAGTAGGAGGGACAAGATCAAAGCGAGATACGAGGCGCCGATGAGGACATATCCAGAGATGATCCGGTTGCGGTATCCGTTGACGGATTCCTTAAAAGTGTGTTAGTAGTGGCTTCCCCCTGTATTCTTGGCTTTTCTTACCGTCAACCTGGAATAGAAGGTACAGAGAGAGGCCTTGACGAACCAGATGACTGACACGTAGACACACCAGCCTGCCACTTGGACCTTGGAACCGCCAACTCTGCACGTCTGTCAGCACGGCTGCTCGAGTCTGCAACCACAGAATAGGAGATCATACCTCCAAGCATATTCTTCGCTGTCCGGGGACAAGGCTGCCCTCTCGGCATCGGTCAGGCCACTGTTGGTCAGACCATTGTACCTGGCAACAACATCGTGCGCCAGTGCCGTCTCGGCAATGTAAGGGACCAGCGCCCCCAGCATAAAGTAGTCATCGGCGGCGAGGTTCCGGATGCCGACCTGTCTCAGCCGTATGAGAGTTCGAATGAGGACAATGGCGATGGACAGACCAAGCAGTGTGAAGCCCTCAACCTCGGAGGAAGCCATGTTGACAAGTGCGCGTATGTACTACGTATCTCGAGCAGCCAAGACGACAGGAAGCATTGTGGAAACAGGTCCAGGATCTCGGGTGCATCCCTTGTTCTTTATGCATTGTCCAACATGCAAGTCCTGCGAGGCTCCGCGTGGGGGAAGAGCCTCCTGAAGCCAACACTGGACTGTCTGTTACATCCCACGAGTCAGTCGCCCTACCGGACTGTCGCCGACGTAGGGGAAGTTGTTTGCCACGAGACGACGTGTGGATCGTTATAGGACTGGCAGTTGCACAAGCCATACAAGGCGAGTCGAGGCTGCAGAGATCGGCACGGGACGGGTCCATGTGGTACTGCGTACATGTACCGTCCTAATTACATGCGGCTCAGGGGTTTTCCTTTCGGCCGCACGAGCGGCACGGTTGCCGGGACCTGGTCCCTGGTAAGCCATGCAGTCTGTCAGCAAAAGCTTTGAGTCCTCTCGACAGTCTGATTGTCTACTGCGGCATCGCCCTGGTCCCTGTACATACAAGATCTCACTGGAGATGCCGCTTCAACCATATGCTGACCATTGTTGCCTCATGGGAGTCCAGCAATTTTTGCGGTATGCGACCTGTGAACTTGACGGCATGTCAAAGCCGGTGCTGGACCCTGGACCACAGTGTACATACGTACGCGCACGAAGCCAGGCGGCGATGGTGACATGTCCAAGACCGCTAGCGACCTCTCATCCAGCGCTGTCCATGTAGCTAGAGGCAACCAGGAAATCTCCTCGCTAGCGTCCTGCCGAGTTGAAGATAAGGTGTCTCGGTGCCGTTTGGATGGATAAATGGGATCCGGGGCGAGCCCTCGTGAGGGTGTCCAGCATCTACTTACATACCGTACCTTAAAATTAATCCCGACTCTCTGCGTCTAACGGGCTGAGGCGCTCTAAGGCTAGCCTCTCCTGGCTGACACTTCAGGGCAACAACATCCCACCACGCATCGGGTATTACTTTATCAGGCCCCTTCGACATGAGACGGCCCGGCCTGTTGACGCCGTCGCTAACAGTGGCATGCGGTGGCGGTAGTTGGATGTGCACCATCACTGAGCTGCGCGACCACGTACGTCCTCGTCCTCGTACTTGTACACTGACCACTCCATCGACACCTAGGCGGCTCGGAGACCCTGCTCCCAGGGCACAGACGGCTGTCTTCAGAGATTGATCGTCGAAGATCATTCGGGGACGATGGATCGATGCATGCCATGCTCCACACAACCTATCAAGAGTTGATTCGATGACAGTTTAGTCCCCGGCAGGTCATCATGCTTGACACGAATCGTTAGCGCAACGGCAAGTAGAGTAACATGTGCCAATTGTTGCTCACATCTTTCCGTGTCGCCGAGACGAGCAGCTTGACGAATCTAGCCGTCAAGTTGGTCTTTGCAAGGACAAGATATGGAGTGGTGCACCACAACGGAAATAACCAGTGTCTTTTAGTGTCTTCAGGATCCACGCCGCTTGTCTAGTGATGCTGATCACTGATGGGGCCGAGAGAAATGCCCGCCGCTCGGGTCATTCTTCTTTAAGCTCAGCTGAGCGCCGCCAAGACCTTGAAGCTCAAGTACTGTTTGCAATTATGTAACTCGCCTGCTAGAGAGGGAGATCTGCATCAGCCACTGTGGTGGGCTAGTCCTTGCTAGGCAGACGGACGGCACGCGGCCGTGGTAGTTTGCTTCGCCGGGATGGCGGGTGCAAGTGGTGGTTGTCGACAAGAATGGCGGTCCTAATCTCCTGCTGAGAATCTCAGACGGTGAAATGATGGGGTAATTACGGATACAAGGTTGAGGCTTTGCGGCTCAACACTCCTAGAGTCGGATGACTGTTGCCGTCTTTGAAATGGGCTAAGCGGCAAGCCAGTGTCGATGCCCCAGGGGGGACATTTCTTTGATAATTCCAGTACGTATCACCACATGCGGGACTTTCCCAACGTTAACACCGACACGCTTTATAGCCTCATTAAACCAGCCATCCTAGCCTTTAAGGTAATCAGTCCGCAGTTGACGGCTGTACGTATACGGAGGGTAATTTAGCGTCAGCGACTTGATGATCACAGACATGAGCCCTCCAAGGTGAAGGCACCGGGTAGGCTGGCTGTCGCTCCCCCACAGTTCCGGTCCCTCCTTCCCTTGGATCGGGTCACGCGCTCCGCTCGGGGTTTGTTGACGCGCGCCCATCATCATCATTATCGCCAGAACTGTAACCAGATCTCGTCCCTACATACACTACCCACTACTACTATTACTCAAGTTACACTTGTATGAGCTGCAAAACCTGTACTATGGGTTGAGGCACCTGCACGAGCCTTTTTTCACGCCCGGTCTTCCCTTCTGCCCGCACGCCCGTCACTCCGTCACTCCTTCCCCACCGCTGGCTGGCTTGCTTGCTTGCCTGCTAATTACCAGGTAGTTGCGCCGCCGACCGACGACGTGCTGCAATCTGCCCTCCGCGGACCCTGCCTGCATCGCGAACGGCATCTCCACCACAGCCCGGTAAGTTTCGACGAATGACAAGTTTCTCCAGTGCGACTCGTTGCTGTTTGTCTTTTTCTCGGTCTCGACCGGGATTCGTCCGTCTGTGTACTATCTGTCTTTGTTGTTGTATTCTCTCTCGCTAGCTGCTGCTTGGAACTCGTGCCATTTTGCTTTGGCCTCATCACCAAGCCCCAGCTCGCGCGCGCACGCATGCGCTGCGCGCGGGTTGTAGCAAATCCTACGTGCGACCACCCATGGCTGACAGGACCGAAGACGAACGCACCGGCGATGCAACAGACAGTGCCAGCGCACTGAGTAGCCACGCGGGCACACCGATTGTCGAAAAGGACTATCGAAGAGGCCTCACCCCGAACAAGCGACGCCGCCGAAACCTATCCGACCGAGAGGTGTCCAACCTACGAGAAGACCGCGCAGACCTCGGAATGGGTTCTAGGGAACGGAAAACCCGGGGGCTGGGCCGCAATGGCGGCGGCAACGGCAATGGCGACCGCGGCGAGGAGGCGCACATCTGGGACGGCATCAAGAAGCAGCTCGGCGGTTTCGTCAAAAATGTCAACGCCGAGTCGGATGGCCTGAGCAGACTGGTGGACATGGACAAGCAAGCTGGCGCCATGGAAGCGGACAAGGTCCCCGGGCACATGCTCAAGGAGATGGATCAGCTGTGCCGCTCCGGCGTCAAGCAAAGCGACCAGAACCTGGCACAGGTCAATGGCCTCATAGAGTCACTCAACATTCTCAAGGGCCTCGTGGATGCCAATAAGAAGGACGAGGCGGGCCCAAGCAAGCGAGCCTCCACACGGGACTCAACAGCGGCTGCCTCGCTATACGATTTCGACGGGCCGGGCGAGTCGCCGGTACCCAGCCCCGTTGCGCCAGGGCCCTCTCGAGGCAAAGCAGGCGAGCGCGCGAGCACGCGCGACCGAGATCGCGACCGGGACCGGGAGCGTGAGCGCGACAAGGAACGCGACAGCATAGGGCCCAAGTCGGGTAGCGTTGAGCCCGCCGGCGCTGGTGGTGTGTCGACGCCAATGTCGAGCAGTGCTGGCATCGCTCGCTCCAAGGTCGTCTTCGCAAAAGGGGATTCCGTGGCGTTCAAGCCCAAGTTCATCGCGGGGGAGGGTACCCCAGACTGGATATTGGGCGAGGTTGCCCAAGTCGTCGGCGAGGGCAAGAGCCGCCGTTACAAGGTGCTGGACATTGAGCCGGAAGACCAGAGCAAGGCCAAGGAGTACAAGACGAGTGCCAGTAGCATGATCCCCATCACCCCCGAAGACCAGGCCAAGTCGCTTGCTGACTGGGAGCCGAAGACGACCGTCCTGGCCCTATATCCTCACACCACCACGTTCTATAAAGCCGAGGTCCATAGTATGGATGGAGAAGGAAACGTCAAGTTGCAATTCGAGGGAGAGAACGACTCGTCGACACTCCAGCAAGTAGAACGCCGGTTCGTTTTGGAATACAGAGCGTGACATTGAAGTCACCGTGGGCAATCGATTGGCCTGTCTATTATGGCCTTGGGCATTGCTCCAAATGTGTCAGGAAAGGGTAATGGAAAAGTTTACAGCGTTTCTTGTACAGTTAATCAGCTAGGCTACTAATTGCTGCGGTCACCAGCAAGCGTTTGCGGATTCTAATACCTTACACTTTGATCAAAGCTCATCCACCATGCGCGCCCAACGTGATCAGTCATCTCCATACCAGGACCCTCGTTCTCCACGACTCTGAATATGATCAGAATCTGAAATGTGACGATGATCGCCAGTTCGCGGCTTGTTAGTTCATGTGACCAGTAATCAATGCATGTACATAAGGTAGAGGATCCTTTTCTCCTTATCTGCCTGTGGCTGACTCGTGGCTCGTGCGTCCATGCCCCGGCAGTGAACCTGCAGGAACAACGACATGGACTTCAGCTCCGAACAGACTACCCTAGACCAAGGTGCCGCGACCTAGCGCGAGTGTGACACCCCTGGAAATTAGGCCTGGCCCAACATCCATCTTTAATCATGCTTGCCCATCCCTGATTTGCCCCCGTCACTTTGTTGCGTTGTTGTGTTTATCCATCCGTTCACCAGCCGACTGACCCTTCGCCGCTCTCTTGGGCTTGCCTCGAACGACAGATTGACTGATTCCAGAGTCCTGAAAAGGTATGCGTGCGCATCTTGCCCCAGTTGACGCGCCCATCGCGTCAGCGCCGCCTCGTGACGTTGGGCCACCAGCACCAAGACTCCCTCCCCCACACGTCTGTCCCTGAACCCCAGATAAGACTATTGGGATGTGGCTCTTGAAACGGCTGAACTGACGTCTTATCCTACTAGCCAGACATTGACGCTCCTTACTCGCCTACGCACCCCCTAAGGCCTGTTCTCGCGATACACCCATCCTCCTCTCCTCCACCTCCGTCTCCTACCCAAGTCGCAGACCGACGAACGCCCGAGCCGGCGTGCCAACCCACCCGTCACCATGGGCGGCCAACTCTCCAAGATGATGGGCAAGATCTTCGGGTCCAAGGAAATGCGCCTCCTCATGCTCGGCCTCGACGCCGCCGGCAAGACGACAATCCTCTACAAGCTCAAGCTCGGCCAGGACGTGACCACGATCCCCACCGTCGGCTTCAACGTCGAGACCGTCACCTACAAGAACGTCAAGTTCAACGTCTGGGATGTCGGCGGCCAGGACAAGATCCGTCCCCTCTGGAGGCACTACTTTAGCGGCACACAGGGCTTGATCTTTGTCATCGACTCGTGCGACCGCGCGCGCATGGACGAGGCGAGGCAGGAGCTGCACCGCATCATCAACGACAGGGAGATGAAGGATAGCCTGCTGCTCGTCTTTGCAAACAAGCAGGATCTGCCTGACGGTGCGTGCTTTACTTTGCCCCTTGTGTTACTCCCCTGACGCACATGCACACCATGCTGACACTCGTAGCCATGAAACCCCAAGAAGTCACCGACGCGCTGCAGCTTTCCAAACTCAAGGACAAGATCTGGTTCGTCGTGCCCAGCTGCGCCACCACCGGCGAGGGTCTCCTCGACGGCCTGCAGTGGCTCTCCGCCAACGTCAAGGCGCCGCCCGCCCCGGTTAAGAAGTAGAGCAAGTAGCGGTAGACCGAACGACTGAACGAACAAGATACCCCCGATCGCGGAATCGCCTCCCCGCCCCGACGCGTAACAACGCTTGCCACGCGTTGCGGTACGGAGACTCCTGGAGTGGAACCCTGTGCACGTAGACTGGCAGCGAGCGAGCGAGTCCATTTCCAAGGTATAGCGTGGTCAAAGTGCAAGGACGACGTGGAGGGTGCTGGAGGCTGCGACACGGCCCTACCTTGAGGCAGCGCAGGCTTCCACGGACAGGTACGGGATTGTGTGCATTCTGGCGACGGACGGTGCATTTTGACATATATATCTCGTTTTACGTTGCTTTGCGTTGCTCTTTATATCATCATAATAATAATTGGACTCTTAGCGTCAACACCACTCCAGACCGTAGGTCTGCTTGCCTGTGCTGTGGCTACTACTCACGCACTCACTCATGCGGCGGCACGTCCAGACGTGGCAGCAGGGACAATGGCAATCTGCTCGCTGATGAAGATAGTGTAACCCTTCTATGCAATATGTACAAGAAATTCTCGGTCGCTGCGACAGTCTCAAAGTCGCTTGTAGTCGCTCCACAGAATGATGGGCTCCTGCCGTTTGCTTAATGCCAGAGGGGTCTAACCTCCGCGTGTGTTTGACACAGTGTATGATGTTACATGAAGGAGCTGTAGCCCTTCGCATGGTGGGCCTGGCAAATCGTTTGGGGGTGATATATCCAGACGCGCCGCTGTGAAGTAAATCAACCCATGCCGACGGAGTTTCTTACAGACGGCATGTATTTGCGTTGAAGTTGGCGCTCGCTGTTGATCTGTGTCATCGATTTCGGGTATTTCATCGCCCCGGGGCCCACAAGGATACATACGTCCTTGGTTATGTCGGTCTCGGCATCCGTGTCGGCTTGGAACTGTAGTCCGAACCTGGAATAAGCGGGAGCGAGTTCGGTGTTATGCGCCAACAGGCTTGACAGCTCTCGAGAACGCGGTGCCCTGTTTCGGATAAAGATGCCTCTACCCCTTTATCCGCTTGGGCGGCCGCAACAGATCGTCACCCAGCGCGCTTCGCTTTGTTCCGGGAAGACTGCTGGTCCTGATGTCGTTGTCGTCTTGGCTCACGCGCCGGTGGGGATACTCGACCTTGAGACCCTCAAAAGCAGTTGCAAGTACCTTGTCGCCTGTGGAGAAGAAGGGATGTTGCAATGCCTGCTCGGCGGTGAGGCGCTTCACTGGGTCGTATTCAAGGAGGCCGGCCAGTAGCTTGTAGCCTTCCGCGCCCAGTGACGACAGGGGCGATGGAGGGCTGCCAGCGTTGCTCGGCATCGACGAAGATGTGGACGCTGAGCCGTGATTGATGGTGTTGTAGTACCATTTCTCTAGTTGCGATGTGTTGGGATACGCTCTGGCAGAGGAGTGGTGGTTGTGATGGTGATGGTGATCCACTGGCGGCCTCACAGAGCTCAGGTGTGCGTAGTCAGGCATCGAAGTGATGAGGGGCCACCTCTCCTTTGTAGGCATGCCCATGACCTCGACAATCTTCTGCATCTGGTTTCGCTGGAACGGAACCGTCTTCTTGCTGTCCATCTTCGCCTCCTCGCCTTTAAAAATGGGGCGCAGTGACAGCAGCTCAGCAAAGATACACCCAATGGCCCACAGATCTATCGCAGGCGTGTAATGGTACGATCCCAGAATAAGCTCCGGTGCACGGTACCAAATTGTCACAACGACCTTGTCGCCGCCGAAAAGAGATGCAAGCGGCTTGTCAAAACGGCGTGCCAGTCCTACATCGCCAATCTTGACACGACCCTCTGATGTGACCATGATGTTGGCCGGCTTCAAGTCGCGGTGCAATACCCAAGATGTGTGCAGGTAATGACACCCGTTGAGCAGCTGGAAGAGAAGACTCTTGACGACAGTCGCGGGTATCGGTCGTCGAGGCCCTGGTGGCTGCGTCGTGTGATGATGAATAATTTGCAGCAGATCATGCTCGGCGTACTCAAAGACCATGAAGATACACTTGTCCTCCAGCAGCGTTTCCACCAGCCTGATGACGTTCTCATGCCGAAGTTCTGCGCATATGCTCATCTCACGGATAGCGGATTGTGAGATGCCCGTATAGCTAATCTGCTCGCCCTCCTTGTCCGGCTTGAACTTCTTGATAGCGACCTGCAGGCCAGGCGGCCGGTGGACCTCGGCATCTTTGCTACCCTGCTCCTGCGCAGGTTGACTCCGGGCTGTGGCCTTGTAGACGCGTCCATACGTGCCGCTGCTGATGAAGCCAACGATGCGGTAGCGCTCGGTCACCCGAGTCTTGGGTTCATATCGTTGCGAGGCCCTGTCGAGAGGATCTGGGATGCGATGGTGAGCACTGGGGGTTGACGATGATGAAAAAGGATAGAATGGGCCACTAGGGCGGAAGCGAAGGCTCATGATCTCTCATGCGGCATTGGGCAGCAGATGACGAGAGTGAAGCGAGTCACGATAGTGATGAGGTCAAATGGTGACCCTAGACATCAGGAATATGGTTGACCCTCTTCCGAGCGTCGGAGAATTGGGGATGAGTTCGGGCGAAGGAAATGAGACAAACGGACGGATATAACAACGCAGAGACTTACCGTCCAATGCCGCCGCTGGAGCATTTCGCCTCAATGGCTGACTCCGGCCCAATGTTGATTGACCGCCACCGTTCGCGGACCCTGGAGCCGACGCGCCCGATGGTGGATTGGTCACGCTCATCCGGATGATGAGGGCGTTGGACGACTCATGGACGCACGGGGATCGGTGGATCTCCCAGGACACAATGAGCTCCCGCGGCAATCAATGCACGCCCGCGGGCCACATCGACAAGTGATCCCACCAAGGAGGATGCCCCTCTGTTCATGCCCCCAAGCTGCGAGATTCTTCCGCTTGTTCTCGTCGGGTCGCTGTCCGAGGATCCGCCTGAGTTGCGCGCTTTGACCGCGTCAAGCTGTCGCGTCTGCACTCTGCTGCTGCAGTCGTTGATTAGGTAGCCCCAGTGTTGAATGTGGGGTAACGTAACCGCACATACCCGTGGTTGATGCTATTACTAGGTAATGAGGCTGGGTGCAAATCCACGAAGATGAGGACGGATGCGAGTAGGTCTGGCCGCAGATAGCGACTTTGAAGAGTGCGGGAATGAAAATCGTGGAAGAGCGCGAAAGGCTGATAGAACATGGCGTTTTCGAAACAGGAACCGCAGGCCGCCAATTACACGAGTTGCGCCTTCCTGAATGGTGAGGCAGGCGCCGACGCGGCTGGGGGTCTCCACCTTCAAGGACCGTGACATGGACTCGGACACTACGGAGGACGGCGTTAAAAGTTTTTAGTCGCGCTAATTCTGCATGTCGATATAAATAGCTAGTTTTAGTATAAATTTACTAGCGCCGTTCCCCGCCCCTCGATATATTTATTTCTACCCGCTAATTTAATAACCTTCTAAACGTACCTCGGGATATATTTAATCTACCGCTATATTTACTCTTATAGGAGGTCTTTCTAAGCCTTTTCCTACCTTATAATAGCTTCCTTTCGTATATATAGCGTACCCTTCTTCGTAATATATCTCTTTATCTACGGCTAGGTAAGCTCGATTATATTAAGGTCCGGCGAGTTACCGGGCTAAGGAAAGTAGCGCGCGCTTTCTTAATCGAAGACTTATTATTAAAGAGAGTATAAGTATACCGGAGCCTTATCCTCTTAAATTAATATACTTAGCCGGCCGGTAGCCTTATATTCTTTCGCGAAAGGAATTAACTTCGGCGTTAAGATAATCTTCTAATAACGCTATTAGTCGATACTACCTTTACCGCCTCTCGTAAGCTTCCCGGTTTTTTTAATTTATCGCTATTATAGTACGCGGCCGGGGGCTTTACCCTCGCGAAGCTTTATATAATTCACGCTAACCTCTAACTCTTATATCTTCCTTACCTCTAGCTTAAGTACTTTATTTAAAGCCTTAAGTTCTTTCTCGGAGGCTTATTTCTCTTAAGTAATCTCTAGGTATTAATAATAGTAAGGACCTTTCTTATCGTAAGAAAAGCAGCCCTAGAATATAAACTTAGAAGACCCTTTCTATCGCTTACGGATATAGTTCTTATTAACTTTCTCTTTAAGCGTTCGCTAGATCTAATAACCGCCGCGGCGATATAATAATATTATAAAAGTCTTATCGGACTAAATTACCTTTTTCTAATTATTAAGGCTCTAATCCTTCCTTTCGAGGTATTATTTAAGCTATTCTTTCTTTATTTTTTATATTAGATTAGGCTTCCTCGTAAGCTTAGTCTTCCGGAAGCTAGCCCTACGGAGTATTCGCTAGATTATTATAGCCGATATCTCGATACCGAAGTAACTAAGATCGCTAGTAATATTAGCGTAGCTTTTCTTTCTTCTATATCGATCGCGGCGTATAAGCTTTAAGACCTTTTCTTTAGTAGCGGTTTACTTAGAAAGACGGCTAGAACGAGGGTTATCGGTAAGGAGGGCGTCTATAAGGACGATCGGCCGGACGGTAGGGTCGAAGCCTCGCGCTATAGCGCGGGTAAATATCGTGTTAATTATACTCTTACTAACGCCTATAAGGGCTATTACCTCGATAGTAGTCTTATTCGAGGCCTTAAGGCTTATAATTATAGCCCTTATTATAATATCGGTATGCGGTATCTTCACGGTCGGCTTTAAAAGAAAAAATAGTTATATTTTATTAATTATAATAACGTTCGATAGTAAGGGGAAAGTCGGCCTAGTAGATTTATACTTAATATAGTATAAAAATTCTATAGGTCTAGCTAATCCCTAATCTTCTAGCGTCTTAGCGACTAAAAACTTTTAACGCCGTCCTCCGTATGAAGCGGCATGCCGGCCGCCTAAACAAGCGATATTCGTACGAGTGTCGTTCGCACGAATGCCGGTCGCACGAATCCCATTTATACGACCAAGGACCCACTATTTCACACCAATTACTTTGGATTATCTATAAAACACCATGATCCGGATCATCACGCTCATCTCATAAGCCTCATGATCCACGGGTATTATTTGCTTCACACAATAATCCCCTTAGTATATAGGAAGCCTAGCTTCACCATAGTCAGTCTCTACCCAGCTCCTCAGCTATTAATACAATTGTCTACGCAAGATCTACTATCTCGCACATAGACTATGACCCGACCGCTTAAGTCAACGACATCCTAGTGTACTCAGTTTATAAACCGACCTCAGATCTACCTACCCTATAGCTAGTCTAACCCGAACGTCACAGGTATACGGTATCTTCACAGTCGGCTTCAAAAGAAAAAATAATTATATTTTATTAATCATAATAACGTTCGATAGTAAGGGGAAAGTCGGCCTAGTAGATTTACACTTAATGTGGTGCAAAAATTCCATGGGTCTAGCTAATCCCTAATCTTCTAGCGTCTTAGCGACCAAAAACTTTTAACGCCGTCCTCCGTACAAGTTAGTGACTTTGATAATCTACATTGGCTGAACGTGAGACAGTGGTGCTCTTGCCTGTGCTTGAAGATGTATTGTTTCTTTTCCCTGGTGAAATACGTGGACAAGGACAACTATAGACTCGCTCTCCCTCGCTCTAACAAACAACTCTCTATCGTGGCCCCAGCTTCTCGAGCACACGCGGACCTTGCTCGTCCCACTCAGCCTTGGTCACCCACATGCTCTCGTTATTCGCCATGATGTTGGCAAGCACGGCACCTCCCAGGAACACCATGTGCCTTCTCCGCGGGGGATCCTCGATCCTGACCTTGAACTTCGACAACCGCTCAGGGTTACCCTGTAGCGCCCTTGTGAGCCACAGCTGCTTCAGCTCCTTCTCGAGTCGTGACGGCAGACCGGGGTACATGCTGCTGCCTCCGGACAAGACAATGGCCTTGAAAAGAGACGATCGAATATCGACATCGGCGGACTGGATCGTGTTGAAGAGGAACTCGCCCAGGCCCGGTGACTCGCTGTCTACCAGGTGGGGCTGGAACAGACACTCGGGTGCCTCGAAACGCTCGCTTCCTACACGAATGACACGGCCGTCAGGGAGCGTGTAGTTCTCCACCAAAACGGTGGTGTCCTCGCTGAGGTGCTTGTCCAGCTCCAGGTCGTAGGAGACGTAGCACAGCTTCTCCTTGATTTGTCGAACCGTCTCGAAATCGGCGGTGCGGTTCAGGGCATAGCCGCGGCGGAGGAGCAGCTTGATGAGGTTGCGGGTGACATCGCGGCCAGCCACGTCGAGACGCTTCGTGAGGTGGTTGAGAACGACGGATTCGTAGACAGGGACAATGTGCGTGACGCCATCGCCCGAGTCGACGACGACACCGGAGCTCAGGCCCTGCGCATACAGAGCAAGGACAGCCTGGATCGCGACGTACACACCGCCGAAGCCATAGCGGTCAAACATGACCTCGCACATCTGCTCCCTGTTTTTCAGCGGGTTCATGGGCGGCTCTGTCAGCAGGATCTTCTGTCCCTGCGTGTCGACCTTGAGTTTCTCATTGAAGGTGAAGTCCCAGAGGTGCTGCATGTCGTCCCATCGCTTCACTATACCGTTCTCCATCGGGTAGGTGATCTGGAGCATGGTGCGCGCCGCGGCCGCCTCGTCACCGCACATAATGTCCTTGATGACTACATTGCTGTCCGTCTTCTCTTCGCTTCGTAGAATGGGTCGACCGACGATGGAGGGGAACTGGTGCTCGGGGAAGTTTTGGCCCGCGTATCCGACCTTGAGGAAACCGGTACCGCCGTCGAGGACTGGGTGTTGTCAGCTCATGCAGCTCCAAGAGCTTGGGTGCGACAGTGTCCACGTACCAATGGGTGAAGTAGCCATTGCTGCGGATATGATCACGGTGCGTGAATCCTAGATCAACTGGGGCACCTCGATAGTTGTTCGCGATCGGGTCAAGGTCCTTTGCCGCAGGTGGTGGTGCGTGGCCGGATGACGCTCGGGGATGGCTGGAGGTCCAGCCAAATGGTGGGGTCGCCTTGTCGTCAGAGGCACTGCCTCAGCGGGAAGCTGCGTCACGTGAGACCCCGCGTAAAGACATGGCGTATGATCGCGATGATGAGCAGCAACAATCAAATGGTCAAAGATTCTCATTGTATTTGAAAATTCCTAGATTTGAACTATTGTTCAGCGGCGAGTAACTCGAAGCTGGCCGCCGTTATGACGAAAATCCTTGTCCTGAATCCAAACTCTACAGAGTCCATGACAGATGGCATGGTCTCAGCCATCAAGTCCGCCGGCTTGGACAAAGTAGGCCAAGTCGATCTTGTGTGCTTGGAACGTCATGCTGAGTACATATTTAGGTGGTAGACATTGACCAGTACACCGCTCCATCATCGGCTCCTGTCAGTATCAACAACGATCAAGATATTCAAGCCAGTGAAGCATCGGTGATAGAGGACATGCGCAACAAGCTCGGGAATGGGACTCTAGGCGCCTCCAGCTACGACGCGATTCTTGTGGCGTGCTATAGCGTGCACAGTCTGGTGGATTCACTGGCTGATCTGTTACCAACAAACGCGATCACTGGCATCTTTGAGGCCAGCGTATCCACCGCACAGCTGCTTCTGCGGCCTCATAGCGACCAGAAATGGGGCATCGTGACTACAGGCAAGTTCTGGGAGGATCATCTGACGCATGGCGTCAAGTCCTTTCTCGGTCAAGATGCTGCCAGTGACAACCAGCGCTTCGCTGGTGTCTTCTCGACAGGCCTCAACGCGTCCGACTTCCACCACGTTCCTCAAGAGGAGGTCACTGCGCGGCTCAAAAGCGCGACCACAAAGCTCTTGCAAACAGGGGATGTGCGATGTGTGGTCATGGGTTGCGGTGGCATGGCGGGCCTGGAACGTGTGATACGCGACACGGCAACTGAGGTGTATGGTGAAGAAAGGGCAAGGAGGATCTTTGTCGTGGATGGCGTCAAGGCGGGAGTCTTGCAGCTCGAGCAGACTGTGCAGAGCAAACGTATATTTGGGTAGCTTAGCAACCTTATCTTCTGGTAACTCAAGCGTTACGATGTTCCCGGCCCCAGACCTCATTCGCACTGCGCTTGCCTTTGGTCTCTGGGACCCTCCAGAAAATGAATACTGCGGACAAAGCTGCTAGTCCCGCGAAAATAAAGTACACATGGCCATCCCCATGGGTCGCTTTCTTGAGCTGGGTGTTGATGATTGGGAAGAGGAGTGTGACCACGAATGTCGCGATCCAGTTGGAAGCCAAGCACCAGCTCTGTGTAGCACCAACCGCCTCTGTATCCACGAGCTCGGCTGCCAAAATGAAGGGGACTGGGCCTAGTCCAACTGCAAAGAATGCCACGAAGAACAACACAGACACAGCCGAAAGCCACTTGATGTGGTAGATGATGGAGACAGCCAGGACAAGCGAACTGCTGCCTTGTCCGATAGTGGAGATCAGTAGACAAGTTTTGCGGCCAATGCGATCTGGTAGGGGCGAGCACGCCACAGTGGTCACCAGGTTCGCTGCCGATATGATGACCGTGAGAAGTGCGGCGTGGATCGGAAGCAGGCCTTTGAGTAGCGATACCGAATACATAATGATCGAGTTGATGCCACAAAACTGCTGGGCTGCCATGATGCCGACCACAGCGATGATGGCGGGCCGAGAACGATGATCCTTGGCCACGTCGAGGAATCCAAGGTGCGCAGGCGAGCTCGAGAGGGCCGAAACCCGGCTGTCGTTGTCTGTCGTCGCAAGGAGCCGGTCCTGCTCGTCCGGAGCACTATTGTCGACATTCCATTCCCGAGTCTCCAAGCTGATGTCCGCACCCTTACCGCGGATCTTCTTGAGCACCACATGAGCCCGCGCTCCGTTTCCATTCAAGGCGAGCCAGGCCGGCGTCTCTGGCATAAAAAAGCAGCCTAACCCTTGCGCGAGGCCCAGCGCTCCGCCAACAACGAGGATGATTTTCCACCATCCGTCCGAGCTCAGAAAGTATCCCAGGCTCTGAGCGATGAGGATACCAATATTGATAGATACTTGCGTCATGACGCCAAAGAAGCCGCGCTGCGCTGGAGGTGCGACTTCACTAATGTATAGGGGGACAACAACGGTCGCGGCACCTGCTCCAATGCCGGATATGACACGTCCAATGCAGAGGACCCAGACAGCCGGCGCCAGCGCCTCGATGGCCGAGCCGATGGCGTAAACTCCAGCAGTCAATATCAGTGTTGGCCGCCGACCTCGACGCGAAGACAGAGGCCCTGAATAGAGTGCCCCGATCAAGCCTCCGAGGGTAAAGATGGAGGTGACGACACCAAAAACCGCCTTTGACATGGGTATGCAGTTGGCAGGGTCATTGGGCTTGTCAGGATCCCCAAAGATCGATTTCCTTCTGCAAGTCATGACATCTTCGGGAGCATTCAGCTCAGCCTGTGTAGAGTTAGCATGCGCTCATGGTGTTGCAGGTTGAGGGCTTGGATGGTACGCACCAAGTGAAAGCCGTATTGAAGTGTGCCCACTGTCGCGGTGGCGATGAGGAACAGCAGATAAGGCGTGATGCCTTCGGTGGCTTTTCCGAAGCCGGCCATTGCGGCTGTATGCGTTGCGCTGTCGACACACACTATTGACAATCGTGTGAAGATGAAGATTGAAGATGGTGATGATGAGACGTCTGTGGAGATGGTTGTGGGGGATGGACGATAAACTGGAGGTCGGAGATCGCTGGTCAAGGCCCAGGTGCAGCGACTGCCGCCCACCCACTGTTTACACCGGACCCTTTTTGCCCATCGCAGTCGCCTCGAGTCGGGTCATGTGCTCCTCCCTCGCGGCTCTGTGAGACGTGACAGACAGAAAAATTACCTGGTATTTTCTGACAAAGAGAAGTACGAATTTGGCACGTGGCCCATCATGTTCTTTCGTGCACTTCTCCGTGCAGCTGACCTCTTGTCCACCACTGTTGCTGCCTGTGGCTGGCCGCTGGACCATGGGCCCAAACGCAGCGTGGGCATTATGGTTATCATGTGCACATTTTCCATAATCGCGTGGGAACTTCGGATCGCAGTGTTGTGTTTTCGGCAGCAGTACGGATACGCGACCATTTCTGGTCTGACCGGTCATCAATGCGACCTGTCTTGCACAGGACAAGCGGAAGACGTGCGGCAATCAGGGGAAGGATGGGTCACGCAGGGTAAGTAAAACCGAGAGGGCGAACTATCACGGCGCGCGACTCGTGCCTCGTAAATTACGACAAAGTTCTTCAATTACTGCATTCCCACACCATCTTAGCTGGACCGACTGCCGATGACTGAACGGCGCGTGTCCGCTAATTGGACAGTGACTAAACCTCGCGATCTTTTGCTTCCGCAAGCTTTGCGTCCTCCTCCCCAGGTCCTTCCTGAATCGACGACTCATCCGCAGGCGTCCCGCCCAGAACGTTGTGCTCTGGACGTTCTGGCACGAGCAGCACCGCAAACGTCGTCGCTGGCACTGTGATGCCAAACATGGCGAACGCGATGACGAGGTTCACCATGGGCGCGACCTTGGCTGCACCGATGCCAAAGGCCAGACAGGAGCCGACGGACTCAAAGGAGCGGACAATCCCCACAGCCAGGGTCAGGGTCTCGAGGTCGTCGAAGAAGGCGCCGATGATCCAGTAGACGAACACGTAGTGCGACTCGTTCATGAAGCGCATGATCACCATGCTCGCGAATCCGCGTCCAAAGCCGGGCAGATCCCAGTCGAGGGTGACCGCCGGGGTAGAGTTGGCATACTTATACTCGTTGGTCACCTGCCACGCGAAGACGGACGCCATGATGACTGAAAAGAGCCCCCAGGTGATCTTGGCGAGTTGAGGCCGGCTCCAGATTTTGAGATCGTAGAACCAGCCCCAGAAGATGTTTGCCGCGGTGGCCGCGATGCCTGAAGTCAGGGACGCCAGGGTACGAGCTCGAACCGAGAAGTACCTCGTCTGGTAGATGCCCAGGTACGTCGTGTTCCAGTTGAAGCCTATCAGGACGGGGATCAGGAGGTACATTTGCTTCCTCTTGAGAAGCTTCCACATCTTCGTCACTTCTCCCAGGATGGCCTTCTTCTTGGTCGGATCCTCGACCTTGCTCCCGTCGGGTCGGATCACCTTGGAAGGGGGCGAAATGAGGAAGGCTAGGGGTAGGCCGAGGCACTGCAGAGAAATGAGAATGAGATATGTCGTGTACGAAACCTTGCCCCGCTTGCCATCGTTGGCGTTGAGAGCGAGCTGGATTGAGGCCCCGATCAACTGGCCAAGTTCTCGCAGACCGAGCCAGATGCCGGCTTGACGTTGTCAGCACTTGGACTTGGGAACCTTCCAGAGATGGTGCACTTACTGAACTTGCCACGATCCTTCACAGATCCATAGCCCAGTGCGATGGCACCTTCAGATGCCCACAAAGCAGACGCGCCGAGACCACAGGTGGCGCCTCCGAGCAGGACGAACCATTCGACTCCGTACCGGTTGTTGACATACAAGGCTGCTGAATAAGGGGCATAGCCCAGAGTTCCGAGGATGAGGATGTTCTTAACGCCAAACTTGTTCGCCAGCAGCGCGAAGATGGCACAGCCAAAGGCCATAATACCAAAGGTCAACGAATTGGCGCCATTGACGAGGTACGGCTCTTGCTGGCCGCCTGCACCAGTACCTTGTGACGGTTAGCCTAATGAGACATCCGCAGACAGGATCCTGTTTCTTACTGTTGAGCGCATTCCAAATACCCGGCTGAGTGAACGAGATGAGTCCAGCGATAATGACATTGAACAAGGGGCTTCTGTACCACCTCGTGAATCGAGAAACAGGCTTTTGGACAGAAGGTGTCTCTTCGACAGCCAGCGCAGCGTCGTCGGCCATGGTTGCTGAATGCTGATACTTGTCGAAGCCCACGCAAGATATTTGGAACGTCAGCAAACGGGGACTCTTTCTATTTTGCCATTTTCACATTCTCTACTTCTTGTTCCTTGACATTATTTCTTCTCCGTAGATCGGCGTCCGAGAGGCATCACCGACAGCTTCAAGTGGATTTGGACGTGGAGCCCGGTTCGGTGCCACGGCGATGTCGTGATTGACACGGCGAATGTCACAAGGCAGGCATTTCTGCGCTCCGGCAAAATGGGCGGACACTAATTTAAAGTCTAACGCAGACCGCTGCGCCGCATATAGGGGTCTCTCGCGCCATCTTGTCTGCTGCTCCAACAAATGTCGGAATTTCCCCGACCACTTCGGCTTGCAGATGTAGGATCGAACGGGTGCCGAAGGGAATTACGACATTGAAGGCCCCATACAAGGCAAATACATTACTTGGCGAGACGAACCATGGAAGAAAACGAGACTTGGGGAATGAGGCAATATCCTCGTGCTGATGACCAAATTGGCCACCAGCCAACTGGCCAACTATCGTGGCGGAGAACAGTAGGCCAACAAACACCATTTGGTACTATCATCCTGGACGAATGTGGCGGCTGCATGTCTAGTAGACCAACAAGAGACTGGTCCGCTTGGAGGATCAAGAATCAGGACCGCGTCCTTGCCCCAACCCTCCACTGAAATAGCCGCCTCTCCCAGTACCGACTGCTCCAATGAGAGGTGCTGCGACGGAGTGAGGATTGTGTGATTGTCCACTTGGATCTCATGTCAATGCCGACAAGCGGTCAGCCGCACCGCAGTAGCATGAGTCAAGATCTCTAGACCCTGGGCCTGGGGCAACATCATGGATCCCTACTGGGCGATGACTGGTAGGGTTCTTAGATGTGGCAAATGCCCCTTGATCTGGTGACGAGATCGGGGTCGCTGCACTGCGTCCTGACTCCTGGTCATTAACACGACTCTGCCTACGTGACGAGGGCCATGGATGTGAACCACATTGCCGTTGCAAGACAATGCCAACGCTGCTAGTTCAGGCGAGCAGTTGCCTTCCTTTGCAATATGTCTCGGATCTGTGTACATCCTCGTTCGCGGGCAACATCCAAGTCTCCCTCCGCAATCTCATGACCAGCGTCAAGCAAGAATTTCACAATCTGAACATCCTCCTCATAGATGGCTCGCCTCAGGATTGACTCTCCCCCAGCATCCTTGACCGTGATGTCGGCGCCACACTCCTCGACAAGGAGTTTGACAAATTCAAAGGCACCGGACCGAACTGCACTTGGCAGGTAGAGCTCTTCCCTTCCATCCACGCCCAGATTGACATGCCCACCCTTGGCGAGGACCATTCGCACAAAATCTGGCCGCCCTGCCGCCATGGCATACGAGACTGCACAGTAAGAAACATTGTCCGTGGCGCGAGGGTCAGCACCGGCATCGAGCAGCAGCTTCACCACTCTTGCGTCCCCCAAGTGGCCCGCCTTGCACGCGTACATGAGAGGCGTCAAGCCGTCCGTGTCCTTGGCGTCCACGTCTGCCCCGGCTTCGATCAGCTTTTGTACTCTCGGCGCCTTGGTACCGCGCGAAGAAGCCTCGTGAAGGGGCTTCACCGCGCCGGGTGGATTCACATTTGCACCTCTGGCCATGAGTACATCAAACAAAGTCGCGTCGTCAAGAGTGCTCGCGTACCATAGCGCGGTCACGCCATCACTGTCAATCGTCTCCATGTCGGCACCGTAGCTGAGTAGGAGCTGGGAGGCTCCGCGCAGACCTTGAGACACGGCAAGCACGAACGCGGAGCTGGCCAGGCGACGACGAGCCTCGTCACTCTCGCAGTACGACAGGAACTTCTTCAGTGTGACCATGTCCCCTTTCTCGAGGACGAGGCGGAGAGGTGTTTGCGAGTCGGTGCCTTTGGAGGGATCGGCGCCAGCTTGGAAAAGGTACTCTACCAAGGGTTGTGCATCGCACATCACAGCCCAGTAGAGTGGCGTCTCTAGATTTGGAAGAGGCGTGTAATCAGGGGGAATGTTATAGTCCCCTACCAACATCCTGACGACGTCCAGATGACCCTGCATGGCAGCGTCAAAGAGCGGCCAGCCTGCGATTTCGATGGTGCTTGCATCTAGCGGAGAAACAACACGATCAAGAACAAGCCGGGCGCAATCGATCCGGTTTCTTCCAATAGCCCAACGAAGCGCCTCTCGGCAGCTGGGGTCGCTCGGTCCTCCTCTGGTTATCCAGTAGTCCAGGAAAATGCTTAGTACAGCGGTATAGTCGCCAGTGCCAGATGGCATCACGTCCCGGGAAGCAACCAAGGTTTTGTCGAACTGTGCCAAGTCCATAACGTCCTCACGGCCTCCCGCAGCAATAATTCTCCGTACGCATTCAGGGTGCCCATTTCGTGCCGCAATGAGAAGAGGCGCCAAGTCAAGGTAGCCTTTGCCCCCGGGTCTGCATGTACCCTCGCAGTGCCTGTTCACATCCGCGCCTCGACAAATAAGCAGATTGAGCAGAGCCACCTGGTTGAACTCGGCAGCAAGGCCCAAAGGCGAGCGAAATTTCCAACTGTCTTCTTGAGCGTTGATATCACTGCCGTTGTCGAGGGAGAGTGAGGCTGTGGACAACTGGCCCGTTCTGGCAGCCCAGTGCAGAGCCCTACTTCCTTGCGCGCCATCTAGGCGATACAGCACCCTGTTCGCAGCGGAGTACGACAAGCGACAGGTCTGCGCGAAGCTGTTGATAGATGCCAGCGATGGGGCAAGGCACCAGCTGATTTCCTCGAGGAGCTCGGAGGGAAGGGTGTTGAGCGACGACGCCATGGTCTTTACTAGGATCCAACAAAATGTATGAAAGGTTGAGATAGTTGAAATCAAGGTGGAGAAATGTCAAAGGTAAGGTATAGTTTGAGTACTTCATATGAGGCTGTGGTTGAGGTGCGCCCAAAAAGGTTGCCTAATGCGTACCGATTGCGGCTGCCTGCACGTGTATATCTTACCAGGTACCTTAGGCATCAAATGAGACTACCTCAATAGTCTCACCCGATGATCCTTGCAGCCTAAATCTGAATGATTATTTTGATTTTAGCATATTCTTTATATACACTCTAAATGCTAATTTGGGAGAGTGGTGGGAAAACAAAACTTCGAAACTAGATGATGTGAACTCCTTTGCGAGAAGCTATCTTGTGTCACCTCCGAGTCCGTCTAAGGTCGAGTGGGCCAGGGGTGAATTGGATATGTTAAGTTGTCCAGGCTGGTTCAGAACTCCAGATCCTCGGGGCCTGTTAAGTTGTCTTTATATGGCATAAGAATGACGACAGGCCGTAAAGGCGGTGGCGGTTACGTGGTTACGTGCGCTCCGTCAAAAGCGGCATGAGATCTATCAAAAGCGCTGGTATAACTGTCTAATGCAAGAATGAATCGATACTAGCGATTGCGCAGGCAACGTACAACTACCCTAGAGGTGTCGGTAGAGATGTTTCATTTGAGATCTGCCCGTGCAAAGGCTGTCGCCGCTGCTGCCATGCATTGTATTGCTTAGTCAACACGTGCAACTGCTTCCTCCCCAGCGACCACTGGCCGAAGTTCCTCAAACCTCCGTTTCCAAAATCCCCAACGTTCGAGATTCAAACCCCCATGTCCAGTATACAAGGGACCAGGTCCACGCGACTTCTTGTCACCTTCAGTGATATCTCGTCTTTCCACTAGGCACTTCCGCAGGAGGACTGGCCCAGAGTGAATCGCCCATTCGCTGGCGACGGAAAGCCTCAGATCAGTGGCCGCATTATTAGGGTTCAGGTCCTCCTCAAGAGCTTGCCTCATCTGCCAGATGACGAAGCTCTCCATTTCCACCAGACCTGCTCCAAAGAGTCGGGCATTGAATGAATTCAAGTTCAGCCACTCACTATAAGAATACTCATCCTCTACATCCTGTCCTTCCACAGTCTCGAGCGTTGGGTCTGCCATTGAAATTAGAAGTTTGTTGCCATGAGTAAATAGAGTCATGCTCGAACCTGACCAGTTGGTTCTCATGACTTGCGCCAGCCCAGGAAGATCACCCCACGGCGGTGTAGCGACCAGCACGCGAATGACCTTTATGATAAAGTCTTGTCCCTCATGGTCTCGATAAGGAATGTTTCTTGCGACGCTCAGAAACGCTTCCCAGGTGCTCCCGAACTGGGTTATCGGTTTCTCGGGGGACACGAGCTTTTGCAATTGCGAGGCGACGTCCCGAGCTTGTTCGTCGGCTGTTGCCTCAGAAAGCGACTGAAATGCAGATTGGAAGATGAGGATGACTTCCTCGTCGACTTCTAATGATAGGCCGTTGTCCAGGAGATGCTGCAAATTGAACTTGTTGTTAGCCATCGTGTGGATGTGGCTCGCTGGTAATAAGTAAATCGGCGTCACAAGTCCTGGCTTGCGATCGCCGAAAGTATAAGAAAGGTAGAGCGGAGGGATGCTAAATGATTGTTGAGCGAGGATTATGGGAGTGTTAAAGTTAGTATTAGAATTGGAGGGAATATACAGAATCCGTGAGGTGAGAGAAGATGGCGTTTGGAAACTTGGCGGGGGTGTACTAAGCGCGCGCGTGGTAGATGATACTGGGCCCTTCCCATGGCATACTTCTTACTTGCTATTGCTCGCTATGTCCATCGAATCTCACCTGGCGCCCTGGTGCGCCTCTTTCTCTCTGGAGGAGGCCCTCCTTCTCGTGGAGTTGTCTCTCCTATTCTCTCCCGCGAGTTGGACGGGGTATGCCTTGGTGTGCCGGGCCGGCCACCACCGCCATTCTCCTTGTTGCTTTCTCCGCTGTCACTCCGTACCACCACGGGCGCTTCCCGCAGTGCCTCTAGCCCAGGAAGTCTGCTCGAGCTTGCTATGACCGGCGTGGACGTCCGAGGCAGACGACTGCCCTTGTTGGTGCTCGCATCAGAAACACCATTCACCCGCCTCGGAATGCCAGTACCGCCATCGCGGCTCCTTGGGCGATACATGGAGCTCTCCCTTTCCAGCGCCGCTGACCTTCGTGGGCTCGCCACAACCTCAACATAGGCGTTGTTGCTGAAGCTTGCCCTGCTCCTGTGCGTCGGCGTCTGCGGGACGGACGTGGATGCGTGGAACCCAGGGGGCGTGTAGCTCGTGTTCCTTCTAGTAGCAGAGCGACGCGACGACCCCGAGGTCGGAGGCGGCGGTGCATTCTCGTGAATCATCATCAACATGGCTGAGTTGCCCCCGCCAATGTGTGACCGTACCAGTTCCGACGCCAGATTGCGGACCAGGACAGCAGAATCAGATTCCGCCAGTGTCTGGATGGACTCCATGAGCGACCGGATTTGCGCAGTGTTCAGCGTCCTAGCGCCGTCACCACTGCCAATGGTCGGCTCGCTGGCGTCCATGATGGTTCGTACAAGCCGAAGCAGATTGAGTCTGATCACAGCTTTCTTGTGGCCCAGCTTTTGCGCAATGCCTGCAAACATCTCCGGTCGCGCCAGTGACCCAGCAATCGAGGGGCTCAGTCGCAAGAGCTTGAGAAGAGGTTCCAGCAGGTTCGAATCAAATGCGTTGAGCTTGTTAGTGTTGAAGCAGCTGACAATGGCCTTTGTAAAGTCGCCATCGAGCAGTCGCGTCTCGACATTGGCGGTTTCCTCCTGCAGCCATATCAAAATGGCGTCTAATGCCGTAACTTGCCAGTACTGGTCCGTCAACAATGACACGTAAAACGCCAGGCCATTGTTCTGCCACAGGTACCGGCGGCCTTTGGACCCGGAGTGTGCCATATCGCACAAGATGGGCAGGGCGAACTCTTTGGGGGGCCGGTCCGTCTTCAAGATACGCATCAGAAGTGGAATGATGCCGCCCACCGCAGCATCCTCCTGACGCTCCTTGTTCAGACGGCACAGATTGAACATTGTGTTCAACACCTGGTTTGAGATCTCGCGGAAGTGCAGTTGGTCTCTCTTCATGCTGTAGCTCAACAGATCAATCAGGAACTCAATCGCATCGGCCGAATGCAGCGCTTGCAGGGTCGCCGACAGCATTGATAGGTTCTTGATGAACTTGAGCATCGTTATCTGATGCATGGGTGTCATTCGTCGTAGGTCTTTGAGGACGCTTTTCAGGACCTGCCGATCGGCCACTACTTCTTTGACATAGTTTTCAGCTTGGCTGAAAAGGTAGAAGATATTGACAATGCGGCCTTCGATGAGCTCGTCAAGCTCATCCTCGCCCTCTTCATCGAGGACGCGATGCAGCACCAGTGCGAGGGGGTACAGAATCTTGCTCCGCGAAAAGATCCTGCAGAAGTCGTTCTTGGGTGTAGGTCCCTGAAGCTCGAACACGCTCCAGATACCGTTGACTCCGATCAGTACAAGGTCTCGCGCGCCGTCATAGTCTTCATCGAGGAACTCGACCAAAACATTCAAGCCGCCCGCGGACACAAACATTTGCAAAGTCAGTGTGGAGGTCTGGTACATCTGTCGGACAAAGGCCGCCGCCTCGATGCGGATCTCGTTCGAGTACTGCCGAGCCGCGAACTTGGTGATAATGGGGATGCCGCCGACGAAACAAAGGTTCTCCTGGATTTCCACATCGTCAAGAATGATGGCGTTGACCACCTTGAGCAACTGCAGTATCATGTACTGCCTGCTCTTGACCGTGCAAGGTTCAAGGATCTCCAGAATGGGCAGCAGGCCATGCGCGCTGAGGATTAGATTCTTCACCTCGACATTCTCCCACAACAATATTAACTGTGTCAAGTCAGCGAAAGCCATGTGCTACCGTTCGGCTCCGACTCACCAAGTCTTCTGACAGCTCTGACAGTCTATCTTCACCCTCGGTGATCTTCAGTTCACGCACGAGCGCTTCCACCTTTTCGGCCAGCCTCGCTTGTCTGTCTCTCGCAATGTTGGCGTCGAGGTCCATTTCGTCCCACCCTGGATCCATTGATGCGAAAGGGTCGTCCTCGTCCTCGTCGTCGCCAAGCCACGAATTGCTCGATATCTTTGACATTAGCATGAAGCCGTTGTCTTCCGACCCACGATCACTCTCTTCCTTCTCCAGCTGGTTACTAGCCGGGCCAAAAACATCCGAGAAATCTTCATCGTCGTCTTCAGCAAATTTTTGTATTTCTATCGAGGAGCGGGCCCGGCGCATCGGCCGGTCAGGCAGAACGGACGGCCGCGATGTTGCCTTCTTCCTGAGACTCCCACTGTCGGGCGCCTGCATGGATCTTGGCAAGCTTGTGAGATCTGATGGGTGGAACAACCGAGGTGCGTCCGCCTGGCGACTGCTCTTCTTGGTAGCCTGATTTGGCTGACGATCGAATACACTGTCATCGCCCACAAACAGGTCCGAATAGTCTTCGACGCTCTGCTCTCTGTAGAACACATCTGGTCTTGAAGGCAGTTCGAATTTATTGTGGTGTGACTTGGGCGGTGACTTGTGCTGATGAGGCGAGGAAGCAGCGCTCATGACTGGTTTTGTAATGCTCGATTTCGAGCGTGAGTGCTTCTTGGGCGAAGTAGACGAAGTTCTCTCCGTTCGGCGTGGCGTGGGTCTGATAGTCCGGTCCAGCGAGTCGAAGTCCTGTACGTGACCTGGCCCTTTAATAGTCATGAGTTCGCCTTCAAAATCATCATCATAACTCGTAGCATCATGTCGGCTGTCGTTGAAACAAGCGAATGACTTGAGCTTGTCACTTGACAGCAGGCCGCCAAAATTGTCCTGCCCCTTGAGCTGCGGTAGTTGCAAGGCACTAGGAGAAATTGCGGTGGCAAAATCGTTATCCCAATTGTCGTCGCCGGCGATCTCAGGAGTCATGAAAGCTTCAGCGCCAAACTTGGGCTTGGCCAGTGACAAAGGTCCCTTTGCTGGAGTTCCTCCCGCGTAGCGCGCAACACCAGCGTGCTCGGAGCCTGAACTTGCACGCAACTTTGATTCTGATGATTCCAGAGCCTTGTTCCACTGCTTCACCTCCTCGACGGCTTGCGTGAATCCATCGGGCGCTTTGGAAACTGGCACATCGGCCCGCCGACATCCCACAATCCAGGCGTGTTTGAGAAGCTTTCGTGCTGATACGCGGAGATTGGGATCCTTCTGGAAACATTGCATGAGAAAGTCACGAGCGGCCTGTTGAAGTTAGAGAGGATCGTATCAGGGGTTGGAATTTACCCACAGCGGATATTCCCTCTGGTAGCGGCGGATGGTCGTCGTTGACAATCGCGAACAGTGCAGGCATAGCGGCCAGGTTGTGATAAGGGGGGCGGCCTTGGAGCAGCTCGATGACGGTACAGCCCACGCTCCAGATATCGGAAGCTGAACTCGCCCCAGAGAGTTGTATAATCTCAGGCGCCATCCAGTATGGTGTGCCCACCACCTGTGCTTCCTTGTCCTGGCCACTCGCAAGCGTACTAGTCGAAACACCGAAATCCGCCAGCTTCACAGTGCCATCCTTGGTCGTGAGGATGTTGGCACCCTTGATATCACGGTGGATGACACCCTGATCGTGCAGGTACTGCAGCCCCTTGAGTACCTGTGTCATGTAGACGCCCACAAGGTTCTCTGGAAATTTGCCGTATGACTTGCATATTGAGTGAAGTGATCCGTTCTCGCAGTACTCGAGAATAATGTTCAGACACTCGGCCGTTTTGACGAATCCAATGTACTTGACAATGTTGTCATGCTAATTCGTTAGCTCTGGATATGTACCAAGGACCCAAGAGCACCCACCAGAAGGTTCTTGAGAAGATCGATTTCGCTTTCAATCATGCGCAACTCGCTCTTAGGTAGGTCCGTGAGTTTGATTTGCTTCACAGCCACGGCCTCCCCAGTGCCCCAATTGAACGCCTTGTAGACGGAGCCAAAGGCGCCTTTGCCCAAACACTCTCCCAATCGCTGTGCAACGTCAGCTCTACCCTCAGACGTCGGGGTATCCCCTTGGGGGAAGGATTGGACGTACATAGTCCTTCAGTCCGGGATCTTGCACAGCCAAACTTTCCCTCCCCTTTTCTTTGCGTGAAGGTGTTCCGGGAACCATCCCACTGGTCCTCTCCCTCGTTGCGACTACTCTTCCACCGCCATGTTGGTGATACTGCCTCGAATCTGACGGCATATCCTTCTCTGGCACCTCAGCGCTCGCGGCACCCTCGCTGGAGGAGTTCTATCTTCGCAACAAGGAAGGCGGCAGGATGGATCGTAATCGTCGGGCTGAGGGCGCGATCGCAATGGGAGACGGCGCGGCTTTGTGTCGTCGAGGGGGGCTGGAGGATCGTGGCATTCCCAAGGTTGCTCAGAGGTTAGGTGCCTCGTTCGGTGAGATTAGGATCGCATTCGTTTTCGTGGGGACGAGACTGCCGTAAGCTGCGGCCGAGAACAGCTCGAGTCGTCCGTCACATTCGACTAACTTGGCGGTGCGGCACTGCTATGTGGGATAGACCCCGGCGAATCGAGTCCAAAGAGAAAGTCGGCTGCGATGTGCTGGTTCAGATCTTGCGCAAGGCGTGCAAACTTGATAATTATTCCGTAACGAAGCTGGCAGAAGTTATGAATGTCATACTAGCCTAACTAATCCTAGTGGCTTGCCAATGTTGATGTTGACAAAGACAAGACAGGCAGACAGACTGGACATGCATGCATGCACCTGCGATGGAGCAGCCGCCAAGCGCCCCAGCGCGCCTCTGTAGTCACTGTTAACCCCACTACACGATCGTCTCGATGGCGCTAACGTCAGGCACGTTCTTCTGCCTGGGAGCCGGACTCGCATTGTGTCTCGAATACACTGCGATCACTGGCTTGTCGAGCTGTTTTCGAAGGGATGGCTAATTAGAGATGGATTTGTGACCTTCTGTTTCTGACCTGAGCATAATTAGAGCCACTTGTCAGAAGGGAGCTGCGAGGTGTGGCGTATAAGGCGGCTAGTTACAGCATCCGTCAATTTGCAGAAGCAACCAAAGGCGACGATCACATTAACAAGGCAGCGGGAATCCACCCATTTTCTTCTGGGAGATAACCATGCTGCTGGTAGTACGTCGTACACAGCCTCGAGCAAATAGTAATGATTTCTTAATGCATGGTGTGCTGTCACTGGGGTTGCCTGGGCAAGTTCTGCAACTTGACTGGCAAACGTCCAGTCACCCTCGGGTCCGGTCGACGTTACCAACGCCTAATCTTCAACGCTTGACCTTTGCTCATTTAACCTCAACGCCAACAATGCTACATAGATGTCTTGCGCAAAAAGAAAATTCTCGTCTCAATTGGCTTGTCAAGCTCCATTCCTCGAGTCCCAAAACTGCACGAACATTGACACAACGTTATCCGGTGGTTCTTGCGAAGCCCCTGGTAACCGGCTTAGCATTATGTGCATATCCATAAATTCGGTAAAGGCCGACACCACCTCAGCTCGGGTGCCTCGTGTTGGATGGTTGTCCAAGTAGTCAGACAGTTGCGAGAACAGTTGAGGATATCGTTCGCTCGAGGGCCGAGATCGTAGGCCTGTCCATTCGCCAACCACGGCATCCATCTGTTCCGCGGAATCTGCCGTTCTTGATGTCTCTTCTTGGTTCGACCGTGGCCGGGACGGCTCATCTTCCGCATCCGATTCACAGGGCCCGTCTTGTATAGTAGCCCCATGGTGTTCAGACTGTGAAGTGTTTGACGACGACGCGGCCATGGCACTCTGCGCTGCCGAGTTGGATACGAATGAGGTGCTCGCACTCGGGGGCTGTGGATCGGGGGTCAGTGTCGTGAGAAGTGTGTCCCAATGTCCAGGGCTTGGGCTCCGCGTCCGGTCACCGAGACCATTGTAATCTTCGCCCCTCGATGGGCGCTCAATGCCACGGGGTATGGTACCTCGAATCGCCCAGATAGGAGGAGGAGGCAGGTCCAAGTAGTAGGGACCTTGAAGGGACCCGCCGTGATCACGGGTCTCTAATCGTGGGCCCCCGTCGGCTTGGCCATGTAAAAGCATCCACGTCCGGTTTTCGAGGTCTTGCTGAGATTGGCAAAAGTCTCGCGAAGCCCAATTGCGCCCAAACAGTCTAGTCAATTCAAGCCTCAACACACCCCGTTGACGTATGTCTTCGGGCGTCAACTGTTCCCATGAGACTTCGAACTTGTTCTGTATATACTCGGCGAGCTCACGTAGCAAAGCTTGATCGCGGCTCACCCGAGGACGATGACGAATTTGACGGATGGGTTCATATCGGTTGGACCGTCTGTCTGCTCCATGGACCCGATCGTCGTTCAGGTTGTCGGAGAGATAACGGGTCAATCCTGCTGCGTTCACTTCGACAGGCCCAGTGCGCCTATTGATTCTCCTGCCAAACTCAATGCGGATCCCGCCCCGTGAGACCCCTCTGGTTCTGGCTGTGGATTTGCGCAATGAGGTTCTCGGCGGCAAGTCAGATTCGACGGGGGCAACAAAGAATCTGGTCAACAACGTTAGCACGAGTCTCGCAGACGTGCACTTGGAGGACTCACCGAAGACCCATATTGATCAAGTCTGAAGGCGGAAGAGCGAGGAACGAAACGAGTGCGGCCGAGATCAATGCAAGTTGCAGTGCGCAGTGTGATCGATGGCGCGTTCAGTCGCGTTGACAAAGTAGTACTTGTCGCCAGGCTGGTGACGTCGCGGGACTAATTGCAGAAAGATCGGTTGGCGACACGTCGTAAAACCTCAATGCGCGACAGCGATGCGACTTGAATTCTTGATGCGCGATCACGCGATAACAAATCGTGGAGCGCGGGATGACGGGTGATGCGATGCGCTTCGAGGTGCACTACCGCGACACGAAGCTAAAAAATGAAGATGGCAGGGTGAGATGGGCCAGGCTGCATTCGTTCATCTTGCTCGTGAGCTGCTCAGATCAGCTAGTGCTGAACTAATGTGACTTTCCAATAACCAGAGATGGCCAAAGGCTTCTAGTACAATGAGAACAATATGAATCGCAAAAATAGGATCAAACTGTGTTTGAAGCTCAAGAATGCATTTCTTTTGCTCGTGAACCACCGCCAACGCAAAGGAAGACAACATCCTGTGTCGTTGATCAAGGTACTGCTCTATCTTGGAGCATCAGCAAAAGTTGACGCCGCACGCTGCGCCAAGCATCGGACTGTGGCTGAAATCCACCCCGTCAGCCACTCTATCTGTGGCTGGGTTCTCAAGTTTCGACACTGCGCTTTCTCATGTCATGCTATTATTTCATTGGCGAAAAAGCGAGTCTAGAGATCATCAACTCGACCCAGCGCCTTCGCCGCCATCACCTGGCCATAATCACCCAATGTCGGACGCGTGCACGTCAACGCTACCGACTTGGCCTTGATTCATCAACGTCATCCGCGACTAGGAGCATGCCTCGCCATGACTAAACCTCACCATGTAGCAACCGCCCTGAGCACCGCCCGAGCCCTCATCAAACCGAAGGAGGAGGCGCTTTACGCCACCCGCGATATCAGACTTGGTCTTGAACGAATAGCTCGTGTCATCAAACCGACCCAGACGTGGAAAGGCGTTCACGTGGGAGGAACTAACGGCAAGGGGTCGATCTGTGGCTATCTCTCCGCGCTTTTCACCGTTGCAGGGGTTGGCCATGGGCGGTACACATCGCCAGCTTTTCCCGACAAGCGTCACTCCGTCGTGATCAACGGACGTTATGTCCGGCCAGAGGACTATGAAAACGCAGCTCGAAGAGTCGAGAAAGACTATCGAGCTGTGTCAATAGGCTGGCGGCTCAGCTCAAGCCAAGACGCCGGATCTCTTTCACCATTTGAGTTGGAGACTGCAACCGCGTTCAACCTCTTCAACAGCCATGGCGTCCCCTACGGAATTGTCGAGGTTGGTATGGGTGGGGCCACCGATGCCACCAACGCCATGCGGCGCAAGTCTCTCACGATCATCTCCAAGATTGGCTTGGATCATCAAGACTATCTGGGCAACACCATTGAGGAGATTGCCAAGGTCAAGGCTGGAATCATGCGACCAGCGGTGCCTTGTGTCGTGGACGGTACGAATGAGCCAGCTGTGCTCACGGTGCTGAAAGAGCATGCCGAGAGCGTGGGAGCACCCATGTGGGTGACGCAAGAGGACTCAAGTTTCTTGCAAAAGTTAGATCAGGATAGATGGCAACTGCAGCCTTACCAGAAACACAATTTGTTGTGCGCCATGGTAGGCTTCCGTCATCTTTTTCCAAATCTAGACATCGACATCAACAGAATGCTGGAGATGGTCCCTCAGCTTCCTGGACGACTGGAATGGGTCGGCATCTCTGATCTGACCAACAATCGATACAACAAACCGGTCTTGGTAGACGCGGCGCATAACACCCTGGGTATCAAGGCCCTGGCCGACTTCACCAAAGAGAGATTACGGCAAGACGGACGACCCATCACCTGGGTAATTGGATTCTCGACAAGCGGCTCGAAGCCAATACCTGAGATGCTAGACATGCTGATCGAACCTCATGACAACGTCGCCTTTGTCGAGTTTCAACGAGGACCCAACGAGCCTCCCAGTATGCCGGCACCACTGGGGCGAGATTTACTGGCCAAGGTGTTGGTAGGAGCGGAAGATCAACTATATGATGGGGAACCTGACGTTGGCAATGCCATGCAATGGGCCGCGGACAAAGCAGGCGATGGCCACATCGTCCTCACTGGAAGCCTGTATCTGGTTCGTGATCTATACAACCTTGAGGGGATCTCCAGAGCATCTGAGGCCGGCATCGCCTGGCCGAGCCGAAGAGAGTTGTGGACTCTCAGTAAACGCTGGCGGGAGCGACCCCTCACGAAGGGAGAATACGAGCAGTTCCGGCGTGCCAGGACGGCTTGGCAGACTTCACGGGAAATCCAGGCTCTACAGGGGAATGGAGCACGCTCACAGACTACGGGACCTGAGTCGAACGACGCAGCAACATCAGCAGAAGTCGACGATGTCACTCGGCTCGACCCGTCACTGCAAGCTGCAACAGAGGGCAAAGCGCCACCCAAGGAAGACATCGAAGAGATCAAGCGTCTGCGCGAAAGCGAGGACTTCCACCTGCGCCAACAAGAAGCGTACGAAGACTTTATCCGCAGTGCCGAGGAAGACCTGGAATGGGAATCAAAAGCACCGACGCCGGATGCTGGGTTCATCAGTCAACTAAAGGACGACCTGACCCTGTTCCGTTCGCGCGAGAGCCATCACCGCAAGGCCTTAGATTCCATCGCCGAGAAAATCATTGCCCACCCAGCTGCCCAGCGCGTTGTGGCACTGACCCATTTCGAGGTCTACGGTCGACCCTTGACGTACCAGGTCTCGACTTTTGAGGACAAGCCTCGTATCGACCGCGCAAAGCGCATTGCGGAGCGAGCGGCCCGGCGTCAGGCATATAGGGACCATGCAATCGCCGAGAAGCAGGCCAAGAAGGAGGCAAGGCTGGCGAAAAGTATCGCCAGCGGAACGGATCCTCGGCGTTTAGCAGGCGATGGCACAGGCGAGGAGGAACCGGTCGAGGAGGACTTCTGGGGACGGCCGGTGAATCTGTTGGAGCAAGGGCCGCGGCCGTATGATCGAGCCAGGTTTTTTAGGATCGGCAATATACGCAAGCCGTTGGAGTAAGAAAGGCTGTATTATACCACCTGGCTGTATGCCTGGCTTGTAGAATAGGATGCATTACCTAGCGTGAATTGGCTCAACCATCATCATAGTGTATTTCTAAATAGACGACATGATACGACTCAACCAACGGCCACGCGCGAAGATGCTCCTGATTGGTCGATCGGATACCTGGAGTACATTGCGATTTGGAAAACGCTGTTCCAAGCATTTCAACCATGCCTCCTACACAGCTTATCATCGTCTGTTGCCATGGGCTGTATGTCGGCGGCCCTGCGCCCCCCTATGATGAGAAATCATGGCTTATTGCGCCATTCCAATCAGGGGAAGAGCCGACGTTCGTTGAACATATTCGCGCAGGCGTACAACGCGTTGCTGATAATGTGGATAAGTCAGTGTTGATGTTCTCAGGGTAGGTGGCCACGATATCCCCTTTCCACTCACTATCACACAATCCCATCCACGTCTATCGCCAATGTATGGCTCACGGTAGGATAGGGGTCCTACACGCAAAGAAACCGAACTCTCGGAAGCCCGTACCTATCTGCGTGCTGCCCAGGCTCATTCATTCTGGGGTCAATCAGTCCCGACTTCGAGCATCCTACTCGAAGAGCGCGCACTCGACTCCTACCACAACATCCTTTTTAGCTTGACGTTGTTCTACTCCTCATTCACCGCCTGGCCTTCCCGAGTCACCATAATCAGCCACGATTTCAAGCGCCCCAGGCTATTGGACAGTCACTGTCGAGCGATCGGTTACCCCTTGGAACAGGTTGAATTTATTGGAATCGACCCTCAAAGCATGCGGGACAGAAACAACAAAGCAGCGTGGCAGGGTGTAGCTACTGCGATGAGGGATTGGGAGGCCGATCCGCATGGTCGAGGTAGCAAACTGACTGGCAAAAGGAGCGGCAGGAATCCGTTCAATGTGTGGCAAGGAATCTTCGTTGAAGAATTCCAAGGGAGGAAAGCCAGTGGCCTCGTGACTATCGGTCATGGCAAAGACGAAATCCTTGATACAGAAGCGTCGAGGCCGTGGTAGGTAGTGTCTTCGAATAATATCTATAGACGTGAGTTTTGCTGGGCTCCATCTGCGACTGCTTGTACCAGAAAAGCGACTGCATCTTGTACCATATCCGCACTGAAGGCGTGACCGACGCCCTCATACACCCTGTCATCGACGTCAATCTCAAGTTCTTTGAGTATCTGCACCATCCGTTTGCTGTTTCTGTGCGGCACCAAGCGATCGTCAGCTCCTGAGCAGAGGAGAAGCTTCTTCCCCTGGAGGCAGCCTCTCGACTGCAGAGTCTCTCTTAATCGGGTCTTTTCTTCCGGAGATAGAGGCAACGACGGGAGTGCCGCTGTCCCAAACAATATCCCTTTCGGATCATGCGCTTCGCATACTAGTATAAGGTCCCTTGGGAAGTACTGGCTTCCCAAAAAGTTCTCGCCACAATCCAAGTCAGACCTTTTTGCTCGATCCCCCATGAGTCCTGGCTTCTTGTTAGTCGCGCGACCCATGAATCTGCATGCACCAGGGAAGACCTACCCATAAAGTCAGGGCAGCCTACTACGACGACGCCAGCTTTGACCCTTGGCTCTCCGATCCAAGCCTCCCAAGCAGCATGGCCCCCCAGGCTCCAGCCGAGAACCACATGTCCCCCAATGTCACGGGTCAGATATCCACCCACGACATCCATGAGTGCGCTCATGTCGCCTTTTCCGCCCCTTACCATACCCATCATGTCTAATGCGTGCTTTGAATTGCCGTCTTTCCATGCCTTGTTGCCCAGTTCGGAGACGAGCCTCGTGCCGTGGTTGGGCATGTCAAAGGCCAGTGCGATGAGACCCTGTGCGGAAGAAGACGAGCTTTCGTTATAGCTCTGCACAACTCGACACGCAATATCGCTCATCCGCGCCCGATTCCGCGTGCGCGGATGGAGTAACCACAGGCAAGTCACCGGGACTTCAGGCTTCAGCTCTTCCAGACCATATGCGTCAACCAACAACCCGGCCATAGGTATAGTCTTCATGGAGACACTGGGGGCCGGAGGGAGCCCCCTCGTGGCGTAAGCAGTAGTTTTGTCCTTGAGCAGCGTCATTTTTATGATTTTGCGTTGGCGCAAGGGTGTCTGGCGAAGATACGCGAAGGGATGATGTTGAGGCTAACGTGAGGTGAGTGATGCATTGGTTTCTGGAATGTAAGTGGGGTTGCTCGGGAGCTTTGCATTTCACATTGATGACATGGATGAGTGAGTCTGTTCTCGAGACACTTCACTACTACATCTCAAAAGCAGAATTTGCTGCATAAAATTTGGTGCTACGTTCCGTGGGTATTTACCAAGCTGGCTATTCTCGCCTGCTTCACTGACCATCTTTCCGAATATGAAGCTATGTATGGCCTGTGGCCAAAATGAGAACCGACTGACCATAAACGTGACCAAGAAGATAAACTGAAGCCTGGTAGACGGAGCCGTCCATGCTCCTTGCGAGCCCAAGCGCATATTTCGACCAACCAACAAAACCAGCGCCCCAACGCCAATGTGCATTACCTTCCGTGCTTGGTATCTTCACTCACCGCCGCATCTTACTCCCCCCTGGCCTGATGCCCTCCTGTACAGTGATGGATCTTTCCTTTTCAGCCGTTTCCTTCATGATCAAGCTTGGTAGCTTAGTCAACCTTCCAATGATCGTTCTCGTCCGATCCCAACAGCAGCTCAACACCATATAGAGTCATTGTCAGTCCAACATTGACCCACCTCCAAGTGCTACCGCCGACATCGCCTTCTCGTAACGACCAACCGTCCTCGCTGTCGCTGGTCGAGAAATGCTGCAGCAGAAGACTGGTATATACAGCAATCATGATGGAAGGCGAGAGCCAGCTGAGGAGGCTAAGGACCTTGGTGGCAGTCTCCGAGTCGTCCCAATCAGCGTCGTGCATGTAGACCTTGGCTCCCAGATCCTTGACAGACGGGATGATGCGAGTAGCGCAGTAGAATACGAGCAGGCGATATGTTAATGAAATCATCACCGACGGTGTGATCGTCTGGAATGCCGCCAGTAGCAGGGCCAAGGACGAGTGTATCGCCTGCGGTAGCGAGCCCAGAATGTGCAGCAGTGTCGAGTAAGAAGCCATGATGATAGGTGGCAAAGGTGGGATATCAGGTTGTGTTGCCGCTTGGTCCTCCCCATGCTGTGCGCCATCAGAGGGCAGGTAATCTGTGAAGATCTGGTAGACGCAGAGCACGACGTAGGCAAATAGAAGTGACGACTCGACGGGGCTGCCTCGACCACTGCCGATGCCATATACGCATAGGAAGATGGCGGTCGTCATGGCTACTCCAATGAGGATGGCATCGAAGTTGTTGATTTCAGGAAATTGCGCCACCCTCCAGAGGAAGTAGACAGAGCTCGCAATCACGGAGCCCGAGAAAGCCAGTAAGATGATCTGCCATGTTAGCGATGGAGGGATAGAAAATAATCAGAGGTCCACTTACAAGCCACGAGTCGCTGCGTCCACTATTCACGAGCCACCTGGTGAGCTGCCCAAGTGATTGAATGACCAAGAGCGTGCAAAATCCTTCAAGGAGCTGGAACACGGGCCCTGAATAGCGTAAAGTGTTCTCCCAGCTGCCGAGCATGAGTGTCTCGACCACGCCATCCTTTCCAAACACCCACTCCGTCCAACTTGTACTTTTGGACTGGAGAAGCCCGCCCAAGGTCCTCTCAACCCAGTTTGTACTACCCGCATCGACTGCAAACTGTCCCAGCGACCAAATCAGCAGCGCAGGGATGATGATCCATTGCGAAAGGCGTAGAACTGTCGATACCGTCCAGCGGATACGGGAGCCTTCGGGAGTCAGGAACTTGACTATCGAGTAGAAAAGATAGTATAGGAACAGCGATAAGCTGTACGCCAAGCCGCTGTCACGTCCGCCCACATCGAAAGCCACGGGTATCGATAGAACGATGCTGAACAGAAAGGCGGTGCCCAGGATGACGCTGAAGAACCACCACATCGGGACGGCAGACTCGGGTAGCTAACAAACCACCGTACCAAGCTTGCGTGTGTGGAAGCGAATCGATCGACTTGACAATGAGCTCGCAGAAGAGCGCGGTGCCGTATTCGTCAGAGCTGGCAGTATGCGGGCTTCGGTTGCGTGCACGCACGCGAGATCGCGTGACTGGCCTAAGAGCTAGGGATGCTCATGGGCGATGCGCAGGATCGACGACCGTTCGCGAATAACCAGAGGAACACGTCGCCCTAACGTCACCTTGCGATCGTGCTTGGCTTTGTTTGCTTCGAAGAGGGGTGGTGTTCGGGATGAAGACAACCAGAGTCAAAGAGGAAGGCGGTGTTGCCCAAGGGAGCGCGGGTCTGTTTATCGACGGAGCTTATCTTCACGTGCGGCGTCGAGAAATTGGCTTGTGATCGAGGCGGTCACGGCCGATTTTAGAGATTCAGGGTCCAGCTCAACCTGCATCGATTTACGGCGATATGCAACCGAGCACACGAAATCAAACAGAGCGTTAGGGTTTCTTCCCGTTTTTTACCTATTCTATCGCGCCTTGGCTTAGGGGTCAAGGTGCGTTGCATGTGTGTGCGTGCATGCGTGGGAGTGCCAGCTGTCCGACTCCATTCTGTGTGGTCCTGATTGACGCCCGACAATTCCTAGTTTCTTCACCGTGTTTCTGAGCAGACCTTGGCGGTTCTCCACAACCTCCGCACGAAAAGTGAATGTAGTCAATGTGCTCGTCTCTACAGTGCTCAATTTCGCTGTCATGAACATGCATCTACGTAGTATTCCTCTCCTGTCGATGGCTACTTATGCACTAGAACATTGAAACCCCGGTCCTCTCTCAGCATTGCGTCATGATCACCAAAATGAAGCTCGTCTTCATGTGATACCGCACAGCCTTCCAGATGGCCGTGTTCCCACCAATGCTAGTCTAGGCACTCCTGAGAACGGACATAGAAGTTGGAATTGATACGGAAGCCAGAAAGGCAACCGTCGATATGTACCTTACTTCTATGTCCTGATGGAGGAGCCGACGGACTTAAACGCCAAGTTGTACAAAGCCCAAAACCACCAGGGCAGGTATGGCCTGGACAAACAGGATCTTCCTGCTCGCTGTAGCTGCCCCATATGTCCCAGCGACCAGAACACAGCCAAGGAAAAAGTGCTGGAGCTGCTTTGAGAATTCAGGGATTGGGTGGATGATGCTCCAGCTTAGACCAGCAGCAAGAAAGCCGTTGTATAATCCCTGGTTGGCACCGAGGGTTTTCGTCTTTTCTGCGAATTCGGCGCTCAGCCCAAAAGCCTTGCGCCCTCGTGGTTTCGTCCAGAGGGCCATCTCGAGAATCGTAATGTAAACATGAATCAGGGCCACAACACCCGTGCCGATGCTGGAGAGGGGCGCCATTGTAGCGGGTTGGATGGGTTTCTTCGAGGAAGGTCGCCTCAGGAGGGTAAGTGCGGGTTTCACTCTGACACGGGCGATACGCCTTAATTATATAACCCCGGAGGATCGTGGAATGCGAGGATTCACATTCAATGCCTCCATGATCCAGCCCCCAAATTGGCGTGATCACGTGCTATCATTGTCTGTATGCTATCACAAAATGCTGCGACGGCTAGATTAAGCACTATCCATCATATTCGTACTCCGTAGTATAGGAAGAACAGATCTGTCAATTGTCGCAAAGGAAATCACTGGTGAGAGCCACATAGCCTAATATTAGCACATGGCGGCGTTGATACTCCACGGAACGAAAGACTCGGTACTCCGTACTCCGTACCTTAGGAACTCCATTAGCTTAAAGTACGGATACAACAGCAAACTAAGGTAACTACAGTATGTATCGGATACATACATATCAGTCTGAGGCTAAAAGCTCAACTGCTCAGCTATGTCAAGACTCAAAAGTTGCCACAGCGAGAAAAGGCGAATCTACGTATTCTCGAACGATGAACACCCCAACGATTGGTGCGAATCAGGCTGGAGAGCCACTATTAGCCGTCACCCCTCTCGTACGGCGCATGACACATTAAAGCCGCGACTAGCTCTCGATGCGGCAGTGGCTACATGATGACCCTTTTTGACATGCGGTTCCGCTAAACCCCTGGATCTCCATGAAAAACAGTCGCGCCACAATCGCTATCCACACCGACATCAGGTGAGCTCCATTCCCACGGGTACAACCTGGCCTCGTTCAGCAATGACGGCTAGCTTTTCTCTCGCTTCAACCTAGATCGTCTCGTCGTCGTCTTCATTCTCGTTCAAGATGCCGTCCTGGTCGTCCTCGTCTACCGTCACCAAGACGCCCAAGCAGCGCAAGTCGGCGTCTGCAGCGTCGTTGTCATCGAAGAAAGACACCCTCGCCGACAAGGCTGTCGCCGATGCGAATGACTTCTTCTGGACTTACACGGAGGAACCGCATCGCACCAGACGGCTGGCTATCATCAAAGCCCACCCAGAAGTACGTCAATCTCAGCGGTCTCTTGTCCTCTCGGCATAACCGCTAACACTCGCAGATCACCAAGCTTTGCGGACCAGAGCCACTGACCAAATGGGTTGTTCTCGGCGTCGTCACACTACAGGTCCTTCTTGCGATATTCCTTCATTCGACGCCATTTTTCTCGCTCAAATTCTGGGGCATTGCATACGTTGTCGGAGCGACGGCGAACCAAAATCTATTCCTTGCCATCCACGAAATCTCTCACAACCTCGCCTTTAAGAATCCTTTGGCCAACAGGCTGCTTGCCATTGGCGCGAACCTGCCCATTGGCATTCCTTACAGCGCTTCTTTCAGGGTACGTACGATGGAGTCAAGTCACAAATACGGACTAACGACAGACAGCCATATCACCTCACTCATCACAAGTCGCTCGGCGTCGATGGCGTGGACACTGATCTTCCGACCTCCTTCGAAGCATTCGTACTCGACTCCATCCTGGGCAAGGCCTTCTTCTGCACATTCCAGATCTTCTTTTACGCCATCCGCCCAATGACCGTCTACCGCGTCCCTCTTACAAAGATCCACTTGCTCAACATCGTTGTACAGCTCGCCTTTGACGCTGTTCTTCTACGCTTCTTTGGCGTCAAGAGTCTTCTGTACCTGCTATTGAGCTCGTTCCTGGCCGGAAGCCTCCATCCCTTGGCGGGTCATTTCATTGCCGAGCACTACGTATACGAGACTGTCACCCCCAAGGCGCGTGATCCGAACAACCGCGTCCCGGTGCCCGAGACGTTCTCTTACTATGGCCCTCTGAACTGGTTGACGTACAACGTCGGTCTGCACAACGAGCACCACGACTTTCCTGCTGTTCCGTGGACCAAGTTGCACGAAGTGAACCGCATTGCGGCAGATTTCTACGACGACCTGCCTCGCCATGAGAGTTGGGTCATGGCCATAGTGAGGTTCATTTTCGACAAGAACGTCGGCATGAGATGCCGCGTGAAGAGGGAGAGCGGAGGTCGTGTTGTAGGCGGCGGTAGCGGGTGGACAGAGAGCGAGGTGCAAAACTAGAGCCATCGTGGAGGCGGCAGCACTTGAGCAAAAGCAGACGAAGAATACACAATGAACGAATCATGCACTATTGCCTTGATTGAAGATGCGCAGACGCAAAAGAGCCCCGTAGGCTGCAAAGCACAGGCACTAGTACGGACGTACAAGCTACGTATTATCTTCAATCGCTGAGGTCAGAAAAATCATCCTCTCGCTATCGGCTCATCACATCCCTACATGGCTACATTCGCCCAATCTCAACAGGAGCCATCTCCTGTACATGTACTCTCCTAGCAAATTGTATCTTCACGCCGCTCAAACCATCGGTTTCGGGCTCCCTTTTCCACCTCAGAAGAAGAAGTAGGCAACCAGAAAAGACAAGAAACATAGCATTGCCACAATGGGCACCGAGACCCCATGGACCTGCTGCGGGACGGCTTGAGCCAACTGCCCTGTAGCCTTCTTCGCCTCCTCGGCACCCTTAGCCACACGTTGACGGACGACGCTATCAGTACGTGTAGCTTCCTTGACTGTCTCGACCGTAGATTGCGCTGTAGCCTGCACAGAAGCGGCGGCAGTGGCGGCGGCAGCTTGTGCCTTTTCCTTGATGTCCTCGGGTTGGGACTTGGGGGTATCAGTGTATGGCGGGGGTGCGGTTGAGGGAGAGTCAACTCCGGCACTAGGCGAGGCGAAGGTTCTCGAGGCTTCCGGGGTGTCGACGTTGTCCTGTCCAGTTAGCAACTTATCGGCCCAAAGTACAAAGCTGTACTCACCGCGCCGTTCGTCTGTTTACTAGGTGTTACGGCAATCGATGGAGCTGCTGCGGTGTTATCGGCCGCGGCTAGCCAGTTGACGCGAATCTTTCGTTCGGTAATCGAAGACTTTTCTGTAGTATCGAACTGCGTCCATTAGGTGCTGGAATGAGTCTTGGCAAGGGCTGACCTACAACTGAGGCGATGCTGGCGAACTCCTTGTCTCCAGTGATCGGCGCAGACTGAACAAGAAATTTGTCACGGCATTTGGCGTCTGCTGGAGGCTCCTGCTTCATAGCCTGGAGGAGAACTGCGAAGCTTAGTATACAGCAGGCAAACTGACACCCTCAGGTCACCTACCTGTAACATCAAACGACTGCCCGGGCTCAATGCGACCAGCATTTGGGCGGACACAGTATCTTTCACTAGTCAGCGATGGCTGTTATGGCTCAAGCAGAGGGATCGGTGCGTACTGCTTGGGGGCGGTCGTCTTGACCTATCAATACAGTGAGTCGGCATGTTCCGCGCGCATCGAGGGGTAAACAGGACGAACCTTGAAGGCGACGGGGGTCGCGTTGGGGTTGCGTAGGCTCAAGGTCTGCGAAACCTCAAAGGTGAATGGCCCTGCCAGCTGTCAGTAGATGCAGCGAGGCGCATTGTACTACATACGCTGGAAGCTCAGCTCGCTAGGCTCGATGTCGACCGACATGGCGTTCTATGGGCGATGCACGCGGGCAAGGGGTTTACTCTAGGGAGGGGTACGGCTCCTGGGTGGTTGAGAAAATGGAAATTGGCGTCGCTGTGGTTTTTCCGCAAGGTGTGAAAGGTGCGTCGATCGGTTGGACGCAAGGTGGGCGTACAGTTGGTGAACTTCGTAGGCGTGGGTTGCGATGATCTCGGGACGGTGATGTGACTTTTGGAGGGTCTGTTTACGACGTCAGTGCCAGCCAGCTGGCCCAGCTGTGGCCACAATTACCTGACAATCAAGAAGCGTAGATCCGAGGCAGCGTGCGTTGTAATCCTCCGAAGAAATCCCGGGGTTCTGTATACTTACAGAATCATTACTTGCAGAACGAATAACCTTCTCACCTGATAATTATATGCATTGGAAGTAGCCTGTTCCTGAGTCGGAGGAATTCTCTGGTTCTATCGATCTTATTTGATTTGGTCATTCGTGATTCTAGTTCCAGGTGATTCTAGCCTAGGGGTTTCGGAGGATCACCAGCCTACCCTATAATGCCAACGGACACGTCGTTAACTCTACCTTACCTTGGTAGCTATTTGCCGAAGGCGATGGTCAATATTGTGCGTCAGTGTGGGCAATCTGATTCAATAAGCGTCATTCAGAACCTCGACGAAAAACGCATGTCTAATCAGAGAAGTATACGTGAATGTAGAGTCGGTGCGTCTTTCGCAATGACGGGCGATGGCATTAGAGCCATAAAATTGTAGATCCAACGCAGTAACAATTTCATCGCCTTGATTTTATTCCAATTATTCATGATAATGTTGGCAGCTGAAATTTCTCGTCTAGTGAGACGTCATTTGATTAAACATGCCCGCTTCTGATGTCTCCTGTTACTCAATGCGTGGATCTGCGAGTGTAAGTAATCTTTACGAGCCTTCACAAACTCCAATCCCACAAACTCCACTTCAACATCAGCCAACACCGCCCTGACGTCAACCACTAAGCATCTCTAACGATTCATCATGGCAACCGATTTGGAGCAGCTGTTGGATATGGGCTTTGAAGAAGCCCGGGCTAAGCTGGCTGTCAAGAAATCCGGCGGCCGTAAGGTCTTACCTTTCCTAAGTCGCGTGCATTTGCTCATCGTGAATAGTCCAAGGAGCTCTCGAATGGCTGGAAACCAACCAGGATAAGACTCTTGAGCAAATCCAGGAGAGTTCTGGTGGCCAGGACGATGAAGATGAAGACGCCACCAAGGCTAAGATCGCCGAGCTGGAGGCCGGTACAGAAGCCAAGTCAATGGTCTGCAATGAGTGCGGCAAGAAGTTTCGTTCCATGCAAGCTGCCGAGTTTCACGCATCCAAGACGTGAGTCGTCCGCGATGGATACAGGCGGTCAAGGTGCTGATTTACCATAGCGAGCACACTGACTTTTCGGAATCCGCCGAGGAGATCGCCCCGTTGACAGAAGAAGAGAAGGCAGCAAGGCTAGCAGAACTTCGAGAAAAGGTCAAATCCAAGAAGGCCGCCAGCGCCATCCAAGACAAGGAAGAGGCGAGGCGCAACGAGGTAAGTCATCTGCTACTTGCCGAGAGCATGAACTGAGCAGATCAAGCAAATACGCCAAAAGTCGACCAAGGAAACTCAAGAAGCCAAGGAGGAGCTTCAGCGCAAAGAGCAAATTAAAGAGGCTGCTCGGAAGCGTCAAGAGAAACTTGACGACCTCGAGGCCAAGAGGAGAATCAAGGCCAAGATTGAAGCTGACAAGGCAGAGAGGAAGCGGAAGGCCGACGAGGCCAAGGCAGCGCGGGAAGGCAAGGCGGCACCAGTGGCCGAGTCAAAGCCCAGCGCGGCTCCGGCAGCTCCCAAGGCCAAAGTTGATCACGATCAAGCCAGACTGAGGCTACAGACTGCGTCTGGAAACATCATGAAGACACTTCCTGCCGAAACAACGCTGTTTGAATTGGCGGAGCAGCTCAAGACCGAGACAGGGACTACTGTCACGAGCTTCTCTACTACATTTCCCAAAAAGACTTTCGAGGGAGACGTCGACATGTCCAAGACACTGAAAGAGGCAGGCTTCGTGCCTTCATCCGTACTCATTGTGAAATAGGCTGGTTCAGAGGTTAGAGGGGTACGCACAGCCTGGTGTTGGAGTGCTGGGACAGCTAGCGAAATATCAAAGAAATAACCATCGAGTCACGCATCACCGTCACACTTGAGGAGAAACACACGATAACCAGTCGTAACTTTTCAAAGTCCTTGAATTTGACCCCGTCCCCGGGTAAACTCCGTCGTGAAGGCCCTCGTCGCATCATTGCACAGTGGTAAATCGCAGTTGTGAACACCGCCCTCTTCCCATGCTGTCTTGATCGATTAAAAGTCAAAACACCGCGCGTGCGGGCACCTTCAAAGCCATGCCGTGGAATACAAAGGAAAACGATGTTTTTGCGGGAGGATAAAAGCCGTCGCGGGTGGGAAAGTGTCGTCGAGAAGGATGTTTCGTTTATTTGGTGAAACTGTTTAGTCGAAGAGACCGAAGCCCATGTCGTCGTCCGACTCGTCCTTCTCCTCCTCCTTCTTCTCCTCGGCGGCGGGCTCGGCCTCAGCAGCGCCACCAGCGGCAGCGCCACCGGCAGAGGGGCCAGCAGCGGCACCTCCGGAGCCGACGTTGGTCAGGAGCTCCTTGATGTCCTTGCCCTCGAGAGCCTGTGTCCCTCGTGTCAGTAAATCGTTGCATTGAATGTCGCAGTGTCGGCATGTCGTACCTTGGCGAAGATGGAGGTCCAGATGGGCTCGACATCCTCGATCTTGGCAGCCTTGATCAGGGTCTGGAGCTTGTCGGCCTGTGAGATATTGCGGTCAGTTCAGTCCACCAACGGTGATCAACTTCGGCAATCTTCTTGCGCGATGCGCGCGGCGGGGCATCATTGATTCCGAGTCGATAGGAAGACTCACGGTGACCTCGATGCCATCGTCGGCGAGAATAAGCGCCGCGTAGGACGAAGCGAGCTCGGGAGAGGTAGACATTGTGAATTTGATGTCTCGTTGTCTGTGACGTTGAGGATGGTGATTTGGCGATAGTCGGAGGTTGAATGCGAAGTACACACCACAGAGTAGACTGACCACAAAATTCCTGGTCCGCGAAATTGTGACGCTGCAGGGCTTCGAGACCTAAAGTGGTAGAGCAGGCAAGATTTTCCGGTGCCGGCCTGGTCCAATCATGTGATTGGCTGTCGTGAATGCCCAATCAAAGCTGAGTCAACGCCAAGGCGAAACCCCGCTGCTGTCCTCATGGCCGGTACGTACCTGCCGCCGACAACTGAATGCAGGAACCCCACCTCCGGTCAGTCGAACAGCCCCACCATGAAATCAGAGGTATCAGCAGTTGCTCCCGGTCTCGAGCATTGACGTATCCCGCATACCCGACCTTCCTTGTCGTTGAGCAACAAGGAGACAACTCATGCCATCGACGAAGCCTCGATCTTTGGGCCCGAAAAAGATCACGTGAAACCTTGTCCAACACACCACGATTGTGGGAGGTACCGACTTGTCAGCGAATACTGTGTCAGCCAGGCCGGCGTTCGGAAGCGCTGGAAGAGCGACCTTCGGCATTAGTAAAACCTCCTTGCGGGCGACATTACAGATCGGATTACAGATCACTTAAGAACTCTGTACACCCTCGAGCTTCTCAAAATCAGATTCCGCTGAGATATTCCTGCAATTATCTCCCGAAGAATGGATACACCGGCTGTCCCGCTGCCTCGAGATGCCCGAGAGCAAGTCATCCTCGATCGTTTGACCGTCATTCGCGACAGCCTCCTTCTTCTCAAGCGCGATCGCACAACATATATCCGGAGTCAAGATGTTATCCCTCTCTATGACGACACGATCCAGCAAGTCAAGGATCTGAACACAGCACGAGCGGAATCTGGCAACAAGGAGGAGAACCGAGGTGCGCGGGACCACGGCTTGACCAGATACTGGGCTAACAGACCGTAGTGGACAAAGTCTTGGAAAGCTGTTTTCAATTGCTATCGCTCTTCTACTTGACCATTGGGCGCAACAACGAAGCCCCTGCCGCTTATGCCCTGACATCGACTATCAAGCGTTTACTTGACCATCTGACCGAGGTCGAGCTATACTCGGCCAAGGACCTAGATAGCATCAACACTACGCTGTCCCGACTGTCAAAGAGCATCCGAAAAGCAGAAGAGAGTGGCGCATCCGATCCGCAATATTCGCCGTATCTGCTGGAGCTGGTGAAGAATCGAGTCGCAAGATGCCAGGAGATGACGGATCACCTTTCCGAAAGACTTGGGCGTTTCAGCGAATGTCTTTTGGACAAGTACGAGAAGCTTATTTCCATTCTGCGATCCATCTCATTAGCCAACACAAAAACACATGTAAGCAGTTCAGTTACGAGAGGTTATCAGTGGCCCGCTGACCTATACAGTTCTCCACGTCTGAAATGGAGAAGCTACGAGCTCAGCTCCTCCAAGTTGGTGAAATGCGCAACGGTGGAAAGTTCTGCAGCCCCGACGGCACCGCACCCAGCGGCGCTGACGAGGTACTTGACTTGTACGAGCGGTGTGTGAAGTGGTCGGATATGGTTCTGGAAAGAAAAGGCCAGGTTGCCGACCAATGGAAGCCCATATACACGACTCTCGTCGGCATCCGGAACGAACTGGAGAAATTGTCGCTGACGCAGGCCTGGTCCCTCCGTGAGACGGATCTCTACGATTTCCAGCGACAACTAGATAAACTGGACGAAAGCCGGCAAGGTGGCAATTTCTACGACGAAAAGGGACGTCCCGCCGACCTTTGGACCCAACGCACTCTACTCTATCTGATCAGGCGAAGCTACGCATACATTTACCAGCTCATGATATCTTCGGAGCCAGTATCAGAAGCCCTGCTTCCCGTGTACAACCAATTGCAGACATTGAAGCGGTGCCTCCGTCAGGTCAAGGACACAGGCGGCGTGTCTTCGGTGCGGGAGCTGTACCCATACAGCATGAAGGTAAATACAAAATTCTCCAAGAATATTCCAGTGCCCTGACATCAGCAGCTGAATTCACTCGACAATATGCGCCAAGATGGGAAATTTGTTGTTAACAACGACATTCCCGAGGGACAAGGCAGTGTCAGCGAGCTTCTTGCAGAATGCTTCGAGCTCACCTATGAATTAAGGGTAGCAGCGGAAGAGAACAGCGAGAAAGAGGTCAAGACTACAAAAGCTGAAGCCTAAGGCGGAGCTTCCAGCGACCTTTGATACTTTAGAGTTTTTATTGTTTTGAAAGCGGCGCGACTCGTTTCAGATCTATATGTTTTGCGGACTCTGGTATTGATCTTGCTATCATTGTATGTTTACTGTGTCCGACATGACGGTGGCAGCCCTTGATGGCTGGGAAGGACGATAATACTACGTAGCAGTTTGCTCTCAACTGGGCTTTGACGGCTCGGCATAACCCCCGACACCTTTCTTGAAGGGAATGATCTGAGTCTGTCACAGTACGATGAGCATGTGTCCACCTTGTAATGACTATGCTCACCTTCTCTAGGTCCCAAACGTCGTTCTTGGCGTAATGGTCGCTTCGCAACATATTCCAGACCTCTTTTCTGGTCTGGTTCTGAAAGATGAAGGCGCTTCCTTCAAAGTCAAGGTCAGACACATCGTCACTCTTTGGAATATCGCGGAGAATCGCGCCTATGCTGTCAGTTGGATAGCGAAACTGGGAGGGACTGCAGACCGCCAACAGCAATCTGGCCTGTTTGAACCCTTGACGCGAGGCCATCGAAATGAGCGCTGGGATAGGCGATCAACTTCAGTTCGTGCAGGCGAAGAGGTCACCTACGGACGGCATTCCAGCCTTCTCTCCCTGGCTCCCGGCTTGTCTGGAGCGATGACCAGAAAATCGTACCTGGCAGATGATGTCGAAGTATTCATCGAACGACACTGGAGCGCGGAGGTAGAACGCGGAGCAGCGACAATGCCGCGAGCGAAAATGCGAGACGCCATCGTGCAAGTTGCACGTACAATATTAGGGGGCGAGGGTCGGAGTTCAACAAATCAAGTCGGATTCAAGGGCTCGTTACTGTAATGTGTGATTGATTACTCCGTACCAGACCTCCAACACTGCTGCGGTCCGTTGAACCAAGGACTGGAACAACTACCCTACACCTTGAACCGAATGCGGGCTCGTCAGTTTGCGATGAACATCGAGCCGCCGCAAGAGCCCCCGGGGCCACTCATTTGGCGGGGTTCAATGCATGCAGACATTGCTTCTTCCGGATGCCACTGACTTATTACGTGTGCGTGATGATCGTAGGTATGATATTGCGATGCTGAAGCAATAGCTCTATCCCGGAGATTTTTATGAAGAATTCAGGCCGCCTGATTTTTCTGAGATCCGCTCTAATAAAATCGATGAGTTCCACGTCCTGAAGACCTCGAACTGCCCCTTGAAGTAGGACATCTGAGTCTGAATATGGAGTTCTTACGTACAAGCACGTTCATTGCTTTTGCAAAATATAGTGAGGCTGCTTCGCAGCTAAGATGCAGAGTGGTTTCAGCTTGTGTGGACCCTCGCAAGCATGAGCGTCACTCGGTCACATGATATGTCTCACATTAGAGTTCAAGCTAGCACGGCGATAGCAAAGCAAAGAGGAGACACCGTCTTCATCATGACTTCCACCATGAAACCCCATAAGTACTCTCGTCCTGGGCGTCATCGGGTGCATCGTCCCGCCGTCCTCCCCATCTCCACAGTATTACCCCAGACTGTCGACTGCGAGTGACCACACATTGTAGCTGAGGGTCTCGAGACGCAGGTTGGGACCTGGCTCAGGTCGCTGATTCGCAGCTTCTGCGAGTCGCACTCCCTACCCTGCTGCTGGCGGTCCGGATTGGGCGCGGCCGCTCTTTGCATCCCTCCCCAAGACGCAGTCCCCCCTCGACGCTGCGATGACTGACGAGGAGTCCCCGGCTGCAGCCAAGCGCCGCATGCGCCGCATCCCGGATGACCAGAGGAAGAGAAACGCCCAGAGTTGCGATCGTTGTCGCAAGGTTTGACTTCTCGCCATGCGCTGGAGCTTGTGTCGCGTGGCTAACGCAGATCTAGAGGAGATGTAAATGCGTCCCTGCGCCCGACGGCAACGGCTGCTTGAGCTGCCAAGAGCATGCAGTCCCCTGCACTTTTACTGCGCCTAGGCGCAAGCGATTCTACGGCAGTGTCGATGAGCTCAGCGACAGGTACCGCTGCTTGGAAGCCATCGTCAAGGGAGCCTTTCCCAACGACAACACTGGCACGGCGGCAGAGCTTCATCAGCTAGGGCAGAAGCTTGGTATCAAGATGCCTGACATTGCTGACGCAGCGCGACCGAAGATCAAAATCGAGGAGCTAGTCAGGCAGCCTGGAGCAGGCTCGACGTACTCCAATGCTGGTGGCACCCCGGGGACATACTCTGTTGCCTCGGCAGCACCCTCGGCAGCTTCTGTCACCAGCGAGACACCCAACCCCCTCAACAGATCGAGCAGTGAAGAGCCTAACATCTTCTTGATGCATGATCTCGGCGGAAACGAGCACTACGTTGGACCGTCCGGTACACTGAACTTCTTGAGCCGCATACGGATGCTGGTCAATGAGGAGCCAAGTCAACAGACCAGAGTCCCAGTCATGTCCGCCGAAGGTTCGCAAGCAGGACGCCCCGGATCCAGCTACGCTCGCCAGCCTGCGAACATGATTCCGGGTGTCAACAGAACTAACGACGACGATGACCAAAATGGTGGCGGGAGCGTGGGCAAAGGCAGCCCCCGGATTTCCGTTGACAACCTGCCTCTGGACGGACCGTCGCCGGGCTCCATCACAGCAATCGCAAGGGACTTTACTCGCCTGCCGCCCACCGAAATGGAGGAGATCCTGAAGCAGTTCCCACCGGATGACAAGCTCGAGGCTCTCATTGCATCGTATTTCAGGGTCGTGCACAATGACTTTCCTCTCTTCCACCGCGCTACATTCCAAGACGAGTTTGAGATTTTCGTGATTCAAGCTCGGCGCGACGCGCAGACAGTCACAGGAAAGACACGTCACGGGCCCCTCCCTGATTGGGGGTGGATTGGTTGTCTTCATATGATGATCGTCTTTGGCTCAATATCGGATCCGGGTATCCCCGACATTGACCACACGACTCTTCGCCGGCGCTCCGTCACAGTTGCCCGAGCGCTGTTGCCGCAATTCATTTCCAGGTGCACGTTGACAAACGTGCGCGTCCTGTTACTTCTATCACTGTTCTTGCACAACTATAATGAGAGGAATGCTGCTTGGAACCTGGTCGGCGCAGCAACCCGGATAGCCTTTGCGCTGGGACTGCACCGGTCTGACATGAATTCCTCTTTCCGGCCCTTGGAGCGGGAAATTCGAAAATGGGTCTTTGGTACACTCTACACGTTCGAGCAGTTCCTCGCTTCCAGTCTTGGTCGCCCGGGTGGTCTGCAGGAGCTCGATGTAGAGATTGTGCCTCCACGCGAGGGCTTCCTGGAGGGCAGTGGAGGCACGGACGCCAGGCTAGCGGCCCTCTCCCTCAAACTCCAGGCGATCCTCGCAAAGACCAGGTTAGTCGACGCCAATAGGCGCAAGGCTGAGCTTGCGACACCATACGTCCCCTCATCGAGTGTTGACCAGGTGCTCGGATCCTTGGATGAATGGATGTCCAAGGTCAGCCAGCTCAGCGAGTTCCGACTGCCTTGGATCAAGTCGAATACTCTGGATTATCCGGATTCGGCAGACTCGGTGGACATTGAGCAACTGGCGACCTCGCTGCAGGTGAAGGCCAAACCTCACCTGCGAGCCGTTCTCTTGTTACATATCCAGTTTCATTTCGTCGTTCTTGCTGCGACTCGAGCCTTGTTGTTACGGGATATCACGCTTCTCCGAAAGGGAAAGCCAGTTCCCAATGCTCAGGCAGATGGCCTCTCGAAATACTCGGATCGAGCAGTACGGAGTGCGTGCCAACTCGTCTACATTGTCATTTTACTCGATGCCTTTGATATCCTCAACGGACTGTCTGGCTTGGATGTGTACTACGCGTACCACGCGTCCATGATCATCATCCTTCGTCTGCTCCGCAGTGTCAGTGACTCGACGCCTGTGGGCAGCCCGCAGACTGATGCCCAAGTGGCCGAGCAGCACATTTGCTTCTCGCTCCGAGCGATCATCGACCGAATCCAGGCGGTTATGGACCGCACTCCAAAAGCTGGCGCCATGAAGCGGTTTGCCAAGGTCGTGCAGGCGTTCACGGCACGGCTCTCGTGTTCGACACCTGCATCGCTCTTGGGCGGCGGTACGACAGAACTCATTGGGGAGCCGATCGTTCCGCTGCAGCAGCACGCGCAGCACCACCAGCAGCAGCCACCACCTCAGTACCAACAGCAAATGGGCGGCATTCCTCAACCGCAGTACGCCTATGGCAACATTGGAGGTGGGATCGAAAATATGATGCCAGAGCAGGCACAATTTGGGCAGATGCCACCATACGAAGATACGAACATGGACGGAGGTTTCTTGGGACTGTTTCCATCGTCTACTTTTGGAGCAACGGACACCGATCAAGGCCCCGTGACTCAGATACCCCCGAATAGCATGGCGCCACAAAGCTGGCTGGATATGGAATTGCTGCTTGGCGGATATGGCGTACAGAGTTAACCCATGGCGGGCTTGGAAAGCACCGTCTCATCGAGAATGAATTTCAGCGCTGTGGGAGATCATGGGGCTGGCAAGGAAATGGGCGCGACCATTGATCGGCTCAAGCATTGGGACAAAATGACTGCATATACGGGGGAGGACACATGTATACAAGCACACGCATATTGAGATGACGAGCACCAGGCACATTTTGCACACGATATCTGAGCAATGTATCAGATTTTTGAGGCTGGTGCTCTGGTATTGACTTTAGTCTACCGCTCGTGGATCTGCAGCCTCGTTTATGAACATCAAACCGCCCTCGGAGGCCCCGAACTCGAAGCCATTTATGGTCATCAGAGCTTGTTAGTGTTTGTAGTGACTTATAGACGATAGTGCTAACAGCCGCTGTCGGCGGGGTCAAGGTGGGATGTGATGGTGGGGTCAAATTGTTGACTCAAACCTGGCCCTGACTTTGGCATTGCAAAGGCACGAGACGTTCTTTTGAGATCTTCACCCCCTCTCCTTCTTCCTTCTTTTCACACGCTGTAGTTGTGCTCTGGAACCAGAGTCGGTCCTTCATTCGCCATGGCTACTCTCACTGCCGAGGCGCGCCTCGCCCTGATCCGCGAGAACCTCGCCGAGCTGCTCAACCCCGAAATCATCGAGAAGATCCTCACGGAGGGCGGCAATCCCAAAATCTACTGGGGTATGTCTCTTTGCAATACTGTACAGAGGATCAAGGACAAAGGCTGACTGTATACTAGGCACCGCGACAACGGGTCGGCCACATGCTGGATACATGGTCCCCGCCATCAAGATTGCCCAACTTCTCGCCGCTGGGTGCGAGGTCACGGTCCTCCTCGCCGACATTCACGGTTTCCTCGACAACCTCAAAGCTCCCATTGAGCTCGTCGAGTCGCGCGCGCAATTCTACCGGTTCTGCATCACAGCCCTGCTCAAGGCCATGGGCGTGTCGGTGGACAAGCTCAGGTTCGTGCTGGGGTCGAGCTACCAGAAGAGCCCGGAGTACGTCATGGACCTGTACAAGATCAGCTCGTTGATCAGCGAGAACGACGCCAAGAGGGCCGGTGCCGAAATTGTCAAGCAGAGCGACAACGCGCCGCTGTCGGGACTGCTGTACCCGGCGCTGCAGGTGCTGGACGAGCAGTACCTCGACGTGGACGCGCAGTTTGGCGGCATGGACCAGAGGAAGCTGTTTGTCGCCGCGACCGAGTGGCTGCCCAAGCTCGGCTACAAGCAGCGCGCGCATCTGATCAACCCCATGGTGCCCGGTTTGCAGGGCAGCAAGATGAGCTCCAGCGACGAGAACAGTAAGATTGACCTTCTCGACTCGGCCGAGATTGTCACCAAGAAGGTCAAGAAGGCGGTGGCGGCGCCCAAGGAGGTCGAGGGCAACGGCGTGCTGGCACTGATCGAGTATGTCATCCTGCCGGCGGCCGAGCTGCGGGGCGGCAAGAGGCAGGTGGTGATCGACCGGTCGCGAGATGGGTTGGAGCCCTTGACGTACACCAACATTAAGGATATTCAGGATGACTACGCCAAGGATATTGTAGGTGACACCCTATGCGGTGTAGCATGGACAAGTGTGGGCTAACAGGAAGCAGTTGACCCCCCAGCTCATCAAGCCCGTTGTCACCAACGGCCTCATTGAGATTATGACGTCCATCCAGGCGGACTACCAAGCTTCCAAGGAGTGGCAGGAGATCACGCTCAAGGCCTACCCGCCTCCCGTGGCGCCGCCCAAGAAGGAGAAGAAGAAGAAGGACAGGGGATCGATGCACCCTCGCAAGCAGCCCGAGGCGGCTGCCGATGCGCCTGAGGAATCACGGAAAGATGGCGAGACAGAGATACCTGTGCGATGACGCGAAGATGAAATGTAGATAGGCGGAACAAATAAAGCATATTCAAATAGTCCAGGCTTGTGAGGAGATGTTGCTTCAGGTTGGTGGTGCAGCCTGGCTGGCCGGAGCATTTGCTACTGCCGAGGACTCCTAGGCCAGTCGCGAATGTGACGGAACGAAGCAGCGACAACCCAGACTGTGGACCAGAACCTCCGCGCCTCAAGTCGCCTCACAACTCACAGCAAGCCAGCCATGCAGGCGATCAACGGGGTGGCGCGTGTGGCCGTTGGACAATTCTGTAAGGCAAGGCAAGGCAAGGTGCCATGATATTATGGATATCACGCTTGTTATGACGTACGTGCCCCTTGTCGCTGGTATAAGTTGATGCGCAACCCCAACGGCGCGCGCGAGGAGAATGTCGTGAAGCAAAGACCTCGACTCACCCTCTTCGGATAGCCCAATACCTTTCTCTCTTGGACGAATCCCAGGCTCCATCTGCAGGACAAGCAAGCCACGTTGTTATTAGGTTGCACAAGCCCGCGCGCGCACTATGGGCCGCCGATCACCCTGCGACAAAGTCTACATCATCATGTGTACGTCGCCCGACGGACCCCTGACCACCAGCGTTCTCTCCGTCTTCGCCGCGCTCCAGGACGCGAATGAGGAGTGTCTCCGTCAAGCCCGCGCCGCCGGCGTCGAGTTGACGAGGGAGTCGAGCACGTCGGGGCCGGAGACGGACACAATTGGCCCCGTGGAGCCGGTGAGATGGGATACGCTGGACGGGGTGAGCTGCTGGGTGGAGGCGTTTGATGTGATACCGCAGCGCATACAGCCATCCGTGCTACAATAGACATTTTTGTTCTTATGACGTAACGACAGAGCAATACGGAGACGGCCCGCGTGGGGAGGATGCTAGCCAGGGTCATGGTTTACAGAGGCTGGGTATCTCACCCCATAGTAGCGAGAATCCGCTACACAAAAGAAGAAAGAAACTGTCTATTTGGTCTACACATCTATTCTATCATGTAACACCCCAGCGCGCGCGAGATCTATAGCTTCGCCTTGGGGGTCTTCATCATCGTCTCGGCGACGATCCTCCTCTGGATCTTGCCCGTGGCTGTTTTGGGCATGACCTCTGTAAAATACACATTCTTCGGGATCTTGAACTTGGCCACCTTTTCAGCCACCCATCCCTTGAGTGTCGCGGCATCCAGCTGCTTGCCAGACTTGAGCACCACGGCCACGCCAATGTCCTGGCCGTAGACCTCGTCCGGGATGGCAAAGGAGACGGCCTCCGCGACCTGGGGATGGCGTGTGAGGACATTGTCCAGCTCAATCGGGGAGATCTTCTCGCCTCCCTTGTTGATGAGCTCCTTGATGCGGCCGGTGATAATGACGTAGCCGTCTTCGTCCAGCTTGCCCTGATCACCCGTCCGGAAGAAGCCTTCCGTCGTGTATGAGGACGCATTCGCGCTCGGGCTGTTCAGATAGCCCTTTGTAACGTTTTCACCCCTCACACAGATCTCGCCCTCCTTGCCTTGCGCGAGCTCTTCACCTTGTCCATCGAGGATCTTCACCTCGACGCCCTGGCCAATGCCCACAGAGCCGGGCTTGCGCTTGGCAGGAGGGAGCGGGTTGGACGTCATCTGGTGAGCTGCCTCGGTCATGGCATACGCCTCCAGCACGGGTGCATTGTACGTCTTCTCGAGCTGGTGGAATACCGTGGGCGACAACGGGCTGGAGCAAGAGCGAATGAAACGGATCTGGGGCCTGGGCTCCGGCGGTGGGTTGCGAAGCAGGATCTGGTGGATGGTGGGCACCGCCGTGTACCAGTTAGCCTTGTGTGTGGTAAAGTCCCTCCAGAAGTCGGTTGCCGAGAACTTGGCCGGCACAACCATGGAGCCGCCAGTGTGCAGAGGCGCCAGCAGCGCAGCGAGTAGGCCGTGGACGTGGAACAGGGGCATGACTAGCATGGTCCTATCCCTGGGCGTGAGCTGGTACGTGTCTCTGATGTTGCCCATTGTCCTGGTCAGGTTCCTATGCGTCAGGGGCACAACCTTGGGACGCGACGTGGTGCCGCTGGTGTGGAGGATGAGCGCAACGTCGTCCGGCTGTGCTCTCAGGACCCTTTCCCTTTTCCCCTCGAGCTTCCCCTTGTGCTTCACGTCGAGGACGACTTCCCCTCGCTTGCCATCCCAGTAGCATTCGGCGACGGCGGAACCGAATTTCTGGGCTGCCCTCACGCTGGCTGCCTGGGCGCTCCACGCGCCCTGCGGAACAAGCACGAGGTCGGACTGCACATCGTCAATGTAGAATTCGAACTCGTCTTGCTTGTAGGCTGGGTTGAGCGGCGCGGCGATACCACGCTGCCAGCTAGCGGCCAGGAACGCGACGATAAACTCCCACGAGTTGGGCAGGGCAATGGACACGGGTGATGCCGTCGTGATGCCCAGAGAGGCGAGCTGTTGCTGGAACCTGGACACTTGGCTGGCCAGGGACGAGTAGGTGACCGTCAAGGCGTGCGGACGGGAGGGGATGATGACAGCGGTCGCAGAAGGGTCGCCCTTGATGGCTGTCTGGAGTGTCGCCATGGCGGCTGCCAATGCGGATGCGCAATTTGAGTGTGTTGGGGGAGGTGATGTGATGTGAGGTGGTGATAAGGTCCATGAAATGAAGTCTGGCGCGTCACTTTAGCGGCCGTGTCCGATCCCGGAACCTGAGATTGAGCCTGAACCCCCCTGGAGTCCTAAAGTGGACAGTGGAGGGCCGCTGGCGCCGTGTCGAACGTGGGGCATCTGACAATTGAGACACTGACGATGATAAAGTTGCCGTAGTTTACGTAGCACCTACGGACCGTGCATTCGCGCTTGTCGATCGAGTCAAAATACTGTCGTAGATGACTTAAAAATGTGAAAGATGCTACTGAAGTGATATCGAGTTCTGCGCCGGTAAAATACAAGAGTCCAGCTGGAGCTCTGGACCTTACTTGACTTGGATGCCAGAGCAATGCTCAATGCAGCCTTTCAAGGAGACCACATTCATCAACAAGACTATTAAACCCAGAACTTCTCGCAAGTAACCAAAGAGGCAGTGCTTCGGGCCAAAGCACCCCGGTTCCAGCCTCGAGATCCGCCTGTTCGGGAGGCGGCTATGGAGGCCGCGTCTTCCTCCAGCTTCCCCTCCACATTCATCTCCAACCCCAACCCAACGTTACCCAACCCAATCCGAGAGTCCCACCACGCCCATCCCTCTGTCGCTCTGCACACGTGGCAGTCGAGACTCGAACTCCCCAGACTCCTCCCAGCGCTACCGACACCACCGACACCACCGCGTACGAAAGACGCCTCCAGTCAGCTTTGCATGCCGCAGTCCTAGCGAACATGGCCGACGTCGATGTCGCGCCCACCTTTGGCGCCGAACTCAAGGATGGCTTCAAGCCCGCCAATGCGTGGGCTGGTCACGGCATCGCCTGGCTCGAGGACATTCAGCAGTTCTACCGCGAGCGTTCCGCCATCGAGAAGGAGTACAGCGGGAAATTGTCCGCGCTGGCCAAAAAGTACTTTGACCGCAAGAACAAGAAGTCGAGCCAGCTCAGCGTGGGCGACACACCAGCCATGACCCCCGGCTCGCTGGAAAGCGCGAGTCTGACGACGTGGTCCACACAACTGAACACGCTCGAGTCACGGGCGGCTGAGCACGACAAATTTGGGAACAACCTCCTGTCGCAAGTAGCCGAGCCCCTCAAGTACTACGCCACACGCTTCGACGAGCTGCGGAAACGACACGCCGAGTACGCCGACAAGCTGGAGAAGGAGCGCGACCACTCCTACGCCGAGCTCCGCAAGACCAAGGCAAAGTACGACGCCGTGTGCCAGGAGGTCGAGGCTCGCCGTAAGAAGTCCGAGTCGCACTTTGACAAGGCCAAGGCGCAGAACGCCTACCAGCAGCAGGTCATCGAAATGAACAATGCCAAGAACTCGTACTTGATTGCCATCAACGTCACCAACCGGCTCAAGGAGAGATACTACCACGAATACGTGCCCGAGGTTATGGACAGCTTGCAGGACCTCAACGAGTTCCGTGTCGTGAAGCTCAATGGGATTTGGGGCGTGGCCACAGCCCTGGAGAGCGCGATGATGAAGTCGAGCCATGACATGATGGAACGTCTCGGCGCGGAGATCAAGCGCAACGCGCCGCATCTCGACTCCATGATGTACATGCGCCACAACATTGGTGGCTTCAGCGAACCCGCCGACAAGACATTCGAGCCCAGCCCCGTGTGGCACGACGAGCCGACCATGGTCGTGGACGAGATGGCCACCGTCTACCTGCGCAATCTGCTTTCGAAATCGAAATCGCAACTGGGCGAGCTGAAGCGCGACGTGGATAAGAAACGCAGAAACGTGGACGAGGTCAAGCGGTTGAAACAGCGCGTCCGCGACGGGACAGAGAAGAAGGATGAGGTCGAGGTCGTGCGCTCCTTGTTCGCTCTCCAAGAGGCGCTGCACGCCGTGGACCGCGATCGGCTGACAGCCGAGGTAGAGACGTTCACCATCACCAGCGCTGTGGGCGACGTCACGCTCGGCGCAAAGAACCACAACTTCAAGTCGCAGACCTTCAAGATCCCCACCAACTGCGACCTCTGCGGGGAGCGCATCTGGGGCCTCAGCGCCAAGGGGTTCGACTGCCGCGACTGCGGGTACACGTGCCACTCGAAATGCGAGATGAAAGTGCCCGCCGACTGTCCGGGCGAGCAGAGCAAGGACGAGAGGAAGAAACTCAAGGCGCAACGGCAGAGCGCGGCCAACACGATGCTCAAGCCGAGCGCCAGCACCGGGTCGACAACCAACGTCAGCGAGGGGCCCGAGCTGAGCCGGTCCAACACCATGAACTCGCTCAGCTCACGGGCTGCCTCCCACCACGGACAACTGAGTCCCACAGAAGAGGTGCCCCCGGAGCAGCCACGACCGAGCATGAGCAGCGCGACCAGCGGAGGCGCCAAGAGGAATCGCATCGTTGCGCCTCCCCCGGCCGCCTATGTCACCGACGGAGGCGGTCTTAACGGGAACGGCTCCAGCGAGAAGAAGGGCAAGATGCTGTATGGGTTCGATGCTAGCGGGGATGGCGAGCTGAGTGTCAGTGAAGGCAGCTCGGTGACCTTGGTGGACGAAGACGGTACGTTTCCTTTTTTCCCCCCTTGTGACTAACCCCCCTGTTGTTGACCGTGTCGGCTAACAACCTCCGCAGATGGCTCCGGCTGGGTCAAAGTCCGGTGCAACGGCAAAGAAGGGCTGGTGCCGGCCTCGTACGCCGACTTTACAACTGCACTACCGCCCACACCATCCATCACAACGACGCCGGCTCGACCAGCGAGCACATACTCTACATCCACGACGACCTCGTCCGTTGGTCCGGCCAAGAAGAAGCAAGGACCGGCCGTGGCACCCAGACGCGGCGCTAAGAAGCTACGCTATGTGGAGGCTTTGTACGAGTACACGGCCACCGGCGAGGGGGAGCACAGCATGGTCGAGGGCGAGAAGTTTGTCCTCATAAAGGAGGACCCCGGGGACGGATGGGTCGAGGTCGAAAAGGCCGGTGTGACGGCCAGCGTGCCGGCGAGCTATGTGCAGGTTGTCTGAGTCTACAACTTTCTCATGCATAGTGATGGGCATCGGAAGCGAAGCACGCGCGGTGGCATTCTGGGTTCATGGGACGGTGCATATCTGTAGGCATGACATGGTGTTAAAGCAAAAAGAGCGTGCGCGCGCCTGGCTGTGTTGGCTATCACAAACAAATCTCAAATCATCAATTCAAACTTTCATGCCCTGTGCAAGAGGACCATGTTGGGAGCGAATATGGCGACTCGAGCCGCCAGCAAGTTGAGATTATCATGGGCGTTTCTCACTTTCCCTGTCCGTTCTATAGTAATACAAATGTCGTTTGTTCATCATACACCCTGTCTGTCCGCTGTCCCGCAAATCAAAAGCCACGGTTCCCAGATCGCAATCCGTTGAAACACCAGTACACTCAGGGTCCTGCCCTACCCCGGAAACGCCATTGTAGAGTTGAGGTATATGCTCTCCTGCCGAAACCTGGAAAAGCTGAAGATAAAAAAACACAAAAACGCCGAGCTGATAGATCTATAAGGGGCGTGAGGTGTCCGTCGTCGTTATGGAGAGGCGATGTTGGCGGTAAGGAGATTCGTAAGGAAAAAGGAGAAGGGAGGCGGACTACTCGTCCACGATCTTATCCTCCACAGGATCGCAAAAGTGGAAATAGCGGGCGCGTCCTATAACATTTGCGCCGTCGGCGCGCTGAGACTGGTGCTCATGCCACTACGCAGAGCCTGCTGCAGCTCAGCGATCTGAGCCATGAGCGACAAGCTGTCCGAGTTGCGCTGCTCGAGCTCGCGATCTTTGTCCTCAAGGTCGCGGTCCCGTTGCTCCATCTTGGCCTCCAGTTCCGCGACGCGTTCGCACAGCCGCTTATTCTCGTGACGGAGCCCAGCCATCTCGTCGCCGGCGCTGATATCACTCGACCGTCTTTTTCGTTTCGATCCGGATCTCTCGCTCTCGTTGTCGACGTCGGCTGCGGGAGGCGTGGGTATCTCGGCTGGCGGTGTCGCCTGTCCCGTGCCGTCAGTATGCACGCGTCGCAGGTGCTCGTTGAGGTTCTCCTGTCGCGAGAAGCCCTTGCCAGTGTGCCTCTTGCAGTTCAGGTGAGGGCAGTTGAACGTCTGTCGCGGCCCGCCATGTTTGCCGTGCACCTCGCGCTCGTGACGCAGTAAACCACCCGAGTACGTGAAGCCGGGTAAGGCTTCGCAGCCGGCAGCCTTGCATCGGTACGGCCGTTCGTGCTTGTCCATGTGTTTGCTGTAATGCTTAGCGGTGCTCCAAGAGACTAGAACAAGGAGTTACTTACTTCCACTCGCACTTGCGGCTGAACGATCGAACATCATCCTCGCAGTCCTTTCTCGGGCAGTGGTATTTGCCATCATCACCCTTGCGCACATCGCGCGCGGGCTTGATCTTGTTGGCCACACGCCGTCCGCGTGGCTCTACACTAGAGTCCTCCTCAGCCTCTGGTGTCGGCTCCGCTGTGTCGACAACATCGTCTGGCGCGGGCGCGGTTGTTTGCAACGGCGATGAGAAGTCTGCGGGCAATTCGACTATGGTTGGCGAATGTCTCTCCTCTATGATGATATGCTCCTCTGCTACAGGCATCTGTTGGTCGCCCATCGCCAAATGCTCATCTCGCACCTGTATGTGGTCGTTCATCAGGTCAACCTCATCCCCCATGACGTCGCGCTCCTCCGAGAGCATGCCCGGTTCGGTTGTGTAGTGACTCAAGTGATCCATGTCATTGTCGGTGAAATGCTGGTCGTCGCGTCCGCCGTCGAGATCGCTATATGCCGAGTCGTTGAGAAAGGCGCGCGGCTCGTAGGCGACACTCATCGTGGGCGAGCGCGGCCCAGGCGCCACGGATGACGAGTTCGGATGCGAGGCTAGACGTGAAGATGGTTGCTGGTGTCGAGGGACCGGGGCAGCTGAGGGTGCCGAGTCGCACGAGGTGGTACAAAACCTGTGCGAGGCGATGGTTTGAAAAGTCTTTGAACGGCGAGGTGTGCTTTCGAGTAACTGTTCCGAAGATGTCGGTTCCCGCAAACGCGCGCAGGTGATAGCCTGGAAAATCACGGTCTGGAGGGTCGGGATGGAGGATGGGTGATGCCGGCGCCGAACAGATCAACTCGGTGCTTAGTCAGTTGGGGTCACGTGAGTGGGTGTCGGGTTGGCGTTCATCAGTGAGTCTCGAGTCGTGAGGTGACAACATTGATTAATTCCTGAGCCCATGTTTATAATCACATCAGCAACTTCCTGGGTGCTCTAGGCACCAAGCTGCCCGGTGACTCGAGCGCGAGGACAAGGCGCGTCGTGCGGCGAGCAGAGTCTCGCCTTCGTGACTCATCGCCCACGAAGCCGTGAGCATGATACGTCTAGCCTACCATGAAAGTGCGCATGTGCTCCCATGATATAAGTACGCAAGGCAGCATCGACGACGGCGGCTATACACCAGGCACGGACTCACGTGGTCTGTCACGACATGCAGGTCGTTACATTGAACGCGGCTGTGTCGGGAGATTCGATATCTCCAAGACGCTGTAGCAGAGTGAGACGAGGTTTGCGTGGGAGCATGTTATTTACCAAGCGCCCATGGCGAGATCATAAGATCCATGATCGATGCGCGCATATGGTATGTTTTGTGCAGTTTTCATTCTTTGTGCCCCAAGGGAATCTGGAGCTTTGTTTTAGTTCCTGCATAAGGCAGCTTTTAGGGTATAAAATCGTCCAAGGGTCTGGGCCCTCATTGTCGTGAAGTTGTGAACACCTCCATGCTGTCGCAGCTAGCCTAACGTTCCATGTAAGGTACAAATCAATGGGCACAATATGTGAATGATGGACTGCTCAAGGTTTGCAGGTCGTCGCTCTGAGCTGGGATCCTCGGAGTCTCAGACCATGCCATCAAAGCTTGATGACTGTATGCAAACGGAATTTGCATCGAAGCTATGTTAAATATCTGTGGTAGAATGACACGAAAGCAGCATACCACACTTGAACAACAAACTAGATCGCCAGCAATTAAAAAACATCATACAATAGGGAACTCGACCGCGACAATTCCAACGCAAGCTCATGGCACCATGCCTAATTGATCCGTAGCTGGCCGCGCTCGGCTCGCTCGTGGACTTCGGCTGAAGCTCCCCAACAACCCACCAATGTACAAGTACCTCATCCCCGAAAGCGCTCCCCCACGTAAAATATTTGACTGCCTTTTCCTTTCACTGACTTTTTCCCTCTTCAACATCTTTTATTCATTCGCTGCTGCGTTTGCTCTTCTCGCCCCATCTCGACAAGTCTCTCCCTTTGTCCTTTGTTCTCTGCCTCCATATCAATTCGCTCCGATTCACACCGGTTCATTAGGCCAGAAAAGCTTGTCGCACGCGCTTCCATTGCTTCCAAGCTCAGTATGGCCTACGCACCGGACAAGCCGGCGGGTGTTGACTCGGGAGCGGACAATGTCACCGCGTATCCCCTAGATGCGGAACGTGCTCATCAGGCCGTCGAGGACTATGATGTTGCGACGGTCGAGCGCGTGTATCGCAAGCTGGACCTGCGCATCATCCCCGCCTTCTGGATCCTATACTTTCTCTGCTCGGCCATTCGCTCCAACATTGGCATTGCGCAAACCATGAACCAGGATGCTGGGCATGACCTCATGACGGTGCTCAACCTCACGCCTCGCGATACGTCGCTCGCCCTGGCATTGTTCTACGTGGCCTATGTCATCTTCGACTTTCCCTCCAACTTGGTCATGAGCAAATTGAGCCCCCGAGTCTGGATGGCGAGAATCGTCTTTGCGACTGGTGTTGTGGGAGCTTGCTTTGCCGCGGTCCAGGATGCATGGAGCGTCAAGCTTCTGCGATTCCTGCTCGGCGTGGTCATTGCCGGTATGTGGCCGGGTATGTCGTACTACCTCACCCTCTTCTATCCGCCGTCGCGCACTGGAAAGAGGATCGGCATGTACTTCACTGCCGCTCAGGTCTCTGCGGCCGTGGTTGGCCTCGTCTCTGCTGGCTTCCAGCTCATGGATGGCCTGGGTGGTCTCGTCGGCTTCCGCTGGATGTTCCTCATCTACGGTCTCGTGGCCGTCGTCTTGAGCTTCATTCTACTCTGGTGGCTGCCCGAACGCCCCCTTCAGCCGGGTCAGGTCCGTGAGCGCAAAGGACTGTGGAGATTTCTTCCACCCTCGCCCGAAGCCTTGACAGGCCAGGATGCTGTCGTCCACTACCAAGACCTCAAGCGTGTCTACCACGCCCGTCCCTGGGGCGTCAAGGACCTCGGTCGCACGCTCCTCGACTGGCGTCTCTGGCCTCTGACGCTGATGTACTTCGGCGTCGTCGGTGTCGGCATTGGCACACAGCTCTATGGCTCGGTCATCATTCGCTCGATCCAGCCTACTGCCAGTGGCATCGAAATCAGCCTACTTTTCGCTCCGATCTGGATCATGGATCTCATCGCCATTCTCATCTTCATGCCCATATCGGATCGCTTTCATCGTTATCGCGCCTTCATTTTCTCTGGTGCCGTCTGCGTGCAGATCACTGGTCTACTGGTTGTCACCTTTGCTACAAACAACGGCTGGGCCCGCTATGGTGGTTTGTTGATGGTCGGGTTCGGCCTTGGCCCCACAGTCCCGAATTGCATGGCCTGGACGAACGAGATCTTCCAGCGTCGCCACGGCGAGGTCGGCGTTGCCACTGCCTCTGCCCTGATATCTGGCCTCGGCAATCTGGGCAGTGTGACAAGTACCTACGCTCTCTACACGGGCTGGCCGGAGGACGCTGCTCCTGGACCCCATCAGTACCGGCGCAGCAACTTGACAATGATTGGCATTCTGGTTTTGAGCATTGTCAGCTCTTTTGCCATGATGATTCTCCTCAGGATCTTTGGCAACGAGCCAAGCACCAAGCTCCACGACGACGAGATCAACAGCGACCTGGAGGATGGCGCGGCGCGCAGAGAGAACCAGCAGCGCGGTTTTGGGCTCTCGAAGTAATAGCGCTTTGTTCTCCGACCCTTTCATCTTTCTTTAAGGATACTACTTTTAATCTTTCTATAACAGCACTTGGAGTGCACGATTGGCGTTTTTTTTTTTGGATATGGAAAAGCTCACTGTCGTCTTGACGAGTCGAACCGACCTGTTGACAATGCTTCTGCGCTATCAATAAGGGGTTTGCTCGTCCACGAGTGGCACATCAACGATTTTACGACACACATGATACCCCCCACAGAGTTTTTATTCGCTGTCAGACGGAAGGATATCCGACAGCGACAGTGCTTCTACGCCATCGCTGGGACGGCGTGTTTGGACCGAGCGCCTAGTTATGCCGACGACAATGCTGTTGCGCTATCGTCGGTTCCTGTGGCCTCGTGGGAGTTTTGGATTTATGAGTCCGCGGACTCACGAGGAGGAGAAATATTGTAGGAATATAATGTTTCCAACTCCGTCATGCTTTATTTGTGCCCTATCAGACTCACCTCTTGGGGGTTTGTGATACGTCCTTACTGTCCATGTTCCTCACTTACTAATTATCCTGATGTCGCGCCTTGGGCTACTTGCTCTACTAACCCATATTTGAATAAATTTAAGTTCTTACTAAAGCACGGCGAGTCTAGTCTTCGAGCGTCGCCAGTTTAGGAACATCATTGTCTCGTGTACAGCGCCAAGGGGCAGAATAGTCCTATTGATCTCATTGAAGGCAGACACAGCTCGGGGCATGCAGGAAACCAGTTCGTGATCGTGGCTGTTACAGAAGTGACCGAATTCAAGTGGCCGTCAATATGGCCTCCCATGGTCATCACAACGACCCACAGCACTGCTACGAATTCCCGGTCGAGCTGTACTTGTACGTACGCATCCTGCGAAGATAAAGAACCCCTTTACGACGCTTTGTCAATAAAACTCCAATTCGGCTACGCGGCACACTGTTCGTCTCAATAGCCCCGCATCACTTCAACTTCCTAATCCTATGCCCCAGATGTGTGGGGGAAACCCACCATATAGCCGACTCGGACTCGATTTCAACGTACATGTAGACTGCCCGCATGTGCGCTTGCTTCAGAGTTTCTACCGCCCAGCTCTCTGTATGTTTGTTCAAAAGTAGTTGGCCTGAGGATCTGAAGATTAGGACTTTTGAACATCACTAACCTCTGCTATGGGATCTTCACTTCGAGGCTCAGCGGTCAGGGCACTTCGATCACTGCCGTCTGTCGCTCACAGCACCCAATATACGACGAGGTCATCGATCATCTCTTACCGATTATCAGCTCAGAAAGCACTCCAGAATGGTGCACTCAAGCACATTCGCCTGTCAAGCACCTCAACCTCTGAGCTCCCCTTGGACGGGATAACCGTTGTCTCGCTTGAGCAAGCCATTGCCGCCCCCTTCTGCACTCGCCAACTCGCCGAGCTCGGCGCGCGGGTCATCAAGATTGAGCGTCCTGGCGAGGGGGACTTTGCACGAGCGTATGACACCCGTGTTGAAGGGCAGTCATCGCACTTTGTCTGGACAAACCGATCAAAAGAGTCTTTGGCGCTGAATGTCAAGGATCCGAAAGATTTCAAGGTTTTAAAAGCCTTGTTAGCCAAAGCCGATGTTCTGGTTCAGAACCTGGCGCCCGGCGCCTCAGACAGGCTGGGTTTAGGATGGGACAGATTGAAGGAGGAAAATGACAAGATCATCGTGTGCGACATCTCGGGGTATGGAAGCTACGGTCCCTACACCCACAAGAAAGCATACGACTTGCTTGTGCAGAGCGAAGCTGGCCTACTCTCTGTCACAGGCACGCCCACAACACCCACCAAAGTGGGCATTTCCGTGGCAGACATTGCCGCGGGTACTGCAGCTTTCCAGAATATCCTCGCCGCGCTGCTGAAGCGTGGCAAGACCGGCAAGGGCTCCAGAATCGACATCAGTATGCTCGAGAGCATGGCTGAGTGGATGAGTTTCCCCATGTACTACGCGTATGAGGGGCAGGAAGCGCCCAAGAGGGCCGGTGCGGAACATGCGACAGTATATCCGTACGGGCCCTTTGAGACAGGTGGTGGAGGATCGGTGATGCTCGGCATCCAGAATGAAAGGGAGTGGGCAAAGTTATGTGAAATTGTGCTGGGGGGTGCCAGTCTCGCAACGGATAAGCGCTTCAAGAACAACAGCCTACGATCGCAGAACCGAGAGGAGCTCAAGGCGATCATTGTGGACCGATTTTCCATGATGAGCGCGGAAGAGGTGCTCGTCAAGCTAGACGAGGCGACCGTGGCGAACGCCAAAGTGAACGATATGAAGGGCCTATGGGACCATCCGCAGTTGAAGGCCCGTGGGCGTTGGACAGAGGTTGATACCCCCGCAGGACGGGTACCAGCACTTCTGCCGGCGGGAGTGGCAACCGCCGCGGATGCCAGGGTTGGGCCCGTTCCGAAGGTCGGCGAGCATAATGCAAAGATCCTCGAGGAATTGGGCATGAATAAGGAATAGTTACACAGCCCGACCTGATAAGAAGTGGACTTGGAACAGAATACGGATGCGTGCGTGCGGCGTGCGGCGTGCCAGCCGCGGCTCAGTGGACCCTTATCTGCCATCTCAAACAAGTGTGCCCCCCCCCCCCGATAAGGACATGTCATTGAGCGATTTATTGCTGTACCGAGTTTCTGCCAGATGGAGCCACGTGTGATCGCGCCGTCTCACAGCCCGAGACTCTAATTCGCACACGAGGCGACGCTAAGCATCAGGAGTGGTGGAATTGCATTTTCTGTATCTTGCATTCCTGACCTAAAATATATCTGCATAATACTGTAGTCAGCATGTGATACCCGATGGCTGTGTCTTAAAATCTTCACTTGCCTGTTTGCTTCTAGTGCAGCCCACTGCTTGGCGAGTCAAACTGAATCCACTTGGTCGTTCACCGCCCAGCACGAACTCGCAATGTCTCGACTCTCGACCCCGTTCTGCTCCATGATATCCACTTCCTAGACAATCCAGGGTCTCAGATCCAATAATGCCCTCAGGGTCCAACCGGGGGCCGAAAATTCAACAAGCCTTGAGCAATGAGGGTCCCTGTCGATCAACCCCTTTCTGCCCGCCTGTCCAATGGTAATTCGCCTCCCGCGAGATTTGTTGAGAGTCATTGATATCGTCGTCTTTTCTCGGAACGTTTTTCTTCTTCTTCGTTCCTTCTTCCTCCCATCACTCCGCAGAGCCATTGCCCACCATGATCACCACTGTCACCACCCGCACGCAGACTGAGGCGCCTACCAAGAGGTAATACCGGCTCCGTCAGGTCTTGTTCACAACAGTCCATGTGCTAACGTACAGCAGCCTGACCGCCGACCGCGTCTATCCCGACATCAACACGCTTCGCAAGGCCATTCCCAAGAAGTGCTTTGAGTCGTCGGCGCTCATCTCGCTCTCCTACCTGCTTCGAGATGTGGTCATGATTTCGGCCCTCGGCTGGGCAGCCATCACTTACATCCCCGCCATCCCCGACTTCACCCTGCGCACCGCCGCCTGGATCATCTATGGATTCGTACAGGGTCTGGTCTGCACTGGCCTCTGGATTCTGGGTCACGAAGGTGGACACGGCTCGTTCTCGCAGAACAAGCTGCTTAACGACGTGGTTGGCTTCTTCTGCCACTCGGCCCTGATGGTGCCCTATTTCTCGTGGAAATTCTCCCACCACCGCCACCACATGTACACTGGCCACATGGAGAAGGACATGGTCTTTGTGCCCCGCACAAAGGAGGAATACAAGCAGAAGAAGGAGGCCACTCACTCCAGCCTTGAGTACCTGGAGGACACCCCCATCTACCAGTTCGCCACCCTGGTCTTCCACCAGCTCTTTGGCTGGATGGGCTATCTCATCTTCAACATCTCCGCCGGCAAGAACTCGACGCAGAGCAATGGCGTCAGCAAGAGCCACTTTGACCCCTCTTCGATTGTGTTCCGTCGCAGCGAGGCTCCCTTCATTCTGCTCTCCGACATTGGTCTCATGACCACTGCTTCCGCACTCTACTACCTCTCGACATACGTTGGCACCAGCACCGTCCTCCTGGCGTACTTGCAGCCATATGTCTGGGTGCACCACTGGCTGGTGGCCATCACCTATCTACACCACACCCACGTCGATGTCCCCCACTTTGACGCCGAGAACTGGACCTTTGTCAAGGGCGCCAGTGCCACTGTTGATCGCGAGTTTGGCTGGGTCGGCAAGCACCTTTTCCACGGTATCATTGAGTTCCACGTGGTTCACCACCTTTTCCCGTAAGTCTCGCTGCTGTATTCATTCTCAGTGCCCCGCTAACATTCGCACAGTCGCATCCCCTTCTACTACGCTGAGGAGGCCACCGAGGCCATCAAGCCCATCCTTGGCGACCTGTACCACCGCGATGACCGCTCATTCCTTGGTCAGCTTTGGTCGTGCTTCACGACCCTTCACTGCGTCGACTACGATGAGAGCAAGTACGGTCGTGGCGCCATGAAGTGGGTCACCAAGAAGACCGAGTAAGCATGATGATTGTCTGGCGAAAATCACGGCGTGCATAGACAACGGCGTTTCCTGAAATTTGCGCAAACGGGATAGATTTCAATAGACATAGACAACAGATAGAATGGTCGTCTGAGCACAGTCGTGTCAGACGAGCCCAGCATCTTCGGTACTATTAACAAGTTCATTCAAACCCAAGTTAAATGGTCGAACATTGACATATTTTGCTGCCATTTTTTCAAACTGAGCCAGACGATCAATGATGATCCGACAAACTTTGAGTGAAGCTGGGTGTGTACCGCGTTGCTGAGGAGCGCATGTATGTCTTGCAGCTCGACGAATCAACTTACACGCTTCCAGCTCTTCAGCTCGGGACTCATCAGAAGGACTAAACCAAGTAGGATCCCCCGCATGGGGTAACAGGAGCAAAGTCGGCAATCTCGGCGTGTGCAGTTATGCGAGTTTGATCGCTGTGCGGAGGCATCGGCATCGTTTCCTAGATGCCATGACTGCTGCTGCGTGACAGCGTGGGGCTCTCGGGCTCTCGGGGCTTTCGCGCTGCGCTGGCTGTGCTGGCAAGTCATAAGGAGCCTCACGAGACTCCAAGAATTTCTAGGCACGCATAATGGCACCTCAGGCCAAGTTTCTATTCTTATGTGGTGAATGAACCTTGTCGCGCAGCCTAGTGTTGCCGTCAGCCTCTTAGTTCTGGCCAAAGACAACGCCTAGAGTGACGGGAAGTGCTCGAAGGATTTGGGTCTGGAAGTATTAAAGATTAAAGAGGCGTTTGTCTTGTAAATGAACAACTAGACTGAGCACGAGGCGAAAGATTGCGCTCGTGAAGAGATGAGGACGGTATGTGAGTGAGGAGGAGAAAGTCTGATGGAAGAAAGCCCACTTCCGCGGTCTTCAGGGCCGCCTGTCTGTCACATATAATATAGCGCTCAGGCCCAGTCGCCACCTTGCCCAAGATATATCAACGGCGTCTCAGCAGCGCATGTTTCGAAATGACCTTGGCCCTATGTACAAAGTAAGGCGTTTTGAACTTGAAGATAGAACAGCGGAGTAGGGTAGGTAAGATCACTCGGGAAACAGCCATGCAACCAGCAAGAACAGACTTGAGCTTAGTGTTTTTCACGCTCGAATTCCAGTGTAAGATTGAATTACTGCCAAGTTTGAAACATTCGGTGAAATCGAGCTGAACGTGGTACGTACCGCCTTTCAATGGCGCTTTCATGCGACTTCCCGTGTGGGTGCGATGCCCAAAGCTCTGATGCGCGGGTGACCACACACTTGTGAGCTCCATCTCCTCAGCTAAAAGGCAGCTTCCCCACAGCCCGCCTTCAGTCTGTCGCCATGACACCTTGAAACATCATTGACTGGCTCTCTGCATGGACTTGATCATACGATCATGTGTCGGTCAGACGCGTCGTCTCCAGTGTCTCCATCTTTTGAGATTAGATCTTGTTCTTAATTGTCGCAAATGATCTTATCAATCAGTACTTAAACCCTCCAGTCCGACCTCGGCGTTGCTACTGCCATCCCAAAGCAGCGCGATCGTCAACGTCTCCCAGCAGCAACGCGTGCTTATCGCGATCGGCGCGGTGCTTATCTCACCATCGCATAGCTCTCTTGTTCTCGTAATACATCCATTGCGATGGCTCGTTTTTTCGAGCTGGATGTTGGAGACGCAGAACACGAGCAGCCCTCGCTGGTCGAGCAGCGGCTTTGTACGAAGCTTGACGACGTCACCATGCGAAGCGACGCCAAAGCCACCGACGAGCAGCCACGAACGCGCAATATTGTAACAGAAGCCTTCCAATGTTACCCGTGAGTAGACATTGACTACGAGTTGCCATGATCTAAATGCTGATTTCGAAGGATCGTGCATGCTATTGTATCAAATATTGACCTGAATACACTCGACTCGCTCGCTCGCTCCTCGTTCTGCATCCATGCTTCTCTCCTCCAGTCTCGCCGTGTCCTTATCTCCTCGACATTGCGCTGTGTTCACGAGGCCGCTCCCATCGATGCGTCGGAAACATTGCGCTACCGCGCTCGCGCGGGCAACTGGTTCTACATGGAAGATGGGCGGTCCTACAATGGCAAATCGGGTCATTGCGCCCGAGATCTCGTCGGCCAGTGCAGGAGGTGCGAGACGGTGATTTGCAGGAACTGTGCGATCAAGCCGCCAGCGCCAGTCACCCTGAAAGAGAGGCACAGAAGGCTGTGTACGTCTTGCACGAAAGCACCACTTGCAATTCTAGCGAAGCCACCATTGGATCCTCACCTTTCATTCTCATCAGAGTATATACAAAGAACGCTTTGCAAGTGCGATAGCGAGGGGGTTTGGCTCTGCCAGCCTTGTGGGAGGAGCATCAGGACAGCGGACGGCGAATACCAGCGGTACGCAAGACGCCAATCAAGCATACTAGGAAGGCGGCTAACTGGCATAGCATCTGGCGCTGGAGGAGCCATTATGGCGAAGTGCTCGGCGGACTCGGTACAGGGATCGGAGATGGTGATCGCGGTGTCATCTGCGGTCGCGAAGGGGATTGTCTAGCGGCCAAAGAGCACGAGACCCAAGTTGACTGCGATGCGGCGGACGCCAAAGACTACCCCGTGTCGCCGGTATGGGCTGAACCTTCTCCGCCCACAACCCCTGAACCAACACACTTACCTAGCCCCCTGGAGACATTGCAACAAGAGGAGAGGAGAACGCCAAGTCCCCAAGTGAGATGCGGATATGAGCGACATGAAGTGGAAGGCATCGGCGGTGTTGTCAAAAAGACACTCGTGAAAATGGTCAGAGTCGGGGCCTGTGTCCCTGAGTGGGAAGATGAACGAGGTCTGAACGGAAAGCCCCTGAGCCGCGAGATCAGGGGCGACTTGCGAAGTTGGTGTGGCTGGTGCTGGCGCGTCGTACCTGGCAAGAACGACAAATGAGGGCATGAATCAAATATACATGTTATGTAATGTGGTAATGAAAATCAAGAATGCATCCATGATATACAGGGTAATGCCCAGAGCCTTGTATGCCGTTCGCCGTCAGATGATACAACACGCCTTCATACAACATTTTCGCCCAAAAAAAGGTGATGGTACAGCACGCTTCTCATCCAACTCCTTAGATCTCGCCCCGATACATCATCTCCGTCCGCATTTTCCGCTCGGCCTTGGCCTTGAGCTTTGCGGGACCGTACCTCGCGATGCGTCTCTCCTCCTTGGCCTTGAGCCACTCCAGGTGGCCCTTTGGCGGGGGCGCGACGGTTCGCACAATGATCGTGGAGCAGTCAAACTTCCTTGCCAAGGCCGTGACGGTCCATGTCAACGGGTCCTCTGCTCGCAATTTCCTCATCTCCTCCATGTGTGCGGGTGTGAGGTGATACCGCGCCTTCTTGCCCTCGTTCTTGTTCATCAGCGGAGGCAATTTCTCCGTGGTCTGTCCGCCCAGTCCGACAAGTCCTTGCGCGCTACCCTTCATGGCGCGCATGCGTGTGATGGCCTGTCGACGCGGGTCTTCCGGTGGGAGGAAGATGAATGGCGTGTGGAAAGGCGAGGCTTCGGAGCTAGGGGGGTTGTAGATAATGTGGTCGCCTTGTGACGCGTTGCCATCCCGTGATGGAAGGAAGGAGTCGTGAGGGGCGATTTTGAGGGATCGTTTCGTTCGGGCGGTGGTCTTGTGAGAGCGGGTCGTTATTAAGGGGATAGAGACGGGTGTTCTTTTGAGGAGCAGCTCAGCGGCTGGACGAGCGAGCGCGCGCATGTCCATCTTGGCGAAGTGATTGTAAGGAGAGTGTAGATCAATTAAGCATGACACGGTCGCTAGGGCAGAATGGAGTGGACGATAATGCAAACCGGGTCGTGTGCCGCTCGACAGCTGGGTAGCAGCATGAGGTTCAGAAGATTCTGAGGAAAAAAATCGATTACCTAAGATTGGGATGCCAGTCGCCTGATCACGTGATGTGATCCGCGCTCCAGCTGCAGCTTGTTAGCACCCAATGGGCCTTTATCAGGGACCAATGACGTAGTTCGAGGTCAAGGTGACAAGTAGACGATCGAGAGGTTAAGTTGATGCATAATTATAATAAATGCGTTTGTTTGTCTAGGAACTCGCGGCAAACACCTGGCGGCATTGTTGCAAGAACCTAATACTACCTCCAGAACAGTGGAATCAAAGCACGCAGATGCCGAGGATGTTGAATGAAGCATGGTCAACGTGAGCCGGCAAGCTTCGGGTATTTTGGGAAATGCATCGCAAGGTGATCATCTCCGTCAAATATTGAAATACGGGTGCAATGATATCACCGTGCTTCGGCGGTTGTGGATGCGCGTGATGTAGCTGCAGTGCATGATGTGGCGCGCCTGGAAATCGAGGGGCTTCCGGTCGTCACGGAGCAGTTACCTGTCTATTGGCTTCCAAAAGGGTCGATAATGGGTGCTTATAGCTAAAAATCTGTACTCTATCCAAGAAGTTGATCGTGGGAGAGGGGAGGCTGTCACGGTGGATGTGCCGGCTTTTGCATGAGGTTTATGCACCACCAAGTCAGCTGCATCATGTGAACAGTGAAAAAGATGAAGAAGATCCTCATCTCCTCCTTCCTATCCCTGGCCGCGCATTGTTCACTCCATCCCTCCCTCCTCATCTCAATTTCCCCAAACTATCACTGTCGACGCTGCAGCTGCACATTTCATTCGCCCTTGAACTCAGCCCTTTACGAGCGAGAATTTCTTCAGTTCAACATCCTAAGACACTTGGCTTTAACCGAGACGCAAGGCACCACAGCTTCGGCCCCGGGTGCACCTCTCGAAGCGCATCCAGACCCTCCACAACCCACGCTACGTCACGTTCTCCGACTGGAGCTCCAATCCAGTCGGGCTGCTGGGCGGGTGAGCCGACGAAATCCACTGCGGCTAGCTCCGTGATTTCCCCTTCTGCTGCTCGTGTCGAGCTATTCCATCAACCCTCGAGGTATGTGATCTAAATGCATTGATCTTGTGCTCCCTTGTAGGACAAGCTTCACAGAAGGGGGACCCTCTACCCTGTGACTTTCCGAGATTTCGCCAGACTATCAATATTATATATAAAGTCCCAGGACCAACGCTGACGCGCATTCTCCCCCATAGCTGAGCAGGAACCTCGCAATGGCGGACGGCCGTACCACAGGGGATTCGACGCCCCGTCCTACTGAGGCAAGCTCAGACACCAAGGGCGACAACAAGACCAAGAAACGCAGATTCTTTGGTCTAGGGACAAAGAAGACCGACCAAGGAGAGAGTGCGGCCTCGACCACACCTAGTGCGTCCAAGAACACGACATCTCCCACGCCTGCTTCGCAAACCGAGCCCCCTCTGTCGCCGACGAGACAAACCTCGGAATCCCCGCAGGTCGCGTCGCCAGCGCGATCCCAGATCTTCGAACGCGACGTCCAAGACCCTACGATCCCCCAAGCCAACTCGCCTGCCATCCCTACGCACATCCAGACTGAGAACCACATCCCCGCAGTTCTTGATGATGCCTCGGAGGCCATCACCAACCGCAAGCTTGATCCCGACGCGGTCGAGATCGTCACGCACACCTCACACCAGCCTGCATCTGTGGCTGTCACGGGTGCCGCCCCTACGCCAGCTGCCTCTACACCTCATGATCAGACGGCTACGGAGTGGGCGCGGGAGTTGAACTCATTCGTCGATCGCCAGTCCTCAGCTCAGTCGCCCGACAGCGTCTCCAATTACGGCTCTCTTGACTCGGCTGATGTGCGCCGTTTGTCGTTCATCTCGTTCGCCGATGTTGTGCAAGCTGAGCACGGTCCTCCGCTGAGCGGCGTTGGATCTCGCGAGAGCATTCACGGTGCGGGGTTGACCTCTCTGCCTACATCGGGCTTCAACCGTTCGCCATCGCCTATTCGGTCGCCAGTATCAAGCCAGGGCCCCGGCACCAGCCCGCCGACCAGCAACCCTGGTAGCATACGTGGTATCGAGATGAGTCCGGCTCGGAAGCCTTTGGGTACTCCTGGCAGTGGCAGCTTGGGTCTGGTGCCGCCAGGTCAGACGGGCCAACTGAACGTCGAGACGATGAGCCAGGCTTTGCGGCGAACGACCAGCACGGACTTTAGCAAAGTCAGGAGCATCCCCACGAGCCCGGTAGACGGACCAGGGTCGAGGTGATTTTTTTCGTTCTTGTAAGCGAGGTGTTATTTCAGGGTGTTGGAGCAAACTGTTCCCAAGGCTTTCGTTCCCGGCGCTGTCATGGTTGCTGGAGCTTTCTTTTCCGGTATCTCAAAGTTGGCTGTGTCCTTTCCATGGAGGTAGTAATCCTCGGTTTCTGCGTATTCATATTATATCCAATGGTTATCATGGGCGTCTTCGTATTGACCGTTCAGCATTCGTGGTGCGAGAGCATTGTAGGATTTGTACCCCAAGCCGGATTAGGGAGAAGTTGCGAATATTCTCATCTGATCATCTTCTTTTTGTGGGTATTGTCCGTCATGCTGTTCGTACGGAGTTCATACGGAGTTCTGGCATTCACGATACGTGCTTCTGATATAGGAAATTTTGGGCGCAGCTCGTCGTAGGGACGAAGTAATTAGAACTCGGGTTCTGCGAACTTGGTTTCGTCAAGGCTAAGGCTGTTCACAGTGGCCATGAAATAAATTTGACTTGGCCTGTCACTATAAGTTCATCGCCAAGCAACTTGTTGATGCTTGTGAAGACTGTGTGACTTGATCCACGGGTTTCTTGTCCCGGGTATTGACGGTCACTTGTTGTATCACCCACTTGACAGTTCGAGCTGTGAATGATAGAAGACGCTCGGAATCTAGCCTGACATAGCTAAACACCCTGAAAGGCATGGTATTTGCTCGCTTCTGTGTTCGACAGCGCGATGTAGGGTAGCTCCCCACGCAAATCCCTACTTGGGACTGGAAACCTTGTCCATCGGTGATTGTCACCGTTTGTGCCAAGCTATTGGGCTCAAGGGCTACGATCAGCTGCCGGGGTACCAAGCTGATGTTTATGAAATGGCCCGAAATCGCACTCTGGTGTCTCAGATCGGGACATCTTGAGATGAGCCCTCGGAAAGATTTGCAGTTTCTTTTGCAAACATAAATGCCGAGAGCTGAGGATGTTCTCTTGGTGGCAGTGCTGATGTGAAATTACATTCTGCCTGTTATAGGCAGCCTTCAGGTAGGTAATTCGCCATGCTGGGGCTGTTCAGGTGCACCAACACGGAATCAGTACCTAGTGTTCAACCGTATCGCGGGACTGTTCCCTCTTCCAGAAGTCCATGATGTGATTAATCATGGCTGCATTCGGTATCGCGGAAATGAGGTCACTGTCGACGAGCACGACGATCCCCCATGATAGTGTCAAATCCGGCATCCGTGGAAGGGCGGTTGTGGCTGATAGCTCGCACCACACGATCTGTCCAGCAACGCGTGCCCGCGCATATTCATTGCGTCAGTGTCAAGCCTGATTCACAGTGAAATCTGCATCGTGCCGCACCACTCGAATGGAGATCACGGTTATTGTGACTCAGAACAGTACACAGCGGCGAGTCCTAGGATATCGCCGCGCGAGTGTTCGGGGACGCCTTCGAGTATAAACATTAGCAAGCAGGCATTTCATAGTACCTACTACTTACGTAGTCTAGTACAGCTCAATTAGCGGCTGGCTGTCCTAGCGCAATGAAGACCGATCTCGCGACTCACAAACCCCGGTCGATAAGGTAGCTCCAGTCTTCTCAAGTTCTTCATTGAACAACCCCGGTCATAATTTGTGGCGAACTGCAAGTCGACGTTTTCGGCTGTTGTATGTAGGCACGCACGTACACTCCGTGCAAGTCGGAACGTGTCAAATGCCATCACCAACGTACCTAAGTTATTCGAGTGCCGTGCGTCAGTGCACCCAGGAGGCTGGGCCACATGCAGTCGCTTGATGACTTGCCGTAGACATCAAGCCCGGAACAATATTACCCTTTTTGATCCAATTAAGCAACAGGGTTGGAGCGATATCTCACACCAGATCCAGTACTAGTATAGGCAGGGGTGCAAGGACCCAGGCGGACAGTGGACACTCTCTATTCCCCGCCCGCGACGAATCAGACCAGCGACAACTCACGACGGCCGCCCCCGCCAGCCGACTGCTCTTTGACCTCACGTACCTTACCTTACCTTACCTTACCTGGGTACCCGTACTACTCCTGACATCCTGCTACCGTCGTGCGCTTCCCTTTTACGGCTCAGCAGTAGCCTGCCCGTGCTCTCCCTCTATATTCATCCCTATCGCACGAACGTACTAGACGAGCGGGCACCTACTGCCTCTGCGCCCATGAGGAGCCTCACCCAACCGCATTCGCAAGCCATGGCAGTATAGCCGAACCACAACCACATCCACCATGGCCGAAGACATCCCACCCCCTCAACCGCCTCGGATCGGGAGCACCGCTGCTACCGCTGCCACCAGCGACTCGTCTGCCCTCGACCCCGGACGTAATGCCATGGAGCGTGCGAGCGGGACTTCTCTTCGCGCCTCCATGGCCTTACGGGCGACCGATTCTCCAAATGGCAGGGACGTCACCCTTCGCGCCGTGACACCCGATAGGGGCGCACTCCCTGGGACGTCCGAGGAGAGTACATACGTGCTACGCGGGGTCACTTCGCAGGAGACATCGCCTCGCTCAATACCTGGCGACAACAGACGGCGAGGCATGGTGTTCAACGATTCATTCGGAGAAGACTACGAAGAGACCGAGGGTGCGAGTCCGCCCTTACCGAACCGTTTGACAAGTGGAGGAGGCATACGGCCGCGCACACGAACAATGGACACCGCCATGCTCACGGGCCAGAGGGCTGCCCCGCCAGGCGTAATAGCTGAGACGAGGCACAGAGTGGGCAGCGTGAGTTCGGGCGACGACCAGCGACAACCAGCCGGCGGTCTCGAGTCAACCGGATTTCCGACGATCATGGCCGGCCGCGGGTATGAGCCGAGCCCCACGGGTGCGAGTCCGAGCATCACAACCACGATCATCAAGAGCGAGAAGAAGGGCTCCAGCCGGCGGTTGATCAAACGGCAGTCCTCACGACCGACCTCACCGCGCGTTTCTCCGCCCCCTTCGGTCGATTGCCTGCCGTTCACCGTACCTACCGACAGCCCTTGCAAGGTCTTTGCGCTGATGAAGATGCTGTGCGGCAAAATGAAGGGCGAAATTGAGTACCAGGGCGAGATGGGAGGACCCTGGCACTCGGGTGTGGCCTACATTGACGATGAGAGGGGCTGCCTCATGTTCGACTCGGGCCAGAGCGGGCCCTTTCACATCCCTCTAGTGGCGGATCTGCGAGGGTGTCGAGTGCTGCCTGTGGACTATCCCGATGCGAACAAACGCTGCTTGGAATTGGTGTCGTCGAATCCCATTATTGAGGTGCTGATTCACCCTTTAATACCGGAGGATTTTGACTTCTGGTTGGCTGCCTTGTTGACGTGGCAACAGTTGCGGCCCATTGCGGTAAAGCTAACAAGCCAGAGGACAGCAAGCCCCGTCAGCCCCGTGAGGCCAGAGCTCGTCAGGAGGGCTCTGTCGACAGAAAATGCAAAGCACAGCAACGCGATCAAGGTGGGTAACCTGCTTGTCTGGGACAAGGGCCCAGCGCAAAACGCGAGGGACATAATGCGCCGTCCGTCCACGAGAGGATCACAAGGCGCAGTGGCTTCCTGGCGAAGGGTGTCCGTCATCCTGCAGGACAATGGCGAATTCAAGCTCATTGCTGAGAACGACGGCACGATTATAGCCGTGCTGGATATGGCTCAGCTCTCACGGAACGCGATACAGCAATTAGATCGGACGGTACTAGACGAGGAGTACTGCATCGCCATTTTCCCCATGTACGCCTCCACTGCGCGTACATTCAGTCTCTACCGGCCCGTGTACGTGGCGATGGATTCGCGGATACACTTTGAAGTCCTTTTCGCTCTCCTGAGAGCTTTCGCGGTCCCGGACGTGTATAAAGTAGACAACCCGGAAAACGCTCAAGTACAGGCTATCGACGACGTGGAGAAGGTTCACAAGGGCGAAGTGTTTCGCGTCGAGAAGACGATCCTGGTCAGAGTCACCGAAGCCAAAATGAAGCCGCCATCTTCACCGGCCAATGCTGCGACCATGGAAAAGGCTATTAAAGCAGAAGCATCAGACCCAACAGGAAACTACTTGGCAGAGGTGATCCTGGATGGTGAGGTCAGGGCAAGGACAACAACAAAGATGGCGACCAAGAAGCCATTTTGGAGAGAAGACTGCGAGTTCACCGATCTGCCCTCCTCGATGCCTCATTTATCAGTGGTGCTGAAACGGGTGGAGGATGGGCCTTCGACGCCAGGGCCATCCCCCATCTCAGCCCACCAGAAGACAGCCGGCCAGGTCGAGACCATTGTCGGCACGGTTGAGCTCCCTCTGGTTGCCACAACCGCCGGCATCCGCGAGCACGAGGACTGGCTGCCGATATTAGATGAGAACGACGAGCCGATCGGGACCATGCTCATCAAGGTTGTCCATGAGGAGCACATTGTGCTGCTAGCCAGAGAGTACCAAGCTCTTGCGGACATGCTGCACAACCTCAATTCGGGGATCACGACGCTGATCTCGACGACTCTTCCCGGGCAACTGCGTCGGCTGGCCGAGTTGTTTCTGAATATCTTTCAGGTCTCTGGTAAAGCGAGCGAGTGGCTCATGGCACTGGTCGAAGATGAGATTGATGGTATCGGCAACCAGTCGACACTGAAAAAGTACCGCTTCAATAACCGTCTGAAATCCAACGAGTCTGCCGACTCGGCACCAGATCGCGAGCTCATGGTGCGAGACATGAGCAAGTCCCTGGCTGGCGAGGCCAACCTGTTATTTCGCGGGAACACATTGCTCACCCAAGCCTTGGAGCTGCACATGCGGAGACTGGGCAAGGAGTTCCTCGTGGAGACGTTGCGAGACAAGATCTTTGAGATCAACGAGCTGGATCCTGATTGCGAGGTGGACCCGAGCAAGATCTCGAAAGAGAATGGGGAACTGGAGCCTCATTGGACCAAGCTCATTGACTTGACCACCAGCGTGTGGCACTGCATTGCTGCGTCGGCCGGCAAGCTCAACCCCGAGCTGAGGAGTATCCTCAAGTACGTTCGTGCGGTGGCCGAGGACCGCTACGGCGATTTCATGCGGCCGGTCGCCTATACTGCCGTTTCCGGCTTTCTCTTCCTACGGTTCATCTGCCCTGCCATCTTGTCGCCGAAACTATTCGGCTTGCTGCGTGACCACCCCCGACCGCGGGCGCAGAGGACCTTTACGCTCATCGCCAAGGCGCTGCAGAAACTGGCCAACCTGTCAACGTTTGGCAAGCGCGAGGAATGGATGGAGCCCATGAACCGCTTCCTCAACGCTCAGCGCAATGTTTTTAGGGATTACATCGACCGAGTGTGCGATCTGCCTGCCGACAGGTCGACGCGCACGTTGCATGCAAGCTACAGCACGCCGATTACGATCCTGAGCCGACTCAGCCCGACGGCGCGCGAGGGGTTCCCCAGCATGCCTTTCCTCATTGACCAGTCACGAAGCTACGCGAGCCTTGTCAAGCTATGGGTCGACCTGAAGCCGACTGACGGGGCGAAGCTGCCGATTGAAGGCGACCTGCTCATCTTCAGCGACCTGTGCGCGGCTCTGCAGCAGCGGGCCGATGCCTGCCTCGCTCGCCACGAGGCTCTGACCCAGGTGGACCCGTCGACGACGACCATGTTTGCCGCCGACGAGCTCGCCGATTTGCTCGAGCAAGCCTCCCTGATTGAATCGCAGAACTACTCGTACTCTGCGTGGGGCAACGAGCACTCGGCAGCTGATCTGCTGTATCCGCCCGGCTCATCAGGTAGCGAGGCACCAGATGACGCGCAGCCAAGCATAGCGAACCGCAAGAGCAAGGACGTCAAACGGGGTCGCGGAGCGCACGATCCCACCGGCAAGGGAAACAGTCTGCGCCACGCCAGCGGCGCTGCCAGGGCGAAGAATGGCAAGATTGGGCGGACGATTCTGGGCGGGATCATGAGGATCGGTGGACGAGCGGAGAGCCCCGACGCGAAGGACAAGGAGAAGGATAAGGACAAGGACAAGAGGTGACCTTGGAAGTTCCGTGGCACAATACACATTCTGGCTGGCGAAAAAATCTCGAGACGACTTTATGAGCGACATTTCTATACGATGTTTCACCTACCGTGCCTCGTTTGGGCAACCTGTTCTTGGGAGAGGGTCGGCTTGGACGAGGGAAAATACCATTGCTTTTGCTTGTGGACGTATCAGCGTGCCCACAAGGCCCTTTTTTGGGGAACTATATAGCGAACAGAGCGTGATGATTGCACTTTGAGATTGTCTGTATGTCTGTGTGAGTTGTGATGGAAGCTCTCTAGAACGTTCCACTACAGCGTTCTACCCCTCCATATGCATATTGAGGTACAGGTACCTGATGTGAACGAACCCCCCACCATTTGTGTAACCCTTTGCTCGTGGACATTGGTTTGATCTGGATAGATTTATATGTTTGATTGTGTTTGTAAACAACCCCCGAGTCATAATTCACATCTGGTCAGGCAACGCCATTTATAGGCTTTTCGCGACGAATTGAACGAGGCGCGGAGCCGTCGGTACCCCGCAGCCAATCTACTGTACATCCAGAGTAGCACGCATGTAACTAGAGGCTTGGAGGATTGCCTGGCATCAAGCTGCGCTTCGCTGCCCCTCGATCTGTTTCTCTGCCCCCACCATCGGCTCAGTTTAGTCTGACCTCGTTACGACTTCTCCTCTGAACCCTCATCACTTCTACTTTTCCACTCGACATACCCCTTTTTCGACTTAAGTGAGCCGTCACCCATCGCATACACTCTCCATTGAACTCATAAAAAACCCACACTCACAGCCGCTCATCATGGCCAACCCACGCGTCTTCTTTGACATCTCCATCGGCGGCCGTCCCATAGGCCGCATCAACATGGAGCTCTTCGCCAACGAGGTCCCCAAGACCGCCGAGAACTTCCGCGCACTCTGCACCGGCGAGAAGGGCGTTGGCAAGGCTGGCGAGCCCCTCCACTACAAGGGGGCCATCTTCCACCGGGTCATCAAGGAGTTCATGATCCAGGGTGGTGACTTCACAGCTGGCAACGGCACGGGTGGCGAGTCCATCTACGGTGAGAAGTTTGAGGACGAGAAGTTTGTGCGGAACCACGACGAGCCATTTCTGCTGAGCATGGCGAATGCTGGGCCCAACACCAACGGAAGTCAATTCTTCATCACAACGGCCTTGACACCGCACTTGGACGGCAAGCACGTCGTCTTCGGCAAGGTCCTCTCCGGGAAGAACGTCGTCCGACAGATTGAGTACACGCAGACCGCGCCTGGCGATGCGCCCGTGAAGGATGTCAAGATTGAGGACTGTGGTGAGCTCGCCGGTGACGAGGCGGTCTCCGCCGATGTACAGGAGCCGGATGAGTTTGGCGACAAATATGCCGACTTCCCCCAGGACTGGGAGGGTGAGGGCGACATTGACGCCAAGAGCGTCCTCGCGATCGCCACGGCGTGCAAGGAGTACGGCACCAAGGCATTCAAGGCGGGCAAGCTGCAGGTCGCGCTGGACAAGTATCAGAAGGGTCTGCGCTACCTCAACGAGGACCCTGATCTCGACAAAGAGCCCGCCGACACCAAGAAGGCGCTCGACACCTTGCGGTTCGGGCTGAACAACAACTCTGCGCTCATGGCGACCAAGCTCGAGATATGGGACGATGCCATCACTCACGCCACGCGCGCCCTTGCCGTCGAAGGTCTGGCCGACAAGGACAAGGGCAAGGCGCTCTTCCGAAAGGGCTACGCGGAGGTAAGGATCAAGGACCGCGAGGCGGCGCTCAAGGATCTGGAGGAAGCGAGCAAGCTGTGTCCCGGCGATGGGGCCATCGTTGCGGAGCTGGAGAGCGTCAGGGCGCGCGCGAAGGAACAGGCCGCCAAGCAAAAGGCGGCTCTGAAGAAGTTCTTTTCCTCGTAGACGTCTGTCCAGGTTTGAAGACTGGGCACGTTTTCGAGCGGGAGATCTGTGGATGTATGATCAGAGCGGTTATTTGCTGGCGTTGAGGGGAGAGCATTGCATGTACCAGGGAGGCGAACTGTGTTGAATATGCATCAGAATTTCGCGAGTTGGACTGCCCTTGTAGGTCGTCAAGTCAATGAAATCCAAAGCAAGCTAAGTGCTATATGCACCGATTCGAAGTGATGTTCACAAGCATCTGATAGTGTTGTGAGGGTGCTGAAAGCAGGTTGTCTGGGTTGTGGCGGGTTCCTTCCACTCTCATCACCTGCTTCCTTGGCTCCTGCCCTCAGTCGGGGTGACATCAAGGCCAGAACAAAAGCTTCCACCAGCCTCTTCCATCGCTCTTGGTAGCATCAGTCATGCCAATGCTTTATCGAGAGTCAATTCAATTTCGCCATGAACTGGACTGAGAGCACACTCAACCGCCACTCTCGCCGCAGAGGCTTCGACCCCGATACGGCCCGTCAGAAGGAATACTTCGCTAAATCACGCGCATGTCAACAGCAAGACTCGAGATCTCGTCGCGAAAGCACCTCTGAGGCCCCGTTCATACCGAGCTACATCCCGCAAGCGTCACCATCGCCCAGGCAGACACTGGATCGCTCGAGAGAATCAAGAGGGTCGATGATATTCAACCGAAGGAAGCTGGTGCCATTATCGAGTGAAGCATCCGAGGGAGAGGCGGATACCCCGGCTCTTGGGACACAACAGTCGCTTGGATACCCTCAGACGGAGCAAGATCAACACCCGCCCTCGCATCCCGGTCGATACGATTTGACAACAAAGCGTCGAAAGTTACTGGGCCAAGAAGACTGGACTGGACTGGAGCTGCAGAGGCCGTTGGTGCTCGATTATGAGCCCGCAGCTATACAGCCAGATCAGATGCACATACAATATAAGGATCTGAAGAGGACAGCAAAAGCACCCAGCGCCAGATACCACCGTGGTTTGCTTGGCCGGAACCGCGAGGAAAGCGAACACGATCACGAGTCGATCAGGCTGCACATCGGCGACAAAAGCCTCCGATAGAGTCGCAAAGGCAACACAGTCAGAAGTGTGGATAGCCAGAAAGGTGGGCTATGCTCAGTCCGTGAGGAAGACTTGGAGCCACGACGTAGCAGCTCGCCCTCAGGAGTTGTACTAGACAGCCCAGGCACTCTTGCGCCCACAGATAGCACTTGCCGTTCACAAACCCGCAATTCGACACCTACACAATACTCTTCCAGAGACCTTGAGGCCGATGACGGCGGAACTTTTCACTACAACATCACCTCGGTACCAAAGCTCGTTCACCCGCAACCTCGCAAAGAGAAGACGAGGCTCATACAACCTTGCTCGTCGGAAGCAGGTACCGACGTTCCGAGCAGTATAATCGCCGATGCCGGTGCCCCCAGGGCAGGCGATCTCGGGAGCTTCAAGGAAGACCAGCACTGGGGGTCATGGCTTGGTCTCTTTGAGAAGGAAATGCGGGAATTGCAAGAGCCTACGTGTACAAAAGGCGACCGAAGCGGACCGACGTCTCCTGGTGTGAGGCAGGCGTGGCAAGCCTCGCCCTCCGCGTTGAGACTTACCGAAGAATTCCATGACAAAGCTGCCAGTTTTCCACTTGCCCCTGAAGCAGAAGCACTCTTGGGGTTTGAGGGCTTCGACGCTGATCCCGAGAAGAGCGCCAGGGGGGTGTCCCTGGCTGACCACCGAGACACGACCCCTCCGAAGAACATGCCTCTGCCGTGCGTCGAGGCGTCGGTGTCTGCCGAAGACGAGGAGCAGATTTGGCAGAAGTATCTCCTGGATGATATCGATGTGTCTCAAGTAAAGCACCAGGCGCAGGAGGAGGCGCTGGCGTGCACGGCAAGGGGGCTCATGAGGTCGCCCACTGGTCAAGTCAAGCTTGCCAACCTGGACTCAGATCCACACAACCTGGCACTTCCGGCATTGACCACGACGACGGGTTCGATAACAGCATCACAGACAGTCAGCATAGCTTCGGCTTGCCCGACAGATGCGGCGAAATCGGCAAGTGTTGAGCTCGAACCTCCTCCTCCTCCCCCGGAAGCCAATCAGAGCACCACTCGTCAGCCAGTGTTCTTCAAGAAACAAGAACTTCCAAGGTTGCCCAAAGCGCCCGCTCGATATGTGGGCAGGCTCTCGTCCATGGAGGGACCGGCTCATATCGCCAGTCAGCCGTTCGGTAAACTAGTGAAACGAGGCAGGGGGGAGGCGCTGGACGGCTGGACAGACACCGAGAGACAAACGATTCGGGGACTGGCGCCAGGCGCCGATGATAACGACCCGATCGAGGATGTGTGGGAAAGATGATACAGCCGACGAGGCTGATTGAGGCCTGACTCCTGACTCCTGAGAGAAAGAAGTACACCGGCGGTCCGGCGACTGCCGCCTCTGCGGGGTGACGTAGGGTGTCAGGTGCGCTCCAGCCTAGGGCGATGCGAATATTGCAGGCCCGTCCACTGCGGAATTGAAGTGCGTGCCTTGATCTCGCGGTCACATTGGAGACAAACCTGGCACCTTTGAGGACGGAAGAATGGCACCCACAGGGCCAAACCAAGGGGGAAGCGAAGCGAGCCTGCGTGTCCTACGAATGTACGGATACGCAGTCTAATTACCGGGCAGGGCAGACTGCTCAGCCTCGATGGCAGGATCCCTGTCACTCCGCCACCCCCCGCCCTTCTAGAAGGCTTCCGTGCATCTTGAATTCTCCACTCCAAATGCGGGCTGACATGGGGGCCAGGACCGCCAGGTCATGAACTGGGCCGTTGGCTCTTGACCATCGGACGGGCGCACGGGGAATTCGATTGGTTTGTTTAATGGAAGCCTGATCGAGCTGAGAGATGGGCGAGTCGGTGACCAGAAGGATCATAGAGCATCGCGATGATAATATGGATTCAAGAAAGCTGCACTGTACAACGCGGAAGAAGACCCAAGTTCGTAGCTGCCTAAAGATACAAGGAAGAAGAAATGCAACTAGATAACGCTCGCTCCTGCTGGGTATCCAAACGCCGACAAATCATCTGCTGGTCCGCATACCGTGCATGCCGCCAGTCTTCCATGCCTATGCCCCCCCTTTGTGTTTGTGACCACCGCCACCACGATGCGTGATGTCTGAATCTGCACAGAGACTCAGAGGAAGAAGTCCAGTCATGCTCGCAGTTCCCGCCTCTTCCTTCCCGCGACGCCACCACACTCATGGCACTCGAATCCAGAGCGCCCGACGCTCACCCGGCACAGACAGCGGCCGCACCTCCACCAGGCCTTGACGACGTTCCTGCCTTGATACCACGCCTCGCCCTCGTCCACGCCCCGCTTCTCAATGTCCTCCCTGTGAAACTCGCGTAGATGGTCCCTGTAGTGATCGCGGCGATGGAAGGGGTCTTGGCGTCGTGAGCACCGCGAGTAGTCGCACGGGTAGTTCTGCGTGGGGACAGAGTGCATGTGGGTAATGTGCCGACTCAGATCGGCACGGCGCTTGAACGCCTTTGGGGTCTGCCGAGGGCAGTGGGGGCAGGGGATATTGGTAGAACTGGAGAGTGCCCTGTGTCTGCGATCAGCCATGTCTGTTGCGGACTTCCACGAGGGATGGTGACGATGAGCATACCGTTGGCGGGAGAGAGACGGGGGAGATGGAGGAGCAGGAGCAGGAGCAGGAGCAGCCGCAGCCGCAGCGGAGTAAGGACACTGAGCGGCGAGGTCCAGCTCGGGGATGGCCAGACTTGGGAACGAGGTCGGCGCGACCGGTGGCAGGCTGGGCGAAGGGTCGAAGGAAGATGCAGGGGAGATTGTGTAGTCCATGCCTGGCGAGGTGGGAAGCGAAAGGGGTGTTGTGAGGCGCGAGACCAAGGCCCAGCTCGTTCCATAGGCGGTGGCTGGGCTGAGCATGTTCATGTTTGGGTCAAAGGAGCTGTACGGACTGAACGGACCGTCCCAGGAGCCCATGTCCATGGGTGCGCTATGGTACGAGTCGCAGGTGGTCGTCGACTGGAACGATTGGGCCCCTGAGCTGTCACAGCGCTCGAGAGGTACGCTCTGTAGACGTTGGCAGGGTGGCAGGGAGGCTGCTTGCTGCTGCTGCTTCTGCTGCTGCTGAGGAAGACATGGAGTGTCCAGGTCCGGCATGCCAAAGAAGAATTCTTCGAGCTCGTCGAAGGACATGTTGTCTTCCAGGTACTTCGATCCACACCTGTCCCCCAACTGCACAGGAAGAGCCTGAGCCCAGTTGGTGTTGCTGGTCATCGTTCGGCAAACACAGGCTCTATCTCGTGCTTTTTCGTTTCTGTTCTATTGGTACGCGATGAGAGAGAGAGCCGCGCTCAGGCAGGCTCAACGCAGTATATGCCGAAGAAGAAGATCCGTCTTGGAGAGATTGCCAAGACCGTGGGAAGCAATACGTGGGAGGGGAACATGTAAAATAGTATGTGCGCGATGCAATCTATAATACACCTGAGAAAAAAAAGAATAGATGAGTAAAGTGAAGAAGGGAGATGAAGGGGCAGGTTGTCGAGTCGATGGGTAGAAGATATATATGTACAGCAGATAAGGGATCGGACGTCGACTGCCCAGCCCTACGGAGGCTCAGGTGCCAAGCCCGTGCCATCTTGCATATTAAACCTTGCCCTGCTCCGGTCTGGTCAGTGAGGCGGTGGGCACGTCCAGAGTCCTACGCACTACTATGTAGGTACGTACCGGGGTGAGGTGACCGACCACTTTGGTCGTTCCACGGGAAGACGAAACAGCCAAAGAGGGCGTGGGCATATTACCACTTGCCGGCAGCTTCCTGGGAGACTGACAGCAGAGTTTGGCAACCACAGTGCGGATAGCGCAGATCATGTCTGGGCCTTACCGGTATGTATTCCAGGGACAAGGGTGTCGACGGACCAATGCCAGGTGTGCAGATGAGATCGTGTCACTCCATACAGAAGCAGTGGAGAGCTCTGTGCTCGCGGGCTGGCCCTAATCCTGTCAGAGCCAGCCAGGCCAGCGGCAGAAAGACCAAGGGAAAAGGGCGTGGCGAGGCGGTGCTGGTACAGCCATCTGGCATAGATAGGGCGCAGACAAGAGACCTCGTGATCTAGTTTGCATTATCTCTCCGGCAACTAATAAGCTACAGTGGTGAAGAGCTACGAGTGAGTGTCCTGAAGCGGCAAGAGGGTCGGGTGGGGTCTGGGTCGGAGGCAGACAGTGAGTGACCTGCGGCTAAAGCAATTGCAAGTTCAGTCTGGCTGGCGCGCGCAGACTACGGTTAGCAGTCCGGGGAAGCTGTTTTCCACATGCATGCATGACACACTGTGACAATGCGGGCTCTGGCCTCCCAAGGTGAGGTGCAACAGGGTTGACGTGTTGACGTGAAGCAGTTTGTCCAGCACTGCGCGATCCGTCAGAGTCCAATCGCCTGTGAGGTTTGTAGACGAACTGTCCCTCGTGACACCGAGGACTGGGAGGTATAACTGCATGGGAATCCATCCAAGACTCAAGGTAGGAGAGAAAAGTCCCGATCAAAGGGCCCCCCCCCCCCCCCCGTCTACTCGCCTGTAAATTGTAAAACGAGACACCCGGCAGTCGGTGCAAGTACCTGGTAGCCACAGGCCCTCGTGACAGCGATGCACGACGAACGGCAACTCCATGCCATTTTGTCCAACCAGCAGAAAGGGCTTCAACGGAGGTCCAGCCCACTGGAGCCATGGACAGGGGGGCTGGGGCTGGGTGCCAAATCGGACTGGAGACTGGCGTGTATGCACGTATGACGATGCGAATGGGAACAACATACCTTATGAGGGAATGGAACGCGCTGCGCATGTGCTGTCGCTTGTTGTCCTACTCGCCAGTCGCCATTGTCAAATAGGAATCTCAGCCGCCCGACAGCGAAGCATTTGTGTGGTCTGTGACCTGCCCCCTCCCCCCCATTTACCCTGATGAGTGAGCATGCATGTGCAGTTGACCGAGCTTCAAATCGGGGCCGTGGAAACGCTGCACGCACTGCCCCCTGTGATAGTAGCGAGCTGAGAGCCTTCGCTGGATATGCACAGTGCCAACATCTAAGCGCGTACATGTCGGCTCGTCTGCATCATTCATGTTTCCTGCGTCCATCACCTCCAGCAGATGTCCATCAATTCCGCCGTTCATTGGGACTGAGACTGGCAGATGGATCAGGAGAAGTACGTGACCGCCAAATGAGTGGACAGGTGCACATCATCCTCGCCTCACGCAAGTGGCCTTTTCATTGGTGATATTGATGTCTGCCTAGAGAGAGAAAGTCGGTGCCTGCTGCTGGCGACATTTGGAGTCGAGAGAGGGATCATCGCACGGTGCTTCGAGGCCGACATGGGTATAGGATCGCAGCAAAACCCAAATCCATGCTCAGTCACAGTGACGATTTCCCTATGTACAAGTAGTCGCGGCTAATAGGAGCCCTATCCACCGTTATTCCCGACACCTAGTCTACCTTGTCGGGTTCCATTTGTTCATGGTCGCGGCAGTGGACTATTATTCGCTTGCTGTTGTGGGCTGTGACAGTAGACTGGGGAAATCGGAGGAGGCAGTGCAACGATATCGTGACAGTTCACTCATCTCCCTTGTGTGAACGGACGGGACCGAGCCGGAGCAGCCAAAGTTTCATTCCGTACGGACTACGTAGTAGAGTCTGGTAAATAATTACGCGGTAATTACTGTGTCGATCAAGCTGAGGTGCCTTCGTTGAAGCCAGACCAGTAGCACCTACTAACTTACCCTACGTCACTCATCGCTTCGCCAACACTGGTGCGATGCGACAGCTCACCAACGTGAAGGCGCAAACAGATTGATCCCTATGACTATGGAGGGGCCAGTTTCGTTTCATCCAGACACAGTACCCCCGTCATCGTGCCATGGTTCCTATCGCTGCGTACAGCAACAGGGGTAACCATGTCGCGGCAAACAGCATGAGACACAATACTGATGTGCACCAAGCATGTGTCCCTCAATCACGGCTAATAGTCACTTCTTCTCCAGCTAGACAGCCTTTCACCGGATGAGATGCGCAGACCTCCGAAGTGGCCTCTTTCGCCTCGTTCGTTATCTCAATCACATGGGCTTAGCGTCTCTCGGCAAGCATCCAACTTGCCGAGAATCGGAGCCCAAGGCAAGCAAGCACAAAACAAAATCCTGATTACCGAGCGCGCATGACCTGCGATACCTAAGTAATACAACAAACAGTCCCAGCCGTCCGTCCCTTGTGCCGTGGGAGAAAGCAATGAAGTGAGGGCAGCTGCCGTCACCCTTGTACGCCTGCCTGCCTGCCTGCCTGCATCCATCCCCCTTTCCCTGTCCCGAAAAGCATAAGCACGCGTGCGCCTTGATCTAGTCATCCTCGAGGAACTTGTAGACGAACTTGAAGTCGGCCTTACGACGGTTCATCCTGCTCTCCTGTTAGCTTGGCACGTCACCTTGCAACAACCGCACCAGCAGATACGTACCACGTGCTCTCGTAGTCGAAGAAGCGATAAGTCCCCTGCTCATAGTCCTCCGTGATGCTCTTAGGCTCCTCGTGGCGCTGAAACCAGGTCTGGTACTGCTTGTGGAATCGCCACGCGTGGTGCTTGAGCCACTGCGCGGCCAGCAGCTGATACGGCGTCCCCTGCTGGTAGTAGAACACGTAAAAGAGCGTGTCCGGGTCGATGCGAGAGTATAGTCGCGGGTCGCCAAACAGCGCAAGTGGTTGCGTGGGGAACCTGGCCGCCGCGGCCGCCTTGGCCACCCTGTCGTTGCGCTGATATGTTGTTGGCGGCTCGGCATCGGCAGCGGTTGGACGGTGGTCTTCCTCCTCGGTACCCCATGCGGCTTTCATCATCTCGTACGCTGCGCCGGACGCTGGGTGAGGTCGGTTGTCCTTGGTAGCCTCGTACGCGTCCACGAGATCCTGCAGCGAGGACGGCAGGTGGTAGATGGACTCCTCCTCCGGCTCCTCCTCTATAGGCTTGATGCCGTTGGTGTGGCCATTCGTGTGTTGCGCTGTGCTTGTTAGCCTCCGGTTTGTCCAATGTGCAAAAAGCCACAAACCCTTCGCCGCCGCCACCGAGGCCTCGGCCGCCGCCGCAGCTGCTGCCGCGGCCTTGGCCTTGCTCTTCTTGCCCCTCGTCGATATCGTGATGGGAATTTCTGGTTCGGCGTACATCATCGCTGGCGTGGATTGCTTAGAGTCATACTGCGCGGGCTGTATCGACGCACTTGCGGGTGAATTCGTGGCGCTCGCGCGTGACTGTCCATCGGGCAAAGAGGAGGGACCTGGTGCGCCCGGCGGTGGCGGTAAAGGCGCGATGCCCACATTGCTCTTCTCGCTTGCTGCCGCCGCCGCTGCTGCTGACGCATATTTGAGTCCCTCGGTCGGCCTCGCTGGCGCCTGCGCAGGCTTCATCGCCGGCCCACTCGCGCTTCCATTGCTGATTGTCGGTAACGGAGTATGTAATGTCGCCAGGGCCGGTAGAGGAGACCTTGTCGCAGCAGATGATTTTCGTATCGCCGCTGCTGGTCCTCCTACTGCTGTGGCCGCTGCTGGCGGCTCTTCCTTTTCTTTCACAGGCTTCTTCGGTTTCGCTGGTTCGGGTTCGGGCGTCGCTTCCTCGTTGACCACAGATCCACCATCCTGTGATGAGTTCTTGTCGTCGCCGGTCATGCCGAATGCCCCCTCCTCCTCCTCGAGATCAAGCTCGTCGTACAGCCCGTCGTCCTCTGGAAAGTCGTCGTTCATGCCCTCCGCGACGTAGTACTTGATGCTCTCTTCCAGTTCCATGACCTGGTCCGTGTCGACGCCACCATTCTCCAGCGACCGCCTGATGAGTTCCAGCTTGCCTTGATGCCATTTGTGTTGCTCGATGATCTGTTCAATCCGCGCAATACGTTCGGCCTTGTCGCGCTGTGATTTGCCCTTTTTCATCGTCGCCGATAATTGCTCGCTCTCGACCTCGAGGGCCTCGATCTGTTGCTCCAGCTCATCGACCGTATTGCTGAGGAACTCGCCCGCGTCCAGTTTGGCTTGTTCTTTCGGATCGAGTTTCGCGGCTGCTGATAACCCTTCTTTCGAATACGCCTTGGTCTTCATGGCCTTTTCCACTGCCTTGAACTTCTCCATTTGCTGCTCTCGGTTAGTTCCGCCGACTCTTTGCCGCACCGGCTCTGCCGCCAGTTGTCGCCATCGTCAATCATACCGTTTCTATCAGCCGCCTTTGCTCCATTAACGGAGCCTTGTCCTTGATGTCATTGCTGGCCGCCCATGTCTTGATCTGGTCGCGCAAGCGCTGTAGTTTCTTGATCTCCCGTTTCAAGTTGTCCTCTTGCTTCTCCTTCTGCGCTTGGTTGTTGGACTGCTCGAGCTTGTCGTAGATGGACTCAAACTCGGCGATGCCTTCCGCCACCTTCTTGAAGCACTTGTCGACTTCCTGCTGTAGTTTTCGCGCCGCCATTGTGGTCTGTGGAGGCGCGCTGCCTCTGGTTCGGGGGTTGTGTTCAAGTGTCGTTTGCTTTCGTGGGGTCAGTGTGAAGGATGTGCACCCTCTCGCTCTGGGGTATGCTCCCGATTCTGGAGTACAGGGCGTGTTCTAGTCGCCGCAAATCAATTGCAAATGATCTGCCTGAGATCTGTTGTCGTCGGTTGCGATCGCCGCAGTCTTGAAGCTTCCTAAGCCTGTCGTGGTCGTTCGAAGTTGAGATGGCGTTCGGATACGTAAGGTTGAGCTAGCGGCATCATTGGTCCAGGGCGGGAGGTAGCGGCCACCAGGGGCTTGTTAGGCAGTTGGGACTACGGTGCTCAAGATACCTTGAACGGCGAGACTGAGCCAATTCTGAAAGAGCTTGGAGAGGCGAAACACTGTACGCAGACTTTTCTAAGTATTTTCTGAGGCTGAGAGATAATACTGTTGCTTGTGTAACAGGTTGTTGTCGTCGTGGCCTATTGTTCGGTACATGACTCAGCATTGTTCGTGTTAAGCGCGCTGAAGAGCTTCTCCCTGATATCCGCTCACATGACCTCACGCGTCTCCTCTTGGCGCCGCAGGAGGTCGGCTGTCCAGATTCGGCCCTGTTTTATATTGCCCGTTCTCTACGCTCTCCTCACTGTGCTGCAGTGCAAGATCTCATGTCATAGACTTCCTAGCTTCATTTCCGTTCTTGCGATCACTCGTTTTCGTATATTCGTCGCAATCGCAGGCCGTCATCGTCAGTCATTATGAAGGGTATGATCCCTCTGCCACGAAAAGCAACTGCCCCTGGATGAGCGCCCAACTTACATCTCGCGTAATGTTGCAGCCATCATTCAACGGGTCCTCTCAGCATCTGTCACCGTCGACAAGGAGGTAGTGTCGTCCATCGGCAAAGGGATCTTGGTATTTGCCGCTGTGGCCCCCAATGATACCGAGAAGGAGATGAACGCCATTGCGGCCAAAGTCACAAAAATGAGGTTGTGGGACGACGAAAATGGCGCCAAGGTTCGTTCTGCATCTTCAAGAACTTGTACTCTTGGTTCTGACAAGATGCAGTGGAAGGAATCCGTCAAAGACATAGGTGGCGAGATCCTGTGCGGTATGACTTCCCGTGGTCAAGCATACTGCAACCTCAGCTGACGCATGGTAGTCTCACAATTCACACTCCTTGCTCGCACAAAAAAGGGCACCAAACCTGACTTTCACGGGGCCGCCAACCCGGAAGACGCAAAGCGGTTATACGACCACTTTGTCGGCGCTGTGAGGAAGGAATACGAGTCCGATCGGGTTAAAGACGGAGTGTTCCAGGCGATGATGGAGGTCGCCTTGGTGAATGATGGTCCGGTGAGTGAGCCTTTTCCAAGTCCATGCTCATGCGCTCACAAGTTTTCCAGGTCACGCTAGAGCTGCAAGCCGGCGAGAAGATAGAATAGATCTTGAATGTCGGCACTTCAATGCTGCACATTGACTCATGAACGAGGAATGCAGGCTCACAGAAACTCCTCGCGTCATCGAAGAAAAGGGGTCCGACAGGAGTTGACATCGCTGGCTGCGGCCTTGAACCGCACAGATGGTACCAGCAAGTATTTGGCATCCACGACACCTACTCTCGGGTGCAGACCCCAAGCAGGACATAGGAACGGGGAAATGCCCGATCGATGTCCAGTCCCATGCAGCCTTGGGGCTGGTGAGGAGCCATTGATAATGGGCAGCAAGACCAGTGGCGATAACCACAAATCGAACCAGGCGAGGCCGAGCTCGCGAAGCATTGACTGTAAAGTCTTGGGTCTCTCTCCGGATTTAGGCCGTTTCTTTTCACATTCAGCTCCTAATCGCCGGCAAGGACCTACTTCAGAGTCCAAGCGTCAGCGCACCTTCGCAGAGACCACGTTCGAGCCTGGAAACCTCAGTTTAGCCATGGACAGTCCCCTCCATGGTACGGATACCACTCCCTCGATTGGTGGAAATGTGATCAACCGGGACATTGATAGCGCGTGGTCTGGTGTCGACCCCAGGCTTTCCCCGCAATCGTGACAGGCCATGAACCCAGCCCCCGACATCAACCAACAGCTCTATCGCGAACAAGCATTTGCCATCCCGGTCACCCTCCCGGCTCTTCGTATTGCCGCTGCCTCTTGGCGTTTCTTCTCTCGAATACGGAACATGTAGAAGCGCTGCTGTAGCATGTGCTTCCACGGCCTTTAGTGTCACCGATGGACAGCCGGTGGGATGAGTCTGTTGGTTTGGCTCGCCAGTAAACTCTTGTCACTGTCAATCGCCGTGGCCACGGCATTGCATTGCCCGCTTGCGTTGTTGATCATGGTCTCTTGCAAGCTCGCTCAAGTCTTTGAGCCGGTTCAGGCTAATCAATTGCAGCTTGTACCATCATCATGGCCACTGACTATATAAGGACCAAAGCTGGACCTCGAGGGTGGTCCAGCTTTGTACTCTTGACGCACTCACATGTGCCCGCTGTTTGACTGAAGCAAAACTGCACTGTCCATCATGAAGAAAAGCGCCGACATCCAGGAGCAGCCCGCAGTGGCTGTGTCCACAGGGTTCGACGATGACCTCCAAAAGCCCGACCTGACCCAGCGCCACGGCGTCAAGCAGATGGACGTTGAGTCCACCGCTCTCGCAGACGCCATCGCCAAGGATGCGCCAGACTACAGGTCCACCACGCAGATCAAGCTGTACGCCATGATGGCGCTCTGCGTCCTGAACGGCATTATGAATGGCTACGACGGCTCCGTCATGAGTGCCATCAATGCCATGGATCCCTTTCAAGACCGCTTCAAGATTGGCATGACCGGCAACTTGAACGGTGCCGTGTTCTCCATCTACACCGCTGGCAGCATCGTGGGCAGCCTGGGCTGCGGCTTCATCATGGACAAATGGGGCCGTCGTGCGGGCATGTTCATGGGTGCCGGTTTCATCGTCCTCGGCTCCGTGCTGCAGGCTAGCAGCCACCACCTCCCCCAGTTCATGATCGGCCGCTTTATTGTCGGGTTCGGCAACCCCATGTGCGCGACGACTGCCGCCGTCTTCATCGTCGAGCTATCCTACCCCACGTGGCGAGGTTTGGCTGGTGGACTGTACAATGTGCTCGGATGGAACATTGGTGCCAACAGTAAGTCTTGACACCTTTACACCTACTTCGAACTGCATGCTGACGACGTAGTCGCTTCCTGGGGCTGCTATGGCACCAACTACATTGCCAACGACTGGTGCTGGAGGATCCCCTACATCATCCAGCTCTTCTTCCCCGCGGTCGTCTTCTGCCTCGTCTGGTTCCTGCTCCCCGAGAGCCCCCGCTGGCTCTGGGCCAACGGACAAGCCGATCGTGCTAGGGAAATCTTGGTCAAGTACCATGGCAACAATAACCCGGACTCGGCTCTCGTCAAGCTCGAGATTATCGAAATGCAGGAGGCTCTCGAGGCCGAGGAGGCGACCAGCAACCGGAACCTGAACTACAAGGTCCTCGTCGACAACCGGCCCAACCGCCTCCGCCTGTGGCTCCTGTGCCTCGTCGCCGTCTTTGCCAACTTCATCGGTGGCTCCGTTATCTCGTACTACCTGCCTGTCATGGTCAACGACATTGGTATCACAGACTCCCGCCGCCAGCTGCTGATCAACGGTATCAACACCATCGTCAGCTTCATAGCCGGTCTCTTCGGCTCCTTCTTCGTCGACAAGTTCGGCCGTCGTCCTTTGTTTCTGTGGGGCACGTTCCTCACCGGGCTCGTCTACATCCCGATCAACGTGCTGGCGGCCCGTGCAGAGGGCTACGACGAGGGCGCCATCCCTCGGTCGCAGGCATACGCCTTCATCGCCATGGTGTTCAGCTACGGCATCTTCTGGGGCTTCTGCTGGACGCCTCTGCAGGCCCTGTACCCAGCGGAGATCCTGAACAACGAGATCCGCGCCAAGGGGATGGGTGTCAAGGGTCTCCTGACGGGCCTGTCGAGTTACATCAACACGTACGGCACCTCGGTGTCGCTCAAGAACATTGGCTGGAAGACCTACACCATCTTCCTCATCCTCCACTTTGTGCACAACGCGCTCATGTGGTGGTCGTGCGTGGAGACCAAGGGACGCACGTTGGAGGAGATTGACGAGATCTTCAACGACCCCAAGCCGGTCAAGAGAAGTCTGCAGAAGACGACAATCATCTCTGAAGCGGGTGCGGGTATCCAGATCAAGGAGGAGAGCGCGTGAGGGGTCTGCTGTGGGAACTGGAGGTCTATTTGAATTCCGGGAGTTCACGGATCGTTTGTGGTATGCCTTTGCTAGAAAAGGTGGCCTGGATTGAACAAGTATGGATAAGATGATTAATGACCCCTCAAAATCATTCTGTTTAGTGATGAAGATAGAGGGACGGACGTACATGTACGTGTGCAGTCGCTGCTGGGTCCAAGGCGTACAGCCTACCCTAGAGATCCAAGACTGGATCCAGGGGTAGCTCCCACGCTAGCCTGATTTGTCGCCTATCCACACCAGAGGCCACTTAGCCCGTCTCGAGCTATGACGGCAGCCGCTCCGGCAGCTGCATAGCTCGACGACATTCAGCAGTCATCCAATTTGGACAATCGCACATTTGACAAGCCAGATCCCTTCCCATCTGCTCGACACTACTGAACAATCATCAACATGGCCGACGCAGAGGAGAAGGCGCGCCAGGAGAAGATCGCTGCCGCCAAGAAGCGCGTTCGTCACGCGATCCCCCACCTGTACCAGGATGCCGCTGACAAGGCCTAGGTCGAGGCAATGAAGAAGAAGAAGAAGGGCGGCGCATCCAAGAAGAAGGGCGACGCATCCAAGGAGGAGCCAAATGAGGAGCCTCCGGCCGAGGACGCAGAGCAGCCCGAGCCATCGACCGACGCCCAAGCAGCGGAAGCGGCCGAGGAGAAGCAGCCTCAGCCCGAAGAAGCCGCCGCCGATGACGACAAGGCAGACGATGCGTCCACGCCGTCTCTTGCGCAACAGTCCAAGATGCGCTCCACCTCCTTCCGCGCGGGCGCTGGTGCGGGCGCAACGTCCTCGGGGGCCGAGGGCGGCGACACTGCACCAGACATCTACCGCAAGCACGTTGCGCGCATAGAAGAGCTAGAGAAGGAGAACAAGCGACTGGAGAAAGAAGCCGGCGACAGCGAGAAGAGGTGGAAGAAGGCTGAGGATGAGCTCGCCGACCTGAGGGAAGCCGAGGGCGATGCGCCCAAGGGCGATGATGTCGAGAAATTGGTAGGTCATTGGTCGGCCGTGCGTTGTGCTTGAGGCCCCTTTGCTCACAGTGGTCACAGAAGAGCGAAATCGCATCACTCGAACGACAAAACACGCAGCTCCAGCAACAAGTGTCCAAATCAGGTCATGGCCACCGCGCGTCCGTGTCTGTCGCATCACCGCCTCCCGATCTCCAGGCCGAACTGGACAGCAAAGCCTCGACCATTGAATCGATGGAGATTGAGCTTTCCCAGCTCAAAGCCCGCCTCGAGCGCCAGGAGTCCGGGGCCGAGACGGACAAGGGGCAGGTCTCCGCCCTCGAGGAGAAGCTGGCGCGCGCGGAGGCGGCCGCAGGCAAGGCACAGCGCGAGCTGCAGGACGTCAAGCGCAACCTGGACCGTACGGCGGAAAAGGCAGTCAAGGAGGGCAGTGCGCGCTCGAGTGCCGAGACAAAGGTGCACAGCCTGGAGACGGAGCTCACCCAAGTCAAGACCGCCAAGGAGGATCTGGAGAAGAAGCTCGAGGCTGTCGAAAAGAAGGTGTCTACTTTGACGACGCTGCACAAGGAGCAAGACGGGAGGCTACAAAGTCTACGGAAAGAGAAGGAGGCCGCGGAGAAGGAGCTTGGGGAGCTCAAGTCCAAGGTCGAGAGCTTGGAAAGCGAGAATACAAAGCTCAAGAGCCGCAAGTCTACAGAGGGCGGTGGTGGTCTTGATGACGAGGGCGTGGATGAGCTCGAGAACGAGGAGCGCATGAAGCTGGAGCGCAAGATCCGTAGCCTCGAATCCGAGGTGCACGAGCTCCGCAGCGGGCACTGGATCGACAAGCGACGTGAGATGGAGGCCACTAGTCCTGGCTTCCAGGACGTCGACCTGTCAGGGGGCCACGCGCCGCCAAAGAAGGCATCGCACGGCGGTGGTGGTGGCATTGGCGAGTTCTTTACGAGCGGATTGAATGCGCTGGCGGGCACGGATGACCTGCTCCCCGACGACGACGACATGGACTTTGACGAGGATGCGTTTAGGCAGGCGCAGCAGGAAGAGGCCAGTCGAAGGCTGGAGAGGATCAAGGAGATCAAGAGGTCGCTGAAGCACTGGGAAGGCTGGAGGCTGGACATTGTCGACGTGCGGCGTGGGGGCGGCGAGGGCCACGGTGACATTTTCGAGGTGTAGGTGCTTCTTACCTGCTTTGGACGCTGTATGATGATAGCTACGTAGAGTATTGCACGACTGATGGGTGCGACCGCGCATTTGCAGCGTCACATTGTGATGCGGGTGTCCAATTGTTGTCGCCCAAAGTAATGGCTCAATTCAGCCGAGTGTACGGATAAGCACGGTTGGTAGAATATGTAGCAACGAGAGAGCGGCACAGCTCACGCAAAGGGCAGGTGAGTTGGCCTTCCCCGCAACCCCGGATTGACGGAAGTGTGCATTGCGCGTCCTGTGATGGATGGTTCTGTCGTTCAAAGTTCCTTTGCATGTCTCGATGATGTGTACCTATCACGTTGGGCGCCGCAGCTTCACGGGCGTAGAGGAGCTGTGTAGGGTAGGGGTAGGGTACGATACTGGAGGAGGATAGCCCAGCAGAGGATAGCCCAGAAAAGATAGTCCACTGAAAGGACTGGAGCAAGGCCCCATCAGTTACGTGAAGGACATGACAAGTTGACAACGACTAACTGAGACTGGCCCATGTCCGGTGCGGTTACTGCGGTATTAACTGGTGTCGCGGCATTACCAGCACCCGCCGATGCTCGGCGCCCCAATGTGTGTGGCCTGGGGCATGGGACTCACTCACCCAGACAGGCTGAAGAGAGAAAAAAAGAGCGACAAAAAGCTTGCCTCCTCCCTCCTGTGTCGCCGACTCCCAGAATCACACAAAACACAACGCGCTCGCACTTGACATCGCCGTTGGCGCATTGCATCGGCATCGGCTCCTACTTCAGTGGCCCGACGTCACTCCGCGCACCGGCCGGCTCCATCTCCATCTCCAGTCTCTCTTCTCCAAAAACGTCCCGCCCGCCGCCACGCACTGACTGGTCTGGTCGGCAAAGCAGCTTCGCTATACCCTCGGCTCAAGCAGGCGTTCGTTCACCACACCAAGGCGCCCCTCTCGGACTAGTCCCGAGCGTGTATTGACTGCTCGATTGCCCTCTGTACGATAGACTCGGTTCCTCCTCCTCCTCCTTCACCATGAGCGCCCTACGTCTCTCCCTCCGCCGCTCCTCCTCCGCCCTCACCAGCGCGCCTCTACGCTTCGGTGCCGTCCAGACAATCTCCTCTCCTCGCTTCTTCTCCGCGTCCGCCGCCATGGCCTTCAACAAGATCAAGGTCAAGAACCCCGTCGTCGAGCTCGACGGCGACGAGATGACGCGCATCATCTGGCAGTCCATCAAGGACAAGTTCATCTTCCCCTACCTCGACATGGACATCAAGTACTACGACCTCGGCCTCGAGTACCGCGACCAGACCAACGACCAGGTCACCCTCGACGCCGCCGAGGCCATCAAGAAGTACTCGGTGGGCATCAAGTGCGCCACCATCACCCCCGACGAGGCCCGCGTCGAGGAGTTCAAGCTCAAGAAGATGTGGCTCTCCCCCAACGGCACCATCCGCAACCACCTCGGCGGCACCGTCTTCCGCGAGCCCATTGTCATCCCCCGCATTCCCCGCCTCGTCCCCGGCTGGGAGAAGCCCATCATCATCGGCCGCCACGCCTTTGGCGACCAGTACCGCGCCAAGGACGCCGTCATCCCCGGCCCCGGCAAGCTCTCCATGGTCTTCACCCCCGAGGGCGGCAAGCCCGAGGAGGTCGAGGTCTTCAAGTTCAAGAACGGAGGCGGCGTCGCCCAGACCCAGTACAACACCGACGAGTCCATCGCCGGCTTCGCCCACGCCTCCTTCAAGCTCGCCCTCGCCAAGGGCCTGCCTCTCTACATGAGCACCAAGAACACCATCCTCAAAAAGTACGACGGGCGTTTCAAGGACATCTTCCAGGAGATCTTTGAGGCCCAGTACAAGAAGGACTTTGACGCCAAGGGCATCTGGTACGAGCACCGCCTGATCGACGACATGGTCGCCCAGATGGTCAAGAGCAGTGGCGGCTACATCATGGCCCTGAAGAGTGAGCAGTGAGCGCTTCCTTTTAAAAGAGACGTACGCTGACCCAGCCAGACTACGACGGTGATGTCCAGTCCGATATTGTCGCCCAGGGCTTCGGCTCTCTCGGCCTCATGACCTCCGTTCTCATCACCCCCGACGGCAAGACGTTTGAGTCGGAAGCCGCCCACGGCACCGTCACCCGCCACTACCGCGAGCACCAAAAGGGCAACGAGACCTCCACCAACCCCATCGCCTCCATCTTCGCCTGGACCCGCGGTCTCTCCCAGCGCGGCGTCCTCGACGAGACCCCCGAGCTCGTCGCCTTTGCCGAGTCGCTCGAGCAGGCCTGCATCGACACCGTTGAGAAGGACGGCATCATGACCAAGGACCTGGCCCTGGCGTGCGGCAAGAAGAGCCGCGAGGACTATGTCACCACAAACGAGTACCTGAACGCCGTCGAGAGGCGGATGAAGAACCTGCTCAAGGAGAAGCTGTAGACCCGGGCAATTGCGTTATGTTTGTAGCAAGCATGCACACAGCATTATAGACAAGCAACAGGGGGGGCAATGTATATATGATGGCACGATTTTTCAGACCAATTTCGGCGGTAGATATCTATGCGTTTCTGCTCGATACAATGTCAAGTGCAATGATTCATTTCCTTCTGTTCATTCGGGAGAGAACACGCCTCCGTTTCCCGCGTAATATAACAATGCCGCCCCTGAGCGCCATCAAGCAATAAGCCGTACAAGCCAATCAATTTCGTTGATAGTGCGAAATCACACTCATACTCTGATGTGAACGACTGACTGACAAGCAGCCATTCTTCCTGTACCGTAAAACAATGTGTGATCACTCCTGGTTCCCGCAACCCCTCGATTGACGCGAGAATATCCGATGCTCCTTTGCTATCGTACAATGATTCGAGCCTCCTTCCGCTCCCCTTCACAATTCACGCCATGCCTTTTGAGCCCTCATCTTAGCTCACGGGCTCTACCACAGGGCCAGGCATACCCTTCTTCGACTTCTTGCTGCTCGGCGTCTCCGCAGCCGCTCCTTCGCTCTTACGCTTCTTCTTAGTCGGTCGTGCACTCGAGCCTCCCTTGGGCCTGTACCCGCCATCATCGTCCCGCTTCCGCTTGCCCTTGACGGCGGGGGGCTCGCCGTCCTCGTCGACGCTGACATCGCCCGCCTCCGCCTGCGCTGCCTTGTCAGGCCGAGGCGCCGCATTGCTCGCGCGCTTCCCGCGGCTCTTGCCCGCGTTGCCGCGCTCGCCCTTGGGCCCGCCGCGGGCCTTCTTGGTGTGCCCGTCGTCGTCGTGGTCTTCGGCGCCGTCCCCGCCCGACGCCTGGAGGAAGATGTGGGGGGCGTGCTTGCGGAGCCAGCTGGTGCTGCTGTTGGGGTTGCGAAGGAGAGGGTGCTGGGGGGGATGCTCGCTCGGATGGGCCAGGGGGGCCAGTGTCGGGATATGGGTCTCCGGATCGAGCGAGACGTCAATCATGTGAAGATAATTGTCGACGTCGTCGGTTGTGAGGAAGTGCGACGGGTAGGGCTCCGCCGCGTCCTTCTCGAGCTCTGTGAGCAAGCTTGGGTTGGTCTCCTTGGCCGTCTCGAATGTCAGGTGCGGCACGTCGCGCTGCAGGTCGCCCAGTCTCTTGAGGCTGCTGGGGTCTGATTGCTGTGTCGTCGCGTCGGGGGTGGCGCCATTCTCCGTTGATATGGACACATCGACTCGCTTCTCGGGCGGGATCTGCGGCGAGTTGTTGATGTCTTGTAATAAGTCCATTAACCGGCTGTGGCAGGGGTCAGTCTGACGATGCTCGATGGGCGTGCGCACCACGCGCGACGATGGTCAAGGATATCACCTACTCATTCTCAACTGCTATCCTTTTCACGGTCGCGGCGGCTTTGGCTTCCTCCTTGAAGATGTCGTCTCCTTGCTGCATCGTCTCCTCGAACCCGATGCGCATCTTGCGATACTTCTTCTTCCATGACTTGTAGCCTGCTTTCCGCGGTGCCACGTCGCGCAGCGGTGATTTTGCACTCATTGCTGTGTTGTGTAGATTCGAGAAGAGGAGAAGAGATGGATTCGTACGCGTGGTGCGGGTGTTGGGCCGTCCCAATGGTGCTGAGCGCGCGCGGGCCCTCGGCAATCTGGATGCGATTGATCTCGAATGATTATGATGATGGAATGCGAGAACCGTGATGATTTTACTAAGATGGGTGACTGCAGATGGAGGGATGCGCAGCGCTAGATGGCGGCCTGGACGGTTGATGTAGGGAGAATGCCGTGAAGCAGAGAAATCAATGCTGACACCTGCGCGCGCGGACCGCCATCGTCATTTTCGGCGGTGCCTCCCACCAACGCGCGCTTGTTGGCTGGCCAGGTTTTGGTGGTGAGCAAACACTGCCTTCTCCCTGCTTATAACGGCACCAATTGCACCTTTAAAACACTCGAAAAACTTGCATTGTCAATAATTGGCCCATGGTCCGTATGTTGATGATTTGCACATGTCCTCATTACGCTTCTATGGTTACTTCACTTCACGCCGCCACCTCCTGGCCCAGCCGCTGGAGCTCCTCTTTGATGAACTCGGCCGCGTTGATCATTTCCGTGCTCCCGTACACCACCCTTTTACGCGCTGTTTCTCCGCCCGTCCTCGTGACCCAGTCCTGCAAGTTGCCGTATTCCTCCATGCTGCCGCCGCCAATGGTGAACACAATCGCCTGACTGTACCCTTGCCTACGCTGGCCGAAGCTGGCTGTCTGGCCCATCGACCCGGGGAGACCGCCTGGCATGTTGCTGTTGCCCTGTCGCATCGTGCTTGGCGGCGGCATGGCACCACGTGCATTCGCTGACCGCGGGTCGTAGTAGAGATAGTTTTCTGTCTTGGCAATGGCTGACGACGAGGCCTGGGAGGGGTCCATTATCGATTCCACAATCTTCGTCACCGTCAGGTCCTTGTCAACCGGCAAGAAGTTTTTCACGCCGCTGACGAGCGACTCAAAGTTGGAGGACAGTCCAGTGTGGACGCCAGTCTCCTTCAGGCGGTCGGTGAGGCGCGTTGATATTGAAGAGAAGCGGCCAAAGAGGTCTGTGCTGCCTTGTTGTTGGGGCTGCGTCTTGTTGACGGTTGCGAGTTGCGTCATCTTGGTCGTAGCGCGTACTCTGTCGAGCTGTTAGCAAATGTTGCCGTGTATGTAGCCTGCATCTACTCACTGTCGTATGTAGGGCAGCGATGACACGTCTGCCCCGGCAGCCTCGAGGGCCTTGGTGAAGCTCTCAAACTCAGTGCGGTTAAGCTCTTGCTCGGTACTGAGGAACCAGATAATGAACAGCCGCAGCTTGTCCGTGGGGTCGTTGCCCTTGTCCTCACCCTTGATAACTTCCATGATCTGATCCTTGGTCTGCTTCATGACCTCTTCCTCAATCTGGAAGAAGTTGTCCACCTGCCGCGTCTTGATGCCGTTGAATATCGCCGTCAAAATGTTCATGTGCATGTCCAACGTCGCCTTGCGTTCCTGCATCTCCGGCAGCTCGCCTATCACGGCCTTCAGATGCTGCGTCGCCGCGCTTGTCTCGTTTTCTAGATCCTCAAAGTTGGAGGCACCGGCCTTTTGTGTCATGGCTGTCGACTCTTCCCTCCATTTCAGCAGCTCCGCGTCAACCGAATCGGCAGCCTCGACAACGGGCGCACCCGCGTGCTTCGTCCAGAAGAAATCATTCGAGTTCACGTCGTAGACCTTCCTGGACGATCCTGCACTAGGGTTGTTTTCGTCTTTCGGAAGCTCGAGCGTGATCCTGTTTAGCGACATGTTGAGGACGTCGTGGACGAGGGACTGGTATGTCCATGAGTGAGATAGCATCGTCGTCAAGTCCACGTTGCGATCTAGGAGCACAAGCACAGGTCTAGACTGCGATGTGGCTCCAGCGCCCTGGCGTTTTTCGGAGAAGAGGTTGTCCTTGGAGTTTAGAATATGGTCTCGTAGCTTGCGATCGAGCCGTGCGGCCACCATCTCGGCCGCGGCATCTTTAGGACATCGAATGATGGGTATGACGCCTGGTCTGATTAGCTCTCGTGCATCGCAATGCCGGCGAGTTGCTTACCCATTGTGACCACCACACTGAAAAGCCCACTGACGATGCGATCTACCACCCTCTCAAGCTCCGCGTCACTCGTGGTAGCGCTGTTCAGTGCCCAGTAGGTGTGTTCCTTCTGCATGCCCAAGCTGAACAGGTCCGGCTCCGTAACAATGAAGTTAAGGTATTGATCATATAACTGGGCAATGTGTTCTGACGTTCCTGCTGTCGCTGTCTGCGTCGCAAAGTCCTCCAGAAGGAGACGGGGGAGAGAGGAGAGGAAGTTGATGTACGCCGGCGAGTATAGACCCTTTTCGAGGTCGGTCGTGATCGATTGGAGATTCTGAGGGTTCGGTTCGACCAGGTAGATGACAGGGACGTCAGGTATCGGATGTCGCGCGGTGCCAATGTGCCTTTACGAGCGTAAGCCAGATTCGCCATTCTCCCAGGGGGTATACCAACTTGTGCATCGTCACTCCCATCATGCGCAGATCCGCCAGTCGCAACACGCTGCTAATGACATCGCGACCAAAGTCATCGAACACCAGGACTTTCCAGATTGGGTTGCCATCCGCGTCGAGAATGGGCGCTACCGGCGCATGGAGGGCCTGAGCTTGTGCATCTTCGGTCTCATTCGACTGCACCGTCTCGTTGAGGTTGAGAATCTTCTTCAAAGAGGCTATCCATGTCAGCTAGATCTGGCATGTGAGCGAGCAGTGGACGTACCGATCTGGCGGTCGCGCAGCGAAGTGCCGCGGGTCGCCATGACGAATGTCCGTACTTGATGAGAGCGCTTGGATGAGCAGAAAAGCAGCAAGAGAGACTCTGTCTAAATTGAATGCGGACAGAACTCAACTTTGGCCTGCAATTCCTGGCTGGAAGATAGCTCCCCATGTTCGGGCCACGATGTCACTGCCCACTAGAGCTCAGTTCCGCAGGGGTCTCCGTGATTGGTGGTCGGCAGCCCCCCTAGCACCCACTCTGGTGGGATGACGACGGACCGTTAGTAGCTCCGGGGTCAGGTGCCTTGCGCCTGAGGCCGCAACGGCGGAGCTACAGCCATGCCAGCGCAGCTGTTCTGGCGATGAGCCCAAGTTTTCCCTCCTCATTCAACGTCGCTCCTTCAACCACCTGATAATCATCCATCGGAGCCGGCCTTAGCATCCTGCAATCTTTAGAACTGTGTCGCGTATGTACCAAAGGTACGAGAAGACGGATTCTGAATTTCCCACGCGGCGCACTCATTTACCCGTCGTTTAGTTGTCTTCCTTCTCGCACTTATTTCACCCTGGACGCGGTGGTGCATGCAACGGGCTAGCGCATAACCTCGCCCTCTGTTGTTGGTGTTTGTCACCCTGCGACAATCCCAGCTTCGCAACACACTTAACGGGTTAGGAAGGGACATTAATCTTTGAGTCGCGAACAATCAGGTAGGTTCCCTTACTCGAACCCATTCGCATCACAATACTTTCCCTTGTTACGCGGGACTTCAGCTGTGGACTTTGTTACTGGAATCGCGCTTGACGCGCGCCCATGAGTGTGTTCTTCAACGTAACCCTGCCACAGCGGTTTTTCTTCAACCTGTACCTTAATGCAAGTCTGGGAAATCTCCTTGCGCTTGTCCGTTGGTGTTCTGTCCGTCCCTGGGCTTGAAGCTGTGTGTGGTAGCAGGCATGTGCAAGCTCACCACCACTGGCGTAAACCTTGCTGTGGGGGTTCAAGTCATGCTCGGCGACATTGCCATGGATGGGCAGTAAAGTGGCCAGACTGTACTCAAGTACAGCAGACTCTTTCGCGGTTGGCGTCACGGATACACTCGTGACGATGCTTGGCCACGCGCGACCCAACAGCAGTTGCCGCGCTGTTGACGCTGGACCCTCCTGCCAGACAGTCATCTTGAAGTGGCCGTCACCAGTGCGCGCTGCACTTCAAATGGACGCTCTGTTCGAGTTGGTCCAAGCTATCTGGCATTACCAAGTTCACACTCAACTCGACGCACCTTTGGGGGGTGATACCCTTTGTCTCGAGGCGAACAATGATCTGCGGCTCTGGCAACGCCCACTCCCATCCTCGCCGTCTGGCGCATGGGGTCATGGTGCATCGCTCTGTGCTTCTTTTTCCAAACCACTTTATACCCTCCATTAACCCGACTCTTTTGCGGAACTTTCCTTCTGACAAATAACTAGTCTTTATAGTTCTTCTCCAACGACAACAGACTCGCTTTCCTCACGCTTGGTGTGACAGGATTTGATGCACGATCCCTGCCACTACTCCCCAATTCGGGACTAGCGCGCCTACAAATCTTAGCGATCCGCGCGTGCAGGATAACCGCGTTTCAGCCGTTAACAGTGGTACGCCTCTTTTTCATTGTCTCCTGTTAATGCACCTCACATGCGTCCCAGTGGCACATGTGGCTGATCCACTCCGCTCCCTTCACGCTCGTCTGGCGCGTCCAAGTCTCCCATTTGATCAACTTCCACCAAGCATCACTGTTATCATTGTTGGGATGGCATCGGAATGCCAGTTGAGAGGGGAATAGTTAGACTGACATTGTATCATACAGTAGTCTGATCGCGCACGGCTGGAAATTTTCCATCGAGCATTGTTCAAGAGCATAATGCAGCCATGGCAGGGCCAAGGAGGCAATGGCGACGATAACAGCTCCTGGCAGAGCAACTTCAACGCTTTTGCCCCTCAAGATGGCCAATACAGCCAGCAACAGAACTGGGCGCCCCAGCATCAGACGCCTGGCGGCGCAGCATATGCCCAGCCCCAAGTGAACCACGTCGACAGCCCGGCCAACCTATACCACGATTCGAACCAGTTCTCCAACTACTCTGGTGGTCATGAAACCCTAGGTCTCGGCCGACAGTATAATGGACAGGGTCTTCTTGGTGGCGCATCATTCAATGATGTGCAGCGTGATCCGTACGGTCAGCAGGACAACGGACGCCAGGCTGGGCAGCAACAGGTGCAACCGCAGCAAGGATTCTCCCACCAAGCCTTCGCTGACTTTAATCCGCAAACCCATCTTGGCCAACAGCAGCAACCGCAGCAACAACAGCAACAGCCGCAGTACTCCCAACCACAACAGCGCCAGTACTCCCAGGCACCTGCTCCGAACTACTCTCATAATATCGCGTCCACCCAGCTGCGACCATCGCCCACTCCGCCGATACCAAGAGAGCAAAGCTACACGCCAGATATATACGCCCCGCAACTCAGCAATGGTCAGCAGACAGCCTCTTATCAAACGAGCCATCAACAGCCGCAGTACCAGCAGCAATCTTCATCGTACCCCCAGGCACTGCCCAACAACCAATTCAACCTGAGGCAGTCGGCAGCACCGCAGTTTTCTGCTACGCAACCACAGCCCTTGGTATATGGACAGAATGGGACGCCGCAGCCGCCGCAAAACGCCCCATACCAACCGCCACCCGCGGCCGGGTACGTAGAGGAGCCGTCCCCCAAGAGACAACGGACCATGGACTCGGCTACGTTCTCGCCAGCCCCTGAAGCTCCCCCGACCGCGACAGAGATACGCTCTCGCTTCGAGGAATTGGACTCACTACCCCCGCCTACGCAAAGTCCCGAAGAGGCGCAACTCGTAAACACATTCTCTAGGCGCACAAAAGCTGCACAAACCAAGTTCCCCCCCATTGCGGGCCTGCCAAACCTTGTCAGCCTCGGATCCGTCAAGCTTCCGGCCCCAAAAAGCTATGATAAGCTCGCGCCGTTGGTAGCAACCCCCTCGAGAAGCAAAAAGCCCCTTGTGCCAGAAATGGGGTATGATCTACCAGCTGAGATCCAGGGGAGATTTGCCAGTCAGTATGCTCCGGCACCCGACAAGCTGGGGCTGGATGAGCGACGCGTGGAAGCTCAGGCGCTACTGGACGAATTTGAGACCTCAATGAAAGCCACCGGGAAACGAAGGCCCAAATACACCGAGTATCCTCGTAAGCACTCCCGACCCACAGCATCCCCGAAATCTACTAACCTCTTCAGATACCTTCAAAGAGCAACTCAAGGCAGATGAGCTGTCGAAGAACAAGAAGGCGAAGAAAGAATTGAAAGAGGACAAAAGCAAGCCGATTCGCCCACCTACCAGGCCCGATGATATTGTAGAAGGGGCCGCATGGGACGCCATTGGCATTGTTCGCGTCGAACCTTCTGCCAGCAAGACCAGCAGTCCCGTTGCAAATCGCATTCAGCAAGCTGGCGATCTCTTCATCAAGCTGCGGGGTGACATGAACCAGGCGAAACAGCAGCTTGACCAGGCGGTGTTGGACAAGAAGCCCGAGGCCGAGATTGCGACACTTAGGAAGGCTGCAGAGGAGAGAAAAATGGCACTGCACCGAGCAATCGACGCCACCATCGAACACGCAGATGACGCTATTATCGACAACCTAGGGACCCACCAAAAGCTGATTCTCAGCTTGGTGAACGTCTTGATCAGCTCTATCAAGGCCAACGACTTCACTGGCAAGTTGCCGAAAGTCGTGTTTGAGCTGTTCACGCACATTCCGATGACCAAGAAGATTGCAGAGACGACCAATTTCGACACCGTTCGCAAGCGCTTTAGCGACAAGGGCGACGATGAAATGAAGGAGCTTGTTCGTGAAGTGTCTATCAAAGTCAGGAAGGTCCTTAAGGAAGCCGAGTCAACAGGCTATTCGGGCACATCGGCCGCTGGACGAGCGAGGGCGGCGGCGACTAAGCCTACTACCGACGCAGCAAGTACCAAGCGTGGGCGAACCGATGATACGGCGGATGGCCGGACGGTGAAAAGGGTCGCAACCGAGTCGACGGGCGGCAGCTCTCTTATGAAGAAGCTCGCCCAACCGAAGATTCAGCTGCAGTCCGCCTCCAAGTCGACAGCAGCAAAGGGTGCCTCTACAATCAGCGATCGAGCGAGGACGGCACCTAGCAAGCCAAGTGTGAAGCCTGAAGCGAGCGAGGATAAACCCAAGGTGGAGGCAAAGAAGAAGGCGGTAAAGCCACCAGCGCCCACTATGGGGCCGGAGCCTTCCTCTGGCGCCTTGTCTGGCATTGGATCACTTTTGGCTTCAATCAATACACCACAAGCGAAGGCAGCTGCCGCAGGGCCCTCACAAGAAAAGGCGAAGAAAGGAACGCCGCCACTGGAAACGGAGGAGGAGAGGACTAAGAGGCTACGCAAAGAGGCGCGCAGGAATCTGCGGGTGTCGTGGAAGCCTGCCAGTGAGTTGGTGCAGATCAAGGTCTTCGAGAAGGAAGAGTCTGAGGACGAGGGCCGTCACGTCAACATGGTCCGGGACGCTGCCGATGACAAGTCTGAGGGTATGGTGCTCAAGCAGAGGGCCAATGTGGAAGACGACGACTCAGACTCGGACGACGAGGTGCCCTTCAAGCCATGGATGGCGCCTCTAGGCTTGGACTACTCGCCGCTGCCTGAATCCACGCGTGAGAAGAATTACGTGACCAGAGGCGGCCGAGTGACGTTCAGGACAGAGGAGCAGGAAGCTATCGCCAAGCGCGAGGGCGAGGTGCTGATTGCCGCCTATGCCACCGACGCGGACATCCCACCGTCGCCAAGCTCACCTAAGATGGAGGCTGTGACAGGTGATGATATCCACAAGGTGGCCAACTTGCCCGTGGAGGGACCAAAGTACGAAGAGGTCCAGAACCGCTGGTGGGACGAGCAGCACTTGGGCGCCGACGGCGCTTTGTATGCAGCATTGCAACGTCTTGGGACTACCTCTAGCCCTGCAAACATGCTAGACTCCATACTCGGCCGCCTGGGCGGTTCGACTACAACCCAGCCCGCTGCCAGCGTGGCTGCTCCTAAGCTGGGCGGCACCGACACCAATGTGCCACTTGCCATGGGCTCAGCAACTGCTGAACAGGTCGTTGCCCTGCTTAGATCTGATCGCGCCCAGGCTTGGCGCGACCCGAATCCTGTGACTTCTGACATACACCGCGTCCACCACTACTCCGATCCCCAGACCAAGAATTCCGCCGCGGTTCTGGAGGCTGCAGTCAGGCTTCTTGCTGGAAAGCCGTACCCAGCGACAGCGCCTCCTGACTGGTTGCAGCATGATGAGGAAAGGATCCGGGAATGGTGGTTTGTGTATAACAAGGATGCTGCTGCGCGGCAAAGGCGGGCAGATGAGCAGCGCGCCAGGGCTGAAGCAGAGAGGGCTGCCCAGATGGGTTCACAGCCAGTAGGCCTGCAGGCTTCAGGCGCCGATGCGCAGGCGTGGATGGCGTGGTACGCGCGCGCCTCGCCCCAAGAGCAGCAGGCGTATGCCCCGTACATGGCGATGTTGGCGCAGCAGATGGGCGGAGGGCAGCCATCTCAGCCACCGGCGCCGACACAGCCGCCTCAGGGCCAGCCTGACCAGATGCAGGCTATTCTCGCCGCCATGGGGCAAGGTCAACCAAAGGCAAACGCGTCTGGTGCCTATGGCTACAATCCCGATTTCCAAGCTGGACAACAGCAGTCTCTGTCAACTAATGATCGACACGACTATGGGAGAGGGCTAGACGCTCGTGACTCTGACCGTCACAACCGGGACCACAATGACTGGGATGACTACAGTCGTGACGAGTACGGAAGAGAAAACAACAGGAACAAGGACAAGAAGAAGAACAAGCCGGGTCCATCTACCATTCACAAGCCGCCCAACGTGGCGCTTATTGGAACGAAGCCGTGCACGTTTTGGCAGCAGGGCAAGTGCGCCAGGGGCGACAAGTGCACATTCAGGCATGATTAACTGGGGTGGTTTGCAAAGAGGCGACAACATCAATCTTGCATTGTTTCGGAGTCTACATGGTGCTTTTACACTTAGAAAGGAGAACTGTACGTTTGAACTCGGCGAGGAGCGAGCTTGGCAGTAGTAACGTTTGAATCTGGAGAATCATCATTGCTGATATCTGCCTCCTACCAATTTGTGATTCCCCGACCTGACTTTTTGTACTTGAGTCACTTGCTTTTATTCCCCTACGCTCCCGTCTTCATCTCGGTGTCCGCATCTGTCGGCCTCTTCACCAGCCCTCGCAGACTCAGATCGTAGACCACATCCTCGACACGCTTGACGTCATACTTGACGGCATCGGCACGCTTCCTGAGGATATCATTCTTCAAGTTGAGGACCTGGAAGCCGGCGAACAGATCCTTGATGAATGTCGAGATGACGAGAGGAAGCTCAAAGTCGCCCATGGTCACGCTGTTGATGGCCAGACGGGACAGGTCCGAGGTAAAGTCTGTCAGGGCGAGGAGATACTCCTCGATGGTGATGTGGAAGGCATCCTTGTCCTTGAGATTCGTGGGCACCTGGTAGATCTTGCCAATGTCCTCAAGGCTGGCGAGGCGGCCTAGACGGGCGGGGGAGGTGTCCAGTGGGAAGCCGCCGAGCCAGGCTGTGTAGATGGCGGTGGTGATGGCGGACTGCACGGTGCGTGACCATTTGCTGTTGTACTTGTAGTAAGGATGGTTGGAGGCTGTCTTGCTGAGTTCGCCGATGATTTCTCTTTGCTCCCCGATGGCGGCTTCGACCTGCTCGATGAGGGCGGGGTCTGAAAGAATCAAGTTTGTTAGCGGGAGCGGATCTTGCAAGACGGATGAGAGGCAGCGGGCTGGATGAGACACGTACAGCGAGCGCGAGGCGTTCCGTGAACTCGTGAGAGGAGGGCTTGGGCTGTGGCGACGGCGCGCTCGAGGCGCTGGATGATCTGGGTGAGGGTCTCGCGGACGGCAGTCTCCTCTTCAATACGGTCATTGAGGGAGGTGAAGATCTCGGGGTTGAGTAGGGTTTGTGAAGACATCTTGGCGAGTGTGACGATGGTGGTGTGGTCAGGCTTTAGGTGAGGTGAGAGAACTGAGGTTGTTTGTAGGTGAGGATTGGAGGCGTCAGAGTTTTGGGGTTCACGGCAGTTAAACGCGGTCTACTGGTTTAACATTGATTGGATTTCACGAGGACGTTCAACCTGGAGGCGATTGTAAAAACAGAAATTGTTACTCTAGATATTAGACCTTGCAATCGTGGGCGCGTAGGCAAGCTCGTAGAATTGAGCGTCGCTGATGCTGAGGCGCTTCTTTTTCACCTGCACCTTAACTTCACAGATGTGCTAAACCCATAAACATGGCACACATTGCTATCCGTACCAGAGCTCAACGTAACGACCCATTATCTTCACCAGATTCCTCTTCACCTTCCGGGCAAGCCCGACAAGCAATGAGAAAAGAAAAGTCGCGTCACCTGGAGGCAGTGTAATACCAGGGACACTGTGGGCGGAATCATGTGCAAGCACAGAGGAAACCGCCCCAAGACCAAAAATAAGAATAATCACGATTGGTCTCCTTAGAGACCTTTCAGAGATTAAACTGAAAAGAACAGATACTACACTTGATCTAAGCCAAAAGGCAAAGAGAGCTAAGGAGGGAAAAGAAAAGAAGAGGAAAGTAGGTGGGCACCGATGCGACTATATACCCCGATGCCCGTTGGCGGTGAGCGGCGAATGGCAGAATCTGACGAATGGTGGGCGATATAGCGGAGCGGCTGCCTGGAGCGGCTGAACCCAGGCAGCCACTGGTGACTGGACTAATTACAGTACTGGTGCCACTGGCAGGCAGCTTCAGTTCATCTTCAGTTCATCGTGTAGGTTGTGCTTTGAGTCATATCAGTCATCTCTTCCTCTGTGCCTCCTCCGTACGGAGCGTAACGACCGAATGTGCAAAGGTTCCCCGGCGGACCGCCTCTCCTGGGTCAGCAATCCCATATGCGACGGCACAAGCAACGCGCCTCGTCCACGGGCCATGGCTCAGGCTCGAGCTAGAGTCTGTCTTGCAAGCCAGTTGGTTGCGAAAGGTCTCAGCCAACCTGCGGATGAACTGAAGACCTGCAAGAAACCAAAAGGCCCGAGCGGCCGAGCTGCAGTTGCTTCTGCGAGCATGTCTGCATTATGGAGTATTGCTGAGGGGCTCACCGTTCAACGCACCTTGATTTCGTCGCATCATGCCTGCCAAGCCTAGACCTGCTCAAGTTGCTCAACCAACAGCATATTGGCAGCATCCATGATACCATTGTTGCCCACCCCCTGTACCACACAAATCGACAAGTCTTCTATTACCTGCAGTGAACAATCGTGGCCGTCGTGCCGTGCCGAATCGTCGCCCGCCACATGGCCATGCCGTGCATATCCCTGCGATTTCGTCTGGTGGTGCACGGACGCGCAGATTGTCTGTTCTCACCATATCGTGGGCTGGCTCGGGTTCAACAATATCAACCCGCTTAGTATTGTCCGCGGTGCAAGATGTCTCACGTGGGGATCCTCGCACGGGAGTCGCCGTTGGCGATAATTCATGGGAAAAGCTATATCAAGCAAGTGAGGCCCAGCAGGAGCAGTAGTCCATCATCAACAACAATCACGTCTTCACTGCCCAAGAAAGAACCTGAACGATGAGACTCGCGCCTCTGCTCAACACGCTCGCCGTGGCCTTTTTGGCTCATGGCATTCCTGTCGTCGACACGAATGGCCCCGAGCTTGTGGAGATGTTCATTGGGCTTCACCCGGCAAGCCACGACCACTTTGAGCGCACTGTTTACAACATCGCCAATCCTCACCATGCCAGCTACGGCCGACACCTTTCCCGCGACGAAGCCAAGGCTCTGCTGCTGCCTCCTGCCGGTGCGTCCGAGGAGGTCAAGCGCTGGCTGCTCAGCGAAGGAGTCGGCGAGGGCCAACTCGTTGATCGAGGGCAGTGGCTTCAGGCCCACGTACCGATGCATGTCGCCAGAGCTGTGTCCACTACCCCATCCAGCTTAGCGAAGCGTGGCCTCGATACCGTGCCACAAGATGTCCGTCGCCACATCTCGCACGCACAGAGAGCGCCCATGTCCAGCGTAGGAAGGGGCACGGAGCACAAGCGCGAGGCTCCCACCCATGGTACCAACGCAGCTCGCGCCTCTACGGATGGATTTAACCCGGATCCTGACATGGACGTCTGCAAAGACACTGTCATCCCTGAATGTCTTTTCGAACTCTACAACATTCCCGACCCCCCAGTCAAGGTCAACCCAAACACTCGATTTGGCATTGCTGGGTTCAATGTAGGTACCATCCCTTCGTCATTGATCAAAACTCTATGCTAATATAAACAAGCAAACTGCACAACACTCTGAGCTCGAGGAGTTCATCCGTCGCTTCGCCCCCTTTGCGGAGGGCGCCAACTTCACCACTGTCCCTCTCAACGGAGGCTCCAACCCGCAAGGCAACAACTATCCCTCTGGCGAAGCGAACCTGAACATCCAGCAGGCGGTCGGCATGGCCGCTGGACTGGACATTCGCTTCATGCCTGTCGGTGGCGCATACTATGACTACATTCCTGATCTCGAGTAAGCCCTCCCCCCCCCTCTCTTACTCTCGACGCACGCGGCAGTTACTGACCAAGGCAGTGTTGGTCCTGGCTACGGCTTGGAGGACTTCCTAACGTTTGCGACCTCTCTTCTCGATCTTCCGGACGACGAACTTCCTCAGGTTGTGTCCATGTCGTACAGCATGCACGAGCAGGTCCTGGGCGCGGAGTACTGCCGCACCGCCTGTGACATCTTTGGCCAGCTCGGCGCGCGTGGCGTCAGCGTCATTTCCGCGTCTGGCAACCATGGCGTGGGCGGCTCATGTCAGTCCAACGATGGTCTGAATACGACGACATTTACCGTGACTTTCCCTGGAATATGCCCGTACGTCACCGCTGTTGGCGGGACGGTGCAGAACCAGCCCCAGACAGCCTTCAACATTTCGAGTGGTGGGTTTTCCAGAATATTCGACCGTCCCGAGTGGCAGGACGACGCTGTGAGTGCGTATCTCGAGAAGCTCGGAGATCAATGGGAAGGGCTGTACAACCCCAACGGTGCCGCATACCCCGACGTTGCTGCTATGGCTTGGGGGTATCCGGAGATGAACCACGGAGCTGTCGAGGTGACAGGTGGTACAAGGTATGCTCACTTGCAGAAGAGAATGGAACGGAATTGAGACATGCTAATGCTACTAGTGCTGCCACGCCGGTGTTTGCTTCCATCATTGCTCTCTTGAACAATGAGCGCTTCAACCAGGGCAAGCCTGCCATGGGATTCCTCAACCCATGGATCTACAGCATTGGCAATGTCGGTTTCACAGAGTGAGTTGCACCGTTCCCATATGTTCCTCTGACGCTGACGATTCCACCTAGTATCACCGAAGGCAAAACAATTGGCTGCACAGGCACAAGCTACGAAGGCCTGCCCTCTTCATACGTACCCGATGCCGGCTGGAGCGCTGTCGAGGGATGGGATCCTACCACTGGATTTGGAACGCCTCTCTACGACCGTCTCAAGAAGCTCGCCTGCAAGTGATTGCATGCATATACTACGCAACGAGCGACGACATGGCGAGGCTGGTCCTACAGTATGTCACGCGGAGGATACTTGGTTAGAGATAGATATAGAGGATTGAACATTTCTCTCCCAACTAGTCACAGGTCCGGCGAACCTTACCTGAATTGTTGATTCACCTTGCATAGCGTTATCCGCGAATCGTGCCAACGATACCCGTACCTCTTGAGATCTTAGTGAGTTTGCTGGAGTAAATGTTCGGGTCGGTAACTCAGCGCTGCCAAGCTGTTGATTCCGCGGCTGTCATAGTATCCGCGATGTCGGCTCGCCCGAGGAGCTGACGGATAAGTATCCGCGCCCTCATATTACAACTATCACCACTTCAACGACAAATATGCTACTGCACGCGGACAATTAGTCACGCTTCTCATAGTCTCCGCTTTCCCCTCCAAAGAGTCTCAGTACTTCAGAGCTCTGACATCTTCATTTTTCTGACGCTTCCTCGTACATTCAGTAACCCAAACTACTCAACCCCTGACGCAACACAGTCGCTACAATGAGCCTCCCCACCCACTTCACCCTCAACACCGGCGCAAAGATCCCCTCTGTGGGCTTTGGAACATGGCAAGCCCCGCCAGGTCAAGTCGCCAAAGCTGTCGAGACCGCCCTGCGCACCGGCTACCGCCACATTGACTGCGCCTCCATCTACCGCAACGAAGCAGAAGTAGGCGAGGGCATCAAGGCCTCTGGCGTGCCCCGTTCGGAGATCTTCATCACCGGAAAGCTCTGGAACACGCACCATCGACCCGAAGATGTGCAGAAAGGTCTGGACAAGACGCTCCGGGACCTGGACGTGGAGTACCTGGACCTCTTCCTCATGCACTGGCCGGTAGCATTTCGGGCGGGCGACAAGTGGTTCCCCCTCGAAGAGGGCAGCGGGATCTTTGCCCTAGAGGACATTGACCCGGCCGTCGCGTACGGCGCGATGGAGAAATTGCTGGACAGCGGCAAGGTCAAGGCCATCGGCGTCTCCAACTTTACAGCCAACAAGCTGGACGACCTGCTGCGCAAGACCAAGGTCGTCCCAGCCGTGAACCAGATCGAAGCACACCCCTACCTGCAGCAGCCCCAGCTGCTCAAGCACTGCCAGGACAAGAGCATCCTCGTCGAGGCCTACTCGCCCCTCGGGAACAACCAGACCGGCGAGCCCCGCACCGTCGACGACCCCCTTGTCGCGGAGCTCGCGCAGGAGCTGGGCTTGGACATTGGCCAGGTGCTGTACTCGTGGGGTGTGCAGCGCGGCACGGTCGTGCTGCCCAAGAGCGTGACGGCGTCGAGGATCGAGACGAATCGCCAGATTAGGGAACTGCCCAAGGATGCGTTTGACAAGTTGAACGCTTTGGAGAGGAACAAGAGGTTCAACTGGCAGACGAGGTGGGGATATGACATTTTCGAGGAGCTTGGCGAGGAGTATGTGAAAAGGGTGGCCAGAGAGGCTGGAGAGGAGAACAAGACCAAGTTCACGGTCTGAGAAACTCTAGACGTATGATGAGACCATAGAATAGACTTCATTTGCCTTGTGTGAACGGACGTAAAACTCGCTGGTGGGTGTATGTGAACAGGGTGCTCCTCCTGTGTTGTTGAATTCTGTCGTGAATCAAAATGCTGCTGCACCTTGGGTCAGCCTATCTCAGGCCACACGATTGACTCGTCAAACTGAAGGTTTGGCCAGAATGCAGAGCTGTCCAGATCCAACCAGTCTGTCGTCTGCCACTCGTCCAAGAGGTAAGGGTCCAGCGTGGCCATGCCTCCCTCGTAGTCCCACATCCCCTCAGCTTCCGAGGGCATTCCATCATCGACAATGTGGTCTCCGCTCCTCGGTGCCAACTGATCCAAGCCATTCGCGCCTGTGACGTCGGGACGTGCTGTGGCCTGCCCTGTCGCCGCACCGCGGAACTCTTCGAGGATGACGGCATAGCGCCTACTGGGACTGTTTGTCGCTGTCGCTCTCGCCAGGTGTGTCTGGCATTTGTCCGCCAGCTGCAAGAGACGTTGTCGTGATCTCCCCGCAATGCCTGTTGTCTCCGCGGGTTGTTTGCTCATCTTGCGCTGCTGAATCTCCCACACGTAGACGACGACGAGGGCGCAAAACGTGACATAGTGCGTCCACCAGAAGGCGTGGAAGATGGGTCCCTCCTTGGCCATGCGGTCGACCGTTTCGAGCACCGTCCTTGCGGCCGCGATGCAGTTGTCGCTGTGTGATCGTTCCGAGGGGTCGTTGCTTAGGAGGAATAAACGGCTGGCGTGCATGATAGCGTGGGAGTGCGCAAGCTTGAGGACAGTGGCTTGTCGCCGATAGGAAGGTATGAGCATGCTGGGACGGATGCTTCCCAGATGCAGGGGTAAGCTCTCAAACCAGGATTGGATGTTCTGGATGAGCCGGTTTGCGGCGGACGCACGCTCGGCGTGGGCCGTATCTCTTATAGTGTAGACTTCACGTGATATGGTCCCTATAATTCTGGCGATCCTTTTTCTCGTCAGCATAATGAAGCGTTCCTCCACGGAAAGCCATACTTGGCATGGAAACTAAGGGCGTCAATGTGACAGTCCTCTTGACATTCGAGCGCCTCACTGGGTCCAGAGGTCGTCATGTCCTCGTCGTTGACCCGGTCCGGGAAATCTTGGTCAATGTCTTCGTCGTGGAAATGTCTTGGACGCCTAAAGACGACCCCGAGATAGTTGTCCAGCACATAGGCGGTCCAGAATGTTCGCATCCTACACTGGGACTGGATATAGTCCGATCTGGGGCCACCATGTCTCCGCTTCTTTGCGTTCTCGCGACGATGCATGCCCAACGCCGAGATGATCTGCAAGGCCGAGCCGAAGACGTACCACGACTTGTTGAAGCGCGAGGTTGTGAGTAGATATAGCACGTGCACCAGCCGCGCCTGCGCGGACTCGAGTTTGGGGTAGCCTGTCTCAGCGTCCACGAGCAGGGAGGACACGGTGAAGAGTTCGTCGCTGCGCTGCAGAGCGTGGGCTTCGTCGTCGGCGGAGAAGTACCCCTTTGACTTTTCATCGTGGCACGTCGCCAGGGCGAGGCAGGCGAGGACTATGGCGGCGCGCGCGTGGCCAATGCCATACCACACTGGCTGGTTGACGTCTGTGTTCTGCTCAACTACCGACAGCCACTTTTCCACAGAGGGCCGATGCAGGATACGGTACGTCGCGACGCAGAACTCAAAGTACAGATCGAGAAGTCTGCGGTTCTCTGGGGGTGAGCGCAGCCGTATTGGAGTATGATCGTTACTCTCCGGCAGGGGACGATCGCCCGCCATGGTGACAGGCTGGTTCTCGACCGAGGGGCGCACGACAGCATCGCTCATAGTCTGCTCCGTCTGGTTCCTCGCATCCTGGGCACTCAGTCTCTTCCACGCCCTGTGCAGAAAGGTCAAGCCAGAGGTTGGATCAAAGACCTGCCCCTGGATCTCCGCCATACCAAGCTCAGGGCTCGCTCTGCCTGACGGTGCGACACTCTGCTGCTGGGACATGTCAGCGGCCCCCGTTGCAGAACCATCGTGCTGGGCAGCTGGTGTCGCACTCGGCGGAGGCGTGGGTGGTCGTCCTCGTGTGTACTTTGCATTGTACTGGCAAGCCCGTGATTTGGCCACGCACTTGTTGCACGGCTTCTCGCCATTGCACTTGGCCTTGCGGGCTTTGCAAAAGTCACAAGCGCGCGACACCTTGCGGGCGATTTTGCTGGCCGACGCTGGCTGGCTTTCGTGCTGTAGATCCGCCGAGGACGGGTCTGAGAAGGCGGAGGCAAAGCTTCGACGACGATGGCCAGGGGACATGGATGATGGGTGATCACCCGCCGCTGAGGAGAGTCTTGTTGGCGGCATTGCGGGGCGACTGGCAGACGGAGAAGCAGGTCTGATTGAGACCAGGCGCGTCTGATAAGATGCCTTGGTTTTGACAATGAATCGGATTCATGAGAGGTGGGAGGGAATATGAAAGCGAGGAGAGACGGAAAATGCACCATGGCGGAAAAGCCTGCGGGGAATCTTCACGTTGGTCACGGGAATCCGCCATCGGAATCCCGACTTGGACTCACTATTGTTACGACAAGATACGAGAATGACACCATGCTCCCCCTAGAGCATAAAGCAATCTTTTTACTGTTAATGTATAAACCGTTGCTACTACACTGGACTGTGACATGGACAACTGCTGGATTACTGATATTCCTTCGTTAAGCGATGGCTGATCTAGCTACCCTGTAGCTTGACTACCAGCACCGAACGTCATATTGCACATGCACCAGAGCATCACAGGGAACTTGTTGTAGTTGTCTGTATCGGTATAGAAGAATAACTTGTTTGTCCGTGCATATTCGTGCGCGAAAATGGTTGGAAGTGAGGACGTGGTGGGAGAATTTTAGAAGGAACCAACAATTCGGACGTAAAGGTCACATCTGAACGCCAGAGCCTGATCATCCTTGCGAAGTCAAACATATGAAGGTGTACTGTCCAACAGCTGACTCGAGTTCCTTTCGATGCCAATCCAGAGCCAATCAAGATAGATGAAGACTAATAGACAGAGAAAAGGTGGCTCACTGCATGTAGTTGTCACTCGATGTTTTGAAAGCGTTCGACAATGTACCCTATCAACCCCTTTTGCACGCCCCCCGGCTAAAAGAAAATCGACAGAATGATGTTCCGATAGATTGCGAGCCTGCTATCATGAAGATGTACATGAATCACCGTAGACGGCCACATGTCAGACTGGTACAAGTTAACAAGGGCATTTCATAAAGGTCCAATTGCTCGCCAAACTTGCTATTCTCCTATCCGCCAACCGTATCAAAGTTATCAGGGAAAGGGCTGGGGGCTGGGGTAACCTGGTCTCCTATTGTAGTTGCTGGAAGCAACTCAGCTAGGAACTGCAGGTACATTCAGTGACTTCATATGCACAACCCCTGGCTCTGTTCAAGGTACCGCCGGTGTAGCACAGCTCACCACCGCAAGCAACAGCGCCGTATGTTTTGACGTGGTAACCATCGTCCTTCTTGAACAGACCAGCGTCCAGGCCCTTGCTATTTCCGACGGTAATAGTGCAATAATCACCAAGAACTCCGCTCTGGTCAAGTCTCCCAGCACCGTTGCAAGCACGGATTTTATCGCTCCTGTTTTGACCCAATCGTCCCACCTTTAGGAAATCGAAGCAGTCCCCGTCGGGAGACTGCACAATCCTGCTATTGTCGTCGCTGAGTTTCCAACAGTTCGTGCCGCCTTTTTCGCATATCTTGTAGCTTCCTTGGATACTGCCCTCGAATTCGGCGGCGCTTGCCAAGCTGGAGAAAAAGGCGAGGCCATACAGTATGGAAGTAATGGATGGGGCCATTGTGAGTCTCGTAATTTTGTCGAAGGGGCAGAGGGACATAGAACAAAGTAGCTTGCTAGATGCCGTTAATATGAGTACGACCTGTTGGGTATAGAAAGGGAATACCTCGTTAATGGAGGATTTAGTGTGGAGCGGAGACAGCAATGGCAATGTCTTGCTTAACGAGCTCTTTGTAGGGTGTGCTTGATTTTGACACGAGAAGCTTTTCCTGGGGGGATGGCTGGATTTTATAGTCAGGTTGAGAAGGAGTAATCCAATCTTTTGTCTGGAAGGGCTTAGCTGCCTGTCTGGCGATTGCGCAAGTGAGCTGAAACATGGTCATGGATGCCTCGTTCATGTCTCTGACCTAATGTATATAATTGAGAGGCGATGCATACAGTGTAGTGAGATCGTCACATGCCTGCCTGCCGATTCGGAATGTCGTGTTACGTATGTCTTATGCCAGGACAGGGAATATGGATGTACGTACGACATGGCAACGACAAAAGGCACGGAATATACGGGAGACACGGCATAGAAAGGAGACACGGCATAGAAAGGAGACACGGCATAGAAAGGAGACACGGCATAGAAAGGAGACACGGAACGCCGAAGATCTTTCAGGGGCTAGATGTTTATGTTGAGAACACGGCGTTCACGCCTTGTCCTCTAGATAGAGGGTCTGAGTAGGCAATTCGGATTTACAGGACTAGACTGGAAGTTGGCATGTGTGTTCCTCGCGATGGCAAATATGGCTGCCTAAGTGAAGACGATATTTTCCTAAAAAAGTAAATCTGTTCCAGACCATGATCGAGTAGTCTGTCATCTTCATACCTCATGCATCGGGAAGCAGGTGTAGGTTATAGCTCGACGGGAAAAGAGGTCCGGCCACATAGTGGATAGAGAACTCTGGGTTTACTCTCGACTCCCTTCGTATATCGTGCTCAGTAAGAACAAACGAGTTCAAGACCGTTTCTAAAGATAGCTCAACTCCATGACGAATTCACAATCCTATTATTGATGAAGAGAAGTTGCACAGCTTGTTGCTCAGGTTATGAGCGCCCGCTACGCATTTATCCCATTGATCGACGGACAGGGGGAGGTGGGCTGTGTAGAAGGGATGCCATTTGGCAAGCCGCACTGGTTCATTTTATGTTGATCGTTCACTGATAAAAGCCGTCTCGGAATCAAAGGATGGCTGTTCTTCAACATGAACGCTACCTGCAGTGTCATCTTGGAATAGTTACAGTCAATTTGGTTTGGTCTAAGCTGCCCACATTAAATCCGACGAAATGCCATCCCCAAATTCATCGCCAAGTATCGTTAATAGTGTCAGCGCTGTCACAATCAGTCGGGGTAGTGAACCCCCTGTTGGGATCACTCTCCCAGACCACCTCGCCGCCCGACGTCTTCTTGATGTACTTGTACTCAAACGACCGCGCGGCCGGCAAGTCGACAGTGGTGGACCAGAGAGGATCGCTGCTCGTGTACCCGTCCGCGCTCAGGGGCACGGCGTCAGCAGGTGCCCAGTTGCCCAGCTCCGTCAGCGCGCCGACGACAAAGACGTCCTCCCCCAGGTTTGTGGTGACGCGGGCGTTGAAGGTGATGGCCGCGTCGCAGGGGGCCGGGGCCTCGCACAGATCCGGGACCGTGTTGGCGCCGGGCTCGCCCCATCCGGGGGGCACGACGCCCGCGCGGCGCTCCGTGGCCGTCAGGAAGGCGGCGTAGGACCAGGTCAGGTCGCGGGCGGAGAGGGGTGTGCCGTCGTTGCGGTCATACTGCTCCGCCAGGGCGCCGTCGCGCGGGGTGTAGGTCTGCACAATGGAGACGAAGCCGTCGGCGTAGGTGCGCACGGCGTCGACGATGGAGGTGAGGGTGGCTGAGTCACTGGTGTAGGTTCCCTTGGCGATGTTGGGGACGCGGTCGTTGAAGAAGGGGAGTGAGACGGTGTCGACGGTGATGGAGCCCGTCTGGTTCCACTGGTAGAGGGCGGCGTAGAGCTGCTCGGCCGCGGCGAGGGTGGTCAGGTACCACGGGTTGCCGTCGTAGTAGACGTCCTCTGCGTAGCGACCGATAGCGACGGCGTCGCGCTGGCTGATGCCGGCGTTGAGGGAGTACTCGGAACGGAATGAGTCGACGACGGCCTTGTGGTTGGCGAGGGCGCGGGACGAGCAGGGCTGGAAGGTTGAGTCGGTGCAGTCCGAGGCCGGGTCAAAGGTGTGGATGGAGGACAGGATCGAGTTGGCGTCCTTGCCGGTGCGGCCCTCGCGCACGTTGATGTTAGAGTCAATGTAGCCACTGTCGCCCTCAGGGACCCAGAAGTCTTGCGTGAAGCAGAGGACCTGAGGAGCCCACTCGGCGCAGCCAGGGCACGTCTTGTCCAGCGTGGAGGCCAGCGCGGCGCCTTCGACCAAGGCGCGGTGGGACGCGGACAGGGTGAAGAAGGAGGAGCCGCTGACCTCCTCCCAGAGGTCGTAGCCCGTCTCGTTCCAGTAGCGGACGGTGTAGTCGAGGTCCTTGGCGATGACGGGCCAGACCGTGTCGGCCGCCTTGCTCGCCTCGCCATTGTCGACGAGCCACCCTGCGTAGAGGATGAGGGCGGTGGCGCGGAGGGGAGGCCCATCGCGTTGGGGTCGACCCCAGGAGCCGGTAAAAGCCGTCAGATCGACGTTGAACTTGGGCTCACCCAGGCCGCCCGAGTCTGGGCCGCCAGATGGGTTGGAGACGCCCTGGAGGGTGGCCTGCGCCGAGACGTAGTCGTCAATCTTGGACTGCAGGGACGAGTCGCCGGCGATGAAGCGCTCGATGAGGGCCTTGTAGGTGAGGGCGGCATCACGAGTCCAGGTGTACCAGTAGTCAGGGTCGGTGCGAGAAGGGCTGGCCACGACGGCACCCGCGGCGGCACCCTGGGCCTCGGCGCCATCGGCGCCAATGTTGGCCAGGACGCCGTCAATGGCCACCTGGCTCTCGGTATCGATGAACTGGTCGAGGGTCGCGCGGCACTTGAGTCGGTTCGCGGGGTTGGCAGCGGCACCAGCACCCAGGACGACGCCCAGGGTGGCGGCCGCGGTGACGGTCTCCCATGCTCGGGGGAGATGCATGTTGGGTGGCGATCGATATGATGAGTGAAGCTGGACGAAAGAGACTGAGTTGGTGCTGCAGGCGGCCTATTGTCGTCGTGGTGTCTTTGAGTGCCCGCGTCCTTTATAATACCCCAGGTCCCCAGGTCTGTCCGATAAAGCCCACATGGGCCTGGTCGTCGGTCCGGCGACAATGGGGATTGCAGGGGTTTATTGACGCCTCGTGCGGAGAGAAACAGGTCCGAGATCGATCGTTGGAGTCGTGGACCCAGTTCGTTTCGGCCCTACTCGCGAGTCGTGACGGTCGAGATACTCGCTGCTAAACTCTTCCAGGAAGCCAGGCTTGCCAAGTCGGCCCGCCCCCATGTCTGGGGCAGTCGTGCCGGGCCTAAAAAGCCTGCTTCAATCAGCCACGTACAGAGTACGCATTGCCATTTGATGTTCTTTGCGGGGGTTGCAACTTGCGGGGGCGGAAGCGGAAGATGAAGAAGACGACGCCTCCGCCTTGTCGCCGCCCGTCAATCGAACACGCCTTCCCGAGGCCCAGCATCACCATCAGCGACTGCACATGTGTCGTCCGTAAATCTTTCATCAGTCTGTACACGTACTCTGTTTAGTACTTGAAACATCTCGGCCGACAGTGAAGTTTGAGAGGCCTTTTGCCTTCACGTGGCAGCGCAGCCCTCGAGGGTGCCATGAGACCTCTCGGCCGACTCGGCCGAGAGCAACCATCAAGTACATGAGGTCCCTTGAATGCTCAGAAGTCAAAAGTCAGAATTATCATTCACCGTTCTTGGAGTGAAAAATCCATATTAGCCGCCAGAATCATGAAGGTCCTGATCGCCGGCGCAACAGGGGGCATCGGCAGCCAAGCCCTCCGACAGAGCCTCGCCCATCCGCGCATCACCAAAGTCGTCACCTTCACTCGGAGAAGCCTATCGCTTGAACACCCCAAGCTGGAGAGCATATTGATCAAGAACTTTGAAGAGTGGCCCGAACACGTGTTGAGCCAGCATGCAGATGCCGCTGGGATAATTTGGTATCTTTCCTCGATCCCCTTTCTTGGCTCGTGTCGTTAACGGGCAACTTGCTAGGTGTATCGGTTCATACAGCGGTGACGAGAAACTCGACTTTGAATACTCGGTCGCTTTCATGGAGGCCATGGTGCAGGTTTTGGATGCGAAGAAGAGGGACGCACCCTTCCGATACGTTCACCTCAGCGGCAAATTCGTCCGTCAAGATCAAAGCCTTAACTTGTGGTGGGGAGACCGACCACGCAAGCTCAAGGTAGACTGCCAAAGATGCGCCCGATTCTGACATGTACAACAGCTGACAACACGATAGGGGAAGTCCGACACTGCAGCCCTCGAGATGGCAGAGAAGCACGCCGCTGCGTGGCACACGCACGTTGTCAAGCCAGGAGGCGTGGCGCATCACCCATGGCAAGCCCTGGGTGTTTGGTTGATGGGAGACAATTGGGCCGTGAGAGGCCAGGAGCTGGGTGCTTTCATGGCGTATCTAGTTGTCGATGGCCAAGGGGAAAGCTCGACTATCCTCAACAATCGCATCGCTCAGAAAGGGAGGGCATTGCTACGAGAAGCGTGAAGGCCAATTGCCGGGAGGGCAGTTCGCAACAGAATAACACCCCAAAGACTCAAGCGATGAAGGAGCAAGAGAAATCGTTCACTCAGGTGATGCCTGGATTCTCGAATCAATACCAAAAGTCAGATCCAGCAATCGTCCAGCCGGGCTCGAGCGGCGGAGAGAAGGTCGGATAGCAGAGTCCACGAGCTTCTCCATCTCGAGCCTCTCAAGCCTATGTTTGCCAATAGCTCCCTCCCCGGCGGCTTCCATCAAGTCCTCTCTAAAGGCAAGATCTCGCATCGCCGTGAGAATCTCCGCACATTGCTTCGAAATGGGCTCTCGACGCCCACCTTTCCCACGTGCCTCGAAAGAAGCGATAGTCTGCTGGACCAAGGTTCTGTCCAGGTCAAACGACATGGCCCATGGCTTTTCTGTTTTCTCGCGTACTCCGTGCATGAACTGGATTCGACGCTGAACGATGCACATGAGGAGGACCACCGCCGACAGAAAAGCCGCTTGCTCGCCGCCTCGGCAACGGGAGAGCTGCTCTTTTGCGTGCTGCGACCCGACGTGCCGGCTGAGCGTGTTTCTGCCCGCGTTTCTGCACGCCTTCAGGTCGTAGCAGGCTGTCTCTCCAGAAGAGCTGAAAGCCAGGGGTAGATGAAGGAACATTTGCGTCGTAAAGTACCACATCTGGCACAACAGTCGGGTAGGCTCCTGCGCGGAGTCGAGAGATCGCCCTGGGGCGAAGCTGGGCGTATCCCACCAAGTGCTTGGCAAGCTGCTGTATATTGTAATGAGACGATCCTCGAGCTTTCTGGCCACATCCCCATCATGGTGACGGCCTTGTGCATTCCTTTCTGCCAGTCCCGCCATGACAGTGCAGATGAGTCGCTGGACGTTGGCCTCTTTCTCTGCGACAGGATCGGTCCACATCTCGTGATCAGTGCCAAACGCGTCGGGCCCCGTAGCCGGCTCCTGGCCTAGGAGTAGGCTGTAGTACGAGTCCCCGCAGGCAGCCGAAAGCCACAAGCGCCGCAGGAGCGCGTCCTCGTCGCTCTTCGAGTCGCGCCTGGCGTCGGAGAAGCTCTGGTGAAGGCCGGCAAGCCTAGCCATGTCAAGGGTTCTCCGAAAGGTAGACCAAGTCTGCCTGATGTCGCCACTGTTCAGATAGATGGTGCCCAGAACGAGCAAAGATTCTATGCCATTCGTAGAGCAGGCCTCGTCCTCATGCGTCATGATGTAAGCCTTGGATCTCTCTACGATCAAGTCGATCGTCCGACTCATGTCCTCGAACCCGAGCAAAGATTCATCAAAGTCATCCGGAAGCTGCTGCATGTATAGGGCAAACAGAAGTAGCATCTTGGCAACTTGAATCGGGCTGCCCTTTGAAATTGTTGCCAGGTCTAAGAGCTGAATGGTGTCATCCGGCCTAAAGACACTGCCGGACGGCGTTTCAGCACCCCAGAGCCAAGCGAGGGTGTTGATTGTGATTGTGACTGCATCTTGTGGGGACGGGAGCAGCGTCACCAGGGAGTGCTCCGAAACTTGGCTGTCTGCCGTAGTGGCCAAAACAGCGTTGACATTTGGCACGGGCATGCATCTCATGCGGCCCATCTCAAGGTTTGGCGCGTCGCCGGTCGCATGGGTAAAGGACGGGGCTCCAAAATCCGTCACACGATTATCATATACTGTCGGCGCCATCGTCTGCTGGTACTCCTGCCCAAAGTCTTCCAAGCCATCGAATAAAGCCTCATCGAAGATTCCGCCAGGCATAGCAGGCTGGCCTTCGGCAGGAATAGTGTCAGCTTGCTGTCTCTCTTGTGACTGCACAAGCCTCGTTAATAACGACTCAATCCGATCCAGCCTTGACCCATGGTCATCAACGCCGGCTGAAGGAGCAGCTGGTATTCCATGGTTTGATGGGGCCTCGAGGGAGCACTGGGTGCCACTCTTGACGCACTCAGCACAGTCACCTTCATCTCTGATCGTGAGGGAGCACTTGACTTTTCGTTTGCGGCCTAGTTAACGCGTCAGCTACAGGTATTAGAATCAAATCCAAGAAGCCGCGGTACTGCGGTGGGGAGAACCAACATTGAAAGCAGCTCTTGGTAGCTCTCTTCAACCGCTTGCGCGGCGGGCTCTCATTCATCTCGTCGGCGCTTTGGTGCAGAACCAGTCGTCATAGCGATCTTGAGAGTAGTTGATTTGGAATTGTTCGTCGAGTGAGTTGATTGTCTGGACTAAAAGTTAAGGTCAAGGTACTCGTCGTGGGTGATCTCATTCCGGTCTGATGTTTGTCAGGCACGTTTGTCTTGCTTACGTACGGTTGAAGGGATCGCCTTATTTTCGTGACGGGTCAATAACGGCTGCGGAGCCTGAGGAGTAACATAAGCACTAAAGATCGTTGTGTGACGGCGCCGTGAGGGACTGCGATTAGGCTACTCCGTACTCTGTAGTTATTTATTTATTCTTCTTTCCTTTCTACACTATTATATTTTTTATTCATTTAATATAAATATTATAATCTTGATATTTATTTCTATTTTTTCACAACTAATATTTTTTCTTAAATCCTTAGCTATATAAATATAAGCCCACCCTTATATATTAATCCTAATAGTCACTCCTTTACCCCCGTACTCTCCGCCTGGCAGGTGCTACAGGAGCATTTGAAACCCCACATTGACGATAAGTAGCTCTGCCTCATCTCCAGGGACAGGTGTGGTTCAAGATAGCTAATGACTATTTCGGAACCAGGCTGTATAGGTTTCGAAATTGTGATTTTTTGAGTAAGCGATTCCTCAGAAAAGTCGTACGTCGCATTGGGATCACAGTCGTGATTGAGAAGCTACGTTAAACGTCAGCTTTTGCTCTTATATTACCTGCTAGTGGCGGCCTCACCGAGATATTCGGAAACACAGCGAGATATGTCCCGCTTCTCATCTGCAATGCGAAAGCATTGGCTCTTATACGGTCTGTCAACGGGTCCACCCGTTTGACGGCGTCTAACTGCCAGAACATCGTTCTTGCTTCAAGCGACAATGCTGCCACAGCCTCGTGATGGAGCTGGATCCATTTTCTTTCTTCCAACTGTGAGTAAATTTCAAAGTCTAGAAGCAAAATAGGCGCTTGTGCCATGAGCACATCCCCTTGTCGTAGCCGCTGCTTCGCGATGAGACCACATCCCCGTGCTGGTATGTTGGCGATTCTGAATAAGTCGGACTCGGCTATGTCGGACTGGTGTGCAGTGGTGCTGGAACCGAGTGAAAGGTAGCGTTCAAGATGTACCGCACTCTCATGCGTACAGATCACACTCATGCCAAGCCCAGAAGAAGCATCAGAAGACGAGTACAAGCGGAATGGGCTGATGGATGACTGTAGCACTGTAGGAAGTTGGCGACGCTCGAGGGTCCACGGTCGCGTCGAATTTCTTTGAGGAGCCGAGGGTCCAAAGCTTGCTTGCTCATTCTGTCCGCAGACTCTAAGATCCAACATGGGCACGTGTGTCGGGAGACAGGCTAAGACGGTGAACTGCCACAGAGCACCGAAAAGCCAGAGAACTACCCTCCACGGCGTCATTTTTGTTGGTCTGATGGTTCTGCACACCACCAAAGGTCCTCGTTGGGTCTCCAGTTTATGCTTGCAGAGGTTGAGAGGAACAAAAGGTTCTATTAATCTCGGTGACGTGACTGAACAAAAAAGAAGTAAGAAAGAAAGCTACCTGGTAAGCTAGCGACTGGCTGCGGAAAGCACGAAGAAGGTCCATGTCATCGTGCGGTCCGTGCCGACGGCCACTGGCGGCTGGCCCCGGCCCGACTCCAGTCGTCTCAGCGGCAACACAGGCTACTCGTCTGGCGTGGGGGGTTCATCCTCGGTGCATTCATCTTCTCCATCTCCATCTGGATCCGCCTTGTTGCATATCTCTTTGTAGCTCACGTGCTGTTCGTCCAAATCCACACTCTCCCCATCTTCAGTCTCATAACCTGCAATGGTCAATGTCATAAGCACGTTGTGGAGGGAAGCATAATGCAACTTACGTAGCGCCCACAGAGCCGAGGCTTCACCATCCACGAGGTATGGTGAGATGGTGCACTTATCCTTGAGTGTCTCAACATCACCTTTGCATACTGGTGCGCTGCCACCCTTGCCGATGATTGCTGTCTCTAGCTTCTGTTTGGAGATGTTGCCACAACTCTCAATCAGTTTAGGGAAGAAGACCCATCGGCTCCAATACTCGTCGGAAGCTGGAGGGTCCGCCGAACGCTCGAAAGAGCTTAATTTTGCGGTACTTCTGCTCCCTTGATGCTTTGTTAGTCTCATCCGGGGGTGACCTAAGTATTGTCGATGGCAGAAACATACAGCTGTACGTGACACCAGCTCCAAAAACCTCTTTCACCACTCCTTCGAGGCCAGCCGAGAACCCCTGACTGACGGACGTTTCTTCGCCTTCGGTCATCGCAACGGCTTGTCCCGGAGATCTGGGTTCTCCAGCTTCGCCCGGTGCGCTCGTCTCGGGTCCCAACAGCCCTGTTCGTCTCAGCTCGCAGAAGGTCTAACACTCATTCGAACGGGCCGAGATTGGACCACAGGAACCATCTTCCTCGTCGTACGTGATGTCCTCTGGGCGGGCGCAGTCCGTCCGAGTCTCTCCGAAAAAACCAACAGGGCAATCAATGTCGTCCGCTCTGGCTTGCATAGGACCTTCACCGACGAACTCGAGCCATGTCGCTTTGCCTCGTCCCCTGCCAGAACCAGGAGTATCAGGGGGGTTCATGCCGGGAGGCGCCTTAAGGTTGATGCCCGCATAGATGCCGTAGGCTGCAAAGGTGAGGTTGTTGACGACGTGCACGCCAGTGAAAGTCCCCTTTGAATTGCAGTCTTTAAACAGCTGTGAAATACCTCGCTTGGCCTCACCTTGAGTGATTGTGCGATTGCGTGCGTTACCGTTGCAGATGGATACGATGGTGGTGTTCTCTCGCTTGTAGACGCATTCGTCGGTCAGCATGGGGAACCCGCCGGGGAGAGATAAGCTGTCGCCCAGAATGCGGCCAGCATTCTCCAGATCCTTCTGCTCAAGCCTGTATCGGAAGGTTAGAGTTTTTCAATTGCACATAAAAATGACTATGACTGACCCTCTGTCTGCGTTGCAGCGACTATACGAGTCATCGTGACGCTTCTCAAAAATGACGGAGGAATAGGCGAGTGAGCTCAAGCCCACGAGCGCAACCAAGAATTGCATTATAGCCGGCCGTAAGGTTCAGTGTATAGGTGGAGTTGAGATATCAGGCACTGGATCAAACCGCCAGAAGGGCGACATAGCAAGGTTCTTATACTTGGAACATCAAGCCATACATATTCCTCAGTCTGAGCAACTCCTTACTATGGACTCTTCTACTGTTGGTCATAGGAGTCTTCTGTCCGCCGCAAAATGCAAATGCATGGCTTCAATGCATGTAGTGTCAAGCGATATGCAACCGCCGGCAAACGTGTCTGGATATGGTTGACAAATCTCCCTCATGGCCCAGCCCCCAATCATGGGCTACAGTAGGTGGTTCTCTCGCAAGGCTCAAAGACGGATCACATGTGTTCGTTGGCTCCAGAGCAAGAGGGGAAATTTTGTAACGAAGCCTCCCAGTTGCGCCTTTGCTCCTTACAGAAGCGAGAGCATGGAGTCTGTGCCGCAGACCGGCTGCATGGAAGAGACACTAGATGACGGGTGACGCGGGGCAAGATACTACGTGATAATTCCTGCCGAACCAACAGCAGCCGCAGTCCGCAGATATCATCAATTGGGCTCGCCCAGGAAGCCACGGAGGATCCTCATCGGCAGGCAACATCAAGATACCACGTATGCTACTCTATAATTTAACAAGAGCTCATGCTTCCGAATGTATGCTTCTATACGTTGTCGTGACTTGAAGTGAAGCTATCGTCACATTCGGGTTACTGCGGAGCTTACTCAGGCCCAAGGGTTAGTTGTATGGTGTATTAGCGGTGAGTCAAGGCGGGTGGGTGGGTTACCACTCACCTACTTGACTAAGAACACTGAAGTCACAAAGAACCTAACTGTTAGTTCCAGACGAACCAATCCTCCCCGCAGCCGCTCCCGCTCTTGCATGATGCAGCCCAAACCCCCCACATATCCTGAAGCCGCTCATAGGGTAATTTCATAAGTTTGTTGGTTCGGCCCACCGTTGTCAGGCGGCTGGCTCGAGCCTCGGTCTTGGCCACTGCGGTGAACAGGGGGAGGTTGTCGATCGCTAGCTTAGAAAGCGATCTAACTGTCTAACATGTATTTCGTACCATGTTAAAAAACTCGTATACGACGCTTAGCGAACCGACCAGTGTCACATTTCTTACGAAATGCCGCGGCTTAGTTGAACCTACATGTAGCCATAGAAGCAATTATACGGCCAAGAACAACAAACCAACGCTCTCCTGGCTGTTTGTATGAACATGGTATGATTGGTCCGGGCACGCATTTGGCCCGCAACGCCAAAAGGCGTCATCTTCGCGCTTCCGCGTTCTTCTTCTTCTTCTTTTATTAGCATATCCTCTGCATGGAGAAACTCACCTTCTCCTTCTTGCCATTGTCAGTAGCTTCAATTCTTCTGCCACTCATCTTAGTACCCAGCACACTGAGGCCACTATGACTGAAATCCAGAACTTCACTCTCTCGGACACTCAGGCGGTAGGTTTCTTTGGCATGCCCTGGTTGCAACATGAACTCGCCAATTCAGACATGGCTTATAAGATAAGACGAAATTGACACTGACCTGCTACAGATCCAGCATTCATGGCTATACGACAAGTCCGCTTGCGGGCGCCTGCCTGAGGAATACCGTCTCACCATGTTATGTGAAGCCACTGTCTCTGGCATCACGGCACCGGGCCCTGGCCCTTATATACTAGGCGCCGGAAAGGAATGGGAAATGTTTCGACCTTGCTGCCCCCCCCGATACGGGCGAATCCTACCATAAGGCAAACCGGTTTTACACCGAGTACGACTGCGTATCGAAATATTGCGCGACAACAAATGTGACTTTGGCACAGGGTTGGACGGAGTGTCTGGACGCAGCTTTGCAGAGGGAGCTTTCAAAGACTGACGTTGATGCAATCAAGGGCAACCAGTCTAAGATAGAAGTCCTCAGTAGATGCGAATGGCTCGACTACGATCTAGTACGGAAGGGCATGGAAGCTGTGGATGATGAGGGTGGCGCTCAGTCTCAGTGGACAATGAGCGTCCGGTTTCTCTTGGTGTCAGTTCTGCTGACTTCTGCTTTTTACCTTTCGGGCTGAGGGAGACTCGGAACTTATGCCTTGCCTCTCTCTAGTCTGCGGTTGGTCAGTGTGCGCGCAACGTTTTTGCAGGTCATCAGCTCGGACTCACAGGATATCGAGTGACATGTACTGGATGGCATACCGCTGATTTTCGCACGGCGACCTACTTCCAGTCATACAGGGCGCAAGACCAAGTGTTATCCAAAAGCTTGCGCCGCCATTCATCGTTATTTTGTCGTGGCGTGTAAATTGAGGTCAACCAGTTGGACCATGACCCAACATATTCTTCTTCTCCTTCATCGCTATGCACTATGTCGCCATTGATATCGGCGCTGTCCTCAGTGCCGTAGTATAGTATGGCTTCCTCCATAGAGAACCTCTCCCCAAACATGACCGTCATGCTCTCCAGCTTGCCAACGGCTATCTGGTTAATAAATAGGCACTCGCCGTATGAGTCTAACCACATTACATTCACAAAGTCACGCTCTGTAGCCTCCCTATCTACAAAAAGAAAGTAAAAATCCATCCGATCGCACTTGGCCTCTAGGCTCTTAGACTTAGGCCAATGCCTTGTGCATCGCCCCTCACCCGCGCGGTAGTTAGATCCAGTTTTGTCGCAGAGCCCTGGCATACGCTCGAGAAGCTTGTTGCGCAGACGGTCAGGGTCCTCGCCAAGGTCGTATAGATCTTGGTCGTCCATAAACCGCTCCATACTAACCAAAGCATCCGTTCCTGCCCACCACGCCAGCTCAGCATATTTCCGTTCCAGCGCTTTGTCGTAACAGAGTTGCACCCAGAAATGGTTGTTTATATTAGATAATTCGCTCGCGTTCCTCTCCCTATTTGTTTGAAAAGAACGGAGGACTCTTTGAATTTTGTCGTGGACGAGATTGCGATTGGAGCCGTCATCTTTTCGCGTCTTCAAGTTGTTTGCCTGGTCATGATAAGGCTTCCTTTAGAATCAGTACCATTCTAACAACGTGTGTACGAGATACGGACGGTCAATCCTTGGCATGGCTAAGTACTTTCCGACCAAATTCTTCCATCGTTCGCCATCTACCTATCTATACAGGGGCTTCGTAATCCCAGCTATCCTGTTGTCTCTTGGTTAGGATCATACTTCTAGACAGGGCAGGAAGCTGGGATAGGGTTGGGCGGGGTCAAATTACTAGAACAAATACGTCGAATGGGATTCGACCGAGCTGAGTTTCCTTCTCGAGCTTGACTTCCGACGCCATGCAGCTCGTGGTGTTGGGCTAAGAGTGTACATGTAATTACATGTAGGATGAATGTATTGGCCTGATTCGTTCACTTGGACGAGAAGGAGGGCATCCCAGGGCCCCAGCGTTCACGTGCCGCAGCGGGTCTCCCTCTCTGCAGCCTGACGTGCGCCTTGGCTGGCATCGTGACTACACCCCATCACCTACGCAGAGTATCAGCGTCGGGTGGGTGGGGGTGAGTCGGGAGTCGGAACTGGAGTCGGGACTCGGGTGACAACCTGGTGCATGCAGCATACATGTACTGCTCGTGCATGTAGGGCAGACACGTACCGCCGATTAGCTCATAGCATCACACATGGATGCAGCGCCATTACGGATAGAGCATGAGCTCCGGAAAGGATCGCAGGTTGGTTTGCTGTAGTGGGTTCATCGCCGAACTCTTGTGGACTGCAATCTACTACAGTAACAAATCAATCCAAGCATATTTGATGTGGCGTCGAATATCTACATTCACTGCTCATTGGCTAGCGTGAGCTCTCCTTCCAGAAGCCCCTTAGAACGGTCTTCCCTAGCTGTCATTCCGGGTCTAGGTTAAGCTTAACAAAGCTGTTGATTCTTTCCAACCGAGTGACTAGTCCTCATAGAACCCACCCTGCGCCTGCCCTTAAGGTCTCACAGATGAGTCGCCGCGATATGTCCACCGTATGCATAGAGGGGCGGCGGTTTACGAAGGGCCTGTCACAGCACGTAATAAAAAACTGCTCGAAGCGCTAGACTTCTTACGCACGGAAGCGCAGTGCTTCCACACCGGTATTGGTCAAGTCGCTCATTTCTAAAGTCTTGACGCTAATTCCTACACAAATATCTGCTAAGACGCTCCTCGACGTCCATCCGATGAGGCTTCTCCTTGGCGCGGATGGTAGTGCCGCATCTCATGCTCTGGAAGAAAGCGAGCACTCGAGTCCCGTGGTTCGCCAAGAGCTTCAGTACCAAACTATTCTCGCCGCTGATGAAGGCCAAGAGCAGACCCTTGCTACCCTCTGACTTCAGCGAGACTGGGCTCGGGACCGAACCGCACAGAGGGTGACAATGTGCCCGTCATAAACCGCGTACCAGGCACGATTTTGTACATCGATCGGAGCTTCCCAATCGATATTTGGATTGGGGGACTCACGGTACGTATTCGTACATGTGCCGGAAGGTTGTCATTGTCTTGACAGTGCTGACTGGTACACGTTTGGTTCCTAGGCATGGATATTCTTGGAGGACAGAGTTCAAACGCTCTTTAGCACACAAATGAAGATGGTAGTATTTTGGATGGCATGCATTTCGTAGAGCTCATTGCAGCGCTTGGCCCACCGCCCAAGACAATGCTTGATCGACATTATCAGAGCACTCAGAGCCCTAACAAAGGTCCCGGACCCGGAGGCTCGGCCCACGGCCAAGAAGCTTCTGCAAGACCCCTGGTTGAAGGATTAGACCAAGATTTCCAACGGATCGGACGGCATGCGAGATCGGGAACAGGGGTAAAGGTTGAGAGGGCTGAGCATGGATAATGAAAAGCCTGCGCTCACATTCAGGAAAATCGAGGCGATAGGAAAACGAAGAAAAGTCCAGATTAACAGTGAAATTATTTGTGAGTTAGAATAACGTGTAGGATATATCCCGTGGACTTTGTCAAGTACCCCGGGTGCCAGGTGCCAAGGCCCACAGGGCTATTGAGCCTATTGGAGGAAGCGCCAGTTGGCCAAGGGTCCACTTATGCCTAGCCTTAGACAGAGACACCGGCACTTTCTTTTCCACCTTGGTAGCGTGGAGTGGAGAAAACCTAGAGATGAGAGTCATCGATATTAACATGCTCGTCTCTATTGGTAGGCCTGTAGGGTAACGCCCCGGATTCCGGAGCCCCAGACCCACCACACGGGGTGCTAGTGGGTCGGGTTCGGGACCGAGCTCGGGACGGAAGCAGACGACGAATCCCACATGTGCCGAGAGCCGAATTGGATGGTCAATCGTGATCCTCCGGCAGAACACATTATACAGGGACGGGTAGCTCCGAGACTATCTCATTTGATAATCGAGGGCTATCGCCAAGTGTTTCGCGTCATTACTCTACTAGGAAAGCCCGGCATATTGTAGCTGGGCTGATATCATCGGGCCACAATGGATTCAGATCCTTGAACACCCACGCGCAGTCTTGGGCAAAGACAAGCTCTCCAACCTCTGAGAGAAGAGAGCTGGTCCTTCGTAGAGTATGCCCTTGTAAATGTATGTGGTTGCATTGCTTCGGCATCCCTTTTCCGCTGAACATACCGGCACGTCCTACGCTCGACAGGGTAGACTTCCTCTATGTCGAGACAGTCTAATCACTAGCGATGTATGCGAACATGAAGCTGACTCGGCTGATGTCATTCCTGTCCACAAGGTCGAGAAAGAAGTATAAGTAATAGCCAACGTCGCGTCCGAGACTCATCTATCAGTGCCTCACAGCAGTATCAAACAGCACAACCAGCGGTCTCTCATTGCTACCCATCTCAAGTCTTTCACCATGCATCTCTCGATTCTCGCACTGGTCGGGACGGCCGTCGCCATCGACGTGTCCGTTCTCTGGAGCCACGACAAAGTGTCGGGAACCAAGTCCCTGCGGGTGTCGGACACCAGCAACCAGCTCATCGCCCAGAGCTGTTCCGATACCATTGAAGGTCCTATGAGCATCGATTTCTCCGGAGTCGATGAAAATGGCTTCGGAAACGTCACAGTTGGGACAGACTCGTACCTTGCGCACTCCAAGGTCGAATACTCGGGTGGCATCGTCTGCAGCAAGGTATACAATGAAGAGTCCGCTGTGGTCGAATGCCACGATATAGACTGGGACCCTCCTGCGGACCCGGTCGTAGAGGCCGACTGCCACGAAAACGCCGAAGTGGACGACTTGGCTAGCCACGTGTCTGCCCGCAGCGCCTCGCCTGCCAGTCACCTCGAGGAGCGAGACCCTCAGATCGTCTGCACTTCCAGCTCTTCTACTGAACTTATCGGTGATGGTATAATGAGCACCCTGGACATGCCAAAACCTATCATATGGACTGACAATTTATGCAGGCAACCCCCACCAGAACTACCGTCATCAGCAGATTTCTGTAAGTTCCTTTCTCCCTCCCTTCACGGCAACGCGAGATCGATGCCACAATCACTGTTTGGAATAGCCTGAAGAAAAGGAAACTTGCTTATCATCCATCTTCTGTCATAGGAAAACATCTTCTGCGGTAGCTCTGACACGTGCACTGTCGGCCACGAACAGTCAAAGACGTTCACCGTTGGATGGACCTCGGAGATCTCGGCCGATGGCTGGATCAGCGGCGGGTTCGAGGTCCAGCAGTCATGGACGAGCGGCAACGAGTACACCTGCTACGCCCATACCGGAGAAACTGGCTGCGTCTGGTACAACCTGGCACACACTGCTTGTGAGTTTGAGCGACTCCTTCTCCAGCCTGACCACTTCCAAAGAGAAGGCGCAGGATGGGATTTGATGTCATTGATTGGAACAAACTTCGGGCTTGAAGCTAACCAGAAATGTGCTAGATACCGTCCACAACCACGAGTACAACAGCTGCGTCTGGCCTACCAACAAATACAGCGATCCATTTGTCATGTGGTCGCCGAACAAGAACAACCGTGGTGGCGGCTACTACTGTGTCATTGGAACGTGCCGCGCGCAGGGAGACTACTATTGGGACCTGAATGGTCGCGCCGGAGGTCCTTGAATGGCAGCCTGATGGACCAAGCTATCTGGAAAACCAGGCATCGGCAAGTCGAGTGCACAGATTGCTTGTTCGCTCGCATGTTTACATACAAGGGGCCAGTGGACATCAAAGCTTAGCTCGTATCTCTCAAGGCGTGTATTCTCGCTGCAAAATGTCAAACCAAAGCAGCATACACTTTCATACTTTTTATTACGCTGGAGTGACCTGGATCCTGTTACTGAGATTCGATTATTTCAATCACCTGGTGGTTATCCATTCTAGGTATATACTTCTCGCGCAACACCCAGCCCCATTCAAGATGGCATGGCCATGGGGTGTGACGATTTCTACGAGGTTAAAAGAGGGGGCGTTTGTGTTGAGATTGCAAAGAGGTAAAATATCTCGGAAGCCGATTTTTTGAAGTGGAATCCAGCGGTTCAGAAGGACCTTACAGGGCTTATAGCAGAGACATACGTTTGCGTTGGTGTGAAGTAGGGGTTCAGAGTCAAAGGAGAGTGCCCTATACACCGGGGGGTCCCGGATTCAAGCAGCTTGGCTTCTCTACATCCAACCCTCGCTCGCAAAATTCCTCTGCGCACGGTATGGTCCGGGCCAACGCCCTGTTCTCGGCTCAGGAGGTAGTTGGGGTTGTCATGCTTGTTTTATACACTGCTCTACCATACTCAAAAGCTCAACACCATCTGCTCCACTATCGATGTATTTGTAGTCGAATCTTTCCACTCCACTCACCCACTTGGCTTTTCCCACGTCGGGTCAAACTCGTCGCGAGAAACACCCCCCAGGCCTTTACCATACGGGACCGAGTTAAAGCCCTTGTGTGGCTTCTGTCCAAATAGATGCTCTTGTTCGCCATATATAAACCGAGTGGCTTCCTTACTATACCACGTGGTCTTCCCGTGGTAGGGATTGGGAAGGTAGTGCGTCTTCAGGATTAATGTCGGTCGAATCTCCCAGTCAGCCCAGGGAAGCTTATCCCGTATCTTTTCGAGAAGCTCCTTGTAGCTTCCCCCGCCGCCCTCCTTGAAAAGGAGGAAGCTAAGTTCCACGGTTCGTAAAGTGGTTGGTAGGCTTGCAAGCACGTCCACAAGTTCGTTTGTGTCAACGACAATACCTGCGATTCCGAAATGACGCAACCGCGGCCACGCTTCTATCGGAAGAAGCTGTCGTAACGGGATAAAACTATCGAGCTGTTGTCTTATTCCACTCCTAGCTCTGCTTGCATTCGTGCTGAGTCTGAAGTGCTCCAGCGCTGCGCAGCCCAGAGCATGGCGCAGATTATCGTGGGTCGAGGCAGTCCAGTTCTCACCATCCTCAGCATCGCCAGCCGACAGAGACAGATCAAGCCTTCTGAATCCTGGTCGACTCATGACTGTGACCAAGTCTTTGTACTCTTGATGGGACTTGTCATCAAAGACATGGTACGTCAACCCACTGTCGAGGTAGTTAACGTCCACGAGGAACTCGGAGACAGAGTGGGAATCATCCTGAGCCAATGCCCGCGTGATAATACGAAACCCCCTCCACATGTTCTTCACGTGCTCGGATTGCCAGAGAGGAGCCTCTGGGGCCGGCTCAGCGTAAGGAGCTGTCGGCCAGCCACGCGGGAGTGGGTAGTTCAGGCCACGCGGGAGTTGGCGGATCAGCGGGGTGCGGTAGAGCGGCATGAAGAGAAAGCCGTGGGCAGCTGGCGTGAGGGTGATTCTCCTGAGATTAGGAAAGCGGGCAAGCGCGTATTTTAAGGCTTCCTCATCAAGCGCGGGTGTCGATTGCAGTACCTCGTCTTGCTGTTGAAGCAACTGTCGATAATATTTCCATGCCCGCGCGGGAGGCAACTCTGCTTCGCTTTGACTAACAAGCTTTTGCGAGTCCGAGGAAAACCTTTTAGCTTCGCTCAGACGTCTATCCAAGCCAGGACCCCAAAGATAATTATAATCGAGAGCAATGCCAAACCATTCTGGGTACTTCTGGCCTTGGTGAGGCCGCTCATCGGGATCGTCAGCGTACATTTCTGCTATTTCCATATCGTCTTCGTCCAATTCACTGCCGTCTTCATCGAAGCCCACGTCGTCTCCTCTATTGACGAATCGCGCATCATCCCAAATAAGCTCAGTCACCTTATACCGGAAATAATCGTGGTCCGCAATAGCTCTCAAGACCTCGATGTTGACCGGGTGGGCGGAAAGAAAAACCCGGCTGAGCTTAAGGCTAGCGAGTACGGCTTCGCTCAGAATCTTGCAAGTCAGCCGTAAGTTTCTGACGTCGCGGTTTGTGGGCAATTCGGCAGCGATGCCACCCAGCAACTCGCTCGGAAGGCCAGCAAGAGTAGCCTGCGAAGCCATAATGGCTGTTTGGGGGGCAGCTGAAAAGAGTGAATGGATGTGGAGGAGGGAAGATAGGGGTTACAGGTGTGACTATTGCGGTCACGTTATTAGGCTAGCTCCACCACTCGTGCGGACCTGAATTTCTGATATAACACGTCAACACTCATACGCAATTCGTTGCTGCTTGAGTCATGTGGATCCGCGACGAAATCGTGGCTGGACGCTCGTAGACATCGATATCGCCAAATGCTAGTAAATTTATATGCGTGCACATGCTTAAGTATCGAACGTAGTCTGACCGTGAGATCGCATATTAATAGCGTGACTCGATATTGCATTAACAGGAGCGGCAGCCCGGTATTCTACCGGTGGGCCAATTTCCGATACAACGTCATTCGAGCTTTCCTCCTTCAGGGTCTCACTTTGTGCTCACAGCGCGTGTCCCTACATGTACAATCAAACAGACTGCCTTCTTGATGGTCAATTGCACCTAAGGTTGCACGAGCCGTTCCACCGATGCGCAGTGGAATGGATCAAGCTCATCATGTCGTCGACGGGAGCAGACGTTCTCGTCCATGCGATACCTGCCGAAAACGCAAGCGTCGGTGCGTGACAGAAGCCGGCCAGCTTGCATGTCAACTTTGTCGAGCTGGTGCAGGCCATTGTACTTTTACAGAGCAGGCGGTGGATCGAGGGTCCCTCAAGCGTCCGGCGCCTGATCAACTCGGGGGGCTGCCAGCTAGGCAACGCGTCCAGTACGTTGCGCAACCCATCATGGCTTGCTTACCCAAGCCCTTGCCGCCATGTGCACCATGTCATCTAAGTCTCGCTGCCCAGGAACAATGAAACGTCAGCCGACATCGATGTCCATTCGTACGATGACGCGGCTGGCGTGATTGAAGACTATGACGCCCTGCCTATGCCGTCGCTCCTCAAGACCAATCTTGGACTGCAGCAGCATCGGTACATACGGTACATTGGTCCCTCTGACGAACTAGATCCAGACCTCCTGGCCCTTCGGCCTGTCGATGACAAGCAAGAGATTCAGTTCCCGAATGGGACCCATTGTCGACGTGTCTCCCGCCACACGCATTTTGCACTGGTGCCATACAGCCGTACGCGAGTCCGCGCGCAAGAGTTGCAGGAGTTGGATGCCATTGAGAAGATTGTAACGCCTCACGGAAAGAGTCTCGTGAACCTCTACTTTCGAATGGTCCATCCTTGCTTTCCTATACTGGACAAGAAGTCAGTTTCTCTGGCCCAATCATGCCGCCTTATACTCAGGCTAACCCTCTTTTGTGTGTGTCCAGAACGTTCATGGAAAAGTACGCGCGGACGCATCGCGAGTTCTCCTCGCCGTGCCTCGCCGGAGTCTACATGCTTGCCGTCAAATGGTGGCACCATGATCGGGAGCTTTCTGCGCAGAAAAAGCCGGACATTGACGGTCTCGAGCGCATTGCTCGCAGGTCTCTGCAAAGCGTGATAGATAGACCCAAGTTATCGACCCTTCAAGGTGGCTTGTTGCTTCTGCAACATGAGTGGTCTCATGAGGGCGCTTGGGCCTTGAGCGCGCAGATGGTTGCTGTCGCGCAAGATCTCGGAATCGATTCCAACTGTGCTGGTTGGACCATTCCAACGTGGGAAAGCGGCTTGAGAAGACGTCTAGGCTGGGCCATCTATATGATGGATAAATGGTAAGCAAATCGGCCATACGACCGCCAGGCGCGAAGCTTACAACTGCGCAAAGGATGGCGCTTTGCCGCGGTCGACCCTCGCACATCATCGACGACGATTGGACGCCTGGGGCTCTGTCTGCAGAGGACTTTGCGGACACTGAGGATGAAGAAGAAGCCGACGGCTCAATTGAGGGCAGCGTGGATGTTGTTGCCGGGGGAAAAGCCTTCGAATCGATGATCTTTTTGACTCACATTGTCAGCCAAATGCTGCAGAAATTCTAGTGAGCCACCTACCTCTCTCCGAACCCCACGAGACTATCTGACAAGAACTCCGTTAGCTCGCGGAAGGCCTTGGCGGACAAGTCTTCTAACATCAGGACCGTGCTGGAGCAGATCAAACCCATTCAAGTCAAACTACGAGAATGGCACCGGGACTTGCCTGCCTCGCTTCAATTGGACGCATCCGCGAGCCAAAGACTATCCCCGAACGCGTCCTTACATCTGGCCTACTTCGCGGCCGAGTTCACGCTTCACCGTGTCCTCCTGCGGTCGCTGCTCCGCCACCCGTGCGATCCATACATTGTGCAGATCTGCCGCGGCGCTGCTAAAGAACGGGTCACATCCGCGGTCGATCTTGTGGCAAGGCTGGGAGGGCAGCACTTGCAAGCATTCTGGTATTCGCGTATGTCACTTCTGAGCCCACATTGTCCATTTTCACGTGAAACGGTCGCTTACCTACGTCTGACTTTGTAGCCAGCGGGTACTGTCTTGTTACGATTGGTACCTTTACAGCACTCATGTTCATTACATCGCAGTCCACTAAAGAGGCCGAGACGTATAAGAAGACCCTGAGTAACTACCGATGGTTGCTCCGAGTCAACAGCCGTGCTACAGAGTACATGGATTTTGCTGTGCAAAGACTCGACCTATCACTTTCTCACATCCATGAGCTGACGGCCGAGGACATTGTCGGTCAATCCACACCAGTGGAGACAGGGACGCCAAGGGCGAGCAGTGACGCCCCATCGCCAGGGTCTCAAGTTGCCACAACTGCTGACATGCAAGCTGGACAAGCGAGCGCCATTCGCGAGGCACGCCCCAAGGAGCAGGCAATACAATGGGCGCAAGAGAACGCCTCATCAGAGGGACTCGACGACACTTTTCCTACATCCTTCTTCTACGAAGACGCTGTCCTCAACGTGATGGAGAACCAGTCACCTCTACACAGTTCACGTCTCCGGCAACATCAACTCCCGCCTTTGTTGTACCCGCTGTCTCCCGCGTTTGATTTCGCGGGGGCGACAACACGGACACTGGAGTACGAGTCCCAGCCATCGGAGCAGGGAGATCCAAACCAGGGACCAGTATAAAAGGAGACGATAGTATTAAGGGTATCAAAGAAGGTCCAAAGTTTACTGTTCGCGGCCTTTCTCTACCTGGATCTCCTCTACGCCGCAAATCACACTCGTGCCCGTCAATAACCACTCTTCGCCCCTATCCTCCTGGGAGCCTTTGACCAGAGAGTCCGCAGGAACCTTGAAGAGAACGCTCAACCCGTAATACAAAACGCCAGCAACCACGACACCGACTAGCCAGTTCAGGGTGTATATGTTCTGAAAGCCCTCTGGGACGTCCACTCCAGGGTTGACGGCATTGATCAATCCCGGCAAACCTGGTACGAGGGCGATGAGAAATGCCGCCGCCGCACGGGGATTCCAGCCCTTGGTGTACCAATAGAACCCGTGGCGGATGTACAGCTGCTCAATGTTGAGGTACCCCTTGCGGAGGATCCAATAATCACACAGCATGATGCCGCACATGGGTCCGAGAAAGACGCTGTATGCGTTGAGGAAATTGAGAAAGTTGGCGCTGCTCGCCAAAATGTTCCAAGGCGTGGTGCAGATGGCCAAGACGGCGCAGATAAACTGGCCCCGGCGCACATCCACCCACTTTGGCAACAGCGCCATAAAGTCGTTCCCAAACGCCACTGTATTACCGGCAATGTTGGTGCAGAGCGTCGCAAAGGCGAACATGAGGCTGACAAAGAAGGCAGCCGTACGGCTGTCGAACCGGGCCACGACATCCAGGGGGTTCCAGAGGGGTGCATCGACGTTGTAGATGACGACGGACGCCGACGCCAGCGTCACGCCCAGAAAGGCGGTCAGGGTGATGCACACGGGCATCATGATGACCTGCGACCACAAGGCACCGCGGGGCGACTTGGCGTAGCGGCAAAAGTCGCCCATGTTGAGGGCAAACGTCGCCTGGGGTCCAATGGCGGATGTGATGGCGCTCACAAAGGTAAAGGCCACCGTCCGGCCGCTCGAGACGTGTGTGGGTTGCGAGAAGATGGGCCCAAAACCTTTGGCCACGACGACGCTCCAAATGAAGAGGGCCAGCCCGCCCAGTGGCATCATGACCATCTTGACGAGAAACACCCAGCGGAGCTTCGACACGTTGATGTAGAAGAAGGGCAGGCTGATGATCAAGAAGAGAAAGAAGCATAGGAGGTTCACCGAGGTGATGTTGGCGCTCTCAGGCAGTCGGTTTGGCACGCGAGAGTCCAAAGACGGCCATATGGCTCGGAGCATCTGATACACGCACGAGCCCCTATATCGCCCTTTTGGTTAGCGAAAAGCCCACGGACGGGGAAAAGGACTAGACATACCCCGTAGTGAATTGTACACCGCACCAGAAGATGGCCACGACGCCTCGGACAGCGACTGCGAACTTGGTCCCCTGCAGTCCCCAGCACGCTCTGTTCATGACGGGGTAGTTGAGCCCCGTCTTTGCGCCGACGTAGCCAGTCAGCGCGCAGGGGATCATGACGAGACAGGTGCCGAGGACAATGGCGCCCATGGCCATGCCGGGGCTGAGGCCGTTGGCGACGAGGGAGCCGGCCATCTGCAGGATGGGGATCTGGAAGCCCTCGGAGATCCAGAAGCCGCCGACGCTGTACCAAGTCCAGGTCCGGCGGGTGACGGGGACGGGATCCATGTCGGCGTTGGAGAAGTCGGTGCCAGGGAAGCATTCGGATGGTCTGGGGTGCAGAGTGAGCCTGCTTGCCAATTTGCGGAGAGGCATGATGGCGATTTGATGGCGATGCAATGGGAGAGGCTTGTAGAAAGGCAAGTAGAGAGTGCACTCGCATGGAAAGATGGATGATTGTTGGCAATGGCTTTTCTTTAATACATTCAGTCCATTACGTCCATGATGCCAACGCTCGTCCACCGGCCAAGGCTACGACTATACGTAGTTGAATCATTCCCGATCCAGTGCCCCTTGAGTCTGGCGATAAGTAACCGGCAGTCTGGGACTGGAGGTGCGCCCGCTCGCTTGTGTTGTCGACTGGACCCCAGGATAAGGACGCGTAAAACTGATCATGGCCAGATAAGATAGCAGCACAGGCGGCCCGCTGGCTGTTCTTTGCGGCGACTGGAGGCGCGCCGCCTTATCTAAGGCGGGCCGCCGATCTTGAGAGCGGCTGAACCGGAGGAATTTTACTCGTCGACCTCCTCCCACGTAGCGCACTGCTCACTGGCTCTGTCATTCTTCAATTGACGAGTGCGTTCAAGGCTTCGGACTGGCACGCAACAAGCTATGAATGGATCGTCAAAGTGCAATGTGCAGCTGCGGGAGCGAGAGTATACAGAATCATTGATAGCCATTAGCGTTGACCAAGGTTTTCCACTACCTGATCCGGTACGGAGTTGCCCATGGCTGGCTACATGGCTGCCGGCACGTACTTCCTGTTTCCAGTCTTCGCGTCGACCAATCTGACCTGCAAACGTTACATGTATACATGTACTGAGTCCATCCGTGCCAAGCGAAGATATGGGGGATCTATCAGCGAGACCTTGGGAATGATGCAATGAACATTGTCGAGGACTGTCAAAACGAGCCTTGGGAGTCAAGATTGGATGGGTTCAAATAAGTTTCATCAGGGCCCCCGAACCTCCCATCGAGTGAGTGATTATTCGAACTACATTTTCTTTCCTTCAAGTGCAACTTCTTCCCCAATGATGCCGAATGAGTTACAAAGGGTCACTTCGTTCCTCATTCGGGATTCCTGTTTCCATATAACACACCTCACTGACACTGCTCCTGAGTCAACCAAGGGTTCAGTCCTATAAGCGCCGTGTTAGAGGCCCGAATTTGACAACGACGACATTGTGGAATGACCATGTCAACCTCCGGCGGTACGACGTCGATTCAGCCCCAACGCCTACGCTTGATGGAAACTCGACGTAGGGGTGCTTCGTCGTGGACCAAGCGGTCCAGGCTTCGTAGCCGTCATGGAATTCCCTCTTGTGAGTTCGCCGTGGTCCCTGCGCGTAATCCAAAAGTGACAGCCTGGATAGCTTCTCAAGGGAAAAAACAGATCCGAGTCTAGAGGACAGCGCCATCATGGCCAAGAGACTCGGTCCCGCCTTTCAAGGGGAAGTTTATGCAGGCGAGCACCTCTCGATCACGTACGGGGACCACGGTGGCCTCACAAAAGGTGGTCCCATGACAGCTACGAAGGGACCTAGAAGATCAAGTGAGTAACGCGCAGCCGATCTGCATATATGAAGGAGATGGGGGAGGAGACGGAACGTTACCGATAAAAGTAGGCCATGCTGTGTGAGACCCAGATGAGCCATAACTCGAGCGAGAGTATCATAGCCGCCGTCTCTCTCCACAGCGCCGAGGATAGCTTCAACAGTCGTAGCGACCATTTTGGGTGTAGCCCGTTCGGTGCCGCCATTGACGTTAATGCAGTTGTCGAGGCCATGTTCCGTACCGACTCGAGCAAGATTCTCGTTGCTGAGAAGGCCTTGCCGAAGCGTAGTCCAGCAATCTTTGCGATGTATATGTTAGCTGTGCCCGCTCTCGAATTCTGTTTATAGATTCAAAAACTTGTGACTAACGTTTGGCAAGTCCCCGCTGCTCCCAGATGCTGCACAAGTAGCAAGCGGCAACGGAATCGCCATAGACAGCGAGGCGGTCGTTCTTGGGCATCTGTCGAGAAAGGCCATCCAAGATATAAACAGACTTGGAGTCCGCTGCAGCGTTCAGGGCCTTGGCGCAGAGTACCTTCGAATTGAACGAGTATTGGATGATTTTCTCGCACCGGGAGACCTTTGGGCCAAAGTTGGAAGAGAAATCCATGGTTTCTGCGACGAAGGAATGGAGTAGGGGAAGAATATGGAAATTGATTTTGGCAAGAAAGGTTTAAGGAGGACCCAACATGAGACGGGGGATGGACTGGGCTTTTATAAAGTGTGAAGTCCAGGCTAAATGGAGATGCGCATACGCTCGCGTGTTGGGTCGTAACACACCAACAAGTACGTATGCACGCGAAGCAGAGTTGTGAGACAACCCCTCAGTGTGACTCAGACATACAGCCACCGTCCAGTCGCCTCACTGCTTATCGTTGCATTCCATGCTAAATGTGTTGGCACTGCGTAGCTCTGGATCTCAGATCAGGAGTTCTCCATACAGGCCGCGGCGGCGTATGGTTTGGGAAGGGGTTGATGCTAATATCAAGGTGGTCTATCTGAGCAGTTAGGTCATGCATATACAGTCTTGTCTATCTACATGTATGTACTACCCTGGCGTTCTATAGACCAAGCACAGACTCCCTCCCCCGGATGGCCCCTGTCCCTCCCCGCCGCCGCTCACGTAGATCTGTGCGTCCGACACGAGACCCGCAATCAGGCCGCCCACCGCCGCCCTGGCGTGCCTGGTGCTATGGATATCACTGTCTGTATTCATGGTGTGGCGGAAGCCCCTCACCCGGCCAGACGGGTCGGCCTCAGCCTTGGCAAAGACCTGCAAGACCTCCCCGTCGTCCTTCCTGACCTGGTCGAGGAGATGCAGAATCGACGCGGCGTCCATGGCGTCTGCCATGGGACGGGACACCGCATGGAGACGCTGCTCCCGCGGTGGTGACGAGGACGACGTGGGGGACGAAGATGCTAGCACGAGGATGTGGCAGTCGTCGAGCTCAGCACCGCTGCTGCAGCTCGCTTTCGCGCTCCAATGGTGCTCTCCTTGTCCTGGGCGCATAATCGCCGGCACGCCGCCTTCTGGCACCTCACCGAGCGCCGCAGCGATGCCAATGGCACTCGCATACCGGGACCGGGCCATGCTCTCATACGTGTCCGACGTGATGGGCACCCTGCCCTGCGCCCGGATGGCCTGCAGCTTGTCGCTCGTCAGCAGCGGACACTTGACGAGCACCAGATGCACCTGCTCCGGCGTCACGTCCATTTGACGTATGAGTTGGGCGACGGTCGTGGCCACCTGGCGCGTCTGCTCTTCCGTGCCGACCTCATGAGGGGCCAGCGTCCGCGTGTGGCCCACCGACGCGGACAGACCGGTCGTGGCGTCGCCAGTTTCCCGAAGGAAGAAGGTGACGTGAGGGCTCAGCACCCCTTCTGTGCCGCCGGAGAAGACGGTGACCGCGTCGGCCGGGATCAGAGGTTCCCAGACGGCCGAGGCGAGAGTGCGGGAGAAGTCGTTGACACAGCCGTTGCCTATTTCCGGGTGAGCCAAGTGTCATAGAGAAGCCCGTGTGATTCATGTAAGCAACATGAGACCTACCTTCTGTTTTCCCTACAACGGCCAGGATCTGGGATGGGTCGTATCCGGCTTCTTGAATCTTCTGCAGCGGAGAGGTGTCCCCTGGTGAGGATATTGGGAACTTGAGGATCTGAACCGGCGCCATGTTGTTCACAGCACGTAGAGATGGCTCTATGCTACTTGAAAAGAATAGAGAAAGAGAAAAGGGTCATTGTACTCATCAAATCCATTTGGATGTCACTGGACAGATCCCACAAGCAGTTGAGGCTTTAGGAGAAATGGGGCCCCTCTCGCCGAGTCCGGCGGGCGGCGGGCCGCCGTCGGAGTCGGTGGGCCGCCGCCCGCCCGCCGCTCCGCCAGTCCGCCCGCTCTTATCTCCGGATTGGACGAGTACCAACCAGACAGTTGATTCTTTCGTTGACAATGGTATAATAATACATGGTGAAGTCTGGGGCTGAGCCTACAGGGTCGCCAGACAAGCAACCTTCTGTCTTGTTCTGTCGACATCACCGAGCCTTCAAAGTCCGAACACCACCAAGCAGAGATGGCACCCGCAGCTCTCGTCGCCCCCAGCGCAGCACCAGACTTTACTCCATCATGCTCACAGTCCATCAAGTCGCATAACCCTATTGTCACCGCCCTGGATCTGAACATTGGAGAGGTGACCGTGGAGAATCTCCAGAGACTATACGCTTGCGACGCCGCAACACCCGCAGACGTTGTCCGCGCCACGTACAGGAAATTACACAGCCATCTAGACAAGGCAGTATGGATCACATTGGTGCCCGAATCCGAGGCCTTGGCCGCGGCCGAGCAGTTGGCGCGACAGTACCCTGAACCAGTGTCGAGGCCGCCCTTGTACGGTGTCACCTTCTCGGTCAAGGACTCAATCGACATTGCTGGGCTTCCCACGACGCTCGCATGCCCGACGTACGCCTACACGGCGACGCAGACGGCGCCCGTCGTCCAGCGCTTGGTATCCGCTGGCGCCATATTGATCGGCAAGACCAATCTCGACCAGTTCGCTACCGGGTTGAACGGTACCCGGTCGCCGTATGGGATCCCGCGCTGTGTGCATGACAGTGACTATGTCTCGGGCGGCAGCTCCTCTGGCTCTGTCGTCAGCGTCGCCGCGGGCCTCGTAGCCTTTGCTGTGGCCACCGACACGGCCGGGAGCACGCGCGTTCCGGCGGCCTTGAATGGTATGGTGGGCTTGAAGCCAACCCTGGGCACCATCTCGACTGTCGGGTTGGTCCCGGCGTGCAAAACGGCGGACTGCATCACCGTCATAGCCAAGACTGTCCAGTCAGCGCGTATGGCCTTGAGCACTATGCGAGCGTATGATGAGAACGATGTCTATGCACGAGATGAAGCACAGCTTTCCGTCTTGGCAGCCCAGCCTTCCTGGTGGGACGCGAGCAACAATGGGAGGGTGCGCTATGCTCTGCCGCCGCCGGATGTTGTGTCAGCCGCATTATCAGAGCCATACGCTGCTCTGTTTCATAAGGTGACGGCCAAGCTGCCGACCATGAGCTTCATGGACACTGAGCACGGAGCCGGCTTTGACTATTCCCCCTTCGCCTCCGCCAACGCAATGTTGTATGGTAGCTCCATTGTCGCGCAACGTCTTGTCGCCTTCAAGTCGTACATGGACACACATTCCACGGAGGGCATGCACCCCGTCGTGCGGGACATTTTCAGTGCGAGCCAGGGCTTTGACGCCGTGCGGGCGTACGAGGACATGTTTACCTTGGCCGAGTACAAACGCAAGGCCGCACGGCAGTTCCGCTTCCCTTCTCCTTCCTCCTCTACCGGCCGAGAAGGCATAGACGTGCTCGTGGTGCCCTCCACGGCCACGCACCCCACGGTCGCCGAGATCCTCGCGGACCCCATCGAGCTCAACAAGCGACTGGGCAGCTTCACCCACTTTGTCAACTTGCTCGATCTCTGCGCCGTGTCTGTGCCCATTGGGGGGACGTGGACCAGCAGGAATGGCAAGAAGATGCCCTTTGGTGTCACCCTCATATCGACATCGGGACGGGACGAGGATCTGTTGCAGCTGGGACAGCGGTTGATGAGCGAGAGCTGGGACGAGTCGGAGGGACTCATCGGAAATAGTCTACTGTAAGAAATAGAAAGAACTCTATACCAAGTCAGTGTCATACGTACTATCAACGAATGAAATTAAAACCAAAGGGAACATGAATCTTTATCAGGAGCATACACGTCCTCGGCTTCTAGGAGGACCTCTTCTCAGCCTTTCTCGAGCTTGAGCGTAAGCTTGTTATAATAACTGTCCACCCTTAACCATTACATACGACCATACCCAGTGGAAAATACGGGATCCCGTCCGCTCTCCCATAGTCAAGCCGCTGAGGGGTTGATTAGTAGTTGGGTCGGTGACGACCAGCGAATACCGGCTGTTGTATGTTTTTTTGCCCCTTTTTTGTATTTATATACCCGGAACCTCGGTACCTGCGTAGCAGGTTGTCTGATCGAAACAGCTGACCAATGATACAGATTGAAGTTGATATTACTGGTAAAACCATCGAGGTTGAATATGATTTTGTGGGTGATGTGCTGGGTTTCTTTTCTCCTTTTAGCAATAATAACAATACAATCGCTTTGAAACTGTTATATTCTTGGCCTGAAAATAGCAGCTTGAACATGACTCTATCACCAATTCCACTATGTCGTTGTAAAATAAGTTTCTGGTAGAGTAGCAGGCCTGAGAAGTGAGCTATTCAAAGTCTGCCTTGTCCAGTGCATCCCCGAGCCATCGCCACAACCTCTTGTCCGCCACAAAATTCGGATTCGTTTCCGACATCAACATCAGCTTTCTCGCAACGGCAATCCTCTCAGTCTTCATCTTAGGACCACCTTCCTCCTCTTCAGACTCGTCCTCCTCCGTTTCTTCCCCCTCGGCATCCTCTCGCAGCTTAGCCAGCAGTTCTTTCCCATGCTCCTGCATGCTCCTCTGGTGAAACATCCGGGGAATATCGTCCGATCCGTCCTCGTGCGCAAGCTCGAACAAGGTTTTAAAGAGCGTGTAATCTTGGGTATAGAGCAGTCGCAGCAGCCGAGAGAAACTCCACATCATCTCACCTTTCACCCACAGCTCCGGTTCGACCGTTTCCCTCCCTGGCCGAAGCCTGCCCGGAAGGCAGCAACAATCGATTCTCCCGGTGGTGAGATCGAGCCGCTGAGGCCCGGAGTGGCGAGCAGCTCGGATAGAGGGCCTGCGTACGCCGAACCCCAATCGATGATGGATGTCACATTGAAGTTTTCATCCACAAATATATTGCCAGTGTGTAGGTCGGGATGACAAGGGGCAAACCCCCGACTCTGAGAGGCGTGAGAGGTGAGAGAAGGGATCATCTCGCGCAGGAACTCGCCGGCGAGACAGTATGATAGCCGATTTTTGCTGCCTTCGGCTCCCTCCCCAAGCAGGTAAAAATCTTCCCACCTGTCTACTGCTGCTTTGTAACTGGCCCAGCTACGGTACTCGAAAGCATCAGGGATCGGGGCAAAAAAGTTGTGCGGGCTCAGTCGAAGCTCTTTGGCGTGAGACACAAAAGCCGATATCAGTGAGCTGAAGTACTGGCTCTCTTGGTCAAAGGGACCTCGGGTCAATGCCTTCAAGCGTATCCCTCTTTTCCCAGAAGAGCGATGGATTCAGGCACTCGCCAACAGAGCAGTCGCTGCTGCCGTCTTGGGCTTCGAATAATGACCCAATTTTGTCAAAATGAATCTCCGAAAGTAATGACATGATCCCTCTGAGCTGGCCCATTATTTTCTCTCGGTTTCGGTCTGTCAGGGGCAGGAGTGGGGTCCGCAGCGTATAGCCCGGTATTCGAGATGCCTCGGACCAGTCATACTCAGAAAGGGCGCGGCCGGAAGCCTTGCTCATGAGAATATAAGGCACCCCAATCTCGTTGTCGTGAGAGCCACTAGTTTTGACGAGTCAGCGATCAGAAACAATGGCAAAGACGTTATACCGTATATCTGTCAGCTAACCTGAAGGAGTAGACTTCTGGGACCGGGGCCGAGCTGTGCTTCCCCAGATACTTCAAGGTACAAGCTTCACTGATGATCATCTTGTAATGCGATTCGGTCTTGATGCTCATGCTGCGGCGCGGGGAGCGAAAGACCCATTCGATCTCATGGTCAAAGGTGATGAAGATGACCCAATTCAAACTTCCGGTTTTCGGTCTCTTTGACACGTCTGTGGTGCATGGCCTGCTGCCTCGAAGCTGTGTAGCAAGAGAAAGGAGTGCATCGAGGTTGAATTTGGCGAATGCGAAAATCCTCTCGCGCCCTTCTGGCACGGGAGTGAAGTCGCCCATGATGTCGAGGGAGCGGGTGCAGGCGAAGTGAGGGATGGGCGAGGCAGCAGCCTGCAGGTTGACTCTAATTGACAAACAAATACATCGCACGTGATTCGGCACCCATGGCGGTGGGATATTAGATCAACAACTCCATAGAAATTCAATATCATACAAACAACAAATGGAATCAGGGGAGGGTGCTGAGGATAGTAGTAGCACTGGTGCTGTCGACCTCTCCCGACACGTTCTCGAGCTTTACTATAACCTTGTTATAGTGATCTCCCACCACTAACTAACACATGCGACCATACCTAGTGGAAAATACGGGAGGCTTCCCTATCTTAATCCTATATTACGTGATTAAACCTACCGTCCGCGCCGATTATTTTCTCCTTCCGCTACCGTTTTTATTATTTTATTATTAGGCTACGCCGCGCGCGCATGTATGTGTATGTATCTTGGCAGCAAAGTGTCATAGCAGACTAGCTTCCCCTCAGAAGTAATTCAAGATGCCATCTACCTGATCGGGCAGCCCTAGTTCGTCGAGGCTGGCGTCGACGTCTATCAACCCAATGCAAAGGCCCATGACAGGACTCCCGAGCCCGGCCCTGAGCCACAGCCTGCCCGTCTCGTGGCCATCCACCTATCCATGCCCGCTAAGGTCTTAGCGCTTGACGGCCGCGACCACCTTAACGTAGAGCTGGCCGGGACGCCGCATTTAGAGTCGTAGAGGTATTTTTATCTATAGTAAGTGGTCGATCCCCTGCTGGTCGAGCATAATGTAGAACTCGAACCGCCCGAACGAACGGCCGAAGTATGCATATTCCGGCAATCACCGGCCCTTATCGTGGTTATGCTCTATGACCCACGCGTTAAATAACCCGCCCACCGTGTCGGGCCCTACGCCATCGAGGACGGACTTGTCCTAGATAATATTACAATAGAACCTCTTAGCTAAGGCCTCGTTAGGCGCGGGGTCTAGGGGAGGTTCGAGCCGGCCCCTTTTTAGCGATAGCTCGCCAAGGGCGTATTCGTTAGCTAGTGCGTGTAGGCTTTCTATAGCCTGGGGAAACGAGTCGTCAGACTCGCTTATGTAGACGGTACGGAAAATAGTAAGGCCCTATGAGTATAGGCGGTCGTGTGAGTGAGACGCTTGATTGATTTGTTCGAGGTCGTGTCGAATAGGCCGGTTAGCTTCCGTCCCGTACTTATGCCTTTCGGGGTGGTTTGTTATAAAGAGCTCCGGCGGAATGGGCAGGAATGATTGCATAGATTCCTCTACGGGTAGAGGCGCGGGTGGAGGCATGGTGTACATGTATAATACTCGTGTATAGCTGATAGAGTCAGGGCGCTGAGGGGGGTAAAGAATTTTTTCGTTCATAGAAGAGGGATAGGATGGATGATTGTCACAGCACGTGACACGGTTGGCAGTTCTTGATCTAATATCCTACCGTACCAGCGTTCGCAATCAGAAAGATGGATGAATCCAACTCACTTATCCGTTGCCATTCATTACCACACACGTACCCAGTCCCGTGTCCCTGAATCTCTCCGCAATTTCCGACGTCTGGCTTGAATTACACCACGCTTTACCAGACTATAGCCAAGCTCCAGTCACCTCCCATTGCAAACACAGCCCATCACATCACCACTTGATCACACCCTTCAAAATGAGCCTTCCGTCCCTCAAACTGTACCACAGGGAGACGTATCCTGCCATCTCGCCGACACTCCCACAGCTGAGCCAGTCGGGAAAGACCGTCATCGTCTCTCGTGGCAGCTCAGGAATCGGCTTTGCCATTGCGCGCTCCTTTGTCACCGCAGGAGCCGCTCGCGTGATCATTCTCGGCCGGCGGCGGGAAGTTGTCGAGTCCGCTGCAACGACCCTCAACCACGAGGCAGGACGCGACGTCGCAGAGGGTAGAACGGTCGACGTCTACAGTCTTCCCGCCATCGAGGCGCTCTGGTCCACCTTGCATGCTCAAGGCATCTACGTCCACGCTCTGGTCTTGAGCGCGTCTGCCTACGGGAGCAAATCGCATATATTGGAGAACACACTCGAGAGTACCTGGGGGGGATCTTGAGGCCAACGTGCGCTCTCCGCTGGCCATGACCCTCGGCTTCTGGAAACAGACAACGGGAACGGGAAAGAAGGCAAGCAAATTTGGACAAATCGTCTACTTAACTTGAACATACATCGCCAACTGGGCTTCAGTTTCTTCTCAACGTCTCCACCATTACGGCGTACATGTGGACGACCATAGGCGCGGACCGTCCGACATACGGACTAACCAAGAATGCCGCACTCGCCCTCGTCCAACAAATCGCAAAGGACTCGAACCCCAACGAGCTGCGGATTGTAAGCTTCCATCCCGGAGGCATTCTCACTGAATCAGCGCGAAAGGAGGGGTACGCTGACAGCGGGTTTCATTTTGACAACGGTACGCTCGCCAACAACCTTTCCACGGCCTTTCCCTACGTAAAATGTTCACTGAATCCGCGTCGACTACCAGAGAACCTCCCTGGCCATTTTGCCGTCTGGGCCGCGAGCCCGGAGGCTACCTTTTTGCACGGTCGGTTTGTCTGGGCGAACTGGGATGTCTTAGAGATGAAAGAGGACATTGGAAAGCGTGTCCACGAGGAAGAGCACTTTCTCAAGGTCGGTGTTGAGGGTCTCTCGGAGAAGGATGGCGGTGCGAGGTTCTAGTGGCGCTGTGCAGTGGTCTACAATTGAACGGTTGGCCGATGGCCCAAATACACGATTCGAGGTTCTCTTCCTAGTATCACTATTGAGTTTTATTGTGTTGCAGCATCTGACAATAACTCATTATTGCAGTGCTTCGGAATGGCTCTGGTCGTACGCCTCGCGATCCAGAGGAACCCACGTGTCCTGACCAAGACGAACAAGAACACCAGCACAATAGGTATGATGACGGCAATGGCGATCAGCGCCAGCCAGGGGTTCGAGAGTACGCGTACCATCTTGGAGGAATTGTATACCCCTTTGTAAGGCATCATCCTCATAGGTAAGAGTACTGATGTAGTTGGGTTGGTGACGACCAACGAATACCGGCTGTTGTATATAGTTACCCCTTTTTTTGTTTGCATACCCGGAACCCCGTGCTCTTACTATCGTTTCTAACCTCCTACATCGTGTCATTGACCTTTGGCAATAATAATCATTCAAACCATATCTCTTTGACTGGATTCGATTTTTAAATTGATTATATACTAACATCCGATCGTGGCGCACTGCGGCTCGGGATCCCGTAACCGGTAAGTGGAGCCTCCGGGATTCGGCCGGCCGTGCAAGGACACGGACCAGACGTCGGCCAAGCCGCCAAGGCGGCCAGGGGCAGCGGCGAGCCCACTCAGGGCCGGCTGGGAGCTTGGCTTTGGTTTTACGGCGTACTTTATTTGTCTTGAGGAGGCTGAATACACGTAGCCAAGGATCCAAGACAAGCAGTTTGTGGGGTAGCGTTACATTCTACCCACATTCCGTGCTCGCCCCTTTTGCTTGGAGCCAACGCGTTCACCTCGTTGAACGCCAGCCCCGAGGAGGGACATGGATCGAGGGCAGAAGCAAATCTCTTTCCTGACGCGTCGTTCCGTTTAACCTTATGTTCATGTTTATTCCAACGTCTGTCCTGTCTTCCTTCGTACGCCAAATCGCCATTTCTCCCTCACTCGACACACACATCCAATGGATATGGCGGGCATTTGTCGCTGTCTGTGGCTGGTCGCCTGGATGTGCCTCCTGGGCGGCAGCCCAACCATGGGCGCCGACACCGACTTTGAAACGGGCATCAACGAGTTTACCTCCATCTTCCCGCGCAACGAGATGTATGCGCCTTCGTATCTCTTCCCATTCGTCTTCGCTTTCCACAACTCAGCTGTGACTCGGTCACTGCCCTTCAGCATCCGCATCAATTTGATGAAGTGGAACGAGAGCACCAGCGACTGGGACGTGATCGGTGCAACTCCCGTCGACACGGAAAAGCTGGCCAACGCGTCGGACAGCGAGCCGTTCTTTGCCCACCATGTCTACGGCGACACATTCAACACAGAGGCCTATTGGACATTCTCGTGGAGTGTGTATTGGTCCACCTGCATTCAAAAGGGGGATCTTTATCCTCTCTTTTCTCGGGGAAGCTATACATGGGACCGTGTGTATTTTACGACAAAGGAAGGGGCCCAGGACCCTGAAGATAGCCTTGCTGATGGAGAGTCACAATGCTCAGAGTTGCAGGGCCACGTGTGGAACATTACGGATGGTGTCAGCGAGTACGATGTCGATAAATCTGCCTGCGCCTTCTTCTCGGCCGTGACACCCACTCCACAACCATGCGAGGCACAGGTCGGTTCCGAGCTCGTAGAGAGCATCTATGCCTCGGCTACAGCCAGGGTCTGCCGTTGGGATGATTCGATGATTGAGTGCCCTGCCGACGAGGGCGACGGGGAAGATACGGGGGTGAGCATTCGCGGAAACCTGGCTATAGCTTGGACGGCATGCTTGGTTGCTTTTGTCGCTGGCTTCGGCCTTTTTTTCCTGTAAACAATCATTAACTAGACAGTACTGTCCCCAAGGATCCCAAATATCAGCGTGTGAACCATGGCAACAGTGCCAGGAATAAAACTACCTATTGCTTCACCTGAGATAGCGGGTGAAAGAAGTATCTCTAGGGCCCGCACTATCTCCGTTTTTTGATCAACGGACTCGAGCCAAATGAAATTCCGCCCTCACAGCGAGTTACTAGTAGTAAATAGTATTGAAGAAGACTAATTAGTCTGTACATGGTAAGCTGTTATTTCATGTGATTTCCTTGAACACACGTTCATTTCGCTCCGGAGGTAGCCTTCCTGGCCCCCCCAACTCCAGTCCAGTCCTCGACGCCAAGAAAGCGCCCCTGAAGTAACCTGCATAATGTAACCAACAGAAGGTCCACCGGGGCCTTGGCCGCCTTGGAGGAGGCAAGGCACCCGAGGAACGACATTTGGTTCACGGAGAGACTTTTGTATCCTTCTTGTTCGAAAGCTGTCCGGGCCCCAACAACGCCCCAGCTCCTCGCTCACTCTCACCAGCCCAGTCAGCCATTTGCAGTATTCATACAAGGACCGTTTGGCATTCTTTCCCTTGTACAAGCCGTAATGGCCTCCTCCATTCTCACAGCGACCGTGAAGATCTTCTGTCTCATGCTGGCGGCGTCAAAGATTGACCCAGCGCAAGGCGACGTCAGTCCGAGCCGTCGTATCGATGCGCGCTAAGACTCAGCGAACTGGACCGAGCTCAAATGCGACAATCTTGGCTGGGACGACCGCACAAATCTGTCCCCAGAAGAGCGATGGCACCAAATGGATGCTTCCACCGCGTGGTCCGACTTGGTCACTGGCTGGAAAGAGAATAAGGACTTGTACAGCTCGTTTTCTTCTTACATTGGTCTGAAAATGGGAGTCGATAGTGCCTTTGAATGTGGCTCTCTGGAAGACGATACTCTGTGGCGCGTATCTACTTTCCTTTGTGGCAGCGAAAAGCTCGGTCCCGGCAGAGGTGTCGGCGGGCTTGCCATTGTCAACTCTTTCGTGGCCATCAATGGAGTACGTCACGTCGCCCAACTCGACTTTCTAATCGTGCGCTGACCCGGAAAAGATGTTTAGGACTGTGGAGGACACTATAACGGACTCCTTCGCTCTGGATTTGAATACTACCGGTACTCTCGATAGCTTTGCCGACGACTTTGCCCCGGGTCCTCTGGAACCCGACACGGCTTGGCGCCTTGTCTTGCTCGATGTCTTCACCATTGGAGCTTCGGCGGTGCTGGGCCCCCTTTTCAAGAATAGTAGGTCCCCGGCTGAGGCTTTCTTATGACCTTCTCCTCTGTTGTTGTCAAACATTAAAACACATGCGCTCTACTGACAATTGGGCACCCTCAGGAATTGCCGATTGGCCCCGGTTCGCAGAAGAAGGGTCTAATGCAGCAGCCAAACTGAAGAACACGACGATACTCGCAGTTCAGCAAGGCACAACTGTGGCCAAGGACTTGCTGACCAGAAATCCGTACGTGTTACCATTGCTTCTTATTCTTGGGGGTCTTATCTTTAACAGCAGCCACCAGGGCCGAATGGGACTCGGACTCACAAGACGATTTCAAGACATACAGTACCACTGTGCTTTCTAGCTGGCCCAATCACGTCGTTGACAACCTGAGCGTCTTGTTCGACGGTTCGGACGAGTCCATCGACAGACTAGGCAATATGATTGCGGACGGAAGTTTCATATCCGGCAGCGCCAGATGGGGGGGTGGCGTCGTCAAAGATGAAAATAGCCAGACACTGAAGAGCTCTGTTGCTCGCACCTTTTTTGGCATTGCTATCTCTGAAATCTGGAGAATGTCGGGTACGCATTCATTCGTCATCGACACGGGCTTCGATTGCGATAAAGACCTGTCAGACCTTCTGCAAGACGATGTGAGGGACAAGACGGGAGTCTGTCACAACGGCAAGCGATACTTTCTGGGGGTGCCCGAGGGGAACTATAGTCCCTGGGACGGAACATACGGCTTCTCGGTGCCGCCAGGCGTGGACGCCTTGGGAGAAGACAGTCAGTATGGGGGTGTCACAATCGAAGATGTCATTGTCGGGTAAGGATCTGTTGTCGTTCACATTGACCCCTCAAGCTGACAAGGCACCCAAGGTCCCTCAACACTTTCGAGGCGAATGGGGGGAATGACGCCCCTCGACCCCAGGACCTGAATGAAGGCGACATCAACGACCTCGCTGTTGCAGATGATATCAGGACCCCCGGCCTCATGCGCCTTCCAGTCTGCTCCCCTGAGACCGCTTGGCGGTCGTGGGGCGAGGGAGATGCCAGTGACAGCGCCGTCTATCCTTGCAACATTGTCGAAGGTAAAGACTGATGCAGCATGTCAACCTTTGTTGACCAGACGAGCGACGCATCACCACCTATGAAAGAAGGCCTCTAACTTGGATTGTCAAAAACCTCCAAGGCTTTGCCGACAAGGAGTGGCGGATCGAAGAGGCGAAAGGCCAGGTGGAACTGGGGATTTCCGGTGGGTGTGAGTTTGGCGCAGAGCCGAGGCATTCGCCCAATGCCAACCTCTCGTACAACGTTAGTTCCCAGGATGTTATCAATCTCATCTTAAATGCGGTTAATAAGTTTGGCGGCAGCGGTCGTGTCGGGGTGAAGGGAGACATGGACTGCAAGGGGAGCAGATGATGGGCCATTTACTAGAGGAGATTGTCCTGCCTCTTGCCATATCTAACGATGACACGACTCAAGAGAGTTGCTCGATGTCGACGTGCTTAAACGGTGCAAGGCTTCAAACGAGGGCGGTGGCCATGCGCAAGGATGCTCTGGGAGGGCGAGTCCTGACTCGGTCTGGTGCACTGGCGGAGCTATCTAGAGGCGTGCCAATCTGCCGTATGGAAGGTATCGGATTACTACGAAAGGCCATCTTCACACAACTCATTCTCGTACGCGTAGTCTTTAAGGAAGAATTAACAGCAGCCGTGACATATTATCTCCCCCCAAAAGCCATTGTCCCCTCTTGGATGGCCAACACTCGTGTGGCAATTGGATCTGAGATAGCTACAGGGTAGGCAGACCAGAAGTCGGTTGATAGAAGGCTAGGGGTGGCACCCATATCAAACAAGCGCTGTCAATCTCCGCACCAAACATATGCCCACGTGTCACATATGAGTCGTGCAATGTAGCCCCACCGTAAAGACTTAATTAAGTTCATTGTAAGACGTAATCATGTAAAGATCGTCCGGGTCATGCACCCGGTGGCTTGGCTGCGCCCTCGTCCACCCGTCTTGGCGTCGTGAGTTGCGTATAGTTCACGCGAAGCGGTTGCAAATTTTGCCCTCACTCTTTTAGCACAGGGCAAACGGTACATGTATACATGTAGCTATAACCATTCCGTTGCCAGCATGGCTCTTTCCCTACCGATTGAGCTTTTGGGTCAACCCTCGGCTTCTCAATTTACCAACCCATCGTACAATGGCTGACGAGAATCGGCAAACAATTCGACACGAGCTCGGGTCGCCATGTCCCGAATCAACACCACCTTATACAGCCGTCGGAAGCGCAGCCAGTTCATTCGTTTCGCCGCGTGCCTCTGAGAGTCCCGTCGAACTGCCTGCTGAAACACCTGCTGAATTACCTGGCAAACCCCCGGCCGAATTCTCATTCTCCAAAGGTACGTCCGACGGACCATGTATCATCCAGATTTGCAACGACTAACCCTTGATCAAACAGATGCCAGGGTCGAGATTGACTACAACTCTACGCTGGTACGCGCCCTTGGGACACTCTACCCCACGCCCTCCGAGAAAGTCCCAGACGTCCCTCCGCCAGAGTATTTCGAAACGGCAGAGCAAAGTTCCTCATGGGCTACCAAACTGAATGTAGTCATTCAAGTCGTTGGCAGTCGAGGGGACGTGCAGCCCTTTGTCGCTCTGGGAAAAGAACTGACAAGACGAGGCCACCGCGTCCGCCTTGCAACCCACGACACCTTTGATAACTTTGTGAGAGGCTCAGGCCTCGAGTTCTTCCCCATCGGTGGTGACCCAGCCGAGCTAATGGCCTACATGGTCAAGAACCCGGGTCTGATTCCTAGCATGAAAAGTCTCACGGCCGGCGAAATCCAGCGGAAGCGGCACATGATCCGCGAGATGCTCGAAAAGTGCTGGCAGTCATGCCTTCGACCCGATCCCATGACGGGCGAACCCTTTGTAGCGGATGCGATTATCGCGAATCCACCCAGCTTCGCACACGTCCACTGCGCGCAGGCACTCGGAATACCTGTGCATTTGATGTTCACCATGCCCTGGAGCAGTACCACCGCTTTTCCACACCCACTCGCCAACCTCAAGAATGTGGACAGCGATCGTCGGCTGGCTAATTATATCTCCTTCATCGTGGTCGAATGGATGACATGGCAAGGGTCAGTATTACCCCATCATCTGGCGCGGAGCACATAAGCTCTAATACAAGAGACAGACTCGGCGACGTTATCAACAAATGGCGAAAGGCCATCGATCTAGAGGAAATCGCCATGTTTGATGGGCCCGCGTTGGCGGACACTCTCAAGATACCGTTTACATACTGCTGGTCACCTGCTTTGGTTCCCAAGCCGGCCGATTGGCCTTCACATATCGGTCTGTTTTCCACACAAGCCCAACTTGACCTCCTCTGGCGGCCAAGGCGTGACTGACAGCTCACAGACGTCTCCGGATTCTTCTTCCGTGACGCGCCCCAGTTCACACCACCGCCCGAGCTCGCTCGATTCCTCGAATCCGGTCCTCCACCAGTCTATATCGGGTTTGGCAGCATCGTGTTGGACGACCCCAACGCGATGACACGGACCATTCTGCACGCCGTCCGGACGGCTGGTGTCCGCGCCATCATCTCCAAGGGCTGGTCTGACCTTGCCGGTGAAGGAGACGAGAAGATCTATTGGGTAGGAGACTGTCCACACGAATGGCTCTTTCAGCACGTGGCTGCCGTGGTCCATCACGGTGGCGCGGGGACAACTGCTTGTGGGCTGCGCAACGGGAAGCCTACCGTCATTGTGCCCTTCTTCGGAGAGTAAGTCATTGTGCCATTGTCAAGGCAACGCTGGGGCATATGCCTCACTCGCTGTTGAGATTCAAGCTGATCCTCCTGCTAGCCAACCTTTCTGGGGCGATATGGTGGCTAGACCAGGCGCAGGTCCCAATCCAATCCCTCATGCGAAACTGACGGCAAACAACCTCGACGAAGCTATTCGATACTGCCTCTCGCCCAAGGCAGCCGCTGCCGCCGCGTCTCTCGCCGCCAAAATGGAATCCGAAGTCGGGGTGCAAGCTGCCGTGCAATCGTTCCATCGGCAACTCCCCTTGGAAAGTATCACGTGCGATCTGATCCCCAGCGAGCCCGCTGCGTGGTTGTACACCAAGGCGAAGCCGCCTATCAAGCTTTCCAAGATGGCGGCGGAGATCTTACTCAGACATAACTCGGCCATCGCCAAGCACTTGAAGCCATACCGTAGCAAACCTATCCACATCCGAACCGAGCGATGGGATCCCATTTCAGGGGGGGCCTCTTCGATTGTGGGAACTGCAGTAGACATCACTGGCTCTATCACTGGCATGGTCACCAAGCCAATTGAAGAATACAAGAACGAGCGCCATCGACGGGCTCGGGAGCTCGAGACGCTCGGCACACAGACACCCTCAACAGAGAGGGCCCGAAGCGAAGAAACCAGTGTTAGTGACCGCGCATCCGCCACGACTGTCCAGCGCAACAACGCACCGTCAAGCTCTATAGCAGGCAAGATGGCCGGAGCATCGGCCAAGAGCATGGGCAAGATGTGTTCGGCCACGATCAAAGGCGGCCTGGTTGATTTCCCGCTTGCCATCACCGAGGGGTTGAAATCAATACCTGGGTATTACAATGGCGGTGTCCGCGACCATGGACCCGTGACCGGCTTCAGGAGTGGCATGGCAGTCGCGGGCAAGACGTTTGCCTGGGGATTTGTAGATGGATTCGGCGACCTTTACATGCAGCCGTACAGGAACGCCAAGAAGCAGGGTGCTCTGGGGGCTGTCAAGGGGTTCGGCAAGGGGGTCGTGAACATGACGACCAAGACCAGCGCCGGACTCATGGGTTTGGTGGCCTATCCAAGTGCCGGCATCAGCCAGTGCTTGTGGGCCGCCGTCCACAGCTCGACCATAAGGGAGGTGGCTCGCCAGCGGCACGTCGAGGGTGCTTGGATGGTGGAGAGTGGGCGGGCTGCTCATGTCGATAGGAGTGAGTTGAAAGAGACCTTTGCGCGATGTCAGGACCGAAAGCGCCGGCAGGATGGGTAGAGGCCCCCCTATATGAGTGTGTGAATTGTACTAGAAGTCCAGGGAATTACAATTGGCAGTGAACATACACAGGAAACGGGATCATGACACGCTAGCTTGTTCATCGAGCCCTTGACGCGACTCAGATGCCTAGACTGGCTGATATCGACAGACCTCTGAGACCGAGTCGCGCACCATTCGCGATATACAACCCGGAATCGTTGATCTCTCTTCGCGGCGTAGGGCTCAACTGCCTCTCTGCATGTTCGGGCGGCGCGTGTCACTCCCATCAACAAGAGCTACTGATCTGAATACTTGCGCAAGTGTCCATGCACATATTTGATAGCAGTGACTGAATGATGTGGGATATGATACATGTACAAATACGTACCACACGGGAGAGCAATGCGAGCGATGCGGGGTCGTTCCACGTTAATAGCAGCCTGAGAGTCCACAAGTTTGTGTTTTGGCTGGCAAGATCCCGCTTGACGACGAAGAAGGGGGCGCAGTCTCCGTCTTCATCTTCAGCTGCGCCTCCGATAGCCAGGCAACTTCACATTTGATGGCGGTCCACTGGAAGAGCTTTCCAACTAGAGCGCCGGCCAGAGTGAAGCTCAGACATGGTCATGCGCGATATACTCAAGATACCGCGTCAAATTGAACACTTGCTGCAAGGAGGTCAAGATTTTCCACCTCAAATCGTCCAAAAGCCTCTCCAGATTCGTCCTTTTCAGCTACCCTACTGCCCGGGTCACGAGGACCAAGAGTCCATCACTGAACGACATGATCCCGTCAAATGCACAGCGAGCCAGAGGGAAAGACAAGCAAATCCGAATATCCGGGAATCGGGCCAAAACGGGCTGCGTGACTTGCAAGTGAGCTACCCAGACATCTGTTCATTTGTCATTTGTTGACAACCGATAGGGTCAGAAGAGTGAAATGCGACGAGGTGAAGCCAAATTGCAAACGCTGCACCAACACCGGCCGCAAATGTGATGGCTACGAGCAGACGAGCCAGCCCTTGGACTACAACGACGCTCAGCACATTGGCAGACCAGATCGCCAACTGTCCCCTTTTCCCCGAAAAGATCACAGTGCCTGGGAGTACTACTATCATCGAGGCCGCCACGACATAGCCGGCTGCTTCGGCTCGACGTTCTGGGCAGGCCTGATCATGCAAATGAGCCAGAGTCAAAGTGCCGTGCATGATGCCATAGTGTCCATCAGCATCATGCACGAAGCAATTGCCCGCCGCGCCAGCGACAGACAGCGTGGTAGTCTGGGGGGCAGGCCAGATGTCTTCTACACGACAGCACTGTCCAAGTACAACAAGGCAGTGCGAACGTTGAACCTGGACATAAGCAGCCGGAAGACGGGAGTTGCCTTTCTGACTCTTGTTTGCTGCATTCTGTTCGTCACCTTTGAAATGCTAAACTCGGAACACGACATGGCCGCTCGGCATATCGAATCGGGGTTGGAGTTGATTGCCATCGAACTTGAACAGGCGCGACAGCAACAGAGCTCTGGGACGGATCTGCAAACACCTGTCAAAAGCCTAGAGCTGAGCATGACGTCGACTCTCGCACCGATATACAATCGCTTGCTGGTTTCTCTGTACTTTTCCGGCAGGCCGACAAAACTTCTGGGCAGTGCCCCAACACCTGCTTTGTGCGCGCTACCAGTCGCCCCAAAGTCCTTCTCAGAGGCACGCCAGGGTCTCATGAAGCTGACCACAGGCATTCTGAAGTTCATCCACAACGCCAGCGACCAGAGATACTTTGGGTCGGCGGATGGGTCACTTCTGGAGGCCCAAGCTGAATGGATGCAATCTTTAAGGGTGTGGACCGATACGCTTGTTGCCATGACGGAGACTTTGGGACTACTCAATAGAGAGCAGAACATGTCAATGCTCCTTCTATTTGGTCAGTCCCTCACAGTGATGATCCTGCTTTCGACATGTCTCGTGGCGGGGGAGACAGCGTTCGATGCGCACTTTTCACAGTTCCAGAGAATACTGGACGTCTGTGGTGCCTACATGGAGTTGCAGGCATCGACGACGGGTACAAGCGAGCAGGTGCCGACTTTCACCTTGGACATGGGTATTATCCCTCAGCTCTACTTTGTCGCCACCAAATGCCGTCACCCGGTACAACGCCAGTCGGCCATCGGCCTCCTCGCGGGATACAGCTGTAAAGAGGGTATGTGGGACCCAACTCTGTACCTCGGCCTCGCGAGGCGGGTAGCCGAGATTGAAGAGGCATCGTCGGCTCACCCCGGGCGAGATCTACCACCGGAACATGGTCGACTATGGTCCGCCACGGTGAAGCCAAGTCGACGCGCAAGTCGCCCCGTCTTCAGGTTCTCCTACAAACCAGTCGAGATGGGCGGTCGCGGATTGACGTGGGAGGAGTCGACCAAATCGTGACAAGAGGAGGACGGAGTGTGGACTGGACGACGGAGGAGAATGCAGCAAAGGCTACCAGCTGAGGAACGGTGTGGGAAACGCTAAAGAGATCATTGTGAAACCGCTTTTTATAGACGGCCTGTGAAATAGAGAGGGATTTGAGAAGATAGCGAAAATAGCCTTTCGTAGCAAATTGAATGACTTGCCTGACACTGACCGACACCATTCTAAGTTAGCAGTTGACATTTGCGGCGCTGACGCTTCACCTAGTCCCCCCCGACCTAGAAGGGCTGACTGGGAAAATGTAAGCTCTGGGGATCAGAAGAGAAACGCTTGAATATATGTTGGTATAATACAATATTTTGATAGGCTTCTGTACATGTCCGTCGGGCCCAGCATCCTCATCTATCACAGCCGCCACGCGATGCGCAACTGGATGTCACGATTCAACCCTCCATCTCCACAGAAACAGCGAAATCCACTCACGATCTCCAGTGTATCTGCTCAGAGAATGTCCATTCTATCCCCAGAACAACTATCCAGAACATCTGTTCAGACTACGTCTTCAAGTTCCGTGGACGGCTGGAACACAGGCTTCATTTGCTCTCGCACCTTGGTCCGCTGTTCAAAGGCGTACGCCATCCCGATCAAAGTTTTGCTTCGCTCCATTTAGGCCCGAAGAAACTCAGCCCAAACCTATAGAGTTGCTTTAGCAGACGCGCAAGTATATTGCCAAGATCATCAATTCCATGATGAATCAGAACAGAGCAGGGTAACTCACGGAATCCCAGGACCAGAATAGACTAGATTGGCGTCACCTAGGGGCGTGATGGTGACGTTTGTCCCAGGTTTGTAAAAGCCCAGAGGGACTGTGATAACGGGCGATCCGACAATGGAGGAGACTTCGGACGCCCAGGTTGTCGGCAGCACAAAGGCATCCAGATTGTACTTTTCCAGAGTACCCGGAAGACCGCCCACCCCGCCGAGGAGCTGCTGGTTATACTGATGCAGAGGCCAGAATTCAGGGGATGTGTTGTTGATGCCCGCCTCCACGCAGAGATCCCATGACGAGGTGTCCTTTGGCGGGTAATCTTCCAAGGGGTATTTTTGGGTAAACTCCCTAATGTCCGCTTGGCTGTAGATTTGCTGTGGGTTCTTCTCCAGGCTCGCAAGGTACTTGGAAATGCCAGAGACAAAGTCCGCGCACAGCACTCCGTAGAAAGCCTCCCGGCCATTGGCGAGGAACTCATCGTACGCTGCCAGGTCGGTGTTGTCAACCACTTCTGCACCCGCACCCTGTATCGTGGCAATGGCGTCGTCGAACGCGTCAAAGATGTCTTGGTCCGATGGCGTCACGCCAGAGAGCAGATTGCGAGGAATTCCGATCCTTGTCCCCGCCAGCCCGGATGTTTTGCAGGCAGAGACGTACTGCGTGTCCATTGTGGTCGGGATGGCGCTCGTGTAGTTGTCTGCTGGGTCCATGCCACTGATAGCCTCGAGCCAGTAGGCCGCATCCTTAACTGTCCGCGTCATTGGACCGACCGTGTCATGGTGTTCGCTATACGGGACGACAAGATAGCGTGACGTGAGCCCGACTGTCGACCGGATCCCGACGAGGTTGTTCCGCGCAGACGGCCCCAGGATACTCCCGCCCGTCTTCAGTCATCGACCAGTGTCAGCATACATGTCCTGAGATGCATGGATGGAGGCAGAAAAGACTCACGTCTGTGCCAAACGAAGCTGCGGCAAGGCCAAGAGCGCTGGCAACGCCACTGCCGCTGGAGCTACCGCCAGGGTCTTGATCCTCTGCGTATGGTCCGATGGTTTGCCCGCCCACCGCACTCCAGCCGGTCGATATGTTGGACGACCTCCAATTCGCCCACTGGTTCATGTTTGTTTTCCCCAGAAGGATGGCGCCAGCGTCGCGCAGCTTTGCGACAACGGTTGAATCATGCGGCAGAACTGAGCCCATCAGAGCATACGATCCGGCTATTGCGTTCAGAATGGGGTTTCATAAAAGCCAAGCTTTGCTTACCTGTTGTAGACATCTTGTCCGCCGTCCCGATATTGGCCTTGAGAAGGACAGGCAAGCCGTGGAGAGCACTAGAACGTTGTCAGACTGTGAACTAAACAGGCTAGAAGAATAACACGTACCTTCGCCTCGTGCCCTGCTTTCTGTCTTTGTCCAAGTCGGCGGCAATGGCCAGGGCGTCATTTTTGATCTCAGTCACAGCAGAGAGATGGCTTGACTCCTTGATTCTCGCAATGTACGCCTAGTTTTGGTCAGCGCGGGTCTAATCTCATTCGAGCAGGTGTCCAAAGACTTACATTGACGAGGTCTACACTGGTGAACGTTTCATCATTTAGCCCAGCAGAGATCTCATCGACGCCCGCCTCAAGCAAGCGAGGGAAGATCGAGCCGTGGCTCGTCAGATTGCCCTGCTTTATGTTGACGGCCTGCGAACATGGTGATGTTGATGCCATGGCCGACAATGCCCATTGCAGACAGCAAACCGTGCTGAGTGCTCGGATCCACATGCTGGCGACAGAGTTCAATGGGAAGATCGAGAATGAGTAGTAGGATAGCAGCAGCGAACAAAGTGGCTTGTTTCTCAGGCTGTAGAGGGGGATTTCTGAGCCAGATGAACTGCAAAGAAACAACTTGGACATGAGACCCTGGACTTATATCGTTTTGCTATCGTTCTAAAAGTGGTGGGCAAGTCGTCGTGATTCGCTTGCTCGTATGCGCTAATGCTTCTTCTAGAAAGACTACGTAGGCTGATCGTTGACCCATAGGGCTTGGGGCAGTGCCACACAAGTACAAACAAACCTATCTTCAAGTCCCACAGTAGCACGAGTCATGTCCCCCGACTTCTAGGAGTCCTTGATTAAATCACAATTGCGAATTGGACATTGTTTCGAAACAAAACGTATACCTCCACTCTGACATCACCAGGCCCAAGGAAGTATTGTACGGTTTAAATACCCGGCCCCTGAATTCCGTGTTGACCGTTGAACTTGGAACGAGATACGCCACGACAAGTGGCGTCCCGAGGCTGTCGCAACAGACACAGGGGTTCCAACCAGCTGGGATTCTTACCCTGCAAAGAGAACCGGGAGAAGTAATGTCATGAAGCTCAGACCTTGCGGTAGCAGTTTGCCTTTGTGTCGTAGAGAAACTCACGCACCGGAATTGCTCGGAAGTCATTACGAACTCTAGACAGGAGGGTCTGTTTAAGCAAGTTTTGGACAGTCCGGTAGAACAAGTCATGCTTGGTGAAAAGAACGCTTGCGCCGGTAGAATCAGACATACTGTCGGAATTCAGATGTCGTTCTCATAATTAAGCGTGTTAAAATCAAGATACCTAATTCGTGGATTCCAAGGATTCACGAAGCCATACTCAACCAGCACACGCGAACCTTGCGTTTTGCAACAGCCATTTCACTTCCTCAACAACCTTCTCCTCTTCCCTCTCAGCATCAAGAGGCATGACATCCGTCTCCTCAGGCAGTGCACCCTCGTACACTTTGAGCTGACCCTCGACCATCTTCGCACTCATGTAGTGCCCCTTGCGCGCTTGGAGTCTCTCGATCAACACCTCGCGCCCTGCCTGAAGATCCACAAACACGCTGTCGACACCCCTTTGCGAGAGGTGATCCCGAATCTGCGCCCGATACGTGACACGAAGCGCCGAGCAACTCACCACTACTGAGGGATAGCCAAGCTCGTCAATGGTCTCCACGGCACGCGCACTTATGCGTCTCAGCCACCCGGCCCTGTCCTCATCGGACAGCGGCGTGTCGGATCGCATCTTTTCCACCGCGGCACGCGTGTGTATCGCGTCGCCCTCCACAAACGGCACGCCTAGCCACTGTGCAATCGCTGTCCCTGTGGTCGTCTTACCCGTGCCGCAAGGGCCAGCCATGAAGACCGCCGTCCTCCGCTCAATGGGGGATTTCCGCTGCCAAGCACTGTGCATAAAGTAGTCAATGAACTTCTTGACAAAAGATGCATTCACCTCGGGCGCGTTGGCCAACGCCGGCGAAAGGGAGCATGCCTTGTCCGTGGCAAAGGGTTTGGAGGGAGTAAACTCATCCTTGTCGTACTTGGAAGCGAAAAAGTCGACGAGCTTGATGGGCGGGTTGGCCTTGGGGTCTGGGTTCGAGGCACGCAGACGACGCACCCACTCTTTGGGCTCTACTTCCTCAAATTCAAGACCAGATGAGCGAAGTGCCGGAAGGAGGTCGTCCACAAAGCTAAAGGTCTTGGGGTGCGTCACATTCGTAAAGCCGCTACCCGACTCGGAGAGAGATATGTCAGCAATGGCGGCGGCGACAACGTCAACGGGGGTCCACGATGGCGTCTCTGGCAGTTTTGGCAGAGCACCAATGGTGACTGCGGTTTGCATCATCATCGGGATGGCCTCTTGGGCGTTCCACACGCCGTGTTGGGTGTCGCCGGCAATTTGACCGACGCGAAGCACACGTGACGTGATGCCCTGCGCCGCAGCACGAGCGCAGACATGTTCCGCAACCGACTTGGACTGCGCGTACCCCATGCCTTGCGCCCACTCCAGCATTGGCAGGGCCTCTGGTATAGGGGTCACGGTCGAGCGGGCACACGTGCTGACGGAGGAGCAAAAGTTCATGGAAGCGCGGGTTGGCGAGGAGTTGCAGAGGGCGAGCAGATGGTTGACGCCTGTAATGTTGCCCTTTTCGAAACTTGTGAGCTGCATGTTGAAGTTGACGGACCAGGCGCAGTGGATTACCGCACGAAGGTTTCGGCCCACGGTATCGTAGACGTCGGGAGCCAAGCCTAGGTGTGCATCGGCCAGGTCAGAGGGGTGTGCCACGATCTTGCGACGGGAGGAGAGGGGTAGAGCATGGTACACCTTGCGCTGAAGCATGGACTCCTTGATCCGGGTGAGAGCTTGGCTCGCATTGCCACTGGAACGTACGAGGCAGTAGATTGTGTGAATGTCGGGGTTGGCGGAGAGCTGGGCGACAACATGTGCACCGAGCGAGCCAGTTGCGCCGGTGACAACCACAGAGGTGGCCGCCTCAGACTTGAAATTGCCATACTTCTCAATCAACGCCTGCATCTCGGTCTCGACGTCTGTAGTGGTCGAATCAGTACCGGTGCGCAAGCCATACAGAAAGCGACTGAGCTTTTCAATGGAGGGGTGTTCAAAGACGACATTCTGCCCAAGCTTCTGGCCGCCAACATCCACCGTCTTGAGTATGTCACTGCGCATCTGGATTGCTTGAAGGGAGTCGAGGCCGAGTAGAGAGAAGTCTGTGTCGTTTTCGATCTCGTTTTGCGAGGAGACTGTGTTCTCGAGCAGCTGTCTGATGTAGGCCGCAAGCTCCGGCAGCTGGAATACCTGTAGCTCGCCCGAGCCAACGTCCTGCGCATCATACGTCTGTTCGATCTCACTCATGAAAGTCTTGTAGAAGGCTTGGCGAATGATGCTGCCCTTGTCAGTGCGTGGGTACACACAGTCCGCGGGGAGTATGTGAACCATGGTCTTGGAGATACGCGCAAATGCATCGGCGTCCTTGTTCGCGGTGTCAACCACAGGCCAAATGGCGTCCAAGATATCCTCCTGCGACTTTCCAGTCAGGTGGGCCGCCGGCACCACCAGTACACCAAGGTATGGTCGGCCTGACCCGAAGACTACGGCTTCAGCGACGTTCTTGTGGGAGCGAATCTGGCCTTCCATGCCAACGGGACCAAACTTTTCGCCGTTGCTCAGAACAAGCGTATCGTCAAGGCGTGCAATGTACTTCCAGGCTCGAGGGATAGTCGGGTGAGGCTCAAAAAGATCCTTGGTCGCGTAGGATCCGTCAGGCTGGTTTGACTGGACCTTGGCGGGCCAGCCATCCGTGACAACGCATTCGTACAAGTTGGGGCCACGAGGCACCCAGCGAAGATACGGCGTCAGTCGATCGTGTTCACGGACATAGTTCCACTCCCTGTCGCCAGGGGGCCGGAAAGAAGTCATGAGCTGGCCGACCTCGGTGGCGCCGTAATGGCCAACCAGGTTCACACCACTGCGCACCAGGGTATTACCCAGCTCGTCGGGGCAGGCGGAGCCGCCGTACATGACGATCTTGAGCTCTTGCAGGAGACGGATGCCCTCTTCGGTCTCTGAGAGTAGCTTTAGAGCGTAAGGTACGCCATAGAAGATTTCGAACTTGTGCTGGCGCATGATCTTGATCAGATAGTCTTGCGTGAGGGGCAGGTCCGCATTGTACATGTGCAGCGACCGACGCGCATACACGGCGCGGAACAAGTTGCAGATGCCGTGGTTATGGAAGAGAGGCAGGGTGATGAACGCCTTCATGTTCATGCTCATGGCGTAATTGGGCAAGCATGACTTCTGGGTCTGATAGATGGGCTTGGGTAGCCCGGTTGATCCGCTCGAGTGGATGATCCAAGCGATGTTGTTCAGTTCCACCTGGGGATCAAGATGTGCATCCAAGCGCGTGTCGCCTATGATGTCGATTGGGAACTCAAAGACATTTCGCCCGGCAATCTCACAGATCTGTACGCCTGGCATGCTCTGGTGCACCAGATTCGCCATGTCCTGGTGCCTCGCCTCGACCATCAGTGCGCTGGCTCCAGTGGTGGCCAGTAGGGACTCAATGGCAGGCTGCGGTATCCTCGTCGACAGCAGTAGGACTGTGTGGCCTAGTTTTGTCAATGCGAGCATGGTGACGAGATACTCGAGATTCGAAGGCCCCATCAGCGCTACCACTGTAGGCTTCTCCTCTGACGAACGCCGGGCCGGGAGTCGAGCTTCGTAGTGTTTGGCGACACGCCACGCGAAGACGTCGAGTTGCTGCATGTTGTAGTCGACAAAGTCAATGCCAGAGGAGGGATATGAGACCGCATGATCATAAGGATGGAGCCTTGCCCGACGACGGATAAGACTGTCAATTGTGGTAAGAGAAGAGTCGTCATCGTCGCTATCAGCGTCGACTCGCAGCGCCTTTGCGTGAGGCAGAGGCTTGTCGGCGTCATCTTTGAGGGCATCCTCTCGATGGGTTGGGACGTAGACTGAAGTAGGCATTTTGACGTACGTCGCCCTCTGTGTTTGTGTGGATGAAGGGTATCTTGGTTCGTCTCAAGACACTGCCATCAGCGAGGATTGCTTTCGATTATGAGGACATGGCCAACTGGACGACCGCGTGGTCCGGATCTGCTGATCGTACCAAAGCCGCAACGCGCCATACCGGTGCATGCGCATACCCGGTCGATCTCTGACGGATAAACCTCCAACAGATCGGGCGGACGCACGCGAGGGTAGGATTGAGACACGACGGATACTTTTCCGGCATTATTCCAAAGGGCGGCGGAAGTTGACGGAACCCCGCAACATCTCCATGTTACAACGTGCGATATCCGTCCACACCAACAAACTTTGCGTCTCTTAGTCCGTGCTCTAGTTCGCTTCTCCTCATCCCCAGGTTCCCCATAC